ACATCACGTTCGAACCCGACGCGTACTCCAACGACTCAAAGACAACGACTTATTCCTTAAACCGGAAAAGTGTTTCTTTGACGTTAAAGAAGTCGAATTCCTAGGCATGATCATTCGAGAAAACTACATTGGCATGGACCCTATCAAACTTAAAGGAATTGCAGAATGGCCTGAACCAAGCACGGTAAAAGGTGTTCGCTCTTTCCTAGGGTTTGGAAACTTCTATCGGAAGTTTATTGCCAACTTCTCGGATATTGCCAAACCATTGACGAATCTTACGCGCACTGCCGCTGGATCTCCACCTTTTGAATGGACAACAGAATGTCAGACAGCTTTCGACACATTGAAGCAACGATTCAGTACCGCCCCAGTACTGTTACTGCCTGACAAAGCAAAACCCTTCGTTGTTGAATCTGACGCTTCCAAGTTTGCTACGGGTGCAGTTTTACGCCAAGCCGATATCAATGGAGACCTCCATCCTTGTGCCTACATTTCACAGACGCTCAATTCAGCTGAACGGAACTACGAAATTTACGACCGCGAACTCCTCGGGATCATTCGAGCCCTCACTGAATGGCGCCATTATCTTGAAGGCTCTCCCCATCCTGTCGAAGTTCGCAGTGATCACAAGAACCTCACGTACTTCCGTACAGCTCAGAAGTTAAACCGCCGACAAGCACGATGGAGTCTCAAATTATCACAATTTGATCTTCACCTCATCCATGTCCCTGGCACTCAGATGATCCAATCTGATGCGCTCTCTCGTCGTAATGGACTCGATGACAGTGAAAGTGACAACGAAGATCGCATTCTTTTACCCAACGCACTATTCATACGATCCATTTCCCCAACACTATTCGACGAAATCAGGAATCACGCAGCAAAAGACCTCATTGTTCACGAAGCCCTCGAAGCGATTGCACACAAAGGGCCATTCCCCATGAAATCATCGCTTTCGGACTGGGAAGTTCGCGATGGTGTCATCCTCTACAAGGGAAAGATTTACGTTCCACCATCCGAAACTCTTCGTCGTGACCTCGTTCGACTACATCACGACTCCCCTGCCATGGGTCACCCTGGAAAGTTCAATACTCTTGAACTGTTACGTCGTGAATTCTGGTGGCCCGGCATGTACACATTTGTCTACAATTATGTTGAAGGCTGTGCCGCCTGCCAACAAATGAAACCGAATACTCATCCAACTCGTATTCCTTTGGAACCAATTCCCGCCGACCCACACGCATTACCATTTTCCTGTTGCACCACCGATTTTATTACCGACCTCCCCGTTTCCAACGGTTTTGATTCAATTATGGTCGTAGTAGACCATGACCTTACGAAGGGGGTGATTCTTACGCCCTGCCTCAAAACGATCACAGCCGAAGGAACGGCCAAGATTTTTCATGACAAAGTATACTCGCGATTTGGATTACCCGACCGAATCATCTCGGATAGAGGACCTCAATACGCATCCAAGGTCTTCCAAGAGTTAAATCGACTACTCCAGATCAGATCGTCAATGAGCACAGCTTATCACTCTCAGACGGACGGAGAAACAGAGCGAGTCAACCAGGAGCTGGAAATCTATCTTCGACTCTATTGCGGAAACAACCCTGAAACGTGGGCCGACCGCCTGCCAGACCTCGAGTTTTGTCATAACACAAGGGAACACTCGGCACGGAAGATGAGCCCATTCCGCATCATGATGGGATACGAACCACGTGGACTCCCTTCCATATTTCCGTCCACGAACATTCCATCGATTGAATCCAGGCTTGACATGTTGCAGAAGATAAGACTAGAAGCACTAGCCATGCACGAGTTAGCCCGACAACAGATGGCGGACCGAGTCAGACAAGGATCGCCGAAGTTTACACTAGGACAGAAGGTCTGGCTAGACTCGAGGAACCTGAAGGTCAATTACGCCTCGCGCAAGATAGCACCAAAGCGTGAGGGGCCATTCGAAATTGTCGAAGTCATCGGACCAGCCAACTATCGTCTCAAACTCCCGAAGACCTGGCGAGTTCATTCCGTATTCCACGCCGCCCTTCTATCTCCTTATCGCGAAAACGACATACATGGTCCGAATTACGTGAACCCACCACCTGATGTCGTTGATAACGAAGAAGAGTACGAAGTCGAAGCCATCCTGAATCACAAGACGCACCGAGGTCATCTGAAGTACTTAGTCAAGTGGAAGGGATATTCTTCAGCAGAAAACTCGTGGGAACCTACCCACAATTTACAGAATGCCAAGCGAATCCTCGATGCATATAAAAGGACCAGGGGAATTCAGTAGAGGAGAAGAAACCCGGAATGACTACCACGACAGTTTTCCTCATTATCTTCCTAATCGTCCTCCACTGCACAACCCTCGCCTTTCTTTGGATCATCCACCGAATCCTTATCAGACGACTTGTCGAACACACACTCTTCACGCGAGACAGCCCGCACGCTAACGGCTGGGGTGATCAGAACGATGCCTGGAACTGATCAGGCGGCTCTTATCTCTGTGGGAATACTCTTTATCGTCCAATGGATTTTCATCTATTTGATTATTACCCGGATCCACGACATTCTATTTCACATCACAGATAACCGCGACCCCCTTAACGACCGAAAGGTATAAAAGGGGGAGAAAACGACATATCATCAATGCCCACTTCCGCTATAGACGACCTTGTTCACAATATACTCGCTGAAGTCGCCTCCACAATTATGAGCATACCCGCATCGCCTACGCTTGTCAATGGAGTACCCTCTCGAGCACAGACACCCTTTATCCGCACCTCGTCGCCCTCACCTTCTATCGAACTCAGTCACGCATCGGACGAACAAGAATTTGCCACACGTCTGGTCTCGGCCATCCGTGTTCCTGTCGACTTCACAGATATCCTCGTCGCCTTACGAAATCGCCCGCAAGATCGACAAGCGGTGGTTTCCATGCAACGAGCATTAGAAATGGTCGAGTGGATGCAGACGGCCAGACAAGAGCTCATCGCAGCAGAAGAAAGGACGAGTAGAGCCCGGACCAGAGTCGACCAAGTCTGGTCGTTGATGCGCAGTACGGTCACTCGTACAGCACAGGAGATTTGGAGGGAGCATGGGGACGAAGACATCGGACACATCCTCGGATACACCACTAATGGAATACCCGCATCCACTCCTCGTTCGTCGCCAGAACCAATTCCCGTTCGACCTCGCCCTCCTCGTTCGCACGTACCCAGTGGACGATCTCCGTTATCCCAACCATCTTTCTCGACTGCATCCACTTCTTCGCGTCGCAGTCATCCCTACAGGAATGGACGTATCCCCGAACAAGGATCACGAACCAGCCGGCGGACATGCTACAGATGTGGAGGAGATCATTATGTTCGCGACTGCCCCCGACGACGATGAAGATCACAATATTTCTTGTGGGACAAGAAACGTTAGACGGGAGCTGATGTTACAACGCTCCCCACTTGTGGCGCGTCTTTTCTTTTTCTTTTCCTTGTTCCCTTTACGATACCAGACCACGTGATCCAACACGTGACTCATTGGAGCGCAACCTCCGATTCTTTACCCAGATGTCCAGAACCCCTAGTCAAGGGTTACACCGGATCCAACTCCGGACCTTCTTCTTATCGCGCATGCAAGACGTGCATGTACGCCTCATCTTTACCTCGTTCTGATACACGACTCGTTATCCCCATTAGTACTGATTGTCTCTCACGACCTTACTCAGCTTTCTCATACATATTACTTCCTCGCTGTTACCTTGCCCAGATATCGTTTCACCTTATCTAGCCAATGAACGATCTCGCATTACTGCGTAGTACTGCGGATACCTTTTGTATAAGTAAACGACCTTGTCGAGCTGGATCCCCATCTCGACCTGGTTACCATTAAACCAGCTTTTCACTTGCCTTTTGACTAAGATCGACCGTCAGTAGCAGACAGCTACTACGAGTCATAAGAACGAACTCTGATTGACCTTCAGTGCGAGGACATCGCCAGAAGTGTCACTTGAACGGACTCGTGTCTTAGACTAAGACCTTGTCTCGTGACGACTCGACTAGACGCTCGTGTTTCGCTGCCGCGTAACAGGTGATTGATCAGCCTGTGTACTGCCTTCTTCCATCTCAGTTTCTTTGCCACTACCAGAAGTGTGAGGTTTATCATCAGAATAGCAGATTTCTCTCATTAAGTGTACCTACATCCATGTTATGGGACATCAGCATCATGCATTGGTTCTGACTATAGGTAGAAGGCTTAGAAAAGTGGGAAGGAATGGCATCTTGATGCTGCACTGCCTGTACACAAGACTCATCAGTTTGTGCCATGAAGGTACTGTAGATGTAGTGGCAACTCGAGAGCCAGTAGTGGAGACTGTGGGGGAGGACCAGATCAACCAGTATCCTTAGGAAGTAATGAGACTGTCTGCCCAATGACGACTGGATGACTGGATGCCGCCATGAGGAAGAGAGCGAGTCGGAAAGAAGCACACACATGAGATTGACGAAGTAGAGAGCAAGGAGCGTATGCAAGACATCGACGAAGATAGTGATGGCCAGACACTGATGAGGTCAATGACGAATATGCTGGTGAAGAGGGATAGGCCTGCTCCCACTTAAATCATCAAGACAAGTATAAAGGAGAGATGTCAGACAGAACCGGAGCCGCGTTGCCGGATGGAGCACAGCTTCGAGATGGTGCTGCTGAAGAATATGCTCAGAATCAGGTCGGGTACTATTTTGTTTCTCATTGCGAGAGTATGTCCTATCCACACGAATGGACATCAAATAATCACAAACTGTGAAATGCAAAGTGAGTTCAGCGTGGCCGCGATGAATAACAAACGAATGGCCCTCCTGCGCCCGCTCGGACTGCCGCACGAGTTACGGTACGTTACCGAAACTGTATGATATAAATTAATTGCCGATATGGGACATGAAGGTATCCTGGACCGTCCGTAGAAGATGGCAGCATTATATAGGCGAAGTTCCAAAGCCGCCGAGCTACGACGAGGGCTCCGCCGTGAGGAACCCTACCATGCAACCATCTAGCATGTAATCTAGGTTCACCCAAGCATGAGTCAGTGCTAATCCCGGGTCAGTCAACAATTCATCGGACATGTAATTCTTACTCACCGAAAAGCTTGCTACCATCCCGTCCGGCAACCCTCATAAGCTCCCTCTCCCCGCCAGGATGATATGAGAGATATGGTGTGATATTGTACACCTTCCCGTTAAACACAGCCCACGCATCTTCCCTCTTATTATGCCGCCTCAGCATAGAAGGAGTTACACGAAGAAATGTATCCACGCCCTGGAGTTAGTCATCGTTCAGCGAACATCCAACATCCTTCCGTCAATAACGCACCCTCAAATCCTGGCCGGACTTCTTCAGGTTCGCCCAATCCAACGGACCATGCCCCGGAGCCAAAGCTACCTTCCCTCGCTTGGATGACTTCGCTGGAGGCTTGATGGTCGTTAGTGGGACAGCCAATGAGCCACTCGAGATGCCAGGCTGTCGCTGGGCGAGCAGAGGTGGTGGTGGCGGAAGCATCGGCTGGGTGTCTGTGAGAATCATGGGAATGCCATTCTCCGTGAATTTGTCGGATGCAATGCGTTGCGCACTGTTCACGCTAGGGAAAGAGGGAGGCATGTCGTCTGTGTCGTCTCCTCCGTGGATCGTCTCGGTGTCACCGTCTGAATCATGCGGGGCGCTCTCGACGATGGAGGGCGTGTTTGGGACATCCGATGGTGTTTGTGCATAGAGCCAACTGCGAAGATAAGACGCCATGGAGTGGGAGGTCAGCCTAGGTCAGCCTGAGCTGATGCCACCAGTAGGATCATTTTGTAAGCGGTCGCTGATCTTGGATCTCAGATAACGATCTTACCACTACGCCTCACCTGTGCAATCGTCCTTGCGCCAAGTAACGCTGACTCCATGTAATGGTTGACAATCTCTTTTGCGCTGGTGATAATCACGCCCGTAAGGTTAGAATATTTAAATCCACGGAGAACGTACAGGGCCGAGGGAAAACTTTTCACCAATGGCCAGTCGACTCTACCCGCATCGAACCAATGGCCAACAAAGTACACGACTGGGACATCAATCCGATAAGACAAAAATTCCACCAATGTCAACCGACTATCCACACTAGATCAACTGAAACCTCTCCGGCCCTCCTCACCACGATCTGTGTCCGAGCGCCGCCTCTTCCGTCCTTGCATGAGTAATAACTGCGGCACAGTGAAGTACCTCTCGATCGGCGGCCTACGGTTTCTGGGTGGCTCCGGGCGATACGGTGACTGGACACTCGCATGATCAGCCGTATTTGAGGGACTAGTTGGGTTAGAATGCACAAGGGCATCTATCGACATCGCAGTCCCCCCGCTTGTCCTATGCTCCCTTTGGCCGGCGACCCACGGCGCTTTCTTGTACTGTGTGAGATAATCGATCAGTGCTGAGTAATACGACGAGCGCAGCGACTGACAGTCTCTAGCTCGGGTTTTCCTCTCCATCGCGCCACAGCCTCACAGAATCGGACCGCTGCGCGCTCGACAACCTCACCGGGAAACTGCCATGCAAGATCCTCCATGTGCGTCGCCAGGTCAGGGGTGGAGCCTGGTACATCATAGAACTGTATGACAAAGTGTAAATTGAGTCGATATACAAGACCGCAACAACACACGCTAGACGAGACTTACCCGTGACAACCTATCCTTCATCTCCATCTCATACTCGAGCTCTCCACCTTCCCTCCGATAATAAGGAGCACCGCCTGGACCGACACCGACGTCTCTGAGCGACGGGAACAGCACGCGGGCAGTATCTTCCAGGTCTGGGAGGTCGTCAGGGTCAAATGCAGTGAAATCGTTATCCTCCTCTCGTTCTTTATCGACATTCTGCTCGTTACCATTCTCACGACTCATTGCCCCTCCCTGATTTCCATTCGTCGCCTGGGGAGGGTGCGACTTAAGTGGCACCATACCGAGACCGACGCCGAGGAGGACTTCCAGCGGCTCGGTGCCTCTCCACCCAGCGGACATGTACCCCTCGAAAACAGCCCGTGTAAGGAGGCCTGCCAATAGAAAGTACCATTCCCGCGACGGGCGCAGAGCATGGTAGAACATCCCCGCTTCTGCAGCCAACTGGCGCTGCCCGAGGGGGCGAGGAGACATGAGACCACGGGGAGCGGACGAGCTGGCTGCCTGTGCCTGTGGTGCTGACGCGCCGTCCTCACCCCGACTCTCTCCGCCATCCAAGGAAATGCGATCTTCTGTAGCCTCTCTCCCTAGCTCCATGGCGACGAGTGCACTCAGCCGCATGAAGCGCACGATGAGCTCAGCAAGCTTCGTATTGCTCATGGCATTTGCGTCGCTTGCCGCAGACGCCGCGCCAGATGGCCGGCGTAACACCGTCCCTCGAGGACCAGGTCGCGCCAGCCCAGAGCCGATCCCGCTCCCGTCTTGCCAACCCGTGACGCCCCCGACGAGTGCACCGCTGGACTGGTTGCCCATGTCATCTGGGCTACTGCCCGTGCTCGATACCGTGCGCCCCGGTACGCTGCGTCCGCGAGAAGATCCCCCGCCGCGGCTGGACGTCTGCGATTTGGACTCGACACATATTTCGCAACCCATGTGCAGATGCCGCGGACAGCGCAGTGACGGAGGCGAGTTCTGGTTGTCCTCCTCGGCACCTACGTTGTACAGTGAGCGAATGTAGTCACTTGGGTGAGGTCTGCGCGTCGTAGAGGATGGGGAGCGGTGGTTGGCCGAGGCCGAGGATATGGCCGCGAGCGGAACGAGTGCCGAAGGTAGAACGGGTGGAGCAGACATCTGTGCGGAGGGGTGACGGCCGAGAGGAATAGGAGCGCGTCGGGAGAAAAGATCGTTGACGACAGTCGCGAGTGCTAGTCGGAGGCGCACGCCGTTAGGGAGGGTATGCTGGTGAAGAGGGGCGGCCTGAGGACGTAACTGCGGAGACGTAGGGGTTTCGAGCATGTCATCCGGGTGAAGAGGTGGAACCTGTGGTGGCTGGTCGAGTATCGATGTCGCCACCTTCTCTACGCTTTCGGCTCGCAGTCTCAGACTCCTTGCCAATTGCAAGTCTTGCCTCTCGAACCGCTCCTCCTCTTCGTCGCCGTGGGGATGACCGGGCCCACCTGCTCTCGCTTTGAGTACATTCACATCTTCTCCGTCGCTATAGACTTCCTCCTCCTCTTCGTAGTTTTCGGGCCGCTCCCTGTGTGCATAGTTAGACGTGGACGGGCCGCCTGTGCGGTCAGTCATGCCGAGCTCTGCCCGAGCCTGCGCGAAGCGTGTGCGCCCATGAACCCAGAGGAGATGGTCAATGATTAGCGTCCTCGTAGACTTCTCCCTCGGTGGGATGGAATGCAAATGGTGGGCGTGTTTGTGTGCGGGGGCTTTAAACGGTGCACCGTTATTCGCGCCCGGGTTTGGAATAGGTATCCGGTGCATCATAGGAGACGACGACTGCTGTCGCTGATAGTCATGAGCACTACCGTAGCCTAGCAGCGACATTTCGGCCGAGTTCGATTGAGTACGATGACCTGTATAACCGTTGAGACTAGGAAAGCGGCAAATCCAAGTTCGTAACAACCTGTGCGACTCACCTACAATGCCCCTCAACCAGAGATAGGTAAAGCAGTGAATAAACTCTCGGGGACTCCGTGGATTACTACAATGGAAATTAAGATGCCTCTATGTGAATTCTGAGTCGCTCACCGACCTATGTAGTGCGGGTGTTGCGGGCGTTTAGCCTTGGTCCTTTCGAGCAGCTTGTGCGCACGAGAGAGGTTTGGTGTGGACGTGGACGTGGACTCTCTGGTGTGAACGGCCAGTGACTGGTGCGAATATTCCAAGCCAGCGTTTGACTAGCGCTAAAGATCGGAATTTGCCGATAGACTTCTGGAACGATCGTTCTTGGCGCGGTCTTGACACCCACCCCGACGATGACCGAGTGTTCTTTGTCCAAGTGCAGTTTTCGCATATTATTGTTGGGAATGCCCGGAGGAAGCGATCCGAGGGCACCCATGCCGCCACAGCGGGGAATGATTATGTAAGGGAACTTTATATAGAATGTATATAAAGAAATCTATTTCGGGAACCCGGCTGAGTAATCGGGTCTTCCCTTCATCCGAGACATCATCGCGATATTCTCTGGGAATTTACCTATTATTCTCAACAGGTTATGAGCCCCGAGACCGTCTAAACCTCGGACTTGTATCCTACTGCTGCTAACAACCAATAAAACTATCCTCACCCATACGAGAAAAACTACCCCTATTCCGGGCGACACGATGTCGAATGACGACAAGGACATTCCGAACAGTATGTATCGGATCCATCCTCTGAAGGAGGACAACTGGATGCCGTGGAAGAGGCGCATGACTGCATTCCTGGATGAGAAGAAGCTTCTCGGCTATGTCACCGGTGAGATACAGAAACCAGAGCCGAGCGCTAATCCGGATACCAGAGAAGCGCACGATGCCGAGATTCAGAAGTGGGGCGAGAAGGATCAGAGGGCAAGGAATTTGATCATCATGTGCCTGGACGATGCACAAGTGATTCATACGGAAGGAGTGATAATGGCGCATCATATATGGGATCTGCTTCGCACGGTAAAGGAGCCGAAAGGACAACATGGGATTATAGCGTTGAGTCGAGTTTTCTACGATTACCATGCTGACGAAGGTGTGAATATCCCGCAGCACATCGCCAAGCTTCGGGAGATACGTGAACAATTACAGATGATGGGAAAGCAAATAACGGATGCAGATTTTAATGGGATCCTCATCAAGTCCCTGCCCAGCAGCTGGGACTCGTATACGGCGTCATACACTGGCACGATGAGTTCTCAGCCAAACTCTCCGCCAATGACGACACCAGAATTGATCGCTGTAGTCATCAGCGAATATAGGTGCCGTCTCGACCGCGATCAGCATGTTGAGCCAGAGCAAGTGCTTACTGCCCAGAGCCAGAAGCGGAAGCGAGACTTGATCAAGAAATGTTCCATCTGTCATAAGATGGGACACATGGCTGGCGAATGCTGGAACCGAGGCAAGCCCATCTGTTCCAATTGTGGAAAGTTCGGGCATGTTGGGAAAGATTGTTGGGCCAAAGGCGGCGGCAAGGAGGGACAAGCGCCTTCCAGAGCTGGACCATCCAATGCCCCATATCGAGGTGCATCATCTGGAGAACCTCCATACAAGCACTGAAAATTCGAGCAGATGCGCGATGCTGGTGGCAAAGGCAAAGACAGAGCACATGTTGCACGCAAGAATGATAAAGAAGATCGCGATAGCGATATTGTATTCTTAGGCACTAGCTCGGGGAATGAAGATTTCGATTCCTTCTACGACTGGTATGCCGATTCAGCGACAACGTCGCATGTCGCGAAAAATCGCGATATATTCTTAACCTACAAACCCCTCGAGCATCACACAATAAGCGGACTTGGCACTGTCCAAGCCTACGGACGGGGGACCATACAGCTCGAAGGTAAGGTAGGTAATAGAAAAATAAAGTTCCAATTACGCGATGTGCTATATGCACCATGATCCCCATGCAATCTACTTTCAATACCAAGACTTGACGAAGCCGGTGGCCGAACAGTCATGGGAGATCGGCGCGCAATCTTAATCGATCACCATGGAAAAACCCTCGCTGTCGCCAAAATGAAAGGTAGATTATATTTATTACACGCCCGAGCGGTTAAGCCGCAACAAGGGAGTGCATACATAGTGTCCGAGAATGACCCGCGCACCTGGGAAGAGTGGCATCGATCGTATGGACACATCAGCAAAGCCGCGCTACAAACTTTGCAGCACGACCATTTAGTCGAGGGCTTACAATTTCTGCCCAGCCCGGCCAATATCGAATGCGCTGCATGCATTCAGGGAAAGGCATCAAAGAAGTCATTCCCTAAAGCGGCAAGTGGGAGAAGCCATCAGCCTGGTGAGTTTACACATACCGATGTCTGGGGCCCAGTGCAGACCGCCGCAATAGGCGGGTGGAGATATTTTGTAACCTTCACAGATGATTACACATGATGAAGCACAGTCGTGTTTACCAAAATGAAGGACGAAACTACAGACAAGGTAAAGAATTATATGATCTACCTTGATCAACATTTTGGGAACAAACCGCGAAAACTCTGCATAGACAATGGGCGAGAATATATTAACACCGAATTAACGAATTGGTGTGCCGCCCATGGGATTGAGATAGAGATGACTGCGCCGTACTCTCCATCCCAAAATGGAGTTGCAGAGCATCTCAATCGAACGCTACTTGCCCTCGTGAGATTAATGATTTACACAAAGGATCTACCACATTATCTATGGGCCGAGGCTGTATCACATGCAGCCTACATCAAAAATTGAGCACCCACCAGCGCGCTTGACCATGCCACCCCTGAAGAGAAGTGGAACCAATCAAAGCCAAATATATCTCATTTATGAGAATTTGGCAGCGTCGTTTGGGTTCTCACAGAGGACATCACACTCTCGAAGCTTGCACCAAGAGCCAATAAATATATATTTGTTGGCTATGTAGACGGGCCGAACACTATTAAATATTACGATGTCAAAATGCGTCAAATAAAAATGATGCGAAACTACCACTTCACTAACCGGAATCCATCTCCAAATAATGCGACATCGCGTGAGGGAGAAGGGCCCGATGCTCTGCAATCGAGGACTGCAAATGTGCAGCGCGAGGGGGAGTCTTCAGATTTAGGGGGAGATGTGCTACAGTCCTCCATCAATAACCCGCTAAAGCACAGACGCAAAGAAGACGAGGATAGAGACACACCCAATGAGAACGAGCCCAGGTGAAGCAAGCGCGTAACTGTCAGACCAGATTACCAGTTGCTAAATGATCTCGACGCTGATGCTAAAGATAATGCGGATGCAGACGCCGAGGATAATGATAGCACATCAATCGCCAATCTCATATATGTAGCGATGAGTGAAGAAAACATGGAGGCCAATGAGCCTAAATCACTCAATGATGCAAAAAACTCATCTGAATGGCCGAAGTGGGAAACAGCTGTTCAAGTGGAACTCGAGCAACTAGATAACATGGGCACTTGGGAGTTAGTAGACTTACCCCAAGGAAGAACTCCGGTAGGTAACAAATGGGTCCTAGTAAAGAAAACAAATAGAGAGAGAGAGGTAATTAAATTCAAAGCGTGTTTGGTCGCTAAAGGCTACTCACAGATTCCGGGAATGGACTACATGGAAACATATTCCCTGGTGGTCTGTCTCAAGACAATCTGCACAATTCTCGGGCTAGCTGCAATTCTTGACTGGGATATCCAACAGATGGACGTCAAGGGTGCATACCTGAATGGCATCCTAAAAGAGGAAATTTATATGCGCCAGCTGGAGGGATTTAGCGATGGAACACACCGAGTATGCTGCATGCGAAAAACCCTCTATGGACTCAAACAAGCTGGACGTGAATGGAATATAATACTGAACTGCAAATTACTTGACGTGGGATTCAGACGACTATTCACGGACCCATGCACATACATCAGGACAAGAGATGGAAAAACAGAGATCGTCACTGTATGAGTGGACAATTTATTACTGTTTACAAATGATCGCGACCTCATGGACCATCTGAAAAAGAAACTCCAAAGTATGTTTGAAGTTACTGATCTAGGCTAGCCCAAGAAGATCGTAGGGATAGAAATTGAGCGAAACTGAGAAAAGAAAACAATAAAGGTATCACAAAACAAATATATTGATTCTATCCTACGAAGACACGGACTTGAGAATGCGAACCCGGTAGGGACACCTCTCAATCTGAATGTCACCCTCGAGAAGGACGAGAATGACGCAAATGAGGCGCCAAACTGAGACAGCGGATACACTTTGTTGATCAGATCTCTGATGTATGCCACTAGTAGCCACATGACTGGATATCGCATATGCCATCCAAAGATTGAGCTCGTTCACTGTTATAAAGCTTCTCTCCGAGGAACGCACAGATGACTTCCGGCTTTACCTTTACCAATCATGTGACAATGATGTCACAGTGCCTAGACTGACCACGTGATAATGACATCACCAACCACATGACCATAATGTCATCATGGTCATCACCCTTATCTATCCAGCACGGATCTACCTGATCATCTGACGATGTGCACCTTGTGCGCAAGGCTTGGATCCTCTTCCTATCACACATGCGACAAAGGCATGTTTGCCTCACCTTTGCCTTACTCTTATGATATAGATACCGAACCTCATGGGCATGGCCCTAGACCCTGATACATGCGCTAGATGCATGACGACCTCGCTGCTGCCTTGTCTTTGCAGCATGACCTTAACTCCATATGGACAGATTGTCTCTCACGCAGAGTCATGACTGACTCAGCATTCTCATGACCGTGGAACAGGTGTACGAACCCTGTACCCTTGTACTGATGCCGATGTTTCACCTTGACTAACACGGACATTGTATTACTTAAGCATAGATGCTTGTAGACATATATAAGAACCCCCTGTAGTAGACAGATTCCTTAATCAGAATCTACCCATCATAGACTCGTAAACCCTGTGTGGGGGCTCCTTGGACTCGTACCACCACTTGGTCGAGTTTTCCCATGCTCGTCATTGAGCAAAGAGAGGGCGCACCGTCTGGTGCTCCCAGCCAGATCGACTCTCACAATCAGAGAGCCGTAGGTGAAGCCACAGCCAGGTCGGACGAGGTATCCCTCATCGTCGTCGATCCCGTCGTCGCCATTGGCACCAGGATCTGACCATCCACTGACAATCCCCTGGTACATCTGAGTCAATCTCGATGCATCCATCCCTTCTGTGACCGAACCACACCGCTATATTTATCGAGGCTCACCATCGGCTGGTTTCGAGCCATGCTCATCTGTTTGCATTCACCACGGCACCTCATCCAACCCATGGCCAGGCCCCGCCATTTTAGACACACACAGCACACGCACGACACCCCTACAACCTTGCCCTGTTAGCTCGGCATGCCCTAGTCTACTCTCTCCCGGGCCTTTGCTGGGAAGACTCGTAGGTGAGCTGCTGGTCCGAAAGGACACTTACTGTATGGACCGGTGATCACCGCATCTTAGCACAGCTGTTTGCTTGTTGCGATATATAAATATGGAATTCATCATCATCATCATCGTAAACCCTGTGTCCCGCCGGACCTCTCCTGGGCTTGTGTTGTGCCAGACCGGCATGACTAGATGGCAAGGAGATCCGGTTAGGTTGATGCTTGTTGGGCTGGTCGACTCTTGGGTTCCCCACTTGCGTGCGTCCCATGTAACATTCACAGCTAGGCTGAACCTGACCCACTGGACAGCCGCCAAATGCATGCTCTGCTACTTAGCAGGCACACGGGAGGCCAGAATAGTATACAGTCCGGTGGACAATGAAGGGCGCGATACAGATGTGCTCATCGGATATACAGATGCAGATTTTGTAAACAATGTTTGCGACTGCAAATCTATTTCAGGATACATCTACAAAGTAGAAAGGGGCACGATAACGTGGAGTTCGAAGAAGCAAACAACGGTCGCTTCTTCGTCCACAGAGGCAGAATATATGAAATCCGCTCTGGGAGCAAGGGAAGGCTGGGAAGCCATATGGCTATGAAATCTATTTAAGGAAATAGGCTTTGACCAGGAACAGCTGATGATTGTCTACGGGGACAACATGACTGCGATCTCAATTGCCCATGATCCACAGTATCATGCGTGCTCAAAACATTTTGATATAAAGTATCATTATGTACGAGAAAAGATAAATGACGGGAAAATGGAAATAATCTACTGCCCTACAGAAGATATGGTAGCTGATATTTTTACCAAACCCCTCGCGAAGTCAAGGCACCAAAAGCTTATGGAAATGCTTGGAATGCCCATTGGCCTGAGGGGGAGTGTTGGGAATGCCCGGAGGAAGCGATCCGAGGGCACCCATGGAGCCCACCACAGCGGGGAATGATTATGTAAGGGAACTTTATATAGAATGTATATAAAGAAATCTATTTCGGGAACCCGGCTGAGTAATTGGGTCTTCCCTTCATCCGAGACATCATCGCGATATTCTCAACAATTATAGAGTGCACAAGTTGGCCTAACTTCCTTGCAGAACTCATGGTGTTTGATGGCGAACGGTAAGTGCTCTAACCGATGCACACTGAGGAAAGACTTCGGCCGGATTATAGGTAATTGAATACATCGCAGTGGAATTATACAAGAAACTACTATGCCTCACAAGATCGTCGGCATGCCACCCAAGTTGGCACCTCACTCAATTCACCCTTTCCCCTGCCTTTACGACTTAGTTATCTCTTATATGTATGATTTTATAGTAATACATCATTCTTGAGGTCGAACAAGCTCAAATGGATCAGTATTGGAGGAGTCCCTTCTTGACCTGCAATGTCACGTGAACTCACGCTGGCTAGTCACTGGGGGAAGTCTGTCACAAGCATCGGCAGTGGGGTTTCAAGTGGTGGTGTCCACCATGACACGGTCACGACCGTCGCATCCTGACAGCACACTTCACGTCCATCAATCCATGCGCAATGCACATTGATGCCACGAGCATCACGCCTGCAGAGCACCTAAGATCCAACATATGAGTCGCGTATGCAGGCTGCAGTTGAAGGTGTGTGTGCGGGTACTTATAGGTCTATCACAGAGGCCGCCTGGAAGGAGAATGTGAGTGACAATGCACCGAAAGTGCTCTGATTTTCTGAAGAATCATGCTTAGGTGACACGGCAGACACTGCAAGACAGGGTTCTCCGTCGGCACACTTCACATCAGCAGTCTTGAATACAGAATCAACTGCTTAACCCTGCACAAGAAACTGTAATCTTGGACTGGTGTACTCACCAGGGTTTTTCTGCAATGCCGTTTAGCAAGAATAGCCTTTGCGTGCACATCTTTGAGCTTACCGGAAAGCATCCAGGACGTCACTGGCCTGAAAACTTTCTAAGGTGGCATGCAAAGGCACTCGTTGCAGCAAGGCCTAGTGGTTTAAATCCAAAATGGGCCAACAACTTCAATAAGTCTACGATTACCAGCTATCTTGAAATGCGAAGGTCACTGGATGACAGGTTCAGTAGCATACCTCCACAGAATATCTGGAACATGGATGAGAAGGGCATTCAGTTGGGTGGAGGTTGCAAGCATGACGGGATGAAGTTCTTTTACGTACGGGTTCAGAGGGAGCGTTATCGCATCCGGAGTGATAATCTCGAGTTAGTAACCATCATTGAATGTGTCTCTGCATCAGGAGAGTCAATGCCGCTGGGGATCATTCTCGCAGAGGGTCCATATCCAGATTGTTTGCACGTTGAAGGTGTTGGCAGGTTTGTGTCATATTTTTTCACTACGAAATCATGAGCTAAAAGCTTTTTACAGTATTGCACTTTCTCCGACAGGATGGACAGACCGCAAGTTGACTCTGGACTGGTTCAAGAAAGTCTTTGTTCCACATGCCTGCGCCGCATGTGACCCAGCCTATCCTATCGTCCTGACACTGGATGGCCATGACTCTCATGAGACTACCCTGATGAAGGTTGTGGCATACCAGAACGAAATCATCCTCTTTGGTTTCCCATCCAAGATGACCAACAAAACTCAGCCCTTAGATGTTGCTGTGTTTTCATCTGTCCAGTGCCAATGGTACTCGCATTGCCAGAAATGTCTAGCAGAAGGCATCAAAATGAGTCGTTACAATGTGGTCAAAGAATATATGACTGTTCGGAAAGTAATTATGCCATCCCTAGTCAGGATGAGTTTCGTGAAGACTGACATATACCCATTCAATCCTGATGTCTTTTCCGAGGAGGACTACGCACCTAGCAGGGCCTCGTCATCAACAGCACATGTCCCATCTTCGTATCCAATGGATATACCAACATCTCCCATTGCTGCATCCTCTGACTTCGAGTCCAATGATGATTATTATCCATCATCAGACAAGGATGAGGGTGATGAGGATCAGTCACACGTCCTGCCCGAGTGCACGGAAGATGTCGAATGCACAAAAGATGTCGAGTGCATGGAGGATGTTGAGTGCACGGAGGATGTCGAGTGCGTGGAGGATGTCGAGTGCGCAGAGGATGTCAACTGCACAGAGGATGTCAACTGCACAGAGGATGTCGAGTGCACGGAGAATGTCAAGTGCGCGGAGAATGTCGAGTGCACGGAGGATGTTGAGTGCGCGGAGGATGTTGAGTGCACGGAGGATGTCAGAGACGGGGACTCTTTGTCACCATTCAATTTCCCGGAGGCCGCACCAATCAACTCTCTCTTTCCCGAAATGACTGCATACCACACCCATTCTACTTCAGAGATGAGCATTGCTCTCTCTGAGGCAGGCCGTCTAGTGTCGGTGACCCGAGATGAACATTTGCAAAAGCAAGAAGCACTGACAGAGCTTCGCATGCTTCGTTACCAGAATTCAATGCTGATGGATGCAATTGCTGAACGAGATGCAAATCTGGAGGCAGTGAATGCACACTGTACTGTGCTACGCCGGGAGGTGCAGGATGTCAGAACCCAGCTGGTGAACGTGATGGCAAAGAAGATGCGAGGCACGACAAAGATCAAAGCTCGCTTCATCACACATCCCGACCTCTGTGATCATTTTGAAGTTGAACAGGCCATGGAGGAAGCAAGGAACATAGAGAATGCAGCAAAGGCAGCCCAGAAAGCCGCAGATGAAGCGACGCTTAATAAACATATTATCAAAGAAACGAATTCCAGGATATTCGAGAATTCGTTTGCCAGCTATTGCAAGCACAAATCTGATCTGATTATCCTTGCTGGCGCACTCAATCTATCTACGGACAGTACAGTGGCCGATCTTACAGGTCGAATCAAGGAGCATTTGGACAAAAACCCGCAGTTAGCCCAAGATGCACGCTTTGTTGGTCTATTCAGCAGTGGTAGACGTCGCCCAAACACTGCTGGTTCCACGATGGGCACTGGCCCGACAACTGCTGTGCAATCATCAGGTTCAACACCAGGCTCATCGTCCTCAATCTTGGCCAGTGCTTGGCCGCCAAACACATTTGGCTTGGGACTGGCATGGACCGACCCATTGCCGCCACCGTTCTGGTCCTAGTGCAGAGCAGGGATATACCCCTGGGTACTTTGAGGCATACCCCTAACCTTACCCTCCAAGGGTACATACCCTTGACCAGGGGTAAGGGTATGGGTAAGGGTACCAAACCCTGAGGGTATACCCCTCAATCTTTGCTCTTATTTGAGAAAATGACATTATATATATTAAGTCTGAGGTTTGTACCCCTCTTCTTTTATCTTTAAAGCTTCTGTAAACATGATTCAAGTTGTACTCAGACTGTACATACTCTATATTCACCCTGTAGTTACTATCTACATCATATATACTATAGGTAGTAATACCCTCCAAGGGTACAAGGGTTTGAAAATCCATACCCCTACCCTTACCCTCTGATACCCTTACCCTTGACCCTTGAGGGTTATCCATACCCTTGCTCTGCACTATCTGGTCCTCACAGCAGCCCACTCTCCTGACACCTCCAGCTCACATATCCTATAATCCATTTATCTGACTTTCCTCAGGAACATAGTACCTTCATACCTACACTTGCACGACAGGGATCTTCCAAATAGCCTTCTGCGTACTCACACATAATTCCGTTCAGGTACTCTCCCATGTATAATTCCATCCTGCTACATTCTTGTCTATAATCTTCATGATACTTCATAATTACATTCTATGTAGCTACTAGTGAACAAGGCTACAGTATGTTTGATTTTCTCTGTCGTGCACTGTTTCCCCTCTCTGAGTCATGCCTCAGGCTGCCGAGCGGAGTAACAAAATGGCACGCATTACTGTATGTGACATATGCGTTACTTTTGCGTTACTGTCGACTTGGGGGGCATGCCGATGATCTTGTGAGGCATAGTATTCAGAGGAAATATAAGTAGGATTAGTCTATTTACAGTGCTTTGCACATGAAACTGCATTCCCGATTCCGTAAAAGTTGTTTGTTCCAGCCAAATATGTGACAAACCCTAACCTACATCAGAAAAATCCAGCTTTTACTTAAAGGTGTTCTTATGTGACTTAAATGCACTTATGAGCCTTAAATAAGGTAAAAAAGGACAAAAAGTCCATAAGTCATATTTCCTTAGAGACTTAAAAGCCAACTTTTGGCAACTTATGGGCCTTAAATAAGGCAACAAAGGACAAAAAGTCGAAATAAGTTCCGTAAGTAAAAGTTGGGTTTTCCTGATGTATTTGAACTGCCAGCGTACTAAGTTGCCTTCTCAACTGCTCACCGCTAGCATCCTTTTGGCAATGTACTGCACAGTACTATTTGAATCTGACATTTACCTAGAGTTCCTGAGCTCGTGTATATGAGGACTATAGCTGTCGAACAACAGAGAAATCCCTACTGACCCTCTGCCCGATCTTTACAGTTAATCTCACATGACTATCATGGGCCTCGGTCTCTGCATGCAGCTATGCAATTCTGGACCTCTCTGTTTGAGGTCGGACATGACCAAACAACATACTGCACATGGACCTGGGAGCAATATATAAAGGTGGAAGAAGTCAGGTCTTTCTGTAGTGCTTGGTTGTTATTTGTTGCACCCATAGCCCTAGTACATACTGTTACAAAGCTCTTCCCTGTGGAACGCACGGACAACTTCCGCCTCCACCCTGAATGATCATGTGACAATGACATCACATTGCCTAGACTGACCACATGACCATGATGTTATCATGGTCATCGTGCTTATCTATCCAGAACCCTTATCTTAGGGCTGTACCGGATCTACAAGATCATCTGACGATATGCGCCTTGTGCTCAAGGCATGTTTACCCTTCCTATCACACATGCGACAAAGGCATGTTTGCCTCACCTTTGCCTTACCCTTACGATATAGATACTGAACCTCATGGGCATGGCCCTAGACCCTGATACATGCGCTAGATGCACGACGACCTCGCTGCTGCCTTGTTTTTGCAGCACGACCTTATCTCCATATGGACAGATTGTCTCTCACACAAAGTCATGACTGACTCAGCATTCTCACAACCGTGGGACAGGCGTACGAACCCTGTGCCCTTGTATTGATACCGATGGACCAATTGTAGTTCTAGTATTACAGGTAGACAGACACCTGTACTTGTATATAAGACCAACAGGACAAGCTGGAGTCCCCATCTTGTCCTGGTTACACATCAACCAGTTTTACCATCTACATCTGTGTGACAGATCGACCTTGGTCCACAGACAGCGGCCAAGTGTTCATAAGACTGCTCTACTGGGCCAACCTCTGGTCATCGCTATGACTGGAGGTCGGACCCCTCATGATTGACTTGAGCCCTTGCGAAGGCCTAGTCACTGGACGATGAACCGGATGTATGGTGACACGACTGGCCCCCGTGACACATACCATAAAAATGTCCAATTCAAACACTAGCTCATCTCGAGCCATTCCTGGGCACAGTCTTCACAGCCGGTCTACCTCCCCGTGTGCAGTGCCATGATGGACAATGCAATCCTGGCGAAGGGAATTCAAAAAATATAATTTTGGTGTGACATGCTGTGACTATTTGGCTACAACAAACAACTTTTACAGAATCGAGAATGGAGTTTCATGTGCAAAGCACTGTAGAAACCCCCCAGGGGAAAATAAACCCACCTTCCCAGAACCGCTGAAGAGAAAAATGCGAAGATGGAAATACCATCAAAAAAAGATCAATTGATGCCAACGACGGTGCCAACCATTGACACCGAGTACCGCGCATCCTTGACAGGGCGGACCTCATCCGCATCGTCATTGGAGACGATGAGCAATGACCAGCCGCCGAATTTTGGTGTGTGCTATCTCTTTGGTTATGTGTGTCAAGATGCCCACTTGATACAAAGCCTTTTCATTTCACCTTAACAACAATGAGACACCACTACTCGATGCAATAGGCGATAAGCAGCACCCGACGAATGACATCGGAGACACCGATGCACGCCAGCACGCGGCGAATGTGTGTGCCCTCACTGAGTTCAACAGCGGACCCGGGAGACCGCTGGTAAACATTGACAGGTGAGCGTCTTCAAATTTTTTTCAGAGCCATCACGAAATTTCCAAAAGCAGGGGGGGTTTCTGTGTAAACTGGGTTTCTGAATAGACTAATCTCTATGATTATGGTACAAATAAATATTGTATGTACACTGACATGCAGAACCCAGAATGGAGGAAATGCAGAGCCGGAGAACCCTGACAAGAACATCACTGGATAAACATTGTTCTTTTGTCTTCCTTCTTCTCCTTATTCTAATTGGTTCTTGCCTTTTGACTTTCCCTTCTTACCCGAGTCTCTTGCTCAGGGTCTCGTTCTCGTTCATCCTTCAATTTATCCTGTAACTTCATTGGCTCACGTCAGTGCTCCTGCACCTCCTGGTAATCGCAAAAGCTCTCCTGTTTCTGCAATGTTGTCGATTCCAGTTGAAGATTCTGAACTTCCTACTGATTTTTCTTTTACTGAAGATCCAGATCCTCCTGCAACTCCATTCCTGCAGCGCTCTGTGATTGCGTCTGCTGCTCCACCCTATATCGCGCTGCACATCCGATGGCTCCTGTATGTTTCCTAGTGGCACTTGGAACATGAACTTGGCCGAAGCGATGTCATTGTAATGGCAGTGCATGCGAGCTCCAAGATCTAACGTATCCTTGAAGAAGAGACTTTTATTTGCGAGCTCTCTTTCCCGGCCCTCTCCAATAGCTTTGGGCGCCTCTTCTCACTTTGTTGGTGGTGATGGTGGGGTTCATCATCACCACAAAGTTTCCGGAATTGTCGGAAATTGGCCTTCGCAATGCCGCCTACCCCGGAGTTGGAGATGCAGTGCATGTATATCACACCCATTTGCATTCTGCCATCTTCGTATCTGCAACGTTATTTGTAAGTCAAGGCACTATCTCGCCCTGACTAATATCACGCATATTTCCTTCAGAAAATTTATTGTCTCCCGCAGTATGTCTATCTGCGACTTGTGTGTGTCATCGAAACTGGGCATATCGACGGGCATCATTGTTTGGCCATTAGTGTCAAACTTTGACATGCAAACTTCTTGCGCGCAGGATTTGAGGCCGTCTCTGACTTCATCATTTGTGGCGAGGAGGTTGATAAACTTTGCAACCATAAGACAAACCCTGAGTTCTTGTCGCTTGGTGGAGGAGTTTGCTTACTGGCATCTTCCGGGTTCCTGTCGCACCTGCTACTCTGCAGGATATAACCAGGTAAAGTTCAAAGCCACTGCATATTTCAGGGATCCTAATAGAGGCTTACAATATTATTTTGTGGGACATCTGGTATGCACTGGTGTGCAGTTAATTAAGAGGTCCAGGTCTGTTGAAGATATGGCGATGTGGCATAAGTTTACTTCCATGTCATGGCATGCGCCACACTGCATGCAATGATCCAGAGAAACTACAGAAATGCCTGCATGAAAAACATTTACTCTTCCAAACAATCAAATGTGTTCATTTGATCGATCGAGAGGAACTCAAAGTTAGAGTTGTTCGCAGCCCTTTGCCCTGTGGAGTCACGATGTGCTTTCCGAGGCAGGTGTGTCCGTTCCGAGTACCGCTATTGATAGTGTGCGCTATCGCAGGCAAAACATACCCGAAGTCATACCACACTATGTCCCCCATTCACCACGCACCTGATACTTCGGAATCACGTGTTTATAGTGGTCTATCACTTGCTGCTGCGACACGCAGCTACATTCCACAGACCGCGCAGGAAAATTCTGGCACGGTACCAACCCCCGCTGTTGACATGCTTCCCCAGGAGGCACCTACATGCACGATGTTATGAAGTCTTTCGTTCGCTATTGGGGTTTCTCAGTGCCATATCTAGGTTGATGTTACATGAACACATTCCTTCAGACATCGTCCTGGATGTAAATCTGTGTGATCCCACCGAGAACCACAACTGCAGCCAAATTAACTCACACCGTGCCGTTCTTTTATGACATACAATCTCAGGATGAGTGTAGAAAATGGCATGCAGTGCAGCTCTGTTGCGGGTTCCTGTCAATGTCCTATTCCACTTGTCCACTCTTCTTGTGCTGGAGGGCATCAACAATGCACCATGTCACAACCACCGGGAGGCGCAAACAAGTAGTGAATATTGCATATGTTCATCAGCATATACAGTAGCGATCAACTCACTTCGCAATGTCAGTGTGATGGGATCAACAGGAGTGGAGGAGACATCTGTGAGACATTGAGGGAGCTTGTCAAGCTGGGCCATTTGGCAGATGAACCTAACAGATAGTGCAGGAAGCTTGCCAAACATTGGTGCTTGAGCGGAGGAATTTCTCTCTACCACACAGACTGTTAGAGGGTTCAGGAATAAGGCCATTTAGCGAAGTCAGTAATTCCATTGATAGTTGATACCAAATCCGCTCCCTTGCGCCTCCAGCAACATGCAAGCTGTTTATCTCCACTATACTAAGCATGAGCACAGCGGCCAGGGCTTGTTTAGCAGTGTCTACAGCAAATTGATTGAGTGGGCAAGCTAGCATCTATAGCAGTGTATCAATACAGCTCTGGATGCTTTCTGTATATAACATGGCTAGTTGGGCTTGTGGGTGACAATTGCAGTAATGTATAGCATGCATGATGTAGGCGTTGAGTTGCATTGTTTACCCTTGTTAGATTCCAATGCTATTGGCCTCGTCACAACTCGGTCGCCACCTGGTGCGCAGGCACATTGGTCTCCTGTAAGTAGGCTACAAATTTATCTCTTACCTAGCAGGGGGTTATTAAGATCTGCTAGGATGCACGCCCTCCAAGGCGTAGTACAATAATTGCCACCCAAGTTGCCGAATGTGGGATTGAGTGCGAAGAATCTGCACGTTTCTGGGTCACTCTCCATCCAGTAAAACATCCGGGCACTATGAAATGTACATCAACGAGGCAAGTACTATATATATTCGTGTGTTTTGAGGTTTTCTGAGGTGGAAGACCTACCGCACTTGGGCCGGCTGCCACGTGTCGGAGTTCTTCCCAGCCAGACACGGCACATTACATGGTTTTTCCCCAGGAAAAAACTGTGGAAAATGACAAAGTAAATCTCCCGGAAGTAGTGTTTTTCTCAGGAAAAAATTCTCTGAAAAGAATGCGTTTTACTGGTAAAATTTCCATATATGGTATCCATATAAAGTTATTTCTCCAAGAAATATATTGCCTTTTTTTGGGTCACAGTTTTTCCTGGGGATTTACTTTGTCGTTGTTCTCAGGTTTTTCCCCAGGAAAAACCGTGCACTGCGCCTTGTGCCAATTGGCTGGGGAGCCTAAGTGGTAGGGTCGACCGGAAATTTAATTAATTAATTAAATTTAATTCGAGCCAATAGGACGCGTGATTCATGCGTCATTGCCATCGACAACACTAGGACTAGCGGCGCATGTTCCAAAGACAGAGAAGTTTCAGACAATATTGCCAATGCTGTGTTCAAAATTTACCATGCCCGTACCAATGTTATTCAGCCGCAGCGGTCACTTCAAATCAGTGAATCGGAGAAGTGGTAGTGGGGAGGTAGGCACCCGGTAGCCGAGGTCTGTACCTCACCTACCAGTCGGCTATTCGGCGTAACACCTACCATTTTGCTGATAAGCTCTCACCTGCCGGTGATCCGGGCCAGCGAACCTTCTCATCTTGCTACTTGGTCATACAACACTCGAGTCACTGTCCATGGCACTGCACTTCATGTCAGATGTAGCCGCGCAAAATTGAGAAGACATTGACGACCCCTTTACGAACAGTTTTGCAGCTTCCGGTTGTCGCCTCCAAGATACTCTGCGAGGTCTGTACACTTCGAGGTGTCTCCGATTTTTCCCGGTCTCATCGAATTAGACTCGGAGAGACCTTGGAGAGCCACGAGAGTGGAAAACAACACTCATGAGCCGTCATCGTTGAAGAGATCGGCCAGCAGAGCGTCTAGATCGTCTATCACGATGAGATTCAACATTCAACTGAGGTACCGTCCGGGTCTGCCCTCGTCCGCTGCGGTTATGTCTAACGCTCGGAAAGGTCACGAAATGGCTTCAGTCACCCGACGAAGACAACGGACGGAACACAATGATACGACACCACGTCGTAGAACTTACGCGTTCCCACCAGTTCCGTTGAACCGTCATTCTCCCTATACGACTCGCCCGAGTGCGGCTTTGTCACAGTTGACCAAGACGCGCTCTCCGGCAGTCTGGTGCAATGAGTCGATTGCCTCCAATGGCGACAGTGGATGAATTCGGAAAATTTCGTGGGTCGTACAGTATAAGAACCTGTCTGCTTTCCATGTTCCGCCCACACTTCCATAGTTATCTTCATTCAGTCTCTCTTCTAACCATCGCTACTCGAAGTTCATGGCATCAGAAATGCGACCTGGTCCATCGTCTAGCAGTTCAAGAGCTCCCCGAGGCTCTGCTTGCCTTAGTTGCCGTCGAAGGAAACTGGTACGCATTATATATGTCTGTGTCTGTGTGCACTCTCATTCTTGTCTGCGATAGAGATGCGATGGTCTGAGGCCTAAATGTACACCATGTATTAGAGGAAACAGGGAGGAGGACTGCGAATACACTGACGGCTCAGCACGGAGCGCCATACAGCTGCTAGAAGATGAGATCGCTCGTTTGGAGGCTCGTATATACGAATTAGAGCATCCAGATTCGGTCACGGCCCCGATTATTTTGCATGATCCTAGGGCTGTCGTTGAATCGCAGCCTCAGTCTTGTGAGTTAGAGATGTCATCTTCCGTATGGCCACCTAAAAAACATCATCTTTAGCAGCAGCAAACTCGGAACAATTTGGCGGACTTGTCTCTCATTCATCCACTGTACAAACCGTGGTAGCCGAGCCGACATTACAGATGATACAGGCGTTGTAATCCAAACACACCTTCAACTTTGGATTTTTTTCTCACAATTTTTCTTACACAGAGTGGGTAATTTCAAACCATATGCTTCCCAGATCGGGTTTTTCCTCCACGAACTGCGCTTCCTAGAGGCGCTCTATGAAGCAGACCCGGGAACGAAGACAGCCATACTCCCGCCAGCTTTGCTAAATGTGATCTACCTTTGGGGTGTCCGGTTGTCCACTAATAACTCACTCGCTGGGTATGAATCAGTATTCCTATCACGCGCATCTCAAGGGACCTCTGCCGCTCTGGCATCCGTGCCAACTTATAGACTTATGCATGTCATCCAAGCTGAAGTCCTCCTTGCCACTTACTTCTTCGCTACCGGTCGCTTGTTGGAGGGTCGCTATCACTGTAGTGCGGCGGTGGCGCTCGCACTTAGTGGCCGGCTGAACCAGATTCGGGGTGTTGTGGATCACATGTCACATGTCCATACTGCCCATGGAATAGACATTCAATTACCGCCACCCACCGATGCTGTAGAAGAGGGAGAAAGGGTAAATGCTTTTTGGACAGTTTATCTGCTCGACAAGAGCTGGACTGTCCCCCTTGGATCGCCCTCTCATATAAACGGCGGTGCTGACCTCAATATTCCCTGGCCTTTGGAGATGGAAAATTACGAAGAGGTGCGTCATATCAATGACTACTTCCATTTGCTAAATCTTATGCGTGAATATGCGTTGCAGGGAGGATTTGCACCTAATATATTAGGTGTGCGTACCATAGAGTCCTTCCTCAATAATACCCCTTCGAGCAGCGGTAGCGGTACATCTTCTCTCGCTCTCCATGCCAAAGCAGCTGCACTATACGAGCGCGCCACCCGACTTTCCTCTCACTGGTCTCCTAGTGTGTCTATCATCTTGTTTTTCAAAAGACCTCTTTCTGACTGATTCCTTGCTTTCATAGCTATGGCTAACGCCGAAGAATTCTTCGCTAATGTCGCCCTTCTAGATTCGGTGATAGATCATTTTACTGCATCACTACGGCCCATCGAGGCAGCAACCAGTCCTCACGTCGCCCGAGATCTCTTGGTCACACATTCATTGGCCAGGGCAGCAACAATCCAGCTATACGCACGTTTATCCGAAGCAGCTACGGGACCGCGAGGAACCAAGAAACTGATCGCTGCAAAAGCATCCGCGGCACTACTGAATAACATCAATCTCAACCACTCCGTGTACATCAACCCGATTCTTGCGGTAAGTTTGAAATTTCTGTCCGATCATCTCCCCGATCTAACGGGATGGAACATAGATGATCTGGACGACAGTCTGCCGAGTGTTGATCGAAGAGCTCTCGCGGCTCCGCCCAGGTTGGACGTCCTCCTTACTCCTGGTTGGGAATGAGAGCGCCAGTGCTGACCCGCTGCAAAATATGCTCGCAGCGCAGGCCCAACTCAATGATGCGCTGGAAAATATTTTCCGGGCTATGTCGGTCTTCAGCCGCACGTCCCCTGTCATGGGTATGCCTCATTTATACTCTGGTCTCTCACCGTGCTGCTGACAATACTGCAGCTTCTCAGCTTACCAAGATCCGCCAAAAGCTCGAGGAGGCTACGAGATGATTGGATCTACGGTTTCGGGTTACGGCTGCATGGTAAGCGCCGGTGTCCCATTACTCCCCCGACGCCGATTGAATTGCACGGACTTTATATGCTCTTTACTCTCTACTAGCGTTGAACATTGTGAATTCTCCCTCCGGTTTCCGGCTCGCCGTTATACATATATTAGTCTGTTATTGTGCCATAATACGTCGTTAAGTTCAAGCCACCTTGGGTGGCACAGATAGGTTGTCCATATTATCTTATGTGAATTATCGGGAAGCGGTGGAGGCGCCTCTAGTCAAATATCGCGGACATTATAGTAGATTGAGAGATATCGGCATCGGATTGTGGGTGCACAAATATTCAACACGTCTGAGGAAGCTCACCGCCACCCCACGGTTGCCCCACGAGATGGAGAGCAGAGAATGGCTGATCACGCTAAATACTTCGCGCGCGTCAAACTTTGCCGGGGCTGCGATTCAGAAAATCGCGCGTCAAGATGGAGTACGTGGTAGGGGGGCGCTCACGGTCCCTATCACTTGCCTGAAACGGACCTGGATATGTGACCCGGGATAAATGCAGAATTAACACTGTAACACTTCGTAAGTGCACTAAATTGATCAACATGCTCTGCATTTCTTTTCAGATCTGAACTGAGACTCAATTGAACAGTTGAAATAGTGGAGTCTAGAAATCCAGGCTTCACGTGGACCAAAATAGCTAGCATGTGCGATCACCAAATCCGAGTTGGTCCAAGTGTATACGTGGCACCTGAAACTGCCGTCCGATATATGACCCGGGGTAAATGCAGGACTTCGGCAACTGTAACACTTCATGAGCACACCAAAAGTGAATTGGGACTCAATCAAATAATTGGATGTGCTGCATCTACAAATCCAGGCCTCGTATGGACCAGAAATTGTTACAGTGTGATAGCGGGACATCCAGCAGATGTGCGATCAGCAAATCCGAGTTGGTCGCAAGTGTGGTCGAATATGCGCCGTTCGCAATCCCATATCCTGAATCATCGGGTTAAGCAGACAGCGTCTCTACAGAATCAGACAAGCCCAATGGGGGAAAGGAAGACGATGACAGAGCATGGCCGGAATACTAGTCTCAGAACGTGTTCCGGACTCAACGGCCTCGCACAAACTTGAATGACGCAAAAGTATTCGATTCTCGGCCTTGGGATATGGTACAGCGCTCGGCATTGAGCTCGGAATGATTCTCACCACAAGATATAAGTACAACATGAATTCTCGCAGAGAAAGATATACATCATCCGTGGGGGCGTGCCCAGTTCGGAACAAAATTGGTGAACATTGGGCTCCATGGTAGCGAAAGCATAGCCAGATACACAGAAGACAGTGGTTGGGGTTGTTCGGGCTAACACATTGAACTTGAAGTTGACACAGTCCGAAAGCGCAGTACGACCAGTTTGATTTCATTCGCCGGATATCCACGAATGTTCATCCACCTACAGCCCCCAGTAAGCAGCCATGCTGTTTCGCTTTTCTCTGTGCCTGCTACCGAAAGAGTTGCACAGGTCCCCAGTGGCACTATATCGATGGCATAAGCTCGAGCGCTCAAGCCTCAAACAAGTTCAAAGCTCCAAGGTTAACGCCGAGACACGTTCGGAGAACTGGACATGCCCGAAGAGAGCTTGCTGGCCCCATCACAGTACGTTCGACGCCAAGATCATGTATGTCATTAGTAGCCTTTGCATGACACAGCTACTATAGTCGTCGGTGATACATGTTTGAAGTTGTTCAAGCTGAGGGGGGTACACGAGGAACGGTTTTTGTTCTTTCAGTAAAACATACCAGAAGACATGACTCAGATCATGGTCTGGAATGGAGAGAAGGCCCATCGGCTTTGGCCCCCGAGTTTCGCCACGGTTTTGCGCTGGTCACGATCCTGGAGATCTTCACTCTGCTTGATCAACAACGCGCCAACTGATATCGATCACATCAGCTACATAGGGCACGCGTTGTTTTCGACCTCGCAGAGCAGCCGTGTGGGAGGGTTCCTGGATGAGCGCAAACTCAAAGCCACCATCGATATCACTAGTACCACTGGCGAGCGGCTTCCTCTGGGCACTGAAGCATGTTGGAGGTGTGCGGATTAGCAATCCGGCATCTACGGAAAGGTCCGGGAAAGGTCCGTAGGGTTAGGATTAGTAAGGACAATGTCTCGAGAACAGTCTGGTAGTTTCTAGTCTTTTAGTTTACAGTATATAAGGAGCTCAACAGGCTTCTATGTAGTTAAGCCAATTTCTATTCTCTTCTACTCGTAGCCCGAGGCGCAGTTGCTTACAGGTTATGAGCCCCGCGCTCACACTAGTTCATATCTAATCTCTCCCTCATATCTTATCACTCGATCTTATCACGCGAGATGGCATCGCTAAATCCCCATGTCAAGCTCCCGACCCTCACGGGAGATAATTACTATGACTGGAAATTTGCGGTTTCCATGGTCATGCGGCGCAACGCGTGCTGGGACGTTGTGAGTGGAAAGGTGTCGAAGCCTGCCGAAGACAAGTTGGGAGACTGGCCGAAGAAAGCGGAAGATGGACTCACACTGATCGGGCTCACAGTCGATCCGAGCCAGTACGGCTACATTCGTGATTGCGCGGATGGACCGGCGGCATGGAAAGCATTGGCGGCGGTCTACGAGAAAAATAGCCGCGTGAACCGAATCGCCCTCAAGCGTCAATTCTACAATTTCGTGCATGATCCCAAGTGTCCGATCCGGGATTACATCAGCGGCATTACCAATTTGGCAGCAAAGTTGAAGGGCATTGGAGTTGCGCTCGAAGACGAAGATGTTACTGATGTCCTTATATTCAATCTACATGAGGACTACTCTAATATCGCGGGCACACTCACAGCCACCAAGGGTGATCTGAAGATAGCAGATGTGACAGGTGCTCTAGTCGACGAAGAAGGACGACGCGGAGGATTGCCTAAAGCGGACGATGAAAAAGAAGTCGAGAATATGGCATTATTCGCGCAGAAAGAACGTGACAATCGAAATCGTAACGTGGAATGTTACAATTGCGGAAAGCGTGGTCACATTGCTCGTGATTGTCGCTTACCCGGTAGGTACAACGAAAAGAATTCGGCAAAGGCCGAGAAGGCGTCGGTTGCCTTTGATTTGCGAGACGTTGCATTTTGAAGGGTTAGGGTTACCGTGGGAATCAAGGGAGGTACCTTGGGAATGAAGCATTGGCTCTGCTGTTGTGGTCGAAGGATCTGGCGGGATGGTAGCAGGAGGCTCTCTTGTCACGAGCATAGGGCTCCCACAGCATATAGCGAGGTATAGGATTTCCAAGTATGGATAGCCGATGAATTTTGGAGATGCCGAATTGAGGGGGTGTGTTGGAGGTGTGCGGATTAGCAATCCGGCATCTACGGAAAGGTCCGGGAAAGGTCCGTAGGGTTAGGATTAGTAAGGACAATGTCTCGAGAACAGTCTGGTAGTTTCTAGTCTTTTAGTTTACAGTATATAAGGAGCTCAACAGGCTTCTATGTAGTTAAGCCAATTTCTATTCTCTTCTACTCGTAGCCCGAGGCGCAGTTGCTTACAAAGCAGAACCGCGGACAACAAAACTGAGCGCTGAGCAGTACAGAAAAAGCAAGAATAGCCCGGCAGCGGGGCTGCATATCCGCCGCGAGATCATCACTGGAACCGGGAAAGAATCACAGAGCGTCACATCAGTCACAACCCATCCGGAAGACTTGGGTACTGCATAATGCACCAGCAACATTTCTACCATTTGTAACGCTTACAAGACCTAGCCAAAAATTGTAAGGCAATACACAGGTGATTTAAATTGCAGCCCATATTGTTTCTGGCTCACAATGGAGGCAAAATATTTTGCCGGAATGGGATCCACGTCACCGCGATACTCCGCGTGACACACTGTGACATTTTGTGATAGCCGTGACACGGGTCTCCAAATCTATCTCATCTCAAGAGACTCTCGACCAACTTCCAGGCATGTTCGGAGCTTCAGCCTCACTCGCGGGCTGCTTTCGATAAATATGTCTCCATCTGACGACCACACTGGGCTGAGTCGAGGTGTGTTCCTCGGAGCCTACCCGTTGAAATTTGTTTTGTCAGCATAGTCCTGCTGTCGGCATAAAAGACGCGAACTCTGCGCTGATTTCCTTCGCCGCTTCACCAATGGCCTTCATCTGTTGACGATTTTACTCTACAGTGCGCTTGTAAGTATGAGGCAAGTAACCCTGTATCTCTGCCCGGAAGTGTGTTCTTACCGACCCTGCGTCGAAAAGAGGTAGGTGTTCTCACTCCAGTTAGTAGTACTCTACAGTGTGCTCGTAAGTATGAGGCAAGTAGCCTTGTATCTCTACCCGGAAGTGGGTTCTTACTGACACTGTGTCGTCGAAAAGAGGTAGGTGTTCTCGCTCCGGTTAGTAGTATGCGGTGCATTTCGTATTTTGTATTCTCTCGTGAACTGTGAAGTGTCGTCACCTTGCTGACACTGCGTCATTGAAAACAGGCAGGTGTGCGCGCTCCAGTTATTGGTATGTGGTGTGTTTCGTTTGAGTTGTGTCGCTTGATTCAAATTTGGGTGCGTCATTAATTAACCTGCTGTTCAGCTTAATTCCTCAAGTTCCTGCTGCAGCCATTTGAAGGCTTGCATGCAACGGGCGGCGCTCAGGTGAGCAATGACAGGGCATGCGGTGCATGTGGGGCTGCAGAGAATTCTGGATGCATCGAGAATTGTCGGTAGTGTTGTGAAATGTTCTAGCACTGCTTAGTCTAGTTTTACTACGTAAATGGTTTGAATGCATATGTTGGAAAGATCTCTGTGCAAGATGTATGCATCTTCCCGGAACATGAGGAATCCCATTATCATGTATATGTCAGTCGAAACCGTGACATATATTTTTCTGCATCTAGATCTGATTTTGTTTATAATGCCCTGTGACTAATGCTGTTGTTATATTGGATTATGTCGTTGGGCAATTGCTCAGCCATATAACCCATCGTAGCGCTGGCTGTAACAGTTACAGGCGTTATGTAGAATACACTCGTTATAACTGCGTTATGGAATCTTCCCGGATTCAGTGATGATTCTGTCCCCAATCTGCAGGTCCTAACCATGATTTGTGACTTGTAGGTGGATCAAGCATTTCACCTTGACCAGCGCTCGCGATGTCGTCCAGACTCCGTGCGTCCAATCACCGCTTGTCGTGAGGCTGATGACGGTGAGTTTGCGCTCCAAACACCGTGGCCCACTCAATGATCCAGAGATACAACAATGATGCATCGAAAGAACTGGCACGGAGAGCCGTTGGTCTGGTTGTGGGTATGCATTGACATAAGCTAGCGCTACGAGAAGTACTTCGATACAAGGTCCCAGAAGGACTTGCAACACGTCGGTGCTCCTTAAGCTCAAGGATATTCACCTCCGGTCCGTCTGCGAGAAAATCTTCGCCGTTAGTCTCTAACGACCTAGCGGTAGGACATCCGCCCTCCCGACGTACGACCAGGATGGGTCTCCGACAGGAAGGCATTAATACACTAGGGTGCAAGTTCCGGAGACCTCCTGCGGCATGTCGTAACAAAGTCTTCGGGTCCGACGACCACGACCACGCACGCCGGACGTCGGATATGCCGTACGTCCGTCGCTCGACGTGATTCCGCTCGTTCCTTCTACCTTTTGAATTCGTTGCGGTGACTTCGTGCACAAAACCGAATTAATGCGTAATGCTCAGTGACGGTCCACTGCGGCCCAGGATCCTTCAGATCCAACTGTCCGAATTTTGTTGGATTGTAGCATTCAGCCCAAGGATGACATGCGAGTAACAGAACCACGGAGCTCTAGACATCCCGGGTCCTAGCAGGTGTGTTCTACATTCCCGCGTTTCCGTACTGCCAGTTGCACATTCACTGTCAGTGGCGGGAATTCCAAATTGCTGCGCAACCTCTCGGACAAGACAAGCCAAGCTTCACCATTTTCTTACCGTCGGATTGTGTCGAGCCTTCGACGACGGGTCCACCTGCTCATAAGCACCGCATCCGGAATTACCTGGAAGGTATTTGGAATGGCCTGAGGCACACAGAATCGGATTCGTCTCACCTTCCACAACCCGCTGGCATCGCGAACGGGGACCTCCAGTGGCGATTCTAGCGTACAGCCGGCATCCTGAACGCCATGACGTCCGCACGCCGCGATGTCATGATAGCACATATAATTGGCACATACACCCAGCACATGAATCCTCTACCACCACACTAGTGATTACAGCGTATACACGTACATTGTGTGAGCGCTCCGGGGCGTAATTGCACCCACTGCTCACGATCCAGTGAGATCGGTGCCCGAGCGAATCGGGATCGGGATCGTGGAGGCTGTGAGCCCTCCGCTGGATGACGTGCCAAAATGAGCATAATAAACGTTCAAGTTGTTACATGAACGCGCGAGTTCAACGTGTACACAAAGGGAGCACAATGCGGCGCGAAACAGAAGGTTTCGAAGTCGGAGCGTAAGTTACTGCGCACCTAACGCATTGAACCCTAGTGCGAATCCGAAGGCTTCGCATCTGGAGCTTCCTGCATATAAACGAGTTGATTCCCCGCAGAAATCCTCACAGCCGCATCATTAATTAATGATATCGATCCACGTCAATAGCTAGTACGAACTCTGAGGGACACGCGCATACGCACCCGTCCGGCGAGGACTCGCCGGCTCCATGAACATGCATACAATATCCACGTGAAGCCCACTCGTCTCGCCAACGGAACCGCTGAGTTGCGACGGGGTATCCACACCGGACGCGCAGCCCATCCACCCACCATCTCCGGATCCCGACGGGCAACAGCAGCACGCACGCGTCCAGCACGACGACCACGACATTGACAAGCCTGCATCACCGCAGTCCGTCGCGATCTCGCGCTACGCCGGTTAGCGCTGATAGACAGCTTCCCGTTCATCTCATCCATCTCGCCCGGGCCCATATCTCATCACCGCCAGAGGCTTCGCGCGTGGCTGCCACCGCGCCCTTCCTGGCCCGCCTCCGAGTATCACTCCACCCGTACATATGTGATCCAGTCGGTGTACATACGTCCAGCAAGGCCTGAGGGGATGATTCTAACTTCAAGACCGCGTGAGCACAAGCTGGCCGGTCTGACGACGTTCGCGCTCGCGATCATGATCGATGCAATGTTAGATGTCGAGTGTCAAATGAGATGTTGGCCGCCATCGAGAACCCCGAACCCCAGAATTCAGAACTCAGAACTCAAAGATGTGTTGGGACACCAGCGAGGGGACGTGCCGCCGGATCGCGCTGGCTGAAATCAACCCAAGCATTCGCAATCGTTCACTATTTCAATCACGAACCGGTCTCTCGAGCCTTGTGGCGCGTCAGGATGACACAGGCGCTGATGCAGGCGTACAGATGTCGCTGGGGTGGTGGAGCAGAGCCAAATGGGAGTCGTTAGCTCCTAGTTACGAGGGAGAAGGGCGACCACGGGTGCCGGAGCACTCCAGCCGTTCGATCACGGCTGGTCGGTCGACTGGCGAGATCCTTATGGCCTGTGATGATGATGCCAAGGCTGATGGAGATATACGTTGTGCATATGTCGCCGGGCTGGGAGAGCGATGGGGTCGCAGTGATTTTGTCTAAGCAGTAGCGTCGAAGCTTTCCACTCGACGAGCAATCCGTTCAAGCTCGGGGCGCCGAACCTTGGGGCAAACCGTCTGAGCTTGGCGAAACGAAGAACCATCGAATCACGAATTAAGAGGCCGCACCGACAGCAGAACGCAAAAAACTGGAGCAGACAGTGACGTCGCGACACTGACACTTGTCAGATCGACTCGAAGACACAAGCCTTTAGCATATAGCCCTGGAAGTGGACACCTATAGGTCAGTCCGCCGCTAAGCAGTGTATAGAGCGTGCAGGGCGTGGACGCCGCTGAGAGAAAGACGTGCGGGCCATTTGGAATGCATGGTGGTCGGTGGTCCGCTGTCCTTCCGGGGCGGAGAACACAGAATGAGCCGGAGACGAAGCAGAAGCAGAAGCGCAGCAACCGCGGGCGTTCCCGATAGCTCGCACTGCGGGACTCTCGCGGGAGACGAGATAAGCCAAGGCGGTCGCGAAGGGGGAGACACTTTCACGGTTCGCACAAGCATAGTCTATATTCACGCGCCAGAACAAAGAGAAGAGCAGAAGCAGGGAGAGCACGGGCGAACCCGATGTCCGCGCCTGCGGATCGATCGCGGGAGATACTGTACTGCACTGAAGGCTTCGGGCGAATTTGCACGATGGGAAGACAGGCAGGCAACTTCACTCTGAGTACAGGAGACCGAGATACGCCACATTGAAGGAGTAGCGTGTCCGGCAGCGCTGAGCGCTCGTGTGTCGCGTGCTTGGGCTTGGGCGGGTCCGAATCCGAGCCGGCGGTACTGCTTTGGTGCACATGGAGGTGGACGCGAACATCGCAAGTGGGGGACCATGAGGCTGGCAGGTAGCGAAGTTGCCTGTCTGTAGTGTTGACCGGTGACCACTTGCCAGGGAACGGACATGTGAGTGCATGTGTATTCAAAGTCGAGGTGCGCAGCAGGTTCAACAAAGCTTCGCAGAAGCGGCCGAGGCACAGCCACCGGCGCGGAGGAAAGCACACATGCAGTTGAAAGGGGGCTGTGGCTGAAGCCAGCGCTTGCACCCTGTGGAAGGAAAATGACGGCATGATCATGAGCATTCCGCCTGTCACAACAGTGTCCTCTGACGATATCGATGGCTGGTGCTGCGAGCGTCGTCAGCAGGACCCTAACTAAGATCTGTCAATATGTACATGCGAGCGGTTTTGCGAACAGGTAATGGCTGGGGCGTAAGCACGGGCAGAGCGTAAGAACACGTACGCGAGGGGAAGTGGGTTAGAGACCCTGATGGGGAAAGTGTCAGAGGCTGAGGATCATGTTCTCGCCATCTGGCATCCGGCCATCGCAGAGTTGTTAGGGTGTAAAGATGATGATGGGTAGTTACCAGAGAGGATCAAAGTGAGCTAAGTAAAGCCAAAGGAAGGCGCTGAAGTGAGAGTGGATGGCCGAGAGGGCCAGATGAGAGACTCTGCGGGCGAAGGACGGCGAAATGTTCGCAAGTCGCTCGTCGCTGTCGGCGACGCTGTGCCAGACAAGCGTGGTGGCGGCGGCGAGATCGCTGGGAGACTTGCCTTTCTGGGGACACAGCCGCCGAGGACGACCGGGCAGGCGCCGGAGAAGCCAATGGGAAACCCCGAGCCACGTGGCGCCGGCCCTGGGCGCTCTGCGCGGGCAATGCCGGGGCGCTCGTCAAGAATATCGATAGCAATGGGACTCCGGGAGCCGCAGTGCCCCCGCGTAACGTTATTCCTGCAGTGCAAGCGGTGCCTTGTTGGACGAGCTAGTGCAAGGACTTGCGGGGAAGGTGGTGGACGCAAAAAAAATGAGGACAGAGAGTAAGGAGAGGGGTGATGAGGGGTGAAACGGGAATCAGCGGAGTGTGAATTGAAAGCCTTGGACGAAAGGCAGACAACTGATTCATAAGGGATCCGCCCAGTGGCAACTCTCCAGGACGCGTCCTCAATAGCCATCGCAAGTCTTTCTTCACTCACAGCCTCAGCACCTTCCCCTCGTCCCCCCCACCACAGCCTTGCCGAGCCTTGGCCAAATATTCTCTCTCTCGACCCCTACAAGTGCGTCGCACAAGGGCACCACACAATGGACCCGATCCTCGTATCCTCGTACATACCCGACCAGCCCGATTTCTCGTCTGAGTTCCAGTCTCCTCAGTCAAACCAGTTCGACGGCTCGCCCAACCAGGGTTCACCCTACGAGTCCTTTGACTATCCCCAGGACAGTGCCCATTTCCCTCACACGCCCTCTTATAACGGCTCCTACCAGAATTCCCCCTACTCGAACTACTCTGACCTTCCTCCCTTTGACGGTCCGGACGACAACAATCTCGGTCTATTTCCCGAAAGCCATCCTTCCGCTGTCAACATCCCAGAGTACGATCCCGTGGATTTTGACGTGCCCACCTCTACTGGCCTCTTGCTCGACGACGGCTTTATGTCCGGTCTGCCAGGTCATCCACACATATCTGTAACGTCCTTTGACCCAAAACCTTCTTCACCGGGCCTATTTGATCACAGCTCCCCTGCCTCCAGTAACGGCGCCGAGGACGACTCACGTAGCCGCGCATCGTCCTCCTCATCCTACGTGCACCCTAACTCCCCCCACATGGATTTCGCCCAGAACTTTGAGAGCATGCGGTTTGACTCCCCAAATTGGGCTTCCGGTCCTCTCCCTCCAATCGACAGGTCGTCCCCTCCGGCCCTCAAACCGCCGTCACCCCCGCAATTGGTCATCCCCGACTCGTCCACCAGTCCTTCTGTTACAGGCATGGATTCGCCTCCGATAATCAATGCACCAGACGGCGATGGTGGTATGCCAACGGGGCCTCAGCTGCACATTGTTCCAGCTACTCCCGTCTCGGGGGGCGCAGGGGCAGCGCAATCAGTTCCGTTCCAAGCCACGCTGGCGAATTTGCATACAGGTGGGTTCGCGTCCCTCACGCGGTCGAATATAGTTAATTTGCTGTCGTTGCCATGCGCGTCAGGAGGATCGCAGGGCGTGCAGCCACCCGATGTCGCGAGCTGGAACCGTCAGTCGCAGATGCAGCTGGTGTCGTCCGCGCAGAACGCGAGATTGGACTCGTCCCAGTTCGCCGATCAATCTTTCACCTACCCCGGATCAGACAACAATCACGAAGTGTCCACCTCGGGGATGGCCTATGGCTCTGAAACGCCTCTGTCCCATCCCGCTGGCCAGGGGCAGTCGCACCAGTTCCTCTTCCCGCAAGGAATGCAGCGGTCACGCAGCCTATCGGACACATCCCTTCGTCCGCCCGCGTGGGACACGCCCATGATGAACCCGCTCGGTCACCAAGGGTCCAGCGCCGGTGCAGATGGAAATAGACTCGGTTCCCACGACGCGCGCCGTCCCGGTACCACCGTCAACATGAACGACGTCCTTCCGGGACCGTCGTCGTCCCCTCTCCTCTCAGGCACCCTCTCGCCGTCCCAGACGCAGCTCCGCCACCCTTCCTCTGCGGGCCCGCACACCGTGACGTTCGGCATGCAGCCTTCGCCGCTCTTGCAGCCCTTCGCGTTCCAGGACTTCCTGACGCCCGAGTCGGCCACCTGCTTGCGGCGCGCCAAGTCGGACAGCATCCGCACTCATCGGCAAGTGCGCTCCGAGGATCTGCGCTACATCCACTCGAACCCGGGGGCGCCGGGCCTCTCGGGCATGGCGAGCGCGAACGGGATGCGCTACCCGCCGCCGTCGTCTTCGCAGCAGGACTTCATCCTTGCCACCCGCCAGTTCTTGCACCCCGCGGCGGCGGCGGCGGAGCCCGTCGCGTCGATCACGCGCGGGTCCCACCAACGCCGCGCGTCGTCTGGCTCGCGCGAGCGATCCCCGGGCATGGGCGGCTGGAGCAGCGGCGCCAGCAGTGCGCGCGCGAGCCCGTACCCCAGCCCGTCCGTGAGTCCGCGTCCGGGGTACGGTGCGCTGCCGCCCGCGGATATGTCGATGCCGTCGATGCAACGCATGGACGGGGGCATGCTCGGCATGGCACCGGGGCTGGGTAACGGCGCGCCGGCAGAGGTCCCGATGACGGTGTCCAAGGTGAATGTGACGACGCCGAGTACGGCGGACGCGAGCCAGAAGCGCCGGAAGCAGCCTGCGAACTTTGCGTGTCCGGTGCCCGGGTGCGGCAGCACGTTTACGCGGCACTTTAATTTGAAGGGTGGGTTTACTCTCGTCGTTGTTGGACTAATTTTTTTGTGTGTGTGGGGCTGACGGGCGTGTTGCTTGCCAGGGCACTTGCGCTCCCACGCGGAGGAAAAGCCGTTCATGTGCAAGTGGCCTGGGTGCGGAAAGGGCTTTGCGCGCCAGCATGATTGCAAGCGGCATGAGCAGCTGCATCTGAATATACGGCCGTATCCCTGTGAGGGCTGCAAGAAGAATTTCGCGCGGATGGACGCACTCAATCGTCACTGTAAGTTGCTACCCTCGTCACCAGCTGCTGTAGTGCTGATGACGTTTCAGTGAGATCTGAGGGCGGCGCTGAATGTAGAAAGATTCAAGATGAGATCACGCCGGCGAGCCTCGCGGCGGAAAACATGCAGGACATGTCCATACAAGCTCAATCGAATCTGAAGCCCGAGCCTGATAGCGGGTGGCCCATGGGCGGGGTCATGATGTAGCCTCTGTTTCTGCCCTTTTTCCGACATTGCGCTCCGAGCATCTAATGGTCCGACTTGTACACCGGTTCCGATTTCGTTCACTGTCCATATCTATAGAGCGCTGCGGCGCCGTTTCGTTGTTTATGCTTTTTTTGACTTTGCTGCACCACGTACACTACACCCTCGGACGCCTTGCGGTTCTTGTGAATATCCTACCAGCCTCGCTCGCTCGCTCTGCTCTCGCCTTCCTGCGTTATGTTCACCGTCTGTTTTTCCTTTTTTTCGTTGTCTTCTCTGATTTGCTGCCCGTGGATTGAATGAAGGAAGTTGATGTTTTCCCCCCTGTAGTCCTGCGTCTGCTGCTCCTTGATTTTTTTGACCTTCGTCTGCTAATACCTCGCCTGCTTGATTGACTGACTGACTAGTACCCACTGATTGTAGCCTAGGATACTGGAGATCGGTATTTATTGTATTCCCAATGCATATGACGAAATATTCTATTATCCCTGCATTGACTCGCGCTCGCCGGCGTCGCACAAGCATTCTCGACACTGCGGCGACTTGGCGAACAATGAGAATGTGATTGTTGTGCGATTCGGAGAAAAAGAATAATCGCGAAGGAGAGTGTGTCCAGGTCGGGCACTGGCCCCGGAGCATGTGCTCTCGGCCGCGGCGGGGGCCCTGTATATCCTCCGCTCCCGCTGCTCGCCCATCTCTCTCCTCGACACCGACTGCTGCACACAACGACAACGATAACGATAACAACATCTCACGCAGCGTACTCGAACCTTCTCGACCTCGAGCACGCCGTCGGTCACGGGAACACGCACCGCTCTCAAGCTCAGCCCGAATTCTAATCCGCACACACTGACACACTGAGCATCGACAACTCTCTCGCACCCGCCTTCGCTTCTTCCTCGTCACCGACCCCACCGCCTGCGCCGTCGACCATCTGCGTGTATTACCAGGGCATTGATCCGCCGCTGCCGCATACCATGACCCGCGGGATCTCGACGCTCCTGGCGTCCCCCGCGCCGTGCACCGCAGCGCCCGCGCGGGTGACCATCGGACATATGTGAGTGCTCTCTTCTTGTTTCTGTTTCTGGGGTCCGAAGGGGGGACGAGAGGCCGGCCGGGGGGTGTAAGGGGACAAGGGATCTTTCGCGTGATGAGTTCTGCCTGTCGCAGTGTTCCGCGGTGGAGGACTGCGTTTGCGGTAGCTTCGTGCGTGCGCTGTGGTCCAGCGTTTTATGCCGGCGCTGGGCGTTATGACGTTGGACCGCAGGAGCTTTAAGTGGGTCGCGCTTGACCTGTGTCTCCGTGGAGCCTCGGGAGAGGTTATATTGTGTTTTGAGCGCGCGCATAGTGCGGGCGGCGTCAGCACTCGCTCAGCGACTTGTATCGGCCCCGTCCAGCGGTCGGACGACGTATGTCGTGAAAGCGTATGGCCGTTGGTTATCGTGCGCGGTGACGGGATGCCTGTTGCGCGTTGCGTGGACGAGAACGCCGGAGTACGGTCAGCGTCTGTACTCCCCCCCTGTTCTTGTGGAGTCCGTAATTGCGGCCTGATGCCTGTAGAAGAGTGTTTAGAGGGACGTTTGTCTCCGGTGGACTGACTGATATTCTGCTTCAACCTTTGTGCCTCAGAATAGCTGTGTGGTCTAGCGTCCACTGCAGTGTCCCACCATCTTTCGCTCATATTGTCAGCTTCAGCTACCGACGGTCAGAATTTGTCAAGACGCGGCGCTGCATCATCATGACGTTGGCATGAGTGTCGAAGCTTCGCCCGATGGGTACCATCAGCTTCGAGCTTCTGCTGGAGCACAGCGTGTGCTATCTGCATGATATCGCTGGTCACGTCACTTGCCCCCTGTTGCTTCACTGGACGAAGTTCATTTCATTTGTGTTGACTTCGCACTTCCTGCGACCGATCCCCCTCTCATCGCCGTTGCATCTGTTCTTTCCTCAGGCTGATTTCAATGTATCGATCCTTACTTTGCACTTTGCAGACAACTCCGCGACGTGCTCATCTGTCCACACGAACGAGGCATCGTGACGTACCCGCAGAACTGCTCGATCGTCGAGCATGATCTTGCGATACCGAACTCGGTACGTCTCTTGCTCTCCCGGCCGTCGGCACCGCGAGCCGCGCTGATGATGAGCGCCTCGTGGCCGCAGACGCCCCGCCGCCTCGCCGACCTCGAGTTTATACCCAACTCCCTCTCCGCGCTCACTCTTCCCGACTCTGGCGACACCCTCCTCGCTGCTGGCGGCCAGGAAGCGGAGCTCCACCTTTCATACTACTCGTCGTCGTCCTCGTCGCAAACTTCTGATGGCCGGCCTGGGCGTGCCCGCGGATTCGGCCGCAAGCAATGGGAGTCGAAATACATCATGGATGAAGCTTCGATCAATAACTCTGTGCTGCTGACGTCACTGAGCTTGACAGGCTCTCATGAAAGCAGCGCTGAGCCCCGTGTGGTCGTCAGCAACAACGACCGCACTGTCAAATTTTTTGACGTCGCCGTGCGCGTGAGCGATGACGATGAGGAAGAGGTACCGCGGCTGTCCGATGTGGGCCAGCTGCATCTTGAAGTTCCCATTAACCATTGTGTGTATTTTGTTCCTGTTCAGTGGTGTCATAAACACTTACGATAGCACAGCGTCGATATCACCCGACGGGCGGACCCTCCTCTGCGTGGGCGACTCCCCCGACGTCTATCTGCATCGCGTAACTGGGGGTGCCCGCATCACGTTCGCGCCGATCGCGAAACTTTCACTTTCTCCATATCTGAGCGTAAATCCATATTTATCCTACTTATCAACATCGACTGTCCCCGCGTCGTTCTCAACCGCGTTTTCGAGTGATGGCTCCAAATTCGCCGTCGCGTCGCAGGAAGGAGTCGTCGCCATCTGGGACGTGCGCAGCACAAAACCGCTGAAGATTTTCCATACGGATCAGACAAGGCCTTCTGGCCGTGAGGGCAACGGCGGTGCCAGTGGATGGCTGTACGAGTCCCCGTGGGACTGGACGAATTCAGGGCGGAGAGCGCCGGGCTGGGGCGTAAGGAGCATCAAATTCAGTCCGGCCGGTGTGGGTCGCGAAGTGATGACTTTTACGGAGGTATGCTGGACATCCGGTATTACTGAATCCTCCGCTGAATGTCTTCTCCTTAGCACACATCACTCTTGCACGTGATCGATGCGCGCACGTTCGACAAAGAAGAGATTGTGCGCGTCCCCAATTTCGATGTACCAGCGGCTCTCCAGCCGTTTCCGTCTCGGCGGTCATCATCACCGTCCCGCCAATCTCCGCCCTACGCTACTCCGGACCCGCCCCCACCGCCCCCACCGCGGATTGTGCTGTTCAGCGGGGCGCTCGAAGACACTTTCCGGATACCATCGGCGGACAGCGACGGCCGATGGCGTCCACGATCTGACCGCGACAGACGACGGGGTCAGGAGGAGGCTGCAGACGAAGATGTCGACAGCATCATCGTCATCCCGCCGCTGGGCGACCGGGAGGTGGAAAATGACGTCCGGCGGTTACTCGGGCAGCATGGTCTGCACTCGCGCTCAATCACGCTGCTCAACCGCGAGGCGTCAGAAAACGACGGCGAGGGCGCTGGAGAAGAGATGGAGGTAGACGAGCTAGAGTCCGACTGCTTCTCTTCGCATACACCCTCCCGCGCGTCTTCACCTGTGCCACCCGCGGCTTCTGCATCAACGTCGCAGCTATCGCTGCAACCCTCGGCAACGCGCCCGCTTGAGCTGCTTCGTCTGCCGCGACCCAGTGTTCTTGCACGTCGCGAGAGCACGGGCCCATATGCTACCACCCATCGCATGTCGGCCGCCGGAGGTCTTGCGCGGCGGCACAGGCGCAGCGGACAGCTGGACGCCCCTATGCCTGATGTAGACCAGGACCTGGCCGGTACTTGCTTTGACCCGTCGGGCGCGTTCGTGTACGTCGCGTCGGTGAAAGGCGTTGCGGAGTGGAAGGTGCGCGGGGCGGAGCAACGGTGGTGGACGGACCCGGGGTTCCTATGAAAGTCTCGTCTCAGCTGATGTGAAGAAGTGTCTTACTCGTCTATCTCGCTAGTTCTCAGTTGTGGACAACGTCGTTGATATGTTTGTTTAAATATCTGCTCTATCCCGGATCGTATACGTGTACCAATTTTTCTCGTGTAGTTTTATCACGACCAGATGTGTATCCTGAGGATTTTAGTTATATTAATTTCATGTCGGAGTTCATCCCTGCTCTCAAACTACGTCTTGGCAATCAGATTGCCAGAAAGTAACTCGGACTCTGGACTTTATTCATGTCGGCAAGATTGTGCCGCCTTGATGTTCCACTCGGAGGAGCCAATAGGAAGCCACGAAGCCGATAGCTTTGGAATCTAACAGGTGCAAACAATCACTCAACGCCTTACTTAATCACCTTCGCCACACTCTCAATCTAACCTCCGCGATGAGCTCGAACGTCGATTCCGCCGAAACGCAGACTGTAGTGAAGAAGCAGAAGAAGCAGAAGCCTGCCCGCAAGCAAGTCAAGCCTGGCGAGGTAGAGAAAAAGGAGGCACCGCAGACTGGGAAGGAGTACAGTGAGTTATCAGCGCATAAACAGCTTCTTTACTACAGTGCTGACATTGTGACGCAGATATCTGGTACAACAAATGGGCAGGAGGTGACCGTGAGGACAGCTACTCAAAGTGCGTAGTAACCGCGGTATCTCACTCACATAGTATTCTGACATTCGGCTAGCAAAACGAAGTCGCAGACACGCTGTAACATTCGCAAAGATTCTGGGCTCACTCGCGCAGACACAACAGGGGTGAAGTACTGCTGCCTTTTCTTCTCGCGCGGTTGCTGCCCGTACGGCTGGGAGTGTGAGTACTTGCACACACTCCCGGACGCGTCTAAAGCGCTGCCCGACACGTCCAAGGACTGCTTCGCGCGCGACAAATTCTCAGACTACCGTGACGACATGGGCGGCGTGGGTAGCTTCACGCGGCAGAATAGGACGCTATACATCGGGCGGATCAAGGAGACGGGCACCGGTGTTGAGACGGAGGAGGTCGTGCGGCGGCATTTTAAGGAATGGGGAGAGATCGAAAAGAGTACGTCGTTCCCCTCATTGCTTCCGTAGCTGGTTACTGACTCGTACTGTCCATTAGTTCGAGTGCTGCAGTACCGCAGCGTCGCATTCGTGACGTATGTATCGGAATCCCACGCTCAGTTCGCCAAGGAGGCTATGGCGTGCCAGTCGTTAGACAATGACGAGATCCTCAACGTCCGCTGGGCGACCGAGGACCCCAACCCCGTCTCGAAAGTGACTGAAAAGCAGCGGCTAGAGGAGATCGGGCGCGAAGCCATCCAGGCCCGAATGGACCCCCGGATCGTGGACGCGATGAGAGCAGTGCGGGCTCTGGAAGACGGAGACGGGTTGGATGATGAGGAGGAAACCGTGGATGGTGAAGGGGAGGCCGAACCACAGGCGAAGAGGCGGAGACTGGAGATTGAGGATGCTCGGGATACACCTCCCGAGGTTGAGCCCGTTCCAAAGCAGGAGCAGCCGCAGCAACCGACAGGACTGCTAAGTGCGGATACCCTGGAGGGTTTGAAGTATTTTGCAGAGATTCGGAAGCGAAATGCACTGGCTAACAACCCAGTAAAGGTGGCTGCTGTGCCACCACCAAGAGGTTTGGGCCTCGCAGACTACGGTAGCGACGACGAGTAATTCCAGTGTTGATATATTGCACACGATGTAGGGACATACAGCATATACCATAAAGCATGCATATGCAGGATGCGTAATGTATGAGATGTCCGTGCACACGACCATGATGAATGTACAACAAATACCACTTATGACTTTTCTTCACCGTCACTCCCCCTATTTTCTGCATCTCCTGACAACCCATCGTTCTGCTCGGCACCCTGAAGATTCTCTTCTTCGGCGGCGAGGTCCTCCACTTCCTTCTGCCTCCGGTACTGCTCCAGATCCCAGTCGTCCTCCTCTCCTTCGTCCTCGTCCGCGAACCACTCTGGGTTGTATGTGAACTAAAGTAAGATCCAATCAGCATATGCCGGCTAATATCCACAACAGAATTAAATATACCAGATCTCTGCCACTCATTCCGCTGCTCTTGCCTGCGGCGGCCTGCGCGTCTTTTGCCTTTCGAAGAGCCTCCTCCTCCGCTTGCTTCTTGTCCATTCTGGTCTGCTTCCATTTCGCGAACGTCTCCGGAGTGACAGGTGTGAGATTGCTACCTAGTTTATGACGCTGATTGACGCAAGTAAGACGACGCACGAAACCAGAGTCAACGGCGATGCGAGACCAACCTCGACCTCCAAGAACTCCTCTAGGCTAATTGTGTTAGCTTTCTCGGCTTCTGCTGCTGCTTTCCGCTGCGATTTGAGCATAAACCCCGGAGGTAGCGCATGTCTGTATTGACATCCGTCGCTATTCGGACACTCCCAGAACCATCCGAACCTATTACGAACGCAAATTAGCACTCGAAGAAAGAAAGATCACCTTAGAGCTCACTTTTCTGTTTCGATGGCCTGAATGAAATGCTTGCACACGATCTGCAGATAGATTCAGCTCGATCAGCTCACATCAGAAGAAGGTAGCTCACGTCTGTCGTTGTTCGCGGATTTCCGCTCTTTGAAAGAATGACTTGCTGCAACTTCTCATCGTCCCAATTGTCCATGGTATCTATGCTTGCAGTTAGTTCCATTGGTCTCTGGGATAGGACCGTCAACGTGCCTTTCATCTTCTCCTCCCGACTATCCTCATACAGATTCTTCCTGTCCACCTTCCTCCCCACGTTCACGTCATGGCTAAACCTACACTTGTCCCCCTTCTCGCACATGCCTGCTTTGTAGAACTGACAAAGCAGCGTCTTGGGGTCGACGCCGGGCGGGATTTTCTGGACCTGCACAGGCTTGAACAGAGCCCCCTCCTCCTTCTTCCGTTTCTCCTCATCCACCTTGGCTTTCTCGCGTAGCGCCTTCTCTTTCTCCTTCTCGAGCACAGCGCGGGACTTGCCCGCCTGCGCCTGCTGCTTCTCTATCACAGCAATCTGCTTCTGAACCTTCGCGGATTTATTTTTCTATAGAAAATCGACAAACGGTGAGCTTTGACTACTGACATAGTGCCATGCATGGCTGACATTTTTCATCCCGAAGGTCTATAATTTCCTCGTCAAGCATAAGTATCAGCTGCTCCCATGGTCATGGCTTGAAACGGGGATACCTTGTCTTCCTTGGGCTTGGAGCCTGAGCTCCCGGAAGCTTGTTTTTTTGGCGGCATTGTCGAGAGCAATAAACGCCAAATCCAGGCGATGAAACCCGGACGAAGTTGCCGTGCGCTTTTCAACACGAAGTTTCTTCACAGTGTGGTGATGATATCACGTGACGCTTATGTTACGTATTCGTTCAGCTCACTCGGCAGCACCCCTCTTTCAATTGAACCTCGCTCAATACAGCTTCCTCCTCCTAGATGCTTGGTGTACACAATGTCTTTTATACATACACCCACTGGGCATTCGGTTGTGATGCTGGTCCGTAATGTGACTAATGCCACCCCTACGTACTCCAATCCTTACAGTCTACATCAACATTTGAAGCCTTTCGCCTTCCTCCTTGTCCTGGCATCACAATTGCCGGCTCTATCACTCATCCATTGGCTCTCTCGGCTCCGCTGTCTACAAGATTTTCTGCTGCGACGTATGATCGAGGCGCTCGTTTTTTGGGACTTTGAAATTTAGAACGATCTTGCTTGAGAAACGCATTTTCTCACCGCCTTGCGACCGTAACCGGCGATGGTATTACTGGTCTGGTCTGGTCCTAAGTGTGCACGGTTGCCCTTACTTCTCAATGCCCACCGCTCAGGTGAAACACCCACGCTCCCGATCCCAGGTGCGCCATTCGTAGGATAGACATCATAAATGTCCCTACCCGACCTCGAGGACGCCATTCTGGATGAGGGCAATCACCGTGTGGGATATCATCCTTTACTCATCGCATACACTGCAAGTGGTGGCACTGAAGAATAAGTGGAACTCCATGCAAGCTGTTCTTGGAATGCCCCTCCTGAACTACTCCGAGGATCAGACTTATTGACCTCATTCGGCGGATGGTGTTATGTGAGGGGTTTGTCTTACGGATTGTGATATTCTCATTGGTGCAACTGACATGCTTCTATGCAGAATCCTGAACATAAAGGACAAAATATGGTCCAGGCATTTTCGATTTGAAGGTTCGCTCTGCTTAGAGCAAGCTATGTCAGAATATGTCTACCTTAATGTGATTACATTTCCCTCAGACCCGCGTGTCCATGTTTGCGACTGAACTCACTCAATCATCGCCAGCTCGAATGTATGGTTTTCGCCCACCACAGCCAAGGCTACTGATGTGGATAGAGTAGCGAGAGAGTATGGGATCTTCTATAATCGGCATATATTGATCCTACAATCGCTTAGAGTACAATGTTCCGGACAGCCCTCAGAGCCCACTGTGAAGATATGGAACCCAAGTGTAGTTTTCACCTCCAGCTTCCGCACAGACTTCGTACAGGGTTGTGCAGCGGACACGCAGCCTCCACTGACCTTTGGGCACCGATTTGAAAAAGGAGCACAAACACGTCTACAACTTGCAGAGCTGCGCTATCGCAAATTGAGCACATCATCTCGGTGACTCTGCGGTAGCGAGTGAGCAACATTACATCTCGGAGCTTCGGCGGTTTTAATCAGATAGATCCATGGCCCGTGTGGATAGGGCAGTGCCAATGATCCCATTCAAATTGCGAGTTGCATGTCCACCTCTCCATTCATCCCATGAAACGTAAGGAGTATTCTCGTTGAGCCACTCTTTGTCCTCTGGTGCAAGTGGTGCACACCTGCTCACGGAAAGGGTTTCAAGGGAGTTTATGGTGGACTGCTGGTGATCATTGGGAATGAAGCCAGAGCTGGCATGTGCATGCTGACAGGGTTGTATCATCGGTCGTCATCTTCTGGCCATTGAGTGCGTACATCCTCCGCATCCTGAGACTTTACTGTGACATCACGGATGAATACGAAGCTTCAAGTGTCGTTCTCGTCAATCTTGCGCGACACAATAATCATTTTGAATATCGTGACGAGAACGTCCGTAGATTGAGGTGCAAGCAACGACGCGCGCTTGAGCATCGGTAGGATTTTGCCTGTTCAGCGCTAGCGGGCCTTGGATATCGACGTCCATACACAATCCATACATGCTTCCCTTAGAATGACTCGTTCCCAGCTGGACCAGCATTAATTGTCAGCTTCAAGCTCAGTGGCACATGAGCAACGTACAGAAACAGACCAAGAACGTGGCGATCTCTGTCACACAGTAAGGAAACACGGGACTGGAATGGCAGTCTATTATGCGCAATGCAAAGTTAGCAGGTTGGTATGTAGAATTTCCAATCAGCAAACAGGCTATATTGCTGGCCGTTTTGCTGGAGAAAAGTCTTGACCAGGAAAACGAGTCCACAATCACTTGAGACCCTCCCGGATTTGTATCCCTGAGTGAATGTAAGGTTTACCTGCCTTGCAATGTCACCGTTTGTCGCCAGTACAAATTTAGTGATAAAGTTTACATGTGTGATTAGGACTTAATAGGGACTCAATTGACCAATTGAATTTGTTACTTCGGCAAATAGAAACTGTGTTTCATCTACAAACGGTTACTTTGTAGTGGGCACGAAATTCATCATTTGTCGGTAGCAAATTTGCGTCGGTCTCGGGTGAATGGTCACGATGATCCAGGTGTCACGGCCACAACATGATGAACTACGGCCTCGTTCCACCTCAGATTGTCGATCTGCCAGTGGGCCCTAACATTCGATGAAACCCAGAAACTGAGGTGCTGACATTGCAATGAGTGATAACGATGATGTGCATACGACAACGTATTCATAAATGCTATGAGTGATCAGAACATGGTGCAATGAAAACTGAAATGGGCATATACGACAAAGATTTTGCCTAAGGAAAAAGTGCGATGGAGATCGCACCGGATAGGACGTGTTGCAATTAGATACTGCTGAGCCACCAAGATCCATTCAGCCGCCAAAATACGAGATCAGAGGGTCCTCTTCAAGCCCGCAATTCCAGTGCCACCCATAGCTCTCGCACCATTGCCAGGCTGAACTTCTCTCCTGGGTATTGCCGGGATAGAACCGCTCATCCCTCTGGATACCGGCGCCGGCAAGCGTGAGGAAGCACGGGGAAGCGCGGACGCGGTACCAGCTTTGACACCGGCGCCTCCGAAACGCGAGGGAGGCCTCAATCCACTAGAGCCAATCCCGCCGAACCTAAACAGGCTCGCCGCTTGTGGGCGCTTCGCTTTGGCTCCACCGACAGCAGCGCCGCTGAGGGGAGCGAAGAATTTCTGGTATTTGACAGCATTCACATGGCCCTGCGCTCCAGTCATCTGGGTGGACGGCATAGGCCTCTCGCCCTGTTGAATATTCGGACGCTGAATTCCCGCGGCCGCGAATCGACGAGCAGCTTCCCTTGCAGCAGCTTCGAGTGATGGGCGACTCGTTCCGTGTACAACGGCCTGCTGCTGGACTGGCTCGTGGTCAGAAAATGATGGAGCGGTCGTCTTAGAGCTTCCTCCCGCAGAAACTTCCGGTCTCTGAACATTCCGGACGGACGCTGCGCGCGATGGGGCGCGGGAAAAATATAGCGCAGCTACGGCCGGTTGCACGGAAGTGGCTTGAGGACCGTCAGACGATGATACCGTACTGACGGGCTTATTCTGCTGGCCATTAATATTCCGCGCACTGGCAACAGTGTGGGATCCGCTGCACGTGCCTGCGCTTGCACTGGATGTGGAAGACGCACTGCTGCTGGCGCTAGCGCTTGAATCCGTTCGACCATGCACCTTCCAGGTCTTCTTGACAATGCGAAGCGCAGGCACGCTAGAGGCAAACAGTAGTGGTGCTGGTGTAGGGTCCGCTGCCTCTGCAGGCAATAAGAGCGGTGCTGGTCGAGCCGCCAATTGCAGGGTGAGCCTGGAAGATATGTCAGCCTTATTGACCGATTTTTGCTCAGAAGCTTGTTCAGCAGGAGCGTTATCAGCTTGCTTGCCTGGAGCAAATTGTGAACACGAGCCATCGAGAAGGTTAACTACTGTATACGCACTGGACTCGTCGGTTCCCAAAGGCATGCTTTCCACTGGGTAAATAACGCTGGCGATAACTTGTGGCATCTCTGATGAAAGTACAGGTAAGTTGGATTCGCAAACTGTGTGAAATAAGACATGCCTTTATCCACCGACTCCACGGTATCCATTTGGGGCAAAGCTGCGAGATTTCGCATGAGCGTAACAATCAACCCATGCCACGGGTTAAGTCGTACCTATCTCAACCAAGTTTCCCTTCGTCTTCTCCTTCCCGGCTTTCTCCTCCTTTTTCTCCTCTTCCTTCACCCGCACTTCCTCAATGCTGTCGGTGTTCTCCCGCTTCTCTTCCTCTTTCTCCTCCTCTATGCGTTCACACACTCTGACGACCGCCTCCATGGTAGCTTCCTCCGCTTCCCAATCAATATTCTCGTCATCAGCGCCTGTCCAGAAGGAGTCCGGACCCTGGCCCAAGAACGAGACCTTGTCGTTCAGAAGATCGAACGACATATCGTCAGACTGCATCTGCAGCCTAAAGGATGATTGTAAGTCAACAGAACGGCGGCGTGGATCATCTAGCGGGACATGATTCGCAGTACATGGTCTTCGTCTGGGAGCGATGCTGGATGTGGAAGGCCGTTGTGTGGTGCATTCCGGTGACGGTTGTGTAGCGGTCTCGGACGGGGACAGAGAGCTCACAACAATGTGAGGGAAAACTTCTTCTTCGATCTCTTCCCTACGCGTCACGCAGCGGGTGGCTAATGGGCTGGGACGTTCCGACGTCGAGATCGTCATGGCGCGAAGGTTGATAGAGTTGATGACCTCGGACAGAGGCGAGCACGAAGGGGCGCGAGTGATTGTGGATGCTGAAAGTGTGTTCTCAAGATGCTCCTCGTGGAGAACAGAAAGGCCAATGCGATTCTCCCGTGGCCTGGGTGTCTCCTCGAGCTTGATCTCTGCCAACGGAATCCTCCTGCCGACAAGGCTGTGGGCAAAATCCTCCTCTAGATTAAAAGACTCGTCCAGTAGTCTTTCTTCCGTAGTACTCCCGTTCTCCAGCGACTCGTCCTCGCTCGCGTTTCCATCACTATCTCGCGCCACGCCCCACGGATCGCCCATAGTGGTGTCACCGATATCGATCAATCGACCCTTGGGTGTCTTTGGGGGAGGATGCTTCTGCGTGTAAGTACGCGTGAAGAACACCGTAACTTCACCCGGTTGCACATCGTTCTCCTTGTCAGAACCTGAGTCTGGAGAATGATCCCGTGATGGCGGGGTGCAGGGCGACCCCAGGGGGTCAAACATATGCAAGACACTGTACCGGGGTTTGGTCGTCTCCATTGCTCAGATGCGGGGGAGGATTACTGATAGAGGTGAGGTGGTCGCGGTGGGAAAAGTGCCAACGGTTCAAAACTTCCTATGGCACGTGATCGTGTCATGCCGTTAGCGCCCTATACTTGAACTCGGAGTTGCTAGGCTTAGAGAGCCATTATAGGAGCTGAGAATGGCCCAAGGCAATATCGATGAGTCCTGGTAATTTTTACGTGGTCTTTATGTTGGAAATTGCCTGACTATGTTACGCAGAAATATAAACAGTGGCGTTGTGGGATCGCGCTTACGACTCAGACCGTTTCTGAGCCGCATCTCTCACATTGACTGGTGCCGTGAGTAACTTGTGCATTTCATGATCTCTCGATATCTGTGGAGTCACAGAATTAGGCACATCTCATGTTGAGCGTGCATTTTCCAGCAGAACTATAGCGCGTCGAGCGCGAAGATGTAATGTGATCATTCAGCTTCAAGTTTTCGCTAGAGGTGAACTCGCCATAGGCCCACGGCTCACCATTCCGTCGGAAAGCTGCGAATAGATGTCCTTATGATTACACTTGACACGGTATGCTATGTGTATCACAAAAGAGAGCACTACGTCCCGAAGTCGACGGTGGTTTATTCCGCATTGTTATGCCAGAGGATATAAGCATCTCTTCTCTGTCTCGTTGATCACGGAAACAGCTGCGACAGCGAGTCTCTCATGCCCATGGGAAACGAACTGCAAACACGTTTCTTTAGACTTTTTCGTCCTCGTTATCTGTCCGCCGCACCAACTCAGGCTCTTACATGGTGTTTTGGTTGGCCCGTTGGCCCTGATCTACTCGGCCTTGTCCTTATGCTCGCGCATCTGACGTGCGCAGTCCTCGTCTCCTCCTGAGACGCCCTCGACTTCCTACGAACCAGCATCTGTTCAGATATGTTATGTTTTCCTATGGCATATGAAGCATTGTTCCGATGGGCCCCCTTCTGCTCAAGGATGGATGGGGCATGGGGAATAGGCTGGATTCTTCTGCTTGAGAAACACTAAGACGGCGATAGAATAACAGGCCATACGATAGGTTTGAACAGCTTAACCCAACTAAACACAATGCTATAAAAAGGCGAAATGTGCAATATGCTGCCACCCTGGGTGCATACACCGGTACCATCTCTGCATTGAATACTGCCAAAACAGAGAGCGCGACATCCAGAGATTATACCGAATTGTAAATTACACCGAATCGAAACCGCGGGACTATGACTACAATTGCACTCTACGAACGAGACAACATCCTGTACATGTAGGTTCCGAACATTGATGAGGGCGCGCACAAGGAGACAAGATCTCGAAGAACGACAGACTGACAGTGAAGAGAAGAATATTCGTGGTCATGAGCACAACAAGATGTGGAAGAAGCACACCAATGATTATGAGCAAGTCTTCACAGCGACGACTCACGGCGTGCTGGAATACAGAGGTCACTCTGCGCCCTAGTTCCTTGCGCTTGACGGCCTCCAATTCTCTCTGTTCTGTGATCTATCTCTCCCTTTGTTCCGCTGTTGGTGGTGGCCTTGCAATCTTGGGAAGAAGTAGAAGGATATCGAAGACATCCCTCTCTTCTGTTTCACGACGTCGGTTCAGCCGCTTAGCAAGTCTTTCCTCCCTCTTCTGCTTGTTTTCATTGCACTCCATCCGGGTAGAAGCAGCTTTGCCAATGCTTGCTGACAAAGGTGGGGAATTCATCATGATAGTGTTTTTATAACGGACGAGGTGTAGACAGCATCAAAGAGGGTGCTTGGAGGCCACTCAGTTTGGTCAGAATGAACACTGATAGCCTTATTGTGAGGGACGAGCATTGTGCGAGTAGGATCAGCGAGATCAAGATAAAGGACACCTCCGAAGTCATGAACCGTCCATTGCCGGCTACTTGGCTGCAAGTTGGCATCGACGTCGCTATTGCGAAGTTGGGTGTCTGTCCAAAGATAATAAGTCAGGCGATCTTTTCATGTTCACGAGCTGTGTATTGGCATACTTTCGGAAGGAAAGCCGTATCTGTATTTGCGAGCTCCAAATGGAGCCCAGGGGGCACCAGAAGCCCGTTACGAGGGTTGTCTATCTCATTGATACAATCACTTTCCTGTGTCACGGTTGCGACCACTGGTAAGTGCTTTGATATACTAGAAATATGTTCTATCAGAATGGAGAACATGGAAGAGCATCAAGTACCATATCGCGTCTTCTTTGGTGTGACCAACATGCATATGCTGCTGAGCGCTATGCAACACACTCTCTATCACGAAAAACAATGGTCTCTCTAAAGACCTCGCAGCGCATACTAGTTGCTGATCCGGTAGGGGAGTAGGGATCAGGAGAGCCGGGGTCCAGAGGAAACATCCTTGCGAGCTCTCCCGGCCTTGCATGAAAGTAGATATGCGAGTTTGCAGGAATCAGAGGCCTGCCATAGTCGATCGTGGGGAAATTAGCATTGTCAGGGTTGCACACTCCACCTTCAGCTTCCAGAACAACTCCAGTGATGAATCGGATCCATTTGAGGAGAGAATTCGAAGATACGGGTCTTGGGTACAGTGAGACATTGTACCTATTCCCATTCCACTTCTCTATCTTCGATGGAGGTGCACACTTCTTTCGATTCAAAGTGAGGCCGCGTCACGGTGAGCTGGACAGAGACGACGAGACCTCCTTCTGCGGCTAGATCGTCCATAGATGTTGAACGGTGACGGTGTCGCGGTCACGTGTAAACTTTGACGGTACGTTGTCGTTTTCACTTGGCAGTGGCAGTACTTACTACTGGCAGTGTTCAGGACATGAGGAAGACACTGTGCGTTCTCGAGTATGAAGTTTGGAGCTGAAGCTTGAGTTCGCAGCGATGAATTACCAAAAAGCCAGTTAGTGCAGGTGCAACATGGATCGAGGTAATCAACGGTCCGCCTGGCCATAAGCGCACACTTCCGAGACATTCTGTTGTTACTGTGCACTACCCGCAACTTAACGTCACTATATATGTACTACCCAACACTCATCTCATCATCTTTAGGGACATGTACCGGCCCTTGCATGTCCCGACTAGCTGCAATCTGCTTGCCCTTGTCCCTGTGCTCACGCATTTGACGCGCCCAGTCCTCTTCTCCTCCTGGGACGCCCTTGAATCCGAACGGACCCGCATCCGCACTGGCCTCTAGTGCGAGGTCGAGGAGCTCGAGCACATGCCCGTTAATTGGGTCTATGCTGAGAGTCTGAACGTGAAATAAATGAAAGCCGTGAGACGAGATCCACAAGGTTGGACGGAACCTTCGCACCTCGTGGTATTTCACGACAGCAGCATCAATATCGCCTAAGAGATGGTAAGTCAAACCCAACAGTGCAAGTGCGGTCTGGTTGCGAGGGTCGATCTCGACAACGTGCTGGTACGCCGCTCGCGCCTCCTGCAGGCGCCTTCAAAGCGGTCAGAAAGCCACTGGGACACTGCAATTCAGAAGCTCACTCACCCAAGTTTGCGGAAGGACGTGCCTAGATTGAGGTACGTTGGTGCCCACGCTTGCTGAGAGCTCTGAACCACCTTTGCCAGCTTCAGCGATTCCTGGAACAGCAAAACTGCCTCTTCGTAGCTATCTCGTACTCAGCTTCCAAACCGAGTGCATGCAAAAAAAAATGTGACACACTTTCCGTGATTGTAAGCCATCACGCCGCGCTCGTTGATCAGCAATGGGTCACCGTCGCACATGAGCTGTGCAGCGTTGAAAGCCTCATCTGCGAGGGTTTGGTTGGACAAAATGATATGTTCCATGCCGACAAACATTAGGGGAAGGTGCGAGCTAAGAGCTACTGCATCAGTATGAAGGGATACCGAGACGTTCGACTAGCTCACCCAGTGAACATCCGCGAGCATGTGGAATATGCCGTCACCGCGTGGTCATGCTCGCCCTCCAACGCGAACGTGTGAGCGAACGCAATCCACGCCGGGCCAAAGCGCGGGTCCATGAGCGATGTCTTACTTTAGCAGGCGTGTTTAGCCGTCCTGGAAGATGCCCACTGACAGAGATGGACACACCTGAAGTACGATCTCGCTTCTGTCCACTTTTTCCGGGTGAGATACCACACACCCACCGCATACCAGCTAATTGGAGACTCCGGCTCTTTCTCGACAAGCTCGTGCGCAAGGAGGAATAGCTTCGAGTTTAGGTGCGAAAGATGGTGCATGCAGGCTATATGTACTGGCATAGTTGGCGCATGCACGTCCACAAGGCCGAGAATTCTGCCTGGCGCGTGAGTGACGCGCAGACAACATGATAGACAGACAATACCTCGTGGTGACAGCAAAACAATCTGCCCATCTGAACTGTGTGTATAGTGCGTCTGCGAAGCTGTATAACACGTCGGGATTGTCGCCTAGTCCGTACTCATCGACGAGGCGCCGCCTAGTGAGAGCATGCTCCTCTGCATGTTTGTATTTGCGCAGTTGGGAGGTGTAGATAAGCTTCACGAATTCTGCGTCTTCGGGGATCTGGTCGCTGTATGGGAGTGACTGTATGAAATCCCACTCTGAGATGGCTCAGCTGATGAGTGCAGCTCGCATCGGTATGGGGATCACAAACCTTCGTCCGGGGTCATCATCTCTCCACGGACGAGCTGCTCGAATGATTCGAAACATTTCACGTCCAGTGCAAGCGCTTCCATGAAACAATGTTTCGCCTTTTCCGAACGGCTCAATTTCAGCATCATCAGTCCGCGTAAATGGCACATCGACGATTCAATCTCCACCGCGAGTCAGTTGGCGAGTAAACGAGTAGACCAAAGCTCGTACCTTGACACCTCCGTCCAAGTTCGGAACTGCAGGACCACTCCGCTCCAACTCACGGAAGGGGTTCGCCTCGCCGAGCATTTCCAATGCATCTGTCCATTTACCTTGTCGCACCTGGCTCTGCGCAGCCAAGTATCTGCACACAACACTCATGTCCACAAGTCGCGATACGCCCTCTTCGAACCCGACTGCGACGTCAATCATCTCGCCAGGGCCCACGGGCAGTCTCGGGGCCACCAGCGTTCCCGTAGCCATTGGCAAGACAACGGTCTCTCTCCCCTTTCCCTTAATATCAGGTGCAGACGGTTGGAAGTGGCCATTGCTCAGTGGTGCTACCGGTACGTTTGGAGGTTTGGGCGGCGACGTGGGGAACGGTCGCGTGAGCAGTCGTTCCGCGCGGGAATACTGATGCGTCAGAAAATACGTCTGCGCAAGCCAAAACGCGTCGTTTGGGTCATCTGCAACAATCGAGCAATCTGTACTGCGGGTCATGAGAATGAACATACTCACTGGTTATACTGACGATCTTGTCGCCCCAGAACGCAGCCGTGTCGTACATATGCTGTAGGAGCGCGTCATGTCTCCACAGACGCATACGATCGACCATCTTCCATTCGTATCCCTCGCCCTCGGTATCGGCGTCGTCCTGGAACACGTCAGTGGTGTCATTGGCGAGCGGGTGTCTGCTGGTCGTCTTTGTTCTCCGCGGCAAGCGCGGTGAGGAGCATAGTGGCGATACAGGGAGAAGTGAACGATTCGGATCCAACGTGAACGAGCGCTGATTTGACGCGGTGCCGCTGTTGGCTTCCACGAATGAGTTTACAAGCGATTGCGGTCCGAAGGACAAGGACGTGTTTATGGAGTGGCGAGGGCGTGAGCTCGAAGGCGACGGAAGTCTTGGGACAGGCTGCACATTGAAGTTGTGTATTGGCGGAGGTGTCGATGCCATAATATTGGGAACAGCCTCTTGTCGCTATTTCGAGTACCTCTATTCAGCCGAGCCTCGAGAATGTTATGTAGACCAATTATGAGATTTTTTTTCAAAGTTTCAAACCTCCAAAGCATCGACAGCCAGACACCAGCCGCGGACTGAGTGAAAAAAATGGGTCGTTAAGACGTGGCCGAGACAATGTTGTTGTGTCGAGAATCGGAGGCGGTTGTTTGGATCTAAGGCTGTTGGTAAACAAAACCATGTGATCTTCATCTTGCTCGCGATCTCTCGAATTTCGTCGATGTAGTCAATTTATCGTTGCTACCTCTCCACCCCCGACAGCAAAAGCCGTTCAAGATGCAGCCAAAAGCGCGAAAACAAGGCAAAGCCACCCAGGAGAAGTTAGAATCAGCGAAGCCAAAATTTACTGAGCCGAGCAGCGGCGCAGCGCCAAAAAGTGCGAAGCCTTCGAAGAAGCGGAAAGAGGTCCAGGAGGAGCACGTAGAATCGGAGCAGGAGCAGGAGCCCGTCGATGATGACGAGTCAGAAGATTCGTCTGACGAAGACGCCTCGGACCTGGACGTGGGCGAGGAGTGGGCAGGGATCGACGTGAATACGCTCCCTACGATCGCGAAGGACGACGTGGTTGTCAAGAAGAAGTTGGAGAAAGCAAAGAGGCAACCGGTGAGTCTTGCTTTGGCTCATATCATAGCCTGCGTTTAAAACAAGCATTCGCTCGATGTTCAAAGACGGGGGACCGCGGTGTGATATACCTTGGCCGAATACCGCATGGATTCTACGAAGCACAAATGCGGTCATACTTCGCGCAATTCGGAGACGTCACCCGACTGAGGCTTTCGCGTAATAAAAAGGTGCCCTTGTCAAATATCCTCCAAGTTCTGCGCCAATGCACAACTGACCCTCTGGCGCAGACGGGCCGTTCAAAGCACTACGCATATATCGAGTTTGATTCCTCCTCTGTCGCCCAAATAGTGGCAGAGACGATGGACAACTACCTGCTCATGGGTCATATTCTCACATGCAAAGTCATCCCGAAGGACGAGGTGCACCCCGAGCTCTGGATCGGGGCGAACAGAAAGTGGCGGCTTGTACCGCGGGACCGTGTCGCGCGTGTGCAGCACAACAAGGTATCCTGCAGCGCTGTGTTCATATCTGCTATGAGCTGACACTACGGTCCACAGTCCCGGACACAGGAGGAGACGCAGAAGGCGGAGCATCGGCTGCTCAAGCGCCAAGCGCAGAAGAAGCGCAAGCTGGAAGAGGCGGGGATCGAGTATGATTTCGAGGCAGTTGCATATGCAAGTCCCGGCCATCGCCATACTTGATTTATATCGAATACAAACTTACCCCTTGTTTGTTACGCAGAAAAAGAAACCAGCGGCGATCGAGACGTAGCCGGTATTATATACTTACCCAGCGGTCTTCCACTGTATCGTCCTTTCGTGATTTCTTCGCGTGCAAATGTACGAATGTCGCTCCGGAATGTCGCTCGACTCCTTGGAGGAGCACAGTTGATAACATGTGATTTGTGAATATCCTCTAGGTTGCGATTTCTATACGTGAGTTGTTCCGCCTTCTTGACCAGCATGCCGAACCCAAGCTCGGGCTTACTCATTTAGAATGCTGGGCACACCGTTATAGTCCAGCCCCGTTCCCACTGGAAGTCTGCGGCATTTCTCGTGCCTTCTCTCAACCGTGCCTTGGCTATCCAGTGTGTGCTCTGGAATACTCGTGGCTGTTGGGCAGGTATCGGATGGTGCGGTATGTACTACGAGTCCTTTCGTGCCTTTCAATTTGTTTGCGCGGGGACAGTTTGCGCGGGGACACGGGGCGGCTCACGGGACGAGATACCAACGATCATGCATACTATGATGAGCAGTCCTCAGTATCCTGTCAATTTGTCAACCGGATTCGTGACAGCCTGAGACGACACCAGGTACTGATGCATACGCACGACGTTCGTAAGGGGACGTGGTACGAACGTGCCTGCTGGTACCTGGTACCGTCCGCCGGACATGTGCATGACACACGATGAATCAGATGATGCTAGGAATGCGACGGTCACAGGTGAACGTTAAACCTGCACGTAGCCTATGTTTTGCCGCAAGCTTCCCCTGCGACGAGGTCCTTCCCGCGAACGTCGAACGTCCTAGGAACCGAGCGGAGGTAAGCCGCCCTTGTCTGCCATCTCGATTCCTAATAGTCGAGAGAAAACACTCACCGCAATGCTGGTGAGTCCGTGCCCCGTGCGATAGTGCCGTCAGTCACAAACGAGGCGTGCGTGTCCGCTCTATACTGCTCCCCATTAGGAGAATTGAATGTCGGGACGGTGCACCAGGAGAATCAAGGGCAATACTAGAGGCTGGTGAACGAGTGTACGTGACTAGCATTCAATCAGGATTCAACGTTCAGTATTGAACTTACCCTCAGCAAATATCAATTAATTTCTGCAACCGTAGAGGGCTGGTCTTGGTCTATCGTAGCAGCCAAGTACTCTGCCTTCTGTATGTCCTGCGCGAAGTCGGCGACTAGACTCGTTTCCATTCGCCCGGGTGCACCGTATGTGCACGCGCTGCGCGCGATTTTGCGGGAGGGAATACTGCGAAAGTCGATACGGTGTCGTTATACCCCCCATACCTGCCGTCCAGAATCGAGACTAGTCGGCGGCGATTGAACACTTTTATGTTCGCCACGTTCCAGAACTAATTTTCGTTTTCAGGTAGAACGGTGCTAAACGTTAAACAACAACGCCGGCAGGGGCCGCATCAAACAACAGCCCTCAGACTCCCGCGCTTGTTATAATCCACTGACATGCACAGGGGGATGATCCAAACGGCCACCCAATTACACGAATGCCAAAAAATACACAAATACTGCTAGTATACAACACCCGCCAGTCTGCCAGTCCGCCAGTCTCGTACCCAAAAACCCGCTCACAAACCCCCCAGGCTGCCAGCGCACGAAAACGCAAAACCAACTCCCAGCACGCCCTACAACCGCGCCTTCCCCCGCTCGCCCTTCCGCTCAATACCCTCCCGGCGGTCCGTCGCCTGCTCCCCCCTCTCGTGCGCAATCAGCTGCGGGTTCTCAGGCTCCTCCTTCGCGCCGACGCCGCGCACCGACTCCGGGCGGTCCTCGGGCGCGACGCGCGACGGGTCCGAGGGCTCCTGGAACCCGGAGGGGGGCACGAGCTCCGGCTTCCGCTCGGGCTCACGCTTGGGCGACATCGCGTGCTTTTAGGTCTACTGGATGGCGGTGGCAGTTGGGGGGGGGGGGGGGGGGGGGGGGTTCGATATTACTCCCAAACGAGATAGATAGATACCTGGAACCCAAACGCAGCGCGGTTCAGTGCAAACCCCGGGGTCGAGTGTAGTACTGAGATCCCGCACCGTTATTATATATCGTGATAGTGTGCGAGTGCAGATGCAAGTGTGAATCACAACGCGGGTCGATGGTTGCAAGAGAACAACAACAACGGAAAGAAAGAAACGAACGAACCGAACCCCTCGCCTTCGGGCCCGCGGGACCTACGTCACCTCTGTCGGCGCACGCTCCAGCGAGCGATCGTGAACCAAGACAGCGCAAAGCGATCCTACACACCTTCCAAATCCGGCACCACCCCACCACCTCCGCGAGGTTTTTCACCGCCACGCCCAACGACCGCAAATAGCTTTGCATTCCACAAGCAATACACGTACTTCCATGCCAACCCGAGGTATTATTCACCCTAACCACACCATCACCATCCCCGGCCAAGCGCCAAGGCCCAAACCAAAAAAAAAGGGAAATAAAATAGCCAAAAAAAATAGAGTGAGTGTGACACACAACATGGGAGGGGTGGACGCGCGCGCGCGCGAGTACTACAACGAGAAACGGTTGGGGGGTAATCGTGGTTGGGGGAGGGGCCAGAAAAAACATGCGTCGTGAGGCGTGACAGTGAGGGGTAGTCAGTATAGTCAAACAGCGACACGGGGTACAAAAAGCGCTCTTCTAGCTCTATAGCTAGCTCTACACGGGGGGCACCGCCTCCGCGACGCCCTCGATGAAGCCCTCCTGCTTCTCGTTCGAGATCTCCTCCAGCGTCAGCTGCTTCGTCTCCGTGATCAGCAGCGTCGAGAACGCGCCCGTCAGCATGAAGAACGCGAGAATCTCCAGCCTACCGCACAGCGTCAGCAAGCGCACACACACACAGAGCAGAAGAAAAGCGACGCACAGGTGCTTCACAAACATATTCGTACCGCCAATGTTGATCATCCGCGCAAAGCCCACCTGCGAGACGACCGCGCCGAGCTTGCCCGACGCCGCGGCGATACCCGCGCCGGTGGAGCGGTACCGCGTCGGGAACGCCTCGCCGGGGACGATGAACGTCGTCGTGTTCGGCCCAAAGTTCTGGAAGAAGTTCGCGAGGCAGTACAGGAACACGAACGCCTTCGAGCCCGGGCCCGTCGAGTTCATCTTCTCGTACCCGAAGCCCATGATGATGAACAGGATCGTGAGCATGGTGAAGCCCATCAGCTGCAGCGGCTTGCGGCCCCAGCTGTCGATCACGAGGAAGGACGCCCAGTATCCCGGGATCAGCCCCCCGACGGACAGGATGATGTTCCCGACGCAGATGTTCCGCAGGTTCGTGTACACCTTCGCCGTGCCGGTGAGGCTCTTGCTCGGCGAGCCAAAGCCGATCGCCTGGAGGACGATGGCAGAGTTGAGACCGAGACCGTAGAAGGCGATCTGTCGGCCAGTCAGACGGAATCATTTCAGAGTGAAAAGCCACGTACGTCGAGCGCGAACCACGAGTAGGACGTGCCGATGAGCTGCTTCATGTTCTCCCACCTGGAGAAGTACTGGATGAAGTCGCGCCTTGTCGCCCGGGGCGCCTTGACGCGCTGCACGATCGCGTCGGGGTCGACGTAGTACGAGCCGCTGGTGAGGAAGTTGTCGACGTCCTGGGCGGCCTGCTTCACGTTGCGCTCGACATCCATGGTGAAACGCGGGGTTTCGGGAATAGTAAGACGGAAATAGAGGGCGATCGCGCCGGGGACGCAGCCGAGACCGATGAGGAGGCGCCACATTTGGTCGACCGAGGCGAGGACCGCGGGGTTATCGTGGAGGAGGCGGTGCTTGTATGCGGAGACGATGATGAAGGCGACGAGCGCGCCGGCTATCAGACGTTCGGGATTAGCGGTTGGAACGCCGCAAAAATCGAAGGCAAAAGCGCACCGAACTGGCCCCAACCCTGGTTGGCGAAAACGGCGGTCATGAGACGCCCACGGGTGCGTGCCGAGGCAAACTCGGACGAAATGACGGCGGACAAGGGGTAGTCACCGCCAATTCCGACGCCCATCTGTGTGCGCGAGTCAGATTGTGCGCTGTGAGGGATGTTCAGAGGCTTACGACGAAACGCCAGGTGATGATGACCGCGATAATATTTGCGGCGTGAGCCTGACCAGCAACGGCCTGACCGAACGTCGCGACGATAATCAACATGAGCTCGATACCGTCTGCATTGGGGGGTCAAACTACGGACATGAAACGGGAGGGAGAAATACTTACACATGCGCTTACGACCGACGAGATCAGCCATCCAACCGAAGAAGAGCTGACCGAAGAGGTTACCGATTGGAGTGGCTACCTTGACGCCTAGGGACTGGTTGGTGTTGAGGACCTGGCCCTTGCCGTAGACGTAGCCCAACATGGTGGAGGCGATGTTGATAGCGAAGATGTCGTAGCTGGAAGGGCGGGATGAAATTGGTGATCGGGCGGAAGCAAAAAAAAGATGAAACGCACGCATCGGTGAAGAAACCTACGCCGGCGACGAGCGACACCCTGACGTGAAACCAGCTGGGATAGCGGGATAAGAGAAGGGTGGGGGAACGACTGCGGAGAAGACTCACGAGAAGGGGGCGTTATCGACCTCTGCCAAAGCAGCACGACGCCTCTCGTCGAGGGCGATGGCATGTGAAGCGGTAGCCTTCTGGATCTCTGGATCAGAGGAATTGGTGGAGACCTTTTCGGCAGTGTAGGTTGCGGCCATCTCGACTCGGAGTCAGCGAGCGGGACGGGGTGGTGGTCGGGCGGGAGAAGGAAGGATGAGGGACAGAAGGAGAGGCAGGTCATGGGCGGGGGATTTTATGTGGAGAAAGGCGAGCCGGGCCAGGGAAAACCGGACAGATCTGATGAAACGGCCTGGAATGGAGCAAGGTTTGAGCTGCCTTGACCGCTTCTGCGGGGTGCACCGCGAGGGGACCAGACGCTCAGTACCTCGCACGTTCGACGCGTCCGGCCAATCATCGCACGCGTCGCGTCTCTTTGGCCCTGTTTGGCCCCCTTTCCCAAAGCGGACGACCGACTTCTCGCCATGCACGTTCCCTCTGCGCTCCCTCGGCTGCTCCTTCTCCCGCCGTCTGCCTCCTCTCCCTGCGCCGTGTCCCCGTCAGGCTACCAATTGCAAGTACTAGCCATTCGTGCCTCGACATCCAAATTTTCTCGGTACCGGTTTCCCCCGCTCTCCTCGGTCGATGGCCCACTGCTCTGTCCACCGCACTCAGCCTCGCCACTGCGTAGACGTCCCGCGACGTTGCTGTGCCTGGGAAGCGTCTCCTTAATCAAATTGCCTTTACCGTTCTGCTGGAGTTCACTTGACTCATCCGTGCCCGCGAGACATGTATACTTGGAATCTCAGGGCTATCTTCTCTATTAGTATCTACCCGTGCACGCCCCCCCTTCTGTGACGCTGCGGAGGATATCAAGTCATATGTGTACACCCCATCGTATCTCGACGCAGAGCGCCACACCGCGAAGCTTCCCGGTAACGTACTCCTCGTCCACGGTACGCCAGTAAGACCCACCGATGATCGATCGTCGAGCTCGACGGTGTGCCTCACCTCTCGCAGAAATAGCCGAGCATAATGAACGTGTCTCCCCCCCCCCGGCTCGCCATGACGCTAGTGGCGTTCCCAGCCGGCGCACCTACTCCTGCTCCAACTCGAGTGTCACGCTACCGCCAGTGCAGCCAGCACTGCCCGACTCCTCTGCATCGGCGGTATCAGTCCCTTTCTGTGTCCCCCGCTTCCCATCCCGTCCATTCATTCCACTTCAGCCAACCACGCTGACAGCAGAATGCGCCACCGCGTGCTATAGCACACTACAACAATTCCGCGCGTGTCGCACACGTTTGGCGCTCACACCCGCCAGGGCAGCACGTCTGCCGAATGCCACAGTCATGCGGTCCTCTCCCCTCCTTCCCTTCCCTGCTTCCTTCGCCCCCCCCCTTCTCCCCTCCACGCTGTCACGATGGCGACCGCCCTAGCAGGCCTGGCCCACTGCAGTGTGCACCGACGTGAAACCCAGGATCCCAAGGACGGGCGACAGTCTCCAGGAGCATCGCCCGCTCCCCCACTCTCTCCAGGTGGACCGATAGAAGCGTGGGGCCCAGGCGGTAAGTATACCAAGGTTCAGTCGCGCGCGCGCGATCTTCGCGAAGTCGAAGCACACCGTGTGTTGCCGCGGCCCGCGCGCACCTCGGGTGTGCGCAGATCGGGGCGGTGAGCAGGGGCTTGAGCTGTGCCGACGATCGCGTTGAGTGTTCATCGACATCTTGCCTCGGGGGGGACGCTCACCCCGCGGGCGATGGGGGCGTCGGCGAGCGCTGAATCGGCACGGTGCTCCGAGCGCGTCGATGATGCGTGACGCGCCGTCTGGCGAACGTATAAGCCGACTCTCGTCGGCATGATGCTGTCATCTTCAGGACCCGTGCCCAGTGCTGGCTCGCTGCGGTGGTTTCCAGGACCAGAGCGCGCACCGCTAGGTGCCGCCTCGAATAATCACCGTGCGCCTCTGCCCAGTTCTAGTCCGTATGTGCGATACCTTTTCGGCACGCGCGCTGTGCGGCCTATCGACCCTATCTGAAATGTGCGATGTCGCGCGCCCGCTGTCCTCGGATCACGAGTATCGCTGCCAATCATGGATGCATGACGCAAGGCATTGGTGGCGCATCATCTCTGTCCACATCACCCGCTTATCCGTCCCCCACGCCCCATCCGAGCGTATACGTCGCCACTTGGTGTGCGGCATCCGCATCGGCCTTCGAGTACGCGTCCGCCCTTCAGTCCGGCAAATGGCACGTATTCAGCACATGTACAGCGCGACGGCCGTTGGCCCAGATCCGTCAACGCGCCCACCGCCCGCACGTTCGCCAGGCACACCGCCTGTGAGCCACCGCTCGCTGCTACCCCACTCTGGTGGTCCCGACCTTTGCACACCGAACTGGCGAGTGGGTGCACCGGCTCTCGATGGCTGGAATGGACTGCGGCGGCGCGGATGTATCTGCGATCCGAGACCGCAGCGCAGCCGGACATGTGGTGCATTGTGGACCACCCGCTCGCAGCGCGCTACATAGTATTCGCTTCGTCCGCTCTGGACGAAAAGTTGTGCGTTTCTGGATTGAGTTCAAGGCGCGCTGGGTGTTTCCGTTTCTGAGCTCTCCGTGGAAGAACCGAGGGGCTCTGCGTAGAAGGGCGCGGGCGCGGGCGGGGATAATTCTCGAGCGCATCCCCTGCTGCGAGCCGTCGTCGTTCTGGTTTCTCAGAGTCCAATGCGAACACGCGTCATGGGGTTGTCTGTGTCTCCAGGTGACGACGACTTCCTGGAAGGAGGTCAGGTCGTATTCAGGCCTGGCGCGGTGCGCTCGCGCTCGAGTCTCGATTTCTCAGAGGAATGCCAGTCGAAGGCAGGCTGGAAGCAAAAAAATGCATTTTTTTCATTTTGCAATCGATCGTGATCATCAGCTTGCACGCATGTCGAACTGGTGAGCGAGTGCCAGCTCTGGAATGGACCGCGCCGCGGATGTTTTCGTGCGATTCGAGACCGCAGCAAGGCCTCGCAGCCAGAACTGGTCGTGTGTGGTGCTATGTGGACCCCACCCACTCGCAGCAACCTACTGTACATAATGTTCGATTCATCCGCTCTGGAGGAAAACGTGTGCGTTTCTGGAGGGAGCTCAAGGCGCGCTGGGTGTATTCGTTTCTGAGCTTGCCGTGGAAGGCCGAGGGCGTGGGCGAGGGACTTCTCGACCGCATCCACTGCTGCAAGCCGTCCGCATTCTCAGAGTCAAATCGGGTTATCTTTGTCTCCGGGCGACGACGACTTCCTGGACGGAGGTCGTATTCAGGCCTTGCGCTGTGCGCTCGAGTCTCAAGTCTCGATTTCTCGGAGTCAAATCAGGTTGTCTGTATTTCCGGGCGACGACGACGTCCTGGACGGAGGCCGTATTCGGGCCTAGCACGGTGCGCTCCGCGCTCCAGTCTCGATTTTTCACAGGAAGCCAGTCGAAGGCAGGCAGGCCAAATGCTTTTTTTTCTCCATTTTGCAATCGTGCGGCCGCGATCGAGATGGCTCAGGCGCGTCGACGCGGAACGTATCCTCCGTCCAGTTACGTTGGTGCAGATCCGCTTCGGGAGCCCGAGAGTTGACGTGCGCTGTCTGTGGAACAATCGTGAGTATGCTACATGTAGCCACGCCCTTCATTGACATCATTTTTATTCCCTTAAGATGAGTGCATAGCTTGTGGAGGACGCTCCGAGCACACCGATAGCCCATCCACCTCGCCTGCCAGAATAATTCACAACGGCGACCGCTGACCATAAGCACTACGTGCGCGAACGTTTCCCCATTAGTGAGTGCATTATGTCCGTCAGCTGATGCGGGCTATGTATATCGCCCTGTGCCCACTGACTCTCCTCGGAAACCAAGTATGGCTGTCAGTATCTCACTGCTGTCAATCGTAATGCAATGCGCCGGTGGTGCACCTTTTTTGTCCGCTTTGGAACCATGTTCACTCGCTCACCGCATGTGCGGACAGCCTGCACTCTACACAAAAATTTAGTTATTCAGTTCGCTGTCAGCAGCGGTGCATTGCAACTCGCAGCGCCCTCGCATACCGCTCCGCAAGTCTCGACAACATGCGAGCCACGAATCGCACTCATATTCACTGATTCAAGTCCAAATCTATCGTGCGCACGTTCGTCAGTCAGTCAGTCATTTGGGGCCGCATAATCTCCCCCGAGCCGCATCCCCGAGTCATCATCCATTCGTCCCTCTCAGACTAACTCTTCACAGGCCTCGGCGGTCCTAGTTTATGAATAAGCCACCCCCCGCCTGCCGCCGGCTCGGGATGCGCTGCCTGTCCGTCACCGGTGAGTGTTCGAAGTGTATTCGATGGCTGGAACGCTGTCCACGGTTGTCTTGTTCCCTTCGAGATTTCAGGCTTCATATATGTGGCTCGACGGTCAGCATATTCGTCCGCTCTGGAAAGCCTGCTCGTTTTCTGGGGGCCCATCCCTTGTTTATCACTGACCTTTCGGCGGGATTTGCAGAAACAAATTGCTCGAGTTCCGCGGGCGAAGCAAAATATCGACTCACCGCACATCGCTGTATCATCGATGTTGCCGCCTTCCAAGGACGACTTCCTCGACCTGGGTTCGCTCGCGTGCCAGAGCTTGCCCAATCGATTCGCCTCTCGAGCCTCGCACTGGTCAGGCACGGAAGCGATATTGAAGCGTTTTGCATTTTGCAGTCATAGTGCGATCGAGCCTGCCCGCAGCTGCAGAGATCGAGATGACCTAGGCGTTGCAGAAGGACGGAGCTAGCGGCTTTTCTGTGCCTCTGCAGCTGCTCCGTGGACTAGGTGGTTGCGCTGGCTGAAAGCGCGCGGGTGCTGCCGGGTTTGTTGTGTGCGTCAAATTCTGCATTCTGTGTCCTGGGGTGGGGGCGTCTGTGCCATAGAGCGAACTCGAAGGAACGTATATATCATCTATCCGTGTGGTCTTCTTGTCTTCACTGGCAGATTGCTACGGTCCCTGAACAGTCGAAGCTCGACTATTTCGAGACATGCTTCCGTCGTGCTCCTCTGATGTTGTTGTCAATGCGACGTGGGCCGCCAACAAAATTTCAACGGACGTATTGGATGCTGAGCGACGTGCCGCACGCCGTGGCCTTTACCCTCGATGACGCCTTCGATCGGGCCCACTGGGGTAGACCCCCCACACTCCTGGATGCCAGACTCAACGATAGGCTCAACCACATACGGTTCTCCCGACGAACATGGGCGCGCTCGTGCGGCCGGGGCCAGCGGTTTGGAGACTTCAACAGGGTCTCCACACACTTCGGTGTGTCTTGATGCGAGGTACGGACATGCAAGTAGCAGTCATTAATTCCCGTCTGCTCCTTGGCTTCTCTTCCATTTTTCACGGTATTAGTGTCATTGATGCGAGTCGGTGCATACGCGCGCCCGTAGTTTTTGAGCGGTCCGCCTCGGCGTTGTGCGGGGTGCGCGTGGGCCCGCGGTCGAGCACGATGGTCCGCAATTTTTCACATAACCTTGTCGGTACCAGAACTTGCAGAAAATTTGCATCCGCCAGCTGTAGAACAGAGGCGCAGTAACGCGAGCCTCGAGCTCGGGCTTGGTTTTTCAACGTTCTTGAGGTGTCCGGATATAGAAGGTCGATAAGCTGAGATCTCATCGTGATCACACACGTTCAACGTTCCAGCGCCGGACTCGCGTTATCGAAATTTTCCGGGCCCGGTGCCTCTCATCAAATTGTCTACGACGTCGACATTCGACAGCACTGCGGAACTTAACACGCGTATTTTCAACGTCGTTCGACTAGCGGCCAAGACTTCAAATTCCAGAGAAAAAAAAAATACAGCTATTTGCCAGTACGCCCGTTTTGCGTGAGATCAATGTGACTTCTAGCCTAAAGTAACTGAACTAATTCCGTCAACCGGCCCAGAAGCGGCGGTGGGCATGGGAGGCTGCAGATAGGTGCATATGATACCTTTGGACGAATGTGCAAACGCAATCCATGTCTGAAAAGATGAGCACCCTTCTGGACCCTCTCGGTGAGACGGGGTGGGAGAGATATTCCGTTATGTCGTACGTGCTTCCTCATGGACGTTGACGACGTCTGATGATGATCTGTATGTGGTATTTACCAACGGAGCCCAAGGTTTGTAGTGCGCACTATACGGGCAGAACTATCACGGTCACGCCGGTGAACGCGAACGTTTGAGATCAGGCACCGCGGAGGGAGCCGGTCTACGGGAGACGCCCTGCGAGTGGTTCCTCATTTCCTCAGGCTCAATATAAGTATGCCGCATGCCGCCAACCCGCGCTCCGAATGCGCTGCGAGCCTCCACCGACATAGTGTCACGCCGCGCGATACCCCTCGGGCCTGCGCCCCTCGCTCATGGCAACGTCCCCCATCGCGGTCTCGGCGTTCACCCACACCTCCGTGTCGAGCGACTTCCACATCGCGCGACAGTCCAAGGATGGCGCTGTCTCGTATCTGAGCGACCAGCGTGCTGCGCTCCTCGCTGAGATCGACAATGCCAAGTTTTCGTGCGTCACTTCTCGTCACGCTGCCAATCTTTCAAGCTGATAGTTGTGCTGGTGATGCCGCAGATGGTTCCATGTCAAAGTAGCGTTTGTATCTGGCGCAGGCTTCTTCACTGACGCGTGAGCTTGAGCGTGTTTCTGAACCTTGGACTGAGTTTGTGACTGGTGATGCACTAGCTATGACATATTCGCGATCAACATCGTCTCGTCTATACTCGGATACTTGTACGGCTCAGGTATGTCATGTTTGCATTTCAGCGCAGCACGTGTCTTAAACGCGACTATTTCTAGTCGATGCGACGGATCCAAACCTAGCAAATCGCTCGTTGAGCTCTATGCAACAGCTAGGCATCAAGATCGCGACGCCTGTGGGCATCCTCGCTGGGCAGTTGATTTTCGGCTGGCTCGCAGACATAATGGGCCGCAAGCGCATTTGTGAGTGCTCCACAACCAAACCCCACCTCCTCGCGATTGACGGCACGTGTGATCCAGATGGTCTAGAGCTCATCATCATGATTGTCGCGACTCTCGGTCAGTGCATATCCGGTGCGGGCTACGGAATCAGTTTCATTGGTGTCCTCATCACCTGGAGAACTATAGTGAATTATACGTCCATTCATCCAATGCCTTCGCACTGACCATGGGTTGATGCAGATGGGCATAGGCATCGGCGGTGACTACCCGCTCAGCGCTGTAATCTCATCTGAGTTCTCGTCTGTCCACATTCGGGGACGCATCATGACTGCGGTCTTCGCCAACCAAGGATGGGGCCAACTTTGTATGTCCTGCTCTCCGCGTTCCAATATGTTTGTTCACGGTCTCCGCTGCAGCTGCCACGCTCGTTTCCCTCATCGCCGTCCTCGCATACAAGCGCACACTCGACACGGACTCACCCACCTTCCTGCTCCACCTCGACCAAATATGGCGCATCATCATCGGGTTTGGCTGCGTCCCTGCGTCGATTGCCCTGTACTTCCGCCTTACCATCCCGGAGACCCCTCGCTACACGATGGACATCGAGCGCAACGTCCAGCAGGCCGCGGAGGACGTGGATATGTTCCTTACCACTGGCACGTACACCGTCAACCCCGACGCCGTCACGCACCGCGCACATGCACGGCGTGAGGTCCAGTCTGACTTCAGGTCGTACTTTGGGAGATGGGAGAACTTCAAGGTTCTGCTGGGCACATCTTACTCGTGGTTTGCGCTCGATGTCAGTCCACCATCACACCCATCGGACGTTTGTGGATGCTGATGTCCTCGCTAGATTGCATTCTACGGCTTGGGACTCAACTCCTCGGTCATCCTCAACGCTATTGGTTTTGGATCACCCGGTAGCCTTACTGCCACCAACGCCATATACGTGAGCATGAAGAACATGTGCATCGGGAATCTCATCCTCTCCGTGGCGGGCTTTGTCCCCGGTTATTGGGCGACATTCTTGGTCATCGACCGCTGGGGCCGCAAGCCCATCCAATTCTGGGGCTTCGCCATCCTAGCCGTGCTACTGATCGTGATGGGTCAGTTCGCCTTGCGCTTCATATTGCCGTTATCTCACACTCTCCTCACTTCAGGGTTTGCGTACAGGAAACTGGTGGAGACGTCGAAGGGATTGGCGGTCTTCGTCTTCCTCTACTGCCTCGCGAACTTCTTCCAGAACTTTGGACCCAACACGACGACGTTCATCGTCCCCGGCGAGGCGTTCCCGACGCGATATCGCTCAACAGCCCACGGCATTTCTGCTGCCAGCGGAAAGCTGGGCGCCGTCATTGCGCAGGTAGCCTTCCAGTGGCTCAAGGACATTGGCGGCCCGAATGCATTCATTGACCACATGTGAGCTCATCGGTATACATAACGCCTGTATTGGGGCCTGCTCACACACGCGTCGCGATTTCTTTCTGCAGCCTCGAAATCTTCAGCTTCTTCATGCTCACTGGCATGCTGTCCACATTGCTCATACCCGAGACGAATCAGAAGACGCTGGAAATCCTGTCGAACGAGAGGGACTCTACAGACTCGTACACCGGGGGTATGTCTACCCTGCACGTTTTGACACCAGTTGCTCACTCTTCTTTGCCCGATGTAGAGCTTCCACGCACTCGCCTCAGGAATGACTTCAGCAACAACCTCAGTACTGATGAGTTCCGGATGACTCCCATCAGGCTCAATCCGCTCGAGAGCATGCCTTCCTCGTCCCAATCTTCTCCCGTCGAGAAGAAAATCGGGGACGGTATTTTGAGCTCGCGGCGAGTACATTATGACATATTTGAGATGGTCTCTTGATCATGGTCCTGTGTCCCTTGTACTCACTTCACGTTGTGTTGTATCCCTTATTCTGTTGCAGTTCTAGCTGGACTTGGCTCTCAAGATACGGTTCACCTTCGTTTATATCACCTCTCTTTATCGCACATGCTTGGTTATTTTCGGTGTAGAAGCGAAGGGATTTTGGCGATTTTCTTGTTATACATTAGCTGTGGTAAATGTAAGTACGCGATGTAATTGTGATGTAGTAGACCAAAAGCAATAGTACAGTGTTAGAATCCACTGGCACCGATCATCCTAGGGAGTGGGTGAGCATTGGCGAGCAAGCAACCTAAGTGAGATTCCTTCGGACAGCGGAGAAGGCAGAGCATGTGGGTGGTCGTCAGAAGTACGACTGCATAAGGGAACCCCTTCGCATGGTATCTCGCTGATACGTATAGCAGCGCGGGTCGTTCTCATGCACCGGCCAGCTCCCCTCATACCCCATGGCGTACCCTGCGCTCTTCCCACCCATCCCATGAAAGGGTCTCCAGAACATCGCCGGGGGCCGAGGACGAGGGACATGAGGTTTTCTGCATCGTTTTCTCTTCGGTTCAGGTAGACCTGGAGTTGTCACGTCGACTACTGGACACAATACTCCTTGCGCGGGTAGGGAATGCGGAGATGGCTGGAAGTCCGCGGGTGGCAGGGAGAGCGCGAGCTTTGGTTTCCTCGGCGGAGGTTTCTCCCGTTCTACTACCATCATGATTGGCTCAGGAGTTGCAAGCTGGGCTTGGACGTGAATGACTTTCTTGTGGTCGTTCTTGGAGGGCTGTGAATGCAGGAGAGTGAGAAGCTGAAGCTGCCTTATAAATCGGCACATACAAGATATGTCTGCTTGGATTCTGCCATAACCCAGTCAAAATCTACTGCGACAGCTTGAGCCTGTGCCCGCCGGCGTTCAGCCTCTATTTCGTCATCCTCGCAAGAAGGTTCCTGGACTCTGCACTAGTTCAAATACTGAACAAAAGAGTGAAACGGTAAACTCACACTATGGCTGGGGGAGGCTTTGGTTTGAGAAGGATAGATTTGGGGGGAAGTGCACGCGAGACTAGGCGGAATGCTGCATGTCTGCTCAATGAAGTGCAGATGTGCGCTATAGAAAGCTCGACATACGGAGAGGAGATGACTCCGACAAGTGCACATCGTCTGCACCTATTCGTCGCTTTTTTCTTCTTGGAGTGTCGTGCTCTTGATCACGAGGAGAAGTGGTCAGGTTTCCGAATGATCTCTTCAGCAATCCTTCCAGCTGTGCGATCATCTCTGTGCGTTCTGCTCCCTCATAGCTTGGCGGATGGTCATTGTCCTCTAAAGCCAAGCGATCTACCCTTTTAGTGGCTTGAGAAAGGGTATGCGGATTGGAGAACTGAGGAAACATTCCAGAGGTCGTGCGCGTTTCGCTGCCAAAGTCCGTAAGCACGTGGAGGCGTTGTTAGGATCAGAAGCTCTTGCCAAACAATCACGTAAGCGGACGCGACGCAAGCCGATATGGCAATCGATGAAGGTGTGGCGTTATTTACGTCCCGGAAGCCAGATCACCGTAATTTTTTTCGGTGTTATCGATGTGATAATCTTCTCGTGGTTGCCGCGCACCCCTTGACTCTCAACCACCATCTCTCTTGCCTGCGTAGTTTTTTCTCGTTCTGCAAAGCGTTGGTCGACGCGGCTGCGCTCAAGTGGTCTGTGCAGAAGAGTTGCGAATAGAGACTGCACTTCCTCGCTGGAGTACATCGCGGAATGACTTTCCGCATCGCCCATTTACTCCGGCGGGAAGTTCTTCGCTGGGAAGTTTGAATTACGCCTCTCGAACTGGTCTCGCAAATGATTGCAAGACGTTGTCACTTGTCATGTCAATGAGTTGGTGAAGCGGACGTCAATGTTTACAGGCGAGTCTCTCCCGCTACTGCTGTCTCATTTTTCGACCTCGCAGCTTGCAGCATCTTAGCGGCGACACATTCATGGGACTGGGGTGGCTCAATCCGTGCACCGTGCATTGAGGAAATTGTACGTTCTCATGGAGCAGTTTTCCAGGATGTGGTCAGTGTCAAAAGAACACAATCAAAGAGACAATCTACGTATGCGCAATTGGCACCGCCTGATATTCTGGTAATGCAACATTTTTGATGCTGTGCTACCGCTCGTGTGGACTGTCGTGCCGAAATATTTGGCGGAATGTGGCGCTCGGCTTGCTGTTCTCTGGCAATAATCCTGGTTCCGATGACTTTCCTCTCATTTCCGCTCTCTCTCCTGTGAGTCCTGTGGTTAGCGTGAGCTGCTTGCCATGTGCACCCTTGACCACTCGCGGTCTTATTCACATCTTCCGGCCACAAGTCCATGCGCCATGACACGTTGTGACTCATCTGTGCACGACACCTCTCTCCTTCGTTCCCTAGTGTAGCCTTCGTCGGTGTCGAAGTGGTTGTGCTCAGATCCCCAAGAGTTGATCCCTCAGAGATCTGAGCACAGCCACCTCGAATGATAGTTGCTTGTGAGTCATTACGCTTCGCTATTTCAAACTAACCGTCTCATTCTAATTGGGCGTTGCGTATTGCAGGCGCACCATGGTCCGCCTGTCACGCAGTTATGACTCATGTCTGAGATCTGGAAGTCGTATCGCCTACATTATGACTCGTCTGTATCGCTTATAAGATGACACCACTTGCTCCTTCCTTCGTTCGTCCGTGTTACCCCGCTCGCCTTACCGAGTTTCCCGCTTCTTGAATATTCTTGCAACAGTAGTTGGAAGAATATGCATGCAGCAGGCCTACGCCAGTCATAAAGACCCGTCCTTCCTCCTACCTTTCTACAGCTTGGCGTTCAACAGCTGGGAAAGGATGATGAAGAATAGGCTGAACTCCTGGCAAGTACACACAAGTACATGGCGGCTGACATCAGCTGGCTGGATTTCTGGCGAGTACACACTAGTACATGGCGGTTAACATCAGTCGTACCCAAGGTAGGCAATGTGGAGACTGATGGCAAGAAAAATACCAGTACACTAAAATAAGAACCGGATACGAAGAAGCACCAAGACATTGTCCTAGGCAGTGTGGGTTTAAATAATAGCAAGCAGGTCGTCCCGTTAAGGTGTGTGGTATAGTGTCTTGACTGCGCTCCGTCAACTAACGCTCACTTTCACCAGGAAGTGGGGCGACTTACAGGTCTCCACTTAAATTGAGGCTCTCAGCCCCATCGCGCGGGCCCCAGCACCGATGGCGCCCTCCCAGCCCAGGAACCTCTCGCCAGTGACCTTCCCCGGGGAGCCATACGCCTCCTCGTCATCCACCCAGGACTGTATGCTCTTCGCACGGGCCCACACTGAGATAAACAATATGCGCTTCAGCTTCCGGTTAAGGAAGAACCAGTGCGAACTCCAGAGCAGCGCACCGCGGCGCTTCATCCGGATGTGCATAGGCGACATCGAGCGCGCGAGGAGGTCGTCGGAGTCCTCGCTGGACGTGGTGACAGTGCTCCGCCAGCTCGGCTGACGGCGCACCTCGTCGACGTCGTAGTCGTCGAACTGGAACGTGGTCTCTTCGTCATCCGTAGAGGACTCCGCGTCTCCGACGGACGCTAAATCGTCCTCGTCGTCGGAGAAGTCGTTCGCGTGCGGGTCGAACTCGATGTCGGGCGAGTACGAGTAGACCTCGCAGTCGGAGAGCCCGATGACGTCGTTGAGGATGCGGTAGAGGGTGGGGTGCGTGCCTGACACGGCCTTCGATGGCGCGTGGGGGCTGGGCTTGAAGTAGTCTGAGGGCGAGGAGGACGTGGGCACGGATGAGGGGAAGAAGTCGGCGGAAGTCGGCGGGTACGCGGAGTATGTCCGCGGGGCCTGCATGCCGGCGCGGTGGGGTGATGCGAGGGTGGTGCTGAGGGAGTTGAGGACGCTTGCGCCGCTCTCCTCGCGACTAAAGTGCCAGGGACGGACGTCGGAGAACTCGTGGTCGGGGAAGGCGACATTGAGGGTGGCGATGAGGAGGTAGAGGGTCCTGCGGGAGTGCTGCTCCTGCATGGGTCCGAAGGGGGTCATGTCGGGCTCGCGGTCGAGCGCGATGAAGGACGGGACGGGCGGGGAGTTGGAGAGCTCATCGTTGTATGCATTCTCGAGGGTGCGGAAGAGCTTCTTGTCGCGCTTGATGTTCTTGCAGCTGTACGCCTCTATCCGCGTGTGGACAGAGCATTCCGGGCCCTCGTGGGTCAGCGCCTGCGCGAGCCGCTCGAGCTCGGGGACTTCAATATATTTCATTACTAGGCTACGGTGGGATGGTGCTCGTTGTGGCTGTCGTCGTCGTCGTCGTCGAGGTTGGTGTCGGTGGCGGGGTTTATGATGTGAGCTTGACGAACCAGAGTGGAGGAGGTGCGGGTGATAAAGGAAAACAGGCTGCTACCGCGGGGGCACATGACGTCCCCTACAGGACGTGCCGCTCAGCCTGAGGCTCGCGCACGTTCTCCTCTCCGAAAGAAATTAGCCGTCATGTCTTCCACCCACGAGCATACACTTCAGTCACAGTTTTGGTAAACGAGCAACCTCCTGCGCACGAGCCCATGACGTTTTCTGGCAATATATCCCACCCGCTTCCTTTGTTCTATGATGTCAACTTGGAATTACAGAAGTAACGGCATATGGCATGAATTCTTCCTTGGATATTCCTATCTAATAACTGAGCGGCCGCACGGAAGAGTTGCACACAGGGAAGTGCCTATGATACAGTCAGCCGCGCAGTAGGCGGAAATCATACACGGCTCGGTGCTAGAGCACGGAGCCCAGTCTGCAGTCCGCTCGACCGTTCTCTGAATGGTTCTTGAACGATGGCTACCGCATTTATTTAAAAATGAGAATTAGATAATTTCGCTTACTGTAAGTACATGCTCTTCGGAAATGCTCTCATACACCTTTTGTGTACCAGCACCTGGGGAATGTTACACCTTCTCATCTCGTCTTATCAGTAGCTTGAACAGCGTCGGTCCAAATATTCCTCTCCAGGATCACTAGCTTCTTGCTCCTCACCATTTCCAGCGGGCGCAGCAGCGCGCCCACATCCCGCATCTTCAGCGAGTCCTTCAGATCCGGGTTGAACTTCCACCGATCGAAACTATCCACCGTGCCCGTCGCGTGCCATTTGTTGGCAGAGAACCCAGCGGGGTAGTGCTTCGACGCCGTCGATCCGTCGAATTCCGCGATGACATGTGTGACGGCGGGCGTAAACGTAAAAGCTTCTGGGGAGAGGTGTTCGGTCTTGTTGTATGTCCAGTGCTGCTGTGAGTGCGGGAGACAGTGCAGATATGGTGGCATGTGCGTTTGCAGGAACAGGGAGGCACCCGTCTGCGCGGCGAGGTTGGATATGTGAACGTGTACTGCAAAGAGTGGATAAGTCACAGAGATAACCAGAAATGGATGTGGGACGGACCGTTCTCATGCGAAGCGTACAGCTCGTTGAACTTGGATAACACCTCACCTCCTGGGTAATTGGCGATGGACGCCATTGCAAGTAGGTAGGTGGTGACGCAGTTGCATACCAGAAGGCCAGAGACAGCCAGGAAGCACAACCGACCAAAAAGACTGCTCTTCCTGCGGGACATTCTGGATAGCGAGCACGCAATTAGAATCTACTTAAGCTTACTGTCAGATAACGTCAACGCACAACCATGCGCCGCCTCGCGCAGCAGCGATGTTGAAGAGCGGCACAATGTAGACGATGAACCGCCACTCCTTATGGCCGAGCCCGCTTATGAGGACCAGATATGCCACGGCGGGCACGAGGAGCGCGCGCACGCGCGAGTCGCTGAGGGCACCGACGAAGGAAAGCGGTAGTGCAGATAGCAAGAGTTTAGGGAGGAAAGACGTGAAATAGGTGTGGAAGGGTAAAACCTACTGCTCTTTGAGTGCTGTAGACACCGGAGCGGGAATAGAGACGTACACCCCACTCGGAGCTCTTGCCTTGCACGACGTTGAAGTAGACTCCATATAATTCTGGCCATAATGGCCACTGCTGCCAGAAGTACGAATCTACGGCGCTCGTCAAGGCTGCCAGAATAGTACGTCAGCGCAATATCCGTTAAGACGAACGACGACAAACCAACGGAGCTCAGGCCAGCTATTAAGCCGATCTTTATAATGTTGGTGAGCGTTGTGTAACGCCGTACCACAGCTTGTAGGACAAGAGGACCCAGTAAAAGGACGACCTCGGAGCGGAAGACAACGGCTGTGAACGTCAGCAGCGCTATCGCCCAGTGGATGCTGTACCTCGATGGTCGTGTCGAGTTGGGCGCACGGTTTACAAAGTAGGACAATGCGACGTTCACTGAGATACCACTGAGATCCTTCTATTCACGAATAGTGACAGCACAGCGCACCAGGAAACACCGCGAACATGTTCGGCAGGGTGCGTCCCATCCAAAATGGTAGATGGAACTGCGTGCAGGTCAAAAAGGCGAAGAGCACGCTGGTCAGCCCGCCGAATCGGCGGGAGACTGTGCGTCTGAGCAGACAAAATCCGATTGCATTGATAGTGGCAAGGACTAGCCTGACTACAGCAAGGTAGGTATGGTATGATAATACGTGTACAACGACTGAAGTCGACGAACCGATGATTTGTAGGTCGAACTTGTCTCTGACAAGCTCGAGACTGCACGCGAGTCGGATGGGAGCGTTCGACAGCCAGGCTAAGAGCACGCTCCCGATGAATGTACGAGGTACGGCGCCAGGGAAGATGAAGTGGTCATACTTGGAGCGTGAGTTTGCGGTTCCTTCAGCAGTGCACTAAACAGGAGTACCTTGGGGAGCACGTCGGGTCGCACGCCGTACATCAGCACGTCGTGCGTCGCGTGCAGACTGAAGCTCTCCTCGACTTTGGTGTACGGCGCAAGGAAGACATGTGCCCAGCTCGTTGCTACGATGAGGAGGTCAAGCACAGCGCTCATGCTCGGCGGGACGGTGTCGCCAACGAATCAAACTGTGAAGATACAGGTGCAAAGAGGTTTGTACCCCTGGGTCTCCAGCCGAACCGTGCGGCGTTATCACACTACTTAGCAGGGAGAAGAAAGAGAAACGGGCGGGCTCGGTCTTTCACTGTAATGCTGTTACAAAGGGATGTTACACTAGTTGTAGTGCCCTGTACAAGCTTCTTGGAAACTTCATTAGAACCTCGGACTGAGTACTGCTTACGTACACTGACAGGTCCGGATTACTCGGGGGACACGATAGCAGCAGCAGTGTCCCTTGTCCAAGTCTTCCACCTGGTGGGGCAGGAAGCCTGCAATGTTTCTTTTCGAGCGTCACTCGCTAGCTTTACCAGCTTCGCTCTTTCTTCTCTTCTTCCAGGATGCGGTAGCGCTATCTAGCGTTAAGAACGGTACTCTCGGCCATAGCTTCAATTCGTACGCATATGAGTTGGCGGTGAGTGCCTGCGTTTGCCCTCGGATGATTAGGGAATGAATATTGCGCATTCCAGCCATCTCTTGTTACCACTCGGAGACCAGGTGCGTTGCATCGGCCGATTACGGTTGCACTCCACACTCACGTAGATCTTCGCAGAGGAGTGCCCACCATGTTTCAACTGCCAGCTTGACAGATTCTCGTGTGGACACTTTGGAGAGTGCTCCAACTATGACGGACAATGCAAGTGCCCAGAAGGTTGGGCGGGCATTGACTGCTTGACTCCTCGTGCGTATCTTAAGTTACGGTGCTGGAGGTGGTGCGCTTACTTTCGCCGCAGAATGCGACTCACTCGCCGATGGCGAGAAGCGCCGACAGAGGGAAGATGGCCAGAAATGCGAATGCAAAGATGGGTGGGGTGGAGTCAATTGTAATGGTGGGTGGTGTTGTCATCAAGACTACTCGTCCGGTCGCTCACGCAGCCGCAGTATGCAAGACCGACGATGCCTGTATCGGGTTTCCCCTGGCGGGCCAACCGTCTATTATGGACGAACCCGTTGCGAACATGACATGCTACAGTGGGGGCGAGACGGTATTCCAAAGTCACCAAATGTGCCAGGTCACCAGTACGTCGCCGTGCCTGGCGTCTCTCCGCAGCCTGTCACTGACCGGTTGGATGCAGACCGCAAGATTCTCGATATGCTTCCAGATCGTCCCCCAGAAGTGACTTTCACATGTGACAGGCCATCCGCGACGTGCCAGTTTCAGTTTTGGGCCGCCGAAGTCGAGTCGTTTTACTGCACTTTGGATCATTGCGCGTCCAATGTGGAACGAGGCTACGATACCAACATGACAAGTTACACATGCAATAATATTAAGTGTAAGTGTGTTCCCGGACGGTTTATCTGCGGCGAGGAGAACAGCATCGGTAAGTCCAGTGGTGCGGCTTATAGTATATTGCATTTACACTGATTCTGTGCAGACATCACCGATTTCCTGAAGGAGGATATTGTTGGTCCAGCTTCGTTCACCTGTAAGACTGGGCAGGGATGCAAGTTCGAAGAGCCCGGCATGAACGGGTTGATCGAAACCTTCTTCGGGGACGGCTACATCACGTTGGAGTGTGATAGCGGTGAATGTCTGCACTATTCACAGGTTCCAGGTTATGTGGTATGGTCACATTCTCCATTCTTCTGAGTTTGTAAATCGCTCAGATTTCTTCAGCGCCCGCCCAAACCGGACAACAGCAAATTCGTCGCCTTGAGCATCGCCGGTGCAGGACTAATCGTCGTCGTCGTCTCTGCAAGTAAGTCCCCTTTGTTCCGTCGACTGTTCAGATTCAAGGAATAACGCTTGGCAGTACTTTGGTACGGTGGCAGAGCGCGCTCCGGGGACTGGGGAGGGATTCGTCTCCCCGAGAGCGAGACTGCGAAGCTGATGACCGACCATGTCCCCGCATCGCTGCACTTCACCAACATCTCATATACGATCGGCAACCACACGCTTCTCGACTCTGTCACAGGCTCGGTCAAGCCTGGCCAGCTTATGGCAATCATGGGCGCGTCCGGTGCCGGCAAGACGACGTTCCTTGATATCCTGGCGCGCAGGCGCAAGCGTGGTGTCGTCAGCGGCCGCACGCTGGTCAATGGCAGAGATTTCGCGGACGCGGATTTCAAGAAGGTGACAGGCTATGTGGACCAGGAGGACACTCTCATGAGTACGTTGACTGTGTACGAGACTGTGTTATACTCCGCGCTGCTACGGTTGCCGCGGGAGATGAGTTTGGAGGCGAAGAAGTTCAGGACGTTGGAGACTATGCATGAGTTGGGTATCCTCGGGATCAAAGATTCTAGGATTGGGGACTCTGGTATGGATGTCCATTTTGTTTGGGCATCACAGATATACTCATTCAAATGCATAGGACACCGTTCGATCTCCGGTGGTGAGAAGCGCCGTGTTTCCATCGCATGCGAACTGGTCACCAGCCCATCTATTCTGTTCTTGGATGAGCCCACGAGTGGTGAGTGTCACTGAATGCATGCTCGTTCCCATACTCATACTTCGTCTTAGGTCTTGACGCCTACAATGCTCTGAGCGTTATCGATAGCCTGGTGTCGTTGGCGAGGGATTACAATCGCACGGTCGTGTTCACCATTCACCAGCCTCGCAGCAACATAGTGTCGCTCTTTGATCAACTCATCGTCCTGGCTCAAGGCAAACTCATTTACTCTGGAGAGGCGGACAAGTGTCACGAATATCTTCAGTCGATTGGTCACCCGTGCCCCCCAGGATTCAACATTGCGGACTTTTTCAGTATGTGGAACGGTCGTCAGTTCTACCGTGTAATCACTGAAGGCTTGCTCAGTCGACCTGACAATGCAAGCGAGCATAGAACCCAGCTCCACGGAGAGCCCACCGGCGGAGCCAATTCCTTCCGACGGAGACAACAACGTGCGCGATGAGGAGCGGGGCTTCAGCCAAGCTGTCGGCGCTCTATCGTCCATTCACTCCAATGGACAGTCTTCCACCGCAGCCGACGAGACGGAGCTGCAGACGCGCGCCAGCTCTATCGCTGGTTCTTCGTCCGGATACATCAAGCGCAAGACGTCCCAACTCTTGGAAGTGATCTCGCCTGCAGCGCCGCGCCCTGGAGACGCACCACTACCACCGCTACTCCAGGCGCTCGTAGATGCGTATAGTACCAGTCAGATTGCGGCGTCGGTTCATGCGGAGATCGAAGAGATGCAGAGGAGTGCAGCCGTCGCCAGTGCGCAGCTGCCAGACGTCGCAATGGAGAACACTCTCACTCGCGGACGCAAACGTGCTAGCTGGGGAACCCAGTTCCGCATCTTGAGTGGACGCGCGTTCAAGAACTTGTACCGCGATCCAATGCTGCTGACAACTCACTATATTTCTTCCATCGTGGTGGCTCGTACGTTATTCAGCTTCTCCTCGTATATGCTAGCCGCTAATTTTATATCGTAGTGATATGTGGATTATTCTTCCACAATGTCACGTATGTAGACGAAATTGCCGCATCATTCACTGGGGCTAACTCATGAACCTTCAGTAACGATATCCCTGGTTTCCAGAACAGATTGGGTGCGCCCCGTCTTGCTGTGGTGTGGTATCTAATGCTGACGGGAAGGCGACGTCCAGGCATCTTTTTCTTCATGCTGGCACTGTTCGGTTTCTCGAGCCTGACGACTATTAGCTTGTTTGCCAACGAGAGAATTCTGTTCATGCGCGAGCGGTATGTACAGTCGTTGTATGTGGTAACTCCACTGATATTTCAGCATGCAGAGCAAATGGGTACTATTCGTCCTTCACCTACTTTGCATCTAAGGTCCGATGTCATAAGTCATAGTCACCTCATTGGCGTCCTGACCTTTTATCCCCCAGATACTCTTCGATATCATGCCGTTGCGAGTAGTGCCTCCACTTATGTTCGGTGGCATCGTCTATGGACTAGTCGGTCTTGTGCCGACAGTGGCTGCCTTCTGGAAGTTCATGTTAACGCTGGTGCTCTTCAACCTGACGACTGCGACCGTCATTCTTCTGCTATCGATCGCCTTCGAGAGCTCCAGTGTTGCCAGCCTCGTCGGAACGTTGGTCATGCTGTTCAAGTATGTGCCTAGGATCCAATGTGTGGATGTGCTCCTGATTGTTTGTTTTTAGCCTGATGTTCACGGGTCTGTTGATCAACCGGGAGACCGTTCCTGAGGCATTCCAGTGGCTACATACTATCTCATTCTTCCATGCAGGGTTCGAAGGGCTTGCAGTGAATGAGCTTCGGTATTTGCAGTTGAAGCAGACAAAGGTATTTATGCCGCATTCCTCATTACGGTGGATGCTGTACTCAAGCACGTGCGTAGTATGGTGTCGATATTGACGTACCCGCCGCCACGATTCTGTCGATGTTCGGGCTGAGAGCTCAGGTAAGATTCAAGTGTTCTTCACGTAGTACGGGACTTATCCTTTACGGTTTGTAGTCCTTCTGGTGGCCGAACATATCGCTGCTTGGCATCTTCATCGGCGTATTCACTGTTTCGAGCTACCTCATTCTTCATTTCTATGTCAAGGAGAGGCGGTAGTAGTCTGTCTGTTCACCGATCGACCACGCTTTATGATCGGGCTTGCATTCCGTGTACCACCGCTGGTGTACTATATTATATGTGTGCAACTATCACAGTCCTGAGTGAGTATGACTGTACACGAGGGAGGGCTTTGTGGCTGTACGACGGGAACACCCGCAGAGACGGACGATGCATCTTGTACTGTCTTGCTGCCCCATGGGTTGTCGAACTTCCGCTTCGTTTCTGTACCATGCAGGTTCTTTGGAATAATGAGATGTTTCCTCTTGGCTTGGCTCTACACCCAGGTATCCTATAGATATCTAGGCATCCCTGCTGCAAAATCACAGATTCGTGCTCGGAGAACAAGCTCTACCGATTATCGAGATACAGCGCTTACATCTACATCCTCTAATTCAACAGCACCGAAGAACAGCGAGAGCAGATGGCCAGCCTCCGCTAGCAATAATAGGATACCAGCAGAATGGTTTACAAAAGTTTGAAAGGCTACCGGTCGTGGTTAGTAGTCTCCCAAAGGCAGACTATAAAATCAGTCCTATGAGAGGTGGGATGTACGGACTGATATCGATATTGCTGCTAGTTTCGCTTGCGCTCTGAGCACAGGCAGTTCCCTGGCAGTGTAGTACAGCCCACACCACCCGTCGAACTTCACGCGGACGCCTGTTGACGTCTGAGGCCGCTGAGGGCAACGCAAGGAACGCGACAGTTGGTCGAAGCTAGTCTCCCAAAGGCAGACTGATATACACTTTGCTTCAACCTTCGTTCCTCAGGATATCCGCGTCTGGAGTCCAAGCACTAGACTGCTTTCTGACGCGGCGGGTTAATCGAGAGGTCGGACAATTTAGACGGAGCCCGAAATTTACTATGGATTCGATACACCGGTAGTTCAAATCGATAAGCCTGCGGTTACAGCCCGTTCCATTGCCGACGGGCGCTTGTGGCCTCTGCCAGCGGGCCCGCTCAGCGCTCAGCGGCCCCCTGGCTCATCGACTCATGCATTCATTTTAGTACTGCAGGAAACAAACCCTGCAGCAGCATAATCTGACCATGTCCCGAAGTTTGGTGAGTATAACTTGAATGCTGCTGCCGAGGAGTCGGAGGTCAGCGGACGATATGAGTAGCTTCGACACCTCAGTTTTTCTCGTTTTACTGCTGTAACAATGCAACCTACGCAATATTATAAGGTTCATCCTCCTTGGCATGTGCCCTGTCAATCATATGGCTTCACCCTGGCAGTAGTGCATGAGGATACTCCACTGATTGATTCTTATTTCTATGGACTATTATCACATTATTCCTAATGAATATAGCTTGAAAATTTTTCCCGAGGCAAACCAGAATGTATGGCACATGCATACCTCATCTAAGTATGTTTTCCTCTCAGTGAGACGCAGTGCGACGCGTCTGTAGGACGGACGCATTTTCGCGTTTGCCATTGCACGTGATATGCCGATCGGCAGTGTCCGACCTCTTAGAAAGACCCCCATTAAGGAAAGCAGACGTCAGATATGGATATCCTGAGTCACGAAGGTTGAAGCAGAGTATCTACAACTGCCTTTGGGAGACTACCAAGCACCATCTCCTCCACTCGCCGCTAGGGACGATAGTCTTGGCTCATCCAATAAATATTGCTAACGAGATAACAGCGTTACGGTCCCCAGCGCGACGCCAATAGTGCCGACCGAGGGTTGGGGCACTAGCTGCCGGGCACGAACAGCTCGGAGTCGCGGTTGAAAAATCCGTGCCGGTTGCGAGAATGCGTATAGACCTGACGGCCAGGACTTCTTACTCTTTCTCTGGTACTTACATTCGATGTGGACAGAATTTGAAACGATAGTTTTGTATCAACGCACTATGGGTCAAGACCAGTATATTCCAAACAATCTAGATTTCTACTGTAGTCGCCGCGCAGCTTCGAGACCCATCCTTCCACGTTTTTGTCGAAGTAAACCTCATTTCGCCAAGCACCGTTATTGATCCATTTGGCGTGCAAATACCCATCCCACCATTCGATGGAAGCTTCTCCTCTCGTCTCCGAAAATTGGTAACCGACGACGTATGGCATAGGACCTAGGTATTCGTGACTGTGGTTGTGATGCGACGCAGATTCAGTCCACAGCTCTCTCGTAACAGGCTGAATTTCAAACTCACCACCTTACATGTAAGCCATCTTGGGATATATAATTTACTCCCGCGTAACTTGAAGGCACCTGCTCGTTGTAAAAATCATACACAATACGATTCAGATCATCGCCTTCGCTGAACCTGCGCTGAATAATTGGTGATTAACTCGATTCCAAGGCTGCCTTGAGGATAGTTCATAGCTCACCTTTGTAGCACCATGAGATTGACGATAATTCAAGGGCAGAAATAGGACTCCAGAGAATGGAGCATAATGCTGAACCAAAGGATGCTTCCTGAGCTAACGAGCACTCAATAGCCACCAGTGATGCACAAATCATGGAGCTCTTACATCCCAAGCTACTGTCCGTGTCGCATAGGCCTCCAACCGTTTCACAAGGATTGTCTTTTCCATATCAAGTGCTGACTGGTATGCCTTCAAGTCTTCAGGATTTGTCGAGAAGCGCAATGCTGCCAACGGCCGCATATTTTTTTTCTCGCGATATTCGTCGCGTCTCTTGGCCCATTCCTGTATGTCGTCAGCGGTCCATGTGCGTTCCATCTGGGTAGTGGCGTGTCAACTGAGGAAACATAAAGCCGTTCGGAGGACGTTCACCTCAGAACCTGCAAGTCTAGATGTGTCAATGGTTCACCTCGGGACGCCAACTTCAGTGTGCACAGCAAACTGTGGGATATTCCCACAAGTGGTTGAAAGTGCCTATTCGAGGACCGCACCAGTGACAACGGCCGACGGGCGTCTGTATCACGTGCGTTTAATACGAGAGCGCTGGCGAATCTAAATGATCCCTATGATGAGTGGCGGACTCGGAGGGGCCGGGATCATATAGGGCGAATCCCTCTGCCGGTAATCTGCCTACCTACCTCGACATCAGTTCAATAGAAACGGTATGTTTTCACAATTGCATCTAGTATATAGAACCTCCAACTTCATTGCGGTTTCGGTGCGGTTTCGGTGCGCTGTGCTCGTTCTAGTTCCAGAGTAATAATTAGGTCTGAGATAAATCCGAGTCGGGGCCTCAGTCCACCTCATTGGCAGTATCAGCGAAGAGCTATATAATGCATAGTGAGCCAGGTCCACCTACGCGGGACGGCGAAGCAGGTGGAGCCTCTGGAGGTGACTGTCATCAAGAGCACCTTCACGGATGGCCTGAAGATGTGAGTACGTTTCAGATCTCGCCCGTTCTAGTACCACCTGATGTTCCGATGGTGCTGCAACAGCTACAGGAACACCGCCATTCTTAGACATCGGCGGAAAGGACAGTGAGGCCTTTGTTAGTCTAAGGGTAGAACAGATTATCCACGATTTGGCGGTACCGAGAGGATGATGCTGCCTGTGGGCCTAGCAGCAACCTGACATCACTTACCCAGAGTGAGTCAATTCTGCTATCTTTGGCATAGCACTAACTAGCTTTGCATGGGTAACAACCCTGTATCTTTTACAGATCGCATCATGATTATGGGAAGCAACCCTTGTATCCCAAAGAGACGGAGACGTTTGTCCACTTGGTAAGCGGATGGTCGGATCCAATGCTAGCAAACTACTTTGTGCTTAGTGGCGCGTGCTGCCTTTGCTTGCCATCATGAATACCGTGAGTCATCTTAAACTCCTACTGTGGGCTTCTCGGAGGTAGTGCCTGCAATCCAGACGAGTCTATAGCGAAGGATATCAAGGTCAGAAAAATGCATGGTTCCATCGATGAATCGCAGTAGACGGGAAGACACTCGATTGCAACGGATATTGGCACAAGTCCTACTTGGAAACTCAGAGAGTCGAAACTCAGAGTTCTGGATACTAGACGGCCATCTCGGTGGCAGATATCGCCGCGACAGATTTTTTAATTGGAACGAACGCACTCAAAGACGCACAACGGACATGGAGGTCAGTCTTTGTCCGCTCCTCAGCGACAGGGACACTCGGCAGATGCCTACCATTGCATCCCCTTTCCTTACCGCATGGTGAGTTTGTTGTGCCTTTTCACAAGACATCAGATGCTGTACTGTGAGTCGCACTGCTCGAAAAGACAGGCATATCACAGTGTGCATTCGTATAAATTTAAAATTCTAGGAAGACACTGATAATTCACTTGGCTCGAGGGGCGTGCAGTCATTTTTCCCACTCAGATCTCTGATAATTCCCCGCAGCCTGCCCTTTATTCAGAAACAAAGGGGAATGAAACGAAAGAAGTTCGGACGTTCTCAACGGAATATTCCCAGAAAGCGACCGAGATATTGTCCCTTGTGTGTGGCATTCCTGGCGAACTTCTGGAAGATCTAGGTGGCGACTTTTGCTTCTAGGGCGCACAGCCGACTATCATTACAAGTTGCTGGAAAACCTTTACCCTTCTTGTAGTGTGTCGGACTCCGCAGACGTGCTTCCTGTGAGTCCATCCCTTATCAGTATTTGGAACACTCACATACGCCCACAGTGGAGTCACAAACCTCCTTATGTGATGATTATTATTATCTGAAGGCGGCTAATTGAGACGCCAGTGGATGTCTATAAGTACGGGTTCATCGGACTGCATTCCCCCATCGCAACATCTCCAGTTCACAATATTCACCCGCAGTTTTTGCATTGCTCTATCAGAATGTGAGTACGTCGACATAGCGAAATGTCACGATTCACTGACGCCTCTGTTGAACCCTTCTTAGGTGCTACCGAGAAGGATCAGCTGTAAGCTGGTTCATGGGTTGTGGGTGTGTTGTGGGGCCCGTTACCACGGGTGATGTGCAGTATTGCAAAGATAAGGACTGCTGGGACCGTGAAGATCGTAGGTTACCTGAGTCAAACGGCACGACAATGGTCACTGATACTTCATCTATCAGCTCCGGTCAAAGTTACGTCTGCGAGATACACAACGTATGACACCTGCGGTGCCGCATCGAGCTGCCGAGGTGTGGGTGACTCCTGATCAAGCTGGTTACGCGAATATGTACTTGTACAATCTTCAATTTGTCTTCTGTGTTGAATGCTATGCCTATGTTCTGGAGCTATTGTCAGGGCATGGAGACGTCTGTGATTCCGATGGGGTGTAAGCACAAGCATACTGGTGCTGGTCGGCCCGAAGTACGCCTCCATCCTGTGCCTCTGACCTGCAAGTTACTGTGGATGGACCGCTGAGCCAAAGGTAGGTTGTAGATGCTTCAACATCGCGCCTCAGGATATCTAGAACCTTCGCCGGTTATGTTTGCTAAAGTTCGAAACATCGTATTAAACAAGGACTGACAGTGGTTAGCCAGAGGTGAGGCTCGCACATAAGTGTTGGTACTATAGCTACTGGGGGCTGCTATGTAGTGGTCGCAGAGTTCAAAGACGACGGTCACGATTGACTTTGTTGGCACTCTAACTATATACATCAGCAAAACGTCACGTGTCTTGGCCGACTTCAACGTCTTGGAAACACCTTGGCTCGTCTTGGCCTCTTAGCTTCGCCTTGAAGGTCTTACACACCAGACCAGCTAAGTATCCCAATACCTGCCAAGTGCAATCCAATCACTCAAAGTAGCAAAGCCTGACAACACCGCCACATTCAGGTCTCAGTTGAATTACACATGTACAGAAGCCCAACAACAAGATGTGCAGTTCCGGTGAGACAGTGAGCACGGCGGCACAGGAGGACGTGATGACGACGTGTTTGACTGCAGAGCCATACTCTACAGGACACTTAGCATGCCGTTTACCGTGGGAGCAATGAGCTCGTCGGGCTCGACGGCATGGAAGTGGAAGGGAGACGCGGTGGCTCGATCGCGACGACGCCCTTAATGGTCTCGTCGAACACGCAACCCAGGTTCAGCATCAAGGCCAAGACAGCGGCACTGAGGCGGGACATATCCTCGATGATGACGATCTCCTGCTTATCACCTTAAGACTCGAACGTCTCGTGCAGGCGGAAAGTTCGCGCTTCTTCCTCTTCGAGTTCAGCCCTTTCTCCACCTCAGCAAGCTGCCTCCCTCGCTCACGCACTTCCTGCTTCGTCCTCAACTCTGCCGCCTGCAGAGCCTGCCGTGCCTCTCCCTGCTTCGCAGCGAGCTGGGCACGCTCGTGCTCCACGACACGCAGCTTCATACAGAGCTCCCACAGGTCGGCTTGGTCAGAGGTGCCCGCCTTCTTCAACTCATGCACCCGCGATTCCAGGGCATCGTTCTGCTTCTTCAACTTGTCGGCGTGTTCCACGTGCTCTGCCGTGGATTTCTGGGCATGTCTCAGCTCGAGCTTGAGGTGTTCTAGGTCGAGATGGTGCCCTCGACACCTGTCTGCTCATTATTTGCTCGACTTGGAGTTGTGCGTGGGCTTGACATGGCGAGGACGCGTGGTGACGAAGATCAAGGCCAGTGGGAATATAGCATGGGAAGTGTGCGGTAGTCTGCAGAGGGTAGGAACAGGAGTAGTTGTGCCACCGAGAATCTAGAATGCAATTTCATGGGCATGGTGATCGGCGTATTTATTGACATAGAACACCCGAAATGCATCCAGGGAGTCTGAGAAGCAGAGCCCTTCAGGTATGAAGTCACTACCCGCGACTCCAATAAGGTGCGCGCTACATAGCACACAGTCAAGGTGAATGACTCTGGTTGAACGTCGGCCATCTGCATCATATTCGGGCTCAACAATCCACATGCCCGTCTCGTCGTCCGGTTCATCAGCCACCGGCGAGAACCATTGCACAACGGCACATGGATAATCCACACCACGCCACCTGAATGAGAAGAATAATCGGACACGAGCAGCATGTAGCCCCCGCATGCCCTCTCGAGATGAATTTGTCTCGATGAAGAGACAATCATACCGAGGTGCACCCAACTTCCATGAAGGCGTCGCACGGATCCATTCACGATGCATACCGCCGACACCGGAAAGGTCGCTGGGTGCATAAAAGGTGGTGACTGCGGAATGATAGACATGCAGGCGATCAAGGTGGGGGCATCGGGGGGCAGGTTCCTCAGGTTGAAGTGGGTGATTAGGGTGGGATTGATCATATAAGAAGGACGAGATGAGATCGGAGAGATGTGGGATGTCGATGTGCAAACCTAATTCCGTAATGTCGTCTGGGTATCCACGCTCTGTGTGGCATCGATATGACATGAGCATGTCACCAAACAACAAATCTGCACTTACGGTGTCGCCTCGCAGTCGTCACTGAACCCAGTATGCGGGGCCCTTGGATTACACCATTGTCTTGCTCTTCCTCTCTCTCGCTGTCATTCTCGTCATCCTCCGGTGCTTCGATGGCCTCGTCATCTTCGAGGATCTCCAATGCGAGTAGAGCTTCGGAAAGACAGGTACCTTGAAGCATTCCTCGTGCAGTGAAGTCGGCGCGGGATACAGCTAGGTTGTCAAGACGCTGGTTTGTCAGCAGCATCTGTCCGAGTGCGTTGTACGTGTTTGACCGTCGCCAAGGTTCCTTGACGGCTTTGATGTGCTTAGCTTCGGTGATAGATGAGCAAAGACCATTCGGTGCGCCGTAGTTCTGAATGTGTCGCGGATAGTGGTCAAGAGAATGTTGTCGAGGGAGGGAGAAGTCATCGTGGACACCTGTCTCTTGAAATATCACTCGGTATTGGTGAAATTGCTCCAGAGCGTGCTGAACTCGTGCAATCGTCTCTTCCGTGTGGACTGAACGGCGAACTAGATAGCAGAACTCGAGGAATGCAGCAATTGCGCGCACCATATCCGGAGGGACAAGGCCGGAGATAGCAGGTAAGTAAACCTTGATGAGGTGATAATCAAGAACTAGCATGGAATAAGTGAAAAGCAGACACAGCTTACCTTCATAAGTGCCTTAGAATCATCTCCGGTCCACTGCTTGAAGTCGCGCCCCTGTGGGAATCGACGCAGACCAGGGAAAGAAGGGGTCACTGCAATCCTAGTGTCATAATGGAGAAATAAGCCCCAACACGACTGTGAGAAGAGCTGAAGCACCCACCGACGGTCTATCTCATCTAAAACTTCCTTCCCACGTTCCTTACCGTGTACTAGAGTCAAATACTCGCCAACCCATGTCACCAGGTGATCCTTGAACGTCCCCTTGATCACTTGGTGAAGTAGATCACCAGAGAGTAGCTCATGTATGTCGGCTCGGGGAAAGTTGGCCGTGAAAGGCTAGTTGAAGGCAACAGACATGTCAGTCATGAATGCATCTTGTGTAATGATTTACTCACCACGACATCACTGACCAGTCCGTATTCATCCCACAATATGCCGGGATCGAACGTCTGAATGAGTTCCTCAGTGTGCTCTTGTCCTCGTCGCCCACCTCCCTCGTCTTGATCCAGACGATTTCGGTGTTTCAGACATCTGTCAAGAAGAAGTCATCAACTGAGTACTTTGTGGCAACACAGTACACACTTACGCTGGACACCAGCCTGAAACAATGCATGCGACCAAGACTTGTTCGGGATAGTCAGCGATATAAGGGGCTAGACCGTAGATAACACGCCGAAAATGACCATCGGGACAGCGCGTCACCTCAGGCACTGACATCGCGGGGCGTAGAGTGTCTAGAATTGTTGCCAGACTTGAATGAAAGAGCTATCGTCGGAACTTCCTGAACAGGACACTGTCTGAATCCTTACGCTCAGCTGGTGTCAGAAATGGTCAGAAGTAGAATGGCAACAGTAGAAACAAGAACGCACTCTTCGGGATCGCCAAGAATGCGACTACAACTAGGGCATCTCTATGTGCTCGGCGAACATTATTGAAGACGTTGCCAATAGATAGATATAACAGATAATACTCATTCTGACCCGTCGCCACTGACACAGTTGTCTTATCGCTTCCTAGAATCACTGGGACGAACATCAAACCATGTGTAGTCTCGTCTGCAGCAATGATGTCCTGCGAGCATGGTGGGAATATAAGTACAGTCCGAAAAATGTATAAGGATGACGCACGGCCTGTTTCCATGCCCAATGGCCCGACATAATGTTGGTGTACCTTCGCTGACCTGCGGGCCCCGTAAACTCGCGATAAGGGGCAGCGTTGAACTCATTATTGAAGTCAGGGTTTGCGAGCATAGATTTGATAACAGCGTGAGGATCGCGGAACCACACGTCATAATTGGCCGTCATCCACGATGGCACCTTGCCTTCAGGAAGGGTCCCAGTGTATGCCGCGGTGAATGACTGCCACGGAATTCCACCCTCCGGTGTCGCATCGATTGTACAGTACATGTCAGCGTGATCAGCGAAAGGTGGGTCTGCGTCATATGGAAGGAGGGATGCGGCCCACAGATCCATCAAAGTGTTTATCTTTGACTGGGACATCTGGTCACGTTTGAAAAGGAACTCTGCCGTCTCGAACTCCACGCGGCTGCTATACGGTGTCCAATCATCCATGTAGGCCTTCGTTCGTGGAGGGGGAATTGAGCCTTCTACCACGAAGTTACCATTCACATCGCAAGGACGGCCTAATTGTGAAAACAATATATCAGACATCACTTTGGCGAGCTGGAAAACGTACCGTTGAGGAGCTCATGTTCAAATATCTGAGGCTCCGTCACCTGCCCGTCTCCGTCATCCTCATCAGGACCATCCATTGGAAAGTCTTCATGATCCAAAAACTGCGGACCTGAATTCTGAGGCTCTTCATACTCATACTCGTCCTGTTGCGGTACCGAGTTCAGCACCACATGCTGCTGAGGAAGTGCATGAGCACTGTTGTAGTGCTGAGTGAGTCCAGAGGAGTTACGACACTCCTTGCCGCATGCTGGGCATCGAAGACGTGATGCAATGTGCGATTTGCGAGGGCGCGGAGGCATGGATGCAAGAAACACGGGGGCTCAGAAATAATCATGAATTGTTACACCTGGCTACAGAGGCATCTCGGAGCATCAGATTTCTGCATAGTCTGATGATTGAGTTGGAGCGGTTGCGTGGCAATAGAAATGAGTGATATGTGGCACGGGAAGTAAGAAAGTCCTGACCTTAGCTTTCCTACTAGTACTTGCCCGGCATGTTCATTTTTGAACCGTAGGCCCGCGTGGCCTGGCATGGTTCCCCTGTTTCACTCCAGCCCACCCTTTAATTCATATCCACTGATCGTCACTGCTTTCATCAGCAATCTCGTCACTAGGAGATAAGGGAACTCACTCAATGCTTCACTGCTGCGTATAAAACCAGCGCGAATATTGTCGACAGTGTTCTCAACCTTGACGGACATCATTACCCGTTAATCACACTCCTTTGAAGTATTGAAAACTCACACTCCTTTTCACTTACCATGTCTTATTCGACTCGCTCATGCAAATTCACTGCGACTGCTCAGCCCAACTACCGCATCCTTGCTGGGATCCAGACTGAGGGACAGAAGCCTCGTCGCACACCCACGGAGGCGGCGAATGATCGTGAGCAGGCTGGGGTGAGGCGTCTCGAGATCCAGGCGAAGCAGCGTGCACTAGCACAGCGCATTGCGGAGCTTGAGCGAGAGATGAAGAACGAGGATGAGCATTATGCCACAGAGGTAGCCCGAACCCCAGCGTCACTGAAGGCGATCACTTCTGAGCATCGTGCTGTCGTTGCTGGGGGTTCAAGTATTCCTCTTCAGACGGATGATGGCAATGCAGGTCGTGAAGAAGACGATGCACCTTTGGTTGCCAAGGCTAAGCCTGGGAAGGTTAAGAAACTTACCCGGACTGACGTTGATGCAGCACACAAGGTACTCGAGGCCAACGCGACTTCGGGTCCCGCTTCTGTGCTTGCACGCGGCGAGGAGAACATGCCCCCTGTGGCTGCATCTGGTGGCCTTGTGCGTCCCTCGAAGCGGAAGGAAGTCCCAGCTATGTCGTCTGAGTCGTGAGTGCACTGTTTCTTGTATCATCAGTTGTTGAGCACCGGTGACTCTCCAGTCACGCTTCAAAGAAGCTGAAGCCTGCTCACCCAACAGGCGTCCGGAACACTTGGACGCCGAAGCCAGTGAAGCCGCCCCACAAGTCGAAGTCGAAATTTGCCAAAGCAGCTTCTGCCCCGAGTGGTACAGGTATCGTCATCAACGCTGGAGGTGGTGGATTACAGGACTCCGGAGACGAGAATGGGGATGTGGAGCGTGCTGCGCTGCACGGCTCGGGTGCAAGGGCCCAGGGACGCCACACGAGCAATGTGAGTAGAGGATTGGCAAGCTCGCTGTAACACTGTCCCGATCTCACCTATTTTCAGGGTATTGTCCACATTGATCTGACTCAGTCCCAGGAGACTCAGTTGGCTGATGATCCTGTCGAGGCTGTGGCACGTCGCGGCAACAGCAGTAAGAGATTTACTAACTCCGATCTCCCCATTCCCTTGGGTCTCCTTTGGAAGTGGCGTCTCCAGCTCATTCCACGCTATCTGGAGAAGATCGGCGAGTCAGCATGCAATCCCTGGAACGTCGTCGGCCTGGATCTCGTTGCCATGCTACAGCAGCTCTGGGATGAAATTTTCCCTGACATTCCTATCATTGTCACCCCTCGCGAAGCCGTCTATGATGTGGTAAGTGGGCATGTGTTGCTCTTTAGTAGCAGAGAAGCCGCTTACTGTTGTGCATGCAAGGCCCAGCAGCGTGTCCGTGATTGGCGCCACAAGATCGCAGAGGCTGGAGTGGCTGCAGTTGCGAACTTCTTCGTGCTGCAGGCAAAGAATGGAGGTGTCGAGACTGAGGAGGAAATCGCGGAATACGTCAAGTGGGCCCTCGGCTCAGGCATGCCTTTTCGGTATGCAGGAGCAACGATGAAAGGCCCTGATGGCAAGGTTCCTGTGAGTATTTCAACTTTGATATCGCACTCGATTGGTATGTCTGACCCACCGAGTACGTGTCGACTGATGTCAGCTGCCGGATTCGAAGGGCCCGTTCCAGTCTGAGTTCGTCCTCCGCACTCTCGGAGCTCATTTTGCGTGTACCAACCGCTGCTCAGAGATTGCCGGGATTCCTGACGCCGCGCTTGCACTCTGTATCACCTCGGTATGTTTGCCTCCACGCCCGGAATTTTTTGCCGATCAGATCCCCTGGCAGGTCGAGCGCGCACTCAAGCGTTGGGAGAGTGGTAGTATTGCGGATGTTCCTGAGCCGAAGTTCAGTCAAGAGACTTATGGCCGGATCACGAACTACTACCTGAACTCGGTCTGCAACTTGCGCGAGGCGACTTGGGCGAAAATAATCGAGGGTGGTGAACGCTGGAGGTGCACATTCAGACTTCTCCCTGGTGACTTTAGCGATAGCGAGTGGGAGGCTGGTGCAGATGGTGAACGTGGGGCTATAGAGGACGATTCTGACTGAAGGTAAGTGACGCTCCTCCTTCACGCGGCGCGTGACCCACTCATTTCGCCCAACAGCTATCTTGGCTTTGCATGCCATTATACCCAGAGGGTGTCTACTCCTCAACCTTTCTCACTCTTTGACTTGATGCACGTACTTCTCAACAGGCTACTGCTTCCGCACCATGCGTGAAGCAAGGCCTTATACCTCTTGTCTTGGTTTGACTACTCTCCACCTTCATCCATTTGTCACGCCTCATATAGCATCTTCCATAATCAGATTTATCGCTGGACTACTCCCAAGCTTATCTACGTGTTCGCGTTACTGTTACTAGTGTCTGCACGTCATACAGTGCTCATTTTTGGTTTTGCATTTTGCACCTTGCTCGTGTCTTGAAAGTGCCATGACTTGGTCTTGAGAATGTATTACAGCACCTGTAAACGACTTGAGACTGCTTTTTCAAGAACGAACCTCATTACTCAAGACAACACCGTATGGTGCGCTTATGGTCTTGAACGTCTTGATAAGACCGATAAGACCGATAAGTAAAATCGACCGTTTTGCTGATGTAGGTGTAGCATGCATGGCAAATTAATTGAAGTATTGAGAAAGGAAAGATAATAGGTGAACACAGCTGATCCTATCGAGTACACACAATGTGAAATTTAGACGTCGAGTCCGATGGAAGGTAGTATAGCAACCAGACACGGACATCTATCGAAGGACATGTTGCAGGTGAAGTATGAACACTATATGATGTGCAATCCGCTTCTTGCCTCTTACCCTGATCTGCTACGAATTTTCCCACGCTCTGCTTGGTGAAAATCGCGGAAAATAGGTACTAGTGTAGAATGCCAAAGACTGTACAAGACGGCATGCCGTCGAGTAGAGGGAAAAAACCCTACCCAAAAAAGTCACTAGAGGACCTGGAACAAAGGCCTACGGATAACGAGGGAGGCCGTTCGCGCACGAACAGCGTCGCAACAATACCACAAACCCCGCGTAAAACCACGGGAATGGCGAGGATACTGAGAAGTATCCTCATGAAATCACCCACGAAACCTATTACTGATATACCTATGCGCGATGTAGAAACAACGGAGGCGGCCACCAGAGCAACCAGCCCATCCCCACGCTCCCGAACACCCGATGTATTCGACGACGAGACTACTGCGGACCACGACATGGGCCTCAACGACCACCTGCTCCCCATTAAAACGGCGGCCAGGTGGCCGACCATGGAGGACCTCGAGAAATCCATGCAACGTGCAGCCAAAATGCTTGCAAACTTCTCAATCCACGCTAATTACACACCCAGTGTCATCGAGAGTGCCAATACCATTTCCGATAAACTGACCCAGATTACTGACATCGATAAAAGCCCGAGAAAAACCCCACAGACACAACAGAACTCACAGAATGCGAACCAACCCCGGCAACCCGGAAACGAGTTTATGGAACAGATCGCAAACTCACTGACACTACTGACATCCCGTTTAGATACCATCGAAGTGAAGATAGCCAGCCCACAGGGGACGGCAACACGAACACAGACACCAGTGACAGGAACCCCGACAAGCGAAAAGCCAAGCAACACTTCTCCGGTCACAGAAGCCGGACCCAGAACGGTACACGCGACGTCCAAACCAATTGTCCCCAAACCCAAAGGAACAATGAACAACAACACTAAGGTAGGAAGCAAAGGGATACCGACAAACCCGCTGGCCGCACACCACCCGTCCCGCCTCATCGTCGAGATCCAGAAAGGGGCACCCGGAGGTGAAAGACCTAAGGAAATTGACCTCGTCAGACAGATCAACGATGTACTACAAAGCAGCGAAGACAGCAAGCACCTCAGAGTGGTCAACGTCAAGTTCAACCCACAACAAAACTGCATCGTATTCACCCGAGCGGACCAAAGCGCAGCAGAACTTGCGCCCTTTGCTGACCGTTTTACAGAATATATCGCACAGGACAGGCCAACAAGAGTACGACCAGATGTCCCCTGGTACAAGGTACAACTCAACGGCGTCAACACGTTCAATGACTACACGAATGACATACCGACCCCGGAAGAACTACACGAAGAACTTTGCCTCAACAACCCCACCTACGCCACAATGCCCATACTTCAACTCCCACGCTGGATGCACCACCCGTCCGACCTAAAAACCCAATTCTTCTCATCGGTAGTTATCGCACTGATGAACGAAGCTGATGCAGAACACCTGGTGAAACATGTCAAGAACCTAGCAATAGCCGGGAGATTTGCAGAGGTAAAACGCTACGCTGACAAGCCTCCGATCATACAGTGCAACAACTGCTGGTCGCTCGACCACACCCGATGGAGATGCCACAAAAAACCCATCTGCCGCCTCTGTGCAGGGGACCACCTGGAAGCCCGACACGTCTGCGACCAGTGCCCCATGCAGGATGAGGAGGAAGACGCCATGAACACCGAAGGGTGCGATCACACTAACTTAAAATGTGCTAACTGCGCAGGCACGCACACAGCGAACTTTAGAAATTGCCCTATCAGACTACGGCAAGCAGGAATGACCAAATCGAAGCCATAAAAACCTTCACCAGGAGGTGCAAGGACTCCGGAAGGATGGAAGACCGTCCCGCCCACGACCCCCAAGAATGGTACGTACTACCCGCCACCAACTAACCCGCACCCCAGCCAGGCCGCACGCAAAGCACGGACCCTGGCGCAACAAAACCGATTCGAAGTGCTCGAAGAGGTATACCCCGCAGCATTGGCCGAACTTGACAGCCTCTTCCCAGAAGCCAGCAAAAGTGCAAAACAACATGCTCTGGACCTAACCCAGGGCAACCTGCAGGCGTCCATTGATGCACTCGAATATGAACGCGAGGAGGCGGAGAAAAACAAAGGTAACAATAACGCACCGGCTGAACGTCCCCGATCATGTTAGATACGACCATTACCAAACCCATATGCATACTACAACTGAATGCCAACACCCAAAACTGGGCAATCCACAGTCTTCTGAATTCGGTGGTAGGCGAGAACAGTTTTGACTTAGTACTAATCACAGAACCATGGTGGGGCGACATCGGAAGCGGAAACAAGGGACTGGTATCGGAATCTGCTGTCAGCTGGACCCCTATTATCCCGGTCTCAGCAGTACCAGATGGCCGTCGATCACGCGCCCTAGCGTATGTTCGAAAAAGACCAGATTTCACTGTCACACTACGCTCGGACCTGGCTGATGATCTTGACATGCAGATCCTTGAGGTACAACAGGCACCACACCTCACGACAATTATTGTCAACATATACAACGACAACAAGAAGCAAGGTAATAAGTCAGCAGCTAAACGCCTCCAACAGGTCAACCTCCCTGATGACACACCAGTCACATCAGGGAAAACCTCCCGCGCAAATTGGTCAAAATTATATGTTAATTGTCAAGAATAGTCGAGATTCTACGTGTTCCAGCGATTATCAAGATTGTTGAGAATTACATGAAATAGACGGCCCCTGCCGATTTCACTTATTAATTCTCAACATTTCTTAACATTACACACATTTGTTACAGGGTTTTCTCTTCAATTCTTGCTATTATACATGTTGTGACAACGAATCAGGCCTCATTTACTCAATAATACAGTAGGAAAATGAGCATGTTATTAGACAGTACAAAGTATAATACTTAAAGAGATATGTTAGTCATCGAAAGGGCACTTGCATACCGCCTGGGCAAATAAGGGAGAAAAATCGCCAGCATACCATCCCGTATCCTAAGAGGCCGTGAGGGTTTCGCAGTCACGTTCACAAAGACACGGTCGTTGGAGGTGCCCCCTCCGATCGTACCAGCGGGCGCATGCGGGGAAAGCTCGAACTTCTCGACATAATAGCTCGGCAAAATCGCAGCCGCGGACCTCCTGAGCCAGCCGCCCCTTCTCCGTGCATCATCTGTACCGGCAGAGATGAGATCATTGGAATTGCCGTACTCATTTGGCAGTGCACGATCTGATGGACCAGGAGGGGAGCCAGGGGGCGGGTGTGTGTAGTCATAGTCAACGGCTTTGAGGTTATATATTCCTGGTGTGGATTGTTCGTGCGCAGATGACGGCTCGGGGTCATTGTACGCAAGGGGGTGGTAACCGCTGCGGGGGTTTATGGGGTGGTGTGGGTCGACTCCAGCATCCGACTAAATTTGATGTGTTGAGGGGGGCCGGAGTCGGAGCATCCATAGATGCCCTGCATTTTCATTTTACTAGTAACCGAGTTAGTCTTTCAGCGAGGCACATAGAACGTAGTGACGCGCCTCGAGTGTTGCCCTTGTGCTACTACACAATACTATGCCTAGCATTGCGTGCCAATATCAGCTTTGTTAAATGCATCCGTGAGGGGTGACAGAGAAAGCACGTACCATAGAATAAGTGTTGCGGGTCAACAAAGACGTGAATATGAAGCAGAGAAGACGGACGCTGCAGTGAACCAGTGCTTGCTCTTGTTTGGTCCAATCAACGTCATCACGTGCCGTTGGACTTAGCAATTCCTGGGCGATGACTTCAACTCACCCTTGCAAGTTGCATCGTCACTGGTTGATCACCTATACCCCATATCCCGCACTTATCTCGCAGCTCATATCTCCTGCCTTGCCTGGCATCTCCCCACCTTACCTGCCTCGCTGACTGCATCTGTCCAGCCTCCACATGTCATCTTGCCCTTGCATCTTGCCTCCTCCACCTCTCTCGCCTCACGTCTTTGTACACCTTGCATCTGCTGTCCCGCATTCTCACCTGCCTCGCGTTCTTACCCATGCTGCTCAGTTGGACACATCGGCAACATCTAATACGCCATTCGGATCGCTTCGAACCGGCTGCTGCATTTACAGCCATCTTTGCTGAGTGTCGAGCCGGTGCTGTTTCTGCTTTTGCTGTGTGATCATGGTAAGCACTGGTTCAGCTGATGACTCTCTTCAAGAGTGTTCTGGAGGAACTGTTTTCCAAGATCCCAGTAGAGTTTCTGATTAGCGTACAATTTACATGTAATTATGAGGTTTTCAAATCAGATTATCATTGAAGTCGAGATATTGAGTGACTTTCCTCAGTGCACGATGCACTTCAAATTTTCTCGTTCTTGTGAATTATCCACAATTATCATACATTTCTTCACAATTGTGCTGGGTGGTTTTTCCTGATGTCATTGAAGTTGAGAAATTAAGTGACTTTCCTCACAATGCACTCCAAATTTTTTCATTCTCATGGATTATCCACAATTATCATATAATTCTTCGCAATTGCGCTGGGAGGTTTTTCCCGATGCATCATATCAGGCGACTGGAACCTCCACCACCCCTTATGGTCAAGACACGCCACACCTGCTAATGAATCCACAGAGCAGACTGTTGACTGGCTAACACAGAGAGGATTCTCCCTGATGAATGAGAAAGGGGAACCAACCTTCTACTCACATTCCCATCAGACGTGGTCGACCATAGACCTCACCTTCATCAATCCAAAAGCGGCAGAACACGACGCAGCCAAACATTGGAGAGTGGACCAAACAAAGGCATTCGGCTCAGACCACTTTGCGCTGAGATGGGAGCTAGACTACGGCAAAAGAGAAATCGAAAATCTCACAGGTAAACATTTCAACTTCAAGGATGCTGACCCTCAGAAGTGGAAGGAGGCTTTCAAGAAAGTGATTGAGTCGAACAATGCTGATCTCATGCCGCTGCTCGACCTGAAGGCCACCTTCACAGTGGCCCAACTCGACAAGGCAACAACACAGGTAACGAAAGCGATGCAGGAGACTAACGAAACCACAGTGCCCACACGGAAACCCCACGATCGGGCAAGGCCATGGTGGAACAAGGAGTTAGACAAAGCCACAATGCGAATCGCAGAACAGCGGTCTCTCAACCTCGTACACCAGAAGCGATGGGGTAAGCAGTCTGCCAATGTAACTTCGCTGATCAAGAAATCGCAGAACTACTTCAAGCGTCTCTACAAGTCAGCGCACGCACAGTGGCTGACATCAACACTAGAAGAAGCCACCACAAAGGACATCTGGAGCTTCCCGAAGTGGGGCAAAGGAGTACGTACCTATCCATCCCCAGCCATATCTCAGGGACCAGGCCGGGAACCGGCAGTACAACACAGCGACAAGTGTGACGCTCTACGGGACGAGCTCTTCCAACCTCCCCCACCATTACAAGGAGCAGCATACCCCGATTTGACAGCCGCCATGGCAGGAGACCTCCCGGATAACGACGTGACAACAGACGAAGTACACCAAGCAATCTATGACCAGGGAGCCGACAAAGCCCCGGGATTATCACAAGTCCCATTCCGCCGGATCAGATGGGCATGGGAGGTAAAAGCTGACCTGATAACCGCACTGATGCACCACTGCATCAAGATAGGCTATCACCCCAAGGAATGGCGCAAGTCCATTGCGGTCGCTCTGGCTAAGCCACGCAAACCAGATTACTCCAACCCGAGAGCCTACCGACTCATCCAACTCCTGGAATGCCTAGGCAAAGTCCTGGAATGCATTGTAGCCAACCGCCTTGCATACCTCGTCACAGTACACAACCTTGTACCAGCCAACCAATTCGGAGGACGCCCGAGCAGCTCCACAGATGATGCAATACTCACCTTTGTCAATGATGTAGAGGCTGCGCAGAACCACGGTAAAGTCACTTCTGCACTAACATTTGATATCAAGGGATTCTTCGACTTCGTCAACCACAAACGGTTACTCACAGTCATGCGCGAGAAAGGCATCCCACTACAACTAGTATGCTGGACTGCATCATTCCTAACGGAATGACAAGCAGCCATTTGCCTCGACGGGATATGCGGGGAAATGAAACCGGTGGAGAACGGCACCCCACAGGGGTCCCCGGTATCTCCCATTCTATCCATTCTATACGCTGCTGAAATACTCGAGATCTTCGAACAGAAAGCCATAGTGGACACACAAGCCAAGGCATCCGGGCTCAAACTACCCGACAAACCAACGGCCGTCCACCTCGTTATGTTCGTGGATGATGGAAAATTGTACGTCTCCTCAGACTCATTCCTTACTAACACCAGAATATTAGGAATCGCATATACGGAGGTTGCGAACTGGCTCGAGGGCATAGGCCTAGCCCCCGACATGGTCAAGCGCGAACTCATGCACTATTCCAAGCGATGCCGCGTGGATGGCGATGCACCGCCCATCACCCTCCCTGACGCGAAGGGCGAACCTACCATCATCAAGGCTGAAACCACGACGAAGTGGCTAGGCGTACACTTAGACCGCAGACTAACATTCGACTTTCACGTCAAACAGATTGCCGGCAGAGCAGAGAAAACAGTAAGTGGCATGGGAATGCTAGCTAACACAGTCAAAGGACTATCGCAGAGCCACCTCCGGACGCTTTACACCGCATGTGTCCGCCCAGTCATGACGTACGCAAGCGCGGCATGGTGGACGGGCAAGAAAGTACACGAACATTGGTTAGAACGCGTCCAACGACGAGCACTGCGACTTATCTGCGCAGCGTTCCGTACTACCCCAATCGTAGCTCTCGAACTTGAGGCTTCGATACTCCCGATCCGACACCACCTCGAACTGACTAGCGACCGCGCGGCGACCCGGTTCAACAAACTAACCCCATTCAACCCAATTTTACAGCGCCTACCGGATACATGGAGAAGTGTACACACACAGAACAGGATACCAGGCCCACCACTGCCAACGCACTGGAAGGTCACAGCCAGACGGAAGTCCCCGCCGAAGTCTACACGACTGACCCGACTGGCGCTACGATCTGACCCACTCGCCGAACGCATCCTCCCATTATGCCTACCACCATGGAAGAAGACCATGCAGGAATACCAAGGACGTCTAGTGATCACACCGGCCCAGAAAGGCACAGCAAAAGATGAAGCCATGACGGCCCACAACAACAACATAAGTAATTTCAATCACTCACCGAAACACTCACTATTATATTCAGATGGCTCCATGCTGGAAACAGCAGGGAGACGGCGAGTCGGAGCTGGATACGTAGGCCTAATCAACATGAAGACTACCATCCACCGCAAGATCGGCATGGGCAAGAAGGCAGAGGTATACGACGCGGAACTCGCTGGCCTTGCATGGGCGGCGCGCGATGCTACCCACTATATCCATACGACTAACCATGCTGTCCAACACCTCCACTTCTATGCGGACAACACCTCCGCCATCTCGACAATTTTCGAACCGAAGACAGGCCCCGGGCAAGGCCACGGACGCATCTTCAGACAGACCATCACGGAGTTCCTCGATGCGAACCCTGAGAACACCGTGGAGATCGCGTGGTCCCCAGGACACAAGGGCATTATCGGCAATGAACGAGCAGACAAACTCGCCAAGCAAGCCACGAAGATCGTCGACGGCACGTTCACGACCACACGCGCCCACGCGCTGCGCCGAGCGAACGAAAAAGCTTTCGAGAGGTGGACGGCGGAATGGAAAAAGACGGCGCCCACTGGACGATTTGCAAGTGCGAACCGCCTACCCCCACAGACACACCCACGCAAACCGTTCACGGACCTCCCGAGAGAGGTCTTTGGAAGGCTGGTCCAATGCCGAACTGGCCATGCATTCCTAGGCGAGTATTATGCACAATTCGTCCCTTCTGAAACAGTTGACTGCCCCTGCGGCGCCCACTTCCAGACACGAAAACACATTTTACAGGACTGCCCTCGATACAACAACTACCGACATATCCTACGCGAGGCCAGCAAGACCATCGACATACCCACCATCCTAGGCACGACCGCCGGAATCGCAGCGCTCGGCTGCTTCCTACAGGAGAGCGGGGCCCTGACGAAGACCGGAGTGAAGAGGAAGGAGGCGAAGATTGCACAGTGGGAAGATGAGGAGGAACCCGCGCAAGACGAATGGAACGAGAGCGCCTCGGAGAGAGAGTCCAACAGCGACGACGACGTCGACGAAGCATAGACGAAACACTTACAGAGACACCAACGGTACTCGCTGCACAGCAACATACTGCTCCCACCCCCACAACTACAGCAATTGACATCTGTGCACCAGGGGAACAATTTCGACTTGCGCCCCTGGGAGAAGACACCGCCCATTTCTCCCTTTTCCCGTTTATGTCTTTTCTCCTTCTCTAACTTATTACACATGCGCCCTGTAGGCTCATGAGATTATACATGCTGTATCGCTACCGAGGACTTCCTCAACCACGTACACTCCCCGACACAACCTATACCCCGCCCTACTTTTATCTACTATATAAACCTCACGCAGTACCTACCAGAACCAATCTCCACCTGGATGTTCTCCCCATCGTACTGTAGTTAGTCATGTACAGACCGGAGTTCACCGCGTCTTAGCACTCTGTTTGCTTGTTGCGGTATATAAATGCCGAGTTGATCATCACTATATGATGTGCACAAGCCTTCTAATACGATCACATCTCGCCCTTCTTCATCCGCGTCCCGAAAATACCCGTTCCCACTCGAACAATATCGCTCCCAGTCTTGAGAGCCGCTTCAAAATCACTTGACATGCCCATGCTCAGCACGAGGTTTCCACTCTCCCCCCACTTTCTTGCAGCAGGTAAATCTGCCTTTGCAAGGGCCTCCTGCAGAAGATCGCGCGTATCCTTGAGCCGCTCGAAGTCCTCGTTGGGCTTCTCGGCCGACGCGAGCGACTCGGTGAGAGACCCGATGGTCATCAAGCCCTGAAGGTGCAGCTTCGGACAGTCAGTTATAATGTGCCGCGCAAGCTGGATCAGCTCTGCGTCGGGAGGAGAGTTGGGGGAAAGAGTAGAAAGGCCAGATTTAATGTCCTCGCCAGAGGTGTTGACTTGGAGCAGAACGTGAAGAGGGGAAACTCGCTCCGTGGGGATGGCCTTATTTAACGCCGTGGCGGCCTTGGTTGACGTCACGGTTTGGATAGCATACAGGCTCGGGATGGCTATGAGGGATGAGGACCAATTGCTCGCCTTTGATGCAGCCACAGAAGTCAGAGAACGCACAGTCACATACATGCTAGTAATTTGGCTTTGTTAGACTGCAGTGTTCCTATGAAGTGCCATTTGACATCCAGCGGCAGCTGTGCATTGCATGAGTCATTATGTAGGATTGCAGCAAAATGCGACCATGACTTGCCTGGTGCGCTTTATCGACCAGTTCCTGCACGTAATTTTCTCCGAAGTCACGCTGACCATCGTCGTAGCAGGCTTGGATGTCCGACGCGGGTTTGTACTTCGAAACCGCGACGAGTGTGGGCTGTCGACTCGCGGATGGTCCGGAGGCTTGCTGTACTCGCGCCCGAATCTCCGACAAAGACTCCTTCAGCTCTTCGACGCGTTCTACCGACGCTTTAGCCACGCTGAATGTCGACGACATTCTGACTTGAGCACAGCGGAGAAGTTGCATAAGTCGAGTGGCGAGAACCCCGAGTGTACTATCGCTTTGATGTATAGTTTCTCACACTTATAATCCAGAGTCTAGAGTTGCTATAGGGCCACAAGTAAATCGGATTTTCCCACAGTCACAAAACGATCTATGACCTCAAGTGTTCTTGGCACAGTTGGGCGAAAATGAGGTCGAGCTGATTGGTGGACGCGAACTGCGGGCGCCATGAACATGTCCTGTGCATGCACGATGTCCGTTGCACCAGTTTTTCTTATCCCTAACGCTACCCTGTCGCACTAGATACCTGGGCTACTAATGGATACAGACCCTACCCAAGGCACTACTCACTTGAATTGGGGAAATGTCGCGCTCGCCTTCTCTTTCATCCTTCTCGATGCCGGCATCTCCCTCTCGTTCGGTCTCGGGGTCGGCAGCGGGCTTGTCACTGCCGCCATTAGATGCGTGCTCCAGCTGAGCGTTGTTGCGCTCATATTGCAGAAGGTATTTGAGACGAACAATCCATGGGCAGTTGCGGCGATTGCTTGTGCGTTGGCCGTTGGTCGTTTGTTCGCGGTACACTGACATGCAAGCGACGCGTCAGTCCTGTTGAACTTGATGGGGACCATTGAAACAGGTCAGATCTTTCTGCATATTGGCACTGATATCCACTTGAACGGTCTGCGCCAGTCATTAACAAGTCAAAGCGCCGCTATCAATATATGGTCTGTATACCATGCTCTCGCATGTGAATCTTTAACTCAGCGCGCGACAGTTCCCGTCCGTGCTCTTCGGTATGCTCAGCTCCACTATACCCGTCTCCGTCATTGGCATTCGTTACGCTATGGGCGTCCAACCATTGTGGAAGCCAGAGCAATACAGTACGTATTATCCTGACTTCTTACTCTCTTTACTAAATACTCGTCTAGTCCCTGTGGTGGGTATGCTCTGTGGTGCCACCATCTCAGGAATAGTCGTTTCGGTGTCGTATGTCTTGAAAGAGCTCAGGTGAGTTTCTGACAACTACTGCTACGTGCGGCAATGAACAGGCATTAAACCTAGCGACAACCGAGACAAAGTAGAGATGTACCTCGCCTTCGGCGCGTCGCGATTCGAAGCGTGCAAGCCCATCGCGACCGAAGCGCTCCGGGTCGCGCTCACGCCTAACATCAACCAGATGAGGTGCGCTCTACTCACACATGTTCACCGGACATCCGCTGAACGAAATGCAGTGTGATCGGCATCATTGCGATCCCGGGCATGATGACTGGCGCGATACTCGGCGGGTCCTCCGTCGAACAGGCCGCCCGCCTGCAGATGGTGATCATGTTCATGATATCCTCGTGCACCGCGCTCTCGTCCATCGTCACCACCGGTTTAGCACTCGCAGTCGTGGTCGACAACCAGCACCGTATCCGCAGCGATCGCATCGATAGCAGGAAGCATTTCATATGGAGGGCGACCGACCGGGCGATGGGGAAGGTGATTGATGCCGTGAAGAGCGCAGGGAACAGGGCTTGGTCTGCGGTCATGAAAGCTTTCAAGAAGGAGGATGGCATTTTAGAGAGTGACTCTGGGGAAAGAGAGACTCTCCTGGGTTGAGGAAGGCTAGTCGAATTGTAACCGGCCGCTGGGAATATCGTTGTAGTGTAGGGACTCAAAATGTCTGCATATCGAAGCGCTCGGTGAACGCTGTTTTCATGCCACAACTTGTTCGTTCTACGAGACCTTCCTCACTGGGAGTATGATGGAACCAAAGATTGCTTCTGCCGAACTCTGCCGCGGATGATCGCGAGTCACTTTGCAGCAGAAGTATCCACCATTTTATCGCAATTATCGTCTATCTTATAGGCTTTTTAGTGTAGTAAGTTGTCATATCCGCAAGCATATAGCATTTCTAACGCTGAACACAGATTCCAACTCTCCGAGTGAGAGCAGCCCGAATCCCGATGGTCAACAGCCTCCCGCCAGAATTCTACACCCCCTTCCTCTCGGACGCCGCAAAAGCGCGCAAGCCGAGCCCAAGTAAGCCACGTCCTCGTCTTTCCCCTTCTCGCCCAAACCAACCACTCAAATCAGCCCAGTCCGCAGCCTGTACCCGCTCGAGGCGCAGCCGGGCGTGATCTCGCTGCTCGCGGGGAAGCCGAACGGGGACACGTTCCCGCTCGTATCTGTGCAGCTGCGCGCGCGCATGCCCGAGGACCCTGCCCAAGTGCGCACAACGGAGATCTCGGGACAGCAGCTAGCGGAGGCGCTGCAGTACGGACCGACAGCGGGCACGCCTGCGCTCACCCGGTGGATATTTGGTCTGCAGGAGCGCGAGCATGGGCGGTGCCAGCGGGAGGGGTGGAGGATTAGTGTTGGTACTGGCTCGCAGGATGTGATTTTTAAGGTACGGTTGTCTGGGGTGTTGTGCTTGCCTTTAGTGCTGAGTTAAGCGCGCAGGCCTTTCACGCGATCGTGAACCCTGGAGATGCTGTTCTCGTGGAGAACCCTGTTTATGCGTAAGTACCTGGCGTCTTTGTCTGTCGTCGCTGATTTGGATGGACGGTTCAGAGGCGTCCTTCCAATACTACACGCCCTGCACTGTGATTTGGTCGGTGGGTTATAGCCATGGTTCCACATGTAAACAGTGGCTGAAATATTGCTCTGTATCAGAAATCCCGACCGACTCCCAAGGAATTCTGTCAGGCTCATTACGGTCCACGTTGGAGAACTGGCCAGCATCCAAGCCGAAGCCCAAAGCCCTCTATACTGTACCTGTGAGCATTCCCAAATAATACCTCCCCTCTGTATTGCATATTCATAACACATTTGCAGTACGGGTGCAATCCAACCGGAACAATCGCCGCGCTCGAACGGCGACGGGAGGTGCTCGACCTCGCGCGAGAACATAACTTCCTCATCCTAGAAGGTGAGTAACCCTACGAGCGAGTCACGAGCTGCAGCACGGCTGACAAGGTGCGCCAGACGATCCCTATTACTATCTGTACTTCGGGAGCGCGGAGCGCTGCCCGTCGTATTTCAAGCTCGAGCTGGAACAGCCTGAGGTCGGGCGCGTGCTGCGGTTCGACAGCCTGTCGAAGATCCTCTCTTCCGGGCTGCGAATTGGGTTCGTGTCTGGCCCGGAGCCGTTGCTGCAGGCCATCGACATGCATGTACGTCGCGCTCACTCCTTTCCCTCTCCATACATGCCAGCTGAACCCCCCTCCCAAGACCGCCGTCGCAAACCTGCAGCCGTCGTCGCTGACGCAGATAATCGCGTTCTCGCTGCTCGACTCCTGGGGGTACGACGGGTTCCGGACGCACACGCAGAATGTATCGCGGTTCTACCGCGAGAAGCGTGACATGTTCGAACGCGCACTGCAGCGGCACCTCGCGGGCCTAGCGGAGTGGAACACGCCTGAGGCTGGGATGTTCTACTGGTGAGACTTACTATGTTGCCGATGCAGCAGCACTTCATGCTCATGTCGGCGTACGTCGCGCAGGTTCAAGCTCCTACTTGGCGGCCCGGATGAAGGAGATTCGGAGATCCTCATCCGGACGAAGGCGTACGAGCACGGTGTGCTTGCACTACCGGGAACAACCTTCTTGCCTAGCGGGGGTAAGACTGCGTATGTACGTGCGTCGTTCAGTATGGTTTCGGAAGAGGAGATGGAGGAGGCTGCGAAGCGACTCAGGCAGGTCGTCCTAGACGAACGACGAGCTCGGACGTAAAAAGATGACGGGCATTCGGCCGTCGGTATAGTACTCGAGCAGGGATGAAGCATTGTAATAATCCTCCGAGTGAAGAATTCACCGGCGCCCTGTAAATGAAGGGGGATGCATTTTATTCGGCTTACCGCAACACAGATCTGGTTATCACGTCATGATGATAGCGCCAATTGTGCTTGCGCTTCCTTTGCCCTCTTCTCCGCCGCCGCCTTCGCCTCGCTGAGAGGCTTGCTCCAGCGCGCCTCTGGAGGGTCCCAGATCCCAAACTCCCGCTTCATCTCTTCCACGTCTTGCTCCCACCGCTTCTCCCAGTACACCGTGATGAGGCTCTGCGCGGTGGACCCGCACTTGACTGCCCAGGGCACGAACTCCCTAAACAGCCGCGCGCGCTTCTGCGGGTTCAGGCGGAGGTGGCCGAACGCGGCGGAGAAGCCCGCAACGGGGAGGCCGAGGTTCGCGAACTCGAAGAACTTGAGCGCGAGCTCGGACTCGACGTTGACGGGCAGCGAGCAGACGCAGTGGTAAAAGTCGTGGCACTCGCGGTAGCGCTGGAGGACGTACGCGAGCTCCGGGTCATCGATGTAGTGCACCTAGGCAGGGAAGAGGGTCCACGTCAGGTTGACTGTATGACATAGTGCGTAAGAATGTGTGGGCTACGAACGGGTTCACGGGTGTCTGGCGTGACGCCGCAGCGCTCGAGCCAGGTAACGTACGCGCGGCCGAAACTGCCCTCGGGGAGTAGCGCGAGTTTATTCATGTCAACCGTGTGGGTGTTCACTCGCGGTCTGTCTTTCAGGATCTGGCGACCCTCCTGACTCTGTAGCATCCTGTCTCGTAGACGGGGCAGAACAGGCCCAGACGTGGTGTCCCCCAACGCCGCGACCATGTCTTAGGCGGGGGGAGGTAAGACAGATGGCCCGTAACGGGGACGCGGCAGAGACACACACCTCCTCTCCGTGGATTTGAGAGCGACACCAGGGCAGAACCAAGTGCGAGGATACCGTTCTCAACCCAGCTGAGGTGGATGTGCCCTTCGTACGCAGGGGTGCGAACGGAACGGGTCTGACATCGGGCTGGAGATGTTATAGTACTGCTGGAGGCTGTGGCGACGCGTAAAACCGAGCGCAGCGTTGAGTTCATCAGAGCAACGGTTAGAGACATTGTCCTTCTATAGGGCCGCACGGATGAGGAGAATAACCAAGACCGCGCACCGTCCTGAGATCGGAACTTACGAAGAATGTTTCAGGAATAATTACAGTACAATTCCGTCTGTTCTGTAGATAAAAACCCTGGACTTTGCGTGAAGATGGGAGCAAGAAGCTCGGTGGTGGTACGAGGTAAAGCTCTGAAGTGGTGAGATGGAGACGCGCGTGCCTGCAATCGAGACGCGTCGCGACTGCACGCGGAGAAAGCCGAGCTGTCTCTTCTGAAGGCCATTACCTCGTCCACCGCAAGCCTGGAGGTTGCAGTCGTCAGTATACGTGTAATCTTTGACCAAAAATCGAGTACGATGCATTTCCTTCATATTCCGACCCATGTAATGCTAATTGACGCGTCATTCCCGCGTTCTGCAGGCCCGAGAGCCTGTTTCTGGTGAAACCCATTTTCATTACCCTCAAGTTCACAGGATAATCGCTGTGCGTATCTTTGAGCTTCGCCGAGTCGTTGGACGCATCACCTTTTGGACTGAACTCACCTCCCTCGTTCGTCAGCAGGCGAACACAGTGACCACGAGCTATGGCACGCATCGAGAACGACCAAGAGATTGCTATTCGGCTCCCTACTCGCGCCGGAAAGTTCGTTACAGCTCGCCGTTGTATCAACGACCTGCCCTTGGACGTACTCATCACCATATTCAAGATGGTATACTTCAACTCTCGCAAAATTGGACATTATGTTCGGAAACTCGCTGAAGATAGTGACGTCGAATGGGAGGATCCGGACGAAGGCATACCTACAGATTGGCACAAAGACGATGATCTTTTCTCCCCTTCCCTCTTCCCAGAAGCACTAGCTGCGGTATGTCCGCTGTGGAGAGAAGCCATGAATTGTGTCTCAGTCTTCTGGACTCGCCTTGTCATCATCGTCGGACAACATCCCACTCCTCTATCCGAGATTAGCTCCTACCTCACCTTCTCACGCAAACATCCTATTGACATCATCATTACTCACCGCCCCCAGGACGTTAACTCGAGCGACACCTCAGGGGAAGTTAGAGTAGCGGAGATCATGGAATTACTGCTCCCTCACATTGGGCGCTGGAGAAAATTGCACATCAATGTTGCTCTAGAGTCTTCACTCCCTTCTCGCATTTCAGATTTACGCGGCAACGCGAGTGCTTTGACCAGCCTTCGTTTGGAATCCAGCTCCCCAAGAACAACGAGAATGGACAGAATACTTCGACTAGTCGAGGACTTCCAAACTCCCGCATTGCAGGAACTCGTATCGGATGGATACGTCTTCCGCGATGCCTACCTCTCCTCCCCGAAGTCTCTCGCCTCTATAACCACCCTGACCATTTCACACTTCAGCGCCTGGAACTTCGTGGGAGACAGCAAGCTATTCTTTGTCAGCGAACTCGTGGTATGCCTGCACCGTCTGCAGAACCTCACGGACCTGCGCCTGGTAGATCTGGTCCTGGATGACTTCATGACAGTATCTCGACTACCGCAGAATGCTTCACTCGACATCGAGTCCGTGCGCTTCGAGGGCATGCACGGCTCGAACCTGTCCAATTTCTACTATGTTGCAAACCGCCCCCGGTTCACCTACCTAACTTTCGGCCGGTACACGCTCCCGCACCGCATCAGCATGGGCGGGTGCATGGAGCTGAACCTGTCCGACCTTTCGCCGGACTCGGATATTCATGCATTGCTGCAGGACTGGGACGGCGATTGTGATAATGCCCTATCTGTTTCGAATTGCTCCAGCTTCGACGGTCGCGTCCTGCTACAGCTCTCTGTTGCAGCAAATGGGGAGTGGCTGTGTCCCAGAATGACGTCCCTGGACGTTGAGGACTGTCCCTTATTCAACAGTGGGGATCTCCAGAGAATGGTGCAGGCGCGTCGAGAGGAACACGCCAAGTCTGGCTTCGCCGATGAGGGCGATCCCAATTTTACGATTCCGTCCATTGAACACCTTTCGGTATCGCACAGTGGCGACCTCACGAGCGAAGACAAAGCGTGGTTCGACAAGAACGTCAAGTATGTGACTTGGGATGAGTGGACGGGAGGGTACGAATACGGACAGTTCACTGGAAGGAGGCGACAATGATGAAAGACATGTAATGCGGGTGTAAGCTTACTTCCAACCTCATGCTGAATTATTCGTGTTGAGTCGATGTGCAAATCTAGTGCGCGTTCACATGTCTTCCGTACCTGCATATGACGATGTGATCTCTGGGAGTAGCCTTCTGGAGGCCTATCACAGTGGCGAAATCTGCACTGATGAATCTATCTTCTATTCTCTGTTGACGATGCGCAGCTCTGCCCGAATAACGCTCAGACCGCTGGATCCATCACTGGATCTTCCTGGATCTACTCCCGGAGCTGTGTTACAAGAAACGACATGTCTGCGTTGATGGAGTCATACTCAGACTGAGTAAATTCGAGGATTCCTATCTAGAGCCGAGATGCTCACATCTCTCTGTGATTCATAATCAAGGTCTAGGATGCTTATCAACCCAGGACGATGGAGGACACTCCGATACTTGCTATCGCCAATGCGGACAAATGTGGTACGAGAGATAAGTTATCAACCTCTTGGGCTCAAATGGTACATGCGGTTGCAGACTTCGTTGTCTGCTTAGAAGTTATCACAAGCTTATTTAGGAATACCTCCGTGATGCCGATGCGGCTGCAACACTCAATTCCAGTGTCTGACCGAATAAACTGTTGACATAAGGATATGCGCCACGAATATTATCATTTATCAATCTTGCACTGACAATCGCATCTAAAAAAATCCCGCCGCGATCGAATAATTTCAGATAGATACAGTCATACGAGCGTAGAGAGGAAGACAAAGGCATCTAAAGTGTGCGCGACTCGCTATATTTGGCTCTCCATGCAAATCGTCTAATGTCCCGGAGTGGTGGTGGTAGTGATCGTCTTCACCGAAGTCGACGTTAACACATCGGTGGAGGTCGCGGACGAGGTAATCGTGGAGGTACGGGTGCTCGTCACCGGAGTGGTGGTAATAGACTGCACATCGATCGTTCGCGTGCTCGTTACGAAGACAGTGGTGTAGACGTAAACTAATAACAGAAACAGCAGGTGAGCGCAAGGTGCAGTTTGCTATTATCAGACTTACCGGCGTTGACACCAGAAGCCACGAGGACGACCGCCGCGATGATACTCTTGCTGAAGTACATGATGAATAATAGGCGAGGAGGCGTAGAATAAGTGCGTGTGTGATGTGTGTTGAGTGATAATTTTTTGTCAAATTTCATAAGGCTTATATACCTTTTGACGGTGCCATTAGCGTCTTCTGCGAATGACGCTGCATGGACGCGGAGGGAGTGGGAAGAATGACGGAGGCGGACACCAGCCGCTACTCTACCAATGCTTTCCAGCAGTATCCGAAGTTCCGTTTCTTTATTGGGTGATCCCGCTACGCTCTCGCAGGGCGGTCGCACAGATTCGCAGCGGCAAAATTTGTATCCGTACCCCATTGGTCCAAAGGGTCATAGGTTACTCGCTATCCGCCTGCCGCATCCGCCAGCCGCTCCATTGGTTTATCCCGTCCTCTGGCAGCGAGCTCAATGCGACATACCCCCCTTTGCAGTCGATGATGTTGATGGTGTCCAATGTCTTCCTTCCGATGACAGGACCGACGGTGGTCGTCATTATCCGCGTTCCCGCGAATCGACGGACCTTCACCTCCCTGTTGTGGGCATCTCGATTCGAAGCGGCGGTGCTATCAACCCCGAGCATAGCACGATCGTCCAGGACCCCCGACAATTGGCGGAAATGCCTGATCCTGAGGGGCCAAAAATGTCCGTTGGTAGAAGCCGGTTTTTGGCCTGAAATGTCCGCAAAAAACCAGGCCTCCGGCCCTCGGAGGTGAAATTTGTCCGGGTTTTGGACCAGGCATCCGTTCATTGCAGAAATGTCCGGGCTCCCGGATCAGGCCTCAGGAGGCTCTAATTTTGTCCGTATTCACGAACCAGGCCTCGGGAGGCTCCAATTTTCAGAACAGCCTTCCAAACTGCAAGGATGAAGGATGGGCTGATTCATTCTGACTCTTATCAGGCATGTCATTCCTGTTGGCAGGTTGCATATTGTTGAGGACGGATCAGGAGAAATCTGGTATCAAGTGATAGTATAACTAACTTTTACAGCCATGCTTGAAGTGTCTATATAGAATTCAAGACTACTATGAGAGTGACATTGCAAATCACTTTCTACTGTCCTTAGTGAGTTGTCATCAGGAAGACACTTATGCAAGGTTGTCAACTATGAACTTGGAAGCAGCATGTCTGTTTCCGAGGCCGACTAGACAGCATCTAGACATGGCCCTTTGAAGATGGTAAGCCTGAGCCTGTCCAAGCCCCCTTCCGTCCCGATGCCGGCCTCCGGCCGGAGTTGAACTTGTCCGGAGGGGGATCAGGCATCCATGATGTCCGGTACATTTGTCCGTGAAAAACCTCAGGCTATCCATGGGTTGACCCCTTGATTTGTCCGTGAAAAATCAGGGATGGTGCTCCCAAATGTCCAAAATTTGTCCGAAATCGGCTCAGGGATCCTCCCCAATTGTCGGGGGTCCTGATCGTCCCGGCAGCCCTCAGATCGATCACCTGTAGCTTTCGATCAACGACTCGAGTACTGCTGTGTGGTTTGTCTTTCTTCCCGTTTACTTTGCCAATTTTTTCTGCATGAAGTCTTAGTGTACATGCTTCGCAGGTCATCCGATATCGTGCGTTCTGCGTGATAGTGTTCCCTTATTATCCAGGAGGATCGGCCAGTAGCAACTTACTAGTCATCCGCCGCATCGTAAATTCTTGTGTATGATCCAATTTGTTTTGCTATTGGTCTATTTGAAAATTATCCCTGCCATGACTGGATGTTGCTGCCTCAGCCTTACGCGAAATTTGATTGAACTATGAGCGGATATGGAAGGAAGCTTGTAATTTGAAATATGATTATCGATGCGGCCACCGTGACGTCCAGTCGCGTCCGCCGACAATGATGTTCCTCCTCCTCTGCATGTCTTTAAGTAATCTTCTAATAGCTCTCCTCAAATCTATTAATCTGCATGTCTCTGCCTGCCTGCGAGTCCTTCCGTTGACTTGCTTGCATTCCCATTAAGGCAGAGAGTTGCTCTCGTTCTCTCCTCTTGGAGATGGACCATGTGTCGTCACAGGGATGCGGATTGTCACTCCGGATTTGGACGAACAAGGAGAGTGGAGGGTGGTTCCCTTGCTGATCAGTTCCGTCGTCGTGTAGATCCACTTTCCACGAAGCTCCGCCGTTTCTTGTCGTGATCGCAGATTTGGTTAGTCTGACTCGCCAGGTGGACCGCCTTGTTTTTTTTTTTGCCTTGTCGTCATAGCGGGCCGGTTGGGGTTTCGAGCTATGGGCGTATACGAGGCGTGGCAGAAACAAGTTTCTCGCCTGCTTATTCAAGACGTTCATCGCCAGATCGGGAAAGGTCCCACACTATACGTCGTCGCAGCCATTTCACTGCCTCCAATATGTCACGGAAATCCCATAATTCCTACCTCGCAGCATCCCGTGGCCTGTCGCTGGCTGAAGGAACCTTGTTAAGAGTTCCTCGGGTCTAAAGCGGCATTTCGATACAATTTACTCGACCACTCTACGCCTCTCGTCAAGCGGCAATGCTAGAAGCGCAGCCGAACTAGCTGGGGACCAGGTGCGCTTCGACGAGGAATATGACCTTGACTATGCGGCAAGAGAGTACCCGGTTAACGATAGCCCGCTCGCAGACCTGAGAACGAGGGATTTGATTCAGGACATGCCCGCACTGCACTGTATCCGCATTTGAATGTTATGTTGTTTATTGCATTCAATTCCTTGTATTCTTTCGCTAAAATTCACCTACTCCAACGACTTTTCAGGCAGACCATGCGATATTCACGGTCAGTATCCTCCTCGAGTTACCCCGTTGCCTCCGCAATGCAGTCCGGTTCTCTCGGTCTTGCATCCGCTGTCCGCCACATGGAGTAAGATTACCACGTCTCTTCTCAACCCTACTATCCTTGCCCGTACTCGCGGAGTCCATCGCGGTAAACGTCATGAATACATGTGCTTCCGAGCGGCGCGCGGAACCTAATTTGTACCGGTGCGTACCTTTTTTAATATTTCGTACTCTGTGTTACCATTATCTTTAGCGTGAAGCACGCCTACTCTCTGAGAGTCGGTAGGTTCCAGTTATGAAAATTTTCGCAAACATATATTGTCAAGCTTGATCAAAATAGTGGAGAAACGAATACTCTTAGCTGGGCTGTTCCGACGGAGTGACGCCATATCCGACATGCGTAGGGCGGAAGGCCTCATTTGGACGTTCCAACAAATGCCGCGCGGGTTGAGTTCGACTTACTTCCGCACGCACATCTTTTCCGCGGCGGGTAGGCTTGCGGATGGCCTGAGCTCCCGCCTGTCCGCGGTAAAGGCAGAATATCCAAGTAGGACGTGAGCCAGGAGATCCAAGTATAAAGTGCAGTTTGACGACGCCCAGAAACCATCAACTCGACTTCTGTTCATCGTCCACACATCCTCACATAACACCCACTATAAACTCGATCCAAACAAGATGATGTTCTTCAGCACTCTTCCGCTCGCTGCTGTCCTTGCCGCCTGCTCCGCGGCGCTTGGTACGCAGCCACTTCATGGTTTTTCCTTCATAGTCTAACCATTATGTAGCGAGCCCTGCCGTGACGTCCACTACGACGGTGACGTTTATCAACCGTATCAATACCGTGACGTACGACACCACCACTACGGTCACCGCAACTTCTTATACGACGTCTACCACCCCGACTACCACAACGTTCACTAGTACCACGTCGACTACGACTGTGACGCCGACTACCACTACGACTACCGTGATCGTGTAGGCTCCTCAAGACCTGTTCTACTATTGTATCGTTATCGTCCATAGAGTTTACATGTATTGATTAAATGACTATTTTCTCCAGTTGAGCCCAAACATGTACGCATAAGTTTTAGTTCTGACCACAATCTCGTGCCGTAACTCGACCTCGTGCATACCTCTTCTGAATCAAATTCTCGCTTGAAAATCTTATTAGAAATGTGATTAGAATTGCTCATCCTCTCCTGGATCAATGAAAGATAAAAATTTTATGAAGGCTCCATACCTGATCCAACACGAGGATCTAAAAGTATGAACGTTTTCACTACTTATCCGTACCTTGAATCGCTCGATAGAGTAAATGTCATTGTATAATCTTCAGTTGCGACCAATCAGCCTCAATGACTTCCGCCCATATGATAATAGCTAATGAGCACACAAAGCTTGACGGATGGACTCATAGTATAGGTATTTCCTTTCGCCGCACTTCTTCTTGCCTCAAATGTCACCTCCAAGTTCCGTGTACGTCCGCTTCTCTCCAGACTCATCGCTCATAACTGACTTCGTCTGTTCAGCTCCGGGAACGACCACCATTACCCGCCCGCACACGTGAAGTGCCAGATGCTACGACATCGACAATCATCGCGACGCGCACCTCGAAAGTCTTTGTCATCGTACCGACAACAGTGGACTCGGTCGTGACTACTACATCGGTAGCGTCATCGTCACCACGACAAAGGCGACCGTTCCCTTGAGCAGTTCCCGCCACACTCGTGAAATGCATTTACATAAACTCTGTGTGCGAATGACCGGCGAATTAGGTGGTGAGAGTTCACCGGCTTAAGCCAGAATGGCGGCTCGATGCAAGGAACCTGCTTTGGGTATGTCAGCCACCCGTCCCAGAGAGATAACAATATCGCCTACTCGCAGGCTAAAGTCGTTCGCGTGTTCAGCTGCTTTGTTAGTATCATCCATTTCACCTACTTTTAAGGGTCATTACGTCCAGTCCTCACCCCCATAATCACGATTCGGCTGACAATATGTGACATCAAGGAAGTGTATAGAGATCGTCTCCGGACTTCTGAATGCTACATCTAGCTTCTGTAAGGTTGAAGTGTAAATGTCATTAAAATGGTGATATTTTGCCGTGCCTACGTTTACGGATCGCGAGCATCCTAGTTGGTGTTCGGACTGGGTTTCCGCGCCAGTGACAAATCCAGTGAGCGACGCTTTCAAAACGGACTTGGCCTGTGCGTAAGTCGCCGTGGAGAAGCTCACGGTGGATTGTACGTGAATGAGCCTTACGCCATCCCGAGCAGATACAGATCCGATAGACCATGAATGATCAAATCCTATCTCGCCGCTGGGAATTCTCTAAACACTTCTCGCCGCCGGGAGCGCACGTCACGATGCATCTGAGTAAGCTCACCTATATCTTTCCGTACTCACGGCACCACTGAGAAGCAGTATTTTAGTCCGGACCACCGTCAGGAGGTCCGTGACGTTGACGAGGCATGTTATCGAACAGATCTCGGGTTCCGATTGTGCAGAAAAATATTAATCCTACGCCCGATTGCTCGAGGCAGTGAGCGTTGGAGACCGCTCTGCAGGTTTAGATCAGCGTCAGTAAATGAAATTCATCAAGTTCAAGGTGGGCATCGTGAATTGTTTGACCAAACCTTGTTCAAATATTCAAACAACCAGAGAGCTTCGTGTGTAATGCAAAGGAATCGATCCGCGTCTGGCCGATCTCCATATCCACTATAATTTTCTCACTATGAGCGTAATCTCCTACCTACCTGCCTTCTACGATGGACCTTAACAGGTTAACTTGTCACCTCGTCACCTCTTCAAGTTTGTGGCCGCGGCGACAACTTCCACGATTAAACTTGAGCTCACGTGACAACATTCAGAAAAACTTGCCTTGGTGGCCGCAGCCTTTTGGCTGCAGTGGCTGAGAGGCCCTTGGTATTTTTTTGCGATTTCGCACCAATATGAAAACGGCTGTAAGCTCACACTAACATCAACAACCGCGGTGCGTGTCGCTTAGTTGTGCTGAATGATTGCATTGGGGTGGACTCACTTGGCTACAGACGTACCCTGTGGTGATCACAAATTCATGGCGCAGGTCGAGAACATGTCTAAAGCCTCTAAGGCGAAGGCGGATATCATATCGTAAACATCGCAAACAAAGAAATAGCTATCTGGCTACCTACTCGTGCCGGAGAACCCGTTAATGCTCGCCATTACATCAATGACCTGCCCTTGGACGTACTTATCGCCATATTCAAGATAAGATGGTATATTTCAATGCTCACAAGATTGGCAACTATGCTGCAAGATATTTAGAGGATGATGAAGGACACGGCCACCTCGAATATCTCGAGGAAGGCCTGCCTACGAATGGCGCGAAGACAAGGATCTCTTCTCCCCGTCGCTCTTTCCAGAAGCGATCATCGCTGTATGCCGCCTGTAGAGAGAAGCGATAAGTTGTGTATCCCTCTTTTGGACTCGCCTTGTTATTGTCATTGGTTCACATCCCACACCTCTATGCAAGGTCAGTTCTTATCTCACCTTGTCGCGAACACCGCCTATCGACATGTACATCGTTCGTCACCCCCAGAGCCTTAGCTCCATCGACATCTCGGAGAAATCTAGTGTAGCAGAGATCATGAAGCTGCTCCTCCCTCATATTGGGCGCTGGCGAAAGTTGCGCATCGTCGTCGACCGTGCAGTTTCACTCCCTTGCCCCGGGTTGGATTTGTGTGGTAATGCAGCTACTCTAACAAGGCTTCAGCCGGAGTCTAAACTCGATCAGCCCGCACGAAGGAATACAATAGACCCCCTTGCTGAGAACTTCCAAACTCCTGCGTTGAATGAACTCATCACGAGCGGACACATTTTTCGGGATGCATATCTCTTATCTCCGAAGTCACTGGCGTCTATCACAACCCTGACCATCTCCCACTACATGGTCGACAGCAAGCCCTTCTTCATCCACCATCTCATGCACTGCCTGTACCGCCTACAGAATCTCACGAACCTTGAACTCATGTATCTTGACCTGGACTGCTCGTCGGAGGGGCGAGGGCTAGATGACGACCAACAGCTCGACATCGAGCGCATGCACTTCCAAGGAATGCATGTCTCCTCACTCTCCTCATTCTATCGTGCCGCGAATTACCCCCGGTTTATTTATCTGACCTTCGTCTGGTGCGAACTCACGGAACCCATTCATATGGGCGGGTGCACGAAGCTGAACCTGTGCAATCTTTCTCCAGACTCGGGTATTCGTATATTGCTGGAGGACTGGGATGGTGACAACACGCTGTTCGTCATTCAGTGCTCCAACTTCAATGGCCATGTCCTGCAACAGCTCTCTGAGGAAGTGAGCATTGGAGAGTGGCTATGTCCCAGAATGACATCCCTGGTCGTAGCATACTCCACCTCGTTCACCAGTGAGAATCTCCAGAGAATGGTGCAGGCGCACCGAGAGGAGCACGCCAAGTCTGGTTTCGCCGATTGGGACGACCTCGACGATACAATTCCTTCTATTGAAAGCCTTTTGGCGTTCCGCTGTAGCGACCTCGCGAGCAAAGACAAAGCGTGGTTCGACAACAATGTCCAGTATGTGTCGTGGGATGAGTGGTGGGGGGGTATGAATATAGGTGCTTTCATGGCAGGAAATGCTGATGATTTCGAAAGTCAATGAACTATGGGGTACACACTTACTTCGGAGAACGTATGTATGTCCACAGTAATGCGTTTGCAAATTCATCGCCGCCCATTCAACTGATGCCTACATGCGGGAAGATGGAAAATGGCTATCGAGACACAGACACGCGATATGATTATCTCTTGAATCGAGACATCACTCTCCGCATAGAGGAGGAGTACACAGCGGTAGGCCAGTGCTTGTTTACAATGTTTACAATACGATATCCGCCTTCGCGCCAGTGGGCTTAGGACATGTCGACATAGAAGTCACATAATATTCATGATTATGTTTGAACATTCAAGTGTACGCATGCACAGTGTTGTGCGAGGTCAAGTCAACGGTCATGACCATTTGACCACTTTTGGTCATGACTTGATTTGACCATTATTTGACCTAGGTCAAATGGTCAAGGCGTGACCTGGATCCAAGCATCGGGTCTCTGCGGATAAATTTGCGGTTTCGAAGTCACGGCTTTCTGCCAAACTCTGAGGCAGAGCACAATTTGAGCATGAATTTTGTCCATTGGCTGTGTCCAGAAAGTGGCAGAACATGGTGTTGTTGCACCAGCCTGAATTAATACAAGTGCCTGCTACTTGGATAGCAGGGCCAAAGTTATTCAGCTGTATTATTGTTCATGTCGGCCGGAGACTTGCACACCAGTAACCCGGAATCATTGGGCTTCAACTCAGAGCACATCTCATATTGTATAACTACAAGTACTGTACAAGAGACCGCTCCGCCAGTTCTCCGAATAATGAGGTCATGAATAGCGAGCGTCGCGCTGGCAACCGCAGAGGGTCAAGTCACGCGTTGACCTTGAAACGAGTCAAACGGTCATGACCAGTCAAAATCGTCATGACCTAGGTCGGCACAACACTGCGCATGCACTCGTAGTCAGGAAACAAGCAGAAGGTGATTATTGTAAGTATATCGATAACACACCAGACATCTCGGGGAGCTTGAAGTGAGATGGCAAAGGCACATAAACGCCACGGATGGTCATTTTGCAATATTCAGCAGTCTTTGGTCACAGTACAGTCCCCGAAGGAGGGCGTGTTCTCTTGCAGCTGGGAAAGTCTGCAACAATACCTGTACTAAGAACAGGAAAGGAAACCGAGATTGATGGTGACACAAGAAATGAATCGGCAACAACAGCCCCATCGTGTAGCCAAAACTCGCTACGAGAGCAACAGCCCGCTTGCTAGTGCGACGTCTGATGCTTGGTAGCTTCAGCAACAACACAGATAAGCCGAACGCTTGATGCGTTACTTGCAACCGACAAGAGTTGGACACCTCGGTCGCTTTACTCACAGCACGCGCATCCAACGTGTCGAAACCACAATTGACCTTCTACATACTTAGCTGCAGCTCGTATTGTTCTGCGACCTCTGCCCGCTTTGGACGAAAAAGCCAGCTGCGAAAGGAAACTCGAGAGGCTAACGCTAGGGTATAAAAAGAGCGATGTTGTCAGGCCAAAACCTGCAGTAAATCATACTGCTTCCCCCGACATGTTTGCAAGTACCTCAGCGGTCCTGGTTGAACACTGCCCGCGACCTATCGAAGAGCCACACGTGAAGGAGGATACTCCTGCTCTTCCCTTCCGGCACTTCGTCCCGCTGCCCAATGTGGATGCCGCACCTGCCCCCTGGTGCCCGGCGGAAAACATCGTCTTCATCCGGAATGGCCGTACAGTACTGGGGCCTGAGATGTCGCTGGACGAGCTCGTATGTGATATGCCGATCAAAGGCGGGTTCGATCCCGTGCTACTCACTGCGAGAGGGGGTACGATGAGGCTACTGCTCCATGTTGGTAGCTCCTTACTGTCGCCAACGCAACACTGACCGTGTTTGCAGTGGCCTGGCTATCTTCATGAGAAATTCCAAGAGATTCAAGTCATCCGTCCGGACGGCCGGCCCATTAAGAAATCCCAACTAGGACAGATGGTGGCGCGCCACTACATAGAATTTTTGAACGTCAGTCACTCCGGTTATAGTCGAAGCAGGGATAATTTTACTGACTAGAAGGCAACAGGGCATCCCGCCTGAAGAATGTGTGGACAAGAATTGGCTGATGGAACCCGCAAGGAAAAACCCACGGAACGTCATACTCGGCTCCGTGGACAATCCCGCAGGGGATATACTCGTCGCACAATTATATGTGACGGCGTGAATTCGAAGGGCGTCGGCCTCATGTTTGTTTCCCGTGAAATCCGCTACGTTTGTTTTTGTAACTTACGCATGACATTTCCAATGAACGCAAGCCCCCTATGTTGAATCTGCAGATAGATGAAGGATATTATTACTCTGTGAGAATAATGCAAATGGCTTGAGATGCATGCAAAGAGATTTCGGGCCCAGTCATTTAGGAACCTGTAGTGATTTCCAATTTTCCTTGTCTGATAGATGAACTTCACTTCATGAAGCGAACCGAGACTCAGTCACTCACCTCAATTCACAGTTGCACCTGAAACGTCTAGAAAAAATGCGCAGGGACCGCTGGGACGACACTCACCTTCACTGCTGTCGGGCACTTAGGGCTACCGCATCTCAGATCACTCACGAAGTGCTCCGACCTGATCTCTCAGGAATCGCAGCGAATTTTTTTACACTATGATTGTCATATAAGACATGGACGTGAGAAAATGGCGTAAATCATAGTAGAACTCAGACTGCACGCATAGTAAACCGCACTCCATATTGATCTCCTCCACGAAACTAGCGTTTACGGAGCAAAGAGGGTCTTCAAGAAGGCCTCGCCGGCAGCCTTGGGCGCCTTGCCTTTCTTCTCCTTCTGCTCCTTCGCGCGCTCCTGCTTGACTATGAAAAGATTGAGGATCCATCGAATGTACAATAATCACACGAGAGACCACTTACGGAGCTCCTGCTTGCGGAGTGTCTTCGCATAGGGATTCAAGCGGAAGAGAACACTCTTGTTGACGAGGGGGTTCTTGTGCTGCATCCAGGGGCGCTTTTGGTGCTTAGCATTGGCGGGGCGCACTACCGACTGGATCTCGTCGCTGTTGATCAAGCGTGTGACGTCGGGGTTGGTGATCTTGGCGAAGGGCAGACTAGACATGCATGAGCACCCAAGGATACGAGGCCAACTACGCAGCAAAACATACGTGTAATCCTTCTTGTAGACAGAGGTCTTGTCGAAGGTACCGAATACCTCGTCGAGGAGGCCGAAGGCACCCTCGGTCCAGATGATGAAGCGGCCAAGGTGACCACCAGGAGCGAGCTGGAGGAGGTTCAGTCTCCTGACATTCACCAGCTCGACACCCGGCAAGTTCCTAAATGCCTTGACGATACCATTGTCCTCGTTGTAAACAACGAGGGGGCCTCGGCGCTGGCGATGACGACGGCCGCGCATCTTGCCCTTGCCGGCGCGCAGCTTGCGCGAGTTCGAGACCTTAACAACATCGGCATACGCCTTCAGCGACTTGAGGAGGGCGACGGCTTCCTTGGTCTTGGCGAAGGACTCGATCGTGGACGAGACGACGAGAGGGACTTCTTCGATCTCCTCAATGCGGTGACCACGGGCCAGAACGAGAGAGGGAAGTGCTGATGCAGCGAGGGCAGAGACAACAGCAAAGCGGCGCTGGTTCTGGTTGACTTTGACGTGCCACTTGCGCCAGGTCTTGGTGGGCGCGAACATGCGACCTCCACGGCACATGTTGCCGAAGGCAGCCTGACAGATTTCACGATCAGCCGGACGCCCTGCAAAGCCTATCTTGGAGAATGCTCACCTGCCCAGAACGGTGTGTGCCTCCACCACCGACACGAGGGATACGCGCAACAGCACGACCGGTACCCCAAGACTCGGCACTGGTTTGGTGACCAGCCTTCTCGCTCACAGCGTACGCCTGCCTCTTGTTCTTCGCGATGCTCTCTGGTACGATTATGAGCAACCGAGCTTGCTTAAGTAACGTACCACTTACTGTGCACCTGTTGGACGACATCGAGCCTGATGGGAGCGGTTAGGACCGCAGGGAGGGGTAGAGAGCTCGATGCCTCTACATGATCAAGACCTCTGTGATCAGATAATTTCCACTTGGGAAACAGCTTCACAGACACACCTCCGGCTGTGGAACGGACGTTGACGGTAGGGCGAGAGGCCATTGTCGTTGCTGGTGGTCTTGAAGTCTTGAAGTGCCCGAAGGATGTTGTGTGGATTTGGAAAATTAGAGTTTGGTAGTACTGCAGCTCTGTATACAAGCACAAACACGGGAGTGGCTGAAGTTCTCAGAAATGTAATAGTGTGACATGTCATCACTGGCAAGCTCCCACACATGGAAGGTCGTTTATCCGATCTAGCCAATCCCAGTCACATCCCCGTTCCCCTGTCATCTTCAATTTGGATTTGATGATGGAGCGCGCCGTAGAGAATCAGGAAACATCTTCTTCACTTCTCACTTCCTCTGGAACTCTCCCAGAATTATTGTTCATGAATCAAGTCGATTTCTGTGCGCATCACCTTTTTCTGGGAGCTTCACGCTACTTCACGCCTCCGTAACGCTCTCGGTGGTGAAATGCAGAGTGTAGAAGCCAAGTAGAACCTTGAAATCTGACTGTTCACTGCGAGTCCACTTTTTAAGACTCGTCTGAACAGCTGGCACGACATGAAACGCGACATAACGCGACATAACGCGACAAATCTTAATGTCTCCCACGTAAACGTCTATCTACGCCCACGGCGCGTTTGTCTTGATTAGAAGAGATACTCGGACATCCAGCAATATTGGACCAAAGGTACGACGCGAGTAGAGACGAGTCAAGCCGGACCTTGTACGTCATGTTGAGCAGAAGGATGATAAAGGTTAGAGCGATTGGAATGCGCTATCTCCCAAGGTCACCTGCATTCTCTGACTCGGTCTCCAGGTCTAACTTCCCACTTTGCAAGTTACCACGTCACCATGATCGTGTCCGCGTCTCCTAGCACGAATGGTTTCGCTGCAGTGAACGGCACTGTTACACATTCTGACGGTACCAGTGTGCCGGACTCTAAATCCGCGGCGAATGGATCCAAGGCACTGAATGTACTCCCCGAGGAATTTTACGAGCTATATCTCTCGCATGTCGCGAAGAACAGAAAGCCAGATCCAAGTAAGTTGCAATGAAGTCATCGATGAGCACAATAATTCACCCGTTGCCAGTCAGATCCCTCTTTCCGCTGGAGGACCTCCCCGGTGTAATCTCGCTGCTCGCAGGCAAGCCGAACTCTACCACATTCCCCATCACCTCCTTGCAGTTCACGACGCGCGACCCGCAGTCACCCTCTGAGGACGTGAAGCTTGAGCTCAGCGTGGACGATCTCGCGATTGCCTTGCAGTACACTGCGACTGCGGGTCTTCCGGACCTATGCGAGTGGGTGTATGGTTTGCAGAGTTACTACCATGGGCGCCAGAAGGGAGAAGGGTGGAAGGTTAGCATTGGTGCTGGGTCACAAGATCTGATCAACAAGGTATGCGGTGAGGCGATCGATGGTTGAAGGGGATTGCTGACAATATGTAGGCCGTGGCTGCGCTGGTGAATCAGGGAGATCCGGTGCTCGTCGAGGCGCCTGTCTATGCGTATGTTCCTTGAAGGGATTTCGCGCATATCGAGGCAAATATGTCTCTGATGCTGATGCAGAGGCGTTATTCCTATTTTTCAATCATTAGACTGCGAAATGATAGGTGTGCTTTCCATTCAATTTTGCCGCATATAACTTCCTGACTCATGTGGAGCTAGAGGTGGAGACAGATGCAGAAGGTATCTGCTCCCAATCGATCCGCAAGGTTCTTGAGAGCTGGCCTGCATCCAGGCCGAAACCGAGAGTGCTTTATACCGTTCCCGTGAGTGCACCATCTTGGCAGCGAGACTGTCAGCCTGACGTCTCACGTCTCAGTACGGTTGCAACCCGACCGGGATGACCGCGAGTCGTAAACGTCGCCTTGAAGTGTTAGAGCTATCTAGAGAACATGGCTTCCTCATTCTGGAAGGTATGCCAAGCCTTACTTCATTAGTTCACTTCGTCACCATACTGTTAGATGATCCTTACTACTTCCTCTACTACGGAGAAGGTGAACGGCCGCCATCGTATTTCGCATTAGAGCGAGATCAGCTGGACGTAGGCCGGGTCCTTCGCTTCGATAGTCTTTCTAAAGTCATATCATCGGGAATGAGGGTAGGCTTCCTGTCTGGCCCTGAGCCTCTGGTGAGAGCAATAGATAAACATGTACGCCTCACTTCCCAACAATTCTTGAATTAACTTGTTGATTCTATAATCTGCAGACCGCAACTGCAAATTTGCAGCCATCATCACTCACGCAGATGATTGCGCTGAAAGTTCTGCAATGTTGGGGTTACGATGGCTTCAAGAAGCATATTGAAGAGGTGTCGCAATTCTATCGTAAGCAGCGGGATGTCTTTGAGGACGCGATGCGGCGGCACCTCGCGGGACTAGCGGAATGGATCACGCCCGAGGCGGGCATGTTTGTGTGGTAAGTGCCTTTTAAAATAGATTTGCTCATCGTCTGATAGGATACCGATCCAGGTTCAAACTGCTTCTAGGTGACTCCAACACTGCCTCGAAGACGGTTGAACACGACTCGAACCACATCATCCGGACAAAGGCGCTCGAAAGGGGTGTGCTGGCTCTGCCTGGCACAGCGTTCCTACCCAACGGCGCCACTACCGCGTACGTCCGCGCATCGTTCAGCACCCTCCCCCCTGATCAGGTCGACGAGGCGCTTCGGCGGTTGCGCGAGGTCATTCTGGATGCGCGGACGTCTGGGTCACAGCGCACCTGAGTCAGTCGAAGCCGTGAGCGGTTTGGTCCGAACTAGCCGAAGGTGAAAGGCTCGGTAGGGCCTGTGCTGCTATATGTTTGCGATCTAGGCATACATTGTCAATGAAACCTCCGCCAAGCGCGATTTGTAGCGCCTGTATCAGGCTATGTGTGCTTGTCAAGCTAGCCTGCCTTGATTTACGGTTTCTCTCCGGCATGGTGGGTGCGTCTTGCTCGATTGTGTAGCCGCTCCCACGTCGCCCGCATGGTCACTGCGGTGTACATTCTTAGTGCTTGCTTAGTGACCGTGCGGTGCGTTCGTGTCGCGCCTTGCTATGTCTTCACCCGAATAACTCCAGGTATCGCTAGGGCGCTGCCCTCTGCTTATCACTCCTGCAAAATTCAAATCGACACCGACGGCTCGCGGCGCATGCGCGGGTGCCAGGCCTGTCTTCTCCTGTCCCCTCAGAGCTGGGACAGGAAGTTGGCGCGCGATCCGGCGGCTTCCCAAGGACGCCTACCAATGTTCTGTCTCGACCTGATGCCGTACTGCGTGATGGACAGATTGCAGTGGGTGAGTTCCTCGCCAGAGCTAAACTGATGACAGCGCTTTCCATGACCACAAACCCACAAATCTCGGTATGCGCGGGTCCTGGTTGGTTCGTTCATTAAACCGATATCGGTCCACCTTCGCGCAAGTGCCAACTCATTTTGTGGCCTGGCCTGACCACATACGCGCAAGGATCTGTTCTCTGGCCAGATCCTGCGGTACTAACGCCGGTGTCTTTAGTCGTGGTGCCAATCAACTACGCTTACGGAAGGCGAGTAAGAGGGGTCTCCTGCTCGCAGGGCATGTGGTATGTGATATAGGGAGCCGAGATCGGCAAGGACTCATCATCCCGCGACCGTTGGGGGCGCTGGAGAAAGAAAGTGGATATTCGACATAACGGTGAGGTAACATTCTGCTGGGGAGCCAATCATATGTCTAGATCGATCGAACTCCGATTGACACGTAATGAGATGTACAGTCACGCTGTGATGGCGTGACTGCTCCCTCTCTGTATCGCACGCCCATCATCGGCTTCAGCTCGTGTAAGTAACTTGCTCTGGATCCCGTTCCATCTACCTTGATTGACTGGCTTGGGTTCGCCGTTAATGTTACCAGGGTACACCGCTGCTTCTTACTCGGGTGGACACCGTTTCGCTGACGGACGTATCATAATTCTAAGATCGCAACCGCTACGTACGGTATCCGCATATACGCATCCTCTCAAAGTGCTAGCTACTTCGTTCCTCTGCCGTGAGTGCTGCGATTTATGTCCAGGCTGTCACCGATTGCTTTGCGGTCCAATTGACATGTTGCCGTCTGCAGATGACTTTATTTGAACAATCTGCTCCCGTAAACACCTGCTACCTGGTCAAGTGTGGCACCTGCGGCAAGACTACCTGGAAGGTGGGTGTTGATATTATCCTTCACGATGCCTCAATGCATCTGCTGGCCGTTAATAAATATTACACACGTGCGAAGCGGTCAGCATGAGGAATTTGCCACTCTTCGCTCTTCTGTCTTCTTCGCTCCCTTCATTTCTCCGACGTTTTCATGTGGACAAGTCTCTAACATTACGTCTACTCTCTAGGGCTGTGGCCAGCACGTCGAGGCGGTGAGTGGATGTTCTTTGTTCCTTATCTGATGGAATATCTCGCCTAGGCGACGGTCTCTCATGTTCGTAGGGAGCACGAGAGCCTGCCGCTAGCCCTGGCTGTGTTGCAACGCCTCTTGATGACGTTCCTCGCGGCCAAGGTTGTTGTCCTCCATCGTATGTGGTTCGGACGGTGGGCGTGCACACACTATGTGTAATATCACCGTATGCGGTGCATTTGATTTTGACGTACTGGTTCACCGGTCTGTGCCCCATCATTGATTCCATTGCTCACGCGCCTAAACAGGTGATGAAGGACGTCAAGCCAGAGGACAAGTGCACGTGCAGCCGCTAAGTTGTGCCGTCTTGGACGGTTTGGGCAGGGGAGGACGCGGGGGAAAGTAAAGAAGGTGGTTGTGTGAACGTTCGAATTCCGCGCTATCGATTCCAGGATGTATTGTGTGGGAGAAGTGTCGGACTGCGCTGTATGCTTTTGAAATATAGTGGTGTATTTTGTTGGGCAGGATGTCTAAGCAGCAGAAGCTACTAGTGAGAGCTTGAGGCGGACAGATCCAGGTGGTGGATAGATCTGAGGGGTGATGATGTGAGGCTGTTTAATCATTACCCGAGGGCCAAGCGCTGGGCCCAGCTTAGGCTGGCTTCCACTTGTGGAGTCCGTCCTCCTTCCCTATAATCTCCTTCTCTTTCCCCTCCATCTCCTCGTCCTGGCAACCACGCGCCCATCCTCGCCATGTCAGACGTCGTCGCCGCCAGCCCCGACATTCGCGATACGGGGCCCGTTCCTGGTCCCAGCACCAATACGCGCAACGACGTGCTCCCGCACACACCAAACCCTCTCAACCAGGGCGTGGTCATGACCCACGAGATCAAGTCGTCTTACAGTCGTTCAGTCAACCGCAGGATGATCAACCAGTATGAGTTCGACCACCGCGTCGGCAGGGGGCAACACGGAGAAGTGTATCTCGCCAGGGACACGTCAAAGAACGGCATGGAAGTGGTGCGTGATCCGTCCTGTGCTATCTTCCTGCCCTGTGCTCAGCATGTAGTGTCTATATTCCGCGCCAAATTGTAGGCTATCAAGGCCGTAAAGCGAAAGAACCAGAAGGTGGATAGAATGAGCATGCTCAGGAAGCGAAACCTCCCCAATTCGCCTCATCTTCCATTGACGGACCAGCTCGGCAGCACGGAGCACAAGATTCGCAAGGAGATTGCGATTATGAAGAAGTGCTGCCATCCACACATTGTGCGCTTGCTGGAGGTCATTGATGACAAACTGAATGACCGGATTTATATGGGTACGTCTCTTTACATCTGCTTCTTCCCGTCCATCTTCATTTCGCGTCTCACTGCGCCGCGAGCGTGTTCGCCTCCTGTGTCTTGCTGGGCCGCTGGGGTCAAATGACACCCGTTCTGCTTTGTCTCGCGTTCTGTTCCACTCCCTGTCGTTCGTTATGCGTTGCTAACTGCATGTGTAGTCATGGAATATCTTGGCGGGGGCGAAATAAAATGGCGGACACAAGGGGATGAGCCAGTGCTACGCGTTGACCAGACAAGGCGGATCTGTCGCGACGTTATTCTGGGTCTCGAGTACCGTAAGTATCCACCCCTCGTCCTGTGTGCCAAACATTCTCATCATTCATGCCTTCGTTTTAGTGCATCACCAAGGGATCATTCACCGCGACATTAAGCCGGCCAACCTGCTGTGGTCCGCCGACCGCCGCACGGTGAAGATCACCGACTTCGGTGTATCCCACTTCTCCTATGCCCAGCGGCTCGCTGCTGCAGGCAGAGGGCTCTCCCCCGACGACCAGGACCCTATCCTCATGGACGACTCGGACCTCTCCAAGACGGCGGGCACGCCGATGTTTCTTGCGCCGGAAATCCTGAGCGACTCGACGTCCGAATCCGCCTCCTCGAGCACGATGTACCTCTCGCCCACGCGCAAGAAGCCCCCGATCACGAAGGCAATCGACGTCTGGGCGTTCGGCGTAACGCTCTATGGCCTCCTATTCGGCCACTTGCCGTTCCAGGCGTTGGTTGAGTATGACATCTACCAGGTGATCAGGAAACAGGACTGGGACGTGCCCGCCACGATGGGCGTCGATCTCATTCCGGTAGGTGGACGTCATCAGAAGTCGCAACCCAAGGGCGAGGAGACGGAAGGCTACCTTGTGGTCAAACTCCTGCAGCGGCTCTTAGAGAAAGATGCGAAGAGGCGGATTACGCTTAGTGAAGTCAAAGTCAGTCTTCAAGGCTAACACACATTCCCCCCCTCACGCGGTTATTATTTCACAGAAGGATCCTTGGATCTTGCGCGACATCTCCAACCCGCAAGAGTGGTTGCGCGAAACTACGCTGGATCGACAGTCCTCACTCGAGCCAACTGCCGACGAGACGAGTTCTGCCATGTCATCCGTACGCTTCCGCTGGTCTGCGCTGCTCACGAACCGTATTTCCATTCTCTTGCGCAACGTGCGGCCGCAGCGCTCCTTCAGACGCGGAGCACGTCGTGTAGAGGAACCAGAGGAGTTCAAGGACGTCGGCACGCGCTCCGCCCCTAATGTCCACGTCCATCATCTTCCCCGCCGCAGCACCGTGGCCGGCCCCTCGCAATCCCGCCTTGAGCGCCAGCAAGCAATCCAGCAGGATAGGGGCAAGCAACGGCAGCTCACGCGCGACGCCCCGCACAACCAGTCTGGCACGGAGGTGAGCGTAACGGCTGTGAAGGGCTTTGAGCCTTGGTCCATGTGGGCTGGCGGCAGTACGCCTGCAATCCAAGGCTCAGGCTCGAAGCCTCGCCGCGGATCGATTCCCTCCAAGGTGCCGGAAATGACGCTGCAGGTGCCCGTACGGGGCTTCCGTGTGGGCTCGCCCCAGCCTTCTCCGCAGTCTATCAGCCAGGCGACCAGTCCTATAGGCGAGCAGCGGTTAGCGTCAGAGGAGCGCCCGCGCAGCCGAATGTCGATCTCGTCATGGGTGCGCGGCTGGCGGAGCGGCAAGCACACGCCGTATGGTGCGTCGCCGCAGGATGCGAGCGCGAACACGAGCCCTGGCGTCAATGCGATTGCCAGCGCGACGCCTTCGGTTCGCAGGAGCAGGAGCGGCGGCGCTGCGGTGCGCGAGCGGATGGCGCGTCGGAGCGAGGACGCGTTCAATAGCCACATCACGTCGCGCCAGAGCAGCGCCAGCGGTCCGCTAATGCCTCCCATGCGCGCAGCGAGCTGGGGTGAGGTAAACAACTATTCTCGGCCGTCGGAGGACATGACGAGCCTCTACTCCGGTGAGCGCGCGGACGATGCGCTGGATGAAGATACGCTCCTGCTTGGCGCGGGAGGCGTGGCGCAGAGCCCTGTGCCTTCGATTCCGAGCGGCCTCCTCAGCACCGTGTCCTCGACCAATTCGACTACCAATCCCGCATGGTCCGCTGCACAGGCAATCCTCCAGCGTGCCGAGATCGGCGAGCACGCTCCTGTGCACGACCAATCGGTGCCAGATATGTCGCGGCAGTCCTCCACACGTCTGCGGACGACGAGCCCGCTCTCACAGATGCCTTACAACCATCGGCACCTCACCGCGGAGTCTGACTCCGTAGACAGCTATGACGACGACTCGAGCATCTTCGATCCGGACGCGCAGTCGGAGGTTGATTACGATGACGTTGCGCTTCAGCCGAGTACGAGCCAGATGTATCAGGCTGAAGACGACGAGAGCGAGGACGAGGAGGAGTTCCAGCTCGAAGTGCGCACACGCCGACCGTCCGCATCCGCGTCCCCTAGCGACACGTCCCCACGGAATTCAGAGAGCACTCATACGGAGCGCGCCATCGTTTGTATATAGTGTATATGATCAAGTGGAGGACATTTTTTTACTGCCGCTTCATAGAATACGGACAGGTCATTTGCCGGCACACCTTCCCAGTTCCCTCCCTAGAGCATCACGTCTTTTGTATTACGCATCTTTCACTCGTATTTCTTTATCTATCATCATCACTTCATGTCTGTCATCCACTCATTGCTATTTTCTGTGTCTTACTGAAATAGAATTAGCCTGGTCGCTGGATCGCGACAGGAGGGCATACTCATGCTTCTTATACACCTGTAACATACATGGGAGCGATGGTCCAGAATGGTATAAGTGGTATCATCACAAACACCGAGAATGAAGCATGGAGTAAGGAAAACGAACGGCATAACATAGAGCAAAGAGAGATCAAAGAGTGGACGCATAGTAGCACATTATGAGTTGGAAATATACCTTAATAACAATGCCATATGCACATATTGACAACATGTGCAGGGGTGCAGGCGCTACGTCGGCCAGCCGCGCAGAGTCCGTGCTGCTCCTCCACCAAGCCGGCCAAGGAACCCCCAGACAGCGGCACTATCTCCAGGGAACCCCTCACCAGCAGCTTGCATGGTGTTGAAACTCGTCCAGGCAGCGCGGTCGTAGTATGTAGCTCCTCCGGGAATGACGTACTGCGGTGCCATAGCCTGACCAAGAAGGAACGCAACAGCAGCCGAAGCACCAATGTAAAGCAGCATCTGGCCACCCGACGAAGACGACGAGCCGTCCGGATCACCTCTTCCGTACACGTAGGTGTTATAGATGTTGTAGAACCTACTGCTCTTGCGGGGACGGGGACGATCCTCCTTTGCAGAGCGAGCTGGGCCATTCTGCACCGACTCCTCGACGATCCGGTCGATTGCCGTGCATTCGACGCCAAGTTCTTCCTTGAGGGCTCTCCAGTCTTCGACTGCATCCGCTGAGATACCCCCTGCGACGGGCTCAATAGGCAGCTTGAGGCCTTTGTGCCACTGCTTCAGGGTCTCATTCGCGACGCGTAGGGCAAGCTCATCGCGGTCTACACCAGCAACTTGGTTATAAGACGGTGGAAGGTCATGCGTATGAGGGTGGAGTTCGTCGTGCTGCGCCTTTGGCGTAGGGGGCAGCAGCGTCGACGAAGATGACGCCAATGTCTCGTCGTCATCCGATGAAGTGGAGGGTTCCAGTTCCGGCTCGTCGGTCTGGATCTCGATATTCACGGTCTCCACCGCCAACTCAGCTTTGAGCTCAGGCTCGGGCTCAGTCTGGATAGACATCGACACGACTGGCAAATCCTCGGTTTGGGTGCTGAATGACGCGGTGAGGATCTTGAGCTCGGGGTCCGTCTGCACCGTAGACGACGTGAAAAATCCTGAGAAGTCGTACTGAATTGCGGTGTCGGAATACTCCTTGACCTCGTCCACTTTGACCGTCTCGATGGTCTTGGCACGGCTGGCCACCTTCTACAAATCGAGCCAGATTTAGAATAGAACAAGACAATGGACGTAGGACTCACCCTCTTCGTACGAGTGATGATAGTCTGGACGACATCCTCTCCCTCCGTTTCATCTTCGTCCTCAAGGTGGGAAAGATCACTAGATGCCTCTGAGTCTTCCTTCTCCTGGTCGTCCATCTCCCACCTGAGCTTGCCCAGCAGCTCTGCGCCAAGGCTCTTACTCAGAGTGCCGTGCGCGCTTGAACTCCCGCTGCTGCCCTGGTGCAGGTGGCTGCCTGCGGTATTGCGCAACTCGTCCATGTCAAAGCGCATACGGTCAATCGTTTCCTTGAGCATCATATTCTCCTGTTTCTGCTCGTCAAGCTGTGACTGCGCTTGCTGGGCAACGGCGAGGTCACTCTCCAAGATAGAGATCCGCTCTTCGTAATTCGACTGCTCGCGTGCGAACTTGTTGGCCTCAATTGTTTGCAGCGCTGCGGCATCCTGGTAGTCCTTGATCTCTTCATCTCTACGACGGAGCGCGTTGCGGTACCGCTCGGACTCACCTGTGTATGATATCAGTAAGGTTGAGATGTATCAGCTCAAGTACCGTACTGCACTGTTCTTGATACTGCTTTTGCAGACTCTGATACGACACACGGGCCGTCTCCAGACTCTTCTGCAGTTTAGCAATCTCGGACTCTAACGCGGAGATCTGGCTGGAGTTTTGGCGCTACACGATTCGAATGTCACCCAGGTGCTAAATTCAAAATGAAAGCCACACTTACCTCCTTTGACCTGAGCTCCTTCTCCTCCCTCTTCGTCGCACCCAGCTCACTCTTCATCTCTTCGAGCCTGTTTTCCATCTCCTCCAGCTCCAGCTCGTGCTCTGCCAGCCTGTTCTGCAGTGTTCGTTCCGCCTCAATCAGCTTCCGCCCAAGCTCCGCGTTCGCCCGCTGCAATCCCTCTAGTCGCTCCTGTTGGTCCAGCGAAACGGTAGATGAGGCTGCCGACCGGTCAAGCACGAGCCCGAGCACTGAGTCTTCGTCGCGGTCCGAATCCGAATCTTCGTCCGAGCCAGCACGCGGCATCGGCAGCGACGAGATGCGTGCCGTGAACCCGTACTCGTCCTCGAACGACGACTCGGACTGGTCCGACGGCGGTGGCGACATTAGACCTAACAGGTTGTGCGCCTGCTGCTGCGACCGGTACTCGAGATCACGCTCAGGCGACGACGTGCTGGGGAAGTCCTCAAAGTGCGACTGCGGCTGCGACTGTGCGCGCGAGTGCGGCCGCGAGAATGTGGCCCCGTACGGCAGCGCCGAAGGGGTCGACATCGGGCTGGTGGGGTTCGAAGGCGCGCGCGAGCGGCCCGGCGTGCGGCCGAACGCGGTTGGGGGCACGGACTGCGGTTGGGGTCGCGTCGAGGTGAGAAGTGTAGACGACAGATACACGCGTCTACGTACCTCGGAATCACTCAGTGCGCGACTGCGAGAACCCGCGTCGCTCTTGCGCCTCGACGGCGGTGGCCTGCGCGTCCAGCTCGACGGCGCTGCGTTGCCAAGCGGTGTGGATCGCTGTCGTCGTGACCCGTCGAAAGGCGAATCACGCGTCGGCGTCTTGGGCGGAACCGGTGGCCCGCGCGAGGACGGACGGTAGATGGACGTACCGACCGAGTCCCTGCTGGACGATCGCGAGTGGCCACCGTAGTCGTCGTGGTCGAACGATCGTCCGCGGTCGTCGTATTCCTCCGCGCTGTGCGGTGACGAGCCCCCCGAGCTGTGCTGACCACTGGCGGTGGTCGTCCGCATGGCGATGAACTGCAGGAGAACCTGGGGCGTGACGGCGAGATCGGGGTTGCCCTCGATGAGCTGGGTGAGCATGTCCTCCTCGTCCTTGCTCATGAGCTCGACCGCGTCGTGGTTCTGCGAGAAACTTCGGAGCACGTCGACGAGCGAGTTGCCTGGGATGACGGGTTCGCCATCGTCGTTTGTATGCGATTGAGGGTGCTTTTCGAATATATCGTACAGTTCTTGTTCTAGGTCTGCGATGGATTGTCTATTGCGTCCGTATGTTGGCTGCAAACCCGGTCAACGACGAATCAGAAAATCAGAAAACTTCGTTACCTCGTTCATCCTGGATTCATGAATTCGGGGAGAAAATATTGCGGAGAGATTGGTTGGTAGCGCGCAAGCGGAAGCGGTATATTATGCCACTGGATGCATTGTTTACGTAAGCCCTGTTTGGTCTATCACTTCGTCCGAAATTTGCCTGAAAACCCATGAGATACTTGTTGCGCCTCAATAGGCGCTCTCGCTCTCGCTTGATTTCGGACACGGGAAGAGGGGGGCGATTGCACTGGAGAGTAATAACTTGAAGTTCCTGTGCGGGAATACAGTAAAGCATGTTTGTGACCTTAATGCTAGACATACGTGACGACTGTGGCCATTGTGACACTTGGATGGTACCGCGTTTGTATCGCGCCATCAGCAAAACCGGGAATTTTCTCCAACGAGATTATAAAGGTGTAATTCCATGTAACTTGCGCAATTTTTTCACCAAGGAATACATTGCATTGTAATCCTGAGTCAGATTGCAGAGTTGCCAACTGGCATAATCAGTTATAAACTCTGGAAACATTTTACAGGTTATGAAGCTCATATAACTTCCTACAAAATTTATTACGCACTTGTAGCACACAGGCACAGACTGTCCTAAACAGACCGAAACCGATTCATTAAGATCGGTTTTATAATTCTCAAAAGTGGGAGTATTCCAAATTAATTATGTCAACATATTATTATTACTGCAGCGGTACAAGATGTGCTCTACATTAGAACTAGTTGGGCCTACTTACTGCACGAAAACCCGCGTGCCGCCGTAACGCCCACTTACCGCAGTAACACCCGCATGTCGCCATAACAAACAAAAAGTTAGGCCCACTTACCGCACCAACACCCGCGTACCGCCGTAACAACCAACACTAGAAATCAACGTACCTACACTTTCGCCCAGAGACATAAAATAATAGAGATTGAAATAGAACGCACCACGTGTCATTCCAACCACCGGAGCCCAACCAAGCAGCGCGCAACAACAAACCCGGTAGACCTGTGCATATAGTTAGCCGCGTGTAACGGCACTCACCTGGCATGCACATTGAACTGGCAGAGGCTGCAAATTTATATGTGAGTGAGGGTGGGCGGACGGTAGTCGCGATGCATCGAGATTAGCCTCAGACTTGCCTCAGAGTCGCCTCGAAACAGCTTCGGATCTTTTCGCTGTGAGGGCCTGGACCAGAGCCTTGCCTTAATGCTTGCATTTGGTGCGGTATTCGGGGGCCTGAATATGAAGATGAGCAACTCGGAGCGAGTTCTGCGGAGAGCGCTAGTAGACGCCCAATAGCCGCTCCTTACAACATTATATGTAGGCGTCTGGGAGTTCTTCCGACTGTGTAACTTGGTGAGCAACGTTTGACTTGGGTTACATTGCTCGACAACTCTTTGTCGACATGTATTTTTGTTCTAACTTGTGTATCAATTTCTGTTCTATGTAATCTCCTTTATAGACCTCTACTACCTTTACTTTGATTACAAATCGGTTTAAATATTACTAGTCCTGTGTAACTTACACAACGCTTGCTACCCCGATGTAACTGGTGTAACCTTACATAAAAATTTCCCGCTTTTGCTGATGCGCGGCGCCTTGCATTTCTCTCCCTTGATTCACGAAACACGAATATTGGACGAAGGGCAATCATTCAATTCTGATTCTGCTATGACGTGATTATTGATCAAGCGCATCCCAGCTAGATGAGGTGGAACGTTAGCTTTGACCATGAGTCCGTGCGATGCGATTTCCGGACACTGTTTACGGCGAGTTTCCAGACGATCTTCTGCTCGAGTACTTCCTCCTTTTTTCTCCCGTCTGCCCGTCATTAAGTGCTGAGATATTCTGTTAGGAATAATATTGAAGGGATCGAGAACGCTGGAATAGGTCAGGTCGGTGGTGACTGGAGACGATATTGTCGTGATCACCGGCGAAACGACTCATGGTTTGATACAGGCATCTATCGGAACTAATTATGGACATTATCTGACGTGTGTGGCATACCAACAGGTGGACAAAACACATCCGTACGTAGCAATACAAAAGCGGAGATGATAGCACAAGCTCAAGAATCTGTGTCATGCCATGCGCTCAACTACGCCTTCCCAGATAGCTGCTTGAGCCTCGCCTCACGCTCGCACTATTGGCAAGACCCATGAGCACCAGAAATGAACTTCAGGGCAAGAACTCACATCGTCGATAAGCTTCTGTGTTCTCAGATGCTCAGCTTCCCTATTCTTCTCCTGCAGCATTTCCGTTACCTCGTGCGAGCGCGTACTCGCGGCTTCGCGCGCATCTTCCAAAGCCTGACGGAGACAAACTTCTGTTTCATGGCCTGTCAAGTGCAGATATAGCTGCGGCGTACCTGCAAGTCCGCCTGGGCCCTCTCGTACCCTGCCCTCCGAGCGAAGAACTCAGCTTCTTCTTTGTGGAAGGTCTTTAGTGCGCGGCTGTGTGCATCGCTGGCCTTGCTTTCCTCCTGCCGAGCACTCAGCCGACATTCATCAGAGCGCAACGGCGACGACGCACCTTTATTGCGTCCTTCTGCATCTTCTGAATGTTGGCCAGCTCCTTGATTACTGCCTCAAGCGCCTGTTGCTCAGCTTTCCCCTCAGACTTGATCACCTTCGACATGCGCTTCGCGTCTTTCCCTAGAAGCCAGCGTACATCATAAGCTGTATCCTTGTGGATAAAAACACCACTTACGCTGCGCTTTGTCAACCTTGGACTTGTCCTTTGGCGACAGTACCGCGTCCACCTGGGCATTTCGCTCTTCAAGGCCATCATCCGTAGGGGGGATGGATGCCGGGCCTATCGTACCCGCACCATTCGCGAAGCTTCCCCCACTCAAGCTGGCTCTTTGCCGCCGCTCGTTGAACGCACCGTTTCCGATGCTGTCGCGATTACGGTCGTTGGAACGGTAAGACCGCATGGAAGCCGCGCGTTTCACCGGTGTGTCGCCCCCAGTCTGCTGGTTCTGGTTGCGTTTCCAGGACGCTTGTTCCTCGTCCTGGCTTTCCTTCCCGTTCCAAATAATGGGGATAGGTTGCATGCCGGTGCTAGTCTGCGAGGCGGGCGAAGCGGAACGGACTTGGTTCTGGTTCGCTTGAGTCGCTGAGCCGTACCCAGAGTCGGAACCAGCCTCTCCTGCAGCGTCAGCCGCATTTGCTTGATGCGCCGAATTCTTGCATGCGCCATCCTCCCCATCTGCGGAGCGGGTATTGACGACCGAGTTGTCGAGGATGGAGACAGACTGGCGGTGGCTACTGTCGCCATCGGAATTTGGCTGCTGAGCTACGTCCTGCGCAGGTGAAGCGGTACCCGAGCCATCGGAAGTGTCGTCGTCGGAAGATTTCTTGGAGAAGAAATGCATGAGAGGTGCGTCGAAGTAAATGCTCTGCTCGCTGGGGGGTGCGGAGGTATATGTTGGTCGGGCAGTCATGGAGTGATTTGTGGGGCGATGCAGTCGCTCTGGAATTTATAGGCGGCGGTTGCATCTTGGACTGACGTCGGTCGGGTTGGAGCGATTGAATTCGCTTCCTGCCCAGGTGGCCCCGCGAGCGCCATTCCATGTTCGGTAGTGTGCCTGCCTGTTGCGGATATGACGTAACTGACGTGCCCCATGATCTACATATGTTTTCTGCAGGACTTTGCATGAAAACGACATATATCAGGAGACCAATATTCTTGAAACTATATATGTTTGTTCCCAGTACTTTCTAGCTAGAATATTGAAGAAATTCAAGACGCTATAACATTTCCAATTTTGCTCTCTCATAGCTTTGTCCCAGGCCTCTTATCTTAATAGAATCGAGAGTTTGATCAGCCTTGCGGGTATCTCTCATATATCCTAGGATAAAGTAACAGCGACAGTAAGTTCGTTAAGACTCCGGTGAAATGAGTATCACGGACAAAATTGGAAATATCGAATACACGATCTACTTCGAAAGATCTAGATCTTACAGAACGTTAGAGCAGGTTCGCGCGTGGCAAATGCGTCTATGCCTACAAACATTGTATCGAGCAGTACTAGCATAGACAAATGCGAATCCAGGAGTGGTAATATCTTCACCGTGAAACGTACATTATCTCCTCTGATGAGAACGCGACTTGGTTCCATAGATGAGGCTGGGGCCGCGGACTTGAAAGTTGCGGACCATCCAACAACCGTGACCTCTTCGTACTGGCATTTCATGCCATTTTCTCCATCATCCAAACTCAAGCTTATTGGTTTTAATCTTGCGGGAGTACCCAAGCAGCAGCAGCTGTGTCGCCCTGGATTTCTAGTAGGATTTCTTTACCACGTGATAGAAGGTTCATAGCCTCGTGGCAAGCGCCTCTGGTGACTGCCAGTGCAGGCTGTACTGCATGCAACGTCTGCCGCAGCAAGTCAACGGCGACCGCCCCACTGGCAAGTAAGTTTTTCAGTCTCATCTCTATCGTACTAGACGTCGCGTCGCAGGTATATCTGAAGAATTTTGAAAGCGAACACTCTCAGGCTCTCTGAACTTGAAGTTCAGCCAGAATCATCTGCGACTGTTTGTGGGTACTGTGTGCGGCACTTCACCTGCAGCTATTAGAGGCTTCAAGGGCACAGTAATTTGTGAGTCGAAGAATGTTGTATATGCTCTTCGTATCGAAACAGAGGTTCCTTTCTCAGCAGACCCACTTGGACTCGGACGGGCTCAGTCATGCCTCGCATCCTCCTTCTGTTAGCGGTGATCACTCCGCTATGCAGCGTGTTTCTTGTCGCCCGCTCGCTTTTCCCAGGTTTTGATCTGACTAAAGTCGCGGAGAGTTTCCCCATTTCCTGGCCCCTTGCCGTGCCCGCAGACTCAGAGACACGACCATACGACGAGTCAGACCAACAGCCGCTAGACGTCGTCGACTTCTCCCCTCCGCATGATCACTCCTCTGATCTGCATGCCAGTGTAGCAGAGCCCATCACTGTTCCTGGCCAGTTTACGCGACGCATCGTCGCCGTTGGTGACCTTCATGGAGACTTCCCCAACGCACAGACGGTGCTGCAGATGGCGGGCGTTGTAGACCATAATGGAAATTGGACGGGTGCCGTAGATTTCCTCGTGCAGACTGGCGATATTATTGACCGGTAAGCTCTAGCACCGCTGTCGTGCACCTCATACGTTAAGATCTCTTTGTAGTGGAGACGATACCATCAAGCTGTTCCTCTGGATGGAGGGGCTGCGTGATGAAGCGCACGCAGCAGGTGGAACGGTGCTATCGCATCTCGGAAATCACGAATGGATGAACGTCATCGGTATGTTTCTAATCACACGGAAGTGGAATCGACAGACTGACCAGCATCCCTCCTCTCAGGCGATTGGAGGTGCGTGCTCCGGACATCCTTCATGGTAGAGTCATAATTTTGAAGTTTCCGTATCAACAAGATACGTATACCCCTCAGAAATCACCACTTTCGGCTCTGTCGCGGCGCGTCAGAAGATGCTCACCACCGGGCGGATCGGAAAGAGTTGGGCGAGCAACTACACAACTGCAAGCAGGCTCCCGCTTCACCCTGCAGTTGGTGATCCCAACATCGACTACGACCCGTCAACCGCATCTGCATTCGACGTACCTACGCCGCTTTCGCACACCGCCATATCCTTCGTGCACGGTGGGCTGGCACCGTCGTACCCGGACCTCGCGCCCTTCCCCTCGCGCATCAACGAGCTCAGCCATTCGCTGCTCCAGAAGCTGCAACAGCGCACACCTCCTCCGCACCCGCCCAACCCGTACCCTGGCATGCCCGCAGAGGCGACGGAGGCGGAGAGGCGGTTGTATGACACGGACGGTCCGCTGTGGTACCGCGGCTGGGCATCGGGCCCTGAGGAGCAGGTCTGCGCGCAGGTCGATGGCGTGTTGCAGAAGACGGGCACGAGGAGGATGATCATGGGCCATACGCCCGATTTTCAGGTGTGTTGCGCGAGTTCCTCTCGCTGTTTGATTGCCCAACCGATTTTGTTAGAATATCGTCTCGAGATGCAAGGGGAAGATTATCATTATTGATACTGGTGCGTTTACAGCCTTAGATTGCACAGCTCTGGGAAGAGGCTTAACCTGCATGACATGAACTCTGCGTTTAGGCATCTCGCATGCGTACGGAGGAACGTTGTCCGCGCTATCCATTACATACACGCTCACGCCGATACCTGCAATACATACGAGCCCAGAAGAAAAGTGGTGGACTGAGCGAGAAGTTCTGGTCGCTGTGTACCCCGATCGACAAGAGGTTTTGGCTGTGGATGAACGAGATATTCAGGGCGACTTTGCGCCTGCCTAGCTCGGGAGGGGCGGTTTAGAGAATTGAGCTGGTCGTATCATTATTGAGGTATTGTCTTGTTTTGTCGTCGTCGTGCATTGATACTGGATTACATGAAATCATGACCGTCATGAACTTCAGACCGTGGTTGGTCAGGTGGATCGCAACATCTTACAAGCCATGTGCTTGACGATCAAAGCGTTCTTTTCGGTCGGTACCCACAAGACCAAGACGTTGTAGGTGGAGAGACGAAATCGATTGAAACGAACGCTCCCATCAAGGTGAGCTGTGTTCGTGATGATTTATCGTATTGCTCTGACAGGCAACTGCGTCCAGCACATGGCGTGGGTTACCCATCCCACGTCTTTCTCCGTGAGGCATACTGAAAGGTGGACGTCTTGGCTGTTCTTACAACGTCAATTGAAGTTCAGTTGATGGCGGATTTATGTTCGGTTATGTTCAAGGTCTGCGGCGCGGTCATGTAACGGCAGGCGCTGGCGCGATGCACTCGATGCCGAGGACCACCGCACGACATACTCTCTGTTGATACCTCGTCTCACATCCACCCGCACTCTTGTCTCTGCCAGAGCACTGCTCTTTTCAAACATGACCTCGATTTTGAGGTGTTTGTGCGACGTGGACTGGCCCGCTAGAGACGCATGTATGCGCAGTCAAGCCTTTTTGATTAACCGTGGTGATGGCGTAGTCTCGATGCCAGACGGCAGGTATGGGGGGGAATAACATACCCTGCCTACGTCCACGGCACCGTATTGACTTCCACCACTTCTTTTCCCTCTTGCGAACTCGGGTTCAACCTCACATGCATTCTCATTTGCAGCATTGCGTGCGTACGGTTCATCATGGCGACTGGAAATGAGTCTAAATTCTACCAGCGCGACATGCGTCCCGGAAAAGGTGATCACGTGCTTCAACCGGTCGAGGTGGGTGTCCACTTATCCACGCCATCATCATCTATGTTTGCTCACGCATCCACCCAGATCCACCCACTGCCTCGGATAAGCACTCTATCTTAATTCCACCGTATTCTGAAAGCAAGGGGTATCCGTCTGAAGGTGGGCCACGGAGGCGGTGCGGTTGCCCTTCGATGCTGTCGTGTCGCTGGTTTGCTTTAAATTTGTTACTCGATAGGCTTTCCCAAGCCTTGGCCACTCAGCAATCAGCTCTTGCGATTTTCTACCAACTGTTAACTCATTTTTTTGAGTATTGACCGTGACATTTGTACAGTGTTCAGATATACTTATGCCCGGTATGCAAGGATGTTTCAATGGACGACCGCGGTGGCACAGCCACACTACCACCTGCGCGTCTGCCCCAACACCGAGACTAAGTATGTTGTTGATGAGCGGAGGTGCGACACACGTGGCAGAGCGTGGGTAAGAAGCCTCGAGGCCTCATCAATCATCTCTTAAGTCTCCGCACTCAGCCTTTTCTTTCTGGCCGTCAAGAAACAATTTCGAGCAGTCAGTCAGCCGATTCTACCATGAGTCACAACGAAAATTTAGGCATTTCCAGTGCGGCCGCAGTAAGCTTTTGCTAGATGCCTCTAAAAACTCACCGGGGACCACACACACTGCTTCCTCGAGGCTAATCTTGTCTCTAGAACATGCATCCGACTGTGTTTTACAACGTCTACACATCACCAGATGCGATCCAGTATGATCCGGGAGTTGCGCTAAAGGAAGGCCTGGGCATGGTCAGTGCCATTGCAGGTCACATTCAGAAGCTCGAAATTGCAAGTCAGCTTCGCAAAGATGTATGGCGTAGGGAAATTCAGAGGTACACGTTCTTCTTGGTAAACTGAGCTACAGTTGGAGACTCTTGACTACTTCCGTGATGTAGTCTCCAGAACCAAGAGGGTCCTACAACAATGATTGCTGTATGTGGAGGTTAGTCCTATTGGCATTTTGAACTTGTTGTAGCACTGGTGCTGATGCATGTGTGAGTTAGCTACTGGTGCTGGAAAATCATCTAGCTTGAATGCTCTTCTCGATGGTTAGTCCACGTGACATACTCTATTTGATGTGTGTTTTGACTCGTTTGAAAGATAACATTGTCCCGACAAATGGAATGAGGGGTAAGTTTGAACGGCTAGAAACTTGGAATAGGTCTGATAGATTCTGCACTCAGCCTGCACATCCGTAGTTACTGAAATTAGTTACCATGCAAAGCATACCATTGATGCTGATGTTTCTTTCCTCTCCGAGACAGAGTGGAGAGAGGAACTCATTGTCCTTCAGCATGATATGGTGGACGAATATGGTAAACTGAAGAGAAGTACTGATTTGTGCACTGAGGCTCAGAGCGTTGCTTGGTCAAAGGTACATTGTCAGAAATGTTCATGAGTTGGCTACTCAGGCATGATGTATCACAGGTGCATGCTGTGTATCCATCCATCATTCCGGAGCAGTTCGTGAACGTGGCGATTGATGAAATCATCTCTTTTGACCCAAGTATGAGGCTGTTCCTCTTGTCGCTGTGTACCAATCATTACTCACTAAGTATTGACTTTGCAGTAATCAAGAAGATCATGGGGTCAAGCAAGCATATTACTGCAAAGGATTCTGAAACTTTCGGCAAAAAGATTGCAAAGTATATCGACTCCAAACGTGGCGATGTAGAGAAGAAATCAAACAACAATACGGACAAGGACAAGGGGAAAGAAAGGAGCCTGGCGCACAAGGACCTGACAGCCACCAGCCTTGCTAGTAATATTGCTCTCTGGCCCCTCATCAGGAGTGTCAAAATTCGCTGCCGGTCTCCCGCACTTTCGACGGGTGCAATCTTTGTTGACTTGCCCGGTGTCGCTGATTCAAATGCAGCGAGAAACAACATTGCAAAGGATTACATGAAGAAATGTAACTGTGTATGGATTCTCGCACCCATCACCCGGGCGGTAGATGACAAGACAGCTAGAGGTCAGTTACTTATACCATCAATGATTTCTTCAGCTTACACGAGAGCACTGTTTTAATCAGACCTTATGGGCAATGCATTCAAGGCGCAATTGATGAGTAGGTATCTAACGTGTATTCATAACAATTAAGCATTAACCCGGTTTCCTCCTGCAGTGGGTGAGTGGCTGTGTGTGCGGTTGTTAGGTTTCTCTTACATTTCATCCACATGTGCATTCTCTCAGACGGAAAGTGAGTATATATTAGCCTGTTACTATATGTTCATTTACTTCCTGACTGTTTCTCAGCTATGATGCAAGTGCCATTAGTTTCATCGGTCAGTCTTCTGGCTTGTATTGCTAGGATCAAATCTTGACCCTGGCTCATAGCTACTAAATGCGATGATATCTCCTGCTCGGAGATTATTTCCTCCTTGAACCTTGATGATGATGCCGAGCTACTTGAGATAGAGAGACAGATAAGCCAATGCAAAGAAGATGCTGCTGAATGGACAGACAAGAAGGCAGATGCCGAGACCACAACTAAAGGTCAGTCCCACTGCACATCTGCCCGACGCGAGTGCCCATATAATTTGGATGTAGGCATTAACACCCATCAGAACCAAGCTTGTGCATGTCTTGCAGAACTCCACGAGCATCTGAGGGCACTGAAGGAAGGCAGGATTTTTGTTCCTGTTCTCACCAGCACTACCATGGTAAAGACCTCCTCTGAAACACTGATGAAACGGAAGAACACCCGAGGCGAGAAGAAAGATACCCGGAAGAAACGCAGGACCGATAGAGATGAACCCCGCGAGGACGATCCACTAGTCATAGATGAGAATGAAGACGTGCTCACTTCCTCTGACGCCGATAGCGATGAGCAATCCAACGATGACAATGATAGCTCTCACACCTCTGGTTATGAACTGGGTTCTCACTCAAGGATTCAGAAGGACGAAAATGAAAAGCTCGATGAGGTCACGGTTGAAACGCTGCAGGCGAAGATTCAGGATATGGAAGATGCTATCCAACAGGAACAACGTCGGTTACTGGAGTCCTACAAGCAGGAGAAGGAAATTGGTGAAGAGCTTGCCAATATCAAGGAGAAACAGCTCAAAGCTCAGAGACAGAAGAATGCCTTCTGTTCCTTGAAGCGCTCTAAGGTGGATACCGTCACACGAGTGATTCGAATGAACACTGATGGCGAATCGAATTCTCCAGTTCTCCCGCAATGTTTTAAAGGAAGACTTCCGTACGGGACTGAAGGATCTAGACGGTCGGTTTCATGCGGTGTACGAGCGATACAGTAATTGATAGATATCGTCAGATGCCGCTGCCGAGGAGCGTGATTCGGACAGCTTTGGTCCCAGTGTCAACCTACGCAGTGAGTTTGTACTTGAATTGCTCCATACACTTGAATCATATTGTTTTCTGCCAGACTATGATGAGATTGATCTTCCTGTCTTCATGTGCTCCGCAAGAGACTATGTTCGGTTGAAAAGTATGTCGTTTAATATCAAAGTCAAAGCTTCCTGCTAAACGGTGATCCTGCCAGGCCAAGTCAGGGGCGACGGAGAGCCTACATGTTTCTCGAAGTTAGATGACACAGGTATCCCGGAACTGCAGGAGTGGTGCCACCAACTCACGGTTTCCTCCCGCGAACGTGCCGCGCGTAATTTCCTCGCGCACCTACGGACCTTCGTCGATTCTGTACGGACATATGTGCAGGATATTGGCGATGTGACAACGAATGATCGTGAGGCTATGCGCGCAAAGTGGGAATCCACCCCAGCGCTGCGGTTGCGTCGCTCCACCCCGGCACTACGCGTGCGGCGCTCCACACGCGAACTCTCCAGGAGAAGCGCATCCGCAAGTATGAGCCCCGTAGCTGATGAAAATTATGGTTGGAGCGATGATTCATATCACGAGTTGTCTACGGATGATGAACACACCGAGACCATCAAGCAGAAGGCTGGAAATGCAGTCGGTGTGACACCCCGTCTCGTAAAGGTTAGTTGAGCGGCTCCTCGGTGGTGTTTCATTGATGACTTGACATTGCCTTTGTATAGGACTTTGAAGTTGTTGTTGATTCCTGTGTGGAAGAACTGAAGGCGCGCTTCCGTGAGAGTCTGGAAAGAAAGTGCACGGCTGGCGCTGCCAAGGTACGATCGCAATAACTATACCACGTTGTAGGCATCCTGACCTGCTGCACTCCTCAGGCTGCCAAGGCCGCTATTACCACTTCAGATGCCTTTGCAGCGTCAATGCACTGGCGCACTTACCGTGCCGGTGAGCGGTCCATTACGAATGCACACCTCAACCTGAGCTGATGATTCATCAGTTCTGTGCCGGAACGGGTCGTGGCGCCAGGACCTCAACATTGAGTTATCTAACCCGCTCACTAGGAGGATTGCGACTTCGTGGTGCAAGGTATTCGAGGCAGACCTCTTTGAGCAATTCGAGAAGACCACAATGGATGCAATCAAGAAGGTCCTCGGGGAGATCGAAGACTGCACAGCTGGTGGTCTCAAAGAACATGCACGAAAGCAGGCTGCATTGAGCCTCAAAGACGCACGGTTCGCACTGCGGAGGACACTAGATGTGGTGCGCAACAGAATGAAAAAGCAGCAGAAAGAAGCCAGCCGCTCTTTCGCGCCGGAGGTGAAGACTAAGCTCTACGATGGGTACCGTGCCGCAATGGAGGAATCGGGTGAGGGCAGTGTCGCACGCCAGAAGGTCAGCCTCGTCATTTTTCCTCGCAAAAACATAAGCTGAGCATGTTTTTTATTCAGACTGTTTTCCGGAATTTCTTGGCAAGCGTGAAAAATCAAATATTTAAGGATGCAGCAACCGTGCTTCTAGATAGTCTCGATGCTGCGGCATATGCGGTAGGCTCTGCATTGAGCAAATCATTGGTGTTGCTCGCACAGAAGGTGTGTGGCGACGAGTTGCTGTGTGTGGAAGCAATGCTCATTCGGTGGCATGCATAGATTGAGGTTAGTGTCGCGGTGCTCTGGGAGCACCCACTGGATGACCCACCTCAGGTGAGGGCACGCACTGAGGTGGTTGCAGCCATCACAGAGATTATAGAGCAAGTGCAGATGTGGATGGAGGCCGAGCAAAATAGGTAATTGCTTGTGTTGGCACTGGGGCTCCCTGCAAGGTTCCTTTAGTATCTTTCGCCTTGTTCTACTGATGCAACTGGCTAGATAACTCTATGTTTCACCACTGTTCTCTCTCACCTCCATTACATCGGCATTTTCTTTGATGAGGTAGATCTTCCTCCCAGTGCATGTGCTGCGACTCGAGGTTAGAATGTCCCGGTACATTTGCGCGAGGTTATCGATGTCATACCGAAGTCTTGACGGTACCCACCCACCGAATGTTTAGAATACAACCTTCAGCCCAATTTATTGTCTTGATCAGGATCGCGCTGCGGAACGAGGTTGCCAACTGAATGCGAAATTCCGAGACACCGATCAACGCTGAACGGAACAACGAGAAGAGTGATCTGGTTTCTATGTAGGAGATCATAGACAAGACTCTAATTTACAATGTGCCTGAAGACATAAAGTATGCAGAAGCATTTCCTCGACTGACAAAATATTGCTTTATAGCTGTTCTGCAGCAATCCGTGATGACTGACGAAACCAAGGTTGCATGACCGGCCTGACACCAGAAAGTATCTGCATCGCCTTTAATCAAATATACACAATACACTTTATCCATCGATTTACAACACATGAAAACCTACGTGTGCGCTTGTCCGGGTACACCAACGTTACAGGAGTTTACTGACTTCAGCGTCGAGGTGTTCGGGGGTTGTAACTGAAGCCCAACGCCCGACGACTTGACCGTTCCTGTCGACGAGGAATTTCTCGAAGTTCCACTGCAACGAAGTGAGGTGTGAAAATCTGGTACAGCTGGCTCTCAGACAGCGCAAAAGCTCACCTTGATTCGCGTCAAACCAAGCAAGCCAGCCTTCTCGTTCTTCAACCACTTATACACCTCGTTGGTGTGATCGCCGTTCACATCCGACTTCTTCATGAGGGGGAAGTTCACGCCGTGGTTGAGTTGGCAAAACTCAGATATCTCGGCATCCTGTCCCGGTTCTTGGGAGCCAAACTAACCGATCTCGATGAATCCGATACTGTCAACAAGAGGGGAATACACACCTGATTGCAAGGGAAGCCCAAGATAATAAAATCTCTGTCCTTGTACTTGTCATAAAGCGCCTGAAGACCTTCGGCGAAGATGAGTCACAGTTGTCGTGGGAGACCTAATGCTCGTTACCTTTATATTGGGGGGTAAATCCACTGTTAAGTCATCAGCGATGCACAGATAACGAGTGCAAGCCTTCAAATTCGACGCACCACTTGGAGGCTACATTGACAATCAACACGACCTTCCCCCTCAACTGGTTGAAGTCGTACGACTTGTCCCCAGGAAGGTCAGCTTTCAAATTGTAGAACGAACTTGACTCGGAAGACATCTTGGTCGTGCTCAACCCACGTCGTCCGAGGTCTCGATATAAGGCCGGCCAACGTGCTATTGGTAACGAACCCCCGACGGCACATGACAGTGGTTACTCAGATTCACGCGCACACCCGACACACCATTTGCGCGCCGCGATCGCCCAGCGCGACTAGGCCCCGAATCGCGACCGTAAAGTGCCTGTACGCATAATCGTATCACGTGGACTTTGGCTTTGACTAGGCGCCGCTGTGAAAACAAGCAGACTGCAAGTTGCATCGGAGGTCAAAGCTTGCGCCTCTGAGGATCGTGGCATCTACAGGCGGAATGTACCACTTCCTGGACTGAACGTGGAACCAGATCTAATTCCCCATAAAAGGTTTCACGATAAACATACGTGCTCCATAAGTATTCAGAGTCCTGAGCGTCCATATGAAGCGCAGACTCGTCTATGCTAAATGACAAATTACGAGGCGACCACAAGCAGTTCAGAATTCAGAAGGCCAACAGCTGCATCGTGGCCAGCCCTTCCTTCACCACTGGACAGAACTGCTTTCTCAGCCTGCGGTAGCGAGGAAGAGCCAATTCAAACTTGAGTTTGCCTAGAAGTTGCGAGTAGATCCGCGGTTTGCATGACAGCACAGTGTAGAAAGCATGAGTGCCCAGCCTGAGTTCACAGGTCAAAATGTTGTTAAGCCACAGAGCGGAGGGTATTACGCACCATAGCACCTGTGCTTCTTGTACGTCGCATCGACCGCCATGTATTGTGGCCAATCTGTTCGAGGCCTTATTCCGTATTGTGGCAAATGTGTACCGTATCACCTGCCGAACAGTGTCTGTAGCAACTAAATATGCATTACTTAACATCCGAGGAAAGGGAAGGTACGAACTTCGAATGAAAACGGAACTCTTTTGGACATCCAGACCCCACTGACGAAGGTAATGATGCATTTTCATCGCCGACAGCATGAAATTCTGATATATATTCAAGTAGATCGTGTGCTCCGAGTTGAGCTCTGCATCGCAGAAGAGGATGTGGCTCCTATATTTCGCCAACCTGCAAAAAAAATGAACAAGATGCGCAGTCTACAGTCCAAGCGACATACTGCAGCATCTTGTGAACGAAGGCGACACCGGGACGACGTCCAATGTCCACGGTAAGGGAGTCTTGCAGATCTGGGGTGACACAATAAGCCATCATGATGTGCCGTGCTCCGCTCACTTACATGTCTCATGGTAACGAGAGTAGTCGCCGGACACAGACAAGTTTGTCATATTGATCAAGTATCCGCACCAGGGGAAACCTGAAAACTTGTAAACATAAAAGACTGGACAAAGGGAGAACTCCCACACTCTTCCGGTGAGGCTCAGTCACGTTCATGAGGGCCCCATGGTCAAAATTCGTCAACGTCTTGTCTCTGGATATGAAACATCCGTAATCGGGATGGCCTGAATAACATATCTTTATTTGCCGCCCGTAATAGTGACTCTTTAGCATTACATACCTTCTGTCATGGTGTCAAGGAATTTCCTCGCCCGAGGAAGGCTGGTGGTAATCAAGAGGTAATCATCAATCAATCTGAGTAATAACTGGATAGATTCAGTAACTTGAAATCGAATCAGCAGGTGTTGTGGGGCACTTACGCTTTGTGGGTCCTCAGTGAACTTCAAGTGTCGACGTTCCAAATCACCGTAGAAGAACGAGCACAGTAAGGCCGACAGTACAGAGCCCTGAGGAATACCAACAACTTGGCGATAATACTCTTGTCCAATCTACGGAGACTAGATCGTCAGCTTCTGGCACAAGTCATAACTCATGGACACACACCTTCACGATGTTCTCCGTGATGTGCTCTTCCAGTAGGTTGATGACCTCTTCCTTATTGGCGAATGGATATACTACCTGCAAGAGGTTAAGACAATGGCACTGTAATCGAGAGTACGAGAACGGTACTTACCTGGTCCACAAAAATGGTGTTCCGGAGAGCACCTGCGAGTTGCGCTGCGTAGTCCAAGAAATGCGGGTGATCATCTTTGCATGGTCAAGTGTTCAGTAGGACGGCCAGCGTGTATGTGGAGAAAGCCACCTTCCGATCGAGCCTTCTTCATGTACTTGCGTTTCACTTTCCCGCTAGCACAACTGACCTGTCCGAATCGTTGTATCATATATGTATCCTTCGACCTGGACGTCAGTTGGGTACCAAACAGAGACAAGTATGCCTCACTTCCGATATCAACTGTTTGAGAATCCCGATCAACCTCGTCTGATCAATTGTATCGAAGCACGCTTGAACATCGACCTTGACGAAGTAGAGCTTCGGGCTACGATGCGAATGAGTATCACGACACGATTTGAAACACGACCGCAACGCACAGAGTCTTGATCTTGCCATTGTTTGTCAGATGCGATTTGAATGCCTTCAGTTTCGCGTATATCTCATTCGATCCGAAGACGGATGCTCCTAAGAGCTTCGCTTGATTTTCCTGTTCAAGTTATTGCTAGAATCAGCGTCCTGGATGGAAGTCACAACAGCTAGACTACCTTCTCGTAAGTCAAAATTTGGAATGCAGCCTGTAGAACCTGGTTGATCGACGGCTCCGGACGATCGTACGGACCCTAAAATTATACAGCGTGAAATGACATTTCAATGTGAAAACGAGAGAAACCTGTACTGACCCTCCCATTGGTCTTCCTCCGGCGTAGATTTACAATGGGTCGTACACCAGTTTCTTTGGGTAGCAGACGGACGAAGGAGTATCCGAGTCTGCGCTGACGCAGAATTTCCTCTGCATCATGCTGGCAACAGTTCTCTAAGTTCATTTCATGCTGTTTGACAAAATGACACTGACCTGCTCAAGTTTCTGGAACGTGTCAGAGCTCAGCTTCTCTATAAGAGGTGCACACAGAACCGACCAATCATCTTGACGAAAATACAGCACTCGTCTACGGAGCGCAGACGAGTCTGTAACGTAGAAAGTAGTCTGAAAACCCCGCTATCTGATAAGCTTCACAGTGACATAGTATTGGTACCCACATACCCTGAGTAATGGCAGGACGAAAGAGTCGAAATACCAGAAGATGAATTCTTCGAGTAGCTCTCGCCGTTTTAAAGCGTCCGTCACGGACACTCTTGGTTGTGCCAGCTGTTTCTGCGAGCCACCGGGTGTGAGCCAATCACACTCAGATAGGCTGAAACCCTGGAGGATGTTATGCAAAGTAGTGGTCTCGTATCGCCGACTGGAAATGAACGTCTTCACGTCTGAAATTACGTCGTTAACGCTAAAAGACTGCGATCATGATGTAGCACTTACGCTGCAAAACCTGCTTACGATTCTTGTCACAACCCCAAAGTTCTTTGGGAATGACGGCATCGGTGATCAGTGCTACATAGCGATACACCTTCCGTCCCCGTCAGTCGCTTACGCTATTCTAGCCACAGCGCACCCACCTCTGAGAAACTGCAAGTGAACTCCGCGAAGCGTGGCTTGTGCTTTGTATGCCTCTGAGCTTGAGAGAGACCATGTGGCACGATGGTGCGGCCTGAAGAATCCACAGAAGCATTGGCATCTGCCAACGATGGTTGCGAGCGAAGCTGTATGGAATACTCTGACATCATTTCCTGCATTGGGGATGGTGAGTGGATGAATGGATGGCGGCTCAGTGACCACCATTCAATCTAAGGTAGCTTACTCACCAATATCACACTGCGATCTAAAGGTTCCTTGCGTTCACTTTTGAGCTGCCGGAGATGTCAGTGCATGGGGGGAAAAGACAAATGCACAATGTACCACCTTGGATGGGCACGCATGTTCAAGCAGTGCTTTGTAACCGCACTTCCCGTGCCGCCAGATCAACTTGTCGAGGATGCTCAAGATTGACCGCAATCTCTTAGGAGTCTTGCAAGGCCCATGTCGCTGAGTACCGCGATATCAGCTTCCGTTCAACCGGCGAATGATGCCAAAGGACTCACTTTGATTTCCTCTTCTCTGTCAGAGTAATCTGGCAGATGCTGAGTTTCGAACTGTTGGCGAGGCGCAATAAAAGGACTCGACAACCCAAACTGTCGCGGAAAGACATATTTAGCCAGATGCCTGGCATCCTCAGCTTGCTTCCGCGGGTCAGGATCTACCCATTCGCTTGGTTGGACCATAGATTTTCCGTGATACGACGGCATAATGCGATTCAGGATATCTACATCATATAGCACCGGATGAGCACCGCAGGCAGTAGAACAGAAACTGTCGCTGACGTTTGCAAGGTAAACCGAGTGCTATGGCATTGGTATTTGGGATGCAGTTTGCCCAAGAGTAAAACAGTCGACAGCGTACGAGTGATATGTCAGCGGGTGTTCGCCTGAATCACAATGTCGGTAAGCAGAAGTTGGTTGAAAGTGGACCACCTACTTTTGAGGCGGCGTTCGTGTCTTGTGTTCTGTTGTGGGTGTGGTCGAAGAAAACGAACCGAGGCTAGCGAGACTCTTCAACCGTTTCAGCGGTCTCGAGTCTGGATGGAGTTCGGTCGGTTTCCTCTTAGGAACGCGTTCGCAGGGGATGTCTGCATATGCCCGTACGCCCATGTCATCCTTAACTACGCCGCTCACTATGGGTGGTAGTTTCGGCGTCTTCATGTGGATGATCGGGTCCCCTATCAATTGGCACAGGCATTCGTTCGGCAGAGAGACGAAGACAGAGGTCTCTGTCAAAAGATGAAACATGGCGTCTTCTCCTATTCTGAAAGGAAGAAGCTCATCGTGATATCTACTGCCCGCTCGAAGGTGATGCATACCTTTCGAAGAGAAGCTCCAACTCAGGTGCTTGTAGCGCTGTCACGTTGGTGTTCACAAAGTAATTAGTGATCGCAATGCGCGACATTCCAACTTTTCCTCGTTCTCCGTTGCGTGAAGCCTGCGCCCAATCATACAGCATGAGGTTGGGCTGAACTTGGGATCAAGGGAACACGGACACTGCGATAACCGGTAGTGATAACATTCGAAGGTCGACCCTTTGCTTTCATGAACAGCTTTCCCTGTGCCCTGTCGATTATCTATGTCTATTTAACACCTAGAGATATATCGAAAGAGTGGAGGTCTAAGAAAGACTCACTTCTCGCATATAGACCATAGGAGAAGCCGCTCTGAGTGGCCTCACAGCTTTTATATCCGTGGCGGACGTCACATACGAATTTGTCAACAAATCACGATAGAGAGAAGAGTCATTCTCCCGTTCCAGGAACTCGTGGCCACTATCCACTGGCTCTAGGATCTCCGTCAGATAGTTCCGGAGATTGTGGACTGAACTGTAGTAAGTCTTCAGTAAGGACACCGTGACAGTGACTCTAGAATTGCTAGTCATGTTTTATCGAGAGAAAGACAGTTTGGTATATCCCCAGGTGATAGGGAACCAGCAGAAAGTCACAGTCAAGACGCGTCGCGCATCACGTGCACTGTGACGGTGACAGAGATGGCATTGAAACACACTACTGTGACTACATGCGACAAAATGAGACGAAAATATCGATCAGCAATACATGATCCACAATAGACCGGCCACAAAGCAATTTGATATAGTAAACGAATAGTAGAGAGGGGATAGCGCTCCTGTTCATGATTCGGCAACAGCTTCCGATTTGTTCTCGCGGTTGAGGAAGCCTTCCAAAACATACTTGATGAGTGGTGCTGAAGACCATAGGACTGAGCAAAGCGCACCTTTGAATTTCTGGTTATGGACTTTCTCCCGCACTTTGTCTATTGCGCGAAGTCGGGTAAGCTCTGCGTTGATCGCAGGAGCATCTTCGACCGCAAGACATCAAAAAATGAACCGAGAGATGGACTTGGAACATACGACATACCAGATGGATTCTTCTGTAGGAGATCCTCCAAGATCTTCTCCGCTTTCTCGAAGAAGCCAAGTTCTCCGAGCGCTTTAGCTTTACGAAACAACGCCTTGTAGTTGTCCGCGTTCTGTGTCAGAGCCTAACGGATCGATGTCATCAGAAAATTGCCGCCCACAAATGTGTCTGAAGAGACTTCTCGCCTTATCCGCCGTCTCGATGGCGCGCTTCCAATTACCCCTCTTAAGATGACATGCGGATTGGTTAGAGTAGATTTTCTCTAGCATTTCGTCCACCTGGGCATTTCGCACGTGAGCCTAGGCTTCGCCACAATAAGAAGGCCACAAGAACAACAAACCTCGGTCTTGGGCTTCGCTTTCGCTGCGCCATCAACTACGGGCTCTGTTTGCGCAGTCAACGGTGCCAGTGGTGTTCTGCGCACAAAACACGGAAAATGAGAAGCACGACGCCACACACAACGCGGCACTCACTTATCGATTCCGTTCAAATACAACAGCGCCTTCACCGGCCCCGCAAATTAGAACACACGATATACCCAAGTAGTGCAACTTCACCTCATGATACGACCTGAGAGCTGGAGAGATTCGTATGAACGAACTGGCAAGCTGGACGTTACATGGGACGAGCATAGCGCATATAATCCGTACCATTCTGTAATTCGCCCGCCTTGAATGCTTGATCTCCAGTCTCTTTCTTCTCCTTGGCGACGTTGAGCTTCTTCAACACTTCAGCGTTGGTTTCGTGTCCTTCAGACATGGCTGCTTGTGGTAGAAGTGAAAGGTGCAGAGAACACGAGCCTGAGGGGTGGCGCAAAGCTTGAAGCTGGAAGCGCCGGGCGATTTGGTTTAGGGGATCGCGATAACCCCCGAACAGGCACATACATACCCACCCAAAATTATTCCTATAATTCTTGCTTCATACTACCGACGGCCTCCAGAGCGCAACTCGCCGCATCTGCAGAAAATGTCGCTCCTCTCCAACGTCGTCGGATTTTCTCTCATTGGGCTACTCGCGCGCTTCGGCCAGCTGGGCATTCAGAAGCGCAACATCTTCTCGAGTGAGTAGCGCCCTCCCTGACACGCTCAAGTGCAGCATGACCGACGTTCGTTGTGCAGACATGGGTGGCCACGCCATTGCCATGGTGGCTTTCGGCACTCTGGGATACGGGGCGTATCACTGGGACCAGCGCGCGGCAGTCCTACTGGAGGAGAAGCGGGCAGAGATCGCAGAGCGTAGGCAACGAAAGGTGGAGGCGGCGCAGTCGAATTGAAGCTGTGCGATGACGCTGGAGACTGATACGTGCGCATGATTCCTTGTACTATTCGACTCTTCGCGGCATGAAATGCGCGTTACAGATTAATGCTCAGAGTGCGGCGAGTACACCGGGTTGCCACCGCACGGCGACATTATCTACTTGCGGATAGAAAGCTATCGTGTGTAATCCCGCATGGAAAGACGTTCGACTTGCGACCAATGCTGTGTATGAGGATACATGCAGAGTCGTGGATTCTGCAAGGTTCAGCAGTGCTTTATTTTTTTTCAAATAATTCCTCGCCGCTCCTGGTGACATGCCGGTTCTCGCAACAGCATCTCCCAAGAAGCCCACCTTCGCAGATAAACAAAAATCTATTCCTCCGACAACTAAAACTATAATGGTGGAAGATCACGTATCCTACATAGCCCAATGGGCCAATATACAACGAGGATCCCAGCAGGATGTACAACCGAATGAACGAACGAAGACGCTCTCATCAGAGGCGAAGAATCGGAAGTAGGGGAGCAAGTCAACTGTGCAAGGCGCAAGGCGACAGCGAAACGGCCGCAGAAAAACGAGAAACTAGGAATGTGTGGGAGTGAGGGAGTAAGGCTAAGGCTAACGGGGCGCAAAGATGAACAGCGAATGAGTGAATCGAATAATGGCGAAGATAGAGCAAAGGCCAAGGGCAAGATGCACAGAACAAGTTCCAGCAACAGAAAGAGAGACCAGAAGAATCGCGGCAGAGCGCAGAAGTGAAAACATGTTGTACAACGCGAAAGAAACCAGTATTCCGTCTGGTATACAAGAAAGCAACTTCGACATGACATCTCGAGAGCACGAGACCGGAAGTATAACCAAGCAGTTCCTGCGGAGATGTGAACAGAAAGAAAGAGTAAGGAGTGTCGAATTTGGTGGAAGGGAAATACAGAGCAAAGGTGCGACGGGAGAGTCGAATGTTGATTGAAACTCGGTTTCTGGAAGGCGCGAAAGGCGAGGGAACGTGGGACAGCAAATTATCTGTCGAGAAGAAACAACCAGGGATAGAGAGTGTACAGACGCATATTGCGTCGGGAGAGGTGGGATAGTAATGTGCATGGTGCTTTCCGCGGAATGAACAAGGATGCGTGTTGTAAAATTAACGGTGAATGGATGAATGTAGCGAACTTGCTGCGGACCATAATGATGTACAGGGTGTGAATACATATGGTCTACACGTCTTGCGACGCAGAAGGTGGTGCTGCACTGCGATTCAGATGGAGACGGCCGGTCGTGGTGTGAAATTGACGGCCCTCGCCAACGAAATTTCAGTGTAGCTGGAAAGCGCTCCCGAGTCCCAGACCTGCGCCGGTATCGACGTTCTCCTCGCTCGGAGGGGTTGGGACACTGCTAAAGGAGATCTTTCTTGCCGGAGGCCGCTGAGGCAAGCGGGACCCATGGGTACGGCGAAGGGGCTTCGCCTGCGTGGTCTGTGGGGTGACCGGAGTACGATGGAGGAGAGTGGCGCCCGCAGCACCACGAATCGCGACCGGCGAGTCGGTAGACTTGAGCTTGCGCGATTTCGGGGTACCAGTGCGAGATACGGGACGAAACATCGAAGGACTGGATACGGGAAGCGGAAGGGGCAACTCAGGACCCAGAATACTCGGGTTCCGCTGCAGATTAGCCTTCAGCCTGGACGAGCGCCGAGGGGGAGTCTCTTTCGGGATCCTGGATTTGTCGATGGTCTGATGTGACTGCTTTACAGACAACTTCGACTTCTTTTCTGGTAAAGGACGAAAAGGGGGAGGAGGGGAGTTCGCTTGCACACGCGGCTTTTTCGCCTTCAAACTGCGGAGCTTCTCCTCCTCGTCTGACGAAGTGGCATCCGAATCTCTGCCACCGATACTCATGCTCATGGCGTCTGAGCTGCGTTTGGAAATCGAGCCGAATGACGGTGCACGCTTCAGGGATCCATACAGCATTTGTCCGCCAAACGAGTCCGAGCGCTTGATGCGTTGCACTCGAGGATCAATCGCAGGAGCCATGTATGCGTCTGAGGAACTGGAGACGGAAGACATAGATCGCTGCAGGCGGGGGATGCGAGATTCACGGGAAGCGCTGGAGTTCAGAGTTGTAGAACTCGACGTGGAACGATCCAAGCGGGAGAACTGCGAGCATCGCACAGGGCTACCGAGAGGAGGAGAGGAAGCACGACTAGGAGGACGTGTGTGCGCGCGATAATCAGTAGTAATCGTTCGTTCAGTATGTTGCAAACGGTGGGAAAGTCTATAGCCAGTTGAGCCGGAAATGAAAATGTAGAATAACAAACATAATCTATTTACCTAGTAATGTTGCGGTTGTCCTTGAGGTCAAGCTTGGACGATTGCTGCATGAAATCCATGCTTGACTGCCTGTATAGGGGCCGCTTGGGACCAGTGTTGGTGGTCTGCTTTAAGATGTCGTGGTCGGGGTCATCCTCTTCGGCGATGGTGTCGCTACCGGATTCGTTCGCAGCCTCTTTTGCGCGAATGCGGGCCAGATCGACGATCTTGGCGCGAGTCGCGCGCAGCGACTGCGGCCAATCGATTGGACCTTTGGCTTGGGTAACGCCTCGAGCGATCTTGTCGAGAAGGTTGGAGGGGGGGACTGGACCATTGAAGGGGGTAAGCAAGTGTGCGGGAAGTGCGTCCAAGGTCTGCGAAAACGCGACGATAAGAACAGCGTGCAAGGCTAAAACGCGAGACACACCCTGGACAGCAATCGAACCTGCTCCGGGCTCCATTCGAACTCAAGCTCGTCCGCTCCATCGCAATTAGAACTATTCCAGCTATCTGTGCTCTTCCTGTTTGCATTCAAGGAGGAGAACAACGGCAGAGGAGAGTTGGAGTTGGGCGGCGTGTGTGGGGAGGACATAGAGGAGAGCAGAGAAGATCTACGACGAGGGAGAGGAAGCTGAGTGATGACCGGAGAGAGCGAGGAGACGGCGTCAGGGTGCCGTCGGTGCATAATGTCCTATAGGAAAAGATAGGAAAGGACAGTAAGGCGAACGCGGTACAGTACGAGGGAAACCACTGCAGGCTGCCCATCAACAATGGGGCGATAAACATCCATCTGCTTACGTACACATCACGTGAAAATTCAGGGCAGGCCCTTTCGCGTCCCTTCCCACGCCACGCACGCGTCGACGCGCTCGAACCACAAAAAAAATACAAGACAAAATATACAAATCGGAGATCGACTCACCAGCAACCGCTTGCCTTGCCCCCCTTTCAACGTCCGAAGTTAACAGAGACCTACCGTGCATCTCTTTCCTGTAGGTTACGCTGAGAGAAGTGGTCTGACGAGGCTGCCAGCACCTTAGACTGTCCATGTCCTAAACCACCGATATCGCTCTGTGTGAAAGCTCATCACTTCTAGCAGGTTCGACTTAGAAGGGTAAGAATGGAGACGTCCTTGTATTCCCTGGCCGAACACAAGCAGTTGCTCCATGAAGTTGTCCCCTTGTTCGACTTAGGGGTTCATTGTGGCGTTCGTCGGCAACTTTTCAACGTTCAAGAGCAGAGACACAGTACCAGAAATCACTTGCAGAAAGCAGGGAGAGCATGCTAGTTGGGAGTGAGAGCGACGATGGAACGATGGGGATGCGAAGAAGCTCAGAGCGAATTTTGTGCGTGAATTGGGACGCCACCATCAGCGTGGTGACAAGTTCAACCAGAGAACAGGTCCGGGTGCATGCATGGAGCTCAGTCAACGTCGTCGTCGTGATCAGATACCGAGACCTATCAACGGGGTCACACCACTTCCCATGGCCACCGCGCCTGCGACCTGCAGCATCGCCCTGTCCCGAAAACTCAGACTGCCGGCACGATATCACGTCTACCATGCAGGGATCTCCTATCGGTGATAACAGACTCTAATTCTCAAAAATACAGGAAATGTGCTTTCTTGGCTATATTTGCCGGAAACTTGAGAGCACCGATAGAATTTGATAATTCCTCACCCTCGTTACGCGCGGTTGGATTCAAGTTCCTTCTGCGGCTATCTGCTGTATCCGCGGAAGAATAGAGAACGTGTTCGTAAGACATCAGATATCCACAGCCATTCAGCCATTCAGTAGCATCAGGTAAGTACCCCCATCGTACCGTTGACCCTATCTCGAGCCACAGCCACACTATATTCACCCAAAAAATAGCACATCAGAGAATAGAATTTCACCAAAGCAGACAGACCAGCCGGCCGAACTGTCTGCCGTTGTGTTCTCTCGATGTCAGCAAGGCTGCCCGTTCTCCCAGGCCCTATGGGATGAATCAGGAAGACATGCAGGACGCTAATGGCAGTCATGTGGTGCACCTGCATTTCATGTCCGGATGACTGAGACGATGAGGCCGGAAGTGGGGAATAGGCAGAATTGCGGTTAATACCGAGTGGGCATTTTCAGGGCCGTGGGTGTTCGATGACGGTCATGGAACAGATTTAAAATAGGTCGCCACAGCGCCATCCCACCTAGATTCGAAATATCCTAGCGGCTAGTTTGCAGCGCAAAGACGAAAGCTTTAAATGATGTATCTTAGAGCCTTGCTGCGAGGTATCTATCTTGCGATGGTCAATTTTGCCGAGATCGTGTACCGACTTCGTGGGGCGGGATCGTGGCATCAAAGGCCCAAACTCAGGAATTAGGAAACCCACGCGCCGTGTGATGATGAAACTAAGAAGAAACAAGAGACACTGCGGTCAAGATCAAGATCGCTGCATATAAATGGACGTGTGCCTACGTTGTATCCCCTTTGGCACGAACACAGTCTTTGCTTTCTTCAGGCGTAAATCCTTGAAAAACACCGTAGATATCGAGAGGACAGCTTCGTAGTCGGCAGATCGCGCGGGCGCAGAAGTGAGGACCATGAAATCCCATGCAGCGACCAAGATTATCTAGGGTTTCTGCCTCGGAGGTGGCAAGGAGAGGAGCCTCGGAATTTCAACGCACCCTAGACCGGATAAAGGGAAGACGACGTCCGAGCGGTGAAAGTATAATTTCCTAACGGCAGTTGGAGGATATCAGTAGAGAATGAATTCCTGAAGACGTCAATTTCTCAGGGTGATTGATAGCGAAGGCTAGAGCCCCATCATTTCAGGACACTGACAAGTTGCTGCCCTAGGAAGGAGAGACAGATCGGAAGAAATTACCGGTGACTGAGCGCAAGGACGCAGAGGTAGACGACCGATGAAAGTGAGCTGTGCATGGGATATGCATTGTATGCGATGGCCTCTGAATATGAGCGCAACAGCCAGCTTCGTGTAGCCTTTGGACTGATGATAAGAGGTAACCGTACATGTCAACAGGCTCACCCATTCAACTTTGGACACAGTAGGCAGACCGCACAGAGCGACTCTCACTGTTTCAGAAGTACATATGTGTGGTAGTGCCACATTCGCAGGGACCGCCAGCGGTGTATGGCAGTCATTACGCATGCAGCCCGTGATACACGAATCAAAGATCTGAAAAGGAAAATATTCAGGAAATTCGTTGGCGACAAAATAAACTCGCCTCGTTGCTGGACAAGGGCGAGGATGCGGACGAGGCTGCATCGATGCCGTCACCACCTGCCAGGCATATCATGAATTTCGCTGCTGTGTCAATTTATCATCATAATAGTTCAGACACACAGTATGAGAGATGGAGGTACGGTCAGTGCTTCTGCAGAAAGTGGGAGTTGCTTTCTATGGCCCGGAAGCCTAAGGAAGTCTTTTGTACTGGGCGAGACAAGAACGAGACGAGTAGCAAGATCTGCGATCTCGGCAAGCGTAACATGCCGATACTTGTTCTTGTGGCGAAGTCTCCAAGTGCTTTCGTAGAATACAACGTCGTTACAACGAGGCTCTCATTCAAATACAAGGAACAGATAAGCAACATAGTACACGATACGCCATGCAGTAGAATATACAGTAACCAATCTCCGGTCAAGTCTTCGTGGTGATCTTCCTCGTAAGAGTCCTCAACCTCTCCGCATTCTTCTTCCTCCTTTCGATATCCACATCTACGCTGAAGTTGCTCTTGGAGATACCCGCGTTGGACCTTGGCGCGACGGTGTAGCTGCCCAGCTCCCTCTGCGGGATCATGACTGCATTCTTCCGGACGCGGTTCTTTTCACTCTCCTTGGCACGCGCCAGGATCGCGTTAAGACGCTCTCCTGCACGGGCACCCTCGCCTTCTCCAGTTTGGGCGGTGGGGATGACACGGTCGCGGTAGGAGGCACTACGTTTGATGATAGGTCGAGACCATGTGGAGACGAGGTCGTTTGCGAGGCGGGCAATATCTGGAGTTACGCGCTTGCACTTTGTGTAGAAGATTACGACCCTGCCCAGTCGCGACTCCTTAAGCACGTTCGTATCAATAAATTCCATCTTTTTTAGGATAGGGAAGAAGTCTTTCTGGATATCAAGGGCGGGGAGTGATTTATCTGGCAGTGGTTCAAGCCATTTTCGGACACCCTCGAGCAAGTTGTTGTCGATGATTGACTGCGCAAGTGATGTCCTGAGCGACTAACGGTCAGTGACCTACCGCACTAAAAGGGAAGGGAGACGCACTTTCGTAGCACCTCCACAACCTGCGGCAACAGCCTCAGCTTAGACGTAGCAGGAAGCTTCTCTTTATTGGCCTGCTCATCGTCCGCAGCCGCAGCGAGCATGGCCTCCCGCAAACGAGAGACTTCTTCGTCGGCGTAACGATCGAGGACGTCCTCATCATCCTTCTTCTTTCTCTTGCTCTTGACTCTCTTGGTCTTCAAAATGGCTTCGATCTGCATGTCGAGCTTCAACTTGGAAGCTGTCATATATCCCGATCAGTCAGTGAAAATGACCATCGTAAGGCACACACCTTGCTCAGGAGGCAGCTGACTGAGGTCAATCTCTTCTGGCTGCGACCTTCTCTTCCTCTTCCGTGTAGGAGCCTTCCGCTCCCCTTCCTCGCGAGCCCGTCGTCCCCTCCGCTTCTTCACCACTGGGGCAAGTTTCTCTTGCACATACTCGTCGGCTGAGTCTCCCGAGGACTCGTCCTCTTCACGAGCAACTGGAGATTCCCTCCCTTTTGGCTGCTCCTGGGGAATGTCTGCATGGTACCCTCAATACATGCATGGAGACCACTTTCAGGATATGAGTCTCACCGTCGTCGAAGTCAGAGAGTTCAGAGTCAGAACCGAAGATATCGCGCTCCAGGTCATTTTGTGCCTAATACGACAGAAAAAGTAATCAGCTACCGTATATCTCGCGGAATAATGGTACACACAGGCATTGTAGAGGTGGTTGCTCAGCTCAGGCTGTGAAATACTTGTTAAGCGCTCACCTGACAAGATGTCACACAAATGTGGTCACAGTCACTCGAAGCGCGTGCATGTGCGGCACTCGGGAGTTACGCGATGAGTGCGAGCTCGTCATTTAATATTTTCCTTCCTTTTGGGGGAATGGCTCACCATGAAGTTCATGAAACAGATAACATGACTCCATCTCCAGAGATATAACTGTCCACCTATTCAAGTCCAAAGGGTTTTTGGGAGAGACACGACAACACAATTAATGCAGCAGGTAAGTTATAATATTCAATAGATACAACGCAAAGGTGTGTAGGTGCAGTCTGAATATATCCGCCACATCCATGATGGTGACGCAGAGGGAAGCGTAGTAATCGCCTGAAGCTCGTCAAGATCATGCGATAAGGACACACATCTTTGACTACGCACCTAGATGTGTAACACGAGCTCATCCATGATAGTCCATGAAATCACCGTACCAGTTACTGGAAGCGGCATTTCCTCTATTTTTGGCTGGGGTCTTTGCGCCCTCAGCTTAGGATACAGCCACGTATTTTGCAGCGGTGCAGCGTCGGCCAATGAGACGCCAAGGGCGATGGAGAGAACGAATGCTGCGAGGAACGAGAGACGCATTTTTTGTGGCCGAAACAACAAAAGTGGTGCAACCGTTGACTAGTAACATGGAGGGATCAGAAGACCAGGAGAAGGCATCGAAATATAAAGACTCACAAGAAGGACGAAGGGAAATCCGAAAATACAAGTACAGTATCAGATGCACCCCTTCAAACCGAAGGGCGATCGCTTGAAGGAAATATGGGGTGTCCGCATACCTTATAAACCGGCGCGGTGTCTTCTTTGGATAAGGCTGTGAACACGTCGAGAATATGTGTGTCACTTTGTAATTGAGCCTCGGAATGACACTCTTGAGCAGAGCTGACACGCACCTACAGCGAGCGTGGACAGCCGCAAGGAAGGATCTTCGCTCGGTGGCGTCATGATGTTTGACGGGCGCTGTACTGATGCAAACCTCGTAGTGGATAAATCAACCACAGCTAAGCTCCGCCAGTTTTATTCCCTAAGCCTTCTAGCTTCGTTCCGAACAGTCTTGTATGGGTCGCTTCTGTGGAAGAGCTCAGGCGTGTAAGCTTTGTGATTAAAGTTCCCACTCAAAACGACCTTCTCGTACTCTGAGTACGTAACATACGATAGTTGTCAGCTTCATGTCATTATATCTATCGCGACGCAATTGTTAAAACTCACTATACATATTACTATGATCTGCCCGCCGTAGTGGTTGAGTTCAGAGCCAAGCACTGGAGTTGCCAAAACGAGATTGACACATCAAGGTGTTTTCCGATCGCCAGCTTGCAACTCCTTCACATCCCCTTCACAGCGTCTTCGCTAGCTTCAGAGTTCAAACGTTCATCCACCATAAACACAAAAAATGTGAAGTTCTCAGCGACCGCCTGTATGGAAATTGGCTTCAGTTCCTACCGTCGCTGCTTCGCATGCTGTGTCATGTGCTATGGCTCTCTTGATGGACTTGACAGTGTGATGGTCGGTCTGTGGGAATGACTGTCGTCATGCTGGTGAGTCTGCGTCGCCGCCCAAGTCATTCATGTGAAGGCATTGAACCTTCTGATGATTGATGAAGCTAGCGAAGGTCGACGCCTGTGGTGCCTCCCGCGCGCCAGATGAACCTCTTCGAAACGGGGGTTACTGATCATAGGACTGACATGCGCATCTCAGAAGCGAGTTCTCGTCCTATACTAGTACAGAAACCGAGGCAAGGTAGGTATCTCAACGGCTATTCCATTAATCTGATTCTATTATTTCCTAGTCTCTATCAACGTCAAGCCGGCTATATACGGGTGAGTCTGGCAGGTCTACACTTCAAGGGGTTGGATCCGTGCTCGCCGGTATTGTCTCCTGCCGTAGCCATGGCACCCAGCCTAGAAAGGTCAGCAGGTCTCTGCAGATCCCTCCAGCAGAGAGTTTGGCTGGTGAGCATCACTGTTGTTAAATCTCCTCATCAGCTAAGCTTTCTCTGGTACTGACCTCTGTGGAAGATTATTGACGAGGAGTGTCCATTGACTGTAAGCAGGAATGATTCAATCCTGCAATCGTGGGGCGGCTGCTGCTGCGAGCTCCGATTTGTGAAGTCGCCTCGACTTGACATCCACTTCGGGTCGAAAATATACAACGGTTTGTTTATCGGCTCCTAGCCACATGATGTTCCTGGCTAAATTACTTTAGTCCTCGGCTTGTGGCGGACCCCAGCCATCTGAGTATGCACTACCTTACCTCACCGTCAGCAGCATAAGGCTCGACTGTCAATGAGAGCCGTAATAAAAAGGTATGTATCTTTAACTCTAGGCTGTCTGCAGGTGCGTGCATAATCATAATAAATAACAGTCTCCTGGTCGTCATCGAATATTGTCGACTCACCACAATGCGGGAACCGCTTACAATATGACGATATGCATGAACGTGTCTGTCGTCACGGACATACATATGTAGCGAACGTGGTGCAACCTCGGCTACTGCGCAATCCGCCTGCGTGCGCAGTCTTCGGTTCCAGCGGCAGCATAATGCAGCCATCGCGATTCTGTGGACTTCTTCGGCGACTGTGGACTTTGAACGTTGAACACTGTGAATGTTTGAACAGCAGCACATCTTGCGTCAGAAGTACTGCTCCCCATCTGTTCAACCTGTCTTCGGGGTCTTTTGAGTAGAATTATGTGTATTAATAGGTGGTGCCGGTTTGCGTGTATTTTTACCCGTATGATCGAAGCTATATTTGTTGGGACAAGGTTTGTACCAATGTGTGGGCACTGAATTTTTATACGTGAAAATAGACACTGCCCGAGCGTTCCGCCTTTCCGGTAAGCCGGTCGCGGTGTGAAGTCGGGGTCCTGCGTGCGCTGCTAAATTTCGCGCACGAACGTGTGGGAGATATAATCATCTGGGTGCTTGGGAACCTGCACGGTCCAGGAATTGTGCAGTTGTCGGGTGGATAGCGTAAGACGACACCGGCGTGACGATTCAGCGCTTAAAGGGCGTCTGATGCTTACGTAATCAAGGAGACACCAATAATACTTTCGTTGCTCCGTGCATCAGCTGCCACTGACGGTTTCCTCTCTCCCTGCTGGCAGCTTGCTCTGACGTTTCTTTCCCTTCACCAGCATCGTCCACGATGGTCTTAGAAATTATTTCTGCCATGGCCTCAGAAGTGTATCTCACTCCTAATGACACAGTCGCCGTCTCCGATGCCGTCCCCCATTTATCTATGCCGCTTCCGCCCAAGCGCGTCGAGCAACCACCGCCATCTTCTCCAGAGAAAAGGCTTCCAGTACCTCCACAAATAAACACTCAGAGGGGAATCCAATTGTCCTCGGACATGCTTCAGTTTCCGTCACAAGCGGACACTAGGAGTAGACCCTCCACCGTCCCTCTAGGAGCGCGGAAAGCGCTCGGCCGGATTCTCAGGGATCCACGGACGCTCTTCCACCTACTCTATGTGTTGTCTTGGAGAGACTTTCACGCGCTTTCCAGTGCATGCCGAGATTTCAGGCAACAATTGAGCCATAATTCTGCGCATAGGGACGTCATTCTTTGCCATTTCGTGCCAGGTTATCGCGAGGCCCTGCAGATTGGTGACCTGCAGCACTATCGCGAAGTCGAGGTGGATTTCCATGACCTCACTATGCTTGGTGGGTTATTTCTACCCATGTGTGACCAACTAATAAATTCGCCATACTTACAGTAATGTCACAATATGTGCCGTTGCATAAGTACCCAATGCACTCGCTATCTATCCTGAACGCTCTCCAGCAGCCTGCAGGTAGTTCTCAGCTCTTCGCCCTAACTCAGAAATATGTCGCTTTGACTAAGGCCCATTCGCGGTTCGTGCTACTCCTGCAGTCCCTTGTCCACAGCCCCTCTTCAGCGCCAACCCCCTCTTCGGACGATGAATCCGATGATGCCCTTGGGTTTCTTGCATCCTCACAGCCAAGAACTGACTTCACTCAATTTCCTGGTGTTCGTGAACTGGTGTTCCCTGCACCGTTGTCGTACTTCGGGCCCGATCAGAACAGCGATGTCCCTGCCATGGATGGTTTTCGTCATGATGGCGAGAGGGGACATAGACGCCATACTGCAGGCTCCTCGGTTTCCACCATGCGAGCTGTCTCATCGAGCCCTACACGGCCGACGGCAGAACGTCACCTCACGTACGGGCATCTGTCGCATGAAAAGCACAAAAGCCATTCCCTCGTCCCGATCCTTACTGGACATCGTAGATTACCGCCCCCTCCACCATTAGCGGATCCCCCAGCGCTCAAGTACTACTCAGACAGTTGGCGACGCTCACGGATGACGTCGCAGACGGCACAACAGCGATTAAGTGTCGTCTCGGATGACCAGTGGAGGGCCGAGCTGAAGCACCCCGTACGACGCTTTGAAACCGTCAACATTTCACGGGAATCCTCGCTGTCGAATTCCAGCCCCTCGAGCTCGTCGAAATGCAATACAGAATCCAACACAGAATCTACGGACAGCCGACCGTCGGTGCAGGATAGCAGGGAGCCTCAGCCGTCGTCGTTTCCGATGTCGGCATTCGCCGTGCCGCGCGGCACGTCGCCGCACGATCTCTTCCTTGCCACCTCTCGCACACGCGCGCCGGTCCTTCGCACGTTTGTTCCGTGTACTGAACTGGACGAACATGCGATCGCCGCCTGTGAAGAGCAGCTCCTGGACGCAGGTTTGTGGGAGCACCTCTCCGTGGGCGACATCGTGTGCAATTTTGGCTACGTTCCACCCCCAGAAATAGACGACGCGACCCACCCGGGTGAAAACAGGCAGAAGTGGCTGCTGTTCGATGGCTACAACCTCGTTCAGTACACTTCCCCAAGCCCACCACCACTGGAGAATCCGTTAACGCTACCTTCGCCATTCTACTACGCGCACATCCTCCCACCATTTTCCAACCCGGTTCATAACCTCTCCCTACCGGCGCTACCGCGGAGTATCGGCAAGCTGGGCTACAATGATCCGCACATGCAGCTGACACTCGCCCACCTGCCCACGCGTGTGCGAAGCCCGAAGTCGCCCTCGGGATTCGCGATCGTAAGTAAATACGTCTGGCTCGCCCGGCTGCCGTGCGTGGGTCCCAACATCGGAATACAGTCCGGTCTCATACTAGGGACAGCGTGGCAGGGCGAATGGATGTTAGAGGGCGAGGGAACCCGAGAGGGTAAACAGAGTCTATTAGACGCCCTGACCAACGATCCGAGTGGCAGTGGGATGACTCGGAGAGCACAGTGGGAGATTGTGCGGGATAAATCTGGCGGTGGGCGGTTGTGGATGAGGTATGTCATTTGTGGCAGTTCGTTGTGCGACTCTGACTGTTGTTCGCACAGGTTGTTGATGTCGAACGTTGATGATATCCCTTCCGGCTTAGAAGTGAGCCCTTCTGAACTTGTGACTGGTTCGTCATGATCTCGACCGAACAGTGACACTGTGCTACGCTGTGCGCCATACATTACAAGCGAATTCTTTTGATACGATATCCGCTTCTCCTTGAATGACCTATCTAGGAACTATTTGCACATGTACTGTTGCGCGGACTCCGTTTGGAATTGTTGCTTGCAGCACTAATTTGTTGTCACATCCTCTCCCCTGTTGCATCTATACATACATACCATGTATTACTCCGGGCATTGCATGGACCCCTTCTCTGCAGTCATCATCCTATCGCGTTTAACTTTCCTTCTGTCACAGCTATTGGACGATACTGCCATCTACATACTGCTTTATACTACTGAGATGGGTGGGCTGGGTTTAAAAAAATGGATCTGTATTGTACTGCAGTTCTACTTTGACAGTTTATAATCAGTCGACTACGGCATGCACCTTCTGATTTTGGAAGAAATTCGATCAGACCAACTTCACGATGTTGGTGTCGACGAAATAGGAGACATCGAATCCATCTTCGGGTCCTTTGATGTAGCCGGCTTTCTCGAGGACGCTACGATCAGGCACTCAGCGTCGATCACGCTTCTGAAGAATGCCGATTATGTAGCTTACTTCAAAGTGTCAGCGATCACTTTGCGGGGGATGGCAGCGCAGTCTTGCGGGTAGCCAACAGTCTTCAACCATGCCTGAAAGGACAGGATACTGTAAGTTATGAACACTGCAGACAGAGAGATTGCGACGACGTACCTTAATGTCCTCCTCCGGGTAGCCGAACTTCTCCTTAATGAACTCTATGTCCTCATGGGCTCGCTTCTCTTGTGAGTCAAACGTGCGGACGTATATTGTAAGCGTGCTGAGGAAGGTGCGCAGAAAGTCTGCTTGGGCGCGTGTTGGATGTGCTGCGATCAGCCAGGACGGCCATGGGGTAGGGACAGAGCCAATCTAGATGTCATCGCGTCAGAACAGTGAATTCTTCGCGGGAGGTGACGGTCTATCACTTACGAAGCGTGCTTCCCCTGCGTCTACAAATGGCTTGGTGGTAAACCACTCCCACATGAATGCGCTCGTCGTGCCATCGTTAACTGAGTCGAGCAGCCCCCGGATGTCATTGTTCACTTTGGCGATGAGGTGAATCTCAGTTACGACTGAATGTGGAGACTCGTACGTTTGAACTGGAGCTTGTCCGTCGGCCAACCCTGCTGGAGCGCCATCACGAACGCCATGGTCTGGCTTCCACTAATAATAAATACTTTAGATAACCTACCGACAGGTCGAAGAAGCAACTTCGATCAACCTGCCATATCGCGAAATTCCAAGTGTCGTTCCTCGCAGTTCAGAAACAGTCTTGTACTTCGTATCCCTGCCAGTGATGACTGCCCTAGACTTGCGTGAGCATCCCTCGGTCGCGACCGGCGCTGGACTGTGTAACTCGCCAGTTCAGAGGGGTGGTCACAAAGCTGCCCACCAGCTTGTAGTGCTCAGAACCCTTGGCGATACCGGAGATTAAAGGATCGGTCAACGCACTGAGCTCATTAGAACACTGCCGTCAAGATCTATCTCGATGAAGAAGGACTCACATCGCGACGTCAATTTCATCATTGGTGAGACGTGTAATGAGCTGGCCTGTTCCGCCTGCATCTCGATTAGCATATCATACTCTATTGGTAAAGGTGTGTAGCACTGACTAGGACATTCTACGAGTACGAAGGTCTTGCCACCATCGGTCTCCGCGTACTGCAGGAGTGGAGACGAGAAATGCTCGCGTACTTCTCTGTTTGAATATTATCTGTTCTTCCAACTCCTTGGATGCTCACCATATCCCACTCTCAGAGGCATGGTCGGAATAAAGAGAAACGATAGCAAATCCCCAGAGCGGCCGATATGATTTGGATATGATATCGATTAGATCCGAACAGCCTGAAGTCAGCACCCTCGGAAATCCGCGGACCGCTTCCTTTGCGAGTTGGGAGTTATTTTCAACGGGGCCAACGTACGAACGCCGCTGGTTATCAACCACTTGGAAACTCTACTTTCTTGATTTCTTTCCCACTACACTGGGAGCGTACGTGCGCGCAGTCTGGAAGCCATCACAGGGACAGCGGATAGCACAGCTGTCAGCACCGCACGATGAGTGTGAACGGTGCCTCCTTCCTTGAGGGAGGCCCGACGACGGCATTTGTTGCCTCCCTCACTGTAGAGCTCTCCGAGTCTGGTCTGCAGGCTGCTGGTGTCTCGGCGTTGGCTGACGGTTTCCGCTCACCTTGCGGTTGCCCTCAAGGGGAGACGGATTCGCTGAAGGATGTCTTGTAGCGTAATCAAGGTATGCTGTCTCCTTTCTGGATGATCGTTGTTTGTAGCTGCGAAGCTGTCAGTTCATGTTTCTATGTGAGTGCCTGTTTCTCTTGCTTGGGTTACATTTACTCTGGTGGCTGCGCCCATCCTACTCTCCGGGGTCAGCACTTTCTGGCAACGCGACGCGGCGGCCCCTTGCTCGTACTGGTTTTAGTTTCGAAGGTAAGTTGACGACGGTCGGCTTGGATCAACTTTGGCGTGCTGGGGCTCTGCTTTGTATGAAGGTAAGTGAACCACGCTGGCTCAATTTAACTCTGGCGACATGGCTCTCGACGCGCGAGTCTTCTGCGGCTACTTTGACGGGACTCTTAGGCGACGCTTTATCGGTGTTCTGCTTTTTTTGCCTATAGTCTGTGATATCTGGCTCGTTAACTACCTGATCTCGGCTGTGTTGCTTGCTGGCGACTGTCATATGTGGGTGAGCGTTGTGACATCATGTCATATTTCAAGTTTTGTTTGATGTCTCTCAGAAAGAATTTACGAGTCCGACACTGTGCAGTCTCGTGGCGATTCATTTTGTCTGCATCGTTAGCGCTCCTTCTCCAGAGTTCGGCAAGTTAAGTATTGTGACCTTCGTCCACCTTCACCGTGACATGTTCGCGGAAAACAGACGCAACGACATGTTCCACCGAATTTATTTTATTTGGTGTGTACCTCTCCTTAGTCTGGGTAACATGCTCCACGCTTTTCCACTTTAGCACTGGTTGAACGTAGAATCGCGACCAGGCAGCCATCTCCAGTACATCAAACACCGCGTAATGTCAAGTGACTCCAGGTGCGTCCATTTTCTTTCCCCGAAGACGGGCAGAACTTGCGGTGCGGGCGCTGCCCGGATGCTGACCTTTACGTAGCCGTCGAGATAAGTACGTCGTTGCTTACTAGCAGCGCGGGAAACCAACTCGCGCTGAACTTCAGGTATCATTTCTTGCTCATCTCATCATCTTACATGATACCTCCTTGCCGCCGGGTTAAGGGAAAGAGTGCATTTCCACAGCTCTGCTTGTTCGCCATCTTCCACACGGCAGTGATGTTCCATGGCGGCGGCGGCAAAAGAATAATAAGCCTGATACGACGTCGCCATCCTTTCTTTCTGTCTGACTAAGTCCTGTGAACAGGCAACTGATGCTCACTCGCCTAGCTAGTGCTTCCCCAAGATAGTACCATTCTTAGTGACTTTTGGCACTCGCTTGCTCAAAGTGCACTGCCGACTTCAAGTTCTCTTGTCTGGGTTACGCCATCTCTGCTGCTTCCAGCTTCTATCCTGGAGACTTTGGCTATCGCGCACGACGCTGTGCCTGGCTTAGGGACTCTGTGGCAACATTTTTTCTATTTTCTTCGACGATGGCGACAATTGCATTGACTGCCAGTGTCTTGACGTGGCGACACTTCCTGTTCTGACTGTGACTGTGCCTGTGACAGATCTCATTTGGCTCGGTCCTCTCTGACATCACCGGCCCTGGACTGCCTGGCACCGGCTGACTGCTACCAACCCAATTGAATCTCCCAAGGTGACTTAGTAGCGGCTGTCCCTCTGTACGACTTCGACGGAAAGGCTTAGCGAAGGCCTCTTGGTTATGTTGTCGTCTGACATCCTTGCTCTTGGAGGTAACTCGAGCTCGCATGTTCTTATGTCCTAAAGATACTCTGAACGTCAACGTCCGAATCCTAACTGGGAACTTTCTCGGTTTACCCTGCAGTGGTTGGTCTTGCTGAGGCTTTTCCACATGCGTCCTCTGCTTAGCGTCGACACTTTGCTGTGTGCCACTGGACAACTTGATGCTGCTGTTACTGCTGAACTCTATGGTGATGGTTTCTTTTCTTGAACTCGGGATGCGCATTAACGCTAGTATTACTTGAATATCTGGCTGAACTCCCAGGTCCAATCAACCAGATCCAAAGCATCAAAAGGCTTCGTCAAAGCCGTCTCCGGTCATGAGTTGTTTGTCATATTTCCTCCTTTTCGTTTTTCTTCCATGCTGTCACGCGGTCTGTTTTCTTTTTTTGGGGTTCCTCCGACAATCTCGAGGGCGAACGGAGCCCGCACTGGCCGTCCAGGCGCGGACCTTTTCGTGGTCCTCGAGATAACTACTATATTGCGAGGGAAAATAAAGCCAAAGTTGGGTTTGCTCTCCTGTCGTTCATGCTAGGTATACGTATTACTCTATATCCTTATGGAGTATGCAACTATGGCACACTTCTTGAGCGACTTTCGGCATGCTCACGAGTAGAAGGAACGGAAGGAGATATTAGAAGGCGTGGACTTGGACTTATTAATAACTTCTGGTCACAACCCGGAAGAAAACGAGCCCCCCGCTCGCGGCGTTACGTCGAAATTACCGCTCGGGCCCCTTCATCTCTGTAGAGTCCGGTCTAATCTTGCATCGACTAAACTCGAACCGACCGGCATGCGTTCGCCATCGACAAGATGATATCAATGACCGGGTAATGGAACCGCGAACGTGAGACTGCTGGAGCAATTCATTAATGCTATTCCAGCCAGAACTCCATAGGACACGCCGTCGGGGCAAGTGACAGCCCGGCACACGAATGACCTAAAATCATTAGACTAATACATTTCTTTACTCACTGCAACAATATCAAGCAGTAGGTAGTACTGGAGAATGACCACGACCGTGACCGGTCCTAGGATATGAAGCCGAATAAGAACTAATCTTGATAATCAATTCATGTGATAGCAGAGTATGTAAGTTGCGATGTACGAATGCGGATCTATAGAGCGATGAACACCGAACACGCCGTCAGTGATCATCAATGTCGAGAGCGGAAGCACTCACCATAGGACGGGTAACTACTAGAGATACATCCGATTGTAAGCCTACCTTGGTATACATGCATACATATTGTGCCGACTGAAACAACGAAGACCCGATAACGAAAGTGGTTAAGAGTGGTTGCCCAAATGCAGGCTGCAGAGTATACTCAGAATCAGGAATCAAAATTCAAGCCGGTATAACAGTTAGACCAGAAGTATGGCACGAGGAAATAGCGAACGCACTGTCAATTCTTAGATGAGATGAGATGCGTCAGTCGATATAATCCTTCTCGTGCAGCCGCAACAGCATCATAAACGACTCTTTCCTGTGTGGACTCATCCCGAGCGCGCAAACGCCAACGTAGAAAAGCAGTGTTGAGACGCTGGCGAATTCCTTCAAATATCAGGAGTGCACCTTCCGCCGTAGGTCGTTGATCTGGCCGCCTGTCTGTCATGGCCGCCACCAGAGGATCGAGAAACTCTAGCCCGAGATATTTCTTCAACCAGAGGAAGTCAGCGGTAGTACACGGCACAAAATTGCAGGAATACTCACTTGGAGGAACTCCTTCGTGTAAAGATTTCCGAGAGTGAAAATATCCACTTTGAATGCACTATATGGGACACCAAATGACAGCTCCGGTAATTCTTTGTCTCTTCCCTTTCTTCCAGTGACATACGGAGAATTTCCTTCTTGAAACTGAGAAGATATGCCGAAATCGATATAATAATACTTCACATGGTGATTCATACGAGAGAGGGGATATACAGGATAAATGCCTTCACGGGAGTAGTTGAGGCGAACAGGATGGTGGCCCTGCGAATACAAAGAGCGTGCATCCATCATGATATTGGCGGACGCGCAATCACTGCAAGTCCACATCAGGTTAAGAAAATACATACACAACCCAAAGACATACCGATGGGCAATTCCTTGAGTGTGCAAAAAATGAAGTCCCTAGTATACGGACAACGTTATGGACAGTGTAACCAGCTACAATGAGCTTACCTCAAGGGTTTGCTGAATGAAGTCGATTACCTCTCCGATTGCGTAGAATGGCGGATTGTTGAAAGGGCGCAAGAAGGGCATTACCATGAGCTTGAATTGATTATCTAGAGGGTCTGAGAGAACGTGCAGTACTGGCACACTGTGGTTTGTGGGGTGCTCGAGGAGTTCAGGGCTAGACAAGAAACGAGCGATCCGTATTTCGTCACTGTGTTCTGGGACGGCCTTGATAGATACCAACTCTCCGTCTTGCAGACGAACAGCGTCAATGACATTATCCGTCTGTGTTACGATATGAGGTAGGGATGTGTATTTAGGGTAAGAGACGTACGAGCAACAATATCGAATCTTCGCAGAATGTAGGATCGAAGGTAGTTCCTAGCCAAGACGGAGACCAGTTGGGATGGTAGCGAGGCCGTAATTGGTAGCCATGTTGTTGCAGGAATATGCAGCGGTCTCTCCAGAACGTCTCGGATTCGAGAAGGGCATAGTGGCCATCGCGGGTCTTCTCAGCGTAAAACTGAGCCCTTTCAGGAGAGCAAAGGGCGTATGATGGAAGTTTATGAGGGGCTACGTTCATGAAGAGAGAAATCGAAAATACTTGGGATGCTTGAGTGCAACAAGTCAGTACTACTCAGTTGTGTAGTGTCGGAGTCGTGAGCCTGAGCATGGCAACTTGAAGATGCCAAGTTCAATCAATCCGGAATCTTAGATCTCATGCCTCGTGGCTACCGTGCACTCCGGGCACCAAACTACAGCCAGTTCCGCTGCTTGCAGTAAATATGTCCTACAACTCTTCGATGTGCGTGTTCTCGTCTTTCTCCCCTCGCTCACCCAGCGGCCGTGTATTACCTTTCAATCGCCAAAACATGGGCTCGCCATATGACACCTTTGGCGCTGTGGCTGGAGCTTTGGGATTACTTGGATTCTTGCAGCTGCTACTGGCAGTCTATTGGTACCAGCTACCGTCCTTCGTAGACGATAATTCGTTCAATTCCGCGATTCTCGGGATCTCCCCAGAGCTGTGTAGTGTGACCCCGTAGTACGAGCGCTCCATTAGTGACTCGCGCCATCCCATGGCGCGGCCGCCACGTCCCGACGCTGTGCCCGTCATCAGCGCTGTGGCATTGGGTGACACCGACCCATAATCGAGGATATATGCAGGAGCTCCCTATCATGTAGCGTATCACGAAGCTCATCCAGCAGTCTGGTCAACCCGTGTCACGTACGGTACTGCGCCACGCTACCGTGACGCTCCCACTTCGTCCATCCCGGAAAACCCAACGATGGCGAACATTTCTGTCTAGTCATGGACGTGTTGGCCGGTGATATTAAGTCTCTTCAGGTGGTGTAGAAGGCGTTCCACGTCCTGTTGGCAAAGCGTATTTTGCGTGACACCCTTCATGGCCTTGCCCAGCTACATGCCGCAGGTGGCGTGCGGACAGGTGTGTGTGTCTATTGGCATGTCCGTGTGCTTAGACCATTGGGGTAGATCTGAAAGCTACGAATATTACGTGTAACCTCCCGGAAGTTACGTCTGAGGCTAACCTGCGCATACTCCTTGAAGGGAGTCCTTCTCGCCGGCACCCGCCCGACCAGAGCTGCGAGTACCCTGTCGAAGCGGCCGTCTCTCTGCCTTTGCCGCCGCCGCCGCCGTCCATAGACCAGGCTCTTTCGGGTCGTTCATCCTCGCCGACTTCGGAAGTGGGAAGTGGGCGTATTGGACATTGTGTCGATTGCATCCTGTCACACCACTCACACCCTCGCGATTTATGGATCAAGAAGCTTAGCTTGTTGACCATTAGGTTACCTCACATATTACCCCGGACACGTTACGTGCACCAGAGAGCATCGTGCAAGGCCTATGGGGTTCCAAAGTCGACATCTGTACGTTTGGCGGTCTGGTCTGTCCCGTATCGCCGTATCGCCGAGTCTTTGCGTTATCGATTCCCCGGTACTTACTATGCTGGATATTCCCCGGATCCAGATCTACGAGTTCGTGCTCGGGATACCGCTCTCCTCTCGTAGACACCGTACGGTGGAGCCCGATGATTATCATTTAGTCCAAACAATCAAGTTTACCGGCGAGGAATTTCTACCCAATCTGGTCAAGGCGTACAAGCTCGCGCCGCAGTCCTTTGACATGGAAATCGGTACGTCTGACCTTTGTGCTCTCGGTGTGCGGTACTTGTCGACGTCTCCTCTCGTGTCAGGCTACCTGGCAATCATCAGCAAGCCCGTCGGCAAGGTCTACTTCTCAGACGAAACGCCGAGACGCTTGCTCTTGCTGAGCATGATTGATCTTACGTCTTGGTACTTGCGCATCGACTCGGACCCTGCAGATCGATCGTCCACGATTCAACTGGCACGCGAGAGTTCGTGGCTGCTGGAGCTGGGCGATGATTTTCGAGCTCGTTCAAAGTCAGCATTCGAACTTCCACACGTACGTTTGCGTTCTTCGAACCAAACGCAATCGAGAGACTGCCCAAGGTCCAGCTCTGACGCTTCAAATTTGTTTGGGCACACTTGTCCTGGTATGTTATGACTTTCTTCCATTCTACACTCTTGCTTAGGGCGTGTGAAGACGGCAGCTAAACTGGTAAATTTTAACGCACAATTCCTTTGGCGAGCACTTCCAACAAGCATCGCTTCTACATCAACATCACGTTCTATGGCTACTGGGGAGTTTCACAAAAACAAAGCAGGTCGTGGTCGTCCTGTTGCGCCCTTCCACACCGAACAAACGTAACGCCCACTCAGTATAAGGGTCAAGCCGCACTACAAAGATTACCCGAATTGGCTACTGCGCCACCAGGCGGCGTCTCTTGTACTATGAGCGTATAAATTACTAGTGTGCCAGCCCCCCCTTTCCCTCTAATCACGATATGCCGAGCGCATACGATATATTGAAACTGCTGTCATTTTCCTGTACTGTGGTGTGGCTAATCTGCTTCGGTTTATGGCTTCTCCACTTTCACTTTCCGAGTCAGAAGATAAGGGATTTCAAGAAGACGCTGAGACAGACTGAGTACTTGTGGGGCCGAGCAGGCAAGGAAGGACTCCTCGTGGGGACACCGGTTGCAGATGAGATAGAAGAAAGACTGGGTCTGTGAGTCCGTAACGGCTTTGTCGAGGTTTACACGGCTAACTGAATGCTTTCCTTCAGCGTCCGATCTGACTATAACGATCTTCATAACCGAGCATGCCAAGTCATAACATCCATGGACGAGTTACGTGGAATCTTTTCTGGCCTATCTAGGGATATTTCGCGGGCATGCAGAGACTGTCAAAACCTCTATGTTCATATAGCCGTATGTTGTACTTATTTGAATGCGCACTGTTGGCGGCTGACATCTCTTTGCCTATCAGTCGGTAACCCATCGAGAGAGAGAGATAATCCGGCAGCAGGCAATGCCTTCCTATCTACCAGTGACTAGTGAGTGCACAATGGAGTGCCATAGTCTGTATCTAACTTGCAGTTGATTCTATTTCGTCAGACGCAGAAGCGCATTACCCTTCTACGACCGACGAGGTCAGTCTCGGCTGACCTTGTTGACTGTGCACGGGAATCCAGGACTGTATGTACTGTATACGATGCTGTTTTAACACCGAATGTCAAGTCCAGTTCCAGTATTCAGTCGGCCGGTATAGAATGTGATTTCTTTGGGTTTTGAGATCGGCAGTCATGGCGAAATCCTGACACTCGGTCGTTCACGTATGTAGGTTAGTGACCACCCTGTTGCGTATGAGAAGGAGGTGCCGCGGCGGCGGTACGGTGTTCCGTACAAACAAGATGTCAACATACGCCCACAATTTCAAGTTGAGTGCCCGCTGGTTAGATGATACCATCGAGGCTTATCTTTCTCATCTCCAACATCTACGCGCCCTCTTTCACTGCTCGCCCGCAGCATGTTAGAACCTGGTGCTACCTTGGAGCTACTCCAGTTTGAATATGCAGATGCAGGTAGTTCAACGCCCTCTACAAGTGCGTTGTTCGGCGGCGGCTTTGAAGAGGACGATAGTACGCGAGAGAGCACTCCTGGAGCTGTACAATTCCAGTTATCAGAAACATCAGGAGGGTATGTTTCCGCAACTTTGCTGCATTTATCTTGCTTATGATCAAAACCTCAGTCACCGTGGTGAGGTTCCGTTTGTGAACACCTCGGACTACACTGTTCGCAATGAGAGTGCCTCCGTGGACCACCTCGCCACTGGAATCTCCAGCGTCTCATTCCCTGCTGCGCTGCTTGGCACTCATGCCCAGCATGAGTCTATTCCAGGGCAGCTCATAGCACCCTCTCTGTCTGCGGTCTCAGGCGCACAGATCAGTCGAGCAACTGTATCTCAGGATCCCAGTCAAGCAGCCATATCACAGGATCCGAACACTTCTCCGTCATCCGGGGATTCTCCCTCTCCGGAGGAAATCGAGGTGCAACAGGAGGATGATGACGAGGACGATGGTCCCACCTGCGACCCTGATGCATTTCCACCACCGCATCTCGTTACCTGCATGTGGGACGGAGGATGTGGCGAAGGGATATATAATACAAGTGCTGGAGGGATCCAACGCCACCTCCGAGGGTATCATGTCCCTGGCGTTTGGCGTCGGCAGCAACCAGGGAGATGCAAATGGCATGTAGACGGGCAACCGTGCAACCGCTACCTGCTGCACGGCAGCTACTCCAGGCACATTTTGAAGTTCCATATTGACCGCAAGAAGCTGTGTCGAATCTGCCATCGGAAAAGGCAGATTGTGTACAAGCATAAGAAGGACTTTGAATTTTCTGATTCCGATTTTTGATCTGGTGCGTGTATGTCTTCCAAACATCGGTCTTGCGATTAAATTTGTTATTAGGCTCGATATCACCTATCGGGTGAGCTGTCATGGCGGGCTTGTCTCTTGATCAATTCTGAATTCACGTATCTGAGTCTACCAAATGATTTATCTCTTCTCCGTGATTTTCACCACGCTGAACATACTCCCCCCCTGTAACATATCGGCAGTATATGTATGTCGACTACACACTGTTCGATTATTGTATGCGTAAGCACACCTTTCTACTTCACCCTCTGAAGCTTACGTCGAACAACGAAACTAGTGTCGGAGAATTCTTCACGGGAATCTTTCATGAACATGACACACCAATACACTAGTACTGCCAGTAGAAGCACAGGAGCCAGCCCGACATGGAAGGCAGAACCTTCACCGCTCGCTGTTGCCATTGACAGGTCCGCTGACGATCTAAAATTTATATTGATCTGTCTCTCTTGTGAACATTTAATAGATGCAGAGACAATGGTACTGGCAAGGCGACAAGCTTCGTATCCGGGCAATCAGTCCATAATCCATACCATCCTGTATCCAGAAATAGTGTCTGAGCGGCGTTCATCACCAGTAAGACGGGGCACTCATGGAAACTCAGAATGGGGTGCGACATTGCATGCGAAAATAGTTGCATAATGCCATGGTGTCACGATGGTCATCTCTCTTCCTCTGGATGGAAACAACTTCTGGATAGAAATGACTCGTGCTACGAGCCATCTGTCTCTAGCACAACTGCGTGCATAGGTTAGTAGGGAGGAAGTCACCATGAGAATTGTGACCTGTTGGGCCATCCTCGGACGGAGCAAATGAGTAGACGACATCTTCCGCAGAAACATTCGACCCAGTATCCCGCGGAGCTCTGATATATGGTTGTGTCTTTTCAGCGCTGGACTGCTGAATCATGGATTTTCTCCTCTCGACAGAGATTACTTATCGACAAGTATACATGTTGTAATGGATGTAAAAGCGGCGAGTTCCCTTCGGAGCACAATGCAGGGCTGACTGCGCAATCAGAGTAGCCACAAACGCGTATGTATCTGCCACTGCGCCCCTGTGGGGGAGGCGAGTGCAACAGAACATAGCAACCTGTCATCGCACCTGGTCGAATAAGCAGGCCCTCAGTGCAAAGATTGACTGAAGGGTGTAACAAAGGTAGTCATTCATCCACTCGTAACATGATGCACAGTACCGGCATAAGTATAACGATCTCTCCAGAACACCTCAGTCTCGAGTAACTTGTAGCGTCCGTTCAGAGTAGTCACTTTGTAGCATTGGGCTTCCTCAGGAGAGCAAAAAAGCGTATCATGGGAGTGTTGAAGAGACAACAGACTAATCAAGGACGCTATCGGCCAGGCGCGAAAAGAAAGCTGGAGCTCATCCACGAAGGTCTGGCTGAATGTGCCTCGCGGAAGCATGCACTTGCGCATGCCAAATTGGAAATCCACGCCACAATCCACAGGAGCCAATTGCTTGCTTCACCGAGGAACACTCTTCCGGCAACGCATGTATGCGTGTATTGGATCCAACTCAATAAATTATGAAAGCCGAGGTCAGAGGTCACATCCTATTCATCGACAGAAAATACTCATTCGACGTGTAGAGAAATTGAACGGCTACTGGATGATAATCATCCAAGCTAGAATGGAGTAGAATAGGCTGTGACAGTCAGAACTGGCGCGTCAATTGACCTGCCAGTTTCTCATGGAATTTCACTCACACGAGAGGATACACTGCAAGCACAATCCGCTGCTGTTCGATTTTCGTGCCGTCCAGGAAATTTATCGCCGCTGGCAAGTGCGTGAGATACAATGGAACGTTCTGTAGAAGACTAGAACAAGCACCCCAGATACACCACGCCCATGCTGCCACAGCTACGGGCGCTCGTACGTAGATCAGCCGCACGAAGGCTGCCACGAGGGCGGCAATGTTGAGAGGCGCTACACAGTATCCGAACACGCAAAGACCCTGGAAGAAGGAACTGCGCGCAAGGAAGTAAATTTGCGTGCCATTGAATGAAGAATACGTACAGTCTACCGCCCAGTAACTGCACTGGAGCATCAGAAGACCAGCATTTATCATTATTGCACACTCACCTGTGCTTGGACCGTTACTACTAGTGACCCTACGGAGATAATTACAACGATGGAGGTGAAAACGACCAGCGACTGCGAAGCCGGGGCCTAGACAAGCCTCCGGATTTCAAGCGTCGTTCAGCACAAGGTTCCGCATCACTCACATTGACGCTGAGGAGAATACCAAGCAGCAAACAGATGCCTAGAGGTCCCCACAAGTCCCAGTCTCTGGATCAACAGGTCAATATATCACTGCGATCACCGAGCAGATAGAATGATTTGCCTCAGCACTTCGCGTTTGTTGCCTGCCCTTGGTGGATACATGATTTGTACGAGCTTCGTATAGATGGATAGGAGGTCACGACCCTGTATTCAATCAACGTGAGCAATCTCGTAACACGCGACAGACTTCAGCCGTACTGACGAAGGTGGTGCTTATTGGCTCGTCAAGTGTGTTGACACCGCTATACCTGAGTTTATCCACAGAATAGAAGGATTCGATCGAAACACGACAACAGGTGTATCACCTACCGGTTCTCCACCTGTACACCAGCCACTGTTCTCCGTCCAGACCTGGGGGCACCATTGGCAGGACCCCCAATGTTTCCAGAGATCGGGGAAGATGACAGGTGAGAACCGGAAGCGTCGAGCTGGTCTGCTGCGCGACCCTTCCCCTTCCCCGAGTCGGGTGTCGTCGGCGACGCGGCCAACGCGGGATGTGTGAAAGCGGGGATGGCGTCTTCGTCAAAGTCATCATCATCGTCTGCGTATGAACCCCGAGTATTTCCTCAACGACGAGTCGTGCACACGTAATTTCTCCACCGACCTGCCTGTATAAATTGCGACGTCGACGTGAGTGGTGTCGTGGTGTCGTTGTTCTCTATCCGCTGCATGGTGCTCGAGGGTGCTGGCAGTGTGTACGCTGCTTTCGGTGCCGCTCGCGGGAGCCATGCCATCATCACGTGATTGATCCCCACGTGGCGCACTGACGCGTCGCGCTCAGCTTTCGTTACCCTGGTCATTCTCCTCCCATCACATTCAAAGCGCACCGAACCAACAGAAAGGACATAATCATTCAACATGGTTTGTATGGTCTGTACTCCTCCTCGAGCAACACTCACACCGACATGCAGGGTAACACATCCTCAGGTATACCTCCAAGCGGGCAAGGTGACCAGAAGGACAAAAAGGACAAGCAGCAACAACAGCAGCAGCAGAAGAAGTGGGAACCCCCTCTGCCGACACGCGTCGGCAAGAAAAAGAGGAGGCGCGGCCCTGACTCTGCTTCCAAGCTCCCCGCCGTGTACCCTACCACTCGGTGTCGCCTGAAGCTGCTCAAGATGGAGCGCATTAAGGACTACCTGCTCATGGAGGAGGAGTTCATTGTGAACCAAGAGCGGCTGAAGCCTGAGGCGTCCCTCGAGGAGAAGAACGAGGAGGACAGGACGAAGGTAGACGACATCCGCGGCAGCCCCATGGCGGTTGGAACCTTGGAAGAAATTATTGATGACGACCATGCGATCGTCAGCACCGCGTCAGGTCCAGAGTTCTACGTCTCCATCATGAGTTTCGTCGACAAAGACCTTCTCGAACCCAGCTGTCAGGTCCTGCTCCATCACAAGACGCAGGCGGTCATCGGTGTCCTGCAGGATGACGCAGACCCCATGGTCAACGTCATGAAGTTGGACAAGGCGCCAACAGAGAGCTATGCCGATATTGGTGGTCTTGAACAACAAATTCAGGAAATCAAGGTGCGTTTCTTCCGGTGTGGGGATACTTCAGGACGTACTGACCATGTGCCAGGAATCTGTCGAGCTACCTCTGACACATCCAGAGTTGTATGAAGAGATGGGTATCAAACCACCAAAGGGTGTCATTTTATACGGTGTGCCCGGTACCGGAAAGACGCTCCTTGCCAAGGCCGTGGCGAACCAAACGTCCGCTACATTCTTGCGCGTCGTCGGTTCGGAGCTCATCCAGAAGTACCTTGGTGACGGTCCGAAGCTAGTGCGAGAATTGTTTCGAGTGGCGGAGGAGCATGCACCAAGTATTGTCTTCATTGACGAGATTGATGCCATTGGTACGAAGCGGTGAGTTGTTTTGTGTTTCCACCCTATATTTCGTCTTCCTGATTGTCATGTGAAGATATGAGTCGACATCTGGGGGCGAGCGGGAAATCCAACGTACCATGTTGGAGCTGCTTAATCAGTTAGATGGCTTCGACACCCGTGGGGATGTGAAGGTGATCATGGCGACCAACAGAATTGAAACGCTGGATCCTGCCCTCATTCGACCAGGTCGTATCGATCGAAAGATTGAGTTCCCCTTACCCGACATTAAGACCAAGCGGCACATTTTCAAGTATGTCCGCATTTATATATTGCTTCTCTGGCGCAGATGGTGATGTACTTACCTTTGCAGGCTTCACACCTCGCGCATGAGTCTTTCAGAAGATGTCGATCTGGAGGAGTTCGTAATGGCGAAGGACGACATGTCAGGCGCAGATATCAAGGCAGTGTGCACGGAGGCAGGGTTGTTGGCTCTGAGAGAACGCCGCATGCGGGTCACCAAGGCTGACTTCACAGCTGCAAGGGAGAAGGTCAGTCATTCTCATGAGAATTTACTATCCGCAAGTACTGAGATGTTCATCGCAGGTAATGTACCGGAAGAACGAGGGAACGCCGGAAGGTCTTTACCTATAATCTTCATATCATTGTCGTTTTCTGCCTATGACTTTCACTTTTCCTGACGACATCGGATGGCTGAGATCTCTCTTCGATGTTTGGACTGTAAGGCCTAAACTTTGTATATGTTTCATGTGCGCATGATAACTGTGTCAAACTCGTGAACAAACTTCTACGAGTAAGCGTGCACGTGCGGCCCGGATGGGCGTCCGCTGCCTTGTTGTTGAATGTGTCCGCCAAATGTTGTCGTGGTCGTTCTCGGCCTGCTAAGTCTGCCTCCGGCATTTTAATGAACGGTGACTTGTCCGCCACTGTGAAGTAATGCATCCAGCAACACGTGAGCGGAGCCACCATCAGAGGCCAATACTTTCAACTCTTCCATGTCTCTGAGGGTCGCATCTATATACTCTCCCGCTCCAGAAAGATGAGCCACCTTGGCGCATGTCGCGTGGAGTCGAAGAAGACGCGAATCGGGTAAAGGAAGACTAGCATTGGTAGTCGTGAGCTGGATCACAGGATTATTGAGGTCAACACCGAGCGCAGTCAAAACGCTATCCCAATGGGCGCACAGCCGATAGCGATCCGTGCCCTATTTTTTGACTGTTCAACCACACTGTTGACCAAGATATAGATTGCGACGCACAATTTCTTCGAACCATATTTGAAGCGTGTCAAAGTATATATGAACATCCACAGACATGGTCAGCACATTTGGGAGGCGATGGATTCCTTGTCCGTTCAATTCGTTGTCGACTACGTTGACCTTGCCAAAACGATCCAGAACTGCCCACGCGGAGGCGGCGTAGCTTCGCTGAGTAGAGTAGTTTCTATCAGGTGAAGACACAGAAGCACCTGATAGTAGAACCACACCTTTGTGCCACCCCCTTGGATATTTGCGTTCGTCGATTCGGCGATTATATGTGCAAGCTCTGTGGGTACGATAGGCGCTGGAGCTATGAATGTCTTATCCTCCAGGTATCTGCTTATTGCCGTGGCAGCATCGTATCTTCCTGTGACAACGCATCGATAGTTATCGCGAACGAGACACTTACCAGTGAGATGGAATATCTAAGTCAGACGGGGGGGTCACCGGCCGATGCAAGATGAAACTTACTAGCAATTTGGCAGCCCTATGGTCCTGAGGAGCCTCCTCAAGCAACTGATTCTTCTCCTCTGCAGTCATGTCGATTGACGGTCGGGAAGGAGGCGTGGATACTGCAGGCGTGGCATCCTTCGCGGCTTTGACTGCAAGTCCCGAGAACCATTAGCACGTTAGGACTAGATATTATCGAGACTACGAGCTGACTTACAGAAACGAATGAAGTGGTGGTCATAAAACTGCGTGATGCCTGCCAAACGGTCCTGGGTATCGGAAGCTGATGCACACGTTTGGATTTCCTTCGCCACATTGAGGCGACCTTCCGGAGTGGGTGCCTCTAACATCATGTATCCCAGGAGACGTCCACACAGCTGTGGTGTTCTCTTGCTCGTCCGAACCTCATCAGATATTTCTTCGCTCCAGTCGAGGAGTCTTTCTAGGTAGAGACAAGTGTTGTAGGCGTCCTCCTCAAGCCCACTGTATTTGTTAGGCGGGAGGGGTTCACCGGGCATGGGCAAATAGAGAAACACGGAGCCCGGGCCGTCTGCTAAGCGCGTCGAGCGCGTCGATCACGTGAAAACACGAATGGTCACCCCAAAGTGTCGTCCTCGGCCGACCAGTTTGGCGGTTCTCTCTGCTGCAAACCACGACCATGGGTGGCCCGACACAGTCTGGAAATGACAACCTGACCGTGCGCGACAACCGCACGGGTAAGGTCTACACCATCCCGTGAGCAGGCTCACCCGAGCTGAGTCTGATCCGCAGAATGCTCATTCTCGACAATGTTACGCGCAGGATCGGGGACAATGCAGTTTCTGCCACGGCGTTTAAAGCTATGATAGCGCCCAGGAAGCCGGGAGAGCGCGAAGAGAACGAGACCGAGAAAGGCTTGCGCGTGCAGGACAAGGGGTTCTTGAACACTGCCGTCATTCGGAGTGAGATAACGTATATTGACGGAGAGGCCGGAGGTTCGTGTCCTCCCCTTTGAACACTAGCATGCTGAACATTGAACGTGGTCAAGTGCTCAGATACAGGTATGTGTCGTGTTTCTTGGGAGTAAGGACTACCTTTGACCATGATCGCCGGCTAGAGGGTATCCAATCGAGCAGCTCGCCGTGCATTCCTCCCACCTTGAGACGGCTTATCTTCTTATATATGGCGCTCTTCCAACCAAGGAGCAGTTTGGCTTCTTCCAGAGCGAGGTTTTGCTTCACTCAGTGATACACTCGGACGCGGAAGGTTTCTTCCGCTCATTCCGGTGAATCATGACTGCAGTTTGCATCACCCATCGAGCGATCTAAAGCGTTCCTTCAGATATGATGCGCATCCTATGAGCATGCTTACAAGCGCCTTCGCTATGTTGGGATCCTATTATAGCGAGGCCAACCCGTCTCTACAAGGTGGGTATGACCATGACTGACAGCATGTCGCCAGCGTTCAACGTCCTATTTACAGGTCAACGACTGTATACAAAGGGTGATAAAATTTCCCTCGCCACAATGGACAGACAGATTTATAGGCTGATTGGCAAGGCGACTACTCTCGCCGCGTAAGGCATTTCGGATATTGTCATGGTGTACACATTCATTTTGTGCTGTAGGATGGCGTACCGTATCCGACAAGGTCGAGATTTCGTCACACCTCCCACTGGCCTCAGCTATACTGGCTCGTGAGTTCTGAGTACACACCGTGATTTCTGAGTCGAGCTATATGGTTAAATATCTAGGTTCTTGTACCAGATGGACCACCTTGGAGAGGAAAACTATGTTCCCAATCCCGTCCTAGAGAAGGCCCTTGATGTCCTGTTCCTCCTGCATGCGGATCACGAACTGAACGCGTCATGTACGACGGTATTGCAGACCGGAAGCTCGCTGGTCGACCCCTACTCTGCTGTTGCGTGCGTATCTTTATGTTGTGGTGCGCACTGTGATATTAACGATGCGGCCGCAGTGCGGGCTGTGCTTCACTCTAGTGAGTCTGTGATCAATGTTCAGGCATAGCAGTTCTAATTTAGTACCGCTTCAGTGGGCCTCTACATGGTGAACTTCTTTTCGCTCAAAAGTCTACTATCAGACTAAAGCCTCCGTCATAGGTGGTGCGAACGAGGCTGTCATTCGGATGCTAATCTCAATCGGACGGTGCGTATTTAGGTTCTGGCGTCGTTCCGGTCAATTTATTTGTTCATTTGCAAGTCCGGAGAACGTACCTGCGTTCATTGAGGCAGTCAAGAGGCGCGAGAAAACGCTTTCAGGGTTTGGTCACCGGTACGTATTGACGTCCCCGATGGTTTAGCATGAAGCTGAATCGTCCCTCTGCCTCGTGCAGCGTATACAAAACTGTAAATTTTCTGTATTCTGGAAGTGAATTACGTCTGAGTAAGGAATGACGACAGTCGGACCCTCGTTCCTTCATCGTGCGCAAGACTGCAGACGAAGTTTTCAAAGTGTTCGTCTTCTGTCCTCTGACGCCTGCGGCGGGTATTGATCATGTAACATAGGACCGGAAAGGATGAACTTCTCGAGACAGCTATGGCACTGCATGATGCAGCGATGAAGGATGAGTACTTCGTCAAGCGGAAGCTTGCTCCAAACGTGGACTTCTGGTGCGTTAGTCCGCTGTCTCCTAGCACGTGCGGCGCTCATATATTGCGAACTTGCTAGGAGGTAAAGTGCCACTTGATTCTTCTCCACGCAGAATCTGACTCCAAGCATGACTCAGTGGACTGATCTACCGGGCAATGGGTACGCAAGACGCGCCTGGCGTTTTGCACGTTCAACACTGATCATGCATTATGTAGGCTTTCCCCTCGACTTTTTCCCTGTGTTGTTCGTAGTACCGAGAGTGGTAGGGTGGCTAGCCCACTGGCGTCAGATGATGCTGCAGGAAGGCGGTGTGAAGATCTGGCGTCCGCGGCAGGTATGCGAAGACTTTTTTCGCCACCCCGTTTTGTGATCGAACGAGGGTGCTCACAGGTTTACGTGGGTGCGGGAAGACGCGACTACGTCCCTCTAGAACAGCGTCCGGGCGTCCAGGACGCAAGACAGACCCCTTCTGCGGTCGAGCATGGAGGGTGAGTGAGGAGTGACTGCGACTTGATGTGATGTGCGACTGAGTGCTGCATGTTTATTTCAGGATCACGAAGCGCTCTATGCTGGCGAGCTTCGAGGGAAAGGCGAGACTATAATATGTACGCTTGTGTATTAGGTTGGATACACGTAGCATTCACCAACGGCTGTCAAACGCTTATCTATTGCGGGTAGGTATACAAACACCTCAACTGCGTCTGCGCCTCGGCTGAGCGCCGTCCTAAGTCCATACAGGGTGCCAAAACACGTTCTTGAAGACTTGCCTGTTTCGGGGGTACACCTAGAACAAACGCAGTAGCAGATCCACAGCTAGTCTCCTAACCAGCCGTTCAGCGAGCGAACCAACCTCTTCTTGAAGCGGGCGCTGATGCAGCTTGAGGTTGGTCACTCGAGTGACCAGAACACATGGGAATTTTTGCATCGAGAGAGATGTCGCACCCGCGTGACCTCATCCAAGGCTTCCAGTAAATTCTACAATACTACGCACAGCTGGTACAACTCGCATATAATATGACACCCGGACATTCTGGGGTAAAATGACATTGTACAGCGAGAATAATGCAGAACACAAACATAAAGGGAGCTCTCCAAGAAATTCAGGGGCACTCCAATGAACAGCGACTTGTCTGCCACTGAAGTAGCGCATCTTGCAACACATGAGCTGAGCCACCATCAGAGGCCAATAACTTCAGTTCCTCCATGTCTCTGAGGATCGCATCTATATACTCTCCCGCCCCAGAAAGATGAGCCACCTTGGCGCATGTCGCATGGAGGCTAAGAAGACGCGGATCGGGTAAGGGAAGGCCAGCATCAGTAGTAGCGAGCTGGATTACAGGATTGTTGATGTCGACGCCGAGTACAGTTAAAACACTATCCCTTTGTGCGCACAGGCGATAGCGATCAGCGCCCTATAGGTCATTTCACTGTTTAACTCGGCTGTCGACGAAGATATAATTTGGGACGCACAATTTCTTTGAACCATATCTCGAGTGCGTTAAAGAAAATGTGAGCATCCAGAGACATGGTCATCACATTTTGAAGGCGGTGCATTCCTCCCTCGTTCAACTGGTGGTCAACGACACCAACCTTGCCAAAATGATCCAGAACTGCCCACACCGAGGCTGCATAACTTCGCGGGCTCGGGCAGTTTTCATCAGATGAGAACAGTGAAGTGCCCCCCTTGATATTCGAATACGTCGATTCGGCCGTTATATGCGCAAGCTTTGTGGGTGCGATAGGGGTTGGGGGTACGAATGTCTTATCCTCCAGATATTTGCTCCTATCCGTAGCAGCATCGTATCTTCCTGTGACGACGCATCGATAGTTATCGCGAACGAGACACTTACCAGTGGGATGGAGTATCCAAGTCAGATGGAGGGTCACCTGCCGATGTAAAACGACAACGTACGAGCAATTTGGCAGCCCTATGGTCCTGAGGAGCCTCCTCGAGCAACCGATCCATCTGCTCTGCGGTGAGGTCGATAGACGATCGGGAAGGAGGCGTGGACACTGCAGGCGTAGCACCCTTCGCGGCTTTGACTGTAAGCCCCGAGAACTATTAACACATTAGGACTAGATATTGTTGATACTAGTACGAGTTGACTTACAGACACGAATAAAGTGAAGGTCATAAAACTGCGCGAGGCCTGCGAAACGGTCCTGGGTATCGGAAGCCAATAGACAAATTTGTATTTCCCTCGCCACATTGAGGCGACCTTGCGGAGTAGGTGCCTCTAACATCATGTATCCCAGGAGACGTCCGCACAGCTGTGGTGTTCTCTTGCTCGTCCGAACCTCATCAGATACTTTTTCACTCCAGTCGAGGAGACTTTCCAGGGAGAGACAGGTGTTGTAGGCGGCCTTCTCAAGCCCACTGTATGTGTTAGGAGGGAGGGGTTCACCGGGCATGACGATGCAGGAGTTGCGAGGTCCTGTCAGTGTGTACGGTCGGAGTTGCGAACTACGTGGCATACACCTGCGGCCCAGTTTGGAACAGCAGCAAGCAAGCAAGAACGTTCTCGCTGCGTCGGCGCACGCTTTTTCATTGCAACTCCATGGGAGTCTGCTGTTTGCTCGTAGACCTGGCCGACTTGATTAGTATGCAGTGCCGATGCAGATTTTACCCCTCTGCTCGCTTCCAGTGCCGGAAGACACTTGTCCCTGGCCATCAGGCTGTGTGTCGTGCATGGTGCCTTTCAAACTCATCTCTGCAAGAGTCAAACATCATGTTATCTGGAATGAATACAGCGGATGCCGTAGTATATTGAACAAATCAATTCTATCTGCGGTCAAATGTAAGTATTGTGATGTCCACACCGGTTGTTGCGACGCATGTATTCTTCGTCTAGGTGCTCTTTGGCCACGGCAGCCATGCAGATTCTGGGATGGTGGTCGGACCGTGGAAGGGGGACAGCGCTACCAAATTGCGGAGATCAGGTTAACCGCTCTCTGGTCGCTCAAAGTTTGAGTCGAAGACATTGTCGCGGGGACATTGTAGCGAGGACATTGTGGCAACGACGTTGAATAAGACCGAGTCCCAGTATTTGTCATGGCCTTCAGATCTGAACATTGAACATTGAACTTGGACAAGACGGCTGCTGGAGGCGAGTGATAACCCTGGGTTCAAGAACGTGGCCAGCACTGAACCAAAATTGTATTGCCCCCACTGGCAGAATTACCGTCTGACACTAAGCAGTGGTACGTTGTAATGCGGACAAAGAGGCAGGATATCGAGCACGTATGGTGCGTGATATATATCGTTCTGCCTTCTGGCCTTCACAAGGAGACTTCTAACCAGTACGATCCATTCGCTGTCATGTCGGGCACGTTGTTTACGAATACTGCCCTGATATTGCTGAAGACGAAGCATTGTTCGGTCACTCATCTCCCCGTTGTCGTCCTGATCGAGACTTTCTTTCTTTCTCTCAAAGATTCGAAGAACAGGTTGAGTGGTTCAACCAGGATGATGCGCCAGATTACTACCACAAACTTTTATTCACACGCTGGGATGAACTCTGTGCATCACGCTCTTCCCTGATTCTTTGTGCCGCCTGTGGCGGGACACCTCCACCTGTATTCTGGACGTGTTGTTATCTTCGTGGACGATGACTCTAACCAGATGTCTATACTACGCTTCCGCCTCAAGTTGTCCACCAGCGATCGTCTCCATATGACTATCATGCCTCATCCCACCTCGCACCAGGATGCTGGCCCGCTCGTAAAACAGCGTGTTTCTGACGCAATAGGTATTAGGTTTCCTCTACTCGCACATTACATGATGATGTCACATATCAACGTTCTGCGTGCATCCTCTCACCAGATCGCACTCATCGAAATGTAAGATGCATCATGCCTCCTCGAAATGCACTTCGAGTGCCAGATTGACGAGATACAATATGCTGTGGCCGACCTAGATGCAGCATGTTTTAATCCCCCGACCTCACCGAGTTGCGCGTGGACGTCTGACAATCCGCCGCGCATGTCTCTTCGCATCGGCGTCTATCTCCCGTGTTCGCGAACTTGCTATAAGATGCCACGGCCCTGGCCATCGCCAGCTATTCACCTTTCGAAATCTCATCGACTGCCTGTGCGTGCTAGCTAATCTTACAGGCTGGACCTCGCTGACTTGAACATCTTTCCGTCGTTCGGCACTGGACCTATCTTGGGCTCTGCCGATTTCACCCAAGATACTGCACATTCGAACTGCTGTGCTGCGGGTCGATGCGTTTGCTCTTCATTTGCCTCGGGAACTCCATCCACAACCTGTCCCTCACACGATGCAACATCCCGTATACGACAGACCTTAGCCAAGTGATTAATCTGCGCCTGAAGAACATCGACCCACATAAGATTCTCGAGCCACTTTTGCTCAATCGCGTGCACTCGTGTCCGAGCTTCCACGCTCTCGTCTCGCGTTCCATGTTGTACAAATTCGAAGCATACGACATTTGGCTATGTCCGTGACTGACGGTCCTTGAGCTAGCTGATTGTGCCAACTTCACGAGTACAGACATGTGTGCGATGGTTCAACGTTCAGGTGTGCCACAAAGCTCACGCGAAAAGTGTTTTTGCTGATGATGAATTGGACGAATTCACCGGTACGTCCCTTACCAATCTAACGGTTATCGGCGGAATGGGGCTCTTGCCGACGGACAGAGAATGGCTCAACCAGAACGTTGGCTACGTCGTGCAATGGGTGGTGTGGTGGTTACGAGTGTCATACGATATCTTACTGAGGATTGTCAGCATTAAGCGTACAGTTTGGTATGCCGCTACGGTGTTGTTTCTATACGCACCTGACTCAGGCGTGAGAGGGCGTGAGCGTGACGTAGGAATTCCGCTCACCTTACATAATGGAGATGGAAAAAATCACCTCGAGCGTACCCTGAGGCCTGCATGACTCGGAGGCGCCGCTGATGAGAAGTTATATATTCCTTCACAACTAATAGGCGGCTTTCCAACGTATTCTTCTCAACCCAGTTTGCCAGAAGCATCGTCCACAGGTAAGAATACACAAGATTGTCTGCTTGGTTGTGATCGCTGATTGGGGAGCCACCGTCACAGCATCCACTTGAGACTGTAACGTCCGAGTCCGTTGCTTTCAATCTTTCCCGTTACATGAAGTGATACGATATGGAGGAGCTCGGTCTGTAATCATGATTCCCTTCGATACCCTATCATACCGACAGTGTTGTCTAGAAGCACAGAGTACGGCTTTGACCGTGGTGACGAGTTCCGACCAGGACTGCGCTACGCCGTCTTTGTCGCCACCAGACAGCAAGACGCTCAGGACAATCAATGACCTCCCCGTTGAAATATTGATTCAAATATTCGAACACTCGGTCTTATTCACTTGCAAGCACGATGATCATAGGCTGGCCTACTGGGATGAAGTGGATCGGATGACACGTCAACGCTGGATGGTCCCGCGAAACGTTTACACACGCAGGGACGAAAGTGCGGACCCGCGCTCTCCTTCACTCTTCCCTGATGCGCTTGCCGCCGTGTGCTGCCTATGGCGAGACGCCCTCACGCTTGTCTCCTTATTTTGGACACGCATCGTGGTCTTCGTCGATGACGACCCTACACCACTGTCCAGACTACGTACACGTCTCGAACTGTCCCACGAACACCCTCTCGACATCATTATAACGAGACACCTTTGCTCGGTTACTGACTCTGACCCTCTCGAAAAGCGGCGTGTTACAGACGCAATGCAGGTCCTCTACCAGCACATAGCTCGATGGCGCTCACTTCGTATTAATGTGCTGCACACAGTATCTATTCCCGCACCAAACATTCAGATGCAGGGTCGTGCCGCGTCCCTCATCAATCTTCGTTTACAGTCACACATTCAGATGCAGGGTCGTGCCGCGTCCCCCATCAATCTTCGTTTACAGTCACAGATGGCCAGGAAGCGATTTCGCCCTGCCGGCATCGCGAAACTCTGTTTCCACGCACCGGGACTGACTGATCTGGAAATCGACGGACTGACGTTCCGCCGTTCGTTTCTCTCCATACCTCAGTCCATCGCCTCTGTCAAGCGGCTCGTCATTTCACGTTATTCGCCAGGCACTCAGTCACGCATGTTGTTCACCGTACGCGCCCTCGCCGAGTGCCTCAGCGCTCTCCCGCATGTGGATGAGGTTTCTCTCATTGATCTCGATATATCTTCGTCAGTCGGCGCTGCGCTTCCCCAACCATTAGCATTCACTGCGAGTTTTTTCCATCTTGAGGGCCTCTCGAGCGAAGTCCTACAAGCCCTCTTCGATCTTTTGGATTCGGACCTCAATTTCCTTCACCTTATACGGTGTGCTGTGCCCGATTCGATCGACCTCGGATGGGCGTCCGAACTGCATCTGCAAAACCTCGACACGACAGAATCCATCGCACCGTTGTTGCTGAATTGGGACTCGGAGGTTCTCTACTTCCACGCCTGTCCTAGTTTCAATTCGGCCCTGTTAGACGAGATGGCAGAAGAGGCGGAGGATGGTGCCTGGCTGTGTTCCACGCTGGAGGAACTCAGTATTTATGACTGTCGCAGATTCAACAGCGGCGATATACGCAGGATGGTCCAAGCCCGTCGCATGTCGCATGCTGAGATTGGTTTTGCCGACAATGCTCATCCTGCGTTCGTCGTGACGTCTGTTCTGTATCTCAAGGTTCAAAACGGACCTGAGCTTGCACCGAAGGATCGAGAATGGTTTGATTGCAATGTCCAGTCTGTGTGGTGGAATGGCTGGCAGGGTGGCCATCAGGAGGAGTGGTAGAATGAGCTGAAGAGTAGTATGTTCTGTTTGTTGCTTTATTTGACTGTTTTTATGCTCAACTTGCATGACTACTGATACGTTTCCAGCTGAACACTGTGCCAAATAGAACTGCAATGTGCGCTGGCGAGGACTGCTGCATCTATGATCTGGGAGGGTGGAGAATATGTGCACGTTGGACTGGGCTTGTAGCATGCCATGAATTGAAAGATAGACTAATTTCATAGGCCTGTATCATACAGGCAGCCTTCCGCCAGTACCGGTGGTGCGCAGACGAAAATTGTACGGGCATGTAGCCTACGGCATTTCATTCACAATGTTCTCAAACTTGCGTGTCTCGTCTCACACTTAATGCTCTCGAAACTCACCTCAAGGATCTTCACCCAGGTCCAGCTCTCCACAGTTGCAGAGACCTTCTCGGGTCACTTCTCAGTCTCAGTCACGTGGACTCGTCACAGCGTGTCCTCCAATCAGCACCGTAATCTATAGAGAGGAACGACCCTACACCGTAACAGAGTCGCTCATCTCGCATTTAGTAGCTGCGATAAATATTGTACGATCTTGAGCACTGCTTGCTGACCATTGTGACTAGTGAAATCCAACTTAATACTTACTTGTACATGTCACCGCAGCTCAGTCGTGTCATCGCCTCCAGATTTCAACTGCCACTCTTTGCACTTTCTTACTTTTGTTGCTACGTGATACTGTCATCCTGGGGTGGTCCGTTTGTCACTATTCAGCGAGTGTTCTCTGCGCTGATGGAGCTACTTTCCAACAGGTTCGATGCCTCTCAGGCTCCTGAGCTTTCGCAACATTTCTCGACAACTGCACAACAGAATTGTCAAAAACTGAGGCAGTCTACGCGAACTATAGTCAGAGTCAGTGACCGTTGTGTTCTGCGGCGAGGCTTCGCTCGCCGTTGTCCGAGGTGTCTCATCCGTACTCTTCTGTGTTCAGTTTCGCCTCATCCCATACTCTTGTCAGTAGCAACCACCATTGGCCGCGACGATGTATCGGAAGTGAATCCGTTCATGGACCACGACACACTTCAGTGTCCTCAACGTTCTATCCGACCTCAGTTGCCCGACATGTTCCAATGTTGCGTGGTATGTCGTCGTTGTCTTCACCACCTACCCAACGCTACTTGTTTCCCAGGATGTTGAGGCATCATGGTAAGCTGGAAAATCAGTTTGTCCGTGGGTACTTGCAGTGTTGGTCATCCTGTTCCTTCTCCATGGGGACCACGGACTGAACATCTCATGCACGACGGTATTACAGACCGGAAGCTCGCTGGTCGACCCCTGCTCTCCTGTTGCGTGCGTGTTTCTTTATTTTTATACTGCGTTGCGCAGTACTAACGATGCGGCTGTAGTGCCGGCTGTAGTCATCCTGTGGTTATCGTCCGAGCGTGGCAGTTCTAATTTAGTATCACTGCAGCATTGGGCCTCTACACGGTGAAATTCTTTCCGCTCAGAAGCCTACTATCAGACTAAAGCCTCACTTATAGGTGGTGCGAACGAGGCCGTCGTTCGGATGCTAATCTCGATCGGACGGTGCGCATTGAGGCTCTGGTGTCATTCCGGACAATTAATTCATTTGTTTGCTCGCAAGTCCGGAGAACGTGTCAAGAGGCGCGAGAAGACACTTTCAGGGTTTGGTCACCGGTACGTATTGACGTCGCCGATGATTGGCCTGGAGCTGAATCGTCCCTCTGCGTCTTGCAGTGTATACAAGAATGTAAATTTTCTGCGTTCTGGGAGTGAATTACGTCTCAGTAAAGAATGACGACAGTCGGACCCTCGTTCTTTCATCGTGCGCAACTGCGGACGAATTCTTCAAAGTGTACGTCTTCTTTTTCTGGTTCCCGCGGCGGTTATGGACCATGTGACACAGGACCGGAAAGGATGAACTGCTCGAAATGGCTATGGCGCTGCATTCGATGCAGCTTCCGCTTGACGAAGTACTCAGGATCTGCTCCAAATGTGGACTTCTGGTACGTCAGTCCGCTGCTGTAGCGCTCATGTATTGCGTAATTCGCTAGGAGGTGAAGTGCCCGTTTAACTCTTCGCCACGCTGAAAATGACTCTGAAAATTATTCAGTGGACTGATCTATTACCGGGCAGTGCGTGCGTAACATGCGTCTGGCGCTTTGCACGTTCAGCACTGATCATGCGTTACGTGGGCTCTCCCCTCGACTTTTTCCCCGTTGTTCGCGGCGCCGAGAGCGGTAGGATGGCTAGCCTGCTGGCATCAGATGATGCTGCAGGAAGGCGGTGTGAAGATCTGGCGTCCGCGGCAGGTATGCAAACACGTTTTTTCGTCACCCTGTTTTGTGACCGAACGAGGGTGCTCGCAGATTTACGTGGGGTGCAAGAAGACGCGACTACGTCTCTCTAGAACAGCGTCCGGGCGTCCAGAATGAGACAGACCCCTTCTGCATTGGAGCATGGAGGTTGAGTGATGCGTGACTGAACTTCGCGAGATGTGCGAACTGAGTGCTGCATGTCTATTTCAGGATCACGAAGCGCACTATGTTGGCCAGCTTCAAGGGGAAAGCGAGACTATAACCCGTGCGCATTGTGTAGTAGGTCGGATACACTTTGAAATACATCTGAATATGTCGTTCTTATGGTCGAGAGGGTGGACAATGGCTACTAAGTTACCGCTGACGTGACAGCATTGTGACAGGCACGGTATTTGGGAGTATTTGTGTCGGATGATAATATCGCGTGTAGTACAGTCTGTTGCTGCACACCCATCACTACCCTTTTCTCTCTTTCTCGTCTGTCGCCTCTAAAGCCCGCTGAGCTCCCTGCTCTTCCTCTCCTTCCGTATCCCCACATTCCTACAATGTTCGCTACACTCATTACCGTCGCTCTCTTCTCCACCCTCACCATCCAGGGAGCTCAAGCTCAAGGCCTTTCCATCGATACCCCCACCATTGCCCAGGTAGACTCCTTCGCGTCGCGGCTTGGCAGTGTGCGTCACCGTCCTGACACGCCTTCTACCCATTTAGTGTCAGGCAGTCACTGTGACATGGACCAGCACGAACAACCCCCCCTACAACCTCGTTGTCGTCAACTCCGATGACCCGTGCGGTGACGCAATGTCTGTATTCACTCGTCTCCATGCGCGTGCGATGTCTGATTCTGGCTGCAGTGACGATCTTGGTGACTATAATGGCCTAGCCACGAACTGGACCGTCAATGTTCCTGCTGGTATGAGTGTGACGTTCTCCTTAATGGACTCGCAGGGTGATGAAGCTTGGAGCGGTGATGTACGATTGACTTCCTTGTTACATGTAGCACTTCTTACATCGTGGCATTTTAGATGGTCGTCGGGCAGAGCGACGATGCGTCCTGCTTGTCCGCCAACTCCTCTGTCTCATCCGCTTCATCTGGGAGTTCGAGTGCCAGCGTCGATAGCAGCGCTATACCAGCTGCGGCTGAGGCTAAGACCACGTGGGTGCTCTGCAGCAAGTGGTGCATTTTTCGCAGTCTGCTGATTACCGCTGTATTGCAGCCTATACGTCTCCCCCAGCTTCGCTGAGCCCACCGCCTCGAGCCACTCCGCATCGGCTTCCTCTTCCGCCGCAGTTCCCGTCGGTGCTGCCAATGCAGGCACTAACCCCACCAACTCCGCCGGATACAGCATGCGCGAGTACAGCGCTCCCATTATGGTGCTCAGTGCCATTGCCGCCATAGCGCTGTCGCTCTAAGGTACCGCGTCGTATATACCCTTTTTTATCTTCATCTGGGTGCGCCCTGTATAGCCGTACGGCGCTGTTTTTTCTTGGTTTACGCGGTCGCCTTTGGAATGTTTCCGGGCGCGGATTGTGTAGGTGTGCAGGACGGGAGTTCGGCGGCTGCTGGTTTCAGTTGGCGATTTCTCTGTGGAACCAGTGCAGTCCGAGCGGGTCTGGTGCAGTGGTTCCAAGCTGGTTGTAACCAATATCGTGTATTGGGATTAGGAATTGTTGCCAATCATTATTGTTCTAACTTATACCTTTGGTGTGAGAGTTTGTAGTATCAATGTGGAGGTATCGTGAATTCTTCTAATGAATCTTCGGTGGTTCACAGCTGATGGGACGGGCCGCGAGTGGTTGCAATATTGATCACGTCCAGCGGGCTGCGTTGACCCTCACCGCAATACCCGGTTGTCAGAAATTTGAGCCAACGTCGTGTATCCACACTTTCACCTTGACGCGGGCCACGAGAACATTCTGCGGCTCAGACAAGCTGCTGATTACCTTTGACAGTCCTACTTGTGCCTTGCTGCGTCACTGGTGGATCAGAATCTCATCGTCAATCACCAGGGTGATCATGGGCTTGCTTGAGAGGTGAGTGTTGGTTGTCCCATCTCACCATGTTAGCATCGAGCCGCAGTTGCGTGGCTAAAAACATCAGTTTCCAGTAGGGCTTTCCCGAAGCCAGAGTACTCGCCTAATATTCTCCCCTTCAATAAGATGCCCTAAGTGATTTGTACTGTCACCATAAAATTGTTTTCGCGATATTTATGCAAGTGCTCTGCTTTTAATTACTATTAATACTGGTGTAACTAGTCCGAGGAACGCGATCGACATTTGACGCGTCGCGCGGGTCATGTGGCCAAGGTCTTATCACCCTCATTAGAAGCTAACTTCTAAGGCACTCTTGTATCGTTCATACTCCGAAAGCACTATGTACAATCTTGATCTAGGATCTATGACAGTATCTAGAAGGGTCTGTGACTCCGAGGTATTGTCGCACTCGTCTTCGCTGTTGCCGCAGCTTTCTCAACCGCCACTGTTTTGCTAATGACTTCCATATCGCATCCTGGCAGTACCAGTCCTAGGTGGGATGGCCGAAATTCTGGATTCGTCTCACCTTCTCAACTACAGCAATGGAAGCAACATCAGTCGCGGGAATCTAACCATGAAATTTCCCACTCGCCTCCCCCCATGGCCCCCACACAAGCCTCGCCAGCAGTAAACGCGCAAGGCCCCCCACCAAATACGGCGGGTCCATCTGGAACTCATACGCGTAGTATTTCCTCGTTCTCCTTGTTCAAGAACATTCTATCGAGCCAAAGCCATAATGCGGCATCACATGCTGCACCTAGTTCTTCGCAGTCGCAGCGTCAGCCCGGCGCTCAGAATGGATCTGGCCATCCACCTAACAGTCCTGCGTATCCGGTGTCACCATCCAGTGCCCCTCCCACGAATGGTGCGCCCTCACCAACATCACCTCCTGCGCCTCAACCAGCACTTCAAAGAGCAGCAACTACAGGAACGACGGCATCCGGTGGCCGACCGCTACATCCGGAAATCAAGTCTATTGTCGACTTGACAATTGCTCATGCTCACAAAATTTACTACTCTGGACCTTTACTGCGACGGATTGATCGGCAACCTGATGGCCAGAAGCCTGCAAGAGACGAAGGTTGGCGAGACGTGTGGGCGCAGCTAGGAGGAACAACATTGAGTGTGTGGGACATGCAAGCCGTGGACGAGGCTAGCAAGGAGGGTAGACAGGTTCCTCCCACATATATCAATGTCACAGATTCTGTGAGTAGTGTATCTGCGTGGATTTCTCGCTTCATCCTGATGCTGTGCCTCATCTTGAAAGTTCGTAAATGTCTTGGAGGCGATGACTTTTCCCGCGACTGCAGATTCCCCAGCGAAGAAGTACACGAACGTGCTGACACTCAACACTGCGGGGTCAAATCTATTGTTGTTCTCCTGCCCTTCCCGCGGCGCGCTGGTGTCTTGGGCCGTTGCGTTGCGGTTGTCCGCATGGGAGAAATCGAGACTGGAAGAAATATACACTGCACATCTCATACGAATCATTCTGAACGACGGCGAGTCGCATCGCGATAGCTCTCAGATTTTTTGCTTAACCTCCTTGTAGGGAGAGATGCACCTAGTCCTCTGGTCAATGGCCGTATGGAAGGTTGGGTGCGAATTCGCATCGCCGGTCAGACCGACTGGAAACAGATGTGGATGGTAGTTAGTGCAGGTGGGCAAGATGGCTCATCTATCTCTTCCGCCGATCACCCGCAAGGATCGCCTAATACCCCACGCAAGAAGCGCATGTCGCATCTGTTTGCGCGGGAACGCAGCCCCCAGAGACCGGCGAAGCCAATGCTGCAGTTCCTATTGTCGCCCAAGCCTAAAGACCGCAGAAAGCCAGTGTTGACGATGCGAGATATCACACAGGTGTTTGCGGTTTACCCAGAACGGCCGGAGTGGATCAGTCGAAGTACACTGATGAAAATAGAAGGCCAGCTGGGTGAGGAAGATCTAGCGGCGGGCATGAAGTCCCTTGAATGCTGGATTTTAGTGATGCCTGAGTTTGAAGGAGGGAATCCACAGGCGTCAGAAATGTTGAAGTGGCTGATAGGTACGTGTATCAGGGACCTTTGCAATTCCCTGCGATTTATTTGTCTGCTAGGTATGCACGATGCTTTTGAGCTCTATGGACGACCTCGTCAGTACAGTTGGAATCCTCGCGATCCTCGATCCATGATGTTTGCCTACCCTATTGGACCGCAAAGAGACGTGCGTGGTTTGGACCTATTCGGCGTGGCTCCCTCTGACTAGATTCACACAGTTGCTATTCCTAGATCGTGAACTGGCTGAGGTCCTAGATGTTCGCGACGAAAGAACCTCTTTTATTAGGGCGCGTCTCCAACACATTCTGTTGGAACGAATGGAAGGTCCTATTCCTCCGATGTCAGCGCCTCCGGCTCTAGCGCAAGGTCCTCCCACTTTACCGCCGTTACGCGATGTTGAGATGCACGATGAAACGCACGGTCACACGCAACCACCCGAAAGACTCTCGCTACAACTTCCGCCGCTCGATTTTGAGACAACTTCTGTCGACAAAACCCCCCCTGCTGTGCCAGAGAAACGTCCATTGACACCCATCACGGAACGAAGCGTGGCGACACGGGACAACAGCCGTTCACTTTCCGCTGAACACATCATAACAGCCTCTTCTTCTGTTCAGCATCCTCACCCGGCTACTGTAGTGGAGAGTCCTAAGGAGGTCACCTCTATCCTCGACAAACCTATGACTGCCAGTCCGACTGATTCTAGCTTTCCTTCGGACACTGAATTTCGGCCGCACCCTGTTGAGAAGGCTGAGAGTGTACATACTAGTCCACGCGTCGACTCACCGTCATCTCACCGTCCTGATACCGCCTCGATTAAGTCAGGACCTTCTATAGGACCACCCACGGCTTCACATCGATTGGTTGCACAGGTTCCTGTACCCTCTGAGATGCAGGCGCATCCAGGTTCTAGACCAGTCTCTCCGCGGGCTTCGACATCGTCGTCGCGTCCCTCAACTTCGGTGCGGGTAGTTTCTCCCCGTCCAACTTCTCCAGCAACAGTTCTGTCTTCGGTGTATTCCATGTCGTCTATGCCTTCATCTCCTGCATCTCCTCTCGGTGCGGTTACCACCCAGTCTCCCGTTGTTCCTGCAGCCCCTGCTCCTGCTGCGTTACCCAGACCGCCAGAGAAGAAAAAAAGTGAAGCTGATGATATATTGGGTGAGGCTGGCGCATTGTACTATATGCATCATTTAGAGGAAATAGGACAAGTTCCTGTTCCGGTGCGCCATCGCCCACCCCCTTCACTCTCGGATGACGAGGAGTCACCGTCAAATAGCGACTCGTCATTTACCCCTCCGCCTCCTGTTATAACGAATCCTCTCCGTATCACTAGGTCAACTACGCCTCCGCCTTCTGCTACAGTGCGTCCGCCGGTGAGACGCAGCACAAATCCGACTTCGCCCTTGGCAGAAATCGCCAAAGCGGAGGAATCGGTCGCGGCAGTTCCCGCGGTAACATCCAGATTGCCTCCGGTTATACGTAAGCCTTCTGGCGCACGTGCCCCGGCAGCCAGAATGCCAGCCTTCAAGCAGAGTTCTTTCACACAGAGTCCAACCGAGCTGCACGAACACGACGAGCACGACGACATGAGCGGTTCCGAAGAGGCAAACGTGCAGCTTGCACCGCCAGCTGGGCAGTCGAGTACGAGCTTCGAGGACCATGCCGACGCGCTGGCGGCGCTCACGTTCCTCGAGCAAGAGGACGCGCTCACGTCTCCTCAGAAGCCCTCGTCAACCCGGTCACCTGCTCCATTGCCCGAAGTCATTAAAACTCCCGCGAGCCCATCCGCAGCCCCTGCTGAACCTGTATACAAGTCCTCGTTTGCACCCTCTAGACAAGCAGCCGAGCGCAAAGCCAAGACACAAGCACAGCAGGCTGCGCACCAAATCGCTGTCAACCGCCCAGGGAAGGCGAACGGCAAGGCGAGGTCGGGAAATCAAGGAAGCAAGGGTTGGGCGGAGAGCAGCGAGGAGGAGGAAGAGGAAGAAGAGGAAGAGGACGATGAAGATGCGGATTCTGACACCGCACCACCCCCGCGCTCGGTCAGCGGGACGGACCAACAGTCTCTGACAGGGTCTTTGACACCTGGTGGACCCGGTCGCCCTGTGTACGGCCAACAGGGGGGGGGAACATCTCCCGCACGATCTGCTGTCGATGTTAATGCTGGTGCCTATCCTCAACCCAGGCGTCCGCCACGAGAGCTGCCTCAGTTGCCTGGTCAGAGGTCTGCAGGTAAATATGATGGTAGTTCTTTTCCTTAATATCACTCATATTTCTCGCGCAGGTGAACAAGAAGAATTCTACGGCCCTGCGTCGCGCCGTCTTACGTCCGCTCCGTACCCAGAAGCTGGTCGTGGAAGTTTCATGGAGGGCCCCCGACGACTTCCGTCCCCTCAGTCTCAGTTTCGTCCCCAATCTGAATATCCTCAGCCTCAGCCACCAGCTGCTCGTCACACCATATGGAGTCAAGTTCTCGATCCTGGAAGATCTGCGGGATCTGCGCCTCCCGATTCTACGCAAGGCCGAGAAACGTTTGTGCAGCTTGAACCCTCCCAGGCCATGACCAAGGCGTTTACACCTCACGGTCTACTTTCGGCTGGTCTGCAGGACAAGCAAGATAGATCTGCCAAACGCCAAGAAGAACTTGCCAGAGAGACCGGCGCGTCGCTCATCAATGTGCCTAACAAACCTCCTCCACCACAGACAGGTCTGCTCGGCGCTGTTACAGCCCACGAACGCGAGCGCAAACGCGAAGGCGGTATTGGCGCTGCATTGACCGAACGCGAGCGCGAGAAGCGCATGGCGGAGGAGAGGCAGCGTAAATTGGACGACCTTCAGCGCCAGCAGCTTGATCAGATGCAACAAGGCGGATCCATGTACGGCGGCATGGTGCCTCAGATGACGGGTTACACTCCTATGATGAACCCGATGATGATGAGCATGAACCCGATGATGACCGGAGGATGGGGTTACCCTGGGATGATGCCTAGTTTCGCCAACCCCCAGATGTTCGCTGCTCAGCAGGCCGCTGCGCAGGCTTACCAGCAGGCGATGATGGCATTCACCGCGGGCCAAGGCGAAGGTGGAGGTCCTACTCCCCTTAATCCTATGATGACTGGCGGGAGTATGGGGATGGGTGGAATGGACCCGCGTCTGTCGATGATGGGCATGCCCGTGATGAACACCGGCATGGGCATGAACCCTGGTATGATGGGTCCTGGCATGGGTATGAACAATACCGGGATGGGTATGAACCCTGGCATGGGTATGAACCCTGGCATGGGCATGAACCCTGGCATGGGCATGAATCCGGGGATGGGCATGAGTCCGAGTCCAGGGATGGGCATGAGTCCGAGTCCGGGGATGGGCATGAGTCCTGGCATGGGTATGGGTATGGGAGACTCAATGGGCATGGGCATGGGCATGGGTATGGGCATGCAGTCGACTGGCAACTTCGACGCGCCCTTCTCATCCGGGTTCGACGGTGCTATGCGCCCCGTCAGCGAAGCCGGTGGACCAGGCCAGCGGCCATTCTCATCGCAGAACAGCGCCCCGGGTCGGCAAGGCTCCCCTGCTACTGGATCACGGCCTGCTGGCTCTGGCGGAGAGCCTGCACGGGGACCAGCCGGTGCGCCACCGATGTCTTGATGATTTCTTCTCGTACGATGGGGCTTTTGGTTCTTCCTCATATATGTCCGGGACAGTGTCTTTGCATAGACTCTTGCGCCATCATATGTAAGTTACATCGGCATCTTTCCTTCTTTTATTAATACTCCAGCTCTTGGTCATACGTCTACATCATATGCATAGTATCTTGCTACAAAATCACTCATACGTACTATTGTCGAGTCATATTTGTCGATATATATACATCTGGATATCCTTCGCTTTCCGTGTTGTGCTTACGACTTTGAGGCGTGAGCGTGACACAATCCCGTGACCAACGCGTGACTCCGGTCAAGACGCGTCTGACGCAGCGTCACATAGCACAGCTTTCAGCGAGCTTGGCTCGTCCACACAACCCCGCAGATCACATTTTCCGTTGTTACATGGTTTTGGAACAAGTACTCTCTGGACAGATATCTCATTTGGTCGAAATTTGACTCTGCTAGGCTGGAGCTCGGTGAGAATGGGTGTCAAGTCACTGTGGTCTCTTTTGGATCCAGTCGGCAGACCGGTACTGTACGTATCTTCTCCGTCGCGGTAGTCCAATGTATTGACAGTGGATGCGCAGACTCGAGACGATGGAAGGGAAAGCTATGGCTATTGATTCAAGTATCTGGATATACCAATTCCAAGCAACGATGCGCGACAAGGAAGGCCGCGGATTGGTTAACGCGCATGTGCTGGGTTTCCTGCGCCGTATCTGCAAACTTTTATTCTACGGCATCCAGCCGGTGTTCGTCTTTGATGGAGGCGCACCCACTTTGAAGAGGGCGACTATTGTACGCAGTCCATTTATCCAGCATAGGCGCAGCGCTAACTCAGGCTGAACAGGCCGAGCGGAAGAAGAAAAAGAGCGGTGCTGCGATCAGCCATGCGAAGCTTGCAGAAAGGTTACTTGCTGCACAGATGAGACGGGAAGCACTCTGTCACGTTCAGGCCAAGTCGTGAGTGAAAACCTTCGCACTCAAATGGCTCATTGACAAGACGGTTTATAGCTCCGATGGCAAGGGGAAAGGCAAAGCGCCTGCAGGTCCGGTCACTCTGGATGAGAACACTGTCTACCTGGAGGATCTCGATGAAAATACTCCTAGAACTCCCCCAAAGAAAGTTCCGCAGGACGGAGGGCAGCCTTCACCTCCATCGTCCAAGAAGAAGTCCCGCTGGCAGGATCACGATCCCTACAAACTCCCAGAGGTAAATCTTGAGGACGTTATCGCCAAAGCGACTCGTTCGTCGGTTCCTGACCCACGCCTTGCGACGGAAGAAGAACTGAGCGCGTTCATCGAAGAGATGCGTCCGGAAGATTTCGATGTCACGTCTCCCGCATTCCACGAACTACCGACAGAAGTCAAGTATGAAATTGTAGGCGATTTGAGGCTCAAGTCTCGTCAGACGTCTTATAAACGTCTCCAAAACATGTTGAGGAATGCGAAGACACCTCTTGACTTCTCTAAGGAGCAAATCAAGAATTTGAAGCAGCGCAACTCTCTGACCCAGCAGCTACTCGTAACCACCGACAGTATCGGTAAGGCTCATGTCCAAATCCCCATCCGGATCGCGAGCGAACGAAATCGAGAGTACTTGCTAGTCAAGAACGAGGGGGAAGGTGGCGGTTGGGTGCTGGGCATACGCGACGAGGGTACCCAATCGAAGCCAATCGAAATCGACCAAAACCAGGAGAAGGTAGAGGAAAAAGAGGGCAGCGATGACGATGAAAATATGGAAGAAGTGGATATGTATGTCTATTCACCCTCGATTATCGTTCCCGTAGATGTATCTCACTCTTCTGAAGATCCGCGAAAAACACGCCGTATGACTTAGACCTAAGAGAACTTCGAAGGGGTCAAGCATTAACTGCTCTCGCCAAGCGATACACGCCGAAGAAGTTAGCTCCTCTTACTACAAAGATCAAGAAACCCAAGCCCAGGTCCCAACCGTTATTCGCGCCCGATGAGGATGAGGAACCGGCGGTCCAAGCGTCGGAGGACGACGGCGAGCTTTCTCTGGCCATACAGCAGTCACTAGTGTATGAGGAAGAGTCCAACCTGCGAAGAGCCCTGGAAGCATCGAGATCTGAGATGGCTAGCTCTTATGGATCAAACATTGGCGCGTCGACATCGAGCTCTACTTCAGCACTTGCTGGACCCTCCACTCCTCCGCATCATGCGTCCACGTCCCGGATAGAAGGCAGGTTATCGATGGACCTTGAATCAGATGATGACGACATGTATGCGTCTCCCACAAGACTAGAGACAGCGTTGTCCATTGGTGGCGCAGGTCCACTGAGGAGGCCACTCTCACACGCTGCACAGCCAATGGCAAATTCGCCATCTAGTCGACGGCAACCTACGTTTGGCGTTCCCACATTGCTGTTACCTCGACAGTCGCCGATCTCTGTAGCCCCGCATCCGCCACCAGCAATCACAGTATCGGACTCGGAAGACGACATGGAGGAGGTACCCGTGCCGCCCCCTTCTGCTCCCTCGTCCGTGCAAAGTGTAGCGAGATTGTCAACAGCGATTATGCAGCTGCCAAGCCCACCTCAACGTCCTCGTTCTCCGTCACCCCTTACTGCTCCCTTAGAGTCGGACTCTGACGACGATATGCAGGAAGTACTGCCTTCTGTTCCGGCGCAATCAAGATCTCAGCAGTCTGCCGATACGGCAGCGGAGTTTCGACCAACATCAACACCTGCAACGCCTCTAGCTGCTCCTGAACTAGATATTCACTCGGTGCCTCCACGATTATCAGGCCCATCTACAAATAGAGACACCGGCGAAGCCTTGGGTGTTCCTCAAGAGCGTTCGCATTCGCCTTCGCCGGCCCTCCAGTTCAAAATTAATTATCATTCAAACGAAGATGAAGGAGCCTCAGGGTCTGAGAACGAAAACGAGCGTTGGTCTCGCTCTCCATCTCCCACTACCGGGCCTTCTCAAGACAAAACTGCACCCGCAGTGTCTACAGCAGAAGGGTGGGACCCGGCGGAGGAGATGGACCCGCAGGCTGAGGAAGGCGAATTCGCACGGTTCATATCGCAGGTCAAAGGCAGAGACCTCGACACCGTGAGGCGCGAGATTGACGACGAGATCTCTGCGCTGAACCAGCAGAAGAAAGTCGCGATGCGGGATTCGGAAGACATAACACAGCAGATGATTTCGCAGATTATGGTATGTACATCCGGCATCCTACCAGCATTTGGTGAACTCTATTGACGTATGAATAGATCATGCTACGCCTCTTCGGTATCCCATACATCACAGCGCCCATGGAAGCAGAGGCACAATGTGCGGAGCTGCTTGCGCTGAACCTGGTTGACGGTATCATCACAGATGACTCTGACGTATTCCTCTTTGGAGGTATGCGAGTGTTGAAGAATATGTTTAACCAGTCCAAGACAGTGGAATGCTTCTTGTTACCGGACCTCGAGCGTGAACTTGGCTTAGACCGCGATAAACTCATACGGTTGGCTTATCTACTGGGCAGTGATTACACCGACGGCCTTCCTGGGGTTGGTCCCGTCGTTGCTATGGAGCTGCTGAAGGAGTTTCCTGGGCAGGACGGACTTCACAAATTCAAGGACTGGTGGCAGAAGATCCAGAGCGGAAGAGACAAGCCCGAGGATACGCAGTCAAAATTCCGCAAGCGTTTCGTGAGTTCTGCTCTGCAATGCTTAGAAATGTCCAGCGCTTATCTGTGGCTGTAGAAGAAGAGATTTAAAGAACTATATTTGCCGGACGACTGGCCAAACGCTGCTGTCGTGCGTGGCCTCGTTGAACTGGTAGTAGTATGGAGCTGACCTCACGCAGAGAGACGCGTACCACCATCCGACGGTAGATGAATCCGAAGAACCGTTTAAATGGGGTTTGCCCGACCTGGATGCCCTTCGCCAGTAAGCACACCAACGAATATGAATTCATGCAGTCAGTAACGAACATCCTGCAGCTTCTTTAACTCAGAGCTGGGGTGGAGTCCCACAAAAGTGGATGATCTTCTGCTACCGATCATTCACAAGATGGGCAAGCGAGGACAAGTAGATTCGAAGCTATCTTTCCTTCTAATCCTCACGTCACTCACTTCTTGCCTTCAGAGTTCTGCAATGAACAAGCAAGGAAATCTGAATAGTTTCTTTGATGTTCCTATAGGTGGTGCCCACGCGCCTAGGAAGCGGCAAGCATACGGCAGCAAGCGTCTTCAAGATGTTCTCACCGACTTCAGAAAAAAACGCGACCAAGCGGAGCGTGTTCCGGGTGCCTCCGCTGACTCAGGCGAAGAGTCGGCAGAGAAGCCAGCGAAGAAAAGGAAGACAAATGGCGCCAAGGTCAAAGGCAAGGAACGTACTGCTCGTGGTAAGACCGCTCGAGGAGGGAAAGCAAGGAAGTCCAGGAAACGGAAACAGTCGACTGCGGCAAGTGAGGAAGACCAGAATGATCAGGACGCTGTGGTGCCCGCACAGACGAACAGCCCTCCCCCGTTGTCGGTCAATCTACGACCTCGTCCTAAACCCAAACCTGCGTATAAGGAAGGGATAACTGAGCCGGCCTCGGACGATGGTGACATTGATGATAGTTGACGCCTTGTATGGAGAGCTCTCTGGTCCCTGTTCGGCCAGTGGATAGAATCATGATATTATCCTAATTGTCGTAGTTGAGCCTACCACACCAACTTGTATGCATCACTGCTATTGCACAGCATGCGCACAGACTTGGTTGAGACACCACTTCATGTCTTGGCAGGCTCCATGTAACACGCTTCATCTGGACAGTCGGTGTTCGGAAGTGGTCATAGTGGCGAGTCTTGAGGCTCCTGAAGGCGCCTCGAGCTCTATTAAGACAGCCCACGCGTCGATTCGGATTGCAGATAGTTGGCTTAAGTCCGATACAGTAAAAAGCTAATCCTCATCGGACTCATCCTCCGGGTTTGCCTGTGATTTGGAATCAGGACAGTGGAGGGCGCTCAGCTTGGATAAATAACCGACCTTGTTCTCCTCGAGCCCACCCAGCTCCTTCACCAAACCAGAATATGGATATTCACGGGGAACCGCTGGTCTGGCTGGCACGAGGTAGTTGACCACCACACCGAAAGTAACAAAGCCGAGAGTTGCAATTGTGAACTGACGGAGCGCGGTTTTGGGCGGCAGGGGTGAGACATCGGGACCCCACATCGACAGCACTTCCTCCTCCTCGTGGAGCTACGAGACACGTCAGGCCGGAAAGCTGCATATAAGGGAATTGATGCGCACTGTATCGCCAAAGTTGCGTCGCATTTGCGGGTCCTCCCACCCCTTTGGAGGGAGAAGCTGTCGCGAGATGTATGGTAGTTGCGGGTAGCCCGCGAGCTGGGGATCCTCGTCGCGCTTGACAGCCACCGGCGTTGCATACGTACGCAAACGGGGTGATAGACAAAGAGGCCGCGTTGCACCGCGAAGGGCCGCAGCCCGCGCGTTGACGATAGTTGTCTGCATGACGGTGAAGGTGTTCACCGCGGGGAGATACGATTCACTTACCAAAACCATTATTTTCTGCCAACACTTACAGTAGCCGGCAAGTAAATGGACATTTCTCGGATTTTCACAGTAGCCTTTAGACAATTGCAACCTTCACGGGTAACTACTAGGCAGCACAGCTAAATTCCTAATTTCTGGTACCATTCTGTGGAGCGTGGGGTGCGTTGCGGAGATGATCTTTTCTTGCAAGATGTAATCGAGGGAAGCTTGCCGACCTCGCCGTCGCTCTTATTACTCACAATCCCTCGTGGTATTCGGCGGTGCGCCGTACATTTTCGCTTTCTATAGCAGCCGAACAGGATTTTTCCCCACATCCATTCCATGCATACGCTCGAGGGTGCCGGAGTCAGCGTGGACGTGCAGGACCAGCTCCTCAAGGAAAGAACGCGTAAACGCAAGCCAGGAGTCATACCCTATCCAGTACAGTACTCGGAAGAACAATTGGTCTAGTGAGTCTCACTGGCAAGACTTACGACATCTAGCTGCCAGTGCTTAATGACCCACCTGTAGTGACAATTGGAACAATTTGTTCCTAACCAGTCTACGTCGAAGTCTCACGATGCACCGCTCCGACACGCCACCTTCGACGGTGCTGGATCTGGGTTGTGGGGACGGCCTGTGGATAGTCGAGGCCGCTAAGACATGGCCTGTGGGTAGTCTTCGTGCTGTGGCGCGACTGGCATTGACATAGATTTTATTGAGTAGACCAGCACTTTTGTTGGGTTCGACATGGTGCATAATCAACCAAACCTGAGCCTCAAGAGCTTGGGTTTAGAGGGTGTTGCCGAACGCGTTACTTGGGTTCACGGCAATTTGTATGTACTTCATGGATGTGCTTACAACCTTGTCTTAATAGCACATAAGGTTGGAAGAATTGCCGTTCCAATCGGAGCAATTTGACTTCGTCCGTATATGCTGTATTGGGCTTGGTGTTCCAGAGGATGAGTGGCAGTATTTATTAGAGGTAAACTACATCCTCCAATGTGTTACTTCATGGCTATGCTCATGTAGTCAAATTGCAGGAAGTTGCTCGAGTCATGGTGCCAGGTGGTGTCATTGAGGTGTGTCTCCTATGGCTATGTTATCACACTAACTAACTGAATCTGACTTGAAGATAATAGAGGAAGACCTAATATTTCCCTGCGGTCCTCCTCACAGGCGAAACGATCTACTTGACCCCAATTTTGATGTACATGCTATGCCGGGTCATGGCGGCAGTTCGTCGTCATTGAACTACTCACCGTCGCAGTCTACGAGTTCGTCAACTCAAGGACTTATTCCTCTGTCCAGTGGTCCGAGCTCTCCTCCGAGACAGCTCGATATTCCGAACAGCATGGACTTGGCGTATAGCCAGCCATCAACTCAAGACCCTGATGTATCACTTGATCCTCAAGACCATTCCAAACTGAAGCTGGCTTGGGAAGAGATGCTCCAGAGCAGATTTCTCACACCAAGGCTACTTTCGGTCCTCCCCTTCTACATGTCGTCTTGTTTTCGTAACATCCAGACGCACCCCACGCTGCACATCGCACTGCCACCGAACTCGCACCTCGAGAATGGCACGTATATAAGCCCACGTCAGCAATACGACGAATCTGCTGATATCTCCGCGCTGTTCTCGGAGCTCAAGCGGTATGCAGTTCGTTGGTCTTCGGAGTCTCGCCCGGACAATTCTTCGTTACGCTCAAAGCAATCGTCGATTGCGACGATCTCCCAGTGGGCGTCGATCCATCTTGCACGCTCTGTGCAGATGATCCGCGGGTGCAAAAGAGCCATATGGGATGAATACAGGGAGCTTAAGACGCCAAACGACAAGTCCGATTCAAGCAGTCAAGGCGAGGTCCCTTCGAAACAGGATGAATTCGAGGCAGCTTGGGCGAACTGGGAAAAGTCGGTGCTAACTTTTTTTGTTATCTTACTCAGTGGTGACGTATTATTATTCATTAGTGATATGAAGGACCGTATGGCCATGCGCAGCAAGCTGCGGGAGGCCTTTTCGTGGGACGAACCACCAGGCGAGCGCCCCGGTTGGAGAGTCTGGCGCGAGTGTGCAGGCGACTTGGAGTTGCCAGACACGGATCCGCTTCCCACACCGCCGAGTCTCTGCAGATCGTTGCGTAGTTTCGTTGGCTGGAAGCCTGAGAATGCTGCACACAGCCTCTAGTTGGACTTCCTTAGCTTGCGGACAGTCGGATGGATTGGGCTGGCCCACACACACATATTATATGCCTGTGGAGGGCGGCTAAATGTATTGTAGTGCGACCATATATACCGCAGGCTACATCGGAATTTACTTATCCTCATATAAAGGTCTTGCTGAGGTCTCGAGCCCGCTCATTGCAAAGTTGCAACTGGTGCACGCAACTCTGACTTGTCGCGCAATAAATATTGATCGGCGTGACGGGTGTGACCAGGCGCGGAGTCGCGCTCTTCGATCGCGACTGTGACGAGGATATCGGTACGTAGTGACGAAATTATGTCCAGGTAAGAATCGTGTAGTTCCGCGATGGTTGTTCTACAATTAATGATAATGTATAGGAACGTGTTGTTGCAACTCGCGCTGCCGCTGGTGGAAACCCATGGGTTCACCCGCCAAGTTTTGGCACGCTCCGTCCTATCTCTCCCGACACACGAGGAGCCACTTTCAGAGACTGCCGTGTCAGCCCTTTTTGGAAATGGATCAGATGCGCGTAGAACGCTCATAAACGCATGGTTGGATGATGCGCGCAGACAGATGAAGTCGGCGCCGTCACCAGCGCTGAAAGATGTTCTCGCCTTCCGGTTGAGGTTCAACGAACCCGTTCTGAGCCACTTGCCCGAGGTGAGTGTGGTCATTGCTCTGCTAGAGGATCCAAAAAATATAACCTTGATATTCAGGCATTTGCGCTACTGGCATCGCCGTCCACAGCTTTCCCTCCTCTAGATCCAATGCCGGCGCTAAAGCATGCGGCGAAAGTCGCGGACGAGGCGTGTTATATCTCAGGCGACACAACGGTCGGGGTATGTGTTCATGGATTCTCAGAGGTTCTGGAAGTTGAGCATTAGATTTCAGAATGCCTGGTATGCCCGGAGAGCGTCCCTTGCCGCCATCTATGCAGCAGCAGGTATGCTTCGTGCTTACCTTTGGTATCTAACTTCTAATGAAGTCTTGTGCACAACAGAACTTCACCAGCTCACTTCTCCACACACAGCGTACACCTTTTTGGACGGCTTACTTGACACGTCCTCCAAGGTTGAATCGTCTCTCGGCGAGGCCGATTTATTCGCAAGCTACATTGGGCGTAGCTGGGCAGGTATCATCAAGAGCAGAGGGATTTTTTGATGCTTCGACGATTCAAATGCGTGGTGCGTGTATTGTGTGACCATTATTGCCTCGCAGACCATCTAATTTGTACCACGGCGGGAATTACTTACAATCCTCAGAAAATTTAATAACGAGGCGGTCTAACAATCTTGACTACCAGATGCTAATAAAATGGTCCATAATGAAATCAACCGTTAGTTCGTGCGTGTATCCAGCAATCGCATCGGGAAGGTAGTCCCAGAAATCGCAGTCCTCATCACATCCTCTCGTGTTGAATGTTTTAATCGTCTCCCAATGCTCCGGATACCAGCCGCCCATCTCCCAATCAATGATCCCTGAAACGCGCACTTCGTCGCCTTCCTCCACAATCATGATATTCCGCGGATGAAAATCCCCATGAGTGAGTACAATACGGTGGTCGTCGCGGAGCAGCGAACGAAACCACTTCAGGACCATCGCGGAAACGTTAGGTAGAGGACGAGAAACGAGGAAATCACTGAACTCGGATTCTGTGAACAGTGTGTGAGGCGACGGTCGCATTGATATGCGAGTGTCGACGCATAGGTGGCGAGGAGATACTGATCCAAGAGGCGTCCCGGGAGGGAACTCAATGCGGCGCAACTCTACCAACATCTCGTTGAGCTGATTAGATATGCTGATTTTCTGATCCTGGGAGAGAAACGACCAGCGCTCTTCCAGCGGAGCACCTGGAATAACAGTCATGAACATATATGAGATTTTGCCGATCTTCATGAAACCTAACGGCTTCGGGATAGGTATGCCAGGTGCGTGGGATGAAATGAAATCGAGGAGCACAGGCTCATCACGTTCCAACTGTCCGACTTTCACGAGAATCCCGTCGCACAGCTGGATGACCGCACGGGCTGTGTTCTCCCAGATGGTTCTTCCGCAATTCAGAATCTGAGGAAAGGATGGAAAAGATGGCGGAGACGTCGTTGAGTAGCTGGAAACTCCGAGCAGAGAGCATATCTGAGCAGAAAAAGGCCAGAGGACAGTAGTAGGGTCGGACGCGCGTGCAAATGCCAGCCTGGCGGAGCTAGGGCGCTCAGTAGGACTAGCTAGCGCCCGAGAATGCACCACAACTTGACCTGTGGCGAACGTCAGACAATGCAGATCATCAGTATGGTGATTTAACGTCATGCAATCACCTTCCAGTTTTCTTCTCTCTGCTCTACTCTCGGCAACTTTCCTCACACGGGAATAATTCTGTGACAGTTTATGCAGAGTAATCCCAAGATCTGCACGAGAATCCACTCGCAACGCTTCCGTTATACGACGCAGCACGTCGTCGTTAGCTTCGACGAAGGGATCTTCTGCCAGATCTGCCATCGCATGCGCACACGTGAAGCAGTAATAGATGGGGTAAGAATCGAAAGTTACGGTGAAGAAAAGTCACCAAATATCCGCTCGTAGTTACCTATAGTATAGGAAGAAGAGAATGATGCGGCACAGCTAGCTGAGATGCTCTTGAGCACTACTAACTTGAGTCTCGACGACCGACATTCACTTGCAACTTAAGCGCCGGAAGGATGAGATCGCTTCCCAATTTGGATGATGAAGTCGCGTGACGTCCTATTTAGATCTCGATTTTCGAGCGAGACCTGTACGATCTCATCGCGGCATCGCACTCCCCACTGATACCGCACTTCTTCAAACATGTCCGAGGCCGCAAAACCCGCCGCAAAACCCGCAGAGGAGCCGTCGACTGCCCAAGCTGATTTCACAAAGTACAAGGTATCTATCTCGTCGAAGTTTTAAGTACTGAATCAATTAGCAAAAAATTAACCCCTTGTTCTGTTTTTCAGACCGCGGCGGACATTGTACACAATGTCATGAAGAAACTTGTGGAGCTGAGTGTGGAGGGCGCGAAAGTGCTTGACCTCTGCGTAGAAGGTGACAAGCTCATTGAACAAGGAACTGGCGCCGTGTACAACAAGTCGGCCAAGGGCGTGAAAGTTAGCAAGGGTATGTCCAATCCAACCCATCTTCCCCCTCTGTGCGAATATACTTAGATCGTTTGTGCGAGTGCAGGCCTTGCGTTTCCTACCTCCGTATCCGTAAACAATGCCGTGGCTCATTTCTCACCGCTTGCATCTGATCCTCTGTCGGAGCAAACGCTCGCCCAGAACGATGTCGTCAAGCTCCACGTTGGGGCGCACATCGATGGTTTCGCCGCGGTCAGCGCAGAGACCCTTGTAGTAGGCGCGACGGAGCAAGATCCTGTTACTGGTAGGCGCGCAGATGTCCTGAAAGCAGCCTGGAGCGCGGCGGAGATCGCGATGCGGCTCGTGAAAGTTGGAAATAAGAACTGGACTATCACTGACACCGTCAATAAGGTGACCGCGGCGTGGGGCTGCAAAGCGGTCGAAGGTTTGCACCATCGTTAGACGTACGTCGACGCCTTGATCGATGTACACCTAGGGATGCTGTCGTGCCAGCAGATGCAAAATGTAATTGATGGGAAGAAGCGCATCATTCTTAATCCGGTATGCTGAGTGTCGTAAATCTGGGTGCCTTTATTCTGACCAGTCTCTACCAGTCTGAAGCACAGAAGAAGGAATTCGAGACAGCAACATTTGCAGAAAACGAAGTGTACGGCATCGACATTCTCATTTCTTCCGGAGAGGACGGCAAGGTATGTAGGCTATGCCCCTTATGAATTACGCTCATTCTGAAACAGGCCCGCCTCGAAGAGTCGCGAACGACGATCTACCAGAAGGACTCAAACGTCACATATCAACTCAAGATGAAGACATCGCGTGCTGTATTCTCTGAGGTGCAAAAGAAGGCGGGAGCTTTCCCCTTCAACGTCCGCTCTCTAGAAGACGAGAAGCGAGCTCGGTTGGGCCTGCAGGAGGCTGTTCAACACGGTCTGGTCAAGCCTTACGAGGTCGTGTAAGTGATTTGTCTTTTTATGATCTTTGACGGGCGTTCATATCTTTCGTCAGCTTCACACCTGCGAACACATTCGTCGCTGGCTTCCACTTCACGATCGCGCTTCTACCTGCCGGTCCTGCGATGATCTCTCATCCTCCGGTCTGGTATAAGCCTGAGTTAGTGAAGACAGAGAAGGAGCTGCAGGATGAGGAGTTGAAGGAGCTCTTGACCAAACCATTGCGCGAGGACAAGAAGAGCAGGAAGAAAAAGGCTAAGGCGGAGGAGAGTGAGACCGCAGAGGGTGCATGAGAAAAGTCAGAGAAGAAACGATTGGAAACCATCTGAACATCATGATAGATGCAGAGTTGTATTACCACCACTCCTGATGATGCTGTTGAATGCACAACGGTCTACTTCGAGGACCCGCGTTCTGCATCCTCTCCAAACTCCCCTATCGTGTGTATGACCAGATCGACGTTCTCCAGAAAGGCGTTCACGACGAGCCGCGACAGGCGCACCGTCAGAGTCACAAATTCGCTGTTTTTATGTGTCACTGCACTTTGCTATAATCTGAGTGGAGATGGATGCGCACACGATCAAGATATTGTTTTCGACTGTCAACACGCGCTTCACCGCTTGTGGCTGCAGTTCCTTGTCGACCTCGATAACTTGCTTTGCGATTGACGCATGTTTCTCAGACGCGAACGGTATTCGCATCGTACTTGCAGCAATCATCCGTCGTGTCAAACATTGCGCAAGTTCACAAAAGCGAAAACCTCACATTGTATGCCAATCTGATGATGCCGACATGGTGGTTGGGAGTCAAGGTCTTCAACGCCATCCCCCGGCCTATCGTTCAGGATCGCAATATCCTTGATAGACACCGCGACAGCAAGTGAGTTATTCGTGAAGTGCCTCCTTATTTGTTATGACGGTGCCTTACGATACCTCCAGCTGTGCGGCGCTGTCTAGCTCAAATTGAGTTCCCTTGAAATATATGCGGACAATCTTTTGTGTCGCCACAGCTACTTGTTGGTTACATGGTGTACCATGGAATGCAATTGGCACTGCAATGAATACCGTATCACCAACATACAGCTCAGACTACACCGCGTTACTTCATGTTTGACCGCGGATAACTGTCTTGGCAGTCCCCTTTCATTTATTCTCTTTGTCTGAAGCATGCACTGGGTGCACCTCTCCCTCCTGCTCATGGCCAAATGGATCTTGACGGAGAGTTCATGCTTATTGACCATGCATATGATGGTATGTGCACCAGATTGTTGTCAGTTTTAAATTTACTACTGCACCACTAGCGATTTTCCACGAGGGATAAATTATGTTCTAGTCAAATTACGATTTGACGCAAGCATCGGGTTCTACGTACGTACTACGTACAGCAAGTAGGATATGAGATAGAGATCCTCCGATTAATTGTGGATTTAGTAGATCGACGATCGTATGACTGAATAAACGACCGCTTTACCGACCCATCCGTCCATCAGGTGCGCCGTCCCAACGCAAGTGCCGGAAGGTATATCCGTGACTTCCGGGTTCGGGCTCGACAACAGCAGGACACCACTTGCACTCGGAAGTGGAGACCGCCTTGCAGCGAATCTGCTTAGGCCGCTTGAGGCGCGACCTTGGTCTTGGGTGAATCCCATTCACCGAACACCCAGTCGTCGTCCGGTTCATTGCCCTGAAGTGCCTTCTTTTTCCACGTATCGTAGGCGGGCAAGAACTTCTTGCGTTTCATTATCGACTGTGCCCTGCTGCGACTGTGCGTTTTGGGCACCTCCTTCGCGGTGAGCCGTTCGACGCGGTTGACCATGTCCCACACCTCCCCGCTGCCCACCGTGCTCTCCTCCTGCCACAGGTTGCGCTCGCCGACCTCCCTCCGGATCATCTCCGCGAGGCTGCGCGTCCGGTTGTCCATCTCGACGCCGTTGACGCGCATCTCCTCGAGTGCGTCGCACACGCCCCGCAGGTCGCGGAAGCACCGCCAACGGGTCTCGATCAGCTCGTTGTACGCAGGGGTGGTGCACCCAAAGACGAACGACGGGATCGACAGGTGGCGCGCATGGTCGAAGATGGACAACGCGAGGTGGGGGTCTGCGTAGCGCTCGCGGAACGTGCGCATGAGGAGCGAGAGGAGGTGCGGGTACGACTGCGGCTGGAGCTGCACGAGCCCGGCCGGGGCGTGCGCCGGGTCCTCCATCGCGCGGCGCGCGTTCTCCTCGTACCGCCGCGACTCGCCGAACACCTCGCGCATCGCCCACTCGAGCAGCTGCTGGTCGGTGTCGCAGAGCTCCATCTCCTCCTTCTTGCGGTCGAGCTCCTCGTCCGCCTCCGTCGTCCACTTCTGTCGCCGCGACTGCCGCCGCAGCTGCCCAAAGAGGTCGCCCAGCTGCAGCCGCGGCGTGCGCCCGCGCCCGATCGCGGCGGAGAGCGAGCGCGGGTGCCCGTCCGCCGCCTTCAGGTGCTGTTGCTCCTCGACCGCGGAGAAGATCATGTTGAACATCTCGTCGAACGCGGTGATCTCGCGTGCGGTCATCGTCTGCCGGCGGGGGGCGCGAGACAGCGTGTTTTTGGCCAGCGGCTGCGGTCCGCGGACGGAGGGGACTACGGGGGGCGAGTCGTCGATATTCTCAAATACGTGGTCCCACGGCGATTGCATGGGAGAGAATATGGATTCCTTGTCGCTGTACAAGCGGTGAGCCATGCCGAGGGCAAGTGGGGGCAAGCTTACTCAGATGGGGACCCAGTCGTGTTACTGGTAGAATACACACGGCTTTGACAGAGACTGCGACGACATGGCTCGAGGTGCGACGTCTTGCGATGTGCAGCAGGGAGGACGTTTGTGACAGGATGTTCATGACGGGACCATCGAGGCTGGTGCTTCGACGATTCACCAAGCTTCTTTGGTGCGAGAGTCTCACTGATGGTATACGCCCATGTTCCTGATCATCCAATGTTTCGTGAAGACCAACTAGCATGAAGGGTAGGTACCTCACACTGACCTGCAGTCTGAGAGAACGCGCGGGACGAAACCTTTTTGAGAGTAACACCGCCCAGCATTTCCACAGGACAGAGAAACCAATGAAATCAGCACGGGGACCGGTGATGGGGTCAGGACAGTATATCTAGTTGCACTTAAGCTCACTGGACGACTCGCCGAGAGTGTGTTGAATCTCTCCGCAAACGTTTCGGGCGCTTGCAGGAACTGGGAGTCACGTGCCAATGCCGGTCCGCGTACGACACTCGGACGGAAATCGCGGTGATGGGTGTAAGGCACTCGCGGCCAGTAAAACAAATATTGTGAGGACAGTATACACAGAACTAAACAGTACAGAAGGTCTAATGACAAGAAACTAACAGCGTCGCCCATCTATGCGTCACCCCTCTATGCGTCACCCCATGTAGACTCCCCGCGCGGTGTGGCACACGCCGAGCAAGCAAGGTGTCCCGGAGCGTTGGACCTACAAACAAATGTTAAGTGAGGACAGAGGGCCGACTCCAATGGGACGCGAGACTCACAGAGTGCATACTTGACACGACCACTCCGTCTCCCCCTCTCTTCGCACGGCACGCCCATCGGGCCCGCGTTCACCTAGCGCACTCGCGCGCGTACCGGGCTGGACAGAGGATGCACCGCCGCCCAGCCTCCTGGGCGGAGCGGGTGCAAGCCCAATGACCTCCTTTTTCCTGAAAACCACCTCGTCCTGCACCATCGCGCCATACGACACCTTCTGCTTCTTCTTCGATCTGGCGGTGTCAGCGGGCTGGGACTCTGGAAGCAGCCAATCCTCCAGCTCGCGCTGTGACGGTGATGTCGCACGCGCCTTGTTCTTCCCCTTGGGCGACGCGGACTTCGACGTGGTAGCTTTCGTCGCGCTGGTAGTCGCAGCAGTGCCGGAACGCGGTAGGGACTGCACGTCGCATGAAAATCCGTCCGACTCATCGGTGCCGCCCATTGTCAGCTGCGGGAACACGAAGTCTGCGGAGAAGTCCGTCTGCGTGAGCCGCAGTCCCTCGAGCTCGCCCTGCTCCATCTCGCCCATCGCACGCCTGCGGTCCTGGTCTGTCTCATTGATCTCCACATCGTCCAACTCGCCGTCAGAGTCGGCATCCGAGTCGTTTTGGGATGGCGGCTGGCTGGAGGAGCTTGCTGAAGATAGCATGAATATCACGCGGGGAGGCACGAAATAGGACCATACCTTGATTCTGCAACGCCTGCAGACGACGCTCTGCCGCCAGCGCCCTTTCCTGCCTCGCGCGCTTGCTGACGCACATAATCAGTCAACCTGTACTTTGGAAATCAACAGTACTCACCTTCCCGCCTTCTTCCTGAACCCTGCTCCGGCTTTCTTCCCCTTCTCGTCCTCCACGTCCTCGTTCAGCGCGCGTCCAGAACCCTTGAACGCGTCCCGCGCGGTCACGCGTGTCCCCGCCTTGCGCTTCTTGGCCGTTTGTGCGCCGGTCTTGGCGCCCGCACCGCGTCGGCGACGGAGGGACGTAGGACGCGTGCGTTTCTGGGCGCCGCCGCACTGCGCGACAGTGAGACATGTGAACATAGGCGCGAGAGAGCGGAGTGCTATACGTACCATGTATTCCGGCATGTCGCTCGCGTCGAGAGATTGGCCGCCCACCCTGGAGGAGTCGGCGAGTCGGGTGCCGGACGACCAATAGCCTGACATCATTTCAGTGAAATTCGCAAAGTAATGAGGTGGAGAAATACCGTCGCCGTAGTATCCTTTGCTCTGTAGCGCTCTCACTTCGTTGCGGAGCTTTGTCCATAAAGCTTGGAAGGCCGAGCCGTGGTTCATGTGCTACGTGTAGCTTGTGGGCATGTATAAAATTATAGACGATAGTGTGAATAATACCTGTATATGAGCTAGCTGCGGCATGAAAGCTCGGAGAAATTCACGTAGGATAAGTGGAATGACGGACCTCATGGCAGAGAGTGCTCATCAGCCAGGAGACCGGAAGGAACGCGCCACTTGCGCCTCGCAGGACGAGCTCTACGTCACAGAACGCGAATTACAGAATAAATTGAAGGTGCACAGTATGCTTACGCACCGACCACCTCGCCATTGTTCCAGTTCCTCCCCGCGAAGACTATGTTATGTTCATACTGGAACTCGGTCAGAGCAAGCACACGCGACGCTGCTGAGCCACGCACCTCCTCGAGGCTGTTCACGACGAACCCGTGCCCCTTCATGACCGGTCGGAGCTGTGCGGCGAGAGCGCGAAGGAGCTGGCGCGCGTCCTCCTGGTGGGCCGATTCCGGCATGGGGAGCGCGGAGATGAAGTTGACATGCGGATTGGGGTTCGTCTCGCGTTCATTGAGGCGAACGTGCACCATCTGTGTCTAGGCTGGAGGAGTGGGGACGGGGTAGTGGTGGAGATGAGATAGCAGCTCGCTTAGATCAGACGCGTTCGGCGGGCCAGCACCATCGTATCTTCACCCCGACCCTCAAGTTTCTTCAAGTTCTGCGTCGATTTGCAAGCGATCCCAAGGGAACCGAAAGTGAGGAACTGCCTGTATGTGGTTAGCATGGTGTTTAACTCGATTATCGTCACGAAGCTGAATCGGTCTGGATCATTTCCCCAACTACTTCAGCCCGCTCGTATTCGAGGTTCCGTGCGTTTTCCAAGAGTCAACTCCACAGGAGAACAGTGTACGTGCTCGCGAGTCGAGGAGTGTGTTTGACTGACACGGTCGGGTGTCGCTGCATACCAGCTTTTGACGCACTCTGACGGACATCCATCCACCGCTTGCACACCCTCCTCGAGCTCGATGACCAGCACACCCAGCACACCTCCCGCCACTGCCGCCATGCCACGCCCTGCCACCCCTGCACCGACTGCCTCTACCTCACCTCCTGCGATTAAGAAACCCAAGATGAAGATAGCCGTCCTCACCTCAGGCGGGGACAGTGCCGGGATGAACGCCGTAGTCCGCGCCGTCGTAAAGACTGCCATCATCAAGTACGCGCCCTCTCTTCTTCTTTTCTGTGCACTCTCGCTCACACATTCACAGAGGGTGTGAAGCGTGGATCGTTCGCGAAGGCTACGAGGGACTAGTCCGGGGGAACTCTCAGGAGATCCAGAAGCCCGCAGCGACCCCAGCATCGGAGAAGGGGACTCCCGCCCCGGAGGAGCGGCGGGCCAGTGACGCCAGTTTTGTGCATAATCTGCGTTTCGGCGACGGCGAGCTCCTGAGGGACGGCACGGGCGACCACCCCGGCGGGAGGTCGCTTCGCGGGCGGTACATCGTGCGCGTTGGCTGGGATGACGTGCGGGGCTGGTTTGCCCAGGTATGTACCGACTGTGTCGAAATTGGCTGGCGACTCATGAACTCTGCAGGGTGGTACGCTCATCGGGACTGCACGATCCACGGCGTTCCGTACACCTGAAGGACGCCTGACTGCCGCGCATAATTTGATTAAAGAAGGAATCGACGCGCTGGTAGTGTGCGGCGGAGACGGGTCGCTGAGCGGTGCGGACGTATTCAGGTCGGAGTGGCCGAAGCTCGTCGTCGAACTCCTCACCCAAGGTATGCCCCACCCGTCTCGCAGTCGCGGCGATAAATTTCCGCTGACTCTATCCGCAGAGAAGATCACGCAGGAGCAAGCGATGCTCCACGCGCACTTAAAGGTCGTTGGGCTGGTCGGGTCGATCGACAACGACATGTCGCTGACGGACATGACGATCGGCGCGCCGACAGCGCTGCACCGGATCTGCGAGAGCATCGACAACATCAACTCCACCGCGGTCTCGCACTCGCGCGCGTTCGTGCTCGAGGTCATGGGTCGCAACTGTGGCTGGCTCGCACTCATGGCCGGCGTCAGGTGCGCGTTCACCGTTGAGTGAATGCATTATGATAAGTAGAATTCACCTCTGTAGCTGTGGTGCGGACTTTATCTTCATACCGGAACACCCGCCAACGGAGAATCCCTGGGAGGACGAGATGTGCAGTGAGATCCAGAGTGTGCGTCTCGTAATAATTTTCGTCTTTTGCACGCGCTCACACACCTGTAGCACCGAGACATAGGCAAGCGCAAGACGATCGTGATCGTCGCGGAGGGCGCGCTGGACTCGAACCTGAACCCGATCCACGCGAACTACGTCAAGGACGTCCTGAGCGAGCGGCTCGGGCTCGACACGCGTGTCACGACTCTCGGGCACACGCAGCGCGGCGGTGCGCCCTGTGCGATAGACCGCATCATGGTGTGTCCTTTCCCTCTACGCTTGCATGCACCGTACATCGATCTTATTACCCGTAGCCGACCCTGCAAGGCGTCGAGGCCGTGGAGGCCCTGCTGGAGGCTACCCCTGACACCCCGTCTTATATGATCGGCATGAGGGAGAACAAGATTACTCGCGTGCCACTCATGGAAGCCGTCGCGATGGTGCGTTGGCGTTCATTTCCATTCCCGCGTCGCTGCCGCGATGTGCTGAGGATCTGTGATGCGGTTTAGACTCGCTCGGTGTCGACGGCGATTGCAGAGAAGGACTTCGCGAAGGCGATGTCGCTCCGCGACCCCGAGTTCAGCGAGACGCTCGAGGGGTTCTATGCGACCTCGATTCTGGAGAAGGAGCCACGGCTGCCACACCATTTGGTGAGTCGTGCGTTCCTGCGTGCGGGCGTCGCTCACCCGTGTTTTTCAGCGGATGCGTGTCGCGATCATGCAGTAAGCACACTAATAATTTTGTCGAAAGCCTGCTCAGACTCCCTTAGCATTGGTGCCCCCGCGGGAGGAATGAACGCAGCGACGCGCGCTGCGGTGCGGTACTGCATCCGACAGGGCCATAAGCCATTCGCTGTCCACAACGGGTTCACGGGCCTGCTGGACGACAACGTGCACACACTCTCGTGGCTGGGTGTGGACAACTGGATAACGCATGGGGGCTCTGAGCTGGGCACGAATCGCCACCTGCCCGACATCGACCTGGGCGCGGTCGCGGCCAAGTTTCAGCAGTTCAACTTCCATGCGCTGCTCATGATCGGCGGGTTCGAGGCGTTCAGCTCGCTGCTGATCTTGGAGGGTGCGCGGAAGCACTACCCTGCGTTCCATATCCCGATGGTGCACCTTCCCGCGACGATCTCGAACAATGTGCCGCTCACGGAGTTCAGCCTCGGCAGCGACACGAGCCTGAACGCGCTCGTGAACGCATGCGACGCGATCAAGCAGAGCGCGTCGGCGAGCAGGAACCGCGTGTTTGTCGTGGAGACGCAGGGCGGGAAGTGCGGGTACATCGCGACGTTGGGCGCGCTCGCTGTGAGTGGTGCTCTGACGTCTACGAGCTTACGGGCGCTCAGATTTGCTCCAGACGGGCGCGTGCATCGTCTACACTCCGGAACGCGGTATCAATTTGGACATGCTGCGTCATGACGTCAAATTCCTGAAGAAGCGGTATGCTCTCGATGCGAAGGGCAAGGCGGAAGGCCGGCTGGTGCTCAGGTTCGTGTTTCCCACATACGAAAGATCGTCGGTGGCTTTAAAGGTATACCTGCCAGAAATGAAGTGGCATCGGACGTGTACACGACGGACTTTATCACGAGGATGCTCAAGGAGGAGGGCGGGTCGCTGTTCGACTCGCGTTCGGCATCGCTCGGGCATACGTTACAGGGCGGAATTCCGTCACCGACGGACCGTGCACGGGCGGTGCGGCTCTCGCTCAAGTGCATGGCGTTCATCGAGCAGTACCACAAAGAGCTGCTGAAGCAGCCGGTGAAGACGCGACAGGCGCCGCCGGAGTCGGCGGCGGTGATCACGGTCCAAGGCTCTACGGTGAAGTGGATGCCAGTGGAAGAGATGGTCGAGCATGCGGACATGAAGAACAGGCGGGGGAAGACTGCGTTCTGGGACGAGCTCACCGACTTGGTGGAAGCGCTGGTGGCTCGGCCGCAGTTGCTGGCGAAATAAACGCCGATCCCGGAAAGGAAAGATGCCCTAGACTGTAATGCTCTGTAATGCAATAATTAGCCGTCGTTATCGGACTTTGAAGCACACTAGAGTCATTTGTAATGGTTGCTACGTCGGGGATTGAAACGGTGGAGGGGCGGGGCGGCAGCGGCGAACGGGGCTTGACACGAACGCGGTGATCGTGACTTGAGGCCACCGTACTCTGATTCTATCGCCTCGCGTCTTGCGTTCTGCTCATCATGCCCGCGTCGACGAGACAATCTACGACCGTCAAGATAGTTATTCCTCGCCCACAACTCCCTCTCGACCATATCAATCCCAACCTCAAATCCGGTTCGTCTCCATCTCTCTCTCCTCATCGCTCACCCCTCACCGCTACTCCAGTCGATCTATCAAGGCCGCCACAGGTCAAGTTCCAGGAGATCATCCGCGAAGGTCATGCTACCGTCGTGCGTCATCATCTCTCTATATCTGCGTGCACCCGATCTCACTCTCCATCAGGTTGGTCGGATTAAAATACCGACCGTACGTTCCCCCGCCCGCCTCGAAACAACTGCACTGACACCCCGCATCTACAGCCCAATGGCCACGCGTTCATCCTCCGCAGGCTAGATACCGGCGCCATCAGCCAGACCACCATGTTCCGCGCCGCATTCCCTACCGCGTCGGAGGACGCCGAGCGCGTCGAGTCCGCCTGGGTCAAGACCAGCTACGACATCGCGGGCGCGAACAGGTCCGGCAAGGCGCGCTTCGCAGGCACATGGGTCAACCCCGACGTCGCCCTCGCCCTCGCCGACGCCTACTCCCTCGGCCCCGTCATCCCCGCGCTCGCCCAGGCCACCCCTGAACCCGACGCGAGCTATCGCCGCTCCTCCAAGACCCAGCAGTCCGTCCCGAGCTCGCCCTCCGTCGCGCCGAAGCTGCCCACCCCGCCCCAGAGCGTCGCCACCCCGAACCCCGCGAAGCGCCGCCGCGAGTCGTCGCCCTCGCAGGCGACGCCCGCGGCCCCGCCGACACCCGCATCCGCGCGCACGACCGTCTCCCCGGGCCCGCGCCGGTCTGCGCGCCTGAAGAGCCCACCGCCTCCGCACATGCCCACGCTTGTCTCGGCTGCGATCCCGAAGACGCCCAAGAGCGTGAAGGCCGCGCGCGTGGGGGTGCTCACCCCAGCAGGTTCGGACGAAACGATGGTGGAGGACGAGTCGATCGAGGTGACGAAGGTGGCAGTGCCGAACATGCTCGAAGACATCCGGGAGCAGCGTGAGCTTATTGCTCGGCTCAAGGCAGAGCGGGAGGCGGAGCAGCAGGCGATGGAGGAGAAAGAAAAGGAGAAGGGGGAGGAGAAAGAGAAGGAGATCATGGTAGTCTCGACGTCCGATGAGGGGGAGGTGGAGATGGGAGACGCGCAAGGGGAGCGTGTGGGGGTGAAGCGAACGAGGGAGGATGAGGAGAAGCCATTGGCATTCAATTTCCCGGAGGGGACACCGCAAAAGGTCGAGCGCGCCATCGCTACTAACCGGAGAGTCAGGCTGCTGTCGGATCTGCCACCGCAGCGCAAGTCTCTCGCATGGGGTGCACTGGCTTTTGCTGCGGGCTTGGGCGCAATGTGCGTTTTTCGTTCAGTGGTCTTATTGCACTCATTTGATACTAATCGATGCAATCTATCCAGGTCACTCTTGCCGAATCTACAGCAACTTCTCTTCTGATGTTATGAGGATCTTTCCTGTGGAGAGAACATGATTGATGGCCTTGTCACGTCTTGTCGTTAACGGAGGTCAAATTGAATGTCCATTCCGGTTCCTTACTTGAACCCTGTTGATCTCCTTGTATTTTTCTCCTCTTATTACGACGGTTGTTTCTTCCTTACCAACATTTACTGTTAATGGCTGTTATATATCGCTATCTCCTCTCCTCCTGTGCGCTTCACGTTGATTAGTACCTGTGTCCAAAATATATGTAACTTTTTTCCGGGATTGGAGCTGCTTTGCATGATGGCGGTCGAGTCACTCAGTCGTGCCGACGATGATGAATACAACAATGTGATAAGATGCTGTACATGCAGGTATAGTAGATGTTTTCGCTCGATACATGTTCCAAGATCGCCGATTCTTCACTTCCAGCACCTGCGCTGCAGTCGTCAGTTCGATCAACAGATCGATGCGAAGCCACTCACAGGATCGCATAGTTCTCGTGCACGACCACTTCACCGCCCCCGAACGCGACGTTGCAGGCGTGCTGGTGAGGGCACGACGCTCCGATCAGCGGGCGAAGCGTCCAGAGGACAAGTAAGACAGCGCACAAGATGCTCCCCCGTCTTCCCGGGGACCTTCATGCCACGGATGTCCGCCAGGGCGTGGTACAGCTTCCCGCTCTCCTCATACCCGCCCTCGATGGGGCGTCGGCCGGGGGGTATCAGGCCGCGGGAGGTGGGGACCCACTCCATCGTCGCGGGGTCGAACGGGAGGAGGTCGTAGCGGCCGTGGTGCTCGCGCTCGGCGCCGCCGTAGGGCACGCGGCACGGCGGCGAGAGGTGCGGCCCGACCTTGCACGGGTGGACGGCGTTCGGGAGGAGCGCGCTGCCGAGGTAGATCGGCGAGCGGCCGTCGGCGTCGTGCGCCACCGGCGGGCCGAGCTGTGCGGGCGGCGGGAGCGCGGACTCGGTGCTGAGCGCGAGCCGGAAGCCCGAGGACGGCGGCGCCTGGTGCGGCGTGTACGGCGGCGGCGAGTAGGGCGCGCTGCCACCGCCGGGAACCCCGGGAACGCCGCGGGAGGCGGGCTCGGGGAATTCAGGGATCTGGCTCTGGTAAGGCTGGGGGAACGAGGGCTCCATGGGTGCTGGAAGGTGTGGTCAGAGCTAGGTGATGGTGGATAAGATTCAAGAGAACAGATATCTCTTATATCGATATCATCGCTGTGCGATGCTGTACGACGCGCCGAGTCGCACGTGAACGCGCTGAGGTGCATGCTCGGACTATGCCTCGGCCAAGGCATTTCGTCTCTGCACCACGATCCGGGAACCAAAGGCGTAATCGAACGACAGAACTGTGTTACAGAGCTCGAACGATACAAAAATCATGGATACAACGTACACAATATCCCAATGTCGCCGACAGCACTGTACCGCGATGCGAACGCAGATCTTAGGGTACATTCTCCGATTTACTGATGTCGTAATTCGTAATTCCGGCAAACTTGCAACAGGTGGGCAAATCTCATCTCCTATCGCTTCGTCGCGCCTCAGCGTGTCCTTTTCCCAGGCCGCGCCGCGGGACCAGGCGGAAGTTCCATGGCCTCCCATTCATCGGAATCTGGTGGCGGTAGATCGAAAGCGGCACGATGTTTCTCCCCAGGAGGCGACGGAGCCTCGTACTCGGGTTGCGCGACCCGCGATGTTGTGGGTGATCGCAGCGACATTGACTGCATGGACGACGTCAAGGAGCTGCCAGAAGCTGCGTAAGACTTATGGACGACACTCCTCGTTCAAACACTCACCGTATCTCGAGTCTGCGCATGTTGACCCAGTCCTTGCATGTTTCCATGAACTGGGCGAGTACACCTGCAAAGTCGTTGTAAAACTATGAAGCCGTGTAAGCATTGCAATAGAGCATGGATTTGCAAGAGAAGATTACCTTCAGTCCTTCGTCGAGGTTTCGCGTGATCTCCTTATACTTGTGGTAGGCCAGGTCAAGGGATTGCAAGGCATGCTGTCGTTCTTTCACCGACGTGTCGTCCTTCCGCGATTGCAGGAATAAATCATTCCGGTCCTGGAAAATATTTTGAGTGGATTCGCCTAGAGCATTCAGAAAGACCACCCACACTGATAGACTCCAGCAGCACTTCTTGCTGCTGCTCTCCAGCGGCAAGGTTATCGATGAACTCTTCATACTTGTCCAACTCCGTCTGCAACACATCTTCCAGCATCGCAGGCTGTACTTCCTCCCACTGCGCAAACGCGGAAGCTGCCTTGAGAATGCGCGGCGTAATGTCTTCCGAGTCGGCAATGCGCTTCGCTCGCCTCACACATTCCGCTCGTTCTCGCGTGAAGTCGTCTAATGATTCGAGGAGGGCGCGCAGAGTGCGGGCATGCGTCTGCGTAGCTGTCGCGCCTGGTCTGGACGAGCGTTGAGCGAGTGTGAGGGTAGAAGAGGGCACAATCGCCTCCAGTTCGGCCTAGTAGGTGAGCGGATAGTTTTCTGTCAAGGCCCATCGCATTTTCAGGAAGATGGCTTACTTCGCTCAAAACCAGCTGACCGATGCTCTTTTCCCACTCCGCCCATTTGCGCCGGACGAGGTCATCACTATCAGCGGCTTGCTGCAGAATCTTACGATACCGCTCCTCCTTGCTCGTGAGCTCGACGTTGGCTTCGTGGGAAGGCAGGCGCTCAACGGCATGTTCCGTCCGGAAACTCTCGTCTTCCTCTGCCTCTTGATCAAGGATATCCATAGCCTTGACGTACAGTCTGAGAAGGCGTCTACGGCTGGGGAGTGGTGATGGTTCCTACCTCATTCAAAATATCCATGTTGCGCTTCGCGAGTTTCCGTACGTTTTCTACGGATGCTTCCACCCGCTCGGGGCCCTCTTCCAGCCTGACTTCTTCCGCCTTTTTCAATAGGCTCGGAGGAAGTCCAATCGGCCGCTCAAGCGCCTCCAGCGCGGCAGGCAAGTTTAGCTTCTCAAGCGTTCTGTCAAGGGGTTCGTCAGCATCAAGGTTCTCAGCTAAAGCCTATGTCTGACTTGTCGGCTGTGTCGTTGAGCTGTTGCGCCTTGTCGACCACCTCTTCTTTGATCAGGGTCTCGCGGCGGTCCTTGTAAATGTCTATTGTCCGAGGATGATATATCAATTGTTCGGCGACAGGTTGATTCGGGGCCCGTGCTTACCTATGGCAACTTTCGCGCCCCATCCTAACAGGTCGCCAAAAATTACGGCGTCGTTCCCAATGGCAGCCTTTGGGTCCGCCAACCCGGCAGGCACGACGGGCTGAGCTACAGAGACTTCCTGCAGCGGCGGAAGCGCCGATAGAGAGGGCACTTCCTGATGGTAGATCAAGTCGTTGTCGCGCTCCGCTCGGCTGGTGCTCTTTTGGACATTATCAAGCAACGACTGCCGTAAGAATTGAGAGAGCTAAGCGAGATGCGCATAGATCCGAGGGCGATTCATTTACTTTAATGTCATGCAAGACCGCAGAAGCCACACCGCCTCTGCGAGCCGTGTCGTAACCCTTCTTCGCCGTCAGCAGTGCTTGGTTGAGGCGCGCGATCTCCTCGCCGTACCTGGTGACGGAGCGGTCAATCAAGATTCATGGGCGAGGATGCCGTTAGCGCAACACCTGTTCGCCTCGAGGTCGTCGACGCTCTTCCTGTATTGCGCAGCCGCCTCGAAGTGGAGCTGTTTGGTCTCCAGATGGGCAAGCCAATGCTGCACACGATCATCAGGGCATCAGGACCACAACCACTGCACGGCGATGGACCACAGACCGACGGAAACACGTGTCTGATGGACGGAGACGCCTCCTTGACTTTTGTCAGAGATGACCCGTACAATGACGCCACCTAGGAGAAGTACTGGTCAGCACTGTCCGCTTAATGTGAATACGCTACAGCACCCTTCCTGCGAGCTTCGCAATCAACCCATTCTTGAGGTTGTCTGGTTAAATGCATCAGCGAGAAGCCCAATAAAACCAAACCGAGCACGCACCCATGACGGCTCTCTGCCACACGCATTCCTGTGCCTGCGCGAGCATGAGAAACTCAAGACTTGCCAAAAATGCCTCAGTAAGTTCGAGTGGCATATCATCCGGAGTGATAGATGACCGCAGTTGCGGTACGGACGCAGATGCCAGATAGTTCAGTGTCCCCGCCGCATTCTATCTGCAGCGTCTCAATGTCCGGCACGATATTCATGACCAAGAATGGCTCGCCTGGTAGTAGGCGATGGCCTGCTTCAGCCCTTGGGGGGTCGATCGATCGGCTGACGCAGCAAGTTGCGAATAAAGGGCGGCCAGGTTGAACAGCACAGCGGAACGCTCATACGCCAGGTTGGACAGGTTTATTGGCAGAGCGGACGAATCGAAAACGGGTGCATAAGGAATTTCCAAACCGATCTACAGACCAAAACTCAGGCTATGGCAAAGATATGGTACTGGTACGACCGACATCAGGAGGAAGTTTTGTCAGCACGAACACAAGCTGCGCATGATAGCTGGAGGCCATCAGATGAGACGAACAACACAGCACTTGCAGATGTAACATGCCTTATAGCAGCCTTCACGCGATCGACGTGCACAACGCCCCCTACGCCATCTTTGCGCAAGGTCTCCCAGCGATTGATATCCCATCTAAATGCATCCGGATGTGTATCAGTATGATGCTTCAGTATGTGTTCCCGGACTGCTTGTCGAAGTTCGATGGCGTATGTTTTCTTGAAGGGTATAGATAACTGGTTGGGCATCGTGGCGTAGCAATGATGCACCTAAGGACCGGAGCGTTGAGCTCCGTCAAAATATCAGAACAAGGGCAAAAGCTGTCCGCCAGTGACAGACAAAGGTATTTATGAAGATTTGGCGTTTCCTCAGCGCAACGCTCCAAGTTCGGAGCCGACTGATTTAGATGATTCTACCGCTGAGGCAGACACAAGTCCCAGAGATGTCGTATAACAAGTTCAAGCTGTGCTTGCCGTTGCGCGTAAAGAAGACTGAGACCAAAGAATGTCCGAGGGAGAGAAGACAATACCTTCCAGACTAGACGCAACAACAGTAGATCACGTGATACGCTTCGCGCTCGCGGCTATCTCGCTGAGAGTCAACTCTTTGTCTAACGCTCATTCCAACACTTTCGATCCTGGAATGTATATGCCATACTCTGGCTTGTCAGACTCACAATATTAAGTGATTTGGCCCCATGATCACAGGAAAGTGAGTGCAATTCAAGCTGCCAGTACGTAAATTTCTCTACACGAACTCAGAGGTTTTACTTCCAATGCAGGGATTCGTGTGATCTAGCGAGCTGTACAGATTTTGACCAAGTTTGATTGCATGGCTTAACGCCGGTGCCGTGCCGTGCACTATCGTGATAAGTTCAACACCATGTGATGTACCCTATCGCTGGTCCGGTCTAACAGCTCATTGCAACTTCTCAATCCACTGCCACTATCTTGCACCGCACCTGCGCCGGCTGGCAGTACCCTACCAACGAAAATGTCTCTGTAGGCGGTGCGTCGCCAGGTTTACTTATTGTCACTTTGAACATTGCTCTCACGCGTCTTCTTCCAGGCGAGTACTACCCGAGGACGGTGCTCCATGCCAATGTTGCGCGACTAGGAGCATAGCATGTATTGTTACAACTTGCATATTATATCACCTTGGATCCGGCCACAAGTGTTCGAACGCAAGAAGCCGCGGTCCGACGGAAAGTTCGAGGGAACGAGATCAAGAATCGGCGTTCATTACGCCATCGGGTGGTTCCTCCTTGCTACAGCGCCAGGAAGGTTACCTCGCTCTTCTCCCCTCATGCAGGGTGGATCGCGCTGATAAGCAATGATACGCCGGGGCTGTCAAGAGTGTGCGAACGAGACAGTGGTATCTAGTACCTCTAGTCCGCCTCTTCGGAGAGTACTTTGCGCTCAAATCAACTGATCATATTTTCCGGTTACCGCTTCATCTTCCGGCTGGGCACTCTCAAGGTTGGCATAAACCGAGCTCTCTACGTCTGCCGTACGGCGATATATGCGATTCATGAAGTCTTACCACACAGTCAGTGTACTCCGGATATGACTCGACCCCGATATCGTCCACCCTCCCTCGTATCAAGATGTATGTGTTGGTCAACCAACCAGTTTGAACTGAATGCCCGACCTGGCAGTCTACGTCTGATGAGTCCGATCACCTTACGCTCTCAACCCGTGGTAAGTATTTTTCGGTGTGAACATGATATTTCGTTTCTGGGCTATATGCGCGCTTCTCGCGTGACTATATAAACCCCCGGTATTCCATGCTGACCTCCCATCATCATATCCTCCACTCCACCACTACTATGTCAATGGCTAGGACTTCGCATCAAGTTGGCTCGGCTCCGCGCCGCTCACCGTCACCCGTAACTGTCAATCCATCCACTCTCCGAGTTGGATGTTCTGACGTCCTTCCGTTTTACCAATGGCAGTCATCTGGAGTACAACGACGGGACACTCGCGATCCCATTGTACGTCGTTCCAGACCTGCTGGCGAGTTTGTACGTGCCTTAATCACCCCCACAATATCTTCTCTGACGCAGTTTTCTGACCTACAGATGATGGTTTGTGTGACGAGCAGCTCATCTTTTCGCGTGTTAACCATTCGCGCAGGATCAGTCCGTATCAGTCCGAATTCGCGCGAACCACTGGGTTATAGGCGTCATCGTGGGCATTCTCCACATGTGCCACAAGGTGAGGGGCACCTACAAGCATGTTTCGAGGATCCCCTGACTCGTGACGTATTTAGTACGCGAACGTTGGCTACGAAATTCAATATTCAATCGACGGGCGATTGTGCACGGACACCTTTGCCGTGGACGACATGCGTCGTTTATGATGTTGATGCGGGATTATACTCTACTTTTGGCTGGGGAGTTTGTATGTAATTGTGCCTCGGAAATAACACTCCTACCCTTGTCTCTCACTATCTCAGCTCGTGGCGGCAGTATGTACTTACCTTTGTTTGAGACGGAGGTCTAACGTGTGCAGTTATCTGTCGATCAATGGCAGATTCACTCCGTTCATAGGCGACATCCTGCGCAAGCAAACAAACCTTAGTTGGGCCTTAGCGTCTACGATCGTCTGCATTGTTTTATATATGGCGAGGCAACGTAAACAACAGCTCGGCGCCAACATGAAACGCTTCGAAAGGCCTTAAGTTTGGTGGGATGCCATTCACGGATGCTCTTCTACGAGATAGCTTCTATGCATGAATGTGAAGGGCGTCATGCCGCAACGTGCAGCAGCTTGAGTTTTCGAGCGGCCGGCAGGCCAGCACGCACATAAATCCAGGCTAGTACTGTTGGCGCCATGAATCAGGTTGCGTTAGACCATCTGTCCCGCGACCGTGAGGAGATAGACGACCTGCAAGATTTCTCGGACCCTGTATGGCTTCGAAGGCCCTGATGATCTCCAACATCATGCGCAGTTTCGAATGTCCTGTACGATATCAAATACCATGTACAGGGTCGGATTTTGGCCCGCACGACGTCGAACATCACGCACGATTTCGAATGTCCCTCACCATTTTGTAAAGAGAAGCAACGGATGATCGAAGTTCGGGAATGCTCCGAGATAACCGTGGAGCAGCAATCATGAATTGAGCGCTGGACAATGCGGACAGAGCGAACAATTTCATAAGCGTGAAGAGGAAAGGCACAACAAAGCCACTGGAAACACCCGCGATACTAGATCGGCAACGGCGCTCCGTGCAAATGGTCTCGCCAGAAAGATACGAGGCACTCTCCGACTCGTTCTCAAATAATTGAGATATTAGTGGCGGGAGAAATGTGAAAACAGCGTGAGCTTACTGACCTGTAACACCATAGGCATTCCTGGCGGTGATAAGACCCGTCGACATGCTGTGCCGAATGAAATAAGAATGAGATGGCCGACTCGAGAAGCTCTTGGGGAAGGCACTCCTTTGAGATATTCTTCCCCGAGGGAAGGAAGTACACTGCATGCAGGATCACCTGCGAGCAACTAGTATCCTACCGCGTGTTGCTGCGGCACGTACCCAGTCATGGCACCTGATCATACTTCTTCAGCGTTCCGCCCCGACGACGTGGAACTTCCATGGGAACGCATCTGTTTCAGTGTGACTATTGAAAACCGAAAAGCTCGAGTTCAGGGCGCAGTGACATTACAAGAGCAATCATGGTTATTGCAATGTGTTTTGTGGAGTCCGCGGAAGGCCGATTGCGCGACGACAAACGGCCTCGCCGGCGCCCTTAGGCCAACAGGCGGAGATCGCACAAAGCTATAGATTTCATATCGATTTGCTTCCCCGCCTTCAGATGAAGAATGGCATGGAGACAACGGCTGTACCTCCACGCTATAGTAGTGTCATGATTTGAAAGAGAGCGTGCGGATGATTCCCGGCGGCTCGGACACCATAAGAAGTCACGCCCGAATGCTCTCGTGCTCCGATGATCTACACGAGAATAACCTAATCTCTGTATGAGAAGAAACGTAAACCGATATGATATCGGAAGGAGGTCAAGGGTCTAGCGCACCTAGCAACGTGGTATGCACCTGCACGTTGCCCGTCAATTGGAGAGTTCCACTAGGTCCCAGGATGTAGGACTGACATGGTCTCCAGCTTAGCTGACAGGTCATGCAGCAAAAAATTACAACGTCGTCTCATTTGTCACTGACAATATTCAGCATTACAACTGGCAAATCCATCTCACAGGGAGCAGGCGACCCGTTCGTGACGCGGGTGTCTTCCCCCTTGATCGACAAAGTAAGCTTGGACCTGACCATGGGCATGTGTCCTTGTGGAAGGAATAGGGTTCGGCGGACTGTTTCAAGCATCAGCGCTTGCTGGTTGCTTTCCCAGACACCGCCAATAGGCGCCCACGGAGAACAATACACACCATAATCTGCTTGAATCGTAATAATCGTCTTCTGTCGGCAGTGGTGGCCCAGACTCAGGTCAGACCAGCGAGAATTATCACGAGTCTTGCGGGAAGAGTGCACAACATGTGCGAAGTCCGGTCGCTCCATGCGCATCGTGATGAATCTAATGCAAAAGTGGACAACTGGCAAGAAATAATACACACGCAAATCTCACCAAAACGAGTACCGAAGGAGGCCGAAAATTCGTCAGTGTTCTGGAGAGGTACATGCATGCACCCCAGCCAGCATCTCCAACTGGACCTCGCCAATGGTACATCAAAGTCGTGGCTGATGCCGACTTCGCATACATTATCCCATCACATCTTGAACATCGCAGAATCGTCGACATGCCTCCTCCGCGAGGTATGGTCCTGACCGGAGCAATTTCGTATTTTCATGTCTTCTGTATAGGCGATGCTCAAGCGTATTAGGCGACTTCGGTATTGCATATTCCATCTGAATCTACGTCAGCATCCGCAGAAGAATTCCCTTCATTGTCGAGGTCGTAAGATCCGCCTTTTGAGACATTCGCAACTTGCATCGCCCGTTCGGTACGCACACAATTCGTGTCGCGTGAATGCGTTGAGGTGGTAGCGAGAAGAACGCAGCCCTGGCTGGCGGCAGTCTAGAAGCCAATTGGGAAGGGGCCATTGGAAGACATTTAACCGACCGAGATTTCGCCGCGAGATCCTGTATATACCTCCGCCTGCGACGTCATTTTGCCCAAGACCTGCTGCTACCGTGACGCACTGCCCACTAAGGTGGACACGGTCGAGATCGAGTTGCCGTCCATTCCTATTCGCATCATGCTGGAGCTCGGCAATTGCGGCAGAATTTAGTCTCCCAAAGGCAGACTGACACTCTGCTTCAACCTTCGCGCCTCAGGATATCCGTGTCTGGCAAGCAGAATTGTCAGCGCACACACGCCGAAGCGCATCGCCGTGAGCTACTAGGGCGTGCAAGTCCGTGAGCTCCGAGTCCTCGAGGACACGTACACATTTGAAAACTTCGTCGATCGCGCGATCTACATACATTGCCACGAGAGACTCTCCGCAGAAGAATCAGGTGGTGGATGATGTAGCAACATGTTGCAGAACATCACTACTTGTCCGACATGCTTGATGAGGTGCGACCATGGCCGAACAGCGGTGGTCGGATCTAAACCAAGAGGGTGCATCCGCAGCCCAGACTATGAACATTGAAAGGAGAAGGAGGAAGTAAAATTTTTATTTGAACATGCGCACTTGTCTGACGACTCTCTTCTGAGGAAGAGAACTGATTTTCGTGAGGAAGGATAGGTTTCCTGGGATATGCTGCATAATATTCTCCATGGGACGAATGTCCTGCAATATAAGCAGAGAACGCAGCTGGAGGAATCCGTACACGCACCCTGAGCTCATAAACTTTTGCATGACGAAAGGTATCTTGAGAATCGTCTGATGTGACAGCAGGAGAGACGTTCGTTGTGTGTTCCTCGAGCTCGCTATCCGAGTGTCACCTCGTCAGGGACGCGCGCAGGGCCCGCTGCGTATCCTGCATCTCATCCACCGAACAACTAACCAATAGCAATCGCCAGAGGTCCAGGGTGTGTGCTCGAGAACATGCCTTACTTTTACCAACCACCTCCCTCCCCGCGTCGCACTTACCCCTTCTCAAACCACAGATTTCACTTTACTACTCATAAAGTCCTCCGCTTGCGCAGGCACCATGTTTTTATTCGATACCCTGTTTCGTACGTATGCCCACTAGCTACAGTAGCTATCTGTCTACCATGGGCTTCGCCCTCGAGGACAATAAACTGGAACACAAAAAAAAATAACAGGAGCATGGGGACAAGCGTGACGGAAAGAGAAGGAGTCGCATAGGTAGAAGCAAGACGAAAAGCAACTAGACACCTCGCCAGCATCCCCAATGTCATTGTGTCGATGTCGCAACCTACTCCTTGGTTGGGTAGAGGTAGGAGGCCTTCTTGATTTGCTCCTCGATCCAGAAATACGGTGTCACATAGGTCACATCAGTAGAGTCAGCTGTGCCGGAACCGCCGATAAGCAGGCCAACGATACTGCCTAGTCACTGTTTCCGCATCGGTGGGGCCTCCTTTTTCCTCTCAGAGAAGGTAGACCTGGAGATCATCCGCCTTGCCGGTCGCTGGAAATCCATGGCCTACGAAACCTACATACGAGCCTTCGAACAAACAGCCTCTCGCTACATGGCTGACCTGGGCACCCGAAGTGGTTTCTAGTTGCTCCTCCTCCTGTGGTTGGGCATGCGGCGCGCGAGTCGCCGTGGATCATTTTCGCGCCTTGTCTTGGGTAAGCGGCTCCCTCTCCGTGTCCGACCCAGCTAACGCTGGTCCCACCCAGCCACCTAGCTCATTTCCTCGCGGCTCCTTCTGCAGCCTCCTCTCTCCCTCGACGACGAGGACGGACGGACAGTCTCCGATTTCCGCTCCCTCACGAAGCCCCGCAGAACCTTCCCCCCGCCCGTCGAAATGTGTATGCGCCACTGCGTGGCGCATACCCCTTTCGGCGTTCTCTCCCGCGAACAATTTTATTTGTCCCAAAATAAAATTGTTTCTCTCACGGCTCTTTCGCAGCCAGCACGCTACATACAAAGCCACCTTTAGAACGTCCTGGGACCCAGTTGTAACTCGTGGTAACGAATTTGTAACGAATCGCCCACCCTACAGACCCCTATCATAGTAACAACCAGACTTTGATACAAGACCGTCCGCGCGGAACGCGGACTGTCTTGGTATGAGACTAGATTGTGGTGACAAGTACTATAGGTTCCCACCAATTGCATGTGTCTCTTCATTGGTACGTAGGCATTTGTGGTTCTCCTAAGGCCTTCAGCTACTTTGCTTCAGCCCTCAACCATACACGCTATCTGAATCGTCCTGGAGACCGGTCGGGTCGCCGCCGGAGGGACATCATCTGTTACTGTCGGGGCGAGGCTTCACTATGATGTACTTATTTGCCTTGACTCCGAAGATACATGAACACATATTTGCGATTCAAAGGCTACCGAGCCTCACGAGTCTAAAAAAGACAAAAAGTATCCATAGAGCTCAAGGTAACTGCTAGTAATACAAACTATCGCAAAAGTCTGGAGATAAAAGTCTCGCTATAGCTCAAAACCAAGCGAAGCGCAAATTTCCTAACAGTGATACACAATGGCCGCACAGCGGCAGAGACAGAGTCGAGCGTCAGCGCCTCGACGACAGCGCATCGTACTCCGCCAGGGAAATCGCGATGCGGCATATAGGACACGTCCGGCTCGTCGCCAACCAGCGGCGCAGGCAGCGTTCGTGGAACCTATGAAAAGGAAGTCAATCTCCACCGATCAATCAAAGAAATTGGTGACGTACGCATGCTGGCACGTCGCCCCGAGCACGGCGAGCTCCTCCACCCGGAACTGCGAGAGGCATATCCCGCACTTGTCCACGACGACGCCGAGCAGCGAGAACTTGACCTTGACGGTGCCGTTCTTCAGCACCCTGCGTCGTTCCTCCTCGACGCGCCCTACGAACGGGGATGCCGGGCGCGCGTTTGCATTTGCGGGTGGTGCAACGGGCTGCGCAGGCTCTGAAGTGGAAGGTGACGGAGAGCCGGGACCTAGGACATCCGCCACGAGGAGGTTATCCTTCCCGAAGATCAACACACGCGAAGACGAGTACGAAGTATCCCACCTCGTAAGTGCGCCCGTCCCCCGCTCCCTCGTTCTGTTCCGCCAGCCGAGATGCGAGCACGTCCAGATCGGTGATGTTGGAATATTGGCGCGGGGAGACGCGGGGAGACGCGCTCGGAAGAACGGCCACATTTTCGGGGCGCGGATGTCCTTTTTCTAAGCATGGCGGTCTCAGCCGCACCGAAGCGGACAACGGCGACGACGATTCGTGCGGAAGTTGGGGTAGTGGACGGCCAGGGTAGTGGCCCGTCGGTGTAGTCGGCGTAGCTGGGGTGACAGGTGAGCCGAGGGTAGCGTTTGCCGACGAGTACGCCGAGGGGATCCGCTCCATAGCGAGCGGCGAGACGGGCGTAAGGCGCAACTGGGACCGCGACGAAGAGAAAGGGCTTGCTTGCGACGATGAATGAATCGGGAGAGCGCCCTTTAGGCTTTCGGGGGTAGGCGTGGACAACGACGGACGTTGCGTACGCGTCGGGGAGAAGGCACGGCTCGTTGTTGAGAACGGTGTCCGTGGGGTGCTGGGCGAAAGAGCAGAGCTTACTTGACGCTCCGCGTCCTCGCACGTCTGCTCAGGCGTCTTCCAAATCACCGAGGGAGACACGAGCGGCGAGTGCGCAGAGGTCTTCTTGGGCGACGATGGAGGTGGTACCCGCCTGGACTTCTTCTCGCCTAGAACGAGGGGCGGAGGCGGAGCCGCACGCATTGGAGATCTCTGCAGGAGAGAAGGTTGGGCGGGGGACGTAGGAGAGGTCGGTGACGTGGGGGATATGGGTGATCCGGGCTGCTGGGAGCGACGCACCGGACGGTTCAAAAACGCTAGGGATGGCGGTGGAACAGGCTTCTCCCTCGGGTACACAAGGGAACGGGGAGTGTTCGGGGAAGGCATATTCGGAGTGCGCTCGGTGGACGCCCGACTCGGAACTGGAGTGTCATCCTCCGCGATCGATGGGTCGACGACCTCCCAGTCATACAGCTCGCTGCGGGGCCGCAGAGGAGTGATTTCGTGATCCTTGCCCTTCGAGAACAGCCGTCGCAAGCCGAAACTCTCTCTGCGCTTGAGAGTGGGCACCGACTTGTGCGAGGACAAGACACTACTCAACGACAGCGTGACACTGCTCGCCCACGGGCTCGAGAAGCCCAGAATGGAGGTAGGGCTGCTAGTCATGGGCGATGACGGCGGCGTCGTGATGTCGAAATCGTCAGAAGGGGACCGTCCCGTCGTCTTCCGCGAGTGGGGGCTCCGGTGCATCGAAATCCCGTGGTCATTGGCATGTTCGTCCTCGCCATCCTGCGGACACACGGATCCGCAGTGCGAGCAGCACCGCAACCGCGTTCGAGGGGACGGTGGCAAAGCCACGTTCGGCACTGACGGGCGCGGGGTTGCGAGGGCAGATACGGACTCGGAGGCACGCTGGCGCTCGAACTCCCTCACGACTCTCTCGTCCAGTCCAAGTCCCAGCTCCCGATCCGCCTCCCATCCCTGCGAGGAGTCCAGAGATAAAAACTCGATGCTGGACACGTCTGAGCTTGATTCAGAATCAGGGGCAGAGTTCTGCTCGTGCACGGTCGAGGTTGCGGCCTCGGTAGATGGAGAAACTTGCGGGCTGCGATCGGGCGAGGAGACTACGATACTGGGCGAAGGGAACACAGCTGGGAAGAAGGGCGAGGGCGAGGAGATTGCCTCTTGAAAGGACGGTGGAGGATAGTCTGGTGGAGACTCGAAGACTAGAGCACGGTCAGTAAAGAGGAAATTGACAGGACGAGAGACGTACCATCGAGAAGGCGATCGCGCGAGGGAGACGAAGCGAGAGGCGGTGGTGCAGGTTTGCGCGGACGGGGAGGGTTCGTCTGCAGCCTCCGCGACGAGGACGGCGGGACGGCGGTAGTGAACCGGGGCTCGTCATCGTCTCTGCGCTCGGGCCTGGGCCTGTCAGCTGCTCTCTTCTTTGGTTTGCGAGGATGCGGAGTGTTCTGCACCGGCACGAACGTCAGAGCGGGCGGGCCACTAGTGAGCTTGTGAGTAATGCAAGTTGCGTTGGGAGAAAGATGCGAAGCCGAAGCCGAATGAAGAGTTGGAGAGGGCATTGTGAGTGACGAGGGGGCATATGATGGTAAAGACAAGCTCACCGTGCTTCTCCACGAGCTCACCGCAATGCTACCAGCCTGCTTTGCACCACCTCTCCCCGGGCCCTCACGTGCTGGTCGCGTCGATATCCGGGCGAGTATGTGAAGAGGTTGATTTGCGAGACGCACTGCAACCTCTTTTTTGCACAGTAGACGTGTGTCCAATTCCTAGAACCTTCCTGGCTGATATTAATGGTCGTAATTGTGGCTAGAGACAGAAGTTCGAGCCAGCGCTGCGGGAACTTCAGATGAAGTGACATTCAGAACAAAGATGAAGGATGTACATATCACTTCAAATCATACAGCCAGCTTGAAGCAGGACCTCGATAATGTCTGGGGCCAGTACTTATCCTAGACTTTCTTGAAGTTGAAACGTTGAAGTTCGACCTGCCTCAGGCCTCATTATACTTGTGATCGGTCGGGTTTGCTTCCGTCTCCCGCTAGCAATTCGCAGTCGATCATCGACATCACCCGCGCAACAAGCACACAAAAACTTCCCGGATCGTGAGGGATCAGTCGTTGAAGGTGCTCAGAGCCACCAAACTTATCGAAGAGTCCAGGACGGGATAATCTCAGCGCTTTTGCAGTCCCGGGCCCGCGGCACGTATCTGCACAATGCGCACCTGCCACCTGGGTCCTGGAGCACGATCTGTGATCCGTCGAAGTCTGCCTCGTGTCTTCATGATGGTACATTGCTGGCAGGCCAGAGCACGTCACACGCACACAGTGACCGAACGCCGTCCTGTGAGCTCTATGCCGTCGACCAGCTCTCTTTTTGGCCTTCAGAACCTCCACCGAAGCAAATGCTGCCAGGTCTTCTCCCTCTGTGTCTGCTACTAGCTTTGGGTGAAGTCGGGCGGGCTACAGCGCAGCAATGCAAACTCGTTCTCCAGCAGGATTTACAGATCACGAACCCCAAAACGCAAACACCAGGAATCTCCACGCAGATCCCGAGTCCCACCTCGACGCGTCCCGTATCAACTGCATCCCCATCTTCAACTTCGAATATCACAACCTTTACACCCTTTAACTATGGGGCCGAGAAAGTCCGCGGAGTTAATCTGTGAGTCTCTATAGAGACAAAAGTCGCCGTTTGTTAACGAGCGCTTTAAGCGGTGGTTGGTTCGTGCTGGAGGCAAGTGCAGCACGTGTAACTCTATCTTAATGCTAACCGTATCTCGTAGCCATGGATCACCCCAAGTATCTTTCAGGGCACGAACAACACCAATGTGATAGACGAGTATACGTTTGGTCAGCTGATGGGTGCAGACTACGCCCAAGAGACTCTCCGCACGCATTGGGAAACATGGATAACGGAAGTCGACTTCCAGAACATCAGGGCTGCAGGACTAAATCATGTCCGGTGAGTTTTCTGGGACTGCCAGCCTATCTTTAACCATCTGACCGTATTCATACATTACGGTTCCCTATAGTATACCGCTAGGTTATTGGTCTGTTCCAATCACATCGGCATATACCAACTACAGCACCTCTGTGTTACCATATACCACGGGTGCTTGGCCCTATTTTCTACAAGCGCTGGGTTGGGCAAGAAATAACTCCTTGCACACCATAGTCGACCTCCATGGTGCTCCTGGTTCACAGAATGGCTTCGACAATTCAGGGCAGAGAGGGTCTCCCGGATGGGCGAACGGTTCGGACACAGTTGGACGGACGCTGGATATCATCAAGTTCATTGCGGATCAAGTTGGGGATATGGCGGATGTCATAGAATTGCTGAACGAACCTGCTGGTTGGGTATCTGATATTGGCAGTGCGATCAGTGGGTATTGGCAAGATGGATACCAGGTCGTTAGACAGGCTGCAGGCAGCGGACCTCAGGTTATGATAGAGGACGCGTTCTTGGGGATACAGGTGCGCCTGAACCACGCTGAATGAAACGTCCTTAATTGAAATGCGTCTTCAGACGTGGGAGAATTTCATGAAGTATCCCAATGCTTCAGGCGTAATCATGGACGAGGTGAGTATTTTGATATAAACATCTTAACATGTAATTTACGACACAGCGTTAAAGCACCAGTACCAAATTTTCAACGACGACCAGCTCGCTCTGTCTTTATCCGAACATCTGAGCGTAAGTTGGGTCTCATTCGTTCCTTCCGGATACGCAGTAACATGTGTCCGCAGTCATCGTGCCAAACTCTTAGCCAATACGCCTCATTTGCCAAATCAAACATGTATACTGTCATGGGCGAATGGTCCAATGCAGTGACAGATTGCGCTGAATGGCTGAATGGGCGGGGAGTTGGAGCCAGATGGGATGGCAGCATAGCAGAGGGTCAGCAAGTATACGGCAGCTGCGATGGATGGACGGGCAGCATGTCCACTTTCAGCGACGAATACAAGGCCTTCCTTCGGCAGTACGTCCTCTACGCCCACGACGGTTTGTACCTTACTGAGTTTGATCATCAGATATTGGGAGTCCCAGGTCCTCATCGGAGAGAGCGTCCAAGGCTGGGTTTATTGGACCTGGAAGGTGTGTTTGGTCTTCTGCGATGCTGTGTGTCCGGTTGACGTTGATTGATGGCAGGCGGAGAATGCAGATGAGTGGAGCTATCAGAAGGGATTAGAGGGCGGCTGGATTCCGCAAGACCCCACAGATCTGATGTATCCAAACATGTGCAGCTCCGCAAACTTCACCGCTGTGTAGACAAGTGGTGCGCTGATTACAATTTTCTGGGTACGCAATGCGCACCCGTGCATATTATGTTGTATGCATTAACGCCAGAACACTTGGTGCTGCCGAGTGCGGAGGATCAAAATCGTCGAGCAACTTGCAGATATCGAGAGGCACTAAATATGATATTTGCTTGTGCATGTCGGGCGCTGGATGGGACCAATACTCACAGGACCCGACTCCGGCCTCGCGAAATCTGGAGCCATTCACAGTTCTTCCTCAACTGCACAGGCCTGCATAGGCTGTCTCTAGTGCTTGTCAAGTATTCACTCAGCATCTGCCAATACACTGGAATAGCTTCTTCATTGACGCGATATCATGTTCAGATGGCAAACTCGCGCGCCCCGCGAGGGTTGATATGGACCACTGCGAGAAAGACCTTGGCATTTCCTGTTGCAGCAACGGTATTCCCCTGCCGTGTTGTCTCTGCCGCGGTCTTGGAATTGTCAACCTTCGTGGCAACGTCCGTCACGGTGACGATTGTAAAGGTTGACAACGTAGCTACTCATCCTATTCCATAGACCCTTTGTAAGTCCGGCCAAAGCCTTGCACAAGGTCGCATCTAACTTGTTCGTATAGATGGGCAGATGTTTGAGCTGAGACCGTTCCGTGGATTAACGCATTGCAACATTGCAACTAGACAAGCGCATTAAAATAAATCTATTAGGATATGAATACTCTAGAGTGGAGATGGAGCCCTCTACGCTGAGCATACGTACATAATCCAGTTTCCGAGCTTAGGTTGATGATAGATCTTCGCATAACCGAGCCTTCCCGCAGGTGACACCAAGTGAGCACCGATGGCTTTCTTGACTGCCCGAACACTAACATAAGACATCTCATGCGGCGGTTCCTGTGACGACTTCGATCGCCACGGGGAAGACCTTCAACTACACCGCGTCTGGATTCAGCGTCAGCGAGCTGACAGTTGGTATGTCTACTAAAAGTCACGGCATGACTTAACTCAAAAGAGAGGAGCGGCGAGCATCACCCGGACTATACAATGCAGAAGGGTTGTGTAATACACCACGCATAATATGTGTTGTCACCATGCACATCAGGCTCGACAGAGAAGCAATGCCTATTCGACGGCAATGAACTCATGATTTAGCACAAATGAGGGCTGAGGCCTGACTCTCGATAAGGCTAGAGAATCAAGGGACAGATGTACATCAGTCACCTACGAAAAGCAAGATGACCACAGATAAAAGTTGGGCGTTCTGAGAAAGCCAAACTTACCGACGTAACTAATCATTCGCTTAGCAGACGCAGCAAAATATGGGGAGGGGAGCTGCAAGCATGTTTTGGATTCCGGGACACAGCTTTTTCACCGCCAGCCACTTCAAGTGCAAAAAAGATGGCATGCATCATTGTGACTACTACTGGATGTCTGTAAGTAACACGACAGCATGCAACTTACGCCTTTGTCTTTGGAAAAACACAGAACAGAATATACTGCGCACGATATAGAAGTTTGGACTCACCTTACGGCTAAACATATCCACGGACGTCTCATCTCACAGGTGTAGCAAAGACACGCGGTAAGCTTGAACTGCAAGCAAGCCACTGATACCGGGACGTCGCTTTTTCACGGCTAGTCCACTCCTGAAGCAAACGCAGAACTAGTGCAATGCACATCATGGCTTGAGCGAAGTATGTACCACAGGAGGAAGTTCATGCACGTTGATTTAATGTGCATTGAAAGCGTGCATTTACTGGGAAACAGCCAATATTATGAATGTAGTTCAAGCTACCTTTGGAGTACTTACCTGAAGAGCCTTGAGAGAGAGCCTACCTTGAGCCTACCTGTCAAATGCTGGTCGCCATATTTCACCACAACGGTCCGTAATCCAGACATGATGTGGAGAACGCACGAGTCGACGCTGAGTAACGGCACGTTCGCGTGTTCGCGGCCTCGAGAGCTGAGACGAGCTGGACGTATCGTTAACTCAGTCAGTATTGGCGCTGTAACTGCAGCCACGTTCCTGCACAGTGGCAAAAACCATGTTCTTGGCATAGTTTGTCTCTCACAAACGGGCGCTAGACAAACATGACGTTGAAATGGAGAAGTCGGTGACAAAGTCTGCAGAACTTACTTGGAACATTGAAGAGCAGCGTCATAATATACAATATGGCTTGAGTGGAACAACACAAATGCCAGCGATGCTTGCAACACAGCTTGCACAGGCAGAGAAAAGACATACGGAGAGTTACCCAAACGGGAGCGGCGAGAAGGGTCCAGCGCCTCGTGGCGCGCAGCGGTGAGATGAAGCTTGTTCTTATACGACGCCCTTCTGCGCGCGAATGCCACCGGTCTGGTAACACCCGCAGTTCATACCACCATGGTCCCGCTCTGCTTTGCGGTCTTTGTCTATGTTCTGGCTTTCTTCAATGTTTCCTTCGCGACGGTCCTCAGTGAACGGCGTTCATTCGCCCGCGAGCTCCCTGTCCGTCAATACCTGGAGAGCGTAGAAACTGGGATGAATGCCACGGGCGAGGCTGCCATCGTGACCGTATCCATCTCTGAGGACAAGCAGTATGTCGTCGTACAACCTCGAGGGCCAACGGACATAGCGTTGATACTTCGCCTAGGTCCTTCTACACACTCGTTTCAGCGGGCAACATGACCTTTCGTCTTGCCCTCGACACGGGTTCGTCCGATCTCTGGGTGATCTCTTCTGCGTGCTCCTCTTCCGCTTGCACAAGCGTTCCAAGATATCAGCTCGCATACCAGAGCTCGACGTTTATCCCCGTCAACAGCAATTCAACTGCATTCAATGTCAGCTATGAGGATGGCTCGAGTAAGCGTCCCAGCAATGTCTACCTCCTACGCTGTTCGTCTAACGTGTTATCTCCAGTTGCTAGTGGTTTTATTGCGCGAGAGACTCTACATCTTTCGAACGTGACTGTTGCCAGTCAGGCATTCGGTGAGATCTTTTCACTTCGAATTCCACGCACGAGCCATACTCACCCCATAATGCAGGCCTTGTGACTTCATCGAACGTCTCTTTAACCGACGACATCAGTGGTATCCTTGGTCTAGGTTTTTCTCGCCTCTCTACTATATACAACACTGTAGCCAATGGTCAGTAGGCTGACCCATCTGCAAACACTTTACTGAAGGTACAATTTTCAGCAACTCCCCTTTTCGGGTCTATGGCACAACAGGGCCTTTTGGATTATCCTGTATTCGGTCTAAGCCTCCCTCGCAATAAATCCGTTGGAAGCCTCACATTTGGTATTTTCATCCGTTTCAATGTTTCCTCACATCTCATCGAACTGCTTCAGGTGCCATTGACGGAACTGTCGTCCAAAACAGAAGCTTGATCGAATGGGAAGAAGTTGTCCCGTTCGCTCCGTTTGCGAATACGACAGAGAACACTACCAGCTACTTGCAGTGGGCGGTAGTCTTGTCAGGACTGTCGGTGAGTGACGTCGTTCCAGTTGCGGGTTTTGTTGCTAATCCAAAACAGGTTAACGGCACAGAATTAACTCCATTGCCAACGTATCCAAATGCAACGTCGAACACTTCGATTGCTCTCATTGATGTGTGAGTATTTGCTTATCGATGCGTCGTCTACGACTCACGACGTCTGGTCAGAGGTACACCAGGTATTTATGGTCCATACCAAGATGTGAGTTGCAGCATCATCGACGGGACCCGCGTCATGCTGACTGAGTGCAGGTTTCGCGGTTATTTTCTCTCATCGATGGTAGCCGCCTCGTGGCTGGTAGGTAAAACGACCTTTTCGAGTGATCTTCTCTAATACGCTCCGGGACAAAGATGGGCAATGGGTTATTCCATGTGATGCTAATGACACTATGGCGTTCAATTTCGGGTACGAACTAAGTTTTGTACAACCTGTCGCGGATGTTGACACTGCTAAAGCGGGCAAAACTTCACGATGCAACCCATAGACTATCTCATAGGTGCAGTGTCGGGAGACCCAGGTCTCTGTCTGTCTTGGCCGATGGCGCTTCCTCCGAGCGCTGATGGAATCGATTGGCAATTAGGTATGATAGATTTACAGTACCTTTGTATCTTGACTGATCATTTTCTAGGCGGAGCCTTCCTCAAGACGGTGTATTCAATATTCAGGTTTGCTTAGTGTTTTCTATCTATGGCTTGTTATTGAAAGGATATATCGCAGCTATGGTATTGATACGAAGGAGCCGCCCTTAATCGGGTTTTATCCTCTGAACAATGCTAGCTCTCCCGTGCAGTCTCCCGAAGTTGTTGAGTCATACTTATCATCAGCTTCAGCAACGGTCGCCACCACCCTACCGAACTACGTGCTCGCGCTCCCTTCGTACACCACCCCACCCTACGCCTTCAACACGTCGTTCACTGCGCCCCCGGGACTCGTCGTGTCCTCCGGCCTGGCGGCGAGCACATACTCCGCGGCCCTAGGTTCAGCAAGCCCGAACGCGACGGCGATCCCGACCGTCACGCCTTCGCCCACACTCGTTACCCTCTTCATCACCGGCACCGCCGGACAAGTCTCTACCTCCGTCTCCACCGCGTCTGTACCCTCCGTCACGCTCGGCGAGCCCCCCGGCTGGTCCAACGCGGCGAGCACCGTACGCATCCCGACGGGTCTCGTGTTATCGGGTTTCTGCGCTCTGCTAGTTTCCCTTTTGGCGCGCCCGTGAATGTGAACATTGTGCATTTGTTTGTCTAGTCTGTCCACGCTCCTACCCAACCGCGCTGGTCTCCCACCTCCCATCTCAGCGCTGCTTCGCATTCGACATCATATATCATTACTGGACGTTCGGACGTTCTGTTAGCGCAGCGTTTTTTGTTTTAGTATTTTTTTATTCCTTTCGACATTCGGACCATTGCTAGAATGGAGTCATATATCATACGTCTCGCTGTGCCCGTTTTCACGCGTTCGCTACTGTTTCGAGGGTTTCATAGGTCAATGCGAAATTGTTGGTACAGGCAAGTTCTGCGTCGCTATCAAGGTTGAGGCGCACTAGGACTGCAGCCGATCGTCTAATCGAAGAGAACGATCGTATTCCGCTGTAGAGCTACAGGTCTGCCAGAGTAAATTGGCAAACTCCTCGGCACATTCATGAATATGTACTCAGTGCTCACTCCCACAGGGGTTTTTCGCCGCTACGACTTCTCCATTCCGCCAACCACGACGGCTCCGACTTCTCCATGAACTGTTTCGCGTCTTCCAATCGTTTCGCTACGCCGTCCTTCCCGTGAGTGAGGCTCTTTGACTCAAACTCCTGCACGGCGCGCGGTGTACAGTTAGAGAGGGTCTCGCACGTGCGGCTATGCAGTAAAGAAACTCACTGAGAGGAGCAGCTGGCAACGCCTGCAATACTCGCACAGCCGCATCCACAGCTCCGTTTTCAGCGTCTCCTCCTGTGTGTGCTCGCGTATGCGGGGGTCCTCCCAATCTACCGGTGCTGCTGCTTCTGGTCCCAACGAGGACGGATCGAAGTACCGCCTCCGGTACTCCTCCAGCGCTCCATTCCTCGACGCCGCCGCATTGATCCACCTGCGCAATGGTTGGCGGAAGGCTGCGTTCACATAGCCTTTCCCCATCTCGTTAGGGGCAACATCACGGAGCTGGCTCTTCGCCGCCGCCACCGCCTCGGCACCCTGCTTGTCGAAGCTCGCGGGGACGTCGTCGGACCTGATGTTGCCGACGAAGCGGTCGGCGTGTGAGCTGTACGGGCCGTACACCTGCACGCCCTCGTTGGGGAACATGCCGACCAATGTGGCAAGGAATGTGTCGGACTCCCCTGGGATTTGCTGGATTTCATCGGCTAAATCAGTCACGATGCGTCTGTGGATGTTCTCGACGATGATGCGACCCTGCATGTACACGGAAAGATCAATAAAATTATCAACATGGCAGACCTCATCACGTTAGAGTGGCGAAGGGCTATGATCCAGAATGACCTCCTGGACTTCGACAGGCACCCGTGTGCGTATATTCAGAAGATTGGGTAGATCGACGAAAGCCCGCCCAAGGATAAAGGCCGTAGAAGAATGTTGGAAGAAAGCCACTTGCCTTCTTACTGTGCGCTTCAACGACGACGGTGTATGATATTGGCTCTTCTGGCTGGTGACCGAGTAATCTCAACTCATATCGAGCGATGTAGACTGGCAGGAGGAGAGGATACGCTGCTATCTACCAAGCCAAGCTATTAATATGTCAGCTATACGACAGCAGGTTGCGTACCAGACGCTCCTTCACGCTTTCAGGATCAAATCGCAGGGGCTTCGGCTCGGTGGTAGTGGCTTCCTCGTAGGATAGAGACCGCGCGAGATCGATCAACTTGAACGGCGTGTGTGTGAATGGGAGGCACAAAATATCGGAACCATGCTGCGTTTCGAGATCCTCGGAAAATCGGACGTTATTGAACTGCGTGTACGCAGGGTGGGCAAGCGAGAGGGAGGAAATCGGCTCAAAGACGAAGCCTGGGGTCAGCGGCATCAGCTGGTCACCCAATCATGCTTTCTGGCAAGAAACTTGACCTGGCATGTATCTGGAGGATCTGTATAAAGGACGGAAGGCATCTCAATGGACAGAATAACGCACGATTGATACATGTATGTACCGTAGTTCTGAGGAAGCGTGATGCATGAACCAATGCTCCTTCCATAGGATTAGAACGCCCATACCTGCAAACGGTTCTGCCTTTCGTTCTGGATCCACACATCTGCATCGACATGGGCATCCACCATCCAGACGGGGAGATACACCGCCTGGATATGAACTGGCTGATGAGGGGTGAAGCCCAACCATGGCAGATATCTTGCAGCAATGGATGCTAGAAGATTGGTGCCCCCGCTGGCGATAGACATCCCAACGCTCCATCTTGTAATGACCTCTGCGGCGGAGAGCTGGAATGGTAGAGCTGCAGAGTGGTGGATCGTCTCAGCACAGGAACAATCTGCTTGTGAAGGAAGTCTAACCTCTGACTTTGGGCGGATATTTCGGGGAAGCAGTTGACAAGCACCGGTGGTTACATCTGGCCGCCGAATTCACCGCGCGACATACGCGATGTGAAAGCATGGCACTGCATGTAGTCCGTACCTGTAAAATTTCGGTCGACCACCACAACTTGGACACTTACAAATGGTGTAACGACACCCCGTTGACTAGGACGCCCGGTCGGACTCTAGAGACGAATTGAGCACACGAGCACAGTTGACTTGAGCGTCTTTCCGGAAGTCACGTGCACACGCTCGCTACGTGTCTCCGACTGTACCGCTCACTCTTGGTCTCTCCTTCCTCCAGCAATGGCTGCCTTTTCATTTTCATTCCTCCTTCTGTCGCTGCTTTGCCTTGCTGTGCTAGTTGATGCTGCTGATCTCTACAAGATTCTCGAGCGTTAGTTGAAGGCGCGCGCTCTATTGACCCAGTAAACCCGCTAACTGATACTGCTTTCCTTGTTTCTCTAGTATCCAAATCAGCTTCAGAGCAAGACATCAGAAAAGCGTACAAAGGACTCAGGTAACGCGTCCATGTAACATTGAACGCGTGTCTTTATCACTGAAACGATGTTTAGTCGCAAATATCATCCGGACAAGAATAAGGATCCAGGAGCGGAGGACAAATTCGTAGAGATTGCTCACGGTGAGAATCACTTGAATGTGATATCACGCACAATTCTCAACCTACGTGCGCAGCTTACGAAATTTTGTCCGACTCTACGGTATGGTTGTGTGTTGTGCCTACTGTGTCGTATACTGAGTTTGCTGTAGAAAAGACAAATATACGATCGGCAAGGAGAGGTAACTCTTCACCCACCTTATCTTCGAATCATCCACTGACACACTCACGACATATTCTCTTAGGAAGGCCTGAAAGCACACGAAGGCGGTCATCAGCACTATGCAAATCCATTTGACATCTTTCAGACCTTTTTTGGAGGTGGTTGTAAGTAGCTGCATTTGTCGGTTTGCTACTTTTTTCAACGTTTTCCACGTATAGCTGCCGGACAACAAGTACGACGAGGACCGACTTCGCTGAGCGAAATGGAAGTCAATTTAGCGGACATGTGCGCCACGTTCTTCTAAAAACACCAATCGATCTTCCTGACTCTCATCTGCAGATACAACGGAGCGAGCATAGATGTGCGTTCCCTCGTCGAGCGAGCCTACTATGCACTGACATCCTGTTCTCTTAGTTCATGATCAAGAAGCGCATCCTCTGTGACCACTGCCGAGGTACCGGCGCCGCCTCGTCGGCTGACATCCACACCTGCCCGGCTTGCAACGGCGCGGGCGTGCGGATCGTGCGGCAACAACTGTTCCCAGGTATGGTCACGCAGGCTCAGGTGACGTGCAGCGAATGTGGCGGGCGCGGGAGCACGATCACGCGAAAGTGCCCGCACTGTAACGGCGCGAAGATTCTCGACCACACGCAGCACTACACGCTCGAGGTGCCCCGCGGCGCGCCTGAGGGACACGAGGTCATGTTTGAGGGTGAAGGCGACGAGAGCCCCGACTGGGAGGCGGGGGATATCGTCCTGCGGGTGCGCAGCCGCAAGGACAAGGGCGGCTGGAGGCGCAAAGAGAGTGGACTGTATTGGAAGGAGACTATTGGCATCGAGGAGGTGCGTCTGCGCTGTCGCTCTCCCCGGTCGGCCACAGATGATCAACGAATCTGATACAGGCTCTGTTGGGCTTTGAGCGAAATCTCACACACCTCGACGGACACATCGTCCAACTGAAACGGCAAGGCGTCACACAACCGGGTATAATACAGGCATACATCACGTTGACCTCGGGCTGACCGATTCTGCTCAGGTTTCGTTCAGACCATGAAGGGCGAAGGTATGCCGATATTCGAGCGGGAAGCATTTGGCGATCTTTACGTCGAGTACAACGTCGTATTGCCGACAGCGATCTCTCCGGATGTGAAACATCGTAGGCGATCCGATGTTCTGGAGTTGGCAGAAAGTTGACATTGCCCCCGCAGGATTACTCCAAGCTTTCCATGTTTCTGCAGAGGACCATACGAAAGATGAGCTTTAGATTCTCGTCTCATAGATGGTATATAGGATCGTTACTAATAATCGTCAGTCTAAATTATCACTTTGGTTCTCCGTTCTCACAATATTGCCGTGTGCACTGCTGAGCTCCAAGTGCAGAGTTTACATCGGCCTATAGGGCTCAACGTATAGATTAGATAGCTTATACAGCCTTCGCATACCGGTAAGACCAAGCGAGAAATGTGTGCAGAAGATACATATGGCCAATGATACACTCATGCCTGCGGATACACCGTAAGTACCCAAGCTCAACAGACTCAGGTAGGGGACGTACTACGTAATTATATGACTTGTGATCGCTGCAGCGTTCAAGGTATTCACGCTGCAGTTTACAATTGAGCAAAGACGCCACCAGTCGTCAGCTACATTATATATAACTCACCTCTATGAGACCTTCGATTCGTTTCTTAATGCTCAGTGGATTCGGCTGGAAGCGGCTCGATAGTTGCCGTGTTGCCTCGTTGACGAGGTCGTTGTGTGTCATATGCCTGCGGTCCTTCATGATTCGCACAATGCAGGCCTGCAGAGAGGTATTTGTCAATCATACAATCTGAACGTCCCGAATCTCCGCGAGCGAACCTCTGTCTGATGCCGTCGCTCTTCTTCGATGCGATCCTTCGTCTCCTTCCTCTCGTCGGAGTTCTCCACCCGCGACGCGACTGTGCTGATCTTGATCTTCTGTAACGGTGCGTTGAAGTCTGCATTGAAGGAGAAAGAGTCGTCCAGATTGACGTCACGCCCTGGGGGGTGCTTCCTCAAAACCTTGTACTTCGCGCAGGCAAGAGACTGGAGGTTGCGCTGCAGCTCGGGATCTGGGATAGACGTCGCTGTCTTGATTTCCTGCGAATAGACAAATCAACACCGTTTGGCAGATCGATCAAGGCAATTATTACCTCGTATGTTAGGAATTCACCATCGCCCAAGTTCTCGAACAGGAGGAGGATAACCAATGCGAAGGTCGAAACATTTAAGTCGTGCTTTTTGGTGTTGAAGGATACCCGTACATCCGCATTGCCCAAGGACGGTTGAAAGGTAAGCCTTCGCCCTGAATGCCTAGACAAGTAGAATTGTTCGAAGGACTTCGTTGACCTGATCAACTGGTCCGGGAAAACACAGGACACGCCCGAGTAAGACATGGGCCAGAAGGTCGAAGTCATTACGGTGACCGAAATGTCAATGTCCGGAGCCTGCACAGACAACTTAGCTGATGGGATAAAATCAGATAGTAGACAACACGTACTGTCGTTCTTGAGAGATGGTCCTGATATGCTTGCATAGTATCTGCAGAGATCTTCATATCGTGGAACATGCCTTCCAACTTCTGCGTAAACTGGTAGCCACATTCGATTTTGAGCTTCGCAAGCATGCCGCGCTCAGCATCGTCGGAGACGGATCGTCCCAGCAGGAGACGCTTGGCGAGATGGCCTTTGTAGTACCGCTCGAAGACGTCCTTGTCTGTGAGATATCTGAAGACAGTGATGGTCTTGTCCAAAGTGATATCAACCTCTGTGTCCGTTTTCTGCGGAAAAGATAGTCCTGAGAACCGTCACAAACAAATATAACTTTTCACTTACTCCCTTGAGACCCTTCTTCAGGTTCTCATCAATGAACAAAGATATGAACTCCGGAGACTTCTCGTGCACGTTGATGAACGACTCAAATGCCTGAAGACAGCTTAATGAAGGTGATTTTGAAAGCTCCTACGTCGTACCTCGTTAGTACCACTTTCGAGATCCCTATCACTTCGGAATGACCGTGACCAAATGTTGTCGAACTTGTCTTTCAAGTCGAGGACATCTTGGACCCACTTCAAGGCAACCTGGAGTGTCTGAGCGCCAGTGTTCGTAGCACGAGCTTTACCCTTCCCCTTTCCTTTGGCGCCCTCGATTTCAGCATCAACGGATGGATCTTCCAACTCGGTACTCAAGCTAGCCGCATTGATGTCCTTGCCTCTTCGTACGATGGTCTCTCTCAAAGCCTTCTTAAGACATGGGAGGCCTTCGGGTACCATGATGAACAGACGGTAGAGACGCGCTAAATCGTCGAGTTTATCCGAGTCGATCATGACGTCCAACCCGGAGTTCGCCATAGCAATAATACCTGAAAGGTGGGGCTTGATGAGGTTGTTCTCCAATATTCGTCGCAGAGGAAGGCTTGTGTACGACGACAAGAAATGGTGTGCTCGTGATTCCTCGGAATCAAATCGACTCTCTACCTGTAGCAATCATTTGAGCTGGCATCACGTTGCTTTGCGAATGCTTACCCTCCTGAGATATTCGGGTGCATCGCAGGTCTCTAAGAGATCCTCCCCCTCTTTCCTGTAGAAAGATTCACTCTCTTTCAAAATACTAGGCTCGAGGTGGCGGTTGTATACCGGGGCCACTTCGTGCTCGTCATACAGCTGTAGAAGCACGTCCACACAGCCTTTCACTGCGGAGCGATTGATTACATACCCATCGCGCTCTGTCTGGATCTGATTCAGAACGGCGGAGATGATATGGTCCTCTATTGGAGGTCGGATGATGTGCTCTAGAAATAGAAGCAACCCGGCATCCCAAATTTCGGGAACATTGGCAGTCTTTGTATAGACACGATCCTAAAGTCGAGAGTGAACACTTGATTGAAGTACTACCGGTCACAAGGTGTACGCACCATATATTTGAGAACATCACGCAGTTTCGAAAGACTAGAAGTATGGTCATCCCACACCTTCCTCAAGGCCTTTAGGAATGTCTCCCATGCCTGGCTCTTCTGCACAGGGTCATCCGCAGTCACAGTAGGAAAGGTTGGTACAAGTTGCTCCTTTGCGAGCTTGTCCAGATTCTCGGCTATCAACTTGCATGTCCCTTTGTACAATGTTTCGCCGTGCTTGTACAGAACCATGTTGTAAGCAAAACGATGGTTCTCTTCATAGGACAGATTCTCAGCATGGTGCTTCTGAATCTCGACTATGTTGTGGGACAACTTTGACCAAGTCTCATCAATTGAGAAGTCCGGCCCATGCTTGCATATATGCAATTCAAAACATTGTCGCTGTATTTCAACAGTATGAAAACGTACCTTCTTTGCAGGTTTCTAACAGACAGTATGCAAACCAGTCAATACAATCAGTGAAACGAGCTGAAAGGTCTCACAATCCTAGGTTTTCCTCTCATTCGTGCTGCTAAGAACGACCCTCAGCCAGGAATTTTAACAAACCGAAAATAGTGCATACAGGTTGCCATCTTGCAGGGGAGAGTATGTCGGAGTGGAAGGTCAATATGCCTGGAAATTGTGGAACGCCATGAACGGGAGCGCGTAGCGTGCCCCCTTAGTGCTCCCGTATCACGTGCGCGACACTCGTGTGATCGAAAATGGAAGTTTCCGAGCTCAAGTTCACTGCATGCTGCCAAGTAGTACAATTTATTCGAGCGCCATCCAGTCTACAACTAATAGACATTACAGTAACGTTACCTACGTGGAAGTGAAAGATAGACATGCATCGGTACAAGGGAATCAGGCAATACAGCGAGGTGATGTCGGTCTTGGGATGATTGTGGTCGAAAGCGTAACGTGAAGTGTGTAACATACGACAACGTGAGTAGATTGTGGTTGTAGATGGGACGAAGGCAAAGCTGTATTATGAGACGAGAGCTTAGGAAATTATGAATGCAGGATTCAATGTCACCGAACGGAGCGAATAGCGTGCGTGATTGGCTATGAGCCTGCACGGGAGGCGCGCACGAAGTCCGTGAAGTACTTCCTGAAAGTTTTGGCGTCCAAGTCTCTCATCTTGGTCGCGAATTCAAGCGCGGTATCTCGTGGCCAATTCTGAGCAGGAAGGAAAACGTTGACGAAGAAGTCGAACGCCTCTTGCCCTCTCGTCTTCGACACAATCTGGAAGAAATTACATATTTCGTGAAGGACCTGCTCGAGGCTTAGATTGTGTCATTACCACCAACGCATAATCCATGTGCTCACCATAACTCCCTGCCCGTCCTTGACATCGAACCGCGGAGATGAAAGAATCGCAAATGCGGTCGGGATCAATCGCTCGTAGATGAAGCGTTCAAAACCAGGCAGTGCTGGTAGTGGTATCTGCGAGTCTCCGTCGGTGATCCGTTGTGTCCACGCCGTGACACAGCGACCAAGGAAGATGAACGCAGCCTTTTGCCCCCCCGGATCGGCCATGTCCTCAGTTAATCGTTGCATATCAGCCAGCAAACCTTCCAACTGGCCTTTGTTGCCTAGAAGAACATGTAAGACGGGTACGCATTGACAAAACGTACTACTCACGCTCTGAGGTAAAGATGCCGTGAAGCTTTGAAGACATGACGTTGTTCAAGAATGTAAGATAAGCCTTCTTGGTGTCAACGTGCACCACTTGGTCATCTGTCCCCGTCACTTGCTGAGATAAAAGACCATTGACATGTGCACTCAACGGCCCAATCAGCTGATCAAGTACGTCGAACATGTCCTGCTGTACAATGCCGTGAGACGTGGTTTTTCATTATCAAGGACGAAATGGGCACACCTGCAACTTGTGCATGAGAAGACTGATGAAGTTCATGAAATCGATCAGCTCCGAGGGCTCAAAGTGGGCAAGGAGGTTGGCCATCAAAGATGGAATGAGATGTGTCACACTAGGGCCAGTTGTAGCAAGGATGCGAGCGAATGCAAAACGTGTCTAATAAATATATCAACAATAACATGATAGAAGCACACGCGTAGCCACATACCGCATCTCGCACAACCTTGAACGTATTCATGGCCTCCAGAGATACGAGGATTGCTTGTGCCACCTCGGTGAACACGCCCAGAGGAGGTGAGACATATCCTTCAGGAACAGGGGAAGGATAATCTGGAAAGCCTTTGGCAATGTTTCCAAGGGCCATGATGATATGATGAACCTTCAGTATAGGCAAAACATCATTTGCACCTTTGATTGCTTGCAAATTGGTTGATAAATCCTCTAGCAAAGGCTTTACAATAGTTAGAAGTAGTGCCGTGGCCTGGTCAGGTGTTTTGTACAACAGCGACACAAGGGTACCCGCTGTTTCGAACAGGTAGAGCTGTGCATCAAATATCCCAGGATTCTTGACGGCTTCTGTAAGGAGGTCCTGTTGCTGAGGATCTTCCAGCTCAGGCAGCTCTACAATAATCACCAACAAGTCGCGCATGCCTTCGAGTAAGGATAGGGCCAGCTCGGGGCTGATATCGTTTCGATCGTCCTTGATGAAGCGATAGAATAAGTAGAAGACTCGTGAGCGGAGGCCTGTCTCGGAGTTATGGAGACCTCTGAAGGCGCAAGGTGCACCAGCATCAGTGTACCATGAAACACAACGAGGTTTCGCCTCGCTTACCTGGTATCCATCATGGCTTGGAGTGTGGACAAGATGCACTCCTTGCGGACCTTGAAAAAATCCACGTAACGCGCAGTGGTCTCAAAGAATTGCATAACAACAGTTTTATGAGGGTAGCCTGAGATCCCGGATTGTACGAGAGCGTAAAGCATCTCTCCGTGGCTTGTGAGAGGATACTCTGAGTAGTCCGTCTCCTTTCTCTTTTCCTTTGCGGTAGCAGGGGCTTGACAGAACGCAGCCCGGCCCTTACCTCCGGCTATAGATACCGGGTCAACGAACAGAAAGACGCGCCGAAACGAAACTCACTCTTGTTGATCTCGCCGAAGATATATACCAAATATACAGCAAGCTCCGCGTCATTCCACTCGATTGGCACGCCGTTTTGATACGCAGTCAATGTATTCAGAGCCAGAGTTCTCGTCGCCTCTGTTACCAGTGTCTGGTCTATTACGAAGGCTGAATCCATGAATGTTCGCAAATCCTTGCAGTACTAATGTCAATAGATAGACTCGCATCGGTTTCTGAGTAGAATCCTTACCTTGCGTAAATCCTCAAAAGCAGATTTATCGTCTTCATCCATGTCTTCAGGATCCGCATCCTTGTCCCACTTCAACTTCTCGAGGATCACAGCAAGTAATGAGGTTATGAATGAGCGCTTAGAGTCATCCAAAGGTTCTGCAGAAGTTTTCCGGATACGCTTATACTAGGCAGTTTCATACGTCAGCAGCGCGTAGTACTCAAAAGTGTGAAAACGTACGCTAGACAGGATAGTCTGCAACAGTGTGAAAATAGTCGAACATGTGTCGTCGTACGCATCTGCCATGAAGCGCAACATCACTGGTAAGATTTGATGCAGTAGCCTTGAAGCTTCAGACCGAACATCTGCGTTCGGACATTCCTGACAAGCAGTGAGCTATGCAGTTCGAAAGTCAACGCAGGGGATGACACTCACATCAGCCAATTTACACAATTCAAGGCCAAAAGCATTCAGGAGTTTTCCTAGAGCTTCGCGGTAAGACTCCTCGCCTTCATCAGCATCTTCGCCACGACTTGTCTGGTCCGCTTTCGTCTTTTCTTCAAGCGCATCAAGCACTTGACCAAGAGACAGGACTTTGATGAGCTGAAGTTTGTCTCCTGGCTCCTTGAGACCCTTCGAAACTATGCGGAGCAGTGCTGCGCATGTAGCCAAGCGGATAGGTAATGATGGATCAGAAAGGAGATTGAAGAGGAGAGGCACCGTTGTTGGCGTCACGGTCAAGTTGATATCGATCCAGCCTGTTTCACTCTGTGTTATCGGAACGAACAGGAGAAAAGTTTGTCCTTACCGACGTAGGATGCAAAGGTCCGGACGCCCCAATCTACCACTTCGACTGCATTGTCCAATTCCCGTTCTGAACTGGAAGCCACTGCCCCTTTCCGCAGCCTCGTCATCCTTTCCACTGCATCCGCAATGATAGTTAAGACAGCTTCATTGATGCGCCCTGCATCCCGCTCTCGTACTGCATCTCGAACACGTGCATCGCGGTTCTGCCGCGACATATTATATTGTCGTGCCGCTTTGACGATTTGATCTGCTACCTCACCAGATATCTCGAGAATGATGTGGAAGAAGAGAAGGGAGACGTGAGGGTTGAACGTAGACTCCGAGGTGGACTCTGCAGGCTGGACGAGAGTAAAGAAGTCGATGAAGAAGGTGGGCCACTGTTCGATGTATGTACACAAGAAGAACAATGTTAGTGTATGAGCGAACTTGTTGCGTAAAACTGGGCAGGGTCCTCAATATCGGTCAAAATGAGCGGTGTTCTATTACACTCACATGTCGCATCTGCCTCCGCAGAACCATAGATATACTCCGACTGAATATAAGATACGAGAGCTTGTTGCAAGGTCTGGAAGGAAACTTCGTCTAGTGGTTCGAATCTTGAGACGGAAGGGAAGATCTCGAGTCAACAGAGGTAACACGCTGGGCAGCACATGCACTCGCCTGTTCTCCAAGAAATCGTCTAAGACACGCAGTGCAAAAAATCGCGCTTGTGGAGGATACTTTCTGCCACCGTTGGGACCGACGTCAATGAATATGGCCAAAGCGAGCCTCCAGGTATTGGATACATTTTGTTGGATAGTCGATATATACTCGAGAGCTTGCTGGTGCAAAGCCCCCTGTAATGGATCAGACGCAATGAGTATCGCGTGTACAAACTGGCTGAGGTCCTGCTCCATATTTCGCACTGACAGTGCGTTTTGCGCCAGGTAGGATGAGGAGAAATGAGAACGGGCCAATTGCTTGACGGTGGCTTGACTCGCGATTATCTTTCTCGCCCACGTGAGCACGCCAATCGATCTCGATCCCTGTAAGTACGTAAGGAAGTTTGCGTTGGTTGAGTCGCAGCATCTTGACATTCTCGAGAGGGCATTACTGATACATCGTGGAATCGTAAAGATACATCGGTCAGAATATCATGAAGGCATCAGAACGTAGTGGCATGGTCAAGATATGTAATATCCCCAGAAAAAGGCGTGAACGAATCTGTCGAGATGTCCACGCGAACTCATACCCACACGCCACGAAGCTCAGGTAAAATACCAAGGTTTAGTTGCCATGTGTCGTCGTCATTTTCTGTGACCCATAGACCCCAGAATTTCGTGGAATTCCCTAGACAATCGACCCGTCTCATACCTTGACTCCATTCATACCCAGGCAGACTGGGTGTAATCATGCATCGCGTGTACATCGACCCCACCATTTTCTCGTAGTTTTGAGGCGAGCCCAATGCTGATATGTAGCTCACCTCGTCCTGTGAGAGACGGATTTGGAAGTACTCGTAGATTGCCATGACGATGTCCCTCACCGTCACAGCATCTCTGTTTTTAACAATGATGGGGCCCCAAAGATCGCTGACAACCCCAAGATCACAATAAATGTGAGCTCTCTGTACGGGAGGGTACGTTGCCTGATCATTCATCTTCGGTTTTAAATCAACAACGAGTTCGCGACCTGTGATGCGCTTTGCTGTTGAGGGGTGTTGGGTGACATCCCATCTCACATGAGGCATCGAGGGATTAGCGGGATTGGGTATGAGCCAAGGGCAGAGCACGATATGTCGGGTCGACAATATTGGAGTAAAAGTAGAAGATGGTGGCCAGGTTCCGGGCATCCAGCCGACCGGCGCTCTGCCAGGGAGCGGGAAACCGCCCGACAAAAGTGCTTGTGCGGCACTATCGAATGGTGTAGCCGGTAGTGTGCGCGGCACAACTGGTCCTGAGCCCCAAAATACCTGAGGAGGAATGTGCGGGTGAGGACAAGGATGGGGTACCCATCCGCCTCTTCCAGTCATCGCGGAATTGCAAGCAACAGAAGGGGTCTGGACACAGGGAAGTAGGTTCACATTTTGAGGCCCAGCGAATGCCACGCGAGGCATGATCTATCGAAGAGAAAGAATCCCAGTATGAGTGCGGTCCCGATGATGAACTTATCTGCGTACCATATGGAACGGAATACAAGCCGGGTGACCTTGAGACTGGTCATTATCACCTTCTGAATATTCCGACTCGGAGTCTCCAGCGGCCCGTCTTGGTGGAATACGGGGTGGGCCCCCAGAGGAGCCACCGGGCGACCTTCTCGACGGATGAGAGCGTAATGAACTGCAAGATGAGTTACAGGATGGGGTTCTGGATGTAGTCCCCGGAAGCATTTCGGGTGGAAGGGTAGGGAAATACCCTGATGAGACACTTGGAGGACTGGTCGGGCGAGAAGGAATGAATCTACGAGTACGAGACGAGCTGCCAACAGGCTGATTCTTTGCAGAAGTCCTCTGTGAACTGCTCGACGACGTCCTTGGAAGCATCGGCACGTTTCCCGCTATAACACTTCGAGAATGTGCCCCAGCAGTATCTCTCGGAGACATTGTACGTTGCGCAGCCGTAGTGTGAGAGTCACGTACAGTGCCTTCAACACGGTGATCGGGTGACACTTATATTCAGAGTTAGCAACATTGTTACTCATAAGAGACGAACAAACAAACATGTATATGTCATAGAGCTTGCTGCAGTTCTGGGTGGTGCTGGCGTTCTCGCAGGATGGGCCGTAGCCCGAACGTGATGCAAATGACTCACTCTGTCGTGAGCATCGTCATTGGCTAGTGCTAATTTCATCAGCAAAACTCGATACGCTGGGAACATACTGCTTTACCTGTGTACCTCAAGCAGTTCTCAGCAGTCGGAGGTGAGGGTGATGTGACGCGGATTGAAGGATCTACAGACGGCCGCGAGGAATGGCTGGAGTGCGGGAACAAGAAATCTCTATGACTTGAATGCGGTGATGCAGCATCCGTGCCACCAGAGCACTGTGATATGTCTGCACGACGGCGAAGTATTCCGTGCCCAGGGTTTGCATCTCGATGATGAGAAACATGGTGCTGATGTCCTTCAGCTTCTAGTAATGGACAATTCGAAGACGTTGTGGTAAAGTCTGTGTCGCTGCCGTAGTTTGGAGTGCTCGAACAATCGTATAGTATCTCGCGTCCAAGAGCACGTCCGAGTCGATGATCCGGAACACGGTTATTCAAGGGTTGTGGTGCGACTTCAGCAGTGTCTGGAATATGAGGCGCATCTGTTCGATTTCGAAGTATACTGTGGCCAGGATAGAACTCTCGATGGTGAGGAACATGGCGTGGGTAACTTTCAACATCTGCGGTATTCTCGTCATCGCCACTGTACATGGCGGTCTGATCCCGCGATACGGATTCGTCTTTTCGAAGGGATCTGAGCCAGCAAGAAGGCATGCCTAGCTCTATAAATGACGCGGACTGCAATTAGTGAGAAAAGGAGGCACGCGCAGCGCGCGTAAGACTGGAGGAAGGGTTAGAGTAAGTGAAGGGCTCCAAGTGCGCAGTCCTCGGTCAACGAGATGGTGTGTACTGCATAGTTGCACGGTCGACCTGCGTGATACTTTAAAGACACTATTTATGCAATACTGCGAGCGAGGGACCTACCTTAAGTACGGATACCGTCACGTCCACGCCAGAGACACACGGTTACCTGGAGACTTTTTGTATTCTATACCACCAGCAGGTATAGAAAGAGCAACGTCCATCGCATCACATCGACGAGCGTCGCCTGAAAACAAGACGGGTCTTAGCGAGAGTTGTGGGTCCGTGAGAAAAGCACGGATTAGTATGACCAAGTACGGTTGGCGTTGGACCAGCTGGCTTGCTCCGGACTATAGCTGCACATGTTGCCAAGCGACCTACGGAATATTCACCAACGAACCTCCACTGAGAACTCGTATGTGCAAACTTGGACTCAGAGCGCTTGTCACTATGGTCTTCACACGAAGGCGCCGCGCCCTTGTCCTGTTCTATATCTGGCAGGCGAAGTGGTTTGATGCAAGCTGTATAAGTTACTGTGTTTGGCATATATTGTACTCCTTAATATGCGGTATTTCCCGTCTTTACAAGTACTGTGGTGTATCCAACGCACCGTGGTCTGCCGCTGTGAGGAAGACTTTCCCTGAGAGTCGTCGCTTCCGCCTCCGGGCCTGTGACGTTCCTTAGTACATTATAAATAGAACCAGCCTGAAGCACCTGAAGATGTGTACAGCGATGTTCCAGGAATTCGAACAACGAATTGTGAAGTTCTGCTCATCTACGTGTGATCTATAACAATTCTCAATAATTATCGCACGGTGATTCGTGGGCTCTGCGTACTTTAACGAACGTCCGGGGTACCGGTTGGAGACGCGCTAAGCGGCTTACCGGCTATGGCTGCCAGTCGGGACATTTGCAAAATACATATACTAGATCGGATCCATCCTTTCACCTCAAGCACTCCAGCACGTGAAAAGTGCGACTTATTATTGCCACTAATCGTTGTACCTGGAACTTTCACTAAATTACGCACAAGTTACATCTATCGAGAAGATGCGGTCCAACACGCCTAGTAGCCCGAGAGTTCAATTGGTCAATTACAAACAGCCTAGGGATGCGAGTAGGAACTCACCGATTTACACAAAGTCCAAGACATATACATCACCGTTGTAAAGGCCCATACACAATCGACCGCTCACCTCGTCAAACGCAAGAGAATGACAAGTGTTCGGTGTTAACGGCAGCTGAGGATCAGGGGGAAGCAGCTCATCAACGACGGGCTTCCCGTCCACCAACCGATACCGCATCACCCGCTTTTGTTGAATCTCCCAGTTGTGCTCTAACCACACCGCCCGACGCCCAGTCGCACCCACCTGGGCAAGCTGCGCAGATACGTCTGGGGGAGTGAGGAAGCATTTTGACACGACAGGTAAACGTGGTCCATCCACGTTAAGAGGGAAGCGAAAGACTTGGCCGACACCGGGATGTCCCAAAGTAGGATCAAAAACCATTACAGACAGGAAGGAATAGGATGTAGAGGAAGTGCAGGCGATGTCGGAAACCCGACGCAGTCCCTGACTGAGCGGTTCGGCATATTCAGCGAGAACGGCCCCTAAATCCAAGTATTCGTACTCCAGAGCTTGTCCGGACAACGAATCTTGCATATTGTCCGGCACTGTGAGTACTTGATGTAACAGTTCCGGCAGCCGGTAGATACGAAGCACGAGCGAATATTCTATCTTGCCAAGCAGGAGAATATGCCCTTCATGCAAATTCACAGATAATGAAGAGAATGGCTGGGGTGTTTTATGAGCATGTCAAAGAACGGCCAGCGTATTGGACTTGCCTGTACGAATCGAGGATGTACATAGCACGGCGTATCTGAATCCGAGTTAGCAAGCAGAATCTGAAGTGGATTTTCGCCAGCAATTCCGCCTTGCAGAAACACCACGGTGACAGCTAGCACGTTTCCGCAGGTGGCGATCAGATGAATCATTGGACGGATACGGATAGCACGCGGATGACAAGGCACATCCAATCTCTTCGGTGCAGACCGCAGAGAATTCCTCATGTATGAAAGTTCTTCACGCTGCAGACGTAGCAAGTGGATCTCGATATAACTAGAAGTATTCTTCGGTATGGTCTGTTGTGCGCTACTGACGCCTCAGCCAACTTGACTGAGTATTGGACCGCAGCGCTGCTCACCGTGACTCGTCGTGCACTCCTATCACCAAGTAGGCCAGAACACCCCCCTCCTGCACTGCCATGGAGACGCTTCGATATGTACCAGGGAAATCAATGCGTGTAATTCGACGTGGATCCTCCACATCTTGTAATGACCACAGCGTGACGCATGAGTTAAAACGCCATCGGTGCGAGCGACGCTGTGCCGTCAAGAGCCACTTTCCTCCCGGAAGAAGTTGCATCTCGTCGACATATGGCTCTTCCGAGGAGGACACTATTGCTTTAGCAGCCAGACGAGGAGTGGATCGTCTCCAGTTTGCCTCAAGACGAAGAGCCCTAATCGCGAGTCTTTGCAATTCGTCGCTCGGAAGCGAGAGCGGCCGAACTCCGAGGGGAAGATCCAAGGGTTGATGATTGTCTGCGCTTATTTTGTGCCAAAGATAGTCCGCAGAAGCTAATACGTGTAGGACGCGACATGTCTGTGCGAAACGGATGATCGTACAATCAGATCATTGCTGAAGGGATAAAAGTGCGTTGTGCGCACCTGCTTGAGCGATAGGACGTCTTTTACGGAGAGATATGTCGCTATTTCGAGCAGAAGGTCGTGAGGAAGGTCGGTGAGAGTCATGAGTATCACGGTAGCTGAAACGGAGAGCTCGAACATGCTGCAGGCGAGTCGAGTCATGACAGCGGGCGTGCTTTGATAAGATAAGATAAACGCTTGCTACGGTCCGGCAACTCGGCGTCTCCCTCTTGCATATAAGGTGGCCTGGCGGCCTCCTCACCCCTTTCTACAGGTCATACAACTCACATACAAGTCTTCCCATCATCTCTCCAACCATGGACACACTCGATCCCAGTAATCTGTCTGAGCTCGAGAGCTTGTCTGACTCGGATTGGTTAGATATCAGCAGCAGGGCATCCGGAGATACCGACTCCGTTACTGGTTTCGACGACAGCGATCGCGAAGATGTCGACAACAGACCGTCCTCCCGGAGGTCTTTCAGCAGCATCGATAGTTCTCGCGATGGCGATGTGCAAGGTTGGGAAGGCTTGGCCGAAGACGGCTTTGATGAATCTCCCCCAGGAGAGTGTTTGCTACATGTCGACACCGTATCGCTCTCCTCTCGATTGGCAGCGCTCTCGAGTGCTTCGGTGCCTTTCCACAAGGACGATGAAGACCCCGAGGAGGAGCAGCGCGTCAAGGATGCACTCGATCAGAGCATGATGAGCACCCTCAGCTCGTCGCGTTCCAATTCTCTGAATGCGTCTGTGCAGACCTCAATTGTCCATTCTCGTGATCTCAGACTTTCCTTCCCTGATCCACTCACAAGTTCGTGTGATGAACATATGAATACGTCGTACGAAGACGTGTCGGTCCCATCGGATCCAGTTACGACCGCCCCCGACGCTGAAGCCGACACACTGCTTCCATCTGTCACGGAACTTATCGCTACCACTTTGGCGCCTTCTGCTGCGGATCCGGGTTCAGTCGCTATACCCGAGGTCCCTCAGGAAGACGTGTTCGAAGCTGGACAAGCCAAGACGAGCCCTGATTTCTACGTCGTTTTGTACGGCGTCTCACCCACAACGAAGTGGTCTCTAGTCGATAAACTTCTTGAGAAGATTGCTCATGGCACGTCTATGACTTTGTCGTCCGATTTTATGGAGCAGGACAATGCGTTTCCTCATGTTTCATTTGTGCCTCGTGGAGAGTCACGAGAGAAGCGTGTCGTCTCTATTGTTGACCGCACAGACTTGCTCAAGGGCGGCGACAATGTAGGTGTTTGTCTCCTCTTGTGCTGGGAACTAACTTCAACCCCTTCCAGTCGAGTTATGTTTCCTTAGATCGGCCATCCTTGGCGATTGTGTTCCTTCCTGCTACTGTTCTGAATCTCCCGGAGCATACGCTCTACCTCCCCATGTTAGCGCAGAGTTTCAGCGTCGTCGATCTGCCATACTGTCCAGATCATCTCCTCGACGCTGAGCAACAGTGGGAGACTTGTGGAATACCTCACAGCAAGGTCGTGCGTTTGGCCCGCGGTTCTTCGTCGGTCGTTGAGCCCGACGAAGTGGAACGTGCGAGGCCATTGCAAGTTGCTCGCGCGTTGCGACCCGTTTTAGCTATGGAAGTCAGTACCTCAATGCAGAGACTGCGTTCTGCACATGCGTTGACTATGTAAGTGGCAAAGCATTGTTTAGTTTTGCCATGGGCTAAAACCCCTCTCCAGTTTTGCGGTCTTGTCTATTGTCCTTGGATGCGTGATCAAGGGATCGCTTACACAGTCTACTGCGACATATCTTCCACAGCAGCAGCAGACTTCCTCACTTTGGGGTCTCCTCCGCCCGCCCACTGCGCCAGTCACGTCATCATCTCCGGCAAATCATTCGAATGCCCTTGCCTCATCATCGCTGAAGGATTTTGCCCTGGCGGTCCTTCCTCCTGCTCCCTCAGTCGCTACAACTTCCGCCTCGCGATTGTCTTCCACGGCGACTGGAGTAGCCAACCACGCAGTGCTCACGGGCGCGCCTTCCGAATGCAATTGCGGTTGCGGTCTCATTACTTGGCCTGGGAAATACGAGTTATCCAATGAGTTGGCACTTCGGCCTACGCCCTCTGTCCCCTCTTTGAGGGCAGAGGAGCGCAGCAAAGTCGGCCTCTCCTTCATGTCTACCCAGCCACAGGGTAAAGGCAAAGGGAGAATTCCAGCGGATGGATCATTGTACGAGTTGAGTACGCGGATCGCTGGTGCGCTCTCGGAATACTTCGATATCGGAACTGTCGTGGCGGTCGTACACAAAGAATTCCAGGACATTTTCGACGCGCTGGATGAACTTGTGGACGCAATCAGGCGGCAGACAGCGTCAGCTTGGGATCAGTCGAGAGGGATCGTGCGGTCGCTGCAAGAGCAGATGGAGCAGAGGCATGTGCGGGCACGCAACCGGGCTAGAGAGCTCAAGGATATGGGTGGGCGGCTGATGTCGACGGTCGGTGATCATGTTCGCGAGCGGACGGGGTTGGCGAAGAAGACTGCGCGGGCCCTGCGCGATAGCGTTGTTGCAATGGACACGTGGAAGACTGCGCGGGAACGCAGGATTGAAGCGATGAAAGTGAGGAAGATGGGTAGGGAGCGACGACTGCAGCGACAGGGGAGAATGCGTCGTGCCCTGAAGCACTAATGGACGTTGGTCGTGCGGACCACACTATGGTACGTCATTGTCTTTCCACTGTGTACACTGGGTGGCACTATTTCCCTCTAATACGACAGGCTCGGTGTACAATTGTAATGTTGTCCCTCCTATGTTCAAATTGGTGTAAATTACATGCATATATGTTATGTTCTCTTCATTCTTCTTTGACGGGAGTCCAGTCCTCACGAACGACACACAACTCATTCGTAATGATCTGGATACGTACGTGCTGCATCAGAGAATGGGGGCTATATTCCGTCAGCGGAGGCGGGTAATAGTACTTATTACGAGTTCGTAGATTATCATTACAGTGTGCAAGCTGAAGTAACAGTGTAATATGCCGACTGAGTACTACGAACAGACAATGCACTATCTCTTTGTCACAGTAATATATGGTCTGAGACCGCAACGCGCGGTGTCAATCTTCACTGCGACCTCGTCACCGAGCGGGCAATTGTCAGATTTATCCAGACCCACCAGAATCGCCCTTAGACCAAGCGCAGGTATGTCCAAGTTAATCTGATCAGATGCGAGGTGGCGGTTATGGATCATTGTCCCAATTATCCGACCAACCAGCGATCGCAGTGGATCGGGCCGGTCCAAGTTCCTCGCATCATCACCGGCCATCCATCTCTGAATAAATGACACGGCCCAGAAGTTCTGCTGAAGCACAGCAGCCCTCTTCATACGGTCCTCGCCATAGGTGAGCCATTTGATGAATTCTAACAGCCATTGTTCGGTGAAAGGGCTACCCGCTGAAGAACCGGAGTTTACGAGAGTGTGCTTGATCTGCCAGTGAGCCACCATATCGGAGAAACGACGTAGCGGAGATGTGACACGTAGGTAACCGTCGCTGGCAGGAATACCAAGGATGCCATGGGGGCCGGGTGTGAGCTGGTACCATGAAGATGGGGTAACTGTGCGGAAACGGAGTACATCTGCGCCATTGACATATCCGGCAGAATCTCGAGAAGCAAGCAACTGCTCGACCCCGCCTTCAACCTCCGTTTGAAAAGTCCCAACCGCTCGACGAAGACCGAGAAGCCCCCGATCTCTAAAGAAACATGAAGCAACACGACTTGCTGCTTTCATGAATTCAGATACCATGCCTCTGGAGCCACTATCTTGTGCCAGAGTTTCCGTCACAGAGTATATGACTTCTGGGAAGCCTCGAAAAACGGATGGACTAGAGAAACCAGCGGTTCTGGAAGGTAAAGGCTTGGAGGGCAAGAACATTTCCACTTTATTTCTCGAGTAGGCTATCGCACCGTGTTTGATGCGATCCGCCAAGATACGCCCAGCAACGTTTTTGAGAGCGGTCAGATCTTTCAAAATTGCAATATCGATAGGCGAAGTATCTCGTAGACGAATGGATGTTGGACGGTTGCCGAAGGGATAATGCGATGATGAACCAGAATGACCCATGGCGGCATCGACGTCGGCGTACGTGAGAGTGGTCACATTTTTTACCAGACCAGCTCTCACCGCGTAGTCGATAATACGTCCAGCCTCATTGACCTTCAAGCTGAAGGTCAAAGTTGGTTGAGACATCCCATTTTTTTGGCGAGAACCCAAGCTGCACTGATCGATGAGCGGATGGCGGGGTAGCATAGGGATAGTTCGATCGACCCAATATGCAGTTCCCACCTTTCTGAGTGCGTGGCGCGCCCAAATGTGAGTCGGTGGTATAACCGACGTGGGATCTGCGACGTGAACATGTATCCATGCATGTTCTGGTTGTGAAGGCACGCTCTCAATCGAGATGCCGTCGTCAAGTTCCTCCGCAATCGCGTCGTCGATAACATAGACCGGTAGGTCACCAAAGTCATGCCGAATGGACTCAGCGATATCGTGAGGGTATACATCCTCCGGTCCTAGCGGCTGAGCAGATTGGGGACGCATGACTAGTGAAGGAGTCTTCCCGCCCGGCTTGTCCTTTGGCATCCGTAGTGGAGGGGTCTCAAGAGTATCGTGATAATCTCCCCGCGTAATGACATCCTCCCAAGGAGGAAGGACACCTATCTCGGACAAGAACTTGGAGCACATCGCATCGTCTATGTCTCCCGTATACAGATCAATCCTCTTGAGAATATCAGATTGGGCCAGTTGGTATGGATCTTCCTGTATCGTTCGTCTGGAACGATTAGCGTGCTGGAAATATCGAATGAAGAGGCGATCATCGGGGGTGAACTCCATGCTCGTATCGAGCTGCTCGGAGGGAGGCTCGGTCCAGCTTACGAGGGTTACTGCTCGCGATGCTAGAATTTTCCGCTTTGCCTTCCCGATGAACGCAAGTAAGCGAGGATCCCGACGCAATACCATTGTGTCCACAAGGTTGAGATCGGCCAAATGATGTCGAGGTCGGACCCAAAAAGACTGCTTGGAGGAAAAATTCCTGGATTCAGCAACGAAGTGTTTGTGTTGCTTGAAAAGGTGCTTGTGGACAACAAACTTTGTCATCAGCGGAATCGGATTGGAATAAGGATCAACCATCCTCGCAACTTCATTTTCTGTAACTTGGGACCAAGCATTTGGATCTTCAGCACAGCATTTCTCGTAAAGGGGCACCAGCGAATGAGAAAGGACGTTAGTCTTGCGTTCGAGCGCCACCTCGAAGCCTCGTAGTCGTTTGAGGGCATGCACACGAGCGGCAAGCTGATGCTCGTCCTGGGCATCAATTTCTCGCCCACATCGCTCGACGAGATCCTGGTCCATGAAGGAAGAGATGGCAAACATGATGTCCATGTCCGTATGAGGCCAAAGTTCTCCCGTCACGGACAGAGAATAATAAATAAATGCCGTGTCAAGAAAGCTACCATAGAGAACTATAGCATGAGAAACGATGTCGTTCCTACGCAGGGTGACTTCAGACATCGCATGACTCTGGAAATCCACAGCATGCGTGGCTCACCTGCGTATCTCGATCAACGTACCCGGCTCAAACGTTTTACTCGGCTGGCTCTCGAACTCTTCCAAGTACGTCGAATCGCTAAAGCTTGGTGCCGAGAGAAACAGCTCCTTCTCCATCGAAGACCCGACAAGAGGATGCTTCTTGCTCGAGAGTGAAGCAGCGAGTTGCTTTGCCTCGCCACCATAACCCTGCGTGGTCTTCCATCCTTTCTTTCCGTCGAGATTTGATTTTCCTATGAGGCGCTTTGTCCAATGCTCGACCACTTCGAAATCGTCGTGCGGAAGGGCTGCAGGCGCGCTGCGTTTGGGAATGGAGTAACTATAACGACGTGCAACGCCGACATCTGAGAGATGAACATGTTGGTTTGAAGTAGCTCTCCAGGCAGCGCGCTCAGCGAGGGAGTGGGCTCCGTGTCGGTGCATGGCACTGACAGGCGAATTCGAAAAGTCGATCCGTCCTACTCCCCCGTAACTCGCTTAGCTCCGATCCCGCCGGAGGCCATTTTCGGGGGTTTCGCACTCAAGCTCCCGGTTTCGGGGGAAAATGGGATCGAAATGGGTTTCCGCCCGGTTTCAAAACGAATTTTCGCCGGAAAATCCTTCCAAGGTCTCAGGAAATTTCCTCTCAGGAACAAATTTTCGGGGGTTTCGCACTGAACCTCGAGCCAAAGAGGACAATTTCGGTGATGTTCTGCACATAAGTTGTACCGGTTTTTCGACCACTTTCGGGGGGCCGAGATCGGAGGTCCGGCCTGCGGCGGGCCCAATTTCGGGGATTCAGGCATCGGGGCCTAGCTCATAGGGGATTGCGTTCGATCTCAGTTTTTCGCGTTCATCACGTGTCGAGATGTGTTTACTTCTCGAGTCCCGTGTATGATAACCTGAATCTCCGAACCTCGAAGTTCTCTGGTCAATTCCCCCGTTAACACCATCCCTACGCGCCTGCTGTCGATATGTATAAACGTGTGGAGAAACGGCTCAAGAAACACCAAAAAGAGGAGGAATTAGGGTTGAATGATGAGATGAAAGAGGTTCTCGGTATGCACGACACAGACTCAGATGAATCGTCGTCGGGAGAGTCACACGGTGGAGACAGCGACGGTGATGACTTCGCTGAGGATACAGAGGGTATTGCGGACGGACACGAGGACGAGGATGATTTGGAGGGTGAACAGGACACGGACGATGATCTGGAGGAAGACGACGAGCCGCCCATGTCTATTGCTAAGGCCGTCGTTGATCCTATTTACACCATCTCCCTCGAGCCTAAGGTGCAGGCGTGTCTCGTGTGTCCGGGGAAGTTGCTGAAGAATAGAGCCATGACTGAGATCCATAGAAAATCACACGTACGTTCACACTATTCCCCCCTTCTACCTGCCCATGACGAGGACACAGACGCATATTCGGCGCCACAGTCGTTTCATCGCCAAAGCTGGCAAAGCAGACTCTGCGGATGACCCACGAAGTCTGCTACACGCCTCAGTGCAAGCAAACGGAAATGGGCCAGAAGGGGAACTCTCAAGACGCGCTCAGAAACGGGCACGTACACGTTGCACTCGGACGCGGAGTTCGTAACTGACTTATCCACCCAGAAACTCAAACAGAGTGTCATCAGAGCGAAGCGTGAAAAGCAAAAAGTGATGCGTGCGAAGGCGAAGGCACACAAGGACAAGAAGGCTGCATCGGCAGCAACTATACCCCGGGAGTCTACTTCCCCCAAGCCTCAGAAGAAGAAACGGAAAACAGAGGGCGGCGCCGTCACGCAGGACATTTTGCACATCCAGCCTACAGTGCAGCCGAAAGTCAAGACGCAGATCACAGTACAGAAGATATCACGAGAGATGCAGCCAGTGGCGAAGGCTCCGCCCGGGAAAAGGGGCACAGAGAGAAACGACATCTCCAACTCCCCATCCAAGCGGAGAGAGGATGGAAAGCAGTACGAGAAGTCGCGGAATAAGACGGTGGGTGTGAAACGAAAAAGGCCTCGCAGTGATGTTTGACGGATGGAATTCCCGTTCGCTCTTGTGGTGGATATTCTCATTGCTTTTGCTGAGTGTGCCAGAACGCTCCACACGGTCAGGGAGATGTAATGAATGAATATCCAAGACGAAAAGCGACAATAAATATGACAACCCCGGCTATCTCAAGCTCTGCAGCACTCGCTCCGTCGTCTCCAGGACCTGATGTCAATTATGTTAGGCAACCACTTGTAGAGAGACAAGCTCCGTACCTGGTGGATATCTGGTCTCTCCTGTGGATTTACTTCGAGCATGCTGTCGATGAGGTTCTTGAGTCCTTGGGAGTACGCAGAGCTAGGATGTTTGTACTGCGCATTCATAACTGCCATGGCTATTGAACCACCTTGTTCGGTCGTCTGCAGGTTCTCGAATGGTGAATGCGAGTATGCTAGGGCAAAGAGAGTGCATCCGAGAGACTGCGAAGCACGGCGTTAGTGTGGTTTCCAGACGACCAGCCGAAGTTCTCAGTAATTGAACGTACCCAAATATCCGTTTTCTCATCCAGCGTTATCCCCGTTTTGACATCAAAAAGCTCCGGTGCTCGGTACGCCATGGTACTCTGCTCAGCGGCGATATCCTATACCAGACGTCAGGATATCCTCGACAGCTTGCATAGACGAAGCTTACGGACCTGCTGTAGCAGCGCCTGAGAGCGATTCTCCACCTTGATCCTGGCTTTCATCGCGCTGCCAAAGTCCATCAAGATCGGCGTACCGTCATTCGCGATCATGACATTTCTGCATGTGAAGACGGATGTCAGCTGAGAAGTTAGTAAGTTGCACAGGGACGTACCCAGGCTTCAGATCACGGTGAGCGTACGGCACAAGTTCCGTCTGCCCGGACGTCTCATTATTGTTCTGCTGTATCCTATTCAGCTCCTCATCGCCGTCGAATATAGTCTCGTGCTCCCCCGACGGTCTGTGTCTCGACATGAGAGGCACCGCAGACCCAGATCCTGGACTGTTGTAGGAATATCCACCATCGCCATCACCCTCAGGATGCGGGAACATGTCTTCCTCGTCCTCAGAGTGACGACCCGTATTTCGCTGCGCTGATGAGGACTGGTTCTCGCGCGACGGAAAATGTTCGTTCTTCGAACCGACGGGTGCACGGTAGTCGTGCATAGCGCGGACAGCTTCACATGTGCCCTTGAATAGACGGAGCATCTCTTGTTCGGAGAAGTGAGTGCCGTTGATGGAATTGGCATTGATAGCGTCTTGTAGGTTGCCCCGCTTTCGTTTCGAGATATTGTCAGGTGCCATATTGAACAAATGCAAAATTCGCATACCTTGTACAGAGGGAGGAAGAGGTAAACTATCTGGCCGTCACCATTGGGATCCTGAACAACGGCAGAGTCCTATAGCATGCAGGTCAGGCTAGAACAAAAACAGATAAAGAACGCGTATACCAGAATGCGAATGATGTTTGGGTGCCTGCAGCGAACCGCGAATTATGGGCGGTGCAAGGTGAAGGGTGTGCAGCGGGACTCACTTGAACCGCCTGTACGCCTCCACCTCCCGCATGGCTTGCCTCACATCTTCATGACCGCTGGGACACCGGATCTTCTTCAACGCGAATTGTCTCTGCATGCCATGTTTTCGTCAATGACCGAGGCTCAACCAGACAGACACGACATGACGCACCCCGCTGTGCTCATCCTGCGCAAGGTAGACGAACGAGAACCCTCCCTCTCCAAGGACCTTGACGATTTTGACTGGAAATCGAGCGTTACAGCATGAGTACACAATATTCCGAGAGATACGAACATGTGCGACCATTGATTTTGACTTTGGCGGACTGCTGGCATATACATGACGAGAGCGCCCAGAATGCGTCCTTGATCTGGTATTTCAAGTTGTCAAAACCGCTCTGCAGCTGAGGATATTGCAGAGCCATTAAGAAGGCAGAACAGCGGGTATGCGAGTGTAGGAAGAAACAAAGCCAAGATCCGAAACAGCACTGTCACCGTTCAGAAGTTGTTAGGTGCTGTGCATGTAGCAGATCTGAGATTGGGCGCGTACACGATCAGCATCGGGTTCTTCCGAGGCTCTCCAAGTTCGCTCGCATCAAGCTCGCATACTCCTGGAGTCCAACTTCATCGCGGAGTCCGTAGGTTTGGTTCAAAACATCATGAATTTGAAGCTGTGCTTTACCGCTAGTAGACCTGTCGGTCTGTGAAAGATATATTTTAGCCCGTTCGGTGTTGCTATCGCTCCATCCCAAACACCCCAGTGACTTATCCGCCGAGTCTACTACGTTCCTGTATCCGACGAGTCATCACGGGTCGTCTCACGTCCACTTCATAAATTCTGGAATTTTTGAGGCGTTGCGTGCCCATGTCGAAGACACCCGAGCTTAAAGAATTATTATGATGCCACTACCAGTCTCCACTAACGCTCGGGAAGTCGACGAGTGTCGCACATTCAATGTCGGAGGCGCGCTACCGCGCACATTTCATCACTATGGCACACGGCCCTCAAGCAACGAAGTCGGATATGGCGGCGGGGTTGTGAAGCAAATTTACGTTCCACCGTCTTGAATCTTGATTTAGTACGTAGTAGTATTATACGTTACTTGATCAAGATCGACAGCTTCTGTTTTCTTATAGGGTCTGACGGTGAATGGGGCACCGGTACTGGACCCATTCAGAGTATCCAGCATTTGAACAGACCACCTCCTACAATATAAAATAAGAACAAACATATGCATGGTCTGCTCTGAATTCCAACGTGTAAGGTGTACAGGGACTAAAGTAACGCACGGCCGAGGATCATGCTTCCAAGAATAGTGATGCATAAGTTATAGCCTGTATGATGGTTCCATGCGCCAGAACTTAGATGGTGGACCGCCATTATGCACCACAGCATTAATCTTCGACACCCATCTCCATATCCCTCTTCGCCCTGCGCAGCGTCGCCCGTTCCTCTTCAGACAGGCAGTACCATCCCTCCACGCTCTCCTCCAGTTCCATTTCCCACTTCTCCTCTAGCTCCAGCTGTTTCTTCGTCTTCTTTGGTGGTGGAGGACGAGGAAGTGGCGGGGGAGGTGTACGCCGATTTGCATGGAGCGGCGCGATACGTTTGAGCAAATTCTTGGAGGACTTCGCGTATGGCGAATAAGTAGGGCGAGGGGAAGCGAAGGGCGACCCGGGGAGCGAGTTGACCTTGCGAATGAGCTCGGACATTGGTGTCGATTTCTTTAACCCGATCGAATACGCGCGTGACGAGCTCGAAAACCTAGATGGCGGAGGTGGAGGTAGCATCGACGCAGAGCCGCTTGGTTCAAGATTTTCCTATGCAAGAATGAGACACAGTTTTCAGAGATATATAACAACCTTTCTCACCTTGCTCTTGTCGCTCTCACTGTCTTGCTCCTCCGGGTCTTTCCCGTTGGTCTTTCCGGTACCAATAATCTTGCCTGGCTCCTTCCGACGGGCCATGGCGCTGCGGGAACCTGCAGCTACTTCTTCTTCCTCACCGTCTGACAGAACGATGGCTCGTTTCTTCCCTTTGCTCTTGCTGCTAGCTGGCGTTGACTCACTGCTGTTGTCCGTTGTCCCGTTCGACGTGGAGGTACTCTTTGATGTCTGTAGCGGTGAGTCCTGCGCTTCCTTCACGCCGCTCAAATCTACAATGTCCTGGCCTTCGATCCCCGCTCGGAATGGGTTCCGTTCCAAATTATCGTCGACCGACCCTCCACTGGTGGAAGCAGACGTACGACCAGAATTCGCAGCCTTCTGAGGCACGTCTTTCGGTGGAGGCATCAACAGTGTGTCCCGCTCTTCGTCCGAATCATCAATGAACTCCTTGCTGGTCGGCGCCTTTGCCTTCTCTTTGCCCTTACTGGTGCTCGATTTTCGCGCCTTGCTTGCGCCCTCCACCTGCTTCTCCACGGCCACCTTCTTGCCCTTCTTCTTTGCTGGCGCCTTGCGCTTCGGATTTGGCGGTGCGTCGCCATCCCAGTCATCGTCGTCGTTGTCTGCCGCCTTCTTGCGTGCCTTCAGCGCGGGTTCTTGGGCCATGTTCCATTCGTCGTCATCGTCATCTCTGGCTTTCTTCCGCGCCTTCGATTTGCTCTTTGTGGGTGCTTCGACCGCGCCACTGTCATTATTTGCCTCGTCCTTCCGACCCTTTGTCTTTGCTTTCGGCTTCGCTCCACCATCGTCGGGGTTCGTCGCACCCGAGACACCCTTCGAAGAAGACAGCGACTCGATTCTGCCATGGGGTACGGGCACTGGTGGTGACGAAGACGAACCCGCGAAGAACGCAGGGGGAGGAAGCGGAGGCTCATCCTGCAGGTTGTGGGCATCCAGATGCATTGTGTCGTCTTCGATGTCTGGCAGCGGCGCAGCGGGTTTGCGCTTGCGCACCCGGCTAGGCCTCGGCAGCGGAGACGACGGCGGCGTGTCATTGTTACGGGCCGCCGCAAGGTCCGACGGTGGGGATACCGGAGGCGCCGAAGCCGTAGACGGCGGGGGCGGATCGGACGGCGGCAGCTGGGAGCCGAGGTCGAACAAGATATCGGGAGAGAGGACGGGGAGCGGTGGGGGGTCGGACTCTTCTGTGGGCGGGTGGGATGTTTTGGCGCGCTTTCTCGGAGGCGGCGACTTTCGCGGCTTGGACTTGCTGGGCTTGAGCGGTGGAAGAAGAGACAGCTCATCATCTGCGTCTGAAGAGAGCTCGATGACGTCGTCAATCTGTGGAGGAGCAGGCTGTTTCCCCGTCGCCTTTGCCTGACGTACGCGCGACCGCATTTTGGCGACTTCGGCAATGTCTTGTGAGTACACCTCTATGATCTCGGTAGACATATCAAGTGCCTTTCTCTTTGCGCTAGACGATGCTGATCCTGTAGACACCCTGCCTTTGTTCGACGAAGATGCAGTTTGAATATCTGATGATGATGCAGGCGGTGCTGAGCCAGTCGACGTATCAATGGCAGATGGCGCATCGCTAGGTGTGCCGTTACTGCCTACCACGCCTGGGGCACCCTTGTATGCGGGCTTGGGCTTAGGTCTGGGGCGGTTTGAGCTGGTGGACTTGGAAGCCGCGTTGACGGAAGGAGTAGATGGCTTGGATATCGAGGAGCTGGAGGCAACAGTAGTGCGGGATATATTAGCATCATGAGTAAAGGCAGAGATCTCGCTCGCTTCGCGATGGAGCGTGCTGGCAGTTTGAATGGATGACGCTAGCAGACGTGTCAGATAAATAGAAACAATCGCGATGCATTTCAGAATGCAATAAATGGAGTACAAAAGACAAAGACTCACGTGCATGTACTCCCGCTTGTCCGCCGGTCTTCTCAACAGGCTCTAACATCATGGAATCCTCTTCCTCGCTGTCTGCTATCACTTCGTCATCCGATCTCGGCATCTTCAGCCACAAGAAATATCAAGAAATTATTTGCAAGGTGTATGGCACCACAAATTGAGGTGGGAGTCGGAAAGTGCTCGATAACGAAGTCAAGTCACAAGTAACGCAAGTGGCCAAGCGCCGGACGCGTTTACACGCCAGCACGTGACCGTGCCGCATGGTTACCGCATCCGCCCGGCCTACGTCACATCTTACTGTACACTCCTGAGTCTTGCTCAGCCTCAGGAGGTTAACGTTAATCCATTACCACCATGTCCCCACCATTCACCAAACCTCACATTGAGTCCAGTCCAAAGCGCATTCGTGTGCTCTTCGCGGGTCAGTATATCGTGGACACCCGGCAAGCCAAGCTAGTGTGAGTATGCCCTCGCCAGTCCAGCTGTCATTGCCGACTGTACCCAGATGGTTGAATCCGTACTACCCGGTCTACTGCTTCGCCACCGCGGATGTCCCAGACAAATACCTCGTGGACGCAAAACACCAAAAATATGACATTGTCGTCGGCCACCGCAAGGCCGAAGGAGCCCTGACCAAGTATTCTGACGGGGACCTAAAGGGACTTGTCCAGATTGAGTTCGGCGCCATGGACGCCTGGTTTGAGGAGGAAGACCAGATCTTTGTCCACCCGAAGGATCCGTACAAGGTCCGCAGCGATTTACGAGATCTTGTCCTCGCCATTCAGCTGCTCTCTCCTGTAGCGAGTTGATGTCCTGCAATCTTCTCGCCATGTGCGGGTCGAGGTGGACGGCGTTGAAGTTGCTAACACCACCAAGCCGCGTCTGCTATTTGAGACGGATCTTCTCGTGCGAACGTATATTCCCAAAACAGATTGCAGGGCGGATTTCTTCCGTCCATCTGAATTGACCACCCAGTGCCCATACAAGGTGTGTCTCCTCATCTTATCATCCCTGCAGTTCGAATGTTTATAATTAAATATAGGGAGTTGCGAACTATTATCACATCCAGCTGCCATCCGGCAAGGTGCACGAGAACATCGTGTGGTGGTACCGCGCTCCTCAGTTGGAATGTGCTGAGATCAAGGGTTATGCCGCTTTCTACGACGAGAAGGTGGATGTGTGGGTCGATGGAGTGCTGCAGCAGCATGCGGCTTAGTTTAAGTCAAGGGGCCTTGTACGTTGTCGAATGCAGTACCGCCGAATTCCTGTAGTTGTATTGTGTGACATGTCATGTATTAGTAGTATTCAGAGAATGTACCATCCTGCGCTACCGCCATTGAAAATTGTGAATTGAGCTCCCTGGTAATCCCCTTGCTACAGTCATAGCGTCTTTACATACAGGTTCCCCGACAGGCACGGCCCCACAGTGCTCATCACGCTCTGGTGGTGAACAGGCTTCTGAAGTCTCAGATGAGAAGTCGTGCGGCGATATAACGTTGCACTATGTGCTGCAGTGCGAGCTGAAAGATGTGGAATCATGTTATGCCTCCTTCAGGACGGGTTAAAATATCCACAATGCGCGCACCTCATGAATGTCTCATCCATCCATCCTCAATAAATTACAGAACCATAAAGACGAATCCTCAAGGATCGTCCGATGTGACCTCAGACGACAACCGCGAGATCTCTGAGAATGCTGCTCTCAACAAATCTAGGTCGGCGTCGAGGTTCTCCGCACGCGACTTCATCTGCAGCACTCGTCAGAGACACCTGATAAAAAGAGACTGATGGACGCACTGCAGCGATGGTATCGCTTGCTGCTATCAGCTCATGGTGGTGGTTGTACACGAGCGACTGACGCTCGCTATCCAATTGTCTAATTTCTGCCGCATTCAGGCCGAGTATCAGCAACACCTCTGAACGCGTGCAAGCGATTCAATGTACCGGTCAGCAGCCCGTTCTCCCGTCTCAGCAGCGTCGTGAGCGAAGACGTAGTGATGAGCTGCTCATAGTACGACCTCGCATCAAACGCGGACGAGTCTACCACCATGTCAATAATCTCCTGCCTCTCCAGCATGCACACAACTCACCCAAGTCCATAGGATCTGCCTGAGCGACCTTGCCTGCGAGCGGCGGCGGCGGCCCTACGCCCAAGCCATAGTGCTTCCGCAGCAAGTCGCGCGCGCGGGTCTTCGGGCGGTCATTAGAGGGTGCGGAGGGCAGTGACCCGTGTCCGGACACCCGCCGTGCGGCGAGGGTAGCGGCAGGGAGAGATGTCCGTGCAGTTGGTGGTGAAATGCGAAGTGAGGGGACGGCCGGGCGCGGGTTTGGTGTGCGCGAGCGAGGAGGCGTCCCTGGTGGGCTTGCTGGCGGAAGAGACATGGCAGATAGCAACTTAGCAGTGACGCTAGCGTACACGAAGTCGGGTTGCACCTACTGTAGCTCGCATTGAAGGTACCACAGCCCGCCAGCCCGCCAGATCCAGATCGTACGCGACGCTGCTGCGGAGTTCAAATCTTCAATAAAGCCCAGCAGAGTGATGCACATTCCACGTTCAGACTCTCCGTTCCCATACACAGTGCATTAATCTGGTATTAAAAGGATACGTGAGTGATTAATGCTACTTGTGAGCTGTAGCAGTGATAACAAAATACACAGCCAGCGAAGTCCGGATAAATTAATCGTGCTGTCGTAACTTCGTGAATGTATCATCCTCTATACTATCCCGCTGCGGTACCGGCTAAAGTAGTTGCCTCCAGCAGAATTTATCTGCATCATGGGAGCGCCTATACTACCTTGCTGTCGCATCGCAAGCAGCCGCTGCTCCGATAGCTCGCCTTTGTGGACGCCTCTAGCCATGCGCAGATCGTAGTAGAACGTCAGAATGTAAAACGTGAATCCAAAGGCAATGACCCATTCTATGATAGCTGTACTCCAAGTCAGCACAATCTGATATAGACGCAAAAGAACTACGGACCTCCAGCGTTTGGTGCATGGTACAGCGCGACAGCAAATGCGATAGCGAGGATAATGAGTGCGACGGCAATGACGCCCTTCGCGATGTACGCGCGCTTAAGTTTTCTGATTTCGACGAAGTCGTGGCTGATCCAGCGGAACTGTTGACCAGCAATCCAGTCAGTCAGGCGAACGGGACAGAATCAACGCAGGACGTACTTCGGCAATGGTGAAAAGCGCGCTAAGGGCAACACCCACTATGAAGACCAGGAGGAATACACGGTGTAGACTCCGATGTCTCCCGGTGTCGAATATCGATAGAAGGATAAGTCCGACAGCTCCAATGGCGGCTCCCAGAATCGCGAGTGTAGAGAAGAATCTTTCGCGGCGGCGCATGTTAGGCACCAACCTGGACAAAGGCTATCAGAACCCGGACCCATGTCTCTCACAGTATAGACTTCTCACCTCCCGGAATGTCGCAGCCATCTCTCAACCACGAGCGACAGGAAGAAAGAGACACCAGTTATGCAGCAGCAAACGATGAACAGCGGTTTAAGGTAGCCTGCGCCGATGTCGGAAATGTAGGCTATACTCCCTTGCTGGGTCACATACCGCGGCCGACCAGTGGCAAGCCAGGTGATTAGCATCGAAAGGAGTGTGCCTGGCAATAGATGGGTAAAGATGGTACCATGCAAAACGTTCGAGAGATACTCACCAAACCAAATGAACGCTCCAAAGAGAGGAATCCAGGCATAGACCCAGTAACGATGTTCGTAGGCAATAGCCATCACGGCGCGACGATGAATTCTATAACGGAGGAAATTGAGAGACGACTTGGATATTGGGACCCGGACAGTATTAGTGGGGTTATTATATGCAGTGGCAGGGAGACTGCGGGGAACAGGGAATGCATCGTTCTAGGCTGTACTGAGTGGGTTATACTAGATGCACAAGGAATTCAAATCCTGGCTGCTGATGTCATGCTCTGCCGCGGTAGAGCCACAGTCACGCGTACCAACTCCACGTGTATGTTGCATAAATGTTCGAACGAACTGGAAATGAAAGATAGAACAAATGGATATAAAATGTACTACAACGTCGGTCACAACAACATAACGGATATCTTAACGAGTACAACTACTGTCCATCACCAACGACACGGCATGCATGTGCAGATTAGCACGGGGAAGTCTGAGGGCTACTAGGCTAGACACGTAGATGCAGCAGGCACCCCGTTAAGAGGCGTCCCCTTTTCAGTCTGCGCAAGCTTCTTAAATATCTGTGCACATCGTCAGAAGCGACTCGGCATCGATAAATTGGCCTTACCTCGATGTATACCTCGGACGTCTGTCCACCGATGACGGCCCATCTTCCGTCGACAATTGTGAAGGGAACACCCGTCACGCCTTTCCTCCGTGCCTCGGCAGACATCTCCTCGACCTCCTCCAGGCATTCGTCGGACTCGAGGAATTTCACCGCCTATGCACTGTCAATGGCCTGCCCAAAATTTATAACGGCAACAAGGCTTACCTCCGCTTTCGACATCACACCGCTAGCTTCCGCGAGTTCGCCGAGGACCTCGAAGTCTCCGATGTTCTTACAGTCCTCGAAGTAGGCTTTGTGGATCGCGTTTATGAAAGGTTCCTGAGTAGCCTGACCACCAAGCTTCCAAGCCTTCAAGCTGAGACGGTGTGCGCGCGTCGTCTGTGTGATCGTGCCTTCATAGTTGCTAAGTTAAATTTAGCATAACCGACCAGGTACACGAGGATCAGGTCGTAACCGCTGCATCGGATATGGGACCCCAACAAACCCGCAAATCCGTCAGCGAACGTCAATACTCACATGTTAAGCCCAAGCTGTTTCGCCCGCGCGGTGACCAACTGCTCAATATTCGACGACTTCTCCTTGCCAAATCGTTCAAGATACCACTCCCGTTTAACAATACATTGGTCGTCCTTCAGCGACGGCTGCAGTCTGTAGGGCCGGTGTTCGACTTTGATAGTGATCGGTAAGTCCGCGACGGCTTCAATCGCGAGCGTCAGCTCGCGATGTCCGACGTAACACCATGGACATATCTGCATACGAGAAGCAATATTCTGTAAGCTTCTCCGGAGAACAAGATCAGCGGAACGCGCACCATGTCAGATATGACAACCAGGGACACCACCCTTGGCTGAATGGCTGCCATTGTCCGAGTGAACGGGATCCAAGAGGGGTGAGTGAAACACGTCCGGCGACGTCAACCAAAACAGAACGGGAAGAAAAACAGATTGCAGGATAGCACGAGTCGACAGTGTCGACAACTGTAGGAAGGAGAATACAGGATGGCGGAGAGATACAGGAGAGAATGAGTATATGTAAGGTGGCTGTAGAATTTACAAATATCACCTGGGATTGATCAGGCATTGGTGAGCAAGCGGGATCCGCCGGTCACATGTGACGGGGCGTTCAGCCCAGGCTGTTTTCTCCCGCGAGGCGCTATGCCGCTCTCTCTCCTGACATCTTCAAGCAGCTCGCTCTCTGCTGGAACAGGTTTGTCTCCGCCGGAGAATATGTGGCGTACCGGGTATAGCTGGGAGAGTGTCTTCAGTCAGCAAATTTTCCCGCGAACACTCCGCAACTCTATGCTCGTTCGGCGCTTGTGACATTTGTCAGATACCAGCTCTCAAGGTCTGTCCCTCTTATCTGATACTGCTCTGAAGGCCTTCCGAATGACTCATTGCGTTGTGCACCCACTTTGTCTCCACTGTCGCCTATCGGGGTGATTCTGGATCCTGTTGTACGCTTTGGCCCGGTGTATTGCGGCGCACCTCCTTCCAGGTATATCCAGCCAAGTAAGTCGCTGACCAAGTAGCACTCAATTGCGGCGCTGATTTGTGATTCGTCCGGCATCCGGTGAGCAGGCCAAAGCGGTATCCGATAGCTGTGGAGAGTTCACGTCTATTACTGAACGCAGAGCTTCGCGTATGTTACTCCCCGTGCGGAATGCGCTCGGAGTCAACAGACTGTTACAGCAATGGCCTCGAGCCCTACACCACGAGCAGACATTGGACGGTAATTTAGCCGTGTGCCCTATGAAGCTGACTGATAAGTGCCCCCGCCCCATCATGATCATTCCTTGTGTTGCAGTGGGCAACATGTGCTTCCTCTCACGATGTGTGTATAATCTCGCAGCGTTCAGGAAACTGTCATCCTCGTCGGTCACACAATCAGTCGCCATTGACATACGGGTGCAATTTGGCGCCCGCCGTTTGGCTAGAAAGGAGAGATAAGTCACGGAAATTCTCTTCATCAATTATATTCAGCAGTTACTACAAATTATTGACACTATAGCCAAGTGGTTACGGCGACAGATTCGAATTTACACTTATCTGTTTCCCTTTGGGAACGCAGGTTCGAATCCTGCTGGTGTCGTTGGGGACATCCTGTCCAGAGTTTTTGTCCACTGCTTGGGGGCTTGGTGATATCTGGACAAGGAAGAACGCACAACGACGAAGGGGACAGGGATGCTATGGTTGCAATGTCCAAATATTGTCCTGTACTGTCACATCAAGTCTAAGCTCGGTGGGTGTTCTCGAGAGGGGTCTATGGTCAACGAAGTGGCAGACTTGCAAGACGTGGGGATACGACGCGAGCCGATGATCACATCGGACAGCAGACCTGCGCTGATAAGCCAGCACAATCCAGCCAATATTTCAACACTGAGTGAGATAGAAAGTTGATAACAATGGTCAGGCCGAGGGTCAAGGGATCAACGTGCGATTGTGTTCCTGCACTGCATGATAATTCGTTGTGTTGCGAGGAAGTAGGCCATCTGGACGTGCTCTACGTTAATGATACCAGAAAAATAAACATACGCGTGCCCCTCAGATGGGATGCATTGCAATTGAGGTAGTCGCAGTAGATGGGTCACGTCGGCGCAGCGGGAGGAGCGCCCACGCCTGGGTGATCGGATTGGGTCTGGCACTCCCATTCCAGCTCCGCCGTTCTCGATATCCTCTCTCTCTCGGACGCATTCGACGTCCTCATCTCTTCATCCTCTCTCTCTTCTCCCCGGTCGCTCCTTCTTCACGATGACCACTCCCCACGTAATCGCATCTTCGTCGGGTCATCACTCCTCCCAGTCCTCAGGCGTAGTCGGTGCTCACTTCCGAGTTGGCAAGAAAATTGGAGAGGGGTCCTTCGGTGTCGTCTTCGAGGGTATGCATTCACTTTCTCAGCGGCAGAGGTTTTCTTCGACTGGGGTTGTGTGCTACTTTGTAGGTTCCAATATCCAATCCACTCAACCGGTCGCCATCAAATTTGTAGGTTGACGTTATGTGGACGGTCCAGCGAACTAACGGTGCTGCGATATACTCCAGGAACCCAGAAAGTCTGAGGCACCGCAGCTGCGGGATGAGTACAGGTCCTACCGCACGCTCAACGGCACTCGTACGTATTTCCCCCAACCCTCTATCCGAATGCCGCCTCTCCGTCATCGCACACACATATTCATGTGACTGACCATGTGCATATCGTCGGGACAGTTGGTGTTCCACAGGTTTATTATTTCGGCCAGGAAGGTCTACATAACTGTCTCGTCATCGACCTCCTTGGACCCAACCTGGAGGACCTCTTCGACATGTGCGGCCGTAAATTTACGATCAAAACCGTGTGTATGGCTGCTAAGCAAATGGTAAGCGCCGTCCGCAGGGAGGGCTGGGGGGCTCAATGACCTGCTGTGTAGTGGCTGGGTCACCGCAACCCCGTGCGCGAGGCTTCGCACGCAGGCTGTGCCATTGTCCTCGAGGTAGCCGATTACCTCAAGATGGCTACAGGCGTCTTCTGTGTCGGAGTTTCGTCTTGGACTAAGTCTCTGACATGAGCGCACGTAATGCTCGGTCGTTTGCAATCTTCTACTCTCCTGTCAAGCTGCGACAGTTCGTTTTCGGATTTTTGACCTTTTGTTATCTCCGCAGGTTACGCGGGTGCAATCAATTCATGAGAAATCCCTCATATACCGCGATATTAAACCCGACAATTTTCTCGTTGGAGTCCCAGGATCCAAGACCGCGAACGTCATCCACATAATCGGTGAGCGTCTCACTTCGAGCTTCCCTACTTCTCGTTGCGTCACGTCAACGCTTCTGGCGCGTCTGCGTGCGCCTTGTGCGATTCTACCATGTATGAGCAGGTCATGGGTCTGGGGTGTTGAGCGTGTACGCGCGCGCGATGTCACCTCGTGTCTTCTCTTGGCCCTTCCGAAGACAACATGAATACCTCCGGGTCTTCTGCTTTCTTCGGAATCCAGTCATCGAAAGTTGGGTGACAGCCTTCCGCGACCTCACATTTACGTAACATGCCCGATGCTGATCATGCACAACTAACCATTCACCCTGCCAGACTTCGGGATGGCGAAGCATTATCGCGACCCGAAGACGAAACAACACATTCCTTACCGCGAGCGCAAATCGCTTTCCGGCACAGCCCGGTACATGTCCATTAACACGCACCTGGGCCGCGAGCAATCGCGTCGCGACGACCTCGAGTCGCTCGGCCATGTCTTTATGTACTTCCTCCGCGGTGGGTTGCCATGGCAAGGCCTCAGGGCAGCCACGAACAAGCAGAAGTATGAAAAGATCGGTGAGAAGAAGCAGAGCACGCTCATCGAGGAGCTGTGCGAAGGTTTTCCGGGTGAGCTGTCCCGTGCTCGCTCGTGGTGAAGCGTTGACGCGTTCCCTCGGCTCCGTCGCAGAGGAGTTCGCCATCTACATGAACTACGTCCGGAAGCTCGGCTTCGAGGAGACGCCAGACTACGACTTCCTCCGCGAGCTCTTCACCAAGGTGCTCAAGACGCTCGGCGAGCCGGACGACGGCGTCTTCGACTGGAACCTGCTCAACGGCGGCAAGGGCTGGGAAGCCGGACATGTGCGCAATAAATTTCCTTCCTGCGCCGCAGCGCTGCTGACACAGACTGACACAGACTGCTTCGACCCTCCTCGCGCAGGCCCACGGTGGTGCGACGCCGCACACCCCGCGCCGCGAGCACCGCTCGCGCGACCACGGCGGCCATCGCCGCACCTCGCGGCAACCGCTGCAGGAGACGCCACAGTCGCCCTCTTCCCCACTCGTACTCGCGCCGACGCCCGCACACATGAAGAGCAGCAGTCGGAGGCCGGGGCAGGACTCGCGCGGCGGGTCACGCGAGCAGATCAGTGTGCAGCCGCTGGCGCCCACGAGCCGGCGGGCAAGCCAGCAGCAGGTGCGGGAGCGCGAGAGGGAGCGGGAACGGGAACGCGATACGGGGCTCAGCCCGCACCCATATGCGACGGCGCCGAGCCCGGGCGGGTACCGCGCAACGGCGTACGGGCGCTCGTCGCCGGTGCCGCCGAACAGCGGTGCGCCGCCGGTGAACGGGAACGGCACGGGGGCACCGAACACAAATACGTCCGAGTCCTTCGTGTATGCGCAGACGCCGCAGGGCAAGGGCACGGACTCGCGCGAGGACACAATGGCGGGGGTGAATCGCGCGGAGCCGAACGGCTTCGGCGTGGGGGCGCACGGGATGAGCGTGTACGACCGCGAGCAGATGACGAGGGTCGGGGAGCAGGACGAAGATCACATGGGCGGCCGGCGGCGGGGGTTCTGGGCAGCGTTCTGCTGCCGCGCATGAGACCGTGCGCGGTTGGCGCGCACTAGGTGCGCTGATCGAAATGTCCGCAGGACCCTCACTTCGTCCGTCCCGTTTGTCCATTCGTCCGCTGTGGTACGCTGACGTTCCTAATTTTTGTCCGCCAGGCTTTGCAACTATTTTTGCTACTCATGACGGTTGACGACCGTGATACCTACCCTATCCTTCGCTATTCCCAGCTCGTATGCCGCACGACCGTCCACGACACACAAAACTGGCCACCACTATATATCGCATACCCCTCCCTTTGCCTCCGTCGCATCGTCGAGCCCTCTGCACCGCACCGTATCCCATCGCATCGTCTGGACCCGCACTCGCACGCATCGCTTTCGCTTTCATTCTGCCAGTCGCATTCAATGTCGAAGTCCCGCTAGATCCCACCGCCCCCCTCCGGACGTTTATCGCTCCCCCCGCTCCCCTCGCTATCTCTACTCCCTATCCCTATTCGATGTTCCCCGCCGCGGTCCGCGTCTCCCGTGTCCATGTTCGCACGATATTTTTTTCCTTGTATACTATTTGGCTTGCTTCCGCTGGACATGGACACACTACCCGCGTCGAGCGCCGGGTACGGTGAACAATGAGTACCTACGCGATACTCTGGCCCAGTACGGCCGTAAGAAACATGCGGCCCTCGGCCTGCTTCTTCCCCTCGTTTCTGTATTTTTTGTTTGCACGGCTGGGATCCGGACTGGAGGTCGTGTACGTAGATATCCTACCGTAAATTGCGCTAGAAATAAATATTTTGCTTCTTGGAGGATTCTGGGACTTGGGTTTGGAAAAGGGCTGGATGCGCCCTGGGCAGGATCGTCAGGAACAGTTGCAGCCCGTGGAGCTCAGCTGACAGTGACGCGTCGATGATGCGGAAGGAGCCGCGTTCCGTGTGTCCCGAATCTTCCGTCCGAGTGCAGTGCCCTCACTGCCTTTCGCTGGAGGATGCATCGTTGCGCATTATTGTGGACACACTATGGGCGCACGGTCGGCAACAAAATGTGGGGTAATGCGGGGTATTGCACGTGACTGACGCGTCGTGTCGACGAATTTAGTAAATTACGTCACCGCTGATCGCGTCGCGCGGGGTGACCCCCGCATTACGCCCGCTGCGCAGGCTACACGGGGGCCGCAGAGTCGCAGTCGGCGAAGAAAGTGCAAGAAAGGTTGGCATAATGTACATTCTAAACGAATACTACGGGAGCGACGACGGCGACGACAACGTGAACTATACTCGTACAACCACTCGAGCGAAAATGTGGCAGCGACAAGATGATGAAAACGACGAAGAGCGATGAAACAAATCTGCGAATAAACGATATTCACTCCCCCCCTACCAGCGAAGCGTCAAGTCCAGCATCTGGGCCCACTCACTCCCGCACCCTTCCCAGTAGTAATATTATCGACGGCCAGCTTCGGGTGCTCCTCCCCAGCAAAGTCCAACGGCGGCAGGTTCCTCTCTGCCAACGCTCCCTTGCCCTGCGTGGTGGTCTTCGCATCCATCAAGCCGAGCCCGCCGAAGCTGCCGCCGCGCCGGTGCAGCTCGCCCGGCGCCTCACTGTGCCGCACCGCGGCGCTCTCCCCGACGCCCGTCGGATTCTGCGGCACGGCGGTAGTGGTGAGCGGGTGCGCCAAGGTCGAGGACGTAGAAGAGAAGTGCTCACCCTCAAGGACGGGCGCCTCCGTCCCGGGGTAGCTCTGGTACGGCGCCGAGGTGGGATATGCGCCCGAGGGCACCTCGTACGGGGTGTCCGCGGGATCGGGCGCGGAGACGACGTAGGTGCGGGTGCCCGCACCGGACATCTGGGGTTCGGGAGAGGGCTCGGTCTGCTTCTCGTACAGGGGCGACACGTTCGCGGTCGGCGGGGGCGGGCTGGTCAACGGGGAGGAGAGCGACGCGAATGGGGAGTGGAAAGCGCGGACAGTGGAAGGGAGCGTGCGGGACAGTTTGTAGATCGAACGGAAGGCAGACATGGTGGGCGTGGGTGAGAGAGGGGCTTTCGCAGTGGTCTCCCTGTCTGGGGTGACTTCCCACGACGCTGTTCCCGCATATTCCTACCTACCTCCAACGTCTCATAATTAACATTACTTTAGGATGATGTACATGTACATTATGCGACTCCAGAATACAGCCTCATCTAGTCTCCCAAAGCCAGACTACAAAATCAGTCCTATGAGAGGTTGGAGGGACGGGCTGTTATAGAGCCTGATCGCTTTCCCCACGAAAAAGCAATCACCGCGTTTATCCTTCGAGCCGGGATCGAACCAGCGACATCAAGATAAGCAACCCATTACAGTCTTGCGCTCTTCCAACTGAGCTATCGAAGGATTACATCTATTCCGGTTAAAGCCAATCAATAAATCGAAACTACAAATTCCTGCATTACTAACCCAACTCAAACCTGCCCCAATTTCAGTCGAGAAAGTTACCTTGCTTGCAAGGTCTTTCCAACTCCTTAATTGTAACACTTTTTATTGCACCAGTCCGTTTTTCTGTTGGCCCGATTTCATTGACACCGCCACACTGAGCGCCCCCGTTGGCCTCGGCATGCTTTGGTATAATGCAACTCGCTCGAGAGCTTTTCTTCACTCAGTTGTCTGAAGTCACTTGGTGTAAGGGTCGATGCTGGATATTTAAATTGCTTCGCGAGCACACAGCGCAGCGGCGGATCCATATTATAAGCAGAGGCTAATTGAATGTCAGTTGTTCACTTTGTTCACTGTTCCAGTTTTTTTTACTACTGTTCCATGTCGGACGCGAAGCAGTCTCGACTCTAGACCATGACGTGTGTTCCTAATGCTCCAATTTCTGGTCCTCTGCCATAATCTAACTGCAAGAACATGGAAGGTCCACACCAGTATACTAGTTTCGATCCGGCCAGCGGCCAGCCTTGGTGTGACAGCGGACAGGACGGACAAACCGGCCAAGCCGGCCAAGTGACCTCGCAGCCGTGAACAGACGCGAATTTTCTGATGCTACTGTCTGCTGATGTACGCTATCACTCTACGAGCTCCTGCTTCGATGACCAAGTATAATCATCTTTGAACTTCCCGTATGGATCTGGAACCGTCTCCCACACGGCGTTTATCCCATGCCGCTCCAGCCACGCTCCAATCTCCTTGTCGCCGTCATCTGGCACCAATGGCCTGCAGTCCCTGAGATACGCCATACGCTGGGAGTCGTTGTTTGATTTATAGATTAACATCCCGCAAACAGCCTGTCCCGTGCTGTCGGGGAGCCTGTGGCGTAATGCGACAGGCACTGCTTCCACAGCTGTGTATCCTTTAGATCGGAACCAGCGGTTCAGAATATAGGCATGGCCGTCGGGGTTGTCGAAACCACGCTTAGCACTGAAGGTGGCCACCTGTTCGACGGTCAAGAAGTAGCCGCCAATGACAAAGACCATGATGCTATACGATACGGCCGTTTAGTGTGAGCGCTAGCAGTGAGCTTCGTGCACCCACCAACGAGGGATAGGTGAACGTTAGGCTTTTACGGCCAAGGCAATTGGTTGAATAGGCTAGATGGAACGATGTTCCAGTGCTATAGATAATAGCAGCGCTTAGGAAGCTACGCCTAAGTCGGAACTCCGCATTTCCATTGAATGGCTGCACGCAGTGAGCGCTGAGGGCTGAGCAACTTCAGTTGACTCGTCCAACGCTGGCAGGATGAGATTAGTGTGTAACGTTCCCGTTCGAAAATGATGACAACCGCGCATACCCTCAGTACGTTGCTGTCTTCTGTGTACTTTCAAGCTTACTTGCAAACGTATGGTCCGCGAGCGCAAACAACACAGATATTAATCGCGGCTACATTCGCGAATTTAGCGGCTATTTTGTGCTGGCCTATCATCTAATGTATATTTCCTAGTTTTCGCAATTCCAGCACTATGCGTTCAAAACGGACGTCCGTCAAACCAATCGTACACGGGCACAGCGTCCAAAGTCAGAAAATTTGAACTCACTATCCAAGCCCACGAGTGCGCTCACATCCCACACACCGACGCCGCGTTGGCCGCCAGCACATGGATCGTCGTCCCGTTGTACGTCAGTTCCGTTCCGCAGTTCGGTGAGTTCCATTGAATCTGCAGCGCGTCGTCAATGGCAGTAGGTAAGGTATACGCACTGCGGACTCGTCAGCGACCGCGATCCTCCCCTCGATGTAGTGTGTGCTGTCAGACAAATAGAAAACATGGAGAACGTACCTCTCGTGATCATCCCGTCTTCTCCGTTTACGCAACCCTCTTTTTCTCAGGGTGCAACGGCTAGAACGCGGAAACCTGATACCTCGCATCCCCAGAAACGGAATCCGTATATCTGAACTAAAACTTGCAGAGATCGGAGGTTCACGAAGATTTTTTTGCTGGCATGTTTTTGCGCGGTGTGTGCTTCAGGCTGTTCTTCCGGGACAGATCAGAGTGCACGGTACTGATACCCGATCGGACAGGAGAACACGCCTCCTTGAAGTTGACGTTGAAGCTTAAATGTCTGCGAGTTTTTGGGCGTCCGCTGGCCTCTTTTGTGTGGTACGTACTGCATGATGTTCTTTTAGGATGCAACGGACAAAGCGCTGAGCACCAATTGCTCTTTGCAAGCATCGCCCTCATATGTCACCCACCTCTTCCAGAAGGCGGATTGCGAGAGGAGACGCACCTCCTTACCTCCTTAGCCATCCTGAGACTCGAAGGCCGGTGATGGTTTTATATCCGCCGGGTCGCTGTTTCCCCCAAGTGTCGGCTTCGTGCGGGCTCCTGTGCCATGGCTTGCCGCCCTCCTCTTCTGCATCGACAACGAGGAGCAAGAAGACCTCAGCTGGTGCCGGCAACGGATATCTGCGTTTCTCTAATACGACAATCACTAGGGCAAGATTGGCTTGTCTCGATTCCCCTGGCCCCTCTGGCTCGACATGAAACACCGCGCCGGAGCTCGCCCCGTACGTTCTTGAGCTGACCTAAGGATTGTCCCCCCCAATTAGCCTCTAGGATATCCCACAAGCGTACATACGAAGGGTTAGAAACTAGTTCGTACCGAGGCGAGGCGAAGCTAAACATCCGATGGACACCAGAAACAGAATGCATAGCGCTCCACCGGTTCGCCGGCGGACATTGCGAAGTCAGTGCAGCCAGCGTACGTACCTTAGCCATCACTAATTATTCATAGAGGATTGAACATTGTACGATCACTACTTGAATTTCATGCTTTCTTTCCGTGTCACAATTTAGCTGGTGTTGACCGATAAGGACTGGGCGAAATTGCGAGCTGCTGCACGTCACCTTCCCTTGCACGTCGATCGCATTGCTAGCCGTATGATACATATTCAATTGCAGAGTGGGGGATGTAGAAAGGATGTAAGTGGCGACAAATCAGAGCTATCCAAAAGCCATATTGGTGGAAGGGTATTCAAATCACTGGCAGACTAACCCCAGGATGCAAAAGAAGCACGAAGAAATATGCGCCAGGCGATGGCCTTAAGGAGAGATAAATCATAGCATCGTAACGGTCGTGAAACTCCAAAATGATGAGAAAACACAAGATAATTAATCGGGTTCACATGATGGTGCACCATCCCTTCTTCTTTTCGTCGATGCCTTCCGTGGGAGTGTTCGTCGGGACTTCGAGCGCCGGCGTTGATGTTGCACTAGTTGGACTCTTGGAAAACTCGCCGGCGGCAGTTTCATGCGATGCCCGGCCCTTGTCATGCGACTTGGGTGTACTCGAGAACCAGCCTCCCGGGAAGAAGCGAGAGGATGTGGTTGACTCGAGTCGCTGACGAGCATGGGTAGGCGAGACGGGTTCAGCTACTGAGGTCGCGCTAGCTTCAATCTCGATCTGTTCGTCCTCGTTCACCGGGACAAGACGAGCGAGGCTTGGCCTTAAGAGTGGTGAGTATGGCACCTCAAACAGCGTTCGAAATGAGCACTTACTTTGTCGACATCTTCTTGGGTTCACCATTTTCTACAGTGGGGAAGGCCTGTAGTTCGGTGTGACCGTTAGAAACATTGCTTTGGATCGCCTGGTTGAAATTCTCTTCTTTCTCTGTATGCGCCTTTCCGTTCGCGACATCCGGGCCTTGGGTAGTGACTGAGTAGGAGGGAGTCCATGGCCGTTCAGGTCGCTCTTCCACGAGCACAGCGGCCTCAGCCTAGAAACATCGTATATGTAAATCCAGCATTACGACGCCATGAAATCAAATTACCTCTATCATTCCGAGCTCCGCCGACTTATCCAAGTGGATCGACGGCGGTTTACTTTCGATTTGCACGTCTTCTGCAGGCTCTGCGGCAGGAACAGGGGTTTGCTCCACTTCGTTCAACTCCTTATCCTTCCGAAGAGGACTGGCACCTTGTTGGTTCACAGAGTACGACGGCGTCCACGGAGAATTGGGCCTTTCGAGCTCAGCTGCGATCACAGCGGACGTCTCTAACGTGAGGCGCTGCCCAACATCATGAGTGAGCTCGACCGTATAGCAGGACGATGCACTAACATCTCCAATGTCCACTTGTTCTTCAACGACTGCTGGTTCTTCCACGACCACTTGTTCCTCGACAACAGCTGGTTCCCCGACACCGACTGATTCCTCGGCAACGACTGGTTCTTCTTCGACGGCTATTTGTGCCTCAACCACAGCAACTACCGCCTCTTCAGTAGAACTTGTTATTTCAGCAGACGCAGAGGCAATACTGTCGACCACAGGGGCGAGTAAGGGCTCGAGGTTCTTCACGTCGGGGGTCGCCCCCTGAGAGCTGACGGAATACGAAGGAATCCAGGGAGACTTCGGTGGCTCCTCAGCAGCTTGCAGTGGCTCCAGTTCGTCAACCTCTGCGTCTTCAGTCGCTTGAGGGGCGGGCACCGGGCTAGTGCCCTGCGAACTGACAGAATACGAAGGAACCCAAGGAGATTTAGTTACCTCCTCGGCCGTTTGCAAGGGTTCTAGGTTCTCCACATCTCTGTCGACAGTGGCCTGGGGTGCGTGTGCAGGGCTTGAACCCTGGGAACTGACAGAATATGAGGGGACCCAAATCGACTTGGGCTCCTCCGAATCGACTGCTTCAGGGGCTTCTGACGAGACCACCAGAACAACCGCGGGCTACACGAAATGGTGAGGATGCATAATACGAGTGCGATAACGGTTCTCACCTCGGATGCGTCAACCTCAGCCACGGTAATCGTCGGTGTCCGAGGATAGCCCTGTGCTTCCTCAATGAGCGATGTCTTGATCGTCCCATAAGTACTCATAAGCTTTTGTTAACAAATCAGAAACTCACCGAAGCTATGGACGCAGTGTCGTCAACTTTGACCAAAATCGAAGGCTCGATGCCTTCAACAAACTCTTGGACTACAGCAGAGATTTCGTCCCTGGCCTCGACTGTAGGTACACTCTCCACTTCAGAAGCTTCCACCAGTATACTGCTGCCCTGCGAGCTGACAGAGTACGACGGTACCCATGTAGGAGACTTCGGAATTTCAGGAGCCTCGGCAGATAGACTTGACGCTTCGTCGTCGACGTTCACTTCAGCGACTTCAACAAAAGGCACGACTTCTTCTCTAGCTTCGGCAGCGGTCTCGAGGACAGCTTCCACAGGTACAGACTCTTCACCCTCAACTACGACAACTGGTTCAGCAGTTGGTTCGGAAACAGGGACCTCAGCCACCACTTCAACTGTAAATTCTTCCTCTAGCTCCACATTTGAGGCAAGAAGAGGGCTGTTTCCGTGAGAGCTGACAGAGTATGAGGGAATCCATGAAGGAGACTTAGGTACCTCGATGGCAGTAGCCGACGGTTCTAGTTTCGTCTCTTCCACTGGAGGCATAGGTGCAGCCTCCTCGATAATGACCGTGATCGGAACATCACTGGAGGGCATGAGCTCCTCGCCTTTGGGGACGATCGACGCCTCTGCTGCAGTTTCTTCGGCAACAGCTTCTTCAACTTCCACCGCAGCTGGTACTTTGTTGGCAGGAGCGGCCTCTTCGGCGACAACTTCCACCTCAGTGCTGTGTTCAAGAGCAGGCATATTTTCCACTGCTTCCAGCTTGGACTCTTGAAGAGCTTGCACCTTCGGAGAAGGAAGAGGGCTGTTCCCTTGCGAGCTCACGGAGTACGAGCGCACCCACGACGGGGACTTGGGAACCTCAACAACCTGCGCAGATGCCTCCGGAGGTGACATTTCATCAGGCTATGCACAAGGGAAGGTTAGCAATTACACGCATATGCATCGGAAAACTTACCTCAGAAACAAGGACAGCCACGGCCGCCGCCGTGGCACCTATAATGGCCTCAATGGCTATGTGCTCTTCTTGACCGTCACTCTGGATGATGGGTACCTCGACCGCTGCCTCCGTTTCATGAGCCTTAACTACGGCCTCCGCAATGGGAGTTTGCTCGAGCTCAGCAATCTCCTCGGTACCCTCGGGTCCAGCTACACCAAGACCTTGAACCATTACACTGTACGAAGGGGTCCAAGGCGACGTTGAACGCTCGTTCTCTGCGTTTTTCGTAGTTTCCAACGCCTCAGACGAGGCTTCAATTTCGGGCTCAGCAGGTTCTTCCGCGACGGCTTCAGCAATCTCGGGTTGCTCGACCTGGATAGCGACAACAGGAGCTTCTGTCTCCTCGACCGGAACAGGAGCCTCGGCGTCCTCGACCACGGCAGGTGTCTCTATGGCTTCTTCCACTGCAGCAGACGCCCTCGTTGCTGCTTCAGCAGCTGCGACGACTTCAGACACAGCTTCTGCGTGTGCCTGTATACACACATCAGAAGACGACATATAACAAACAGGAGAGAATACCAACAGCAGGTTCAGTGGTAGTCTCTACCATGACCTCTTCAGCCACGGGAAGCTCTTCCGCTGGCATTGCAGCATTCGCTTGGATCTGCTCAGCCGCTTCCAAAACTTGGCTTTCGGGAGGAACTTCCGCCCTTGACTCTGCCCAATGCTCGTCCACAGGAATTGCAGCCTATCATGGTTGATAAGACATGAAGAAATTTTCAAAGAAGGAAGAAAACAACATACCACCGCCTCGACCATCTCCTCGACAGCCTTCTGCTCGATGACAGGCTCGGCAACACTTGCCTCAACACCCCCAGTTTCAACAGGAGTATCTTGAGTATCCAATTCCCCAGCAACCTCAGCGACAGCTTCCTGCACAGGAGCAGGTGAGTCTTCGGGCTCAACTGCAGCGAGCACCGTAGGCACTTCGTTGCTCTGGGTGGAGGGTTGAGAGGAGAATTCCGCAGCGATCTCAGCTGATGCTGCAGCAACCGCTGCCACTACCTCAGAAATCACCTCAACGGGCCCTTCAGTCGAATGTTCAGTAGTCACTTCCATCGCTTCCTCAGCAGGTTCAGCGGGCACCTCCTGGGCTTCTTCGACTACTGCAGCAGAGGCAGCAGCAGAAGCTTCTTCGATGACCTCTGCAGACGCTTCCGTAGGATCCTCCTCTACTGCCTTGGAGGACGCTTCGACAGAGACATCCTCTACGGCCTCGGGAGGGTCGGCAGACGCCTCCTCAACGATCTCGACGTCAAGGTCCGCAGGTACTTCCGTGGACACCTCCTCGACAACCTCGGTGTCCTCCACAGAGGCATCGGTAGGCACGTCCTCGCCGTCAGCAGCTGCGTCTTCTTCGTCAACCTCCTCTGCTGCGTCAGCAGGTACCTCGACAGAGACTTCAGTGACTTCCACCGACTGCTCCGCGACTTCATCGACATATTCCTCGGCCTGTTCCTGCGCAACTTCCTGGGCCAGTTCCTCTACGGCCACCTCTTGAACGGGGATAACTTGGGGTGCTTCCTCCGGTCGCAGTTCTTCCGCTACAACGAGAGGAGTGGGAGGCTCGATCGTGATGCTCTCCACCGCAGGTTCCTCCTCCGTAGAAGCAGCGTCCTCGATAGTGACTTCGGGCACGTCGACGCTCGCTTTTTCCTCCCTGAAAACAGCTGCGATTGCTGTGGCCGCTGCTCCTACGACTTCTTCCACGATCGTGACGGCTTCTGAGGCATCAGTATCTCCCACGGCTACTTCTTCAACCACTGCAAGGGGTTCTGCAGCAGGAACTTCGCCTACTGCCGCTTCCTCAACAATTGTAACGGGCTCTGCGATAGAAGCCTCTTCAACAGCAGCTTCATCAACCACTGCGATGGACTCCGGGCCAGGAGCCTCATCGACAGTCTCTTCTGTAGTGGGTTCGAAGGCGAAATGCTCCTCGACCACTGCTTCCTCGATAATCGTATTGCCCTCAGCGACTGGAACCTCCTCGACTGCACCTGCCACTACCACGGGCTCCGCCGAAGGAGCCTCTGCGGCAGCGGATTCGTTCACAACCGGAGCGGGATGGCTCTCCTCGACAGCTGCTTCCTCAACAACCGCAGTGGGCTCAGCAGGAGACGTTGAATCTTCGAACAACACGATAGCCTCCTCGGAACGGACCTCCTCGACGGCTGGCTCCAGGACAGCGAGCTCCACTTCCTCGGTCGGAGCTGGAGCGCTGGTCTGCTCGGGCGCTTCCTCAGGGGCGGGAGCGTCTTCCACGATCTCGATGACGACCGCCTCTGGCTCACTGGCCGCCTCTTCGGACGTGGGAAAGACTTCCTCATCAGCAGCAACCACTTCCGAGGGAGCGGATAGCCCCTCAGTGATTAAAACTTCTATCTCCGCGGGTCCTGAGCTTGCTGGTGCAGGCTCTTCTGCAACGACCAACGCGGCAACCTCATTTGTTCCCTGATTAGGTTCGCCGTCCTGTACAAGGTAGTGAGTTGTCAATGAGATAAACGCGTCGGGTATAGGAAGATACACGGACAATGGTGGGTGAGGGTGCAACAGCATCTTCAGCTATTTCTTCGGCAACAGACGCGTCTGCCACGTCCATTTGAGACTTCTCGACGGCAGCAGCTTCCTCCACTTCCCCGTTCGCGCCCGAGACATTGCTCTGAAGCGTAGAATAGGTATTAGCGACACAGACTGGCCAGCAACAAAGTCAGACAATACGCACATCGTCATGCGCTACATGAGCAAAGCCATTCTCCTTAGCAGTGCCCTCATCATGGTCAAAGACGAGTTCCTCGGCCTCCTCCACGAGGAACGTAACACCATTTGCGACCTTCTCCGCCATCTTCTTGAAGTCGCCTTCGCTAGGCTCTACTTCCTCAACCATTTCCTCCTTTCCGAGCGTGTTTCCGACCACATCTTTGTCAGCGAACACCTCGGTAACGTACATGGCATTAGTGGTGTCCTGCAACACGGGCGCAGGAAGCCCGTCACCCTCGAGAACGACCGACATGTCACGAAACCAAGACAAAACCTAGGATGCTGCTGCGTATCAGATGTCTGGGGTCAGAGATAGGCTCGGTTGACCACACGCGCCTGATATGCGTATCGCAAGAGGGATGGCGTGAAGGATGTGCACGAGGAGCTACACTGACTAGTCAGGAAAGAGCGAGCACAAAGGAAGAGGCCCAGCGCTGCTCGCGTGGCTCAACCAGATTCTTCCGGCCAGATCTGCGATCCATCACGTGCAGGTCGCGTCGCTGCGCCATTTCTAGTCATATAGCGTAGTCAGCTAATATTCCTCGTTTCCTCGTTTCTTCGTTGATACAGGCAGGTTACTGGTATAATCTATTGGTAAAGGCTACAATACAATGCAAGTGCATGAAATAATTACAGGAACTACAGTCCGGCGAAATGTGACCAGGGTAATTCAAGCTTACAGGAAGACGGCACCGAGCAGACCCATCGCAGCAGCGATACCGACTGCGCCCGCGGGGGACGCGAGATCAGCGGCACCAGAGCTCTTGGAAGAAGAGGGAGTAGGGGTGCTGCTCATCGAGCTGGTGCTATGGCCTCCGGAAGAGCTAGAGGTCGGGGAAGCGCTGGCAAGGCGTAAGTTGTCACCAAGCCGCCGATGAGACAAACCACTCACGCAGCTGCGACGGTCATAGAATTCGAGTGACCCATGGACGAATTGTTAGAGGTCGGGGTAGCAGTGCTAGAGGAAGTACCAGTCTCGGTGACGGTAGTGTTGACGCAACTATAGGATGTCAGTAATCGCCTTCACGCTACTTGCGAGCGACCGACCTGCTGCTGGTGCCGGGTTGAACTGTCTCTACATCGGAGTACGCCGTGGCACCGCTCATGTCCTTCAACACGGTCGTGCTGAGATGACGATGTATCAGATGACGTCATCATCGGAGAATCGCGCATGCTTACAAGGACGTGCCAGACGCGAGGTCGACGATCCATGTGTAGCTCGTGCCATTCATAGTGGGGAACATCTTGATCTGTAGCAGCGATGCTGGTGAGCTACGAGGGACAAATATTGAAAGGAAAGAATACTCACAGCTGGCGCACTCGTCTGCGCCGCTGATGAGCAGTGCATATCAGCGTAAGTTCTCTGCCGCCGCGGAATATTCGACGTACCAGGGACAAGTGAGAGGTAGTAGGGAGGCTCTCCCCCAGACCAGGTGAACATTGCAGGTTCTGCGACGACAATGAGCAGGAGTCGAAAGATGCATAGGGACTACTTACGACACTGGACGGGGTCCTGACTACGTGACACAGACCCAACGTTAGTCGGCATACAGGCACCAGACGGAAAGTCTTACAGAGTGTTGATCATCAGGTTCTGGCTCATTGCGCCAGCGGCGAGAGAGATGAACATGGCGGCGGTAGTGACAGACTTCATGGTGTACGGTGTTGCAGTGTTGGACGGACGTTTGCGATGTAACGAGAGGGGGAAAGTCTTGAGAAAGAAGAGGTCTGAATGCTGCGCTCGAGCGGGGTCACTAAAAGGCAAAGATGGTGGGGGCTGACAAGATGCGAACAGTAGAAGTTGAACTGTGGGACATGGCCACCGTGCTGACACTGACAGCCACATTGGAGCGGAGTTCGTGACAACGAGTGAGGTTGACTTGACGTGCAACAGCCAGAAGGAGCGCATGTGAAGAGAACGTCACGCGAATAAGAGCAGCGGGCATGCAAACGGGAAATATAATACACATGCAGGAGGACAATGCATACCATACTACAGGCCAATCCAGCTACTTCTCCCCCGAGGATTGTGCAGCGACGTTTGTCCAATTTTTATTAAGTCCACGCTGCTGCCGCTGCCCCCCGTCGCACCCGCCGTGCTCTTCACTTCGTCCGCCTCCTCCACAATCACGGGAATATCGACTGCATCCACGAGCGGACTAGGAGAAAGTATGGGTGTCGACTCGGAATCCAACCGATCAGACATAGGTGAATATCTAGGCGCTGACGAAGTGCCGGGCATCGGCAAGAAGGCTTCAGCGTACCACTCGTACCAGACCTGCCGTTCGTTCGTGAGGCGCCAGATTGAGACGTGCAGCTCGGAGTTGGTTGGCAAATAGAGCGGCTCCTGAAAGAAGATATCAGACGTGTCCGATGCTACACATGACAGGCACGCACCTTGAAGGGAAAGAAAATAGGAAACCAACTGAGCATATCTTTGGATACGTGATGCATCCGGTCCGGATGGATACTGAGACCAATGTTCCTATAGAGGATCGCTTCGAAGTAGCCCGCTAGCCCATGGAGGACCCCTGCATGCGGTATGTGGAAAGTCAGCTGCGCGGACCTTATGTTATGAGAATTTGTAAACGGTAGACCTGAAAAGTGAAAACCTATTAGCCATGACATTAAGCACGCATGAGGAGTAATTACCGCGCTCATCGAGGACAACGTCCCGCCTGGGATGCTCGAACTCCCAGCATTCTTGTACTTGCGGTCCACATTTGCCGCTGATCCCGCCGCCGTTCCCGCTTAGGATGTTGATGGCTTGGAACATGACAACATACGGAGTCTCAGTAGCCTTTTCTTCATGGCCAACCCGCGTCTCATGGAAGAGCTTGGAAGATGAAAGAGGTGCAATATGAGCGGTATATGAAGCAGGTATCGAGATGCCATCCGCTGAAAGCCGATCGATGAACGGATATCCAATCTGGTGTACGTCAACAGCTCTCACCTTTCAAAAACCGCATAGCACCGTCCAAGCATTCTGGACTGAGCTCATTATCGCCGAATGAGCCCAATAGCTCGCTGACGAGGATATCCACTGGGGGGACCTCTACCGAGCGCATGTCTCCGAAAACAAGCTGCACTTTGTCACCCCATTCTCTCTGCCTCCGTTCCTGCAAGCTACACCAAGATATCCTCAGTAAGAACACACTGACGCACGAAATGACCTACGTGACATAAGCGTTCGGGTTCTTCTCAATCGCATAAATGTATGCGTCTCTCCGCGCTCGCTTGAGCGCAGCGACACATCTCGCGACAAGCGGTCCACGGCCAGCTCCGGCTACACATATCACACTAAGGGAACATTGGACGAGATCATATGTAGACAGAGGAGACGGCTCACATTTTCTCGCGAGATCGCCAATCGGATAATGCCGAGAAAATTGCCTAAGATACATTCAGCGACATTAGTTTAAGTGCCAGCGACAGTGAATCACACCTGTTCGTATTGTTTGTACTTGACGGGATCTTGCTCGAAGGTGTTGTACGTCACGCTTTGCAGGTTATCCATCAAAGGCTAGTCAAATTGTTACACTTCTGGGCAAACAATGGAAGGCCGCCACTAACCTGTAACGGCGCTTGTAGATAGTCTTGGTAACCCTGAGCGAAATTCTCCACTGTACCGGAAGTCTGTGCGGCCTGTACCAAAGGGCTGGTCTTCTCTAAATGTCGGACGTACTGAGAATATGCAGCCTCCCCTCCCCTCTCGTGTCTACCAGTAGACGTCCCCGACAAGATAACATTCGGTTGCAGCTGCCCATGTACCTCAACTCAATTCTTGGATTTCGATCTCATGGGAGAGCCCACCTTCAAGATGTCGCGAATAAAAGACTGTGCGCCCTTCGGGAGCACGGGGTACCCCTTCGCGTTCGCAATAAACGTAGACGCAGGTAAGAAGATGTGTCGCACGGGCTCCGCTGACCACTGGCCAAGCACTGTCAAGACCGACGGCATGGGTGGTGTCATGTCAAGGGCTACAGAGACCGTCAGCTTGTGTTCTCAGCACAAGAATGAGCACTCACTCAGAGTCAAGCGCGGGTTATAACCGCAAACGGAGCGAATTGTGTCCCACATCTCCCAAGTCGCAGTTGAGGGTTCGGTGGATGACAGTAATGATGATGAAGTGTCCGCCGTAGACAGGTCGGTCGTCGTCGACTGGAATTGCAGCTCCATAGGATTGTAGATCGGGATACGAATGGAGAGCTGAATGTAGGGTATCGCATTGATGCAGGTATTCACTGTGCGGGCGTAGGACGCTAAGTGTGCGCGATGGCGCGGGGGCGGGAGGATCGCAGTGTGGACGTTGAGGTAGGACGCGTACGCCAGTTCCTGTTGCAGTGCCTGCAGAGACACACGGCCGGCGACAACATTCAACACAACGGCTCATCATTCCATTCCAATGGCAGGCTCCCATAGCGGGAACGCGTGCCAGGAACAACGGCTGTACGTACAATCTCGGAGTCGTGACGAACCCAGTCGTCGGGAGCATCAAGTTCCAGCCAGTCCGACATCATTACGACCACCCCCTCCGCCTCGTCTGGTCCATTCTTCCATCAGGGAATGTAAGAACGTGAGCTGAGAGACCAGGGCCTCGCACCTATACGAGTAATGGTCACTTCATCGCGCATGAACGCTGGCTTCGACCTCCATGTTTCGGCACGCCGTTCGAGGGCTTCCTTGTCCTGTATGTCGCCCGGTGGAAGGAGACAGAGGTCTCTCCATCGCATCTTCCATATGTCGTTCGTGAGAGGGAAGCATACTGCGTCGTAGCCCTTGGCACGGGCTTCTGCGGTCGCGTGGAGTATGGGCGTTTCTGTAGCTGGATCAGTCCGTAATGATACCTGGGAGATGTCGCTGTGCGAGAGATGGCTCGTGAAGGTGAACATTCTTCGAGGTTCGTTCATGAGGTCGAGAGCAGAGAAGCAATACGGGTATGTTCGGCAAATAACAAAACAAGAAAAGATGCAGGTCCCAGGATGGGCGCTGAGAAACCTGCAAGAGAGAACTTTCCGTCACTCGAGTACAGTGACTGGCAAAAGCCGTACTCGGAATGCCAGAAAATAACTTGAAACGGATATGTATTATTATCGACGGCAGCTATCTATGCGATCTCCAATGCAATCCGCCACCACATCATGATACTGATCATGAAATGTACATAAACTTCACCGCGGGCGAATGCGTGCCATGTGCGTGTACACCACAAACCGCGCCTCCAACACGCGTTTGAAACGTTGGCTAGACTACTATATGCGAGGTAGAGCGCGAGTTCTACCCAGGTCCGTCTGTCCTCGACCTCTTGGCTCCATTCATGCCATCACGGCCTGCATCTCTGCGCTCTTCACCGCCTTCCGTCGTCATGCCATAACCAGTGACGACGCCTTCCAACACTGTACGGCCGACGGCCTGTCGCAGCTCCTCCTCGGGGTCATGACCGTCCTCCTCGGCGCGTTGCATGATCTCCTGCACTGATTGCATCAATGAGGACGTCAAGGTCTCTGAAGCAATGTTTTGCGCGTGTTGCGATGGTTGGTTAAAGGCCTGTGCAGGCACGGCTTGTGGAGGCGCTGCATTGTCTCCGGCCGACGATACTCGGTTGAGGTACGTGGCGACTTCCTCAAAGTCTTCCGCCAGGGTTTCTGCAGGCTGTGCATTGGTCAGCGATCGCGACTGAGTAGGTTCAGACTAAATGCGAACACGGGCGTACCGATGCGCCTTCATTGTTACGGTGGTCGACTGTTGCGCCGTTCTCTACGAGGAACCATGCCGTCATGATGTTCTCCACGACATACAATGGCGTGTCTCCGTCACTGTCAGTGACATTCACGTCTCCTCCTGCATAAATCATATCGATGACGCCGACGAACTCACAATTCAGGTGACGAGATAATGACCTTGGGATATCAGATACTCCAGGACGTGTATTTGTCCGTACGACGCGGCAGCGTGCCTGTGAAAATCTGTCAAACGATGAGAGGACAAAAATCTGGAGCACCCACATCGGTGTGTATGTATATGGGTCAGGCAGATTGGGTGACAACGCTATACACAAAGTCAATCTCTGCAGATGAAGTTTCGGCGTTGGAAGAAAGATAACGGACATTGGCCCTCTATCAGTTCCTTCGCAAAATCCCATTGAGCGGCCCGACCAAGCTACAGGACGAGGATCCGCTACTCACTCTGACCCGACCCAGGTCACCATCTCCCGCCGCCACCCATATGTTCTTCTCCGGCTGGACGCGGGTCGGTACAGGCATGTGAAGTACTTGCAGGATGTCGAGGACGAGAAAAGAGGTCCGAGTCTATGAACTCGGAGATTGAACGATCACGGTGATCGACCAAACTTGAAGCCGAAATGATCACCGTGACAGATGTGTCACACCGAAACTGTCACGAAAAGTTCGGTTAGTTCGGCTCCGTTACATCCGGCGCGACTCAATTCTCGTCAAAAATTCAGATATGGGACTCTCTGCGGAAGGCTGTTGTTATCAAAAGACTTGCTGAACCCACCAAGAAATACTCTCCCCAAAAACATGGATTAGGTTGTGCCTTGATTCCGTGCGTATTGTCCTCACGCTCTGCAGCGGAGTCCTAACTCGTGCGCTCATCTCAGCATCAAACGAGGCGTGCTATTTCACAGCTTTTCTTCGGATCGAGTGTAGCTGCAGGACAGTTCGTCGCGCACCGCTCAATGATGCAATGCGTCGGATCATTTTCTGGCCGTTAATTGTAAGCCACGTATGCTCTTTTCTCGGTTAGAGGAACCAGACTCTCATTGTTCCTTTGGCAAGCAGGTGCAATGTGAATGGTATGCGGGCAGGCAATTAAAAAGTATTCTATTAGAACATACGGCTCGCGCATTAACCTTGCTGTCGTTGACCCTAGGCCCCGTAGCCCTGTAGCGTCTTGTCCTATTGGCCGACTCCAATCTGCCAGGTCAATTCTCATGCTCTTCGTAAATGTGTCACTCGTTCTGGACTCTGTGTTTATATTCAGCAGCAGCCGAACGTAAGGTTCCCGCAGATCCCTCATTACGTAGGTTCACACTCCCCTTCTCCTGTTTCCGAGCGTTCATTTTCCCGCCCTCTGTAGACGGTATACGTGATTCCCTGGTATCTTCCCCATGTCTGTCAGATACAGGGACTGACCGCGTGGTCGTCGGTTAGTCCCCTATCTCTGGGACGGAAGGAGGAACCTCACCGTCCAGCTGTGATTCAAGATAACGCGACAAGCACCACGTCAAATCCTCTTACTATTGACGGTCAGTCGCCGAAAGTTACAAGTCGGGGGGCATAAGCATGCAACGTTCGTCATCGTGATCATCACACCACCCATGCTTGTGGCGGCGACCGAGCATTCTACGAGGCGACATCCATTCTAACGCTCGAGGGAACATTGATGAATGATAACCACCGCGTAGGGCGACGAGTGGTTATGGTGCCTTCTTCGCCTCCATGTGAATATCAGGGCAGTCGTCGCATAAGATTGTGATCTAAAGAAGCGGATCTTGATCGGAGAGAGAGGATCTTCGCACGAGAGCACGCCATCTCGGGAAGTGAAACACCAAGGCCATGCGGCGACTCCTGTGATCCATGCCTGAGGAGTGTGCAAAATTGTGCAGAGAGAGGCAGCTGGGCGTGCGTTTACCGTCCGTCGTGCGCGTGTGGAGGGAGGTCAGGGTGCAGCGAGCATCCCCGAAAATGTAGATCAGCCTAGATCTTAAGACTGATATCGCGCTGCGCGCTCGATTGGAGCGAGCGTCCATTCCGGGGGAGCAGGAATGAAATTTGATGGGCCTGGGAAGAAATACGAGAGAAAGAGCGAGAGAAATAAAGAAAATGAAAGGGAAATAGAGTTGGCGTGATCGGCAAGGCTGTGCTGAGTTGTTGTCGGATGACCTCGCTGGGTTGACCTGTGTTGACTTGGCCCAAGCGGCCGCAGTGGCGGGAGCCCCTGTGTGTTACTCCTGTGCTGAGTTGGAACTTGCCCCGCAGATATTCCCAGATTGAACCATCGCCGCCCTTCCTCTCCTTTGCAGCGATCCATCAGGATCGTTTTCCTGCTGCCTTACCTTACCCGCTTCTAAACAAAACCAGCTTCGAGCCGACAGTTACTTTACCCTTGTCCTAGTCATATCTTATCCTGCCATGAGCTTTCTTGCACCTTCGCAACGAGGCTACGACTCTCTTACACACTCTGACTTGGGCCAGCTCTCCTCTATGCATACCCACTCCTCACGCATCCCCATGCACACCTTCTCCTCCTACGACAACCTCACCCTCCACGACGTGCCTTCTACGTCTTCTTCATCAGGCCCGCCATCCTCGCACGTCTCCGATCGTTCAGCGGTGGCCTCGCCCAGGACCGGTCAGACTCGTTGTTGTGCGTAGCATCTTTGTCTCCGGACGATCGTTCATCGATCGTTCTCACTTCTCTCCATCAACCGGACCTTGCTCACCTCTCTCGCCATAGACTGGACCCTCCTCACCCCCGACCTGACCTTCCTCTACCTCGATCCCGTCTTCTCCAGTCACCTTCAAGAGCAAGCCGATCTCCTCGTCGGCAAGTCGCTCCTCGCCTTCGTCCATCCCGATGAGCAGGCATCTGCGAAACTAGACCTCGGAAGTGTGCTGGAGAGTCGGACCCTGCATGGGAGTGTTACTCGGTACGTCTCCCCGCGGTTCGCTGCCCACGTTGTTTCCGTGCGGTCGCCCTATCCGTCCAGCTGACTCACCCAACAAACCTTAAGGGTGCGATACTCCAGGCTGTCGCGTGTCCGCAGGCAGCTCGGATACCATGGTCCGTTGCAGGAATGGGCAGACGCCGACAAGATAGCCGTCGACGCAGATTACATGGCCGTGGACATCGTGATCAACTGGGCGTCTGACGGCTTGGTCCTTTGCTTCATGCATGCGGTCGTGGACCTCACTCCTCGTGATAGTGACGAGCACAACAAGACCGGTTGGTCGAACTGGTGCGGCACGCCCAGCATGAGCACGGAACAAGTGCAGCTCCTTTATCAGCGACTCCTTGCTGCAGTACCGCAGCCGCCCAATGTGTCTCGGGTCTTCCAGATATTACTCAATCAGCCTGACCGTGCGCTCTACATGAGTTGGCCCCCAGATCAGAATCAAGGAGGGCCCACTGCGAAGGACTTTGCGAGACTGGCACAGGACGTTCAGATCAGCAATGCAATTTCCAGCGGGACTGATGCCAAAACTAACTGTACTAGAAGGTACAAGGCTCTTCAGGTGATGCAGTGTGGAATGGATGGCAATAGAGAGGTTGAAAGCATATTCATACTTCACGGTAAACACCCCTATTCTTCGTTTACGTTTTTGAGGCTCAAATTTAATCACACACCCGCAGGAGCGCTCATCTTTGCATGTCACAAAGTCAATGCTGTATTGAGAAGCGGACCGAGTGGAGGCGTGCAGTCGAACTACAGCTCTCAAAGCTACACGTCGCCGTCGGTCCCGTACTATGATCCGCCGACCCATTCTTATAGTCTTCCTCCTGTGCCTGCGCCTCCATCCTACAACGGCTACTACGGGTCACAGCCCCGCGTTCCGCAGACTCAATACTCGGGCAGCTGGTCTCCTTCGTCTGAGCCTCAGAATGGGCAGTATAACCAGTGGCCCCCTCAGGGTGGCATGTCCCCTGCAACTACAGTCAGCAGCCTTCGTTCATCCTCTTACCCCACCCCTCAGCAGCACCAGTGGTCTTCTCAGCCGCCGTCATATATGGACTCAAATTCCGTACCTCCTTCCTTCAACCAGCCGCTTACATCTTCAAACCTTCGATATTCCGCTGACTCGGCTAACAATCATCACGAGGGTCCCTCGCCTTCCCCCGCAAATGACCACGTTCCGCCGTCGCGTACGCCGCGCAGAGGTTCTGGGAACAGCAGGGAGCAGTACGGCAATGGCGGTCGGAGCTCTGGTAACCCACCTGTCGGAATATCGAAGTGCTCCAGTTGTGATGCGACGCAGAGCCCGGAGTGGAGGAAAGGACCCACCGGGAAGAAAGATTTATGCAATGCGTCAGTTTTGCTACTCTCTCTTGCATGTTCCCTGCTGACTGCTCTCGTCCTTTAAATCCAGGTGTGGATTGCGTTATGCGCGTTCTCGTGCCAAAAAAGAAAGCGGTGGAGTCTCTTCTCAGGGCCGTCGGCGCAAGGATCGCGCGTTCAGCACCATGTCGGACAAACCGAGTGCCTCCCCTTCGACATCCCCGATCGATGTCCCCTTCGCCAGTGTCCGTCGTGCCAATCTGTACGACGACAGCTCCTTCTCGTCCACAGCCTCACCGTCCGGAAGTGAGATATGTTCGCAGCATCATGGCAGCTTTAACGGGATGACGCCGTCCCCATCGCCGCCCTCTGCAAGCATGAGCTACGGGGGATACTCGCACCACCACTCGGCGCCGAGCTCCCAAAATTCGCAGGCGGACCATCGTTCACACATGGGCACCCACAACACGTTCTACTCGGTCCCGCCGCCCCTGCCGAATGGGGCAGTGCACCACATGGCGGGCAGCAGCCATTCGGGCCCCCCCATCCCGCGGCTGGAGCCCCTCATGTCGTTCCCCAGCCGCTTCTCGCCGATGCTGTCCCCATCGTCGCCCGGCTCGGGCTCCCCCCTGAGCGCAGGCCTCTCCGCTGCGTCGTTCGAGCGTGAGAAGCACGACAAGGACCACGAGCGCACGCTGCTGCCGCCCACGCCCGTGTCCGCGGACGTGCGGCATTCCGACAAGCAGGGGTTCATGATGCGGTGAGAAAGACGTGGCTCTGGACGATTCCTCGCGCGAAGTATGTATCCGATTCGTTCTTCTACGTACGGGGGTGGACCCAGTTTCACCTAAGTTCCCTTCCCTCGACGGATATTTATTATGTATTGTCGTGTCGCTCTCCGTCGAGTAGGTGCGCGTAATTCTTAGCATACTTCGGTCTTCGTGTATTGTATTGAACAAGCTGGTGAGATAAAAGACATGTGTCCCTCGCTGTGCCGCGCGTCTGGCGCGCCTGTTACGGGAGATGACATCTCGCACACGATCCAGATGATTTACGGCAGGGGCATCAGACATCATCTACGATAGACGTGAAATGTTCGGCGGCAGTAAAAGTAACAAGTTGATGGCATGGTCGCGCCACAGACAGACCTTTGACGGGCGTCTGTGATGAGCGCTTGTTCGCGCGCCAAAGTCCGCATCGCTGCGGGTGGGCGATGTCCAGGCTCAGTATGCGTTGCAGACCAACGCCCCCACTCTTCCTACAAGCAGAAAACTTGAGAATCAGATGCCAGGATCGCAGTCAACGTCGAACCCACCGTCGAGCGCGGCGCCGAGCGCGGCTGCGAACGCGCCCGAACCCGCGATAGTCCCAAAGTACGATCGTTCCACCGGTTATGATGTTGCGACGAGCCAACCGTTGAGCACTCGCACAGGGAGAAAAGCGCCCGGATTGCGGTGGCACCATCGCATCCCGCGGACGGCGATACGAGTGGGGAGGAGGATGGAGCGGAGGAGGAAGCCGCCGTGGAGGATGCGGAGATCCTCGAGGACTTGCCGGATGACACGCAGGTGTGTGCTCCGTTACGTCTCTGAGCTTAACATGACATCTGAGTGTATGCGACTACGGCAGGAAATAGAGCTCGTGCATTCGCGGTTGAGTTCAATCAGCAAGCTCGGGCTACAACGGTTCGGTCCATATCTGAAGAAGCTATGTCTAAGACAGAACTACATATCGGTCTTGGATCCGGAGATTCTGAAGACACTCGTGGTGCTGGAAGAGCTCGATTTATATGACAACAAGGTCAAACACGTTGGCGAGGGATTGGACGAACTTAGCAATCTCTTGTGAGCTCTTCCCTGCGGTCCGCCGTAGTCCGTCCATTGATCTTTGTCACAGGGTGCTCGATCTCTCATTCAATCTGTTGCGCCATGTGCCAGATACCTTGTCGAAATTGAGCTCTCTAAAGACCGTGTATTTCGTGCAGAACAAGATCGCGCATATCACTAACCTCGAGGGCGTCGGACGGACACTGCGAAGCCTCGAATTGGGCGGCAACAGAATCCGAGTAGGTTCCTATAAGTTCTACTTCAAAAGAACACTCAATAATATTGCCCTCTCATAGACAATCGAGAATTTAGATGCGCTTGAGATTCTGGAAGAGCTTTGGTTGGGCAAGAACAAGATCAGTAAACTCGAGGTGATCTTCGTCGTCTTTCTGTGTTGGCTCACAGTGAATGAACCAGCAGTGTTTATCAGAATTTGGGAAGATTGAAACGTTTGAAGATATTGTCTATTCAGTCGAACCGCATCACGAAACTTGAAGACTTGGAGAACCTAGAGAATCTGGAGGAGTTGTACCTCAGCCATAATGGTATCGAGCGTCTGGAGGGTCTCGAGCATAATGTGCGTCATCAGAAGGCTGTTACAGCATACTGTCCGACTCATGTCTCTGCTATCAGCTCAAGCTTCGTACTCTGGATATCGGAAACAACTTCGTTCCCGCACTGGAGAACATTTCACATCTCATCAATCTAGAAGAGCTATGGGTCCGTTCTTGCGTGGTTCTTTGAAGTCTTTCGTGTGCCTGACTCTTTGTGGTCAGATCAACGACAATAAGATCACTAGTCTTACAGATCTAGAGCCACAGCTGAAGCATGTCGCAACTCTGGAGACAATCTATCTTGAAGGTAACCCATGCCAGAAGTCTGAGGGATCGAGCTATCGAAGGAAGGTGGTCCTCGCTTTGCCGCAAGTGAAGCAGCTAGATGCGACGTTGGTATCTCCTTCGTTATCTCATTCCCGCCACTAATCGGTGGGCGTAGATTCGTGAAACAAACATGATTCCAAATGCAAATCGAGAGTTAGCACTACTGGCACGAGGAGCGTCGAAGACTCCAAGGTCAATCTTGCGCCACTCAAACCGCCCATGGATAGACATCACTGAACCTCAATCCCCCTCCTACAGAACGAACTAACAAGTCCCGATGATCGCAGACGTTTGTATATCGACGTCAGAGTCGATCACGCCGCCTCGTGTGCCCTGCTTACTGTACTGACCGATCGTGTTGCTGTACTTTCTTACGCTCTGATCATGGACGTGACGATGATCTTCGCTTCGCATTCTATTGAGATTGGTGATTGAACGGATCGACTCGGCGGGCTGCGATCTGCGTCCGCCGGAGCCTGTGAGTCTGACGGTGCCGTAAGTGCTCTTGCCTTCCCGACATTGTGGCGTAAGACGTGTGATGCTCAGTACCGATAGACCTTTCGTCGAGACCACTAATTTATAGTAAAGTGACATCCCAGGCTCTAAATATATCCTGAAGTGAAGCACCGATTTCGCATCGACTCGTCAAGGTCTTGCGCTCGAAATGGGTTGTTTGGCTGTATTGTCCAAAGGCTTCGTTGATGACGTAAGCACTGCAAATTCTTGCGGACCCCGTAACTCAGCGTAAGTTATACCAGAAATCGTATTAATTACGTCGAACACCCAAGTAGCAATACAACAGAGTACATATACGGATTTATCTCAACTCAAAACTTGCCCGTGAGGAATGGAACACCTTCTAGATACGTCTGAATCGCTCACCCCCTGACGGGAACGTTCGCCCCGCCCTTGAGCGAATAACTAATGAACTAGAGTACTGAGGTGCATGGAAACGAGCACCGACACGGGGGCAACGCTAACGCACTACTGAGTAGAGAAGGCACTTTCGTCAGTTCCAGCAAAGATTATACGACTATGATTGTTGGACTCAGTACCATTATCCCTCACAGCTGCTCGTGCTCCACGACGGCGAGCGTGCGCGCGCGGCGAGGTTGTATGGGGTGTCCTTGTGAGCATGACACCGCATCGCCCCACGATTCTTTTCAGACCCCTTCAGATGCCGCAAGAGCGTATCTGACCTTGAGAACATACGCATACAGCCGCCGTAATACACGACGCTCTCGAACTCAAACTGATGCGCGCGCTTGACGTCGATACCCGCGCTCAGCGCCTCTGCTAGTGGAACCCCCCCGCAAATCACCTTCGCGTCAGAATGGCTTCTCATATGTCGCCTCAAGTCACACGAGCGTGCCATCTTCAAACCACAGAAAGTGCACCGGGATGAACCGGGGGCCGGTGGAAGCGGTCTCTTCTTGCATAGTTTGTTGCGCCGTCTCGTGTCGTGAAAAGTAGCGCTCCGAGGTGACGGTGATGTCACATGTGCTGACAACGAGGCGCAATTAACGCCGCGAGGAGAGCCGAAGTTAAGAGGAAAGGGTAAGACGGAAGGGGACCAGGAGGCAAAGATGGAAGGATCGGAGGGAGGGGCCGCGCCCCAGGTGAATGCAGAAGGGGAGGTAAGTGTAGGATCAGAGGTGAGAGCGGGTTGAAATGCAAGTGTGGATTCCGCTGGAGAATCCGCGAAGTAAGAATCTGCCTGATAACGTTCTTCGCTTAGTGCAGTGGTCTGCGTTGGAATCACCTCGCAGAATCTCTGCGGCGATAGGGATCGCACAGCACGATCCAAAGACTCAGTCTTTGTTGTGTGTTCCTCCCTCTCCCCAGGTGAACTGGACATCGGCGGGAAGCTAAAAAGTGACATCAAGCAATCCTGGTATACCAGGGGCCACAACGATGAAGAAGAATATTCATGTTTGAGGGATGGCCCTGCGACGAGCGCACCTTGTGCGGAGAAGGAAGAGGGCGATGCTGCATCAAAGTCCAAGTTGCTGAACCCAGGGAGATACCTGCTGATATGTGAGGGCAAGTAGTATGGAGATCGTGAGTACGCACGAAATGCCCCATGGTTTCGGAGACACGACAGAGTCGTATTCTGATGTATCCAGCGTGGCGTCGCACACGTCATCAAAGGAGTTATCAGGGGAATCATCAAGGACGAAGGAAGATGCGGTCATAGTGTCAGTATATCGACCGGTGGTAGGTACGAGGGAGAAAAACACAGAGGCGGAGGGGAATTTATAGGCGAGAGTCTCTTTGTGCAACTAGTGCACGCATCATGCGATCCAATATGCTGAGTGGCGTTATCAAGATCGCAATGTGCTCGGCGATGCATGAGGTAGTATGCATACGGCATTTCTCCGCAGTTTCACAGACAAAGCATCAAGCCACTCGAACCCCGATCTGAGCACGAGTGGCTGTGGTCCAGGCAGGAACCTGATTTAATCTGAGCCCTCGGGGAATAGATATACATCATGATGACTTTAAAAAAGCAAGGCCTTTGTTCTCTTCGATACACACGCACCGAGTCAGAACTCGACTGGAGGCACTAGGCCCCTCACAGATATATCAAATGCCAACTTCCGCGCTATCCGAACATGACAATCAGAGAAAGGGTATGAGCAACAATGACAGCATGACCATGCACAACAACTAAAGTTCACGAGGACTCGAGGCAAAGAACTTACTGGTCTCCATTTCGAGATTAGGGCGCTCAAGTACAACTGCAGGCATCAACGTGCTGAGAAACAGCGCACAATACCATCCGAATGTTTCAGCATATATACTATGCCCTACCGTCCCATCGGCACCCCCCCTCAAGTCGGCAGTAACGCGTTATGTCACCCATCAGTCACCCATTTGGCACGTCAGCGTGACACCATCGTGACACAGCGTGATAAAACATGATTTTTCGCCGAAAACAGAACTCGGTCAATACTAGACCGTCCGCCGTCGTTCAAGTTCGCAATTGTTTGAGATATACCATTATAAACATATATGAAGAAGGTAAGCAAGGGGACTGGAAATGGGGGAGGTATGCTGGGGTGCCGACTTGTAGGGGGGTGCCGATGGGACGGTAGGGCATAGTATGCAACGGTGAGCATTGAGTTCTCGTCGGGTGGCGAACCAAAAACGGCGCTCTACATCAGCAAAAGTCAACTTTTGGTTACCTCCATTTAGCTCCCTTATCTCCTTAATTAAGGAGGTCTCCGTTCTTAATTGGGCAATTAACGCCGATAAGGGTGAATAATGGAGGAATAAGAAACGGGATCTCCTTATTTTTCCTTAATCAAGGGTATAACACCAGTAAGCAAAAGTTGACTTTTGCTGATGTATGAGGCAACAAATGCCCATTTATTATTTCGTCACGCGCGGCCAGTCTGACTGTCACTGACACTGTCCGACTGTATCTCACTGTAACTGCGGGCGTCCGTTTGACTATCTCCGACACCGTTCAGCGGGAAGATCCTCTGCAATAAATTCCTATGTTTTCTTTTCGGTTTCGTGTCCCAAGTGTGGCGCTGTCCGCAAAACTTTAGGTTCGTTGTAGTTCCCACAAGCCCTGTCACGGTCAACCGTGGCGGGCAATGCTGTTCTTCCCTAATGGCCGAAAGTGCCAAAGTGATTTTCACTGGGCATTTTTGGTGAAAATATCTTAAGGAATTTGACCACTTTTTGCAAGAATACAACCGCACAGTGGGTGAACGTCACATGGTGAAATTCCCCTTGATTATAACGGGTTTCACCCGGTTCGGTCAAGCATTGTGACTACACATTCACCAGGTTTCTGAAGTTGCATGGCGAAATCTCCCGTGTATGACAAAGCCGAAAAAATGAATTTATTGCAGAGGATCCTCCCGCAGAACGGTGTTGGAAACAGTCAAACGTCGACAGTTACAGTGAGATAGTCAGACAGTTTTGGAAACGACGTGTATGCAGAAGACTCACCTAGTGTTGCAACCGACTGAAAAGCTGCGATCTGTCCATGTCAACCCGCAGAATCGTATGAAACTATAATCCGAGGAGGTATGTAGAAGGATAGCAATGTTCATATATGGTCGCCTGGTAGTCGGCCGGAGACACCGTGAGTTGAAGCGTGAGGATGTCCGGAGGGCTTCCAAATGCAGGCTATCTACCGCCGTAGGCCGAGAGACTAGCTCTAAGTCTCCTCCACAACTCTCCCAATTCGCCTCCGCGGAATCTTCACGATATCCCTCACGCTCGTTCGACATAGCAAACCTAAACATCGCGCGGTCCTCCGCGGTTGTTGCTATCACCCATCATGTCTGCCTACTCTGATCTTCCTAGCTCACCCCAGTCGCCCGCAAGTATGTCTTCGAGGCGGTTCACAAACAGAAACACCAACCGGTACAGCGTCACCGCGTTCTTCAGTATGACTGCGGAGCAGGACGTAGATGTCGAGGATGAACTGGGCCGAGGTGAGTCCCCGTCCGTTTTCGTGCGAGGGGGCGGTCGACTCATCTCAACATGCAGCACAAAAGCGACTGAGGGAGCTCAAGTCTCGCATCTCGTCCCAATCAAAGCGGAACTTTGTGCTCGAGCGCGATGTGCGCTTCCTAGACTCGCGCATCGGACTGCTCATCCAGAACCGAATGGCACTTGACGAGGTGCGTGCTCTTCCTTTGGGCGGGCGAGATGTGACTGACCGGGGAAAGCACGGTACAGCAAAACGAAGTGGAGCGACACCTCGAAGAGGTGGATGCGACGGAGGGACACTATCCGGACGACCGGAAGATGCAGCAATACTCGAATCTGTTCTTCCTGCTGCAGTCTGAGCCGCGACACATCGCGTCGCTGTGCCGGCTCGTGAGCTTGACGGAGATCGATACACTGCTGCAGACGGTGATGTTCACGCTGTACGGCAACCAGTACGAGAGCCGGGAAGAGCACCTGCTGCTGACCATGTTCCAGTCTGTGCTCTCGTCGCAGTTCGAGACGGCAACCGAGTTCGGGTCCCTGCTCAGGGCGAACACGCCGGTGTCGCGGATGATGACAACATATACGCGCCGCGGGCCGGGACAGAGCTACCTCAAGAGCGTACTCGCAGAGCGCATCAACAGCCTCATCGAGCACAAGGATCTGAACCTCGAGATCAACCCGGTCAAGGTTTACGAGCAAATGATCATCCAGATTGAAGAAGAGACCGGTTCTCTTCCACCCAACCTACCGCGTGGAGTGCCCCCGGAGGTCGCTTCAAACAACGTGGATGTGCAGGCCATCATTGCTCCTAGACTGACCATGCTTATGGAGATTGCTAACAGCTTCTTGCTGACAATCATCGAGAGCATGGAGAGCGTACCATATGGTATTCGATGGATCTGCAAGCAGATCAGGAGTCTGACACGGGTATGTATTCCTCTGTGTGCGTGTAATCTCAGCATAAATGCTGACCGCTCTGTGCAGCGGAAATATCCTGATGCCACAGATTATGCTATATGCTCACTTATTGGTGGATTCTTTTTCCTTCGCTTCATCAACCCTGCCATCGTTACTCCGCAAGCGTATATGCTTGTCGAGGGCGTTCCAGCGAAATTCCCGCGGAGGACGTTGACCCTAGTATGTGGGAGCTACTTCTAGTGATGCATACGGTCGATTGACACATTGTGCCAGATCGCCAAGATGTTGCAGAATCTGGCGAATAAGCCGTCATACGCGAAGGAGGCCTATATGATCACCCTCAATCCCTTCGTAGAGAACAACAAGGCGAGGATCAACCAATTCTTAAACAACCTTTGTGAAGTGGGCGACTTCTACGACACACTAGAAGTAGGTCGCTGTATTGCGAGCGCCCCAGGCTGCGTAACTGACGGCCGTGTGACAGATGGACCAATACATGGCATTGTCGAAGAAGGATCTGGTGATAAACATTACTCTGAATGAGCTTTACAACACACATTCCCTTATCCTCCAACATATCGAAGCTCTTGTGCGTTACCGCGATGTTCCCGCTGTCGACTTGCTCTGATTTTGTTTGCTGCGTTGTAGTCACCAAACGACAAACAGCATCTCCGGATCCTAACCGACGAGCTTGGCCAGGCACCACCGCAAGTTCCCCGCAAAGAGAACCGTGCGATCGAGCTTCATCTCTACAGCCGGTGGGAGACACCGATCCAGGATATCCAGAGCGCGCTCATGGATTCTGTGTCCTCGAGCGATATGCTGTACATGGAGGCGAAGTCTATCTTCGTGCAGCTGGTTCGTTCTCTCCCGCATGCATCGGACAAGCGGCCATACAACCTGCCGGCCATCGCGGAGAGCGCTGCAACGACGAAGGATGCGACCCTCGTGCGCAAGGGCATCAAAGTCAAGGAGATGTTGCGCGAGCTCGAAGAGCAGAAGGTCGTCGACAGCGCCGATGGGTACAAGCTCATGCAGGATGAGGTCGCTGCGGAGCTCGTGCATCTAGGCAACCTGCGCGAGAAAGTCATCCTAGAGACTAAGTCGCTTGACGCCGTATTTAAGACGATCTGCGACCACAACAACTATCTGCGCGGCCAGTTGGAGCAGTACAAGGCGTATCTGCAGAATGTGCGCCTGACGTCGTCAAAGGATAAGGGCTCCTCGACGGGGGTCGGCGTTGTCACTGTGGGTGGTAAGGAGAAGAAGCCACTGAAGCCGGTTGTGCATGGACCATATCGCTTCACTCACGCACAGCTTGAGAAGGAGGGAATTATTGTGGAGAGCAATGTCCCTGACAATAGGTGCGTGTCGTGGTGGTGCTCAGCGGGGTTGACTGTTCGCTGATGTCAATGCGCTAGACGGCCAAACATCTACTTCAACTTCACGTCTCCAACACCAGGAACGTTCATCATTGCGCTCCATTACAAGGGCCGAGAGAAGGCTATCCTGGAGATGGACCTTAACATAGACGACCTCTTGGAGAAGGTTCGTACCGTTGTTTATTTTGGCCCACAAAGTTGCTGACGGAAGTTAATCCACAGCAAAAAGACAACAAACACCTGCTAGACCTGGAGTACGTGCAGCTCAACGTGCCGAAGGTTCTCGGGCTTCTCAACAAGATCTTCACGAAACGATGACCACCCCATCATCATACTTCCACTCCTTTCTCCCACCCATGCCTGCGCTACCTTCGTCCTTCGTCCTTCTCCCGCGCCCCTTATGATCGGCTTTACTTATTCACACGATTTTTATGCCTTCATTGTACTTTTCCTCCGCCTCGCCCTGGTGTCACGACTCCGATACGCCTTCGTTCTCGCTCCTACGCCGTCGTTTTTCTATTCTGCTCTTTATTATCTCTTTGTCTTCCTGTCGGATCTCATCTTCGCCTCTCGGCTTGTACGAGGCCCTCGATCCCGGCCTCATCAGGATGTATTACCGGTATCTCATGTATGCATGTCTCTGGACAGTAATTTGTCGTCGTGTCGCATGTTGGGATTGTGAATTAAGCCTGCCGATTCATAATGAATTGCGACCGCGATGTTAGTCTGCTGTGCGGCCATGCACAATTGGCATAAAACAACTGAGTACATGCAGTGACTGCGGAAGCTACAATGTGACATTACGGATTACATCCAAAGCCCTGATCGATAACCACTGTCTGCTACAATCCCTGCGGAGGCCAGTCGGGGAGACTCGAGAGGGCGGCGTTAATGCTCTCGCGGACACGGCGTTTGGAGGCGAGATCGCCAGACTGACGATAACCAGAGTATACTTCTTGCATCTGGAAGGCCGATGCAGCCACAGAGTCTGAAAAAAACAGAAAGGGCAACACAGTGGGTACAGGAGAGCAGGTGAGTAAAGCCGGAATGTGGACAAGACCCGCACGCACCGAAGTTTGACTCCGCCTCTCTCGTGAGCTACAGGGCGTTGTCATGAGATACAGAGACGACTTCCATGAACCAAGACTTACACTCTCCAGTCGTGCATACTCTTGCGCCTGCCCACCATACACTCCGCCGCCACCAAATAGCCCGGCGCCACCCATAGCTCGGACACGGCTCTCGACATCACGCTTCCGCGCTGACCACGCTTCCTTCAGCGCATCGAATGCATTCTGTATCTGCGATGTTCAAGTAAATGTCAGGACGTGTATGCTTGTCACGAACGTGTAATGTACCTGCTTCCATGCATAACCATCCCACGCTTCGAGCTCTGCCTTATGCTGCTGCACATACTCCCTAGGGTGAAGCTGTCGATACTGGCCATTTCCGCCTCCAGAAGGCGTAGCAACGAACGGTGTCGACTGCAGCTGAGCGTACGGGTCAAATTCCGGCAGATACTGGTTATTCGGCTGTGGCGGGAATCCAGACTGGTACGCGCCACCATACTGTGGAGTCTGATAGCCAGAGTATTGCTGCTGCATCTGCGGTTGCTGCTGGGGCATCCCGGTGTATGTGCTGTTCACCTGGCCTGCGAGCTGCTGGCCGAAGGATGACGAGGGCTGGAAAGGACTCGAGATCTGTGGGGCCTGCGAAACGTATCCCTGCTGCTGGGGTTGCGCAAACCCTCCGCCTCCATTCCAAGATGTCTGCTGTGGCTGCAGCTGCATTGGCGGCTGCTGCTGATACCCATTGCTATACCCTGCCGGGGCACCTTGTGCGGCATATCCCGTTGTGCTAGAAACAAGAGACGACCCCGACGGCTGAGCCCACGGGGCAAATTGACTACTATCTCCACTAAGATCGTTCGAGCCAGAGATATCGGGAAATCGAGCCAGAGCGTTAGATGGGTGGTCGATGAATGGATTATTCGAGAGCTCTGGGGGAGGGGAACCGTATGTACGGCGTGGAGAGTACATTGCTCAGGGGTTTGTTGGAAAGGTTGACAATTAAGGCTCTATTTTCTGTGGAGAGCTAGCAAAGCAGAATATATCAATACAGATTGGTTCAGGATACAGAAAGCCAGTTAGATGAAAGCGCTGCGGAGGGAGATGTCAGGCGCTATCCGATACGCCGTCACATGCACTGTGTATGCACGTCCTCCTCATCCTCACCGCATACGTACCCCCAGCGCAATGTCGCGTCGTAATCGCCCTACCGCCTTTGAAGTGAGTTTTCCGGAGGAGGCGAAAGAAGGTCCGTCGCGACCTGGAGGTTTACTTGCTGGGCACGGCGCCCCCAAGCGTAAGAGCCCGAGTGCAGATACCATCAACTCGGTGAGCCATCTAACAAACGGTGATACAATTGGACGGACTTAGAGGACATCCCGCAGGAAGGGAAACGACAAAAGATAGCCCAGTTAGCACAGGATTCCAGAAGCGCTGCATTACCGCCTCCTGGTGAGTATCTGACTTTCCATCTATTCGACTACCAGTGACTGGATCTGTGTAGAGGTATGCTATGTACCGCAACCTCGCGACATCAAGGAAAGAAAGGACTTCGTGGTCTTGGGCGAAGATACTGATGATGAATATGAGGGTACCGAGTCCAAGCCGATCCGGGTCCTCTCAGATTTCTGCATCTTTGATCCCAAGCACGGTCTGCAGGTGGTGTCTCTTGACCTCCTTGATGCCGGAGACTACGTGGGACATTTCGAAGCTGCAGGCTTTGTTTCCCCGTTGTTCTTGAATGAAGAAGATGCAGGTCAGGAAGACGGTATTGACGATGATGAACCTGCAAGCAGCCTGCAGCGTCTGCGGACAAGTGCTGTTTTCAGGTATACGATTGACTATGCAAAAGTTGATGAGTGAGTCTCTATCCTGTACTGTTGCTGCACTAGAACAAATATGTTCTAGTCCCGTGTATATAGAAACACAGTTTGGCTGGTACGTCCTGCAGGAGCCCTCTGCAGTCTATCGACACTCCTTCCTCGACTTCTACGAGCGACACCGACTTCTGCAAATCATTATCTCTGCAGCCGCGGAAAATCCGTTGTGGACCTATCAAGACTTCACAGACTGCTACATTGGGATGCACGACCAGTATCTAAATCGTCGGCTTGACGAAACAGACATATATAGTATTGTGAGTGGTTCAGGAATTTTCACCTCAAATGCCTGATGACTTTGGTAGATTCCTCAATTGCGACCTGCATTAGAGGACTGTGAGGGTGGTGCAGAACTTACAGCTGTTCCGATGATTCAGCACCTGTTCCGTGGCCAGAAGCTTGCATTCACGAAACACCTTGATCGTGCACATGCCCATCCAGTAACTCGACACGATCTTGTAGGCAATATTGACCTGGATGTTCTTCGTCCTGAGAAGCAAAATCGTACACATGTTACTCCTCTTATCGATCAACTTGCAGCCGGTTTCTTCCAGGAACACTTAGAGGTGGTGGGTCCTCCACCTAAGGTACCCAGCAAGCATGTTTTGCGACAACGAGAGCATCAAGCACGGCTACAACTTTTCCAGTTAATGGAGAAGACGATGCAGGAAAAGTCCAAGCCGATATTTCACCGGAGTCAGCGACTCCATGATGAATATTGGCATGCAGTGTCAGTCAATGGGGAGGACTATTATGTTTGTGTTCTGTTTTCCAATGTGATCTTTCTTACTGATCTCGTGTGATTCAACTAGGTTGGAGAAGTTATTGTCACTGTTGCTGGAGCATATCATCAGAGAGCTGAGGCGGAGCTGCCAGATGACTTGGAGAGCCTTCCAGATACAGCCACAATTGCGGACTTCTTCTGGTAGGCTTACCCGTGTTCTTCGGTTATTTTCTCTCACTCTTCATGTAGGTTCGCACAGATTGTCTACATCAATCAGAAGCGCAAACAATTGCATGTACAATGGTTTGAACATTCCTCGCAAACCTTTCTGCAAGAGATATCAGATCCCCAGGAACTCTTTGCCTTCAATTCTTGCTCTGATATTGACATAGACCTTGTTGTGGGCAAAGTTGATGTGCATTGGTGCATTCCCAGAAGCACAGAACTCCCTGCCACTGAGTTCTACTGCAAGTAAGCTGTTCTATTTGTGTTACAGTGGATTCTCTCAGCTGTCTTGTTATAGTCTACTGTATGATGACAATAATGCATCCTTCACTACAGTCAACCAACCTAACACTGCACACACAAAGAATATGTTACCACCTCATAATTGCTCTGTCTGTCTCTTATCAGCTCAGCAGATGGAAGACCAATCTTGGAGGAAGATTAATGATGGTATAGTGCATCTAGGTATAACTTATCACATTGAAGACTATGTCTTGGTCAAGACAGAAGATGGACCTGCAGATATCGGTCAAATTCTGGACATGCACTTCAGTACCACGGCACGACAGTATGAGTCTGCTACCATTACACTTCGACTTCTTGGGCGCATCTCCAATATTATTGACCTTTGCCCATCAGATGTTATGAAGGACGAGGTGAATGACTTGAACCTTTTATGTACTGCAGGCTGACGTGTTGTAGCATCATCTCTTTCTCACAGATGAGAAGGTGACAATTCCAGTAGAATTGCTCCTAAGACGGTGTAGCATTCTGCACTTTGATGCCATCAAAGATCTCTCCATGTGGCTTTCCATTTCCCCCTTCCATTTCTTTGTTCGCTATCATTTTGTGTCACCCAGGCCTCGCAAATGGGTGGAAAACACACTACTCACCTTCAATGATGTGCACCTCTGCAAGGAGTGCTATAAGGAAGACAAGAAACAGATGAATATCCGCAAGAAATTCTTCATTGCTGCAAGACAGAAACCTTTGAAAGCTTTTGATCCATTTGGCGGTGTCGGAGCCTTTGGGCTTGGAATGGAGGAAGCTGGTTGTCTGAAGATGGTACATGCAGTCGAGATCTCTCCAAGTGCTGCGGAAACATTGAAGTGAGCATCTGTTTAAGTTTGGCACTCTGTGAATATAAATCACAGGCTCTCTGCAGGAACAATTCACCGAATACTATTGTCCATAACCAGTGCTCAAATGTTGTCTTCAAGTATGCTGTGAAACTTCAAGAAGGTCACCACGTTGACCCGCCAAAGAGCCTTCATGATGGACGCCCATTGCCAATGCCTCCACAACCGGGCCAAATTGACTGTATTGTTGCCGGATTCCCTTGGTATGTTTTCCTTTGTAAACTACACTGAGCTTAACTTGTGTAATAATAGATGTTTATTCTTAGTCAACCGCATTCTCGCCTAAACCAATTCCAGAAGGCAAATGACCGAAAAAGTCACTTGATCCTGAATTTACTTGCCTGGGTTGACTTTCTGCGGCCAAAGTATTGTTTTATGGAGAATGTGCGTGGATTTCTCAGCCACAACCTGAATGCTACGCAGGCCAGTCGCTATCGAGTTGAAGGAGGCATCAGAATGGGTGGGTTAAAATTTCTTGTTCGAGCACTCATTGCCATGAAGTGAGCTTTCATTAACTTTGCTCCCGCTGCCTACACTTATCATTCCTTCAGCTACCAAGTGTGCTTTGGTCTGCTACAAGCGGCGCACTATGGTACTCCGCAGTCTCGTGTGCGGTTTTTTCTTATAGCCTCGCATCAGTCATGCCCTTTGCCGAATCTTCCTCAGCCGACACACCACTTCCCACTTCAAGACACTCTGCAGATTCAGTTCCCAAATGAAACAGCTGTGCGACCGGTACGAACAACAGCAGGTACAGCGCCGCATTCTTTTGTTTCAATTGATGATGCCATTGCGGACTTGCCGCGGTTCGATTGGTGAGCGCCCTCTGTAGAATACTTCTCAGTTCTGACCCCATTTGGATAGGGAGAACCCTCGCAAATTGGAAGGGACTGTGCCGCAAGGACGCCATCACGACGAGCCTGCGCCAGGTAGGAAAGTGATTGTTTGTGATCGTAGCAAGGCATTCTGCGGCTTTTCTGGTCCAAACGTCCGATATCACAGCAAGCCACGAACCACCTTTCAATTGAAATGCAGGGCACAGCTCACTTCTGACCTCCAGCATTACACCAGAGTGCTCAAGGAGGAAACAGTCGAGAGGGGAGTGGACATCATTGCACGGCAAGGACGTGGACTGATGGCTGCTACAGAGTCGTCAATATTCCGCTTAATCCCCGGGCTGACTACAGGAGTAAGGATATGGATATTACGCTACTACGGCTAATGATACTAACGGCTGTTGCTACTTTTTCAAGGTCTGGAACCACATCTATGGGAGTGGCAAATGGCAAATCCATCCTCAGCAGTAGCAAGGGATGGGTTTCGTCCTGGTGAGTAGTTATCCTTGAGATCTTGTAGCAAAGGTTAGGTTGACGTTGTAACCATTTCGTAGGTTTGTACGGCCGCCTTGATGGTAAGGAATGGTTCAAGACAACAGTAACAAATGTTGAACCAACGGCGAAGCAGAGTTGGGTTCTGAATCCCTATGTACGTCTCAAATCCATTATCTCTTGTTCACTGCTCAGGTTAGCCGGATAGTGTGCTCGTATGATCACAGTACGCGAGCTAGCACGATCTCAAGGGTTCCCAGACCACTTTGTATTTTTCTCCAGAAACAATGATGTTAAGACGGTGAGTTCTGCTCTAAGATGCTCCCTCTCTCCAGGAATCCAGCCGGATCTTCAGAGCCAGCGGGTACTCATCTACTCATTACAGATGCAACGACAGATTGGAAATGCCGTGCCGTTTCCTGTAGCCGCTGCACTTGGACGGGAGCTCAGAGAGGCACTGCTCGAGAAGTGGGTGAGTGGTCAGGAAGAGGCCATCGTGATCGAGTAAGGTATCTTGGGTGGTCTTGTTATTGGACTGTAGTAGTGCGATGGGGATTCACGGAGGCCAGCACCTGAGGCAACGGCGAATGAATTAAGAGGCTAAGTTGCAAGCTCAATGGCGGCGCACTGACAAAGATGCTCGCACAGATCGACAGCCTATGGGTTTGTCTGGCATTGCAAAAAGCTGAATCACTAGGTGTTCCGTGTATTAGTTGCTTGATTTTAGTTAATTTAGATAATGCAATGCAAATGCTAGATACAGTGTGAATCAACCCTTGACTTCAACGATAACATTTGCGATCATAAGACACATGTAAGCAGTGATGAGTGCGACACCCCAGCTCCTGGGTAAGAAGTAGCCATTCCACGGCACGAAGATCATAGTTGCGAGGAGGATACCGAGCAGCCCGGCACCAGTGATCACGAGTGTAGTAGAGAAATGCAATTTGTAAGGTTCTGCGGTCTGTCGTATGATGTACGAGCCAGAAATTCCGACACCGAGGAGGATGTTGAGCATCGGCCCGCCGAAACAGGCTGAAAAGCCCATGATAGGTGCGAACACCTGCGCGCCGAGTCAGCTAAACACACTTAGGTGAAAAGAACGACGTACTGCCACACTCATGTTTGCGACAAGGTCAGCGAGGGAATTGCCAACCGCGAAGATCGTGAGCCCAATGATTGCATCCGATAAACCAAAGATGAACCCGAAAGCCTAAAGATCAGTCAGACATGAGGTAGAAAACGATCAAAGGTTCGCCCGCACCTGCAGAACTTCAACGACCTCGTCTGCGATAGCCATGATCCAGACAACCGAGATAATGAAGCCCATGAGACAGCGCGCCATCTGCGCCGTTGGATGTGCGCCCTTGTCTGCAAAAACAGCGACCATGAAGCCTATGGCAACGCCTGCTACGCCTGTAGCCAGTAATAACCAGAGTTCATGTTGGACGCCATCTGTAGAAAGATCAGTAATTGTGAATCTCTGTGACACGTAAGCTGATCACACCGAATAATATCGAGACACAAAAGAGCGGGCCGAGGACACATTGCACAGCCATCAGGTATTTATTGAATTGCAGCTCGCGCATCTCTTCGGAAACTTCCTCCTCGGCAATGAGGGCCCGCTCCACACCCTCCTCCTCGAAGTCAACTAGACGATTTTCGTTGCCCATTATCTTCTCCTTCGACGAGCTAGCGTCCTCGTACGCGGTAACGATGACCGGGAGCGTCAGCGTCAGCACCATCACAGCTGGTGCTGCTAGCACCGCGGTTACCTTGCCTAGGAAATGTTTTGACATGAAGTTGTGCAGCGTTGGGAAGACAATATGGAATGCACGCCGAAGCACACTCGCGATGCGCTCACGGCGCGTCGGCGCAACGTACTGCTGCGACTCGGTATCGGTATCGGATATGGGTGACGCAGGGGTATGTGAGATAACGGGAATCGGGGGACGGTCCAGTGCAGTGTCGTCGTGTGACTCTTCCGCGAGGGCCGGTGACACAACGGTCGGTGAGCGGTCATTGAGAGGTACTCCAGGCGTCGAGTCCCATGGCTCGTGCTCCTCGGAAAGTGGCGTACGTGGGCGTGAACGCGAATGTGAATGCGAATACGAATGGCGGTGGTAGTGTCCACCAGGATACGGAGAGATCGGGCTCTCAAACACACTTAGCGACGAGCCCGCTGCCTCCTGCTGCAGAGAGGATACAATCCGTCGGAACTCCAGTGCACCAACGAGAGAGAATGAAGGCATATGGCTGATATACGGCGAGGATTGCGGTGACGGTGTTCGCGTGCGTGAGCGTATTGGCAGTGCCGTGTGCACCCCAAGGCGTGAAGGCGTTGGGCTCGATAATGCCCGCGTCCGAGGCAGAGATGGGAGCTGCAAGGTGGACGAAGATTCGGGCTCCAGGTGAGCTGCGACTGACTGAGTTACTGGGAATGAGGAAATATTCGGATGTGATACGCACGAGAATCCCTAAAAGGTTCCTCGTCGTGGTACGCTACGACCGGCACCTCTTCCTCCCGGAACTCGTCGCGCACCAGCACTTCGTAACGCCTCTTCTTCTCCAGCCGGTTCTCCCACCATGTCCCGACCACGACGATGAGGACATAGACGAAGTAGAGCGCGACCAGCGCTATGGCCTCCCATGCCTCGAGCTTGCTGTCCCACAGCACGGCCAGCAGCAGAACTACCGCAACTGTAAAAAATCCGACATCGCGGATAAACGGCAGACGGTTCACGTGGAATGGCTTGATGATGCACATAGAACCAACCACGCACGATACGATGAACGACGCAGCGCCGAGGAGTTCCCCGATCGCCAGCCCGCCCGAGTTCGCACGCATGGCTGAGAACGTCGCAAACACATCGGGGCTGCCGTTCCCGAATGCGAGGAGTGTCACCCCTGCCAGGTTATCGTCCATCCCAAGCAGCTGCGCGAGAGTTCCCAGATTGGGACAGAAGAAGTCGGACGCGCTGATGCCGAGCGTTGAGAAGAGAAAGACGAGCCATAGCAGGTAGCCGACGAAGACCAAGGGCCGCACCGGCGGCTTTGCGCAGAAATACGGCTCAAGGTATGGGATGGAGAGAAATGTGCGGGTGCCCGAGCAGAACTCGAGGACGTGCGCACATTGCTGCTCTATGGGGACTGAGATGGGGTGGCATGACTATTTTCTGTCAATATCCTGGGGTAGCTCCCACGCGCATAAATAAACTCACCTCTTCCTCTGCATTCGCGTACGTAGTATTCGTATAGTCCATATGGCCCCAGTCCGACCTAGTGAACTGGAACACGTCGGACAATGAGAAGAGGTTGAACAAGCTCCTCACACAATGGATGCACTTACCTCCTCCACAGACTCTGCTAGAGAAAGACCACTGGCATCTCTGTAATCCCGACGGCTCAAATCCCGCTTTGACAGCCTGCCCACGGCAGATGGCGCTGGGTGAACTCCGCCATACCGACTTTGCGACCACAACACACAATTTGCGACAAGCACAGTGACAAAGACGAGTTTCGGAAGGCCTGACCACATGGTGGTAGAGAATACGGAGGCCGTGTGTTCAGTGCATGCAGAATTCGGCGATGCTCGAAGTGAGAAAGTAAGAAGTGGTCCTATTTACTTACCGTCCAGAAATAGAATCGGACAGTCGGGACGGCACGTTTACCTGTGCTTGCTTGCCAAGAGTAGTATACTACACATCTTCATTCCATTCGTCATGTTTCCGACATCCAATTTTTCCAGCTATCTTCTGGGCAAAACACTGCGGTGCACTGCAGGTGGACTCGGAATCCTGGAAAGATCTAATCTTGTCACAAGACATTTTTGTCACGTGATCATCAGTGGAGGCTGATTGGCATGTGAAAGTTAACTGTATCTTTGAAACACCCCTTCATCACTGGGATCCTCGAATTCAAAACTTTCGGTATGTCGGGATAAAATGCACTTGGGACTACATAGATTCAACACTGATATTCTGTACTGGCACCTGCCGTTCTCCGAAGCCTATCTGGCTCACCGTGCGCGTCGCGAGCATATACAACCGGAGATTTTGTGGCTGACTTCTTGGTATGTCAATGTTACCTTCGGCCAGTGGAAAGTGGAAGGTGGGATAATTTCCACTGATGATTGGGATAATGAATCCTCAGATCGACCGCCCCAGCATGTCGCTATCCCGTCATACTCTCAAGCAGGTGAAGTTCATCCTCCCTGGAGCATTCATCACATATTACCTGGGCAGTCACGTCGAGGTCTGGAAACTTGTGACCGGAGATGCGGGCGTGGATGGCTGGGGACGGTGCGTCTTACTTACTTTTTACTCAACACCTTATTCACATTGATTCTTGAAACGTGACAACAGGATTGCAGCACTAGGATCACTGGTGTCCGCAATCATTACCGTGTCCTTATTTGTCTATATCTTGGTGATCCCTCTGATTCAAGGAGAACACCCCGATGTACGTTCATACTCCGTCATGGTTCCTTGTATTTTCCTGTGAACCCGTGTCAACTGCAGTATCGTCGCTGGAGAGAGTCTGGTTTACTTTCTTGTGTGATCCCGGTAGGCATTCCATGGGTCGATTGCTCACTGGAACTTGTTGACGCCGGAGACTTTAGGTTCTGACTGCTTCCATTATCGTGGGGTGGTCATTACTCTCATATACCTTGGGCCGATGGTCAAACTTGGGATATCTCGAAGGAGTCATAGCAGGTGCGCGCTCAACCCTTGCCCTCTTCCCGATTAACGAACGTGCATAATCTTCCGTGTATCACAGCCTCTGGCCTTTATGCGCTCTCGTTCGGACTGTTGGGTCTTATCCCTGCCCCGAAGGTGTCGCGACGGTAACTTCTACATGCATATATAGGGTGAAGAGCTTTTCGCCATTTTTGACTAACCTAGTTACCCTGGTCCGCGACGATAGATGTACGAGGGAACGTTTTGGTGTAGTGCCAGATACTGTCGGCTATTCCACTATCTATTCTTTCGCATTGATGTGGGTTGTTGCAGTCGCCGTATATGCTAGTAGAACCTTCCCGTGTTGTGTTCCTTGAGTCACTGACATAATTAGATTGAGGAGGCATTTATATTGCGCGCCTTGTACTGGTTGGAACTTTATGCAGCAGCTCGCTGCCACGGAAGATTTTGAACGGGCATGGATAGCTTCTAATGAAATCTAATGACTCGTATAACGCTTCACTAGTGCTAATGTTGGCTCCCATATGTCACAACACGTTGAAGCGCTCCGCAACTTGGATACCTTCCCGAATAAGCAGGTGGAATGCCGCATTTGGAATAAGTCCGCCGCATTGTGACGTCTATGAGGTCGACGATAGCAGCAACTGACGTCTGCCCCCACCATACTAGTCAAACCGATCGCATACATAAGGGTGAAGCCGTCAGGATGGTCTCTGGAATGGAACCACCATCATCTGTAACTCCGACGCATCACTACACAACCAGAGATATCATGCAGTTGCCCACTGCTGCCAGTGGACGTGGCCCTTATAACATCTCCAGCGGCGACCGCACGACCGACAAGCTCACGTATAACGCTCGGACCGACGCATGCTCAGATGATAATGCCTGAAATCCTGACGAGGATGATGACATTCAGCCAAGAGAGACTAATGTTGGAGGTGGGAAGACGCGAGGTAAGAAGGTCGACGCATACAAGCAGGAGCGCGAGCTAGATCAGTCCTTCGACTAGGGTGGTGTCTCCACTGCCGAACAAGATATTGAAGTGGGCGCAGCTACTGGCCGTTGAGTAGGATGAGAGCACGAGAGAAGAAGTGGTAAATGAATTAATGACTGCCTGGGAGTGCAGTATTATTTATGTGTAACAGTGATACTCCCATTTGTGTTCATGGTCTCAAAGAGCGTAAGATTAGTTGTTTTAAACTTGTCTCCGCATCGCAGATGGTAGCTCAATGTGTGAGACAAGTGAGATTAGACAAACGACGTTAACATAATTTCAGGTACTCGCGGGTCTCGAGGGGCTTATTCACATTGTCCTGATTGTTATACACTAGAGCGAAGTTATCGTTCACCGCTTCACTCGCCGCACGGCATGACGATTCGCGGATAAACCTGTAGAGATGAATGACAAAATGTTATGGTGAGTATATATACCACCTCCGATCATGGAGATGCTTCTTAGCAGTAGCGAGAGGAGGGTACACGTCGTGCTTATGGCAAGAAAAAAAACCACCACATATCCTGCATAGAATCCATCTGTAGGCCATTCACATCAGCCAGTGGAGTTGGCGTAGTTGTGAAGATTGAAATGTTCAGCACGCATACCCGCCGTCCAGGTAGATGTTCCTGAGCAAGTACGATAAATGATGTCGTACTCGCACAGGAGCATTACAAACAGCATTTCCAAGCGCAAGGGAGACGCGATGCATCCCCGCTGTCCGTGCGGGCAATTTAGGGAAAACGCGCCCCGGGAATTAATCTGCTAATAAGGCGAGCTCAGCACTTGTGGATCCGATACTTTATGCATCGACAAGGAGATTAAGCCCGCCATCCCAAATCTGCTGACAAGTCTATTGCACTGACATTAAGAATGGATTACCAGTGTATATGAGATTCTGGCTAGTTGCTTCCCGGATCGATGGCTGTGAACGCGCGGGCGGCTACAGCAGGTGCCGCCTGTGCACTTCCAATTAGTATGGAATCACTGGCAGTTAGTGGTGTCCCGCAGTGGTGCAACGGCCCACCATAGCCAGGGCTCTAGAGGTAGTGAAATAACCAGGTTCTCTAGGCTCGCTCGAAAACGTTCTGAGTTTGAGAACGGAGACAACGGAGATCTATGTCGGGGCGGCCGTCCAAAAAACCTTATCAGGCCACTGACCATTTAGAACTCCGCCTACTGAGAGGCTAACTGTGGGAAAATACACATAGAGATGATCTCGATTATCTTGAAACTCAACGGTCCGTGCACGCCACCGGGCTTGCGGTTGCAGCATTGGACTCGGACACTTCACCAACTCCTATAACTTCCAAACCACGGACTGTCCACGCACGAAAGATATCTCCAACACCGCGATCCCGCAGCGCAGATGACGCTTTTTCTCCCGCTGGAAGCGTCGGCGCCGTTCCCGCAATTTCCCGCCTTCCTCGTCCCCTCGCCCGCGCCCAATGTGCACGTCAAGAAGGTCGTCAAGGCGCTCCTCAAGGCCCGCAGGATCGCAGTCGTGTGTGGTGCGCAGCTTCATGTGTATCCCCTCCTCTCACTAACAATTTTACGCGCGCCGTAGGCGCAGGGATCTCGGTCCAAGCGGGCATTCCTGACTTTCGGTCGTCCGAGGGTTTATTTCAGACCCTTAAAAAGGACAATCCTACGCTGACCTCAGGGAGAGACTTGTTCGACGCTTCGGTTTTTAATGTGAGTGCTTATGGGTTTTTTGTATCATGCATCAGGCCATTGCGCCACCACGGGATCCTCACTTTTCACCGGCGTGGATACTTGTACGCATATCATTCTGAGGGTATCTGCTCAACGCTAGAGGATACGGACAACATCGGGCATATCGTTAACCTTGTTTGGTTGAGCTGCCTTGGCGGTGCTATCGTTGTCAGGAGATGCATGTCTCGTATCGAGTCGACCTCCATGTGCGTGTTTCGCATATTATGTGATGGTCTCGGAAGATGCAGAAACCTGCGGGCGTACTGTACGCCAGCTGTATTGGGTTTCGTTGTCGTCGATGGGCACCGCTATTGCCAGCGGATCGCCCTCTTTGCCTATTGGGTAATCCCTATAACCCCTAGAACGTGAACTTCGTCTACGGGTCTTATACGCGTCGCAGTGGTCTTTGGGTCATTCTTGGATCCCAAAATCACACAGTTTGACATTTGTTCACATCTGCATGTGAGAGCAGTTCCAATTTTAAAGTCTGGGCCCCCTCGAGCGGCTGGATTATTCACGATGAGTCTGATCTGTGTGCGTTTCACCTTGAAGTTACTGGTTTGCCTTGTTATAACGTTTGCCCGTGTCGTCCGCTTAGACGCTACGCGGGGTTTGGCTTATCTGGCGTGTAGGATTGAGCTAGTATTTTTGTGCAGAATGATTTCTCAGTCCACGTTTACTGACAGCGAGGTTTCTAGTCAGAAGTCACGACGTCTCTCTTCTGCCAAATGATCGCACAGCTTTCCGAGCTGTCGCAAGCAGCGACACCAACCATATTTCACAACCTCCTCCGCACGCTGGACGATCGCGGACGGCTCCTCCGTGTGTATACGCAAAACATCGACGCTCTCGAGTCGAAGTCTGGGCTGACATTCGGTGTACCGGATTCAGAGGGGAAACGATCTAGATTGCGTTCTGCCAAGGGGAAGGCAGAACCTTCACATACAGAGGACGCAGCCCCCGCACCCATCGTTGATTCGCCACCGATATCCGGACGACTGCCCTCACCCCCATGCGAGACTCCCCGCTGTATCCCTCTGCATGGCACTCTGCAGCTGATGCACTGCCAGATCTGCACGCACTCCTTTCCGCTACGGAACCACCTTGCCGACCTGAGCTCTGGTCATCCTCCGTTCTGCCCCGAGTGCACTGCGCTTGAGGCTACGCGGCAGCTTGTAGGGAAGCGCTCGCGCGGCGTGGGCAAACTCCGTCCGAGCGTCGTGCTGTACAATGAGATGCACAAGGATGGTGAGGAGGTCGGCGACGTTGTGCGTCGCGATCTGATCGGAAGCTCGAAGGGAAAAGGTCGCGCTGGTGCGGATCTGCTGCTCGTCGTCGGCACGAGCCTGCGCGTGCCGGGGACGAAGCGGATCGTGAGGGAGTTTTCGAAAGCGGTGCATTCGCGCGGGTGCTGTTCTAATGCGGGGAACGATCCGTCGACTTTGACCGCCCATACGAGTGCGAGTGCTTCGTCGAGTACGATGGGCCTTGTGACTCCAACGCCATCGCCACGTCGTTCACCTGCAGACGACGACGAACCGCCGGTAAGGACCGTGTACCTCAACCTCGACTTCCCTGTGCCGACGCGGGAGTGGGAGGGCGTATTCGACGTATGGATACGCGGAGATGCGCAGGCATTTGCGCAGTTGGTGTATGAGGAGATCGAGCAGGAGAAGCGTGCGAAGGAGGCTGCAGTCGAGCGGAAACGCAGACGCGAGGAGATCGCGGAGGAGCGGGAAAGGAAGAAGCAGCGTAACGGGGAGCTCGAGCATGCGGGGAAGACCAACAGCGGGAAGAAACGCAAGGGCGCGCCTGGCTCGGCTTCGCGTCCTTCGTCCACGAAGAAGTCCAAAAATGCACCTGTGACGCCTATTTCGCCGTCGAAAATCGGCCGTCCGGGGAAGATTTTGGCTACATCAAACCTGAAAACGAAGCCTAAGATGAAGGCGAAGACAAAAGGCCGGGCGGACAATGTTCTCCCGACTTTCACCCACGACAAGGAGCACACCAACTCCAACGTCAGACTCACGATCAGGATACCCCCGCGCGTTGCTCCCGCAGCGCCACTTACACCCCCACCGTCGAAACGCGCGCGTCTCATTCCAGAGGTGGTGATAACCACTCCCCCACGGCTCATAAAGACCCCTCGTACTCCGCCAACACCATCTCATCCAGATTCTCCACTTACTCCAGAGCCCTCGCCTCCACCGCGGCTCAGGCAGACACCGAGGACGAGCAGGCGAGACCCCAGCCCCAGGAAGAAAGTCGAGGCTGCTCTTGCCACCTGCCCCGTTGGCTGGAATAGTGGAGACGAGTTGAGTGACCTCACTGATGAGGACGATGAAGGAGACTCCTCTCTTCCAGAGTCGTTCGTGCGGACAGTCCAGTATGGTCTGCGCAGTGCACCTGGTTAACTTGGACTAGAGATCGCATCTGGAAAAGACTATGCGACCGACGACGACTGATACTGTCTATCTTATTCATATTGTCCATAGTATATTGTCCATTGTACATTCCGATTCTAATTTTCTGTGCTGCACTCGTTCGAGCGTCTACAGTCCAGCGCTTGCACGCCTTTGGAAGATTCGCACGCCTCCAAGTCTGACGCGTCCGCGTCGCGCTGCAGCAGCCCGCTGCAACTCGTCGGAACCACCATCATGTCCTCAACAACTGCATCGACCTCCAAAGCCCCAGAAACAACGAAGAGCTCTGAGCCCACAAAGGAGGAGGACACGCTACCACACCTCGGCGTGCTCGAGGAGGACGACGAGTTCGAAGAATTTCCCGTTGCCGGTGCGCACCGAGTTTACCACCCCAACCGCAGTCTTAGCTGACACGGCACCCTTATCGTGTTGCTCATCATATATAGACTGGGAAGACTCGCAGACCGATCTGGCACATCTTGGGGGTGCAGCTCCTGGTGCCGCGAAGTCAGGCGGGGACAAGCTATGGGAGGATAATTGGGATGACGACGATATTGAGGACGATTTCAGCCTGCAGCTGCGGTCCGTTATGCCCCCCTTGTTATTACTTTCATGCTCTTACGAGTACGTATGATTGTACAGAAACGAGCTAGCCAAGAAGGAGAAGGGGGAGTCGATGCAACACTAGGAACTGGCATCATGACGTTATCGATGTTCACCTATGTCGCTGGAACATTCTACTTGCCCATTGCTGTATCATTTGCTGTTGAAAAGTAGTTTCACTTGAAGACAGGATCCCGTCCGTTCTGGCACTCCTCACCGTTGGACACAAGGAGACGATGTATCCTCTCGGTTAATCTAGGCTCTGAACGCACGTCATTCATTCATGTTCTTTAACACCTATCTGAAGCAGACGGAGTATGTCATATGCAAGGTTTAACGTCTCTTATTGCATTAACGTGCGATGGGCGTAATTTGGCGATCTCTGAATGGGGAGAGTCGCATGCGAGAAATAATTGACATCCAATTGGCTATTCGCGATCGGTGTAGTTGAACACACCGTCGTTGGGCATTAAACGTTGAATGCTGGGTGGCCGTGCAGAAGTTGGACTGTCAGTTATATGAACACGCAAAGAAGTGCTGTTGACAACATGAGTTATGGAAAAAAAAGCTGGTCCGCCATCATTATACCCTTCACCTTTCCATCTGCAGTCCCAAAGCGTCCGATCTTAACGCATCTCGAACGGCTTGAAGAGTTTCAGGCCCACGTGTAGGCTCGATTGGCTTGCCGCCCCGGACATACAATTCGCCTTCCACAGGTTTTGGTATACAAACCAAGCCGCATCCATACATTCGAATGAAGACAAGCTTGATGAGTCGTGAGGCAGGACTGGGAAGTTGTAACGGAAGTGCGATGCAAGGTTGCAATGTAAGTAGTTTATCCATGAAGACCTCTGGCGTGGCTTTCGTTGATCGGCCATCATGATGGAGCCGGACCTACGCTACGAACCACTATAAACACTTTGTAACTACCGGCACAAATATGCCAAACGGATGCCATATCACGCCAGTGTCCGCTTGTGCTCACCACTGCAGATCAGATGGCATGAAAGCAACTAGGATATCAATCATTACCGGTAAAGGCGGAGGCTCATCGGAGGCTATGTACATCTACATCGACGCATTACAACAGACACAACAACATCGGGGTGGGGGCCGTAGTCAAGTTCGTGGGTCGTGATAATTCATTCAGTCGTACGCGTGGGTCCATCTCGTCTGCGCTCTGCCAATCGGTCACCATTGTGAATCCACGGAGCGGTATGTAGCAGGAAAAGCATCACGCGGTGACGACCTTTTGGTCCGAGGCTGAGTCCTTCTCGAATTCGGATGACGGCCAGCTCTCCGTCTCGCCGAGGCCCATGAGGGAGGTATCGAAGCCATTCGCCTCCAGATATTCGCGGAACTGTATGAGGTGACCGTCAGCGTCCAACAGAGTACACCGCATAGCGCGCACACGCACCTTGTGATCCTCTTCCGTCATGCCATCGTGTGAAAGGGGGCGGATCAAGAAGAATGTGACGAGGGCGCTCACGATAGCCAGAGCTGCGGGACTGATCAACTTCGCACAATTAGAACAAAACAGAGCTCAAACGCACCGCTACCGACCCAGAAGGGACCGGTGTTACCGCGGGTGCTGCCGCTACCGCCGAAGTCGTCAATCATGGCAGGGAAAGCTGGAATTGGCAGAGAGAAAGGCTGATCAGTGAAGTAAGGTAGAGAGAGAGGTGGAATACCTACCCCAAGTACCGACGAAGGCACCGACCTTACCTACCGCGGCAGCAATACCGTAGAACTGGCCGCGGACAGCGGTAGGACCACTCTTCGCAGCGAGCATACCGAGACAGTTGCCGGGGCCGAACTCACCGAAGCTCAGGAAGATGCCATAGACGACAGCGAAGGCAGCGATGTGGTTGGATAATCTGGGTAAGACACTTTTTAGAAGAAACGTATCCAAGGATTGAAGTTGACTCACTGTACGTAGAGACCGCTCATTATGAAGCCGATGATGGCTTGTGAGATTAGACCGACAATCTGGACCAGTTAGTTGGAATTAATTGCTGGATTACCTGGCGCTCACCATAGTATACTTGGGCCCAAGGTAGTCGACGACGAAGGCACCAATGACAGTGCCAGGGATGTAGAACAAGCTATGAATAATAATAAGATCAGATCAGAAATGTTCAAATGCAATTGAAGGATGGGTATACTTGATAACAACGTTCCAGCCGAACACAACACTCAAAGCGTCTGAATTGTGGGTGATGTTGTCGACAACGGTTGATGAGTAAATACCGAACTGGGTTCCTTGCGTGAGTAATAGCAATACTACGACAAAGTCAACCTTACGGGGTACGTGATGAAGTCGTAGATAAACCAGGAGATGCAAATGCCCAAAAGGCTTCTCCAGTAACGGCGGATGATCAGAAAATACGGCGTCCTCACACGCACCATGGAGTCTTTCTGATAGCGCGTCGGGTTTGCCATCCGCAGTCGCCACAGGAATACTGCAACGGCAGGAACTACCCCAAGACCGAGAGACAGACGCCATACGGCACGAAGGTGGCGCTCGCCAAAGCTGAATTATATCCTGTCAGTACTTATTATGTTAATGGATTGAGACTCGAACATACATCCAGTAGAGAACAAGAGGGACGAAGGCCGCGACCACGAAGCCAAAGTCGATCATAGTGTCTGTAATGCATTTACCAAACATCCACTGGATTTCCATTCGTTTACAACTTACTGGTTGCAAGAGCGAACCATCTGTGCTGGGCATTCTTACTGATGCCGGGCTCTTCAGACTGCTCAGAAGCAGCGACGGAACCACACGGATATTCAGCGCCTACACCAATGCCAAGTAGGAACCTTGAAAATGAGAATTGGCGTCACAGCACGTATGAGATACCTTGAGGACTAACCGACATGCGCTGAGCATAGCCAGCATACCGTAAGTGCTGTGATTGGCGCCGCTGGACGCGGCGGACAATCCTGAGAACAGGGCAACAATGCCAGTCGCCAACATCTAACGTTGTGCCTCAGACATTGCCCCGATTCCATCACTCGAAATAATTGATCGCTAGTACATACCATTCCAAACTTTCGACCAAGCTTGTCGGACAGATATCCGAACGCGAGCATGCCGACGACAGTTCCGGCGAAGGCCAGGCTAGAAAGAACTTTGCTGTAATTGTGCTTGCTAGTTTCCGCGGAGCCATAGATACGGGTCAGCACTGGAGTAGACTCGTCAGTGCCATCTTATGCTAGCTTGGGACAGAAACTGACATGTGTTGACTAGAGATGGGATGAGCACACGGCCTGTGGTACGAGAGAGGATGAGCACATACCACTTCCAATGACGCCGTTGGCATAGCCTAGGGTTTTCAGGACATGTCAGAGCACAATTCGAAGTACAGTTGCGAGATCTACCATCTGAAAACAACGCCGTCCCGCATCTGGATATGGACGATCGTTGAATGCCATGTTTGGATAGAGATAGCCAAGACGTACGCGAAAATCAGGGAGACCTGGGAGAGGCCTATTCTCTTCTGGGCGGCCATGTCTGTACTAGTCTACGCTCACAGTGAAGGGAGAGAAGACGAGGAAGGAGAGAGGAAGATAGAGGATAACGGGGCATGAGGATTGATATAAGTATGCCACCGACTCCATGATGGTATGCTGGATCCATCTCACGGCAAAGAATTGATTGATGCATGATGTCTTTGGTGAACCCGATTCAGGCGCTCTCCCGCGCACGTTCCTCAGCGTATCTCCCCTTCTGGCACTCTTCTTCATCCGTTCTGCCAAACTTTACCTCTCGTCCGCATGTATCTCCTTATGACGGGCCCTTCTCTGCCATGAACCGCACAGCTGGATCTGTCTCGCTGTGTCACCGGTCGCGGAGCTTCGGCGCATAGTTATCACCAATTCCCTGGGCCCATATCTCTTGCGGGGCATCATTCCCGGACCAATTTCAATCTTGATCGATTTGTTGTCCACTTCAGCTGACGGAAAGAAACGAAGAGATCTCCTTCCCAACTTTTAGGCGGAGGCGGCGCTGCGGAGGATTCAAGCTACAAACCCAGTCTGCTTTGCCAACGATATGATGTGCACGCGTGCTGAAATTTGAAATTTGAAACTCGACCCCTCGGCTGAGTCGCCCTCGCATTCGAATCCTTACGATGCTTGTACTCTCGGGTCTAACGCATTTCTGTGGTCGGAGCTGCAGCAATCTGGGAGGACTGCTGGCCTGCTTTGGTGGTACGTCCAATACCAACAAGGTGGATCTCGCTCATAGAACTGCGGTTTCCGTCACCCTGCGTATCACCCGTCATCATGTCGGGTACTAATTCTTTAATTTTCAAGCTGTCCCCCCCGGCTCTGAAACTTTGATCCTCCCAATCACACGTTCGTCGGTGTGCGCCCGTGCCCGCTTTGTACATGCGTGGGTAAAGATCCATCTGCGTTGAAAGTACTCCAGCTTCTTCTATATTGCGACCTTGATCTGTGCATGGCCCTTTGCATTATGTAACCTGTTCCTGACTCGTGGGCCCACGGGCCGAAGCCGTTCTACGTCCTGAGATGAGAGTGAACGAGAGCGTCGAGACTAGACCGGTGACAGGTACTACTCGTTGGAACTCTGCTTCAGTCTCAGCTGTGCGACCGCTATCTCGAGCACCACGGCCCAGTCTTCCAACCTTGTCGAGCTTCCTCCGGGAAGGAGGATTCTTCTTGGCACAATAACCACCTCCGCGGTAAGTCACAAGACCGTGTGTCATTCCCTGCCCATCTTCCTGGCATCGACCGCCGCGCGGTGTCTGGCTACTGTACTTCTTTCCAGGGGAATATTACAGATTGGAGGCAGTGTGGGAGCTCGAGCACTGGTTCTGCCGCGAATTAGACCTTCGGCTTGCGGAAGTCAGCGGTATTGAACATTGACGCTTCTCGCGACAGTTTGCGGAAGATCTTTGAGGAGACACCATCCATGCATTTGATCCTGATCCATGTCGCTTTGTCTGCACCTGGATAAAACTCTCCGAATGCCGTGCTTATAAGTTGCTCTACATCAGCCCGCATTGCGAATATTGCCAGACTTGGAAGTTCTGTCGCAGATTTCTTCTATCTCACGCAGTCTTTCGTTCTGCGTTGCATGCATGTCCTTCATGGTGACTCTATTGCGAAGTCTTCGACCATAGCTGCGTGGCTGTCCTGCTACCTGTTATACTATATCTGTTCGGCGTCTTAGGAAGACCTTGCGTGGCGGATGTTATCCTCCTTACTTCGCGGTCGCACGAGTTGTCTTGGAAGCTGTCGAATGCTCTCACGTGCATGGTAGAAATACACTTTCGAAAGCGCTGTACCGTACTTCGGAATTATATACCGTGGATTGATTATCACACCCCAAATGCCTTTTTGCCCTTCGAGAGGCGTTACAGAGGACGCACAGGGAATGTGCAAGTGATACGGTGAATTGCCAGATTGGTGAGTAGCATTATATTTTGTGAGAGAGTTCATCTTACTTAGACTGTCACCGCGCATAGCTCCCTCTCTAAATCAGACTTCATGGTGTCGGATACCTGTGAGTTGCTGCGTTTGAGCTTGATGTTGTAGATTTTGACGTCCCACTTAATCCTCAGAATACTTTTAGTACTAGTGTCTATGAATGATCATCTAGTCCGGCAAACAACCCTGGGATTAGATATGTGTATAACAGACGTCCAGACACCTGTCCACGATCTGTCGTGCGTGATCCTAGCCTCGTTGAGTGTAATCGACCGAACTTGAAGTGCAGATGCGTTTGCAATGCCGAAGTCCACGGTATGAGCAAAATATTCTTGCATTATAAGCGTGGTGGTAGACCGTCGCTGGCAAGTAGCGTGAGGCAGATGGACCTTTGATTCTTCTCAGAGTACTTCTGAATATTGTGGGCGGCTGCGTTTGCCCAGCGCTGGTACTACGCTAGGTGCGTAATCATCGTGTCTTACTAATTTGCCAAGCTTAAGTTTTAACAGGAGATCAACGATTGACTCGACAGGGGAATCATTTGACGCGTCACCTGTGGTGCCGTGACGAACGCGTACGTCACCCATACGAGTGTACCGCGACGTTCACAGCTATAATACGCAGTCGCCGTTGGTTTCACCTTCCCTTTCTTTCAAGTTCCACACATACTCCATCTAAACTAAAAATGCGCGCTCTATCCGTGACTTTGCCCGTGAACAGTCCTTCAGATTCTTCCACCCTCACCCAAGCGCAGGTATACGCAGGCCTCCAGGTCAAGGCTCGCGACGCGACGTAAGTTTGTGCCTCGTCACGTCCCCCACCCCCCCTGACGGTAATCTGCCGCAGACCCTTCGTCGCGCCTATTGCCTCCTGCGAAGTACTTCGTGAGTTTCCGACGGGGCTTGTGCGCCGTGTGCAGTTCAAGGGCGATCCCGAGTACAAGACGGAGCAAGTAGATTTTTACCCGCCTTCACTCGTGCGTCGTGCTGCTGCTGCGATTTTGTTCGCATCCTTACTCGTTGTACCCTTGGTGATACAGATGGAGTTCACTTTGCACGAGTCGCCAGCCTATGTCACCAATCTGATCAGCTCGTCGCCGGAGGGTGACCTCTACCTCACGTTCACCTTCGCCACGGGCCCAAATGGCCCGCTCGACGAGAGCGAGACGGCGCTTGAGACAGAGAAGACCAAGCGACGGCAGGTAGCGGGCGTAATTCAGCACACGCTGGACGTGATTCGGGAGATGGTGCGGTCAGGCGAGATTGCCAAATAGCGTAGGGCCGAACGCATCGTGCACTTGTTTGAATCTTCGGGAAATCCGACCACAGAAGTTGCAATCTGTGGCCGTCGTTGTCGAGCTAGGCAGTATATGTACTTGAGTTTCATCTTATCGCAAGTACTTGCTTTTGTGAGATGAACACAGTCCATGGGCACCGATCTTGAGTTGGTGACATTCCAGATATGGCCGTGGCACCGTGGTGTCGGCTCTCTTCAACTTCAACATCCACAAGCAGCTCAATGTGCTGACTAGTGTATATATGTCGTCGACCTCTACGACCCTAAATTTATATCCCCAGCCAGCAAATCCAAGGGTCTACCTAAAGTTAGTAACAAATATTCTCTGGACTGTCGTAAAACGTAGGGTTATCTGCTAGCGCTGGTGCCTCTCCTGCAATCATGATGACCACTCGCATTTCATTTGGATTACATCACTTCAGGCGGTCAATACGCCCTTCGTGGTGGATGTTGCATGGTAGAAATGAGGTGGAAGCGCTATGCTCCACCTCGGTTTCGCGGCAAGAAGTGAGTCCTCCGTGTTGCCTTGTCCCCATTCTTTGATCTCCTTCCAACTCGCTTTCGTCTGGTGCTACAGTACTCATTAGCCGGAGCAGTAAATCCAGTTGATGCAGCTCCACCGATCCGGGGTGCTACATCAACCTTGAGCCCGGTTGAGAAGAAAAAGCAGCGGAGGCACGGCCGCCCAGTGTTCGGGACTCTTGACCCACGCCGTTTGGATCCAAGAGACTTCGTTGACCTGAGTAATATCATAACCCCATATGTATTCGACAGGAGCCGTGTGTCTGCGCGAAATCTTGCTAGAGGCGGTGGAACATCTTCACCAGTATGCACCATATATTTTGGATCGGTCAACGACCGCAAAGTAGCGTTTCCTCCCGACACGCGTGGGTTCCTTTACTATCATTCCCCCACAGACTGTCCACCAGTCCTGGGAGAGGTTCGGTTTTCGCCTCATGCACGACGGTGATGTTGCGAAGTTTGCCCTCGGGACGGATCTACTGTTGCCACATTCTGACTTACCGTGGCGGATCATGCTTGTGAAGGTTGCGATAGCTGCATCCTACCAGCTATTTCGAGAGATGCTACTCCGAGACGAGCTGGTCACACCGGATGTAATGGACAAGTGCACTTGTTGGCCTGTCAGGTAGCTACGTCTTAAACGTCAACTCATGTGTTCACTCGATGATCCGATATACCTCAAATTTTCTGCCAAAGCAGCCACGCTCTACGTGTCAACTACCAAGGATGATCTTCGCCGCACAATAATCCAATCATTATTCTTTAACCGTCGTTCCAAAGTCTGGACCACACCATACACAGGTGAGTCACTTGAATGACCACTTTACTGAGACATGGCCCTGATGATCGGGCAGGGAGCGCATTCTGCCGTTTTGAGCGGACCACCGACCAATCGCTGGGCTTGCATCTCCGAGTCAAAATCAGGGAACTGGTGAAGCTTCAGCTTCCTGATTACGATGGTTACATCTCTATGCCGGTCAAAGGTGAATCGTTCGTCCGTGGTGGCAAGCCGTGGACCATATACTCTGAGACGGGGTCTGTAAACCTTGAAGCCCTTCCAGATAAGATGAGGGTGGAGACGGAGGGTGGAGCAAAGGATCGGCCGTGATGGTGGTGAAGGTGAGTAATGTTAGTTGCATTTTTGAGATTCAGTTACGATTTCTGCGCGTACAAGATCAAATTTGCTTGTCGCCGGCTATAGTGGTGCGTGTACATTACACCTTTGGTGGGTTCTCGCTGTTTTGATGACGCCATGCTTTAAGACTCATCACAGTAACAGTATCATGTCAATTGATGGTAATCCTGGGTCTTGTCATGCTATCTTCAATTTCTTCAGGATAGTGAATGCAGACATTCACGGGAACGTTAATTGATAGGAATTTAATGTCGGTTCAAAGGTACATCTCACTCACACTGGAAGCGTGGCCCATCGTGCGGCGTTATAGGTGCTCACGTGTTCCTTGGTAGGTAGTAAGCGAGAAGTGACACGCCGTCGACGAGACTGCCAGTGACATCACGAACGTGGGCAGCAGCAATGCATCTCTCAGTATTTTCAGATTGACACTCAGTTGCAAACGTGGGAGTGGAATACAATCGACAGCAAGGAATTATTTAGCGATACAATGGTAAACTATGGGTACACGGAAGGAAGAAGAAATTGACGGAAACAGTTCATACGATCTCCTCCAGATCATCCTCATCTTCGTCGAAATCATCGAAATCATCTTCGTCACAGTCTTCTACTTCCACTGCGGGAATATCGGCACCAATTGCAGAGATATAGCTCGGACGTGGAACACCCTCTGATCCGGTCTAATGTTATTTCATAGCATGAATGGTGCGCAATAATAAAATGAAGCGTGAGACTTACCCCTTCTCCCTTGAAATTCTGCAGTAGCTCCCAGCTGCCGTTGTGCTCGCCGCTGCGATGTATGAACGCTATCTCGCTGAGTACTTCTCTCAGGTACGTCTCAGGCTGCTGAGTTCGCTCTCGTAGCCACTTCATGGACCAGTGTTCACGCTCTGAGAACGCGTCGAACAACTCATCCAGCAGCTGATTGCGGGGCATACGCGTCATGCGCTCGAACTGGCCCTTTGCTGGTTTCGGCTTTGGCGGCTGTTACACCATAGAAGAAACGTCGTTATGACAAAGATACTGGTGAGTAAATCGCTCCACGTACGACAAAATTAAATGGTGCCTGGTGGGCTGCGCCGCTCGCGAGCATGTTGACTGCGCCACGTCCGCCGGGATGCACATCCTCGAGCAGCTTTATCTGCCGCGACCGCGCATTCGCTGCCCTGATCCGCTGCTTCAGACGTTGCCTATATTTGTCCGAAAGGACCGGTCGTAAGCTGCATTCACGCTTCACAGCGCCTATCAATTTCGTTATTCGCGCGGGACTCCGAGTGTCTTTCTCGAGTTCTGCAATTACAATCTGATTTTGCACGGCCAGAGTAGTCATCTCCAACTCAAATTCGTCGCACGCAGGGTTGTCCTCGGTCGGCGAGACACTGAGCATTGCGAGTGGTCTACCCCTCGAAGATTTTGCTTCAGTGTATACACGGATAGTAGCGAGCTCAACGTCCTCTTGGTCGATTGTAGACCAGTGCTCGAGTAAGTACTTTGGGATCTGTGGGCTGTCTTTCAGTGGCCCGTCCATGTCTCAACGTAGGTGGCTTGCCTTCACCATCCAAACGTCCCCCGCACCACAACAATCAAGAGTCTCATCTGGCTCTTCTTGGAAATATCCGTGGCGAGCAGAATTCACCGCCTCGAATTGCCTGAGTTCCTCTGCAGGTGGTCCCTCCATTTATTATCTTCGCACTTCAGGAATGATGCGTCGATGGGATAGTAATGGCGGGAGAAAAATAGATTGGTTACGTTTGAGAGAATTACAACGACCACAGAGGTGGATATCCTAGCGATGAGCTGAAGTTACTCAGTGAGCGATGGTGTGGCACGGTGGGTTGAAACCGAGTTAAGTATATATGTTCCCAAACAGGAAAGTGATTGTTTGTTTCTAAGGCCTTTGGACAATAGCGCCAAATATGAGCAAATATGAATTGCGTAACGGAGCAAAAAGCGAATATCTGCTGACCCTGGAGCAAGCGAGTCGACACAAGAGACGACAGACATGAATTTCCTATCCGAGGACTGCGGCCTGCGATAATGGTTGCGGGCAGTGCGTATGCGTTCGTGCGGATATTCTGCGCAGCGACACTGGTATTGCAGAAACCATGAGATTCACCTGCATCACGAATGCCGCCGGTGCAAGCGGTCAGGAAATGTAGAGCTTGTCTTGCCTGGCGAACCAGATGGCCGCGCAAGTAGCAACGCGCAGGCGCAGGACTCTCGGTACCATACTCCTCCTTATCACCGTTGGCGCCCTCCGTGAGTACAAAACTGGTGCTGCAGAGCGGGTGAAGTACTAGGTGATAATATGGTCGGTGCAAGTCAAGCCGGGGCAGCCATACGGGAAGGGTCAAAGCAAGCAAATGACAAGGAAGAAGAGTAGCAGATATAGCACACCGTTACCCTAAGTAGGATGTTTAGTGGTTCCCGGTATGTAGATTGACACGCGACAGTGCTCGCCGGACGTGAACGCCGACCTGCGAAGTCCACGTGAGGACAGGGATTTGTCGCCCACAGCGATGAAGAGGGATTCGGAGGAAGGTTGGACCACAACCATAACGACTGGGAGCTTCTGTTCTGTGGTGTGTATTGCAGGACGTGCTGTAGGCGTAGGGCGTGCATACGCCAGGGCTACCAGTAGCGTAATGGCGATCCGGGTGTGGGTGGTGAAAGCGTGGTCGGATAGGCATCTGAGCCTGCGCTATTAGGCATGTCGGATGGTGGAGTCACTGTGCAATATGTTTTTAGGAATAAGAAGCTTTCTGTGAAGCGTATTGGGGAAGTCGAGGTGCCTGCATATCTTTCGTGCGCATTGTAATGTCCGCTTGAATTGGTCCTCCATCGTCTTCCTAACCGAGTCGAACAGTATGATTTCTAATTTGGCGAAGAGGCAAGGGAAGGCAGCCATGGTAGATTTAAGGCCACTAGGCACCGCAGTGGGCAGAGCGAACAATTCTTCGGTGCTGCACGTGTATTTCGTCCCGTGCGATATCATGCATCATGGAGGCTAGGTTGACTGCATGGTCTGTGTTGGGCTTCCCAGAAGGCGAGGAGGTGGGAGGTGAGGTGCGCTGTTGTGCGGCACGTCGCCCGTCCGACATAGTGGTTCGAGATGGCCGACAACGAACGCTACCTGGTGACTCTAGTAAAAATGCACGCATTGTGGGTCCAGTCCTGCTGAACAGTGTCGTTCCGGCTCCACAAAAGCTTTGGTGTAGAGGACCTCCTCAGACTCGTGAGCTAGCCTTAGTCTTGCACTCAGAACTGGTCAAACTCATCGTGAAGGCTAGAGCCACTGAACATGTGCCCAGTCAGATAGATAAAAATCATAGGAAAAAAACTGTTATGAAGGAGCAGGGAACTTCAAAACTAGGTGAGCTTGCGTGACAAGTCGGAACGCGTTTGGTACGAGTCACGATACAGTCACCCTTTCGTGACCTGATCTCTGCTCTACGCTGCGATGATCACAGCTTGATCCTCCCTCCATTAATTACTGCATCAATCCTTGCGAATACTCCAGCCGAGGGGTATAAATGGGTTCCAAGCGCGGCCTTCCTCCACTCATACACAACCTAAGGTAAGCCAGACTTCACTGATGAACTCTGTCGTCGTCGTTGACGAATCCCGACTGGAGTCGTAGTCTGCACTACTCGTCTAAGATTCGTAATCAGGACTCTCGAACCGCATCGCGTAGTACCACAAGATAGCATCGATCTGAACCCTGCTACTGCTCACCCATTCGCAACCCTATATGCCCCAGACCCATCCAGAGGAACCTCTCAGCACGTAATCACACGACCGACCACGGTTACGAGGAATTCGCCGTTGCGACCTGGAAGAAATAATACATGCTTGACCGTTGTCTTCAGGTCCTGCGATAATTCGCCTGGCAAGCACCTCTCCGCATGGAACTCAATCGAATGTCTAGGTTTGGGCTGGGGAGAGCACCAGTTGTCATGGAACTTGGCAGCATGGACAGCACGGGCTTCGAGTGCTCAGCGGAGCACACCCTCAGATCCACGTCTGCAGCAGGCACAGGAAGACTCTTAGCTATCACATGGCGCTTCATGGCATCGTACCAGACCCAGCGGAGTTTCGTCATGGAGTAGAAGCGCTTGGAAGTCTAGTCCACTCGGTTTAGTGTGTGTAAGCGGCTTCCACCTGGCTATACTGACCTTTCGCAGGGCCAAAATATCTTTCAACTCGACATAGCTAATAATCAGGAGAAGAAGGTCGTCCGGTAGTGAATATATGGAGGTCCGCGTGAAGGTGCAGGAGAGGTATGTCTCGAAATCGGCTAGAGAGCTTTGGTAACAACAATGCTATTCCAGCACGCACACGTCCATGCGGTCCCTTCGTCACGCTTCTACTCCTCCTCGCCTATGCATGCGCGTTGGGCCATGTCGTCGAAGACATCAGCCCGTGATTCCTTTCGGAGTAGCACCTCCCGCCTTTCCTGCCATAACCTCTGACCGTCAAGGATGAATGGGAGGACAAACCAGTCTTTCCCGGCGTCAGCGGTAACGAGCCCATGTCCTACTCCACGACTCATCATCATCTCAAGAAACCTGTCAAGCTCCTCGGTTGGCGAGGTATGCTTTCATTTGCTTCTGATCCTTGGCGTGACTCACACAACCCATCACGCAACCCCTCGCGCGATGCGCCGAATTTGCAGAGTTTACCTCTCAAGTGTTCCATTGTCCTTGGGCGCCAGAGATGTCCAATAAGTTGCCCAAAGTACGTCCGTTGCATACTACACTTCTCACGCACCAGAGATTCTCAACAACAGGATCGAAGAGATCCTCGATGCCGATCTCCCCCTCCAGAAACTCCTGCGCGCATTGCACGAACTCGGACGACGCGTGTATGAAGATGTACAAGAAGATTTGCTACGATGCACTCAGCGAAGTTAATTCACATTTCTCTCATCCATGATACACACTCACGTTCTTTATTCTTACAGCACGATGGAGAGCAAGTCATCCATGATGCTTTGGAAGCCTGGTTAGATGTCCTCGTGCGGCACCCCCACATGGTTAGCGGGGTGAGGTCATTTCGGCGCCCCTGTAAGTAGTGGACTTGATTTTTTTACAGACGATTCCTCGCAGGTCTCGCCCAGAATCGAGCGGCCAACTATGCGACTTACTCGTTGAAAAACCTACCTAGGCCATATTAATCAGCGATCGCACTCACAGCGTGCTCGTAAAACTCACTGACCCGTTGTGTACCCACCATTCCAACCTACAATGCGTGCATCGCTGCCTCCATAGCACATGGCGGCATCCTCAATGTTGTCAACCGCCTCGAGATCCATCCAAATGAGAGTCGCATCTGTCGTCGCACTGCCCCCTCAATGAGAGCGAGGAGGCACTTAATACAGAGAACACCAAACGACGGCGGTAGCGGATGTGATTCAGCACACGCTGGACGTGATTCAGCACGCTGGCGGTCAGGCGTGATCGCCAAGTAGTAATGAACAAGTTGTAACTTGTCGCAGTCCTTGTCGCGCTTGATCTTCGTCTCATCACAAGTACTTGTTTGTGAGATATAGACAACTGCTGGGAGTCGTAGTCTATGTGACTGGGCATCGACCGATCTCGTGGTTTCGACATTCCAGATACGGCAGCGGCTGTAGTAGCAGAGTTGGCCCCCCAGAACTTCGACTCGACTTCGATGTGCTGCCAGACCGGTATACGACGTTAACGTTGCAACCTATACGACTCCAGAGATCTCGGTCGTTACTTATTTTTGGCCGCAAGCACACTTGAATCTAGCAGGACTACCTAAAGTTAGTAACAGTCTGGACTATCGTAAATACTGGGTTTGCTCAACTCAACTCAGAGCGGCTATCGCCTCTTCTGCAATGACTCGCGGTTCATTCGGATTACATCACTTCAGGCGGTCAATGCCACCGTCATGGTGGATGTCGCATGGTAGAAACAGGCTGGGAGAGCGACGCTCCTCCTCGGTTTGGCAACAAGAAGTGAGTCCTCCGGATTACCTTGTCCGCATTTTTTGATATCCCTGCGACTCGCGTTCTTTGGTGCTACAGCACTCATATACTGGAGCAGTAACTCCAGTCGATCCTGCTCCAGTGCTCCAGGGTGCCTCTTCAACGAAGCCACGGTTGAAGCCACAGGCGCCGTGGACGTGGTACGGCCGCCAGTTTGGGACTTTTGACCCACACCGTTTGGATCCAAGAGACTTCATGGATCTGAGCACCATCATGGCCCCCTGTGTATCCGACAGGACCCGTGTGTCTGCGTTGAATCGTGTTGGAATGCATAGGACATTTCTTTCATCAGAAAGGACCCAGTTATATTTTGGATCGACTCACAAGAGTGTATTATTTCCTCCCGACACGCGTGGGTTCCTTTACTATCATTCTCCGACCGACTGGTCACCCTTGCTCGGGGAGATTCGCTTTCGCCTCGCGCAGGGCAGTGATGTCGTGAATTTTGCTCTCGGGAAGGATCTGTTGTGGCCGCAGAATGGCCTACCCTGGCGCATCATGCTTTTTCACATTGCTAGAGCTGAAAACTATCGGCCATTTCGAGAGGTGTTACTCCGAGACACGCTAGTCACACCGGATGTAATGGACAAATGCACTCGTTGGCCTGCCAGGATGCCACATGATGCATGTCAAATCATCCAGTCGCTCGATGACCTGATATACTTTGACTTTTCTGCGCTAAATACGGCGTTCTGCGTGTTAATTGGCAAGGACGATCTTCGCCGCGTAATGACCCGATCATTGTTCTGTGACTTTCGTTCAGATGTCCGAACCACACCATACATAGGTGAGTCACTTGAATGGCCACTTTTCCGAGACATTGCCCTGACAGTCTGACAGGGAGTGCGTTCTGCCGTTTTGAGCGGACCGCCGACCAATCGCTGGGCTTGCATCTCCGAGTCGTCAAAATCAGGGAACCCGCGAAGCTTAAGCTTCCTGATTACGACGGTTACATCTCTATGCCGGTCGAAGGCGAATTGCTGGTCCGTGGTGGCAAGCCGTGGACCATTTACTCAAAGACGAGGTCTGTATACATTGATGCCCTTCGAGATAAGTTGAAGTGGGAGACGGAGGGTGGAGCAAAGGATCGGCCGTAATTGTGGTGAAGGTGAGTGATGTCAGTTGCTTTTTTGAGATTTAGTTGCGATTTCTCGTCCATGCAAGGTCAATCGTATGATCGCTTGTTGCTGCTGTCTGTAGTGGTACATACACCTTCTCGCTATTTTGATGATGTCGTGCTTCGAGACTCATCACAGATAACAGTATCCGATGATGTTCACGTCAATTGATGCACTTAGTCTGGGTTTTGTACATGCAACTCGTGGGGATAAAATTCTGCAAATTATCAGCAATAGGTTATAATTTTCAAAAAGTGAACTACCGTGACCGAACTCACACACGCTAGGCTTGAGATAGCCATAGGGCAACATTCGGAACTGTGGGTGAAGTAGAGGTGTCAGCGGTAGCTTTGGCGGACACCGCGTGCGCATTTGTGCGAGAACGACCCTTCCAATATGCCACGATGCACTCAACGGCGTGAGTCCCCCTTTCTCTCGCCCACGGCACACACTTACCATGGTTCTTTTTGTACCCGAAGGAGAGCAAGTTCTCCACGTGCCTGATAAAATGCCGAACGCCGAGGACTGCTATGCTTTCCGTTCTGATTACATTTCAAGTGAGACCATTCAGGTTTCCGTTTTCCTGCCTAATGTCCGCCCCAGTGCTGGTCAACAATTTAGTGAATGTATCTTGGAACAGCTACGCTGGCTACCGCATGTATTACTAATTGAACCTTTACCATACTGCCGCTGCCAGCGAGGATCCACGCGTGGTAAGCCCTCCTGTTATAGTGTGATCACAAGTTCATTGTTCATGTCACTCCCAGGCCGCTGCCTACGCGTGGATAGAGAAAGAAAGGCAAGCACGCCGTCATCATCATCGATCAGCTGCATGAAGAGCTCATTGCCGTCATACTCGGTCCCCCTTCCCTGAGACCGCTCACGCGCTCACATGGAGAAAGACCGGCAATGGCGCCGTCATCGTCCTCGATCAGCTGCACGAGGAACAGGCAGTCGAGGAGCTCATACTCGGTCTCCCTCCCCCAAAACCGCTCATGCTCTCACAGAGGAGGCCGCTCTGACACTCCTCATGCTGGCTACGCCAATGCGTCCGAACGCAAATAGATGAGTACCCCCCGCCGCTTGCGCATATATGCACTCACTGCCCATCGCGTTCACCGTGACTGCGCGCAACTCAATTCATCGCGCTTACTGCGCCGCGCGCCTTCCCCCCGCATTCCCTTTAAACCACGCATCGTGTGCCATCAGCTCTCCATCCAATCCGCCCGCCACACCCACCGGCAATGTGTGCATCACTGCCTCCATTCCACATGACGGTGTCATTAATGTCGTCAACTGCTGAGACTCACTCCAATGTGAGTCACATTTACCGCCGCCTGCCACCCACGCTATCAAGCAAACAGGGCTCCATGTACGTGTTCATTGTGCACATCATCCTTCAGATTCATGCCAAGTTCCATGCCCTCTCCGCTGATTTCACCAAATCAAAAAATGACAAATCGGAACGATTGGTCACAGCCTGCAACCACCTGCTCAAGATGCACAATGTCGCACATTCCCTGCTGTCTTCTACCCTTCAACGCAGACCCCGAAAAACCACCGTCCTCGTGGATCGCACCTAGGACACCAATGGCCTTGCCAGTCACAGATCCAAGACCTTCTTCTGGACAACATTATGTATGTCTTGCCTTCATCCCACATCAGGACTCACCAGACTCGTGCAGTCGTCACATGTCTCTGTGAGGCCTTCCGAGGTCATGCCATTGCCCACTATGTCACTCACCTTCTCAAAGCCCAACCCCTCACCTTCGAATGGTAGGCCATCTGTCCCCTTGCACTTTGGCAACTCTTGTGCTTTGGCTCGCTCATGTTGTTGTAGGTTGTCCATGTGCCTCGCTGTATCTGTCCCATGTCCATCATCCCTGTACCATAGGTGCATCTCAGGCACCCGTGGAGTGTCTCATTGACTCCCATACACTAAGATGGCAGTATGTGTTGGAATAATGCACTTCATCATGCACACTGTTCTGCGAAGTTCTTGTTCACATTGGAATGTACTAATGGAAATTCTTACACGAGATAAACAATAAATGATTTCTCTAATTTTCGAATGCTCTTGTGTTGTTTATAACAATAACATACTCACTATATTAGTAGTGTACTTGTACCACTCCCCCTCAGTGTTTTCTGGATGAGAGCACTGAGGGTGAGTATTCTAACTGACTATCTTATGATTACCTAACTGATTGCATACCTAGACCGTGATTGTATTGACTAGGTATGCCTAAATGTATTCATAGTGTCTTCTGGACGAGAGCACTGAGGACCACGATTGTACTAACTACACCACCAGGCGACGCGGGTACCGGGCGGATACTGGGTCCGAAAACATTTGGCCGGTAGTTAGCATGTAACCGCCGGTTACGTATCAAGCATATAGTTCGTAACTAAACTCAGCTAACCATCCGGTATATGGTTTGGATACCTGGTGTTTACCTACTGTTAGTTAATTTGTAGTCATCCACTAGTTACTTTCTATGTAGCTGGCGGTTACCGGCTGGCGCCATGGTACAGTTACCGGGTGGGTAACTGGAATTGGGTAACTGGTGGGTACCCAGTGTCAGTTATCCGCTGGGTACCCGTTGGGTAACTGTGCGGTACCCATACTGTACAACATTGCCTATCAGACTACATTATTTTCAGTGTTGATGGTGCAAATCTGTCAAGGTTTCCTTAAGCATGTTCATAATATCTCTCTCAGCCCATGCCGCTGTTGCTGTTGTCATCGTAGTACGCCATCACAAAAAGCGCCGCCAGATTTTATCCATTTTAAGTTGGGAGAAGTATTTTGCTCCTTCTGATCGTAATATAAGTTTATACTGATCACCATGTAAGTTGATCACATTATCCCTCAACTTAGCTTTAGATAACAAGGTGCGGAATAATGCTGCCTCTTGTAAGTCTATACCGAGTCATTTATAATTATGTCGTTATTCTTCTACAAGGAGCAGTAATATTTCACTCATATAACGCGAACCGCAGGCAAGTCGGACGGGCCCAAGCACCTTAGTGATGCATGTTCACACCTCTCGATCTCTTCAGATGCAGCTCGAGCACAAAATATAATTAAGACATAATGATAGTTGTCTACTATATATCTCGGACCATTTGCAAGCTTCTCAACACCATGTTCATCACGCTCCTCTATTCAACGAGGCCAGCTATTCATGGGTTAATCAGTCCATGACTGTGAAAGTGATTGGGCAAGCAGGAAACAAACCACTCGAGAAGTCAACCACTGCGGATAAACCACGGGTGCATGCAACTTCTCGTCGCTCTCCGGCTCGGTCACTGAACTCTCCTCATCCGCAGCGGTCTTCATTAATAGTGCTCGAGTAGGTTGCTTGATGGTTTCATTTTTGGTGGAATGCCCACGGCCTTGGCGGAATGTCGAGCTCAAATTCTCATCGGAGTTTTCTCACTTACACTTCCTCTTCGGAGCTAGCAGAGGTGAGTCTTCATGCTGCTGCTTCGTCGTAGAGTTATAACGGGACGTCAGTTGCAGAGAATTCGATGCCGCCGAATGCAACTCCCTTGGTTTCCTCTCTGCCAGGTGGATGGTCTAGATATTGAGTTCCTGTGAGTCTCAAGTACGTCTGACAGTGTTTCTGCTCTCACTGACTATTGGATCGACTGTCCTTGGAATAACAACCACCGTCAAAGGTTTACTTTCAGGGTGGGGGGTGCAGAGAACTATATTCTGTACCACCCAAACATTGCAGTAAGTGGAATGAGTAATACGAGGCTTGACTTACCACAGGATCCAGTGTTCTCGGCACAACAATTAGAGTGAGAGGCTCCACATTGGGATAGCCATTCAGCACGTTGGAGCTACTGCACTCGATGACTCAACCATGGTCAGGTGGAGCTGACATTGGGTTGCAGGGGATGGGGAATGGCGCGGTCAAGAGGAAGGAAACAGAGGACGCTTACAGCGCTGGACCGGCACCTCAATGACCCAAATTTTCCCACTGTGGGACTCAACGTTCAACTCTCAATATCACAGCACACTCGTTGTGCGTGTCCAAGTCACTATTCACACCGTATTTTACCACCGTGAGTACTGAATTTCTCTGCATCGAGTGTGACCACTGATGGTGTTCTTTGCGCAGGCGATAATTTCTATTTAATTTATTTCCACCCTCTTTCTCAAGTCAAATCCGCTGGCATCAAGAGTAACCGCGACGCATCTATCCCACCTGGATGCCACGATGTCAGTGCGGGAAGTCGTACAGTGAAGTTCGTCATTACAACACTCACAAAGCGAAATGTGTGGTCGCTATACGTGCTTCGCGGGAAACGTACGAACTCGCGCAGGTATTGGGGGCTGACCCGTCATTGAAAAGGCCGCGCATGGAAACGGTATGTACGGTTGTACTTGGTCACTGGCAGACTTCTCAATGTAATTTAGAATGATGGCCACATCATTGTACCTGGAATGCAGGTGCACAGAGAGCTGTACTCTGCATCTCTGCCCGAAACTGCATTTGAAGTATGTGACTTATTCCAATTTTGGGTCAGATCTAGTGCTGATGGTGCAACACTCTTCAGGGCTCATCATTTGGTGGAGATATCTCATCAGGAGACTTGCTCGCGGATGCCGCATCCATGCCTGAGATAACCAACGAGCTGCGCACCCGTAGTGGCCGTCGTCTGCATCCCACCTGGAAGGTTCGAGATTCACTGCCTACAGGGCCTGGTGGATTGGATATACAACACCCAGAATCTACACAGAATCCACAGCCTCTGCAGCCTTCGCGCCGCATACTTCTTCTCGTTACAGAGAAGATTCGCACTGTGGCCAACCGTTTCAGTCTCAGCTTCTTGTACAAGCGGCGGCCTTCTTAGGCTCCCCGCACGGATGTCAATCTCGAAGAATGCTACGTGCCTACTGTGAACCAGGCGGCCACAAAGAAGTCGAGACGTTCGGTATTGGACATTATATTCCTCTATCCTAATCTCAACGCTTGGCATTTCGCACACCACTACTGGCTGGCCGAAGACAAAAAATCTCAGGCAGAGCGCGATGCAATGCAGAACCTGGTCACTCGCAAGGACTTTAATTCGGACGATCTTTTAGGTGTCAGTTTTAACAGGCTCGATGAAGAATTAGCCAATGATGAGCAAACACCATAGTCCGATGAGCGAGGAGGGTGGCAAAAATCAGGAGTGACAATTGGTATACCTACAGGAGAGAAGTCTACACAGGCCTCTCGGCGTGCTACGAATAATGCACGGGGGCGCACGGAGCGACGCGAACATGTGGAGGACACTCAGGCAGAGCATGTGATTCCTGGCATGCAGTTTACGGTCCCGGATTTCTGGCACAAAAACCTGTGCACGGAGATCAAAGAGACATTGAGCTCAAATCCTGCAGCTCGCGACTTCGTATTTGACCCGTCATTTGTGGAATACAAGCACCCTGGGGTCGATGGAGCACCAGAACACGTTTACAGTGAACTTTACAACTCGGAGGTGTTTGTGAACGAGGACCTTCAGCTACAACACTCCCCACGAGAACCGGGATGTGACCTACCATGGGCCATCATCGGCTTGATGTTCTGGTCGGACGCGACCCACATTTCTCAGTTTGGACAGTCGAAGGTTTGGCCAAATTACATGTATTTTGCAAACCAGTCAAAGTATGCTCATGCATGCCCAACTGCAGCAGCTGCCCATCATGTTGCATATTTTCCCTCCGTAAGTGACTTGTTTATCCTGTGACATCTTTGATGCTGACTCAATGACAGTTGCCTGACCATGTACAAGACTTCATTCGCTCTCAGAACAAGGGCAAGGCTGCGACGGCCCACGTTTTGACCCACTGTCGACGCAAACTCTTTCAAAAAGCATGGGGCCTACTTCTCAATGATGAGTTTATGTATGCATATGAACATGGAATTGTCGTCGACTGCATTGATGGGGTGCGGCGTCGAGTATATCCGCGTATATTCACTTACTCAGCCGACTATCCAGAAAAGTGAGTCATGACCTAACCCATACTTGTTTTCGATCTGATTGGAATCCAGAGTATTGATTGCCACTCTGCGTGACAAGGGGTGTTGTCCATGCCCTCGTTGTCTAGTTACAATGGATAAAATTCCAGAACTGGGAACACAGGCGGATCATACGCTTCACGAGACATCAGCTCATGTAGATAGTGTCGCACGACAAACCCGAGTGGCGCACACTCGTGATCTTATTTACAAACAAGGCTATGTTGTAAACAGCACCAAGGTTGATGAGTTACTGAAAGGAGATTCGTTGGTGCCGATGGAGGTGCGCAGAGTTACCCTGAATGGCGGTTCTCATGCTAACAGACAGGTGTAAAATGTATTCTCCAATCGTCTGCTATGCTTTGGACTCAACCTCTTCCTCCTCCTCGTTGTGGATCTTCTGCATGAATTTGAACTTGGTGTATGGAAGGCCCTATTTGTGCACCTCATCAGAATTCTAGAGGCCCACGATGGAGATTTGGTACATGAACTTAATAGGAGGTAAGTGCTCAAGTACTTCATCCCTGTAGAATGTTCTTACTTGTGCCACAGGTTTCGGCAGGTTCCTACATTTGGTCAGACCACTATACGTGCATTTGCCGCCAATGTATCTGAGATGAAGCGGATGGCTGCGCGGGACTTCGAGGACATTTATGCTTGCCTTCATGTCACAGCTGTTTTGCTAATTGCGTGCACAGTGTTGTATTCCATGTTTCGAAGGTCTGCTCCCATCGCCGCACAATGAAACTATCCTGGCACGGCCTTGCCAAGATGCGTATGCACACAGATACATCTCTTCGTGTACTGGACCACACCACTACTGTCCTGGGGACTCACTTACATTACTTTACTGCGGTGACATGTGAGGCCTTTGCAACTAAGGAAACAGAGGTGGAGTATGCTGCTCGCCAGCGTGCACAAGTACGCCAAAATGCCGCACGAGGTGGACCAACCTCTAGTGCAGCTACAAATCGGTCTGAACATCGTGCACGCACATTCAACATGGGTACAATTAAGGGGCACATGCTTGGGGATTACGTACATTGCATCAAGTGCTCTGGGACGACTGATTCTTACAGCACTCAATTGGTGAGTCTGCCTATGCTTTCACTGCTTACAGTTGACCACAAAATAACATCCCAGGGCGAGCACGAACATCGCCGAGTCAAGGCTCGCTACCATCGTACTAACCAATGCAAGACAAATGATCAACTGGTCAAGATTGACGTACGTCAAACCCGCATGCATCAAATGGCTCATGATCTTCGCGAGCAAGGAGTAGATGTTCCCGGAATGTCCCCGACCAAAGTGGATGGTGACGCGACAATATTCTTGAACATGGACCCAAAGGTGCATGACCATATTGCCGCTGAGCAAAAAAAACATCATTTTTCTTCGAGACTGGCAAGCAGGTCAACCCGATGACCCCGCAATTCAGGTATGTTACTAGTCAGATCCTGAAGCCTATATCTGAAGTCGTCTCATAGTCTTTCGTGTCTGATCTGCGCTTATACTTGCAAGACCAACTAAGTAGCATAGACAAAACTGCGCTTGACCCCGACATTCAGGTAACCATTCACCATGACTGCATTTATCAGCACACCATTGCTCGCATCAACTACACAACGTACGATGTCCAGCGGGATCAAGATCTTATTAACTCCCGCATTGGCAAGTGTGCGATTACGATATACCACCCTACAACTCCTGGTGTCTCATCACGGCGTTGGGTGTTTGCATCAGTACTCGGCATCTATCATACGTTAATCCTGCACCCGGGAATGTCGGAGCCCAAGTGCATGGAGTTTCTGTGGGTACGCTGGATGCATACGGTAGACATATTCACACATGGACCTGCCGTCAAACGCATGGAATGTGTCGCATTTGAACCACTTAGCTCTCCAAATGCCTTTGGTTTTATCAATCCAGCGCAGGTGATCCGAGCTTGCCACTTGATTCCCGCATTTCATCACGGTCATATCACTGACTTGCCCTCAGTTGCCCGTGATCCTGAGGGTGATTAGAGATACTACTATGTCAATCGGTGCGTGATGTCTCACTGAATGTTCTAGCTTCTCACTCATTCCACAGATTTGTTGACCGAGACATGTTCACTCGGTTTGCTGGCCTTGGCATTGGACACGTTGAAGTGCAGCTCGAGCATGTCGAAACCATGTCTGAGGATGAAGATCTTACCTCATAAGAGCACACCGGCACTCCACCATCATCCGTGAATAATGTTCTGGTGACATTGGACAATATCAAAGTGCTTGAACCTGCTGAAGCTGCTGAAGCTGCTGATGACATGGACCTTGCGGACCTTGATGAGGAGAATGTGGAGGAACCCAGTGACGTCGACGATGCAGACCCTAGTGACATTGACGATGATTATGATGAGCTCTAGGTTCAGGTTCTCGATTGTGCTAGTCTCAACTGGTCTGACATTTTAGCGATCAGTCGCGGTCCTTGAAATTTGTTCCTAATACTATACAGTCCCTCACGCAGCACAAATACACGAAGCCGGTCCATCAATGACTTCTTTGCTTCCTCTCCATCCTCGCACGCTGCCGAATACATGGCCAAAGAAGGGCAAGTGATCCCAGCACAACGTCACCACTTCAAACTTGGCCACAATGAGGATGATACTGACGACATGCGTCTTATCAAAAAAAGGCAAGTTTGATTCCCACACCACCTTCAAGATTATCTTACGGCATCATACTCTGCCTCAGCTGTCACAGGCACCCCTTTTATCGCCAGGGTGCCATCTTTGGCATCATGGGAGATGCCTGGCGTGACATTCAGACGATTATAGATGTCGGCTTTACATGGAACTCACACACAGACATGTCGACTGTCTCATACAGGTAGTAGTACAATACAATCTTGGTTATGACTCATCTGATTCCGATGTAATGTTTCTTCAGGCAAAGGAAAATACACGGGTTATACAAGATCCTCTGCAAGTATGCCCCCACGGTACCCGATGAGCTTAAGAAGCGCAGTGAATCAGGACCCATAGAGATCGCACACATGGTATGTGGTATCTTCAAGGCTTGATCAGTACTAATTGTCAGATGAAGCTGGACTCAGGATGGAACTCCGTTCGTGCTTGTAACATACATGACATTAGAGGTGACATACTGTACTGGCATGAATTTGAGCCCCGCATCGATAAGGACCACAAGTCACTCCGCGGTTTCAACCATCCAGAATGTGGTTGCTTGTTATGTCCTGCCTCCTACCATTGGGAAGACCCAGCGTGAGTTTTTATCATCTGATACATCCACTACGTCGCTGATACACCACTGAGGACTTGCAGAGTACACGAGGGCTTGTGCAATGGAAGCAAGAACTATCCTGCTGGTGCGAGCGACTGGCCAAGCTTTCTGTGGGAGAATGAGGAGACCAATCAGGAAGATCTTATCAAAGGATTTCTACACAATGAATTGCTCATCAAGGTAAGTCTCTATGTGTGCTACCTCGATGCATGAAGCTACCATTGGCGTTGTACAGGCGCTACGCCACATCCTCTGGGGACCTTCTGCTGGACGTGCCGGTCCAACCTTGACAAGCAATGGTGGTAGTAAGAAAAACCAGGGAGGAAGTCACAAGCTGAAGGTCATGATTTACCGCATCCGGTCGATCACTGTTGGTTCGATAGCCTATTCAGTGATGGTGGTATTTTCTGACAAGCATGTCCGGAAATTTACTGACATTCTATCGTCGGCAGGTCCATTTTTTGTTATCATCACAAGGAACCATGAGCGTGGGCGGCGATGGTGGGAAGTTCCTATATGGAGAATTCTACCACCGACTCGTTAAGTTTATGGAGCAAGACATGACACCCGCTCAACTACAGACTCTCTTAGACTACTGGACCACGTACATTGTGCTGACCCTGTCATTTCCATAGTGCCTAATATTCTAGCAAACCCATAGTGAGGTCCTCGGCAATGAATTCGAAGACTCGGACAGCGACGCTGACATTGAGAACACTGCAGGGCATATGTCTATCGCTGCACGTATGCGCGCTCAGCAAGCCGACAAGAACTGGGATCATGACAGTGGTGCTAATGTCGAGGATTCTTCGCAGGGTGCCATGCTTGCGAACAGGAACACGGCGTGAATTGTCTGTTGTTGTATAACCCCATAGTGTACCGCTTGCAATCAATTTTATTATTGTGACCACCATGGATAGTGATCAGAATGAGTATTATTCTTCCGGTACTCAGAACAATTGCGGCCACTCATGTACCGAATGGTATGCCATTGCAACGGGCATAATTCTTCTGGTGATTGCAAGTGTCACGGTACTTTTACTACTTGTAACGAGAATAACAGCACATTTTAACAGCATTTTATCAAAGTCCTAACCTTTCATTGTTAAGACAGATTGCCCTTTTATTCATTCTGCTCATTCTGATGATTTTATCCATTCTAATCACATTATATTGCAATATAATCGCATTACAAGTTCCGCGCCTTTTTTGTGATGGCCATCATTGGTTAAACTACAGTTAACTATATTATTTACATGGTGGGTACTGTGTCAAAACCCTCTGATGGGTAACCGACGGTTATCCACCAGGTAACTCCAGTCCTGGTCATCCGTCCGGTACCCGGCTCATCTGGTAGTGTAGCTCCGAACTTGTAATCTCTATAGTATGATAACCATGTCATTTGTAAACTTTGCTCTAAGTAAGCTCTTTCAAAAACGATGAGAAAAATGCGACCAACCTGGGATTCGAACCCAGAATCTTCAGCTATTCCAAACACACTAGCCTAATGGTTTCCCCGCTAGTCACGTGCGAAACCGGAAACTGACGCCTTAACCATTAGGCCAGCCGGCCTTATTTGAACCTCAATATCTTCTCCTGACGTATGCGATTCCGTACATATCGAAAACTCGGCGAAATTCGCAGCCGTCGTCGAGCTATTGCGTCTGGAAGATGGGAGGAAACGAGGACGGAAGGTGGAGACCCAGAGTAGCATGTGATAATTGAAGCGACAGTTGGTGACCCGGAAGATTCGCATTCACTTGCAAATACACACCAACAGATAACATTCAGGCAGGCATGATTACTGAATGTTAAACGTTCCACAGATTTCCTATCCAAGGGGATGCGAGACTCTCAAATAAAACAAGTGTCTGGCAGTCACTACAGCCCCAAGAAGAAAAATACAGTATCCTTTTGTAATACAGATTTTAGCGGGGTTCAACTTCTCGGTCATCGTTCGGTTTCAGTTAAGCACTTGCTCCCAGAACCGACTTTCGAGCGCGCACTCCTTCGCCATCTCAAGCTGGATGCAGACAATGCTTCATCAGCGCAGGAGGGGAGAAGTTCAGGATAGAAACGCGCACCTGTTCATCAGTCTGACACACGAGCATCCGCTTCCCATCATCGTGGTTCGCGCCAACCTCAGCGACAACCCAGTCGCCTGAACCCACCTCCGCGTTAGCTTTCTCGTCTATCACGAACCCAAGACATGCGACCTTCCTGGCAACCTCCTCGCGCAGCTCCACACTGTGCTCGCCAATCCCGCCCGAAAACACAAGCGCGTCAACCTTCCCGCGAAGCTTGACAAAATACGAGCCGAGGTACCCAACAATGCGGTCGACGAACAGATCGAATGCTAGCCGATACTTCTGTTCGCCGTCCCATCCGCCGCTCGCGTCCGGGCCAGCCTCCTTCATCTTGCGCACGATGACCGCAAAGTCCGCGGTGCCCGTGAGCGCGGCCCAGCCCGCGCGGCGGTTGAGAATGTCCTCCGCCAACGTGACGTGCACGTCCACCGCCAGGCGCCGGTCGTGGGTGATGCGCCCCGCGCGATTCGTATAGTGGAAAATAAGCGACGGGTCCACTGTCCCGCTGCGCGTCGCGCCCGGCAGCCCGTTCAGGGGCGTCAGCCCCATCGTCGTGTCATACGCCTTGCCGTTCTTGATCACGCAGACGGATGCGCCCGAACCGAGGTGCATCACGATCAGGTTCATCTCGGACGGGTCCTGCGACAAATTAGCATTGTGGAGAGTAGAGTAGAAACAGGTGCGTACCTTCTGCAGATACTGGCTGACTGCCTCGAGGATATACGAGTCTGTGCAGAGAGGTGAGTGCGGCACGACAACAATACATCAGGCAGTACGCACAACTCAGCCCATGGAAGCCGTACTTCTTCAGGCCCCGCTTCTTTGCAATGTCCTGGCGGATGGCATAGCTGGCGATATGTTCCGGGATGGGTCGGTGGAACAATGTGTCGAAGTACGCAATTGAATTGGCTCTAGGTAGGGCCACGATGCACGCTTCCATGACCGACAATGCTCCACCATTGTGTCTAAGGCATACATGAATCAGTAACCCCTCTTCGAGCTGCATCAAGCACACGGGTTCAAGAACTCACAGCGGCGCGAGATCCGACAGCGTCTCGATATGGTGGTAGCTCTCCTCCGTGATCACGACAGGCTCCAAGTAGTCGCCGCCATGGACAACACGGTGACATACGTGCACAATTTCAGTGCGGTCAATGCTCGCCTCTTCTTTGAGGTAGTCAAGAAAGTGAGAGAACGCGGTTGCGTGGTCCTTGATAGACTCGACGGGCTGCTTGTTCGCCTCACGGCCCTCCCGGTGCGAAACGAGGGAGAAGGTGAAAGACGCGGGAGGAGCAGAGATATTCGAGACATTCGAGTTTAGCAGGAGAGACACAACGTCGTGAGTGGACCCCTTTTCAGGCGCTATGTCCGAGACGCGGTGGAAAAGTGAGATTTTGAGTGAGGAAGAGCCAGCGTTGACCGCGAGAATTAGGCCGCTCTGGGGCGTATGTGCCGGGGTAGAGAGTGACATGGGTTAACCTAGTCTCGGGACCAGCCGTTCGGAGTGCGAAAAAGACGTGTGAGAGGCTGCATAGTGTCGGGGGCAGAACTAAATCAGGGAGTTCTGCCGGCAGAACCGGCAGAACGGCAACTGCCAGAGGTGGCGAAACTTGGCGAAACTCCTGGCCCATAAATTGCATGGTCTGTGGTAGAAGGACAACATACAACTAGACAGAAAACTAGAAAGCTTACAATTGGTCAATTGAGACTCTTGGGCTTTGTACGAGCGATGCTGAGTTCATTTGCGTCCATTTTTACGCTTTCATCTCCTAAGTTAGGGTTAAAATGTCAGGTGACCATTGTTCGGAGCATGGAAATGTCCCCAATTTGGACGTTTTACGGACCAACCGGAAGATTCATATGTCAGTGTCATGCTCACACTGAATGCAGGAGATAATTTAGGCCTTAAAAGTCTCTCCCGCTGACTATAGCCCCAGTTTGACTGGTACTTCTGCCAGGTTCTGCCCAAGCCCGCCGGGCAACTGCTGGCAACTGCCAGTTCGGCAGAACAGAACGGCAGAATGGCAGACTTCTGCCAACAACACTAGAGAGGCACTACCTGAACGTGTGAATTTCGCATATATAGAGGGGGGGTATGTCACGGTCACGTGAACAGATGCCACAATGCGTCGCGCAGACGCGACCTGGCTGTATGCACTGTAGCTAGCCACTGTACCACGTTCCCTACTAGACCCTCCATTTCCCGGGTGCTGTGCGCCATGCCCCATGACGACAATTTATGTAGTTTACTGTTGGAACTTAATCAAGGCAGCACTGTTCTTGACAACAATCTGCTGGATGATCCTAAGGGAAGTGTCTTCTCAGCACCCATGTCAGCAACTATGGAATAATCGAGACCGAGTAGGAGAGCCTTTGTGACGTCCACCTGCCATCTGTAGGGTGCCTTCATATGGCTCTCACCACCTCGATAATTTTGTTATGAGTCATGCCCAGGTGGAGTTGTACCCACACTTGTTTGCGGCTTCAGCTCGCACTGCTTGAAGTATTGTTGTCGACTCGGGGTATGCATGGGCCTTGGCCGGAGGAGCTTTTGACTCCTGGTCAAGTGAGTGGTACTTCGCTATGGTTCACCGGGCATGGCAAAAGGGAAAATATGCTGGGCTATCACAGTTGTTCATTGATGTCAAATTTATGATAGTTGGTTAAGGATGCCTGAGCTATATGTGTGTCTTGTTGTCTGAAGTCGAATGGGGAGTCTGCACAATACAGATGGAGAAATGTGGGAGGATGCCTAGCAATCGTGTGCAAGGGCTTGCATTCTTTCTTCTGATATGATGCCTACAACCAGTGCAGGGCTCAACGAGTTTTCTTATACAAGGCCTACAACCAGTGCAGGGCTTTCCGAGTCTTCATCGTCTTCCTATTCATGTGCCTACAACTATGTGCAGGGCTTACCGAGTGCGCATGTCCTAAATGATGTGCCTGGCTGATAACTTTCCTACATGCTTTCTGAGAACTTTCCGAGAATGGTTTGAGTATCTAGCAACCATGTGCTAGACTACCCAAAAGAGACTATATGAGAGTGCAGTAACAACTCACTGCCTGCGCTGAACTGACTTCATTGGGATCCTTTTGATTATGAGTAACAAGTTACAGGGAGGAGTGGAATAAACTCCTATTCTTTTAGTTTATCACTTGTAGGGTAAGCTACAAGTGGAGGGTGAACTCTTCACTTATAAGGGCTATAAGTGGAGAGAGAAGACTGAGGGTCAGGGCACCTCGAGGGTCCTTTTATACCCCTCAGATGTCACCCGTTGTGACCATTACATAGTAGTGTTACATGGCAGATTGGCCAATAGCAAAATAAGAGCATCACGTGATCAAAGGGGAAAGTAGGAAGGAAAAATGTCTTAGGACCTTCGTGTCCAAGAGCATAAAGTGAGCAGGGAGAAACAGGAAAGACAAAACTCTTGGGACCTCCATGTCCAATAGCATAAAGCAAGCAGGGAGAAGTAGGGAGAAAGCACTTTCCGAGTTTTTTTCCATTCAATAGCATAATGTGAGCATCAGATGACACGCTCAGCCAAACATTCTCGGGTTCCATCTTAGTCACGTGACTTCTTCATCGAGCGCTTCACCGGTGGTTACGTGTTCACAAGCCAAACACTTTTGGTGCATGACATTGTGGTGAACTTGTTGCACACATTTACATGGGGGTCTGTATCCAAATGATCGTGCATTGTTTCGAAGCCTTATGAATCATCTTGTTTAGAACCAGAAGTAGTGTCTGTGGCTTCACTTACATTTATCATTGTCAACTTTTGCACATATCATCTCTGCCGAGATGTGACTCACCATGAGTAGAACTTGGTCAATGACATAATCTTCTCTAAGCCCAATAACCAGCAGGTGAAGTAGGACCCGAGGGAGGGCAATCACAGTAACCATACTTTTGCTTTCTTATATGCCTGTTTACTGACTTGCACAACTCAGTGGTCTGCGTCCTTCAAGTTCTGTACACTGTGTATGGTGGTGATATTATCCCCAAAGGACATGGATGCCGTGGTTAACATTATCAAGATGAAAAAGACTATCTAAACTTGTCGACTGGTTTCCGACTAGCTTCAAGCTTGACATTTGCAGCAAGCCTCTTCAGCCTATACCGTGGTGACCTGGTGAAGGTCACTTGCAGCCTGTGTATGCTGTTGAACATCACTGCAAATACAAGTGCGTGGAGTCATCTGGACCACAAGTTCAACCTTCTGGACTTGAAGTGTGCATTCGTTCACTGATATTTCAGTCAAGGTAGGATGTGACTTCTTGAAGGTCGTGAGGATCTTGCCATGCTCTAAAGCTATTATGGGGAAGTTGATATTCACTCCACTGACACAGAGGAGATTGGCAAGGTACTCAGCATCAGAAAAATTCCACTTTTCCTTAAAGACCTTTTGCTCTGAAAACTCTTATTTAAGGCTATAAGTTCTCAAATAAGTCTCAATAAGTTGGATTTTAGGCACTTAATGTAATATGGCTTATGCCCTTTTTGTCCTTATTTCCTTAAATAAGAACTATAAGTCTGTTTAAGGCAGTTAAGTGTTCTCTTAAGAAAAAGTTGAGTTTTCCTGATGAGGCTGTAGACTGTAGTAATCTTCCGGAAATTTATAAAGTCAGTGAGTATTAAGCCTCTCCCTTTGTTAGGCCCGATCTCTCTTCGTGTTGCTGACTCATGACCTTTTCATCATCCCTATTATCAGTATCCTGGCTTACTATTATTTCTACCCAATTTATAACATCCATACATTAATTGTCAACTACATGGAGGGACCTACCTCGACATAAGGAAACACTGCACGATAGTTATTGTCAGCCATGACTGAATGGTTATTGTGTGATATAAGTGCAACCTCACAAATTATGGATACAACAGAATTGATACAACAGATATTGATACAACAGATTATTGATACAACAGTATTGATACATGATGCAGGTTCATTTTAATCGCAACTCACAAATCGATTTCTAGAGCATACACATTCAAAATGCTCTGCCACTTATCATCCCATTCTTTAGGGAACATGCATGTTGCCTGCTCATAACTCTGCATGACCAAGAAGCAGTGGATATCTGGTGAGAGGATAGATGCCATTCTATTCGGTAGGTGAAAGGCTTCTTCCAAGAACTTTAGCCCCTCCTCTTGGACGTGGTGTCTTTTTGCCAGTGTAAGCTGGAACACTGTGACATAGTTTTGATCATTCTCCTGCATGCACATAAGCAAGTTGAACATCGTGTTGTTCTGCCCACTAGGTCGATAGTAGTGGTCGAGTTTGAAGTCCGAAATTGTATCATTCATTGAGAATAAGATGTCACGAAGTTCAGGGATCTGCACGGAGATAGCATAGGATTGTGTAGCAATACTATGGGGGTTGTGTGAGTAGTAACTGTCTCTCATCTTGACTAATTTTTGCAATGAGTGGATTGGCCATGTCCCACCCTGCACCAGATCAGGGTGCACGTAGGTGTCTATAATCCATCCTATGATTGATTTTGAGGAGGGATGGCTAGCAAACAACATGGCAAATTCTGTGATCTGCTGAGCTTGACCTCAAAGATACATTTCCCACACCATCTCCATAACCTCATTGGAGATTACAGAGGTGACATAAGATGCTCTGTTCTCAGGAAGCAGCTGTACAAGGAAATTTTCTTCTCTGCTGTTCAGTCCATTCGCAGCTCTGATGAGACCTTCATAATCTAAGGTTCCGATAGTGAGCTTAACAAGTGACTGGTAGTTCATGATGTCATAGGGAGAAGCATATCAGAAAGCATCACGAGCTGATGGGCCAAACTTCTGATAAAATCAGTACAACTCTTCTTCGGTTGCCACATCATTCTTCTGGTGTGGATGACTGGTAATGTGTTAAGTTTCCTTGTTTATGCACATAGCCGATGATACTCACACCATGACAATTTCCGCAAAACTCATAAGTTTCATAAATCAGCCACTCCGCAGATGTTCGCGACGAGGAGAAGTGACTTTGATGCAGAATCACAGTGAGTATTCACTTCCTGTGGGGAAGCTGGGTTTCGTCGTGAAGCGATTTGAGTCAAATAATGACCAGATATCATCTGATTCCCACTCCAGGGTGGGCAATTCATTATAAATCTGTTATTGTGAGTTACAACCAGGTTTCTTATCAATCAGTATCGCATTGTAACTCCAGCTTCAAACCAGTAACAACTAGCTGCACCACCCTGCAGACCTCTTCAATAACTGGTACCTTGTTACAAACCCCTCTGACATTATCAGAGGGGTTTGTGTTGAACCTACAGGCGATGTGGCACTCAGGCGATAGATGTAGCGATGGCCCAAAAATTAATTAATTTAATTTAATTTAATTTAAATAATTCATGTTTCACTTTTCTAGCTGGCAAATCCGGGAATTTGCAGGCTTTCTGGAATGAATATTACAGCAGTTCCAGAATATAATGATATTCACCGATTTTTTTGCACGTGTTCCCAGAATGGAATTTCCATGTTTAGTAAGATCATCTGAGCAGGCTCGATAATGCTCGAAGCATCTCCACGAGACTTCCTGCCCTGCCTGTATCTGTTACTGCATCATGGGCAACCGGAGAATAAGTTCTGATCTCAAGCAGTGTGCTTTGAGGCTGTGGAACCTAGGCTGGGACCTGGAAGATGTCATTTTTGCTCTCTGTCTCTCGTTCTAGCCTCTATCGCTGGAGGAACATCTTCACAGAATACAGCTTGGTCAATAGACCTCCATCTCCTTTGCGTGGTTGTCCGCGAATCCTCACTTGGGCAGTACTCTCTGCTATACATCTGCTCTATAAAGACAGTCCAGACACATACCTTGACGAACTCTGCTGGTGGCTAGGCATACACCATGACATCGTGATCTCAACATCAGCCCTCCATCAAAATTTGCAAGATGTTGGACTTACTCATAAGGTTCTCCACAAGATAGCCTGAGAGCGAAATGAAGAGTGGCGTGAGGAGTGACGACAGATGATTCGCAATAACTTCACAGGAAGTGGCGATGAGTTCATCTTCATAGATGAAACCAGCAAGAATGATCGTACTACCGCTCGTCACTATGGCTATGCGATGTCTGGCGAGCGTGCAGACTATCAGCATGCCTTTGCCCAAGGGATACGATACTCTGTGGCAGCAGCATTGTCCAAGCAGGGATATGTGGCTGCACGTGTGGTCGAAGGCTCATTTGATGCTCTCGAGTTTTATGATTTCATTGTTGAGGATGTGGTATGATTTCTGCATTGTTTTGCACTTTCTCTATTTGCTCATGAACTGTAGCTTCCACAGACAAACCCATTTCCTGATTCTCGGTCTGTTATCGTGCTCGACAACTGCCGCATACATCACAATGATGCTCTTGCTGATGTCATTCAGGCCGCAGGTGAGCCAGTACATGCATTGCCTCACCCTTTGATAGATTTTCATTGATTCCAGGCTGTATGCTACTATATCTCCCACCGTACTCACCCGATTTCAATCCGATTGAAGAATCATTCAGTACATGTGAGTTCAACTGGCAGCATACTGTGGTGTCAGGCTGACTGTCGGGGTAGTCAAGCAACACATCCGCCGTAACCGATTTGAGATCGAGGGTGCCGAAGACCCAGTTGCGGCATTACTTGAAGCTTGCAGTAGCATTACGGCGGAAAAGGCCGAAGCGTGGTTTGGTCATGCTGGGTATATTATAGCACACAATGAATAGTATGTTTACAGCACTGGTCGTGGACAATATCTTGGAATGTCTAATGTATGAGTTGCTGATCAATAATTGCAATGAGTTGTGAACTGAATGTGATGGTATCAAGAAAGGAAAAGTGGTATGAAGGTAAAAGAAGATGGAGCAAATGTCAGGTGTCCCAGAGTCCACACAGCACTTCATCGCAAAATAGAGCATGCTTCTCGCAGAACCGATCCCAGCCAAGCTTTGAGAAGCCAGCATCCCCAGACCAAATCTCCTTCTCGAGATCTTCACAGTGCCGATCACCTAGGATGACCTCAAGTTTCTTGAGCTTGCAACAGTCATTCTCGGAGATCTTGTATTTAGCGCAGAACTCCGCGACAGTGATGTCACGAGGCAACGGTATGACTTTATTGTTGTTGTGATTAGCGGTAGGAACGGCTGAAGTAGTGGAGTTGGACGACAGATTGATGGCAGCGGAGAGATTGTTGACAGCAGTGGAGGAATTGACGAGATTCATGAGGGCTACAGTAGAAGGGTTGGTTGGAGCAAGAGGGTTGGAGAGGGCGGCCGAAAGAAGGTGCGAAAGCGTCGACAGAGGGTTTGATTGCTGTTGCTGTTGTTGAACCAGCTGCAGAAGACAGGCATGCATCAGAGCATCGGAGGTCCCAGGCATCATCTGAGGGAGTCCATGGCCCGTAGCGGTAGATATACTGGGCATTACTTGAGGGAATCCAGGACTCGAAGCGGCAGATGCAACAGGTGCGATAGCATTAGTTTCGGATGGCAGCTTGAGGCGTCCGGACTGAGAAAAATGATTCGAATTGGGAGGGGCATCAACGGTTGCTTTTCCCGATACCTGCTTGTAAATTATGTCTTAGTAGCTGTGTGAGCAATACAAGGTGCATATAGTCACTATATTTGCCGCCCACACCTGCAGGCGCAGATCAGTTAACTCCCAGTAATGGCTGCTATCGTTACGGTAGATGCGCTTCCCAGGGAATAGGAATGAGTTTCCAACTGGGTATTTTTCGCGCAGTTCTGCAAGCCTGAGTGCCATAAGAGTGTCCAGACTCGCCTGATCAGAGATAAGCAACAGAATAAAAATGCGCTCGAGAGCAATTGGGATCACCGTACCTTCTGCTCTTGAAATGGCGTAGCCTCTGACCCTCCATCGTGCACAAATTGGGGTCCATCGTCCTCGTCATCACCTGTCTCCCAGGGCTATCCGAGGAATCAGAATCAGAAAAGCACATAAATACCGAAGCTTACAACTGCGGCCTTTGCAGGCTCTGGCATACTAATTATGATAACTAAATCTTTCTTCCTCTGTCCCAAACTCGTGAGCATTGCCTTGAAACCGTTCTCGTCTGACAGAGGTTTGAGCTCTGCATTCTTGGGCGTCTTGAATTTCCACTGACACTTGTTGACAAGAATCGCATCGCGGCGACAGGGTGTTGCAGTCGCAAGACTGGAGAGGAAATCGGGAAGGGTAATGCCATGAAGCTTGAAGAAGAACGGTCCCTGTTTGACGACCGTGTCGGGAGTAGGCTTCGATTTTGAAGGGCGTGAGCTTGCTGCTGCGGGGACAATAACGTGGATATAAGCGGTCACTTCTACCTCCTTGTTATCAATCTTCTGCTTCTTCTTGTTCCGAGTAGATGCGCTCTCGTCCTCCTCCTCACTCTCACGAGCAAGTGGCACATTTTCTTCGTCGGCTGAATCATCACTGACCACAACAGATGGAGCAGACTTCCTTCCCTTTGAAGCCTTCCTCTTCTCCTTTGCTGACTTCTTTTTCATGGCTTTTGCATGAAGAGCAGGTGTCGTGACAAAGTAACGGAGGCCTGTGTTGTCTTGTTATCGGAAGGCGAGAATTGAGAACATTTCCACATACATCTTTCCGGGAGATTAGGGACAATTTCCTTCTCAATAATCTCATCAAAGTTATCAGGATCCTGAACGGTGGAGGACATCCTGGCGGGGTGCACGAGAGACGAAGGTTGGGGGCGGTACAGACACGTCTGGCAAACGCGTCCTTCAGAGGTGCCAGACAACTCATACTAAACATGGAAATTCCGTTCTGGGAACACGTGCAAAAAAATCGGCGAATATCATTATATTCTGGAACTGCTGTAATTTGATTGGTATCAATGGCCAAAATGTCCACCAGATGTGGGATGCATAAAGTACAAGAACAGGAACACAAAATAATGTTACAGTACCAACCGTCGCCGAGCACGATGCAATTGGCGTTCCCGTTGTGTCCTTGCCACTCAACCTCCTTAAAGCGATGTCTGTCTTGATTAGAGCCAAGGGTCTACTAGCCTGAGCTGGTCGTCAATTCAATAGCCCCCCAACGGCATTCCCCCCATCAGAGCAACCTCTCCCTTGATCAGGTTGTCCTTCGACTGTTCGTTTGACCTATGGCTTCTCTCGAGGACCAGGAACGACAGGATAACGGTATCGCGGATTTCGAGTGCGGGTGGCATAAATAAGAGCTGTGCAGGGGTCCAGGTAGAGTTTTTTGGATCAGACTTGGGATCTCTCCGCGATCTCTCGAACCCCGCGATAGGTTCCTTAAAGCCATCATCCTCTGTATGGAGCTAAGGTTGATAACGAAAATTAATGCCGCTGTGGAACCCGGACGCTATAGACCAACCTGGAGAGCCATCCCCGGTGAGTTTCCCTTCCACTTGTACTTCCGGCCCTTGTCGTCCTTGAACGAAACGTCACTATCAGGAGTGCATGAGAAACAGCAGATATACACATGGTAATAGGTACTCACTCCACGAATGGAATGATACTCTTGTGAAGCCATTTGCTCAGAGGGATGAGCGGCTGGTCACCTAGCGCGACCCTGTCAGAGGAGATGTAGTCGGTCCATACGTACGCCGCAAGTACATGGTCTTGGGGGTCGAGCACGCGAGTCGTGGACGCGTTCTTGCCGTGCTCGGTGTACACGACGTAGAGAACGTTACCGTCCTCATCGGTGATCTTGGTGTTGCATGGATTGTCTGGCTGTAGTGTGAGTCTTGTGAGTTCCGACATGTTGTCAGTGCGCAATGTCGCTGCGCAAGGCAAGCTGCTTTAAATCTGAACCAGAGGCTGTACAGGTGCCTACTGCGGGGAAATAGATGAGCGCTCATCTGAGCGGGGATTCTTATCATTGGCAGGCATTACCGGGAAATGGCCTGCGGTCTGTCAAACTTAGTTGTCCACACCTTGGCCGCGATCACTGAGATGCCACTGCAAGTTCTTGCTCGGAGAGCAAGCCCTTTCCTAAGTGACAACCGTGTTGATACAAAGTGATTGTGCACGGTTCGTTTTGCACAGTCATAGGTGTAATTTGGCAACTCTTACCTCATCCGGATATCCTCCTTTTCGTGACCATCTACCGAACCACATGACGAAGACACCGGTAGCGCGAGGCATGAGCTGATCTGTCTGAACGGGACGGAACAACAAGGTCAAGTCCACCGGGATTGTTGAGGATGAGGACCATCCGGACAATGCGACCGACGACTCGGAGATGCAGGCGACGATTGGGCGACAACGCTGCTCTTCGCATAGCCGATCGGTCTCTGCAAGGGCGTAGACACCGTACCCTGAGACGGACAATGAGGCCTCGGCATCCAATCCGCTCTCAACGCGAGCCGAAGAAGGTGAAGAAAGGGTAGTAAGAAAAGGGTGCTATGATCCCGCCGCGTCCACCAAGAAGTCTAGAAGTAAGGCTGCGCTGGCTGCAGTAGAAGTCGAGGGTGCCCACTATGCCCGCGCCGGGTCCGGGGTCCCCACTGTGGCCGACCAATCGTGCCCGGACAGACATGAAGGGAGAATGCATTCTACAGTACGTCGTGAGTTTTCATCCACATTCTCCACAGCGATGCGCCACTTATTCCCCTTGATTGGTGAAGCCTGAGGCCCTAGTCCTCGGGCCCCTCGATCCCACATTCCGTGAGCTTGTGGACGAGGTATATCGCAAACAGCGCAAGGAGGCCGAGCCCGCGTTTTGTGAGAGTCTCCAAGTCGTGGATGGGACCGGCACCACACTCTAACGACCTCAACGAGATGGACCGAGTCCGAATTGGAACTTGGGGTATTTAGCTCGTCCCTAGACCGACGGCGAGGATGGTCGTAAGGGTGGAAACTGGACCCAAACGTCTGGCGGCCTGGTGAGCCCTCAAGCTTCAAGCTTCAAGTGCCGACCTCCTGCCAGCGTAAGTCACGGTGATGGCGCACTTGCGTAAGCACATGGTGTAAGCGAAGTACCAGGATCGCATTTACTTCGCAAATTCCGTGAGCTTCAGCACTCAGTTGTCAGTACCAGTTCCGGTGTGTTGTTCTTCATTCAAAATACCAATTGTCAGTCAGAACTACAGGAAGTTAAGCACTCTGCGTAATTGATCAGAAGATGTTCGCACGAGGCCTAGCATTCGCCAAGTTGGCCAGCAATATTCCTCGCTTGTAAATCTACCCCTATCCTACGCCATGTCTCTTCCGAAATTGAGCGACACATTGCTCTGTGAAGCCTAGGCAGGAGCTGGGAACATCTGAGACCGGCTGGACTCTCTGCGAACACAAGTTTCCGACTTTCGTGCGAGATATGTTCTCTCGCGCAACGTCTCTGGGGAATTTACAACGTTCCGCCATCACTACTCTGACAAAACCCGACCAGAGAGCGCGTTACTTATCTTCAGAATCTTTTGGAGATGATGCCTCGCAAGAGCACGCAAGAGTGACAACATGGGAGGGAGATATCCATCAAGTGCTAATCGTCTGACTATCAGCATCGTTCAATGTAGGAGCACTTGCCGACAGACGGCGTCGTTCGAAGTACTGGTGAATCTCCCCGTGCGTGCAATCGCACGAAATCGAAGGGGGTGATGAGGTCAGTTCCTCCCACCGTCGTTCAGCTGACATGTCTCAGACACATCAGTAGATAACGTGCATTCGATTGTTTAAAAGACAGGGGGACTAAGAGGTAAAAGACAGGTCTCAGAACCGAAGTCGTTGTCTGCACCATCATGCCTGTCCCAGTTCCCGAGCTCGGTTCTTTTAACTTTGTTCCTGAGACGCAGGTCAGTCACTTCGAGCCGCTGAATTGAAGTGAGACTGACCGAGGACTGCCTTTATAGGAAACTCTCGATTGGGCGGATCTGATCACACTGGATTTCAGTCTGCTCGGCACCCCAGAGGGCAAGAAACAACTTGCTGCCACCTTGATCAAGGCTGTTCACGAAGATGGTTTCTTCTACGTGAAGAACTTCAACATCTCCCAGGAGCGCGTCAACCGTCAATTCTCGATCGGCAAGCAGTTCTACGAGATTCCACTCGAGGAGAAGCTAAAGTACATCCCCGAGGGTCTCGGTAAGTGCACACTGTTTGCTATCTTTCAGTTATTCCGAAGCTTCCGCAGACAACGGTGCTTTCAATGGATATGTTCCCAGTGGTCGTCGGATGTAAGGCTTCCTCTTTCGCGGAAATACGCTGTACTCAAATGTTGGCGCTTTATTCCCCCAGTCTAGATGCAGCATCTGGTCTCAGGGACAGAACCGAGGTTTACAACATTCCCAGTAAGTCTCCATTAGTGTTCTCCGATAGCTATGCTGACGCACGTCTTCTTCAGAATTCAATGGGGATTTTAAGCATGAGCATCCAGCAGTCGTTCAGGGGCGCCTGCGTGAAATTGAGGAGTTCGCAAGGGTTTGTCCTCTCGCCGTTATCATATTTTTCCTTTTCTTGATTGCATGCGCAGTCGCTTCATACCGAAGTCCTGGACCATCTTCACACTCTGCTCGCGATCGCACTCGAGCTTCCAGAGGACTACTTCACCAACATCCACAAGTATGAAGTGAAAAGCGAGGTGACTTGTGATGCACAGATCCCGTCCTATTACGTCGGCGGCTAAACCGCGCCTAGGACCACCTCCGCTACATGAAGTATACCAAGTACACACCTGAAGAGAACATCAAGCTTGGGAGGCTCTGGGGCCGCGGACACACAGGTGCTCACAGTGGGTTCTGGATCTAAATCTTCGTGGCTCAATTTGTGAATTTAGATCTCGGATCGTGGACCCTCTTGTTCCGTCAACCTGTTGCAGCGCTTCAGATCAAGAACCCCAAGAACGGCGAATGGAAGTGGGTGAAGCCCCAAGATGGCACGCTGACCGTGAACGCTTGTGACGCGTTGTCCTTCCTGACTGGCGGCTACGTAAAGAGCACCATCCACCGGTTCGTTACTGTTATATTTGCCATCCACGCAGACGACTCACCTTGGTCGGGTCACTAGGGTTTCTGCTCCTCCGAAGGATCAGGAGCACGTCGACAGGCTCGGTCTGCTCTACTTCTCTCGGTAAGATCTCTCAGTTTCTTCCGCGTTCCTGTCTTGATGTGTTGCCCATTAGCCCCAATAACGACGTCGTCCTTTCCACCGTCAAGGAGTCGCCGGTTCTGCAGCGTGCGGGTATCACTCAAAATGAGTTCGAGAAGAGCGGCAATCACGTCCCGACCATGGAAGGTGCGTTCTCAACGTAGAGACATATCCGTTTGTTAGAGTTCTGATAAACTGGGTCATACAAAACTGCAGAGTGGACCTTCGCGAAGCAGAAGTGGCAGCGCACGAAGAACGTTGTTCGCGATGATCCGAAATTCGTGAATGCTCAAATTCTTCCCGGATGGAACGAGAAGGTGTATGCTTAGGGGCGACGTATAAATGAATGTACTCGTTGAATGGAAATCAATGGATGTGTATAGGAGTTTTCTTCGTTCGGGTTCCTGTTCATTCATGAAGAAGTAAACTATTTTGTCTCGAATCCAGCTACGAAATGAGAGAACCAGGTGCAACGCAATGGGTCGCTGTCGTGCCTTTGTAATCTGTGCTTAGTTCAAGTTGGTTGTTAACGTCTCATAGCATTACAAAATTGTAAGAGGTTGGACGACTACGTCGTATCATTGGTCAATACACAGTACGTGTGCTACACAAACATGAAGACTCGAGGAATTGAGGTGCATAATGCGGGGGAACGAGCATACAGAACAGCGACGAGAAATGGTATACGCAATACAGAGCATGTGACAAGACTTGAATACACGAGGACTGTGAAGAACGAGCTAGAGGACGTAGCATCCACGAAGCGACGATCAACGTCGGGAGGGAGAGATCGGCAGGTAGCAAAGAACGCTTATCCGTACACAATCCTGGAAAGGAAGTCGAGTCAACAACTGATCTCAGATCACCAGGTTAGAGGCTTACCCCCGTGGTGTTGTTGATATTGGCTTAAAGTCTGTCCGCCCAGACTCAACGAAGTGCCGTAGTACATCCGCCCAATCATCGCGGGTGTCCCACGAGATTTTGCTGGGCGCATCAACCTCGACGGGCATCACCTGGTTGACATCGCTGCATTGGATAACAATGACGGCGGTCCCGATGCCACCCATCTTGCGACAGCGCTCTTCGCGGCGTAATATATCTGAGCCAACGACGGGATCGTTGTCGGCAACATATGATCGGGGGATAATTTGGGTGCCCTTGACAGAGAATCTGCAGGTACCGATCAGTCGCGCTGACACTAGAAGATTACAAGGTACAGCAGACTAACCGACGAAGAGGATCCGAAGCCGACTGGTGGTACTCGATCTCAATCATCAAGGCTTTGTGACGGAGGTTGGATGGGAGGCGTTTCAACTGCAGCGCCTGGAAGCCCGCCCAGCCAAGGAGCTCAGCGTATGAGGAGCAAAACCTTCTGAGGTTCTTGGCGAGGTTATCGTCATGAGCTCCAGGCTCTTTTACCGCCGCAACTGTCGAGGCAGTATGCTGACAGATAGTCTTATGGGAAGGCCAGTGCGCCTTTTGGCATTCTTGAGACTACAAGGGCTTTAGTTGTCGCTAGTGACTCCAAGATGCGTTGTGACTCACACAGTACTGGGTAACCATCTAAAGAGTGAGAACAGGTCTGAGAACAAGATCTCAGAAAAGATGTAAGATTGACTTACGCATCCACCACAGAGTCTGAATCTGCCGGTAGATGGTTGCTCAAATGTGCCACACTGGTCGCAGACTCTAGCGCCGCGTGGTTTGGAAGGCGCATGGCTCGGGGGACTGTGATAGTTGGCGGCAGCGGGGTGAGTGTATGTCGGAGCCATTTCTGTGGCGATCGCGTTGTGTTGGAAACAGCGGAGACTGGTGATGTTCGAGTCATTGTTGCAGGTATTTTATACGTTCGCGGTGGTATAGGAGAGACCATGGTTTGGAAATGTTGCGTACGGGCACAGTCCCAGGTAATTGTGATGGAGGAGGAAGACACGCCACTACTTCCTGATTGGGACATCGAGATCGCAGATGTCAGTCTTGTCTTTTTGTTTTCACACTTCACGCGTTGGCACCGTTCCGTGCTTTATTGTCTGCGCGATATTCTTGAACATGGAATTTTCCTCTTGCCTCCGTCACACAAAAGGCCCTACCAACAGCAGGCATCTCGTATGCGACGTGTAGAACAAAAGCCTTTTGTTCAAGTTTAATTCCATGTGGCTCAATTCGTGATCGGCTGTTCGTCTCGGACAGCTGGGCCCCTCATGCGGCGGTTGCAATGTAACTTGGTCATAGGGGGAACTCTCACTGTTATTGTGTTGCATTGAAGTTTCAGGTGGGTTCTATGAGATCGGGAATGGAGAGATCGTCATTAGTCTCCACGTCGCACTGATAAGTTATGGTTGCGCAGTGGGCCCGGGTACGTACCTGCTGAAGAGCATGTAGCTTGCGCAGAACACACCTTCGATGCCTGCTTGTCGTCGGTCGACGGCTGGACAGCTGTGAAGTTATCCTTGCTGACGATTAGGTGTTGATTGGGTGTACAAGATCGTCCATCGTACATTTGGATCTCAATGCTGCCAGGAGTATCTTCAGGCAAGGAAGAAGATAACACGGAACTGGATGATACAATTTAATACCCCTGTATTCATCCATTCTAGAATGTTTGGACCTGGGCTGCACCTCGATTTTGACCAATGTATCATTGCTTGACAAAGTTTCCACATAGTTCGGATGCAATCAAACGACCTCGCCTGATTCCACAAGATGCCGGGGAGTTCCCTGTGTATGACCCCTTTGTCTCTTAACATTCAGCATTGTTCCCGATCAATCTGTTCCTCCGACATTGAGCGCTACACATCCACGATCGCTGGTTGGAGTTTATATAAGACCACCACTTACACCTACTCACCGCGAGGCTGAGCTTCAGACTTAGGTATGCAACGTCGACTCATCTTGCGAGGTTTATCCGACTAAAGCCTGTCATGGACTGCCACTCACCATATTCTACTCATCCATCCGCTCGTGTCGTCGTCGCATTGTGTAGTCTATCTGATGCCACGGATACTCGTGCCTCCCAACAATGGCTACTTGGTCCCACTGGACAATCCTCCCTCCCGACATGCTCACGTTAGACTTGACCTGCACAACGAGATACATGTCTTGCTCGCACCGCCTGTCTCACCGTTGCTGCACTCATGAAAGACTGCCGCGCAGACGGGTACGTTTGTTGAAGTACTACTCTTGCTCATTGCTTGCTTGTCATCCTCGTCATTATTATTGATCATGGGGCTTTTCAAGCTGCCAATGCGCTTCGGCCCCTCCTTAGTAGTGACCGTTGCTGTCACATCTAATGGACCCCCTACACAGAGTCCATAGTTCGGCTCAGCAATCCGTGGCTCATCCCTGAACAATGTCGGTCCAAAGCGCAGTGTGTGAACTTTGATCGTCCGTGCCTGACGCGAGCTCACTTGCATAGGCTACTTTCGGATCAGAAGTCATTTACCATGCAAGGATCATCATCGATGTCTCAAATTCAACGTTGCACTCCCTCCACATATGTTGTTAATGGAATGTACTACGTCATGCTTGCGGCATCCGGCATCGTGTATACTTGATCCGAAGAGGTGTGCCTTTCTGCTGATGAATACGCTTCTTTCGGCAGGAAAAGCAAGCGCCTCTGCGGATCTCAGTGTGACATCCTATGGTGTGTTATACTGTAAATTATCATGCGCACCCTGTCCCAGTGACCTTGTTCTGCATGACGTTGTAAATTCCTAAACACGCTAACGGGGAATGGTGATTAGGAACTCAGACGCATTTCTCAGCCACGGGCGTTCAGGGACAGACGGCGCTTCTACTGCACCCACGACATATGTAGCAAATGCACCAAATTACGAAGATTAATGCGAGATCGCGACTGGGTGACGGGAGCACGTGATAAGGAGTGACGAGAGTGTCGGAGATCGGGTAGATCGTGCGATACAGATCTGTGCTCACTAATTTGCCAGCGTCCAGATTCCGCCTGGTCCTGCTCGGTCAAAAGTCCAATGGGCCGACTCATGTTGGCACTGATCTCCTTCCCTCATTTACTAACTTGTCTCCTACATTCACTCGCCTTCCATGGCGGATAACATGCATCCTCTAAATTTTTTAACCCCTGACCATTTTCTGGCGCTCCCACGCCCGGATCATGGTCTGGCGGAAGGGGGTACGCCGGATACATCTACTCTTGCAGCGCACGATTTCGATGTCGATACCCGCACTGGTTTTATGCCTCCCGAGCCACCTCTGACTCGTCTTCCTGGACAATGGGAACCGTGGGAGGCAACGTTAGACGACGCCCAAGCTAGTGGATTGCAACTCTCAGACAAAGTCGGTCTGACTGCGGACGACGAGGCCCGTGCGGATCGATGGCAGACTCATGTTCGAGAGGTGCGTCAGTCCCATGTCATTGTTGATTCTGGCATTAATGGTCAAATTTTGGTAGCTTCCTATCCTCGCTATAGATGAGTTGAAGGGCTCTGAGGTACTCCTTCGTCGAGCACACCACGTTCTCGTATGGATCATGCACTTCTACGTCCACACAACGCCGTTGTCGTTGTCAACGATTCGTATTCCTCCACCTCTCACTGTGCCACTCCTTCAGGTGTCCGCGCAACTGCAGTTGCCGCCAGTCCTCACATACTCCGACGATGTCCTGTATAATTGGGCATTCAAGATACCTCCGTCTCCGGCATTAGCTACGCGTCCACCCGCCCTGGACAACTTGCGTTGTCTGACCCTCTTCACCGGCACTCGCGATGAAGAGGAATTTTATCTTGCTTCTGCTCGTATTGAGCTTCGCGGAGTCGAAGCGCTCAGTTTGATGAGCTCAGTAATGGATGAAGTCTTCGTGGGTGACACGATCGCCATGCGCCGCATCGCCACCTACCTTCGTGCCATCGCGGACGTCATCGCAGATCTGACAAAGATCTTGGGTGCGGTGCGGGACGGATGTGACCCGGAGATCTTCTACAACGTCATCCGACCATGGTTTAGAGGAACAGACTCGGACACGAAGAAGAGGAAGTGGGAGTTTGAAGGTCTGGAGCTCGATCCCGAACTCAAGAAGCCCACCGAGCTGTCTGGTCCAAGCGCTGGTCAAAGCTCGTTGATCCATGCTCTGGACATCTTCTTTGGCGTCGACAAGTATTCGCATTCCAACTTCCTCGACACTCCGGCCGCTTCCAAGGCCACCTCGTCATATGTTCCCTCGACATCGGCATCCACCGCCTCGCTCGGTTCTGCACCGGCATCCACCGCGGTGCCCTTCCTGATTCGTATGCAGTCCTACATGCCGCGCCACCACCGCGCTTTCCTGCATCACCTTTCTTCCAATCCACGCCCGCTCCGCGCTTTCGTTGAGTCAGCGGGCGACGAAAAGTTGCTAGACGCTTACAACTTCGTTGTGACTGCGCTGAAGGTGTTCCGCGACGAACATGTCCGAATCGTGGCGTTGTACATTCTCAGCCCATCTAAGCGGGCTAATGCACTACAGGAAAAACAGTTGAAGGGTACGGGCGGAACGGATGCCTTTCAATTCGTGAAGGGCGTCCGAGACCAGACGGCAGGGGCTCTTTTGAGGCGGGATGAGGGGAAGGAACAATCTGGCGTTTGAGCAAGACATAACGGAAGATATACTTGAGTAGATAATGTAGTTTTCTGAACAATGTGTGTTGGTGTGTCGTTGGTCACCTCGGGCTCCGAGTAAAGTGCAGCCACCGTGAACGCAATTCACTTCGTTAGACTATCTAATACATCGGCAACTCCCAATCTTCAGCTTTCTAAATGTTCTCTTCAGGCCTCTGCTACCACGATCACCTTTTTGCCCTTGTTCAAACCCTTCTGTACGTCTAAGATGGCCTGCCCAGCATTCTCGAGACCGCGCGTGACGTCCTCCAGGTACTTGATTTCCCCACTGGCCACGCGCTTCGGAATTTCTGCGTAGAATTGCTCCTCATACTTCGCAAGAATATTGAAGATAATGAACCCAGAAATTTTCAACTCCTTTGCGAAAATGAGGTTCAGGTTCTTGACATGATAGGGAGGCTGGCCGTTGTACTCGGAGATGCAGCCACACACCTGTGAGAAACTCAGCGTTCGCCGGTGCAGGATTTAGGAAGGTGCTTACGAGGAAACGAGCTCCCACAGTAGCGGTATCTATCGCCGCCTCAAGCGTTTCGCCTCCTACATTATCCCAGTAGCTGGATCACCGTTATTAGTTAGTGGCATGCGGTAGAGCTTCCGAAGCAGACATACATGTCGATAGGTCCCTCCTTCCGCAAAACTTCCAACGTAGACTCCTTTTTATAATTGAAGGCGACGTCGGCACCAATAGAGCGTATGAACGCTACTTTCTCGTCAGAGCCTGCAGATGCGATGACTTTGAGGCCTTCGGCCTTCGCGAGCTGGATAACGGTGCTACAACGCATCATCGTCAATGATCACTGTTGCGGATCAAAACATAGTCAACTCACGCTCCGACAGGTCCTGCCAACGCAAGAACGATGTCAGTTTGACGATGCACAGTAACGCACATGACAGAGGCGGCGTACCAGAGCCTGACGTGACGAACACAACCTCACCCTGAAATTCACAATCAACGCCTGTTGAATCTAGGAGAGGTAAGATGCTACCTTCTTTGCAAATGCGTACTCTTTCCAGGCACAGTAAGCAGTTTGACCTGGAAAAGTTGTTTATACTTGCTTCTCCAAAAATACTAGAAGACACACTGACCAGGCATGCCGCATACCCCGATATACGTCGACCAGGGAATCTTTACCTCGTTCTTCAAAACACGCAGCCGAGCACCACGTCCTTGGATCGTGTACTGCTCGAATGCTACACAGATTGAATCTCAGTACGCGACCCTAACGCAAGAAGCATATGCTCACGCAAGGTTCCGTAAACGTGATCCCCCGCTTTAAACGCAGGATCTTCGGAACGCAAAACCACACCAACACCGAGATTGTCGAGCCTGTACGAACACATATTAGTAAACACCATAACACATAAAACGCCTCACTCACGGTTTGCCTATAGGAAAGGCGGACTGCGACAGACGTAACATGCAGCCTCATACGCTTATATAGAGTGAGCACGACGTACCGAATAACTCGGAATGGTGACGTCCCGCATTCTTCCTCTCAAGTAGGGGTCGCTTGAAAGTACGAGTACCTTTACAAGTGACCCCCCTCTCAGAGAGACGCTCTCTAAGTCAATGGTTTCGGAGGTGTCATAGACGGTGGTCTTTCCGGGCACGGGATACCCTGCGATGTCGCGCCGTAAATTCCACCAATAAAGTAATAACTCGCCATGGGAGAGAACTCACCGGTCGGGATTTCTTTGAACAAGAGACGTCCGTTAGTTACTGGAGCCATCGATATAGATGCGGGATTCGAAGATGAGAATGTACGAGAATTGGAATCTCATTTATATCATGGGCGTGGGGCTTGGTCACTGCTTGCTCATCCAACCGCCGCTTCGTCATCGCGTTATTCATCGGATGAAAGTTCTATAGATCTTTTAGCCGCGGTCTCCGAGAGAGCTATGACTTCAGTCATTCATTACCAGTGACTTCGAGCATACACGTGCCTACATCCAGGAATATTAATGCACTTGCAACTGTAAAGTCGCGGTTGGTCAGTCAGACACAAGACCGTAGTTTGCTAACAAAGTATCGGTTTACTCCTGACCAATCCTCGTCGAACATTCCCGGAGGTGATAGCAGAGCCTACAGGCTCTGTACAGGCTCTGGAGGGGCCGGCCTTTGAGAGGCCGGACACTCCCGGCTGCTTACTAAGCGCTCCTTCTGTCCCATCTCCTTTTTCCTTTTGCTCATCGTAGTTTTCTTTCTCCCAGATTCTACCAATAGCATATCGCGCAATATATATATTCTACCTGGTGCGAACGTTAACATGCATACCTTTCCCCAAGTTTCGTGCGGCGAATCGAGCACTTGGTCGTTCAATCGGGTGCCTCGTAACTCATCTGCACATCCCTTACAGGACGCCCCCACTTGGATAAAATTCCTCTTCATCGCGCGTGGTGTGCCGTTGGTCACCTCGTACTCCCAAGGCCAAACTTCAAACCTGATTCAGCTTGATGGGAGCATATAAAGTGCAGCCACCGTGAACGCAAATTCAATTCGTTAGACTATGTACGTAATACATCGGCAATTCCCAATCTTCAGCTATCAAAACTTTCTCTTCAAGCCTCTGCTACCACGATCACCTTTTTGCCCTTGTTCAGACCCTTCTGTACGTCTAGGATGGCCTGCCCAGCATTCTCGAGGCCGCGCGTGGCGTCCTCCAGGTACTTGATTTCCCCACTAGCCACGCGCTTCGGAATTTCTGCGTAGAATTGCTGCCCGTACTTCGCAAGCAAGTTGAAGACAATAAACCCAGAAATTTTCAACTGCTTTCCGACAATGAGGCTCAGGTTCTTGACTGCATAGGGAGGCTGGCCGTTGTACTCGGAGATGCAGCCACACATCTGTGAGGAAGTCAGCGTTGGCCGGTGCAGGATTTAGAAAGGGGCTTACGAGGAAACGAGCCCCTACAGCAGCGGTATCTATCGCCGCCTCAAGCGTTTCGCCTCCTACATTATCCCAGAAGCTGGATCGCCGTTATTGGTTAGTGGCATGCGGTAGAGCTTTCGAAGCAGACATACACGTTGATAGGTCCCTCCTTCCGTAAAACTTCCAACGTAGACTCCTTTTTATAATTGAAGGCGACGTCGGCACCAATAGAGCGTATGAACGCTACTTTCTCGTCAGAGCCTGCAGATGCGATGACTTTGAGGCCTTCGGCCTTCGCGAGCTGGATAACGGTGCTACGACGCGTCGCCGTCAATGATCAATGTTGCGGATGGAACAAAACATAGCGAACTCACGCTCCGACAGGTCCTGCCAACGCAAGAACGATGCCGTCAATTGGATGATGCACAGTAACGCACATGACAGAGGCGGCGTACCAGAGCCTGACGTGACGAACGCAACCTCGCCCTGAAATTCACAATCAATGCCTGTTGAATCTGGGAGAGGTAAGGTGCTACCTTCTTTGCAAGTGCGTACTCTTTCCAGGCACAGTAAGCAGTTTGACCTGGAAAAGTTGTTTATACTTGCTTCTCCAAAAATACTAGAAGACACACTGACCAGGCATGCCGCATACCCCGATATACGTCGACCAGGGAATCTTTACCTCGTTCTTCAAAACATGCAGCCGAGCACCACGTTCTTGGATCGTGTACTGCTCGAATGCTACACAGATTGGACCTCAGTGCGCGACCCTAACGCAAGAGGCATATGCTCACGCAAGATTCCGTAAACGTGATCCCCCGCTTTCAATGTAGGATCTTCGGAACGCAAAACAAGACCAATACCGTGATTGTCGAGCCTGTAGGAGCACATATTAGTAAACACCATAACACATAAAGCGCCTCACCACTCACGGTTCGCCTATAGGAAAGGCGGGCTACGACAGACGCAACATGCAGCCTCATACGCTTATATAGAGTGAGCACGACGTACCGAATAACTCGGAATGGTGACGTCCCGCATTCTTCCTCTCAAATATGGATCGCTTGAAAGTACGAGTACCTTTACAAGCGAACCCCCTCTGAGAGAGACGTTCTCTAGGTCAATGGTTTGGGAGGTGTCATAAACAGTGGTCTTTCCAGGCTCCGGATAGCCTGCGATGTCGCACCGTAAATTCTACCATTACTCGCCATGTGAGAGAGCTCACCCGTCGGGATTTCATTGAACAAGAGACGTCCGTTAGTAACTGGGGCCATCGATATAGATGCGGGATTCGGAGAAGTGAATGTACTGTCGGTGAATTGGAATCTCATTTATATCATGGACGTGGGGCTCGCTCGGTCTGTGCTTGCTCATCCACTTCCGCTTCGTCATCGCGTTGTTCATCAGATGATAGTTCTATAGATCTTTTTCCCGCCGCCCACGAGAGAGCTATGACTTCAGCCTGATCATTCATTACCAGTGACTTCGAGCATACACCTACCTACATCCACGAATGCAATTTCAACACACTGTAGTCGTATGTGCTCAGTCTGACTGACCGACCCCGAGGCCATAGAATGCTAAGTTCGGAGAGGAGCCTGTAGATATAGGCGCCAAGCGAAGCCGGGAGAGGCGCCCCCCGTCAGCAAAAGTCAACTTTTGGTTACCTCCACTTATCTCCTTAAGGAGGTCTCCATTCTTATTTTTCCTTAATCAAGGGAATAACACCGGTACCGGTAAGCAAAAGTTGACTTTTGCTGATGGGCCGGCTCCTTGCTAAAACGCTCCTTCTCGGACTCTTACACTGTGGATGCCAGATTGGGTGAAAATCACCAGTAAAATCACTCGCTGTTTGGTTGACACTCCCCCGTTCGACGGGTGATCTAGAACAGAATCACCAGTTCTCCGAGTACTACATTCCGGGCAACCGCCGGGTGATGTTCACTCTGAATATGAAGCAATTCACCCATTTAATGGGTGATTTTCAGCATGGTGAAAATCACCCGTACCCGAACATCACTCGGATTCCGGGTGATTGGCTTTTTTCACCCGGCAAACGGATGACTCTCACCTCCTTGAGCCTTCACAGTGTTATACGTCACCTGTTTTCTGTCGCATCCTCTGATCCTTCTACCAATAGCATATCGCGCATCAATATATATATTCTACCTGGCGAGAACGTTAACACGCATACTTTCCCGCGAGTTTCGAGCGAATCGCTCACTTGGTCCTGCCCACCCACGCGCCCGAGCTCCGGCTGCCTCGCAGCACTCATCTGCACACCTCTTACAGGACCCCCAGGTTTGTTCTATCGTTTCGACAAGTGACGTATTCATAGCCACCGTTAGGCGGATCTGCGGTTCGTCCTTCTTCCACGATGTCTGGTCGATGGGCGAAGAGAACCCTCAAGTAGACGAGACGCCGCAGGCGTATGTACTGAACCTGGTTCGTGTGCGTCCGGCGGTGCAGCCTCCAAAGGCTGGATATCTTTACCCCGAGAACGTCTAGGAAGCTTACGAGCGACTCTTGTCTCTTTTACCATCGTACTAAGACCTGCAGGTGAGTCTGGCTCCGTAGAAGGTCCAGCTCGGGTATCCAACATTTATCCAGGAGTTTGTTTTGCCTAACGCTATGCGAACTGACGACGCCCAGAAAACCCCCGTAAGGGTGTCTCATGTCGTGGACATCGAGTGGATTCACTCACCTACATAGTTTGCGAATTCATCGTCGATGTCTCCATTTTCCTTCGCACTGGAGGCTGGTCAGCGGTATTCACGTCCGCAGATGCGAACACCTCAAGGCTTTCGACGATCCAGGTTGGTTGACATTGCCCTTCTGGTGTGCAGTAGACGCCGCTGAGAATCGTCTGCTAACGGGCCGACCTCTGTGGTATATCGTACTACGTATATATCAGTCGAAGGACGGTGACGTCAGCCAACGGAATGCAATCATCAAAAGTAAAACACCTACATACGCAGTCCGAAACAGCTCTCCCTGAATTATTTAGTTCTATCACATATTTTTCCGCTTTTTGTTCCTACCTTTTTCGAGACGAGGCCGGCTGGAATAGTTGGTGTGTAAATCCGTCTTCAAGTTCTTCAGGAACCACGAAAATTAACATCAACTCGTTACACCGCCACGAAACAGGAAGGACGACAATGCTTTCGAGTCCTTTGACTTTGACTGGGTGGTCCCGACTGATGGTGAACTGGAACAGGGCCAGCGTCCCGTCAATGGACGCAAAATAATTGATACGCTTAAAGTTTCTCCGCAGCGGACGGTACTACATGCGCGGCCGCAGATTACGGGACATCTGGTCGATATTTTCGAAGGTCGCGCACGAAGTCATCATGAGGTCATGGAAACTCTAAGTGGAGTCGCCATTGCACGGAAGAATTCTGAGGGAGCGATGGTGTGATGTAGTACAGCTGAGGAGATCATGGGTCATACCTTCCAAGATAATCCCGGCCGCCACTCTGGAGAGAGTATCCGACAAGAGGTGTCGGTAGGTTAAATGCACGGCCGATCTAACGGATGCGGCCGCGCCTCCTCGTGAACCATGCTCATGATGTATGGAGTGGCAATCTTGCTGGAGTGTTTCCGTCGATAAACCCCACCTCCAGTACCAGCCCTATAATTGCTATATCGCTGATGAAGTCATTCCAATCAGTGTCTCGTTGTGGGAACAAAAGGCTGAGATCTTGACACTTTCGCAATGTTTCTCGAATTCCGTATTCGTATTACCGAAGGTTTGCGTGGTATAGGATTCGTAAGGAGGGCGGACTAAATCGACGATAGGCGTCCCGGAGTTCCTCAGTAGTGCGCGGTGTCAATTTCTGTAGTGGCCTAGAACGGAATTTGGCCATATCCATGGCACAGCTGCGAAACCGGCGCCACACATACGCTACGGGACTTATCTCGGCCCAGGACCAAGGTTCATGACATACATGGCAGTCCCTTTTTGTTCGGCCCATTCCTTGTCTCTGGAGACTTTCAGCGAAATACAGAAGACAACCTTCGCGACGAGAAGTTCGTACTGTTCCACGTCAGGGACTCTTGAACGTCATTCGAGTCAAATAGAATCCATCCTTCATCGTGCACAGGCACATCAAAATCTCCTCCGGGTATATCTTTTTGTGCATTTTGTTGATCATCGAATGTAACTTTACATTCATCTCCATTAGAGAAACTAGGTAGGCGCCTGACTTTCGAAACAGATAGTATTCGGTGGGATCGATTAAATTGTCGGTAGGCCTTCCATGAGCCGTTTGATCAAAGCGTGTACGAGGAACAGACTCTTGCCTGGTCGCATAGGTCAGTTCCATCTCCACTTGAATCCATATGCTACGCACCAATACCGGGCTGACCAGTCGACACGACAGCCTCTTGAGCTTGCCCAAAAGTCGTCATTGCGTCCACACACTCCTGTCGAACGAGTATCATCGGCAGGGGGAGTGTGATAGGTGCAGGAAGCTATGACTGTGCCATGACAGGTCAAGAAGAGTGTGGTCGAAGGGAATATCGGCCTGAGGGACATTGTAGTCAGGGTCATCGACGGCCGTTGCGGTCACTCATCGTTGTCAGCTTCCACACTAAATCCCGATTCCCGCACATCTTCGTAATCTCAAAATGCAATAGGCTCCTGACGAAAGATTTTACGCGTCTTGTCCACCTGGATGTTCCACGATTCGCGATATAGAATACCTTTCGAAAGCTTCGGGCCACTACAGGGAAGGGGCTGTCATAAATATCGATACTGGGGCATGATGGAAAGAGATCACCGTCCACAGGTAGTTACGGTCCGCTGGCCAGCTCCCTGCCCTCTATCCTGCTGCTCTCCCGAGCGCGGTCCCTCTACTCTGGTCGACAATCCGCGCCCTCGACTGAAGATCAACGCGTGCACGCGGTCGACATTCGAAGGCGACATACGGAAGACTACAAAATGATCCCTATGAGTGAGGGAGGGGACGGGATCATACTATAAACAGCAACACTGATGACGTACGCGTCGTCGACCGTGACGTTCGGTGGCCCCCATTGCACGTGACCGTGACGCGACGCGCTTGCCAAAGGCCGAACGTTCAGAACCATCAATAATTGCGATGTCCCTTACCGCCGACCGCTATTCCTGGTATGAACGGGACGAGAATGGAAACCTTATACCGGACGGCGGTACGGGCTACAAATTGACCCCCGCAGCTGTAGAGGCAGAGCGCGAGGTTTGTGCTCACTTATGGCACCTTAGTGTTCTCTAGTGTTCTCTATCGTCGGCGTTCTGACTTCTTGGCATGCAGATATACCTGAAAAGAGCGAAGGAACGTATGCCCACTCCTACGACCGAACTTCCCGACAAATACAATCCCTTCTTGCGCAAGGACGTCAAACCGAAGCCACCCGTACTGCAGTACGGCATTGCTGTCAACTTCGACCAGCTTCGGTCCTACGCGAACGAGAAGAACCTCCTAGAACCTGCCGCACGCAAGCGCGGAGTGCCTCTTTCTTCCCTTTCGGACATGCCCATTGTCTACGAGGCTATCCATGGCCTGGAAGTAGCGTGCAATGCCCGTCTTCATTGGGCTATACCGTGGGTTCCGGATTATGACGGAATGGTTTCGCTGTATTCGAACTATTCCATCTTTTGGGAACAGCTTGAAGAGGAGCACGAGCAGGAGGTGATTAAGATATTGCAAGAGGAGCTGGGCGTCACAGTGAAACCGATGTGGTATTGGGATATTTCCAACCAGTGATGCCTGTGAGTTATACATGATTGTCCGACTTCTGGCCCACTTAGAAAGTGCATGCGGCTCTTGGAGCTCTAACTAGACAATGCAATGCCATTTTGTATTGAGAGGTGGAATGTCTCTAGTATCTGCAGTACAACTAATCCAAGGATCTACCTGGACACGTCGGAAGAGCCGCAGAAGAGCGGATGCCAGTACACCAACAATGTGATCTAATCGAAGGTGATTGTATTTCATGAAGGGCCTCATTGAGCTCATTACATCCCCTCTGTGTGCTCAGAAAACAAGGGTAACTAGCTATAGTGATAATGTCCTTGCAGCGTCAGTACATAGCCTGGACTCTCATCGTGTTCTCACTCGAATGAGAACTCCGGTCCCTCGCGCTGCTGCCGACAATGTGATGCAACCTAATGGAGGGTCTCTGTAAGTCCCTGTCTGGTCCATTCACTGGGTTGATATTTTTAATCGGTGTTAGAGGATGTCCAACCTCTAAACGGACAACCGCCCGTATACAAATAGTCCGGTCGGTGCGGCATCATCTACGTGCTCTCGGGTCACGTACTCCGACTGAAAATGAACATCGCGCAGGTCGTCCGGCAGGGCGCATTCATTGACATGATGCACGAGCTCGGGTTGACCAAGCGGGGCTACTTTAACAACAGCGACGACGAGCGTGCATTTGTGCACACGACGGCGCGTTACCATGTGTGCGTTCTCAGGAATCAGGCATAAAGTTGGTCTAATACTACCGCTTGAGGATTGATGCAAGGAGCTCGACGTGGTGAATTTGTCGCGCTCGTTATTTCTTGTGCCGACGCTCGATATTGACTTTGTGTGGCATTCTCACCAGCTTATGGGCAGTCGCTATGAGGAAGACTATGCATTATGTCAAGGGCCATTTGGATCAGTACGCTCGATGTTCCCGTTCTATTTGCTGATACAGTATCATCGGCTGCGCAGTGACAATATGGTCAAAGAGGACTGGCTAGCCATGTCCCTCGACATGCATGGTAGGTGAGCAACCATCTCGACGTAGCGTGCGCATTAATCGTATTTCATAAGAACGGCCCCGACGCGAGACTCTGCCCGCCTCGTCGTACAGACGCGTTCTCCGCGACGCATGCAGGAGCGGGCATAGAGTAGCAAGGGGCTGTACGCCTACTATCGTCAAGACCGGGTATTTATCTCCTTTTTTGCAATGAAGCCGAATAGATTTGTCGAACACATCAGACGAAGATTTAAAGCACCCAGAGAGGGATGTATTTGACGAATCATACTGAAGACAGGAAGGCTCGATACCTCTGCCTCTTCCATGAATTCCCATGCCGATGTTGGCCTTCTTGAAATCGAGCTGTCAAGATAAATCGTACGGAGGCGCGGAAGTAGAACCTATCCGTGGGGAGTCGTATGAAAGTATTAACGTTTACGGTATGTCTCCTCAACAGAAACGTCACGCTAGCATGCTCACTAGCTGTAGGACCACAGTTGTTCTTCAAGTTCCGTGTGGACACCCCCCGTAGCGAAACCATATTTGGCTTGCTTTTTGTCATCTTCCTACGCCCCGCAAGCGACACGGTCTCGCTCTGCGCCACGACAACTAAGAGTGGACCATTGATTCAGCAGCAACTTTTGCCGAACAATCTGTACTGTCTACGTCGCACCGTACAGCGACGTTGAGCCCGGTAGAGTCTGGCTATCGCATTACACTGACTTACAACATTTATTTCAGCTGAGGACGGTGTCATACCATTCCGAACATTCACCCGATTACTCTGTCGTCTTCGTTCAAGGGCAGGCGCAAGGAGCTTCTCGAGAATCCCGAATTCTGGTCAAGTTGTCGCTGAGCGGCACGCTCTGCACCAGGTATCCTCTAAAGATGAAGTGATCTCGGCGATATGAGAGGAAGGCGTTCATCCACTGAAAGACCTGTTCGGGTACATGAAGAGTAATGACGCCATTGGTAGACATACCTATGGACCTGTACAGTATTCGCAGTATCATCAGTGCATTTGGCTACGGTTACACTGATAGTTGGTATTTGTAGACTATAGGCTAAGTAGCATTGTTTGCCGTCTCCTCAGCTAGTCGGACTCAGATTATACCGGGGTCAAACACAGTACTTGTTAAATTGATAAGATGGCCGTAACCTCACGCATAGCCAATGGTTACTTTCGGCTTTCACCTTCATGGTACTGTCTTTTACATAACTTTATGGGAATAATTCTCGCTGCAGGTACACTCTATTGGAAACTGAAAACCGCATCAGATAACGGAAGATATCACACTAACGGAGCACGCACCACCAGAACAATGACTAGTGTCTCGACTCTCTGCCCCTAGCAAGTCTTCCGCGCGGATATTGCCACATGTTCCCCTCCTCCTCGTCATCGTCGTCGTCGTCATCACCATCATCATTGTTATTGTTGTTGCCATCACCACCATCATTGACGTCTCGATCAAGGTTGAAATCAAAGTCGAGCGGAATGGCATCCTCAATGTTACTGTGGGTGTTGTCATTGGTATCGTCAGTATCGTCTAAGGCATCCAGATCTGCCTCAGAGAGTGCATCGTCTCGTGACTGGCTACGCGTCCTACGAGTTGCGCCACTGTCACTTGGGCGTGCACTGCTATAGTAATTACCGGAGGTATCTTCTCCAGTAGAAGAGTCAGAGTCAATTGCATCCCGAATGAATTGCTCCTTCTGCTCATTGTCACGATCGAACTGGTCAAAATCCTGATAAGCCATTTCCTGTGTACAAAAAGGGCATCAAATTAGACATGCAGAGGTATTGATAAAATGAGTGCACAAAACCATACCAGAGAGGCTTCTGAGGCATGATAGTCACCCGGTGGGGGTGTGAAGAAGGATGGCTGAAAAGGGATGTCTATATCTCTTGATGTTGCAATGTCCCACAGAGCCTTCTGGAAAAGGGGATTGAAAGCCTTTCCATCCTCAATAACGATAGGCTCGCAGTAGTAGAGTGTTGTTGGTGTATCAATAGAGCGACTGAGGACCTTCCGTTCCATTGCCTGTTTGGCATTCGTCTGAGCCTTATGACTAGTCACATCATGGCTCCGTTTCCGCTTCGGCCTTTTCTGTCCCTGGCTGCTATCGGGATGGGACAGATGTGATACTGATGGATGGCGTGGATGAGTAGGATGAGGAAGATGGGCAGGCCTTGAGTACTTGAAGACAGAGAAGTATATGCCTAATACAAGCATGCAGTAGAATGTGTCACCAGCAAAGTGACTGAACGCAAATAGTCCCTGCAGGTTCAACTGTTCCAGATGCAACCATACAGCCCTTTGTGCCTCCCGCTGTGCCTCATCAGATATCCAAATTGCATCGCAGTTAAGGGGTTTCACTTCAACCCAGAACCCGAGTACAGGGGATCTGTATGACGGACTGAAACGATTAACGACAGCCAAATCCTGGAGGAAGGCGACCATGACAGTGAAATCTGGAATGCGACGGTCAAAATCTGTACCAGGCGGTGCAGAGAAGGATGACTGGGGTTCGCAGCCTAGTGCACGATCGACATCCAACGGATCTCCAGCAGTTTCGCAGAAAGCTGTCAAGATATGGGAGTAAAGCATGTACAAGGGACTTTCTTCTTCACGCAATGCCCATGCGTGCCGAATCATAACACGAACTTTGTTGAAAAAACTGGTGTCTTGAATCAGGATATTCTGTCCATACCATAGATTTAGGACTTCGAGGGCATCAGGTGCATCAGGACGAAGCCTCACGGTCTGAGAGTCATGCAATTCTGCCATTATGGATAGGTAATCTAGACAGAAACGCGATTAGTGGAATCAAGAGAGGCAATTGCTTTGTGAGGATGAATACGATTCCATACCTGCACGCTGCCGTGACGCTGGTGAGCGACACCACGGTACCGGTCCAGCTCCCATAATCTCCATGTCTTTCGATACAGTCATGCACGTGACTGTCGCTTTAGCGCGACTCAAAACTCTCGCGCTTGACCTCACAACGTTCAGTTCGTTCTAATCGTCTATCATGTCGTCCCTCGCCTCCGACCGCTACTCCTGCTATGAACGCGACGATAATGGCGACCTTATACCTCACGGCGGCACGGGCTACAAGTTGACCCGGGCTGCCTTGGAAGCAGAGCGCGAGGTTTGTGCTCATATGGCACGCTAGTGTTGTCCTATTATCGACGTTCTGACCCTTCTATGGATGCAGATATGGTTGAAACGAGCGAAGGCGCGGCTACCCGCCCCTACTACTGAACTTCCCGACAAATACAACTTCATGACACTCCCTGACGGTAGTCCGGATCCGCCTTCGATACAGTACGGTATTGCAGTCAAGTTCGACAAACTCCTATCCTACGCGAAGCAGAAGAACCTCCTAGAACCTGCCGCGTGCAAGCGCGGCGTAGCCCTTACCTCCCTTTCAGACATGTCCATCATCTCCGACGTTATTGAGACCCTGGAAGTGGCGTGCAACGCCCGTCTTCATTGGTCTATACCATGGGTTCCTGACTACAATGGGATGATTGCTCTTTATTCGAACTACACAATGTTTTGGGAGCAACTCGAGGAGGAGCACGAGCAGGAGGTAATCAAGATATTGCAGGAGGAGCTGGGTGTCACAGAGAAACCGATGTGGTATTGGGATATTTCCAACCAGTGATACTTGTGAGTCATACATTTTGTCTGCTTTCTGGCCTTCTCAAAGGGCATGCCTTGGTAGAATCGCGGCGTAGCCGATCATTGTCATTCACGTGTCTCATCTTTTTGTGATATCTTTTACATCGTCCGCATCCTTCGCGTCCTTCGCATCGTCGTGTTCGTTATCGAGGAGTATGCCTATGCCCACCATGTAGTATTCCAACGATTCTTACTCCAGCCCTTCCGTTTTCGTCCACATTGCTGTCTGTTCAACATAATCCCTCACATCCTTCCGTCTGCAGCTTATCCGCTTTGCTTTGTGTTGCATTATACCGACCAATTGACCATACCTTAGTTTTGTCGATCTTCCGGATTTCCTCAGACTTGGGCAGTATTTGAGGAGAGTGGTGAGCATGAGGCCTCCAGGAGGTCTGAGTGAAGCACTGTCGAGGAGGATTTCTCGTCGCGTTGCAAGTGCAATGCTACGCAGTGGCGTCTACGCTGGATGCAGACTGACCGGATGAAGCATGCGTACAAGATCGCGAAGTATCGAAGAGAGCTCTTAATTCATTCGACAGGGTTCTAGCAGGATGTGATCGAGAAGGGCACAGAAGTCTGAGGCGATATCTGTTGTGTGTAACTGCATATGTCACCTGCGGCCAAATGATGAGTCTTTGTGGGTATAGACTCTGTAAACTCTCTACCCCCTTGGCTTGTCGACTTAATGCGAGGGCACCCACTCGACAGCAGTATGGCGAAGACAATACGTGCACTCGGAGGTTACGCGCCTTGAATGGCGCAGGTCAGCGGTCGATGGATCATCATGATGAAACCTGACTCGGATTTGCCGTGCGACGGAATCCATCCCTGGAATAACAAAGTGAGCGTGCACCCATCACGACACCAGCACGCTGGACGTGGTGCTCATCGTGGCACTACGTGCAAATGCCTTCATGGAGCATGTTTGCCCATAGAAGTCTTCTGGTAGGAGTGCGGCGTTGATTCATGACTTATCACCCGAGCACTGCACGATAATGTCGGGATGTCATCAACACGGCAAATATAAGAAAGGTGACCAATGGCATACATTGGATCATACACAATCACAGACGGCGGCGGGGGGCACACATCACTACATATAACCGTGGCGTTCGCTGAGGATCAACGTGGCGCCTGCGGACGGATCGTTCAAGTACCGATTTTGAGACAAACGCGGTTGTCTGCACCTTCAGTCACCAGCTGAATGCTGAATACTGAAGAGGGACGAAGGATCCCCTCACCCTTCTCTCCAATCGTTACCTCTTTCGTCTACCACCCATGTTTGATGAGGTCCAAAGGGGAGCTTGGTCAAGCATCCAAGAACAGTGACAATTCGGATACTTGCTGCAATTTGGTTACACCCGACGATTTGTCGTGCTGTGTATCAAAGACCGAGAGCCGCTCAGAGTTACAAAGTTTAGAAGTATCTAACGTACTTACTTTGGAAGCCCGAATCTGGAGATCTACCTATTGACGGTACCTTGACGACAGATATCGCAAAGAATGCTAGCACATTCGGGGACGCACGCTCAGATCAATCGTGGGTTGGGAAACATACGGCCAGGATGAGCCTCAGCGGTCAGGACCAGAGCATGCCTGTGTTGTGAGCAGTGAGCCATGATCTTCACCCGATGTCCACACTCCGGCGGCCTGTGTAATCACAATCATGGCCGCGCAACCACCACGCTCTGAATGACCCAGCCACTCGAATCTGCTGTCTCGTTGGATTAGTCGCTGTGTATTCAATGCTAATCAGCCATGGTCATACTTCGACACAAGAGAGACAGACTGAGTGTCTTCCAGACATTGTTATTCGACCGGCACCGTGACCACGGCCCACCGGAAAGTCGAGTTTGCAGTCTTGATGATGATCTCCCGACGCAAGTAAAGACTACCGTGGACATTGTCCGGCATCGTAGATCGTTCCATCTTCGTAAGGCCACATGCGATAGGAGTATAGGGCAACGTTCAAGTGAGGCCTGGAGGCCCATACCTGCACGTGACCGTGTCACGGTGACCGCGACGCGCTCCATCACGAGATTATGTCCCTCGCCTTGGACGGTTACTCCTGGTATGAACGCGATGAGAACGGGAACCTTATACCGGATGGCGGCTCTGGTTACAGGTTGACCCCCGCTGCCTTGGAAGCAGAGCGCGAGGTTTGTGCTCACTTATGGCGCGTTCAAGTTAGTGTTGTCCTATCATCGACGTTCTGATTTCTAGATGTGGTTGAAAAGAGCAAAGGAACGCCTGCCCGCTTCTACGACCGAACTTCCCGACAAATACAACCCCTTCTTGTGCAGGGACATCAAACCGAAGCCATCCCTACTGCAGTACGGCATTGCGGTCAAGTTCGACCAGCTTCGGTCCTACGCGAACGAGAAGAACCTCCTAGAGCCTGCCGCACGCAAGCGCGGCGTATCTCTTTCTTCCCTTTCGGTCATGCCAATCGTCTACGAGGCTATCCATGGCCTGGAAGTAGCGTGCAACGCCCGTCTTCACTGGGCTATACCGTGGATTGCCGGCTACAATGGGATGGTTGTGCTTTATTCGAACTACTCCATCTTTTGGGAACAGCTTGAAGAGGAGCACGAGCAGGAGGTGATTAAGATATTGCAAGAGGAGCTGGGCGTCACAGAGAAACCGATGTGGTATTGGGATGTTTCCAACCAGTGATGCCTGTGAGTTATACATGTTTGTCCGACTTCTGGCCAGCTTAGAAAGTGCATGCGGCTCTTGGAGCTCTAACTAGACAATGCAATGCCATTTTGTATTGAGAGGTTGAATGTCTCTAGTATCTGCAGTACAACTAATCCAAGGATCTACCTGGACACGTCGGAAGAGCCGCAGAAGAGCGGATGAAAGTACACCAACGATGTGATCTAATCGAAGGTGATTGTATTTCCTGAAGGGCCTCATTGAGGTCATTACATCCCCTCTTGTGTGCTCAGAAAACAAGGGTAAAGCTATAGTGATAATGTCCTTGCAGCGTCAGTACATAGCCTGCACTCTCATCGTGTTCTCGCTCGAATGAGAACCCCGGTCCCTCGCGCTGCTGCCGACGATGCGATGCAACCTAATGATGGGTCTCTGTAAGTCCCCGTCTGGTCCATTCGCTGGGTTGATATTTTCAATCGGTGTTAGAGGATGTCCTGCCCATAGACGCACTACCGCCCGTTTTCAATTAATCCGTCGGTGCGGCATCATCTACCTACTCTCGTGTCAAATACTCGGACTGAAAATGAACATCGCGCAGGTCGTCCGGCAGGGCGCATTCATTGACATGATGCACGAGCTCGGGTTGACCAAGCGGGGCTACTTTAACAACAGCGACGACGAGCGTGTATTTGTGCACACGACAGCACGTTATCATGCGTGCGTTCCCAGGAATCAGGCATAAAGTTGGTCTAATACTACCGCTTGAGGATTGATGCAAGGAGCTCGACGTGGTGAATTTGTCTCGCTCGTTATTTCTTGTGCCGACGCTCGATATTGACTTTGTGCGACATTCTCATCAGCTTATGGGCAGTCGCTATGAGGAAGATTATGCAATGTCAAGCACCATGTGGATCAGTACGCTCGATGTTCCCGTTCTATCTGCTGATACAGTAACATCGGCTGTGCAGTGACAATATGGTCAAAGAGGACTGGCTAGCCATGTCCCTCGCATGCATGGTAGGTGAGCAACAATCTCGACGTAGCGTGCGCATTAATCGTATTTCATAAGAACGGCCCCAACGTGAGACTCTGCCCCCCCTGTCCTACAGACGCGTCCTCTGCGACGCATGCAGGAGCGGGCATAGAGTAGCAAGGGGCTGTACGCCTACTATCGTCAAGACCGGGTATTTATCTCCTTTTTTGCAATGAAGCCGAATAGAGTTGTCGAACACATCAGACGAAGATTTAAAGCACCCAGAGAGGGATGTATTTGACGAGTCATACTGAAGACAGGAAGGCTCGATACCTCTGCCTCTTCCATGAATTTCCATGCCGATGTTGGCCTTCTTGAAATCGAGCTATCAAGATAAATCTTATGGAGGCGCGGAAGTAGAACCTATCCGTGGGGAGTCGTATGAAAGTATTAACGTTTACGGTATGTCTCCTCAACAGAAACGTCACGCTAGCATGCTCACTAGCTGTAGGACCAAAGTTGTTCTTCAAGTGCCGTGTGGACACCCCCCGTAGCGAAACCATATTTGGCTTGCTTTTTGACATCTTCCTACGCCCCGCAAGCGACACGTTCTCACTCTGCGCCACGATCACCAAGAGTCGACCATTGATTCAGCAGCAACTTTTTCCGAGCAATCTGTACTATCTTCGTCGCACTGTACAGCGGCGTCGAGCCCGGTAGAATCTGGCTATCGCGTTAGACTCACAACCTCAATTTCAGCCCTGAGGTCCGTATCATACCGTTCCGAACATTCACCCGATTACTCTGTCGTCTTCGTTCAAGGGCAGGCGAAAGGAGCTTCTCGAGAATCCCGAACTCTGGTCAAGTTGTCGCTGAGCGGCACGCTCTGCACCAGTATCATCTGAAGATGAAGGGATCTCGGCGATATGAGAGGAAGGGCGTTCATCCACTGAAAGACCTGCTTGGGTACATGAAGAGTAGTGACGCCATTGGTAGACATACTGTGGATCATTAGTTCTGTATTCGCAGCATCATCAGTGCATTTCGCCACGGTTACAGTAGACTAAGTATCCTTTTTTTGTCGTTGCCCCAGCCAGTCTGACCTGTGTTTGTGGTGTCAAACACCGTACCACTTGTTAATATTGATACGATGGCGGGTGATTTGCTGGGATTCCTCGGTGCTCATAGATTTCTTAATATAATAATCCCAGCTGGTACTTTCGGGTTTCGATTGACTTTCTTTTACATTGCTCGACGGGAATATAAGTACACTCCACGGGAACTGAAAATTGTGTCAGACAACTGAAGATACCACACCAATCACGCACATACCATATGACCTAGCGCCCGGATCTCCCGCGCGAATACCACACGTTCCCTGCCTCGTCGTCGTCGTCGTCGTCGTCATCGTCGTCATCGTCGTCATCGTCACCGTTGTCATCAATGTCTTGGTCAAGGTTCAAGTCAAAGCCGAGATGCATGTCATCCTCGATGTTGCTGTGGGCATTATCATCGGCATCGTCTGTATCCTCGAGGAACGGGACCTCCAAGTCTGCCTCAGAGAGCGCATCGTCCCGTGATTGGCTACGCGTCCTTCGAGTTGCACCGGTGTTACTGGGGCGGACACTGCTATAGTAATTCCCTGAGGTGTCCTCTTCATGGATAGAAGGGTCCGAGTTAACTGCACTCTTAAGCTCTTCCTCCTCCCGCGTCTGACGGCGAATAAAGTCATCTCGATCCTGGCGAGCATGTTCCTATTTATAAAATATAGGTAAAGTTAACCCGGTGGAGAACTCAGTGGAAAAAGTGCAAAAGCATACCAGAGATGCTTCGGAGGCATGATAATCACCTGTCGGCATTGTGAAGAATGACGGCTGAAAAGGTATATCTATGTCCCTCGAGGTCATAATGTCCCTTAGAGCCTTCCGGAAAAGGGGATTGAAGACTGCTCCACCCTGAGTCAGGATAGGCTCGCAGTAGTAGAGCGTCCTCGGGTGATCTCTGGAGACTTTCACAAAAGCGTGATCCATCCCCTGTTCACCATATGTCTGAGCCAAATATGTAGTCACATCGTCATCTCGTTTCCGCTTCGGCCTTTTCCGTGCCTGATTGCTATTGGTAGGAGGTGGGCGCAATTCCGATTGAGAAGGTGAATGAGAAGGAGGAAGGGATTGAGTGGGCCTCAGGTACTCGAAAACGGAGAAGTATATGCCCAAGACAAGCATTCCATAGAACTTGTCACCAGCAAAGTGATTGAATGCAAATAGACCCTGCTCATTCAATTGTTCCAGGTGCGACCATACACCTAATTGTGCTTCATAATATGCCTCATCAGATGTCCAAATTTCATCGCAGTGAAGGGGTTTCACTTCAACCCAGAACCCGAGTACAGGGGATCTGTACGATGGACTGAAACGATTGATGACAGTCGCATCATGGAGGAAGGCAACCATGACGGTGAAATCCGGAATGCGACGGTCAAAATTTGTACCAGTCGGTGCAGAGAAGGATGATTGAGGCTCGCAGCCTAGTGCACGGTCGACATCCAATGGATCACCAGCACTTTCGCAGAAAGTTGTCAAGATATGTGAGTAAAGCATGTACAAGGGGCTTTCTTGTTCACGCAATGCCCATGCATGCCCAACCATGACACGAATTTTGTTGAAAAAACTGGTGTTTCGAGTCGGGAGATTCTGTCCATACCATGTCATTTAGCACTTCGAACGCATCAGGTGCATTAGGACAAGGCCTCACAGTCTGTGAATCATGCACTTCCGCCATGATGGATAGGTGAATTAGATGGAGAAGCGACAGTGGAATCAGAAAGCGATTGCTGTGCGGATGCGATACCTCGCTGCCGCACTTTGCTGAACTTGACGCTGCGTGACAAGTTGAACGTTGAACTTCCGTTTGAACTTGAACAGTCGATCGATCTGACTGCAGTCCTGCACGTGGCTGTCGCTTTGCAGCGGACTCGCTTAGTTAATTTTGTTCAGCTACCATGTCGTCCCTCGCCTCCGACGGTTACTCCTGGTATGAACGCGATGAGAATGGAAATCTCATACCGGATAGCGGTACGGGCTACAAGTTGACCCCCGCAGCCGTGGAGGCAGAGCGCGAGGTTTGTGCTCACTTATGGCACCTTAGTGTTCTCTAGTGTTCTCTATCGTCGGCGTTCTGAATTCTTGGCATGCAGATATACCTGAAAAGAGCGAAGGAACGTATGCCCGCTCCTACGACCGAACTTCCCGACAAATACAACCCCTTCTTGCGCAAGGACGTCAAACCGAAGCCACCCGTGCTACAGTACGGCATTGCGGTCAAGTTCAACCAGCTTCGGTCCTACGCGAACGAGAAGAACCTCCTAGAGCCTGCCGCGCGCAAGCGCGGCGTACCTCTTTCTTCCCTTTCGGTCATGCCCGTCGTCTACGAGGCTATCCATGGCCTGGAAGTAGCGTGCAACGCCCGCCTTCACTGGGCTATACCGTGGATTGCCGGCTACAATGGGATGGTTGTGCTTTATTCGAACTACTCCATCTTTTGGGAGCAGCTTGAAGAGGAGCACGAGCAGGAGGTGATTAGGATATTGCAAGAGGAGCTGGGCGTCACAGAGAAACCGATGTGGTATTGGGATATTTCCAACCAGTGACGCTTGTGAGTTATGCATCTTTGTCCGACGTCTTGCCGTCTGACAAATACACGCTCTCGTAGGTCGCAGCGTATAGTGGTTCGATCTCACCTATCCGTCTCCTCCTTCTGTTATATCCGCTACATCGTTTGCATCGCTCGTTTCGTCACATCACTCGCACGTCGTCCTTATCACGCGCATCGTCGCGTTGATTGTCGAGGAGAATACCCAGTGTATAGTATACAAGGAATCTTACCCTCCTCCACCATTTCATCCTGTTCCGCTTTCGCTGTCTGTTCAATGTCACAGCCGACCCGCATTGCTTTGTGTTGTTTTGTACTAACCGATTGACCATACCCTAGCTTTGTTGACATTTTGGATTCCGCCCCAGGCTGTGGCACTATTAAGTGCAATGAGTGTGAAGCCTCCGGAGGCGTAATTAGTGTGGAAATGCTGTTGGGGAGTATTTCCTTGTCCTCGACTCCTCGTAGTGGTGTCTTAAGCACACTGGTACGCTCTAGTGGCATCGACATCATATGCAGACTGACCAGACGAAGAGTCTTTGTGGGAGTGTAGACTTTCTGTAAACTCTCTACCCTCTCCTGGCTCGTTATCTTAATGCCAGATTGTCCGCTCGTCAGCAGTACTTTATGACTCGGATGCTCACAACCAGAGACAGACTCCACAGCGGCACGAGCTTTCCAAACCATCTCACTGAAGAGCAACCGTACCGATAGTTCATGTGAAACAGACGTAAAGTGTTCACAGGAAATGTACATGCTTTCAGCGTGCGTCGCAGGAGACCATCAACTGGGACGTACAAGGATGGAACTCGGGACTACTTGATTACGTAAGAGAATATGTAGCTCAGCCACTCTTTGGAGTCGTTCGTCACAGCTACGACTTGACTCATCATGATACTTTGCTTTACACTCTCGTAGAAAAGTACCTTTTGGGCTTGGGTAGCAAACATCAAGCATAACACCCACTGCATTGATATCCACTCATCAATACTCTTTGATATCTCTTATACTTCATCCTCTGATGGCTACTAGACAGAGGCCGTTGACGCCATTGGACGGTTCGCGCACCATTACTCTGCAGGACAGCCAGCGAGCAGAAGATACATCAGTGCCCAATGCTGCGAGCAGCGAGACTGTAGGAGCGCTTCGCCTGCGCGGGGCTCCCCGAAATCGGCAACAAGTGGTGTGGCGGGAGGATGTTGTTGACAACGAGGGTGCGGGGAGGAAATCGTCGAAAAGTACGCCTAACATCCACTGCTTTGAGTGTTGCTGAACGAATAGTATGATAACCAGTCTGTTGCATCTACCATAAACCTCGAAAGTTTGACGAGTCTTCTGACGAAGAGTCGTCTGACTCTGACTCGGATTCCGACTCCTCCTGCGGGCATGATCACGACCACCCACATCCTCGGGGAAGGCGCGACGGTCCGGAAAACGCAAACGGCGACAATGCGACCATGAGAAGCGGTCAGGGTGGCGTGGTGCACGAATTAGAAGATGATGAAGACGGGCCGAATGTATACGAGAAGATACCGGGCAGGAAGCCGAAGAAGACCCCCACAAATAAATGAGGTATGTTGCACCTTCGCACTTTTCTTGCCCTCGCCGCGTATGTTTGGCTGACTTTGAGCATTTATGTTGTATAGTCAACTGTCACTGTATTCGCTCGTTCTATATTGCATGTTCCGGTAATCTTGTCTATGTTACTTTACGCTGTCCACCGCTATTGTTTATCTACAGATTTTGAGTCCTCACTTTTTGGCCTGGAATTCTCATCGGGCAAGTATGATTGTATTTTTTGACATCACATGGGTAACGTCAGACTACACTGGGGAAATTTTGCATAAGAATTCGATTATCAGGCTTTGACTTCCTCAGATCGTCCATTAGGCCTTGCGGTGACGTCATGATAGATTCATTTGAGAATCGTATTGCAGAATTCAACCGAGAGACGCCTAGAAATACAGTCCGATACTATATGATATAATGCATTACGAACGACGAAAGCAATGCAGCTCATGAAACTTCCTCCATATCATCATCGTCTTCGTCTTCATCGTCATCGTCGTCGTCCTCGCCTTCCAGCTTCATTTCTTCCATCTCCACTCCTGGAACCCCATTGCCATATGCAGGCGCATAGCTGGGGCCTGGCACATTTTCTGCCTTGATCTGATATCACCCCAGAATATGAGCGATAAGCACCGATTGGAGTGAACGTTGTACTCACTCCTTCGCCCTTGTAATTCGCCAATAGCTCCCAGCTGCCGTTGTGCTCTCCACTGCGATGGAGGAACGCAATTTCGCTGAGCACTTCTTTGAGATACGCCTCGGGCTGCTGCGTGCGGTCCCGTAACACCTTGATGGGCCAGTGTTCGCGCTCTTGAAATGCGCGGAACAGCTCGTCCAGCAGCTGATTGCGGGGCATCCGCGCCATGCGCTCGAACTGGCCCTTTGCTGGCTTCGGCTTTCCTTTCTGTTACATGACGAACAGTGAACCATGGCACACGAGACTACTGGACGACGACGTACGACAATATTAAACGGCGTGGTGTGGGCCATTCCGCTTGTAAGCATATTGATTCCACCACGTCCGCCCGGATGTGCGTCCTCGATACGCATGATTTGCCGCGCTGGCCTGTTCGCAGCAATCGTCCGCTCCTTCAGACGCCGCCTATACCTGTCTGAGAACACTGGCCGCAGATTGCACTCGTGTTGTACTATTCCTGTGAGCATCGTCGTACGCGCGCGGCTCGCCGAACCTGGCTCCTTCTCACGCTCCGCGACCACGATCTGGTTCTCGACGGCATCATTGACCATGTCCAGCTCGTACTCGTCCCCGCCGGGGTTTTCCTCGGTCGGCGGGAGAAGCAGCACAATGCGGGGCTTTTTTCCGGAAGAAGACTTGGCTTCATTGTAGACACGGATGGTAGCGAGCTCGATGCCCTCCTCATCGATGTTTGACCAGCGTTCTAGCAGGAACTTTGGTATCTGGCAGAGGTTCATCAGTGCTGTGCCGACTTTCCAATTGTTATGTTGGCTTGCCTTCACTACCCAAACTCTCCCGTATCCGTCTGTCGGGGACAGGAGCGGCTCGTCTGGATCTGGCTGCGAATCTTCGTCGTTGACGCCGTGCACTGCATCAAACTGCTTAGGCTCCTCTTCCATCGAGTCCTCCATGTTGTGTTGCTCAACAGCGAAGAACGGATAGACTACGGAAGTCGCAGAACGTGAAGAAAGACGGATGGGATTAATTCAGCAGATGTCTCAGCGACAGACGCGTCTCCCAAATCGGGAAGTGGTTGTTTATTTCTAAAGGCTTTACACGACAGATGTCAACAGGCACAAACTCAACCCGATTTTGATTCTGGAGTGACGTCACATACAACTCATGGGTTGACAGGTAACTTGTTGACTTGCAGTGAAGCGATACAAATATGCTAAATTATGTTCGCGACTTAATTGTACGTAGGAAACTGGGCTACTTTGCCCTCTAACTTCGGAGAGCAACCCGACGAACCTCAGGCATAAGTAATAGGCTCCAACAAGGTCCAGGTATCTTCTTGCATCGTCATTCATGAGTGGGGATGGCTATGTGGGCGAGACAAAGACCACGTATCGGTCGTCTACATTAGCTGGAACCAACACAACGCCAGTGTATAATAGTATACGATAAATCTCTATGGCAGCAAGAATTTACGCAGTCTGCATGAAAAAATGGGGTGAAGTCACCGGTCAGTACGGCAATTGGTACGGAAAAGGGTGTAGCAGTGCACATACCGACTCCTTCAACCAGGTAATGAGGTCGTTGCGGTCCTTCTCCTTCTTGAGACCAGCGAACGCCATCTTAGTGCCAGGGATATACTAGGCACCACCCACACCCATCAGAATCATAGCTTATGACGTGGCATCGCGAACGCACCTTTTTGGGGTTCTCCAAGTAGTCGAACAGCGTCTCCTCGCTCCATGTGATACCCTTGTTCACGTTGGCAGCGGTGTATGAGAAGCCCTCAACCTGGCCAGTCTTACGGCCGAAAATACTGCAAAGGTGATTGTCAGCCGCAACGTTCTCGCAGAGACAACCGGCTCACGCACCCATGGAGGTTGGGGCCAACCTTATTGGGCTCCCCAGCACCGACGGTGTGGCACTGCGCACAACGCGTCTTGAAGAGACCAGCACCCTTGCCAGCGTCACCTGTTAGGTTGAACAATACACGTTCAGCACGCGCCGCTGCTCGAAAGACGCGTCCATACCTGATGCAAAGGGCATTTCTAAAGACTGATAGGTGTTGTGAAGTACAGTAGATGAATAGATGTACAGAGAGACGACCACAGTCGAGTCCGAGCGAAGATGTGTAGTAGGGAGCGGAGGATCAAAATTTTGGTTATAAGGTCGCCCGTACCGGTTCTTCCCGCCATTACCGGGAAGGTCACGTGGATCGGACCTCACCGTCCGGCGGCGGGCTGGCAGTGGCAAATCCAGAGAAACGCATTTGGATATCGTGGGAAAGTGATTCTTTCAGGGGTGTGGGAATTATTTCCAACTCCGCTTTCCCTGTTTGTTTGACTTGCGCCGTCACTATCGCGCGCGCCCGCGACTGCGACCCCCGCTCATCGACCCCGACATCGACCTCACCATCTCCCTGAAACGGTTCTGTGCACACTGCTGACATTATTGCGGTATTTATGAACGGCAACAGGCCGCCATCACGTCTCGCAGGAGGCGGACTAGATGAACACATGCTACCGACACATTCCCAGCCACCAACTTCGAAACGGAAGGAAACAGACGACGGCAACCCACTGAGCAAGGCCACCAAACGACTAAAGAAAGAGGTGCGTGCTGATCCCGGTTCTGGTGTTCGTCGTTTGAGGTGGGTGTCTGGCTAGGGATCGACAAAGGCGGGCTCAGGGAGCAAACGAAAGTGTACGTGCAGATTCGCGTGATTGACGCGTATTTGGGCTAAGTCTAGTCTTTTCAGTGAATGGGGAGGAGCAGCCAGGCGGCCTCGTCATTGTACGCGCGCCCTCAGCGCGTCCGCGGTCCGCACAGGGAGGTGAAACGCTGCAGGTCGAGTCTGTCCCGCAGTCGCGAGCATCTTCGCGCCCACCATCTGCTCCACCACATCAGCGCTCCACCGGCGAATCATCTAAGCCTCCCGCGAAGAAGTTCAGAGCTGACGGCACCGCCTCATCCACGCGCGTGGTCTCGAAGAGCAAAGACAGGGAGGTCTTCACTAGTAACCGGGCAGAGCCAGAGGTCGATGAGGATGTGCGGTTGATGCAGTCCGAGACAGATACTCTTCGTCGGCGCTCGCAGGCGGCCGAGCAGTCCGCCGGCTCACTGAATAACAATGTTCAGTTCCTGCCCTCTAAATCACCACGGCCACCCTCGAATCAGAGAGTACATGATACTTCGCTACCACTACCGCAACAAGAAACTCCTCGGATTGAGCGAAACAGGTTCATGCGAGGGGAAGAGCCAAACCATAGACGGAAGCGGTCGCTCAGTCGCGGTAAGCGGATAAGCTCGAGCTACGAAAACACCGGCGTGATCTGTGCGTGTATCCGGTTCTTTCCCGCTCGATGACCCTAGTTACTGAATAGGGCTCAGCACACCCACACACGTCGGTCTCCGATACTAGTTTCCACAAACACATTGACGGCGATCTTCCGGAACCCCAACGCGTCTGTCAGCTACTGATATGGTGCACACACCGCGCCATGAATGAACTCACCGACTTATCAAGTCGTGCACCTTCAGAGCAGTCATCGCACGCATCAACCTCAAGACGAGAGGCGAAAAAACCTGGCAGAGACCCGCCCCCGCTATCTACAGATGGCATTCAACTTCTGAAGAGGGTGGAGGAGGGCGTGATGAAGATGTTGGCGGAGAAGAAAATCGATACCAATGTGTATAGCTCTGGCGGGGTGTTGGACGCACGTGTGACCAAGCCATTGAGGGAGAATGAGCAGAACGTGAAGAATCGAGCAAGGGAGGCTAGGTTCAACGCTCATAATCAGCGGTCAGTCACTAAATGTTGTCCCCAAATGCCGATGTGAGTTTGATGGTTGCATGGTATAGGTCCAGGGCCGAAGATCTTGCCTGGAGCAAGGTGCAAGATAACTATAACGCGTACCGGAGCGAAATTTTGGAGGAGATCAGCAAGCTCGAGTCGGCGAAGTCCAAGGGGAAGCAGCGAGCATCTGCAGACCAGCTCGACGAATGGGAAGTAAACGAGTACGACTTGCCTCCTCATTTCCGAGGCGGCGAGAACGTCGGTTTAGCCCGCAAGATCATCTCCGCTGGGTCGGACGGGAAGAGTCCGTTGCGAAGTCGTCTGGAGGAGCTGGAGTACGCGGTATGTAGTCGTTGCGATGAGAGTGTGCGTTTAGAGACTCATCGTGCTTCATAGATGGATCGCCTCCACACCATCGCCAATTCTGCGTTGCACACAACGCGGATGTCGGAAATGGACCTCGATCGTCGGTTCGCTCTGCTGAACATCTCACTCGGTGCCCGCACGCAAGCCGCGCCATCGGCGCTGCCCTCGTCTTCCACCTCTCTATCATCGTATCTTCCCCCGAGTCTCACGCGTCCATCGCCGACGACCGACCCTCAAGACCTACTACGAGCGCTATCTCGCGTCGACGCGCAAAGGCCGCAAGCGCAGGTCGGTGATGCGGCGCGGCGAGCTGTCAGGGAGGTGCAGCGCGCCCACGATGCCACAAGTGGGGTGGCGGAAAGACGACTGACGGGTGTGCCTCCACCAACGCCGCGAAAGCCTCCAGGGACACCACGACGAGCTACCACACCTGGGAAGGGACGATGAGGAAAGTGTCTCTTACCGATCTTACTCCCCGTCCCGCATACTCTTTTCGACCTTTAATTATCTGTATATGGTTCGGTGCACACTTCTTGGTTTGTCGCCTTTCGTCTGTCGTTCTTCGGCTGCTTCCATCTCATTCCATTGCTGCTTCGGTCTCAGTGTGCTCCTCCGTCATTTGACCTCTATTCGTTAGGAGTGGAGAAGGGAGGTTGTATTGGTATTGGATGCGGAATTGTAACGAACTTCGTAATGTGCATGTATGTAGCGTTAGTCCGCTTCCTGGCAACACCCACGAAGGCCCTTGCTGTCTCCGCGGTTGTTCCTCCTAGTCATGAACGTGTGGATGGCCACACCTGATGCCATGTACATATTTGACGCTCGCTGCCAACAGGCCCTCCAAGAGGAACTGCGCACTCGACTCCGACAGGCCGCGCTGCTGGTCTCTTTCTCTTTTCCTTCCTTAGCCCTCTTTCGTCAGATATCTGGTACAATATTGTAGTGATATCTTGCAGTCTTCGCAAGCTGTGCGGGGTCTTCCTCTGATGATCTGCGCGAAGCAAGTCTTCCGATGCTTCAGATGGCTTGAACGTATGGGCGACAAATTCACTGGCGCTGCAGGCCCAGTGTTCGTCTTCCTCGCTGTAGTCTTGCTCACGCTGGGTGCCCTCTGTTTCTGTGAGTAAGTTTTCATGCAAGGCACGCGTTGTCTGACTGTCGGACGCAGTCGTAGTAGTCCAACCAACGCTGGCCTGGCCGTGGTTGTCGACACCCGTCTGCGTCCTGCTCGCTGTCAATACGTTCACGCACTACTACTATGTGTGCACGATCCCTCCAGGATTCGTGAATGACTCGCCTCACCCGCCACGCTCGGGCCTGTTGTGGGCGAAGAAGCGGGAGCCTTCGCGGCGTGCAGGCGTGCGCTGGACTGAGACCACAATCACGAAAGCAAGTGTTACGCGGTGTGGGCGCTGCGGAGAGATGAGGCCAGAGGTACGTCTACATTATTCATCGTTGCCTGGAGAGACGCTAATTTGTCTGCCGTACGGAGAGGTCTCACCATTGCCGGATCTGCAACCGCTGCGTGTTGAAATATGATCACCATTGCCCAGTGCGTACCACTTTGGAGTTTTTCGCCTGTTGCGCTGATGTATGCTGATAGTGTACGACCACGGATACGTTGAGGACAGGCAGTTATGCTTATCTAAGTGAATGACCTGCAGGGGTGAATCAATGCGTTGGCCTGCACAATGAACGACACTTCGTTTTGTTCCTGTGAGTGATGTTTATCGCTCGTACCCGAAAGTCGCCTGACACGGCCAAGGGTGTATATGGTAATAGCGTCATTCTGCCTTGCTGCCTTGGGGTGGAGGCACGTCCTGTCAGCGCTCGGCTGGTATGACGTGAGAGACATATCTTTGTCCTGTGGTGGCCCAGCTTACACCGCGAATCTTTCAGGAGTATTGGCCCTACCTCATTCCGCCAACGATCTTTCTCCTGCTCTACATTCTGGCTACCGTGATGTGCTTCGCTGTGTGTATCATGGCTGCTTGGCATATATGGAGCATTTCGTGTGGTGAGACCTCTGTCGAGTCCCAGGATCACGAGCAGTACAGGAAGATGGCGAGAGGGCGGGGCGAGGTACGTGCAATATTCACGTCAAAGCACCGGTCCTGATATTGACTGCTTGGGTGTTGTATGTCAGGCGTTCGTCAACTCATACGACCTAGGGTGGGTAACTGCCCTCACAAGGGTGTCTGCAGTTTGCTGATCGTCACGCTAAGGCGGCGGAAGAACCTGGAGCTGTTCTTCAATGTCGGCCAGGACGGCTAGTGAGTACTGATGTCTTGCATTCCCCGATCAACACCACTGAACCTCATTGGCAGCCCCCTATACACGCTCATACTCCCGCTGCGAGTAGAACCATACACGGATGGCTACTCATGGGCGCGCAAGGCTGGATACGAACGACACCGCGGCATCAGACAGGGCGAAGAGCTGACGGACGAAGATGACGATGAAGACTGACAGGTCCCACGTCCAGTCATATTTATTATGTGCCTTGAGCATGCACACCTCCATCGGGGGGGTCGACCGTTTGGCATTGGTAAGTCCGTGCCCTCGCAATGAACACCAGTATGATGAGAGCTTGCCGGGGCCATATGACACTTCGGAGGGCGTTCTGTCTGCTTTCGTAGATGGGACAGCCCTCGGGAAGACGCATGATCTACGTCCGGCTTATGTACGCGCTAACGCGCTGTTTTCTCCTGAACCATTGTGATCTTTTTGCGCAATCGGAAATACTCACTCCATTGTGCTCCTAGGTTGTGTCTGGACGGAAAGACCTTGGCGTCCAGATAATCGTGGGGTAATTCAGAGGACTTGACATTTGACGTAGCACTGGAAACGTTCATCTGCGGCACGGACGTTCGTGGACCATGATAGTAACTTATCGCAGAATTCATCTGTTTGAGGGCCTTTGGACTCCATTATTTATTCCAAGACAGAGTAGAGTCGACCGTCGGCTTGCACTGTTCGGAGGTAGTTGGACGGATTGAATGCGAACACGCAAGGTTAGACTTTCAAGTGCCACCTCAAAACAGTGATATGACACAAAAGAATGTGTACATGCACATACTCTACGTTGCATCATGTGCGCTCACGACAATTTCTCGGCCGTTACTTCGGACGGAACGCCGCATCGGGTCTCGTGAGAGTGGTTTCCTCATATCTGCGAGAGAGACATGAACCCTCGATAAAACGTCATACACGAGCGGCAGGACTTACCGAACGCGTCCTCCTCGTCCTTCGCGTTCCGTCCTAACCCGAGGTTCCCATAGTACTCCCTTATTCGCCTATACACGCTGTAACCGAAGCCCTCATACATGGAGATGGCGATATTGTTCGCACAGCGCACGTAGAGGTCGACGAAGTATGCCCGGTAGTTCTCGTCCGAGATACGCTCGAGTAGGTCAATCATTTTGCGAGCGAGCGAGAGACGGCGGTACTCGGGAGCGACGGAAAGGGCAGTGATGTGTCCGTGCCAATCCGCTCCAGTGCCCTCAGCCTTACCAATGACTGTGAAGATTGCAGGTGATGAAGCGACGCGGCGTTAAGAAAAGTTGGCTGAGCTCACCGTAACCCATCATGCGACCACTCGGAGACTCCTCGATGCAACATAGGTCGGGCCACCGCGACAAGTAGCCCAGGTAGAAGCTAATTCCGTACTGTCACAGACTCGGATGAGAACGTTTGGCATTCTCCTTCCTGATGGTCGAGCGTACCGTCTCTGTCCATATGTCCAAATTGCTACAGAGCGTCAGAGCCAGGTGTCTCGCTATGACATCAGAAAGCCCATGGCAATACTTACACGTTGTTGAACTTGAAGAGATCGGTCGCTCGGAATGGTCGCGCGATACTCATCCTTGCAATGGCGGGCAGAACACTGAGCTTGAAACGAGTGCAATCCAATCCTTCATGAGCACGTGGCCGAGATCCAGATCTGCTTGCTGGTTTGGAAGTCGACGAGGTTGACGGTGACTTGGTGTCAGACCGTAGAGAACTGGAGACTCTGGAGTGGTGTGTGTTGCAGCTGGCGGAAAGAAACAGTGCCAGTCAGTGGAATATCTATCGACGCCGCACTTACAGTGCAAATCCCATTCCAGGCGATATCGCTTTCAGAAGTACTGTCATCGTTACGAGCGGCGGCGCCCAACTGGTCCTGGCTTTTACTTCTTGCTTTGACGTTAATAATGCCATAACGAGGTTGGCCTGTTTCGTTATACCCTTTGTTTCTGCTGATGGCATAGTTGGTCCTGATTGTAATCGCAGAACGAGGAGAGCCGGATGCCCGGTCTGCTCCAACTTGCTGCGTCACCCATTGTGCACATATTTTATCATACACACCTTCATCTCCGCTTGCACGATAACAAGCTTTCATTGTTCTCTCGGATCTTGTCCATATGTCACTTTCCAAGGCTACCCGAATCCGTTCGTTGACGAACCCCAGGAACGCTTTCCGAAACCTGAGCAGCACGTTCTGCCTCCATGGCCCTACACATTCCGAAGCACGACCTGGTACTTTGGACGTCGGGGGGCTGTCTTCTGCGGTGAAGATTGCTTCAAAGGGAAAAGCGCAAATGGCTGCGCTTGGCCATGGTATGGCTTCTGCCTTGCCTCGTGCAGGTGCGACAATTCGCTTTGACTGCGCATCGATTGCCCGCATCTCATTATTCGTGATGCACAAACACGTCATACAGATCCTTCTATGCTCATGCGCCACCCCGCTGTCCTGCTCGGCACCACCCCAAGCTCAGAGTCAGCCGCAGATACATCGTCCGGCACAAGTCGAGTGGTCTCTGGCGTGCTCTCTCCTGTGCCGCGGATTGGGCCCTCGCACGTTCAGCTTAGGCCTCAGCTTGGGGTCAAGCGCACGATCGAGAGAATTCCCAGCGGCATCCTCGTGCCGAGCTGTGATGTCAACGCCAGCATATCCCACAATGGCTCACTGGCTTCTTTGTCTGCACCGCTTTCTCTGCCTCCCTCGATCTCGCTTACTTCCGTTGATTTGGAGATAGCCCTGACACGGGTGGCGCAGGTTACGGTTCTTCGTTCTGCCTTGGCCTCGGTGCCGTCCGCACTGGATATAAGAAGCGCGAATCTCTATCGACAGGCTCCAGATATCAGCCAAGTGCCACCCCAACCCGACACCCTTCGCATGTCGACTATCGGCTTTTCACCCGAGGTGCTCGTCGTTATAACGCCGACAGCCTATGACTTTAAGATAGAACTTCCAGGGATCCAGCATGGAGCGGTCCAGGTACACACCACCAGCGAGAGGGCATCAGTCGTGGTGGACGCTCGACTTGTGCGTCTTCGGAAGAATCGTGAGTCTGTTCACTTCGTTCGTGCCCAAACTCTGACGACTTTGTCTTTGTCGTTCGGTAGCAACGTGGAAGTGGGAAATCATGGGCTTCGCTTATGCTTATCTAAGCGAGACCAAAGTAAAGGTGGACAACGGAACCATCCTGATCCAGGTACCGCACTTGCCGACACTACGGCCTCAGTTACTTCCTCCTCCGAGAGTGCATGTACGTGAACGGCCGTCCGAGTGGTCGTCCAACTGAGTCTGCAGGGCCACTGGCTGGCTTTGCCCACATCATAGCCTATGTCTTCAATACGTTCTTTTCCTGTCATACTCTCACAATACTATGCCGCGACCTCATGTTATTTTCCACATGCATATCAGTGTAGATTGGTTCATGCCTGTTGCTCTATCCAGTTATAATTACCATTGCCTCAGAGAACGTCCTCGTTGTCAGCATTCGCGAGTCGGTTTGTTCTCTGACGTCACATCTTGGACAGTCTCAATGGACGAGAACAACACGACAGTCTGAATCATAACACGCAGTGGGTGGAGGCTATCATCGTCTATAAACAATTTCCCGGGCACGAGCATGCTCCTGCGCTATGACTACCATGATCAGCTTACTCTACGCCCTTATCCTCTCCACGACACACGTCGTGCTCTCCGGGGGCGTCGCTCAAGGTGGCTCGTGCACAACAGCGGACGACCGTCTCGACGCCGTATCGCACAAGTTCCAGAGTGACTGTGAAGACCAAATGTTCTGCTCCGTGTCCGGATCCACAGGTGCCAACGGGACGTGTCAGCCTCGGCGATGTAGACGAGACGAGTTTCCGTTTGGGTACACGCCACACGATCCGATCCCGCCGCTTTGTTCAAGGGGGAGCTTCTGCCCAGACGGCGGGAACGGCTGCACGCTGCTGCTTGCGGTTGGCTCTCCGTGCGAGCTAAACCGGGACGACCAGTGCGCACCCCCGCCGGACTGGCAGGCGCTGGCCAACAACCAGAACTTCAATGGGTCTTTGTGTCTGAAGTCCACGTGCATGTGAGTGGCACCGTACCTCCACAGTCTGACAAAGGCTAAGAATATATGGACTTCCAGGTATGCGAATGTCTCGCTGGGGGAGCCGTGCATCATCGACACGGTGACATACATTGACGTTGGGCCAAATGGACAACAGTTCAGCAACAGCATCTCGCGCGACAACTGCCAGTCCCCGCAGATGTACTGCGATAGCTCTGCTAGTCAGTGTGTGCCCGCCAAGACTCTTGGCGCAGCATGCGCTGCGGACCAAGAATGCGAGACCGTGAGTAAACCGTTCAAGAAGTAGAACGTGCGCTGACAGTGGTTCATTCCCAGTACAATTGCGGGGCGCAGGGGATATGTGTGGATCCTCCGGAGATGCCCCTTCATGTAGCGCCGTGGCAGTATGTGGTCACCAGTTTGAGCGTCATTGGAGGTATGCAGTGCCAGTAATGACAGCGGTAGCGCAACGCTAACTTGGACGATGTTCAGCAATGGCAGTAACGACCGTGATGCTCACTTCGGTTCACAAACGGCTCCGCCTCAAAAGATACCGCGAAATCAGAGACTACTACGAGGAGCAGTTGAGGTGCGTCGGCCAGAAATGCTATGCATAGTGTTTCTGAACTTCGGCGGTTGGTTCGAGCTAGCTTACGACGTTCCATCGCCGCCATTCATGCCGCAGCCGCAGAAAGGTACGAAGACGAGAAGGTTAACTATCAATATACGATACCAGAGTTTCCAGGTTGAGCTCGCCAGTGCGGAAGTCCGCGTACTCGGTACTAGATCTCGTCAGGAGTCGCTGAAGGCGAGCGTGCTCGGGCAGTCGCTGCTGACGCAGTATACCTTAGACAGAATATGTATTTGCATGAGTCCGAGTCGCCAGCATTTCTGTACAGATCCCGATCTTGCGTTGGAAGCTCCCGAGACAGACGCTGGAGTGGAAGATCGTCTCCGATCGCGTGGGTCGAAAAGTCCAAGACGCCAGCAGTGTGCACGTCGACGACTACTATTGAATATCAATTTCCACAGGCAAAACATATCCGCTTATTACAATCGATAGTATGGGAAAAAACAATGCCACAACGCGGTCGTAACGATATGCAGATGCGAGACTCAAAGCCGTATGTCGGAAGTTAGCGCTACAGATAAGATAGGTGTCGTGAAGGATAGAGAAAGTAGACAAAACAGCCTGTCTATATCACCCCTCGTCGGGAGGCCGCGACGAGTTCATCTGGTTGCCCGATCCGCTCACATTCGTAATATACGTGCCCCAATCGTCCCATCTGCACGTATAACAGAGTGAGCACCGGACTAAGAGGCTTTCGCGGGACACTTACTCGAACCCGCTGGGAGCCGACGACCACATCGCGAGCGTGTTGTCGGGATAAGACCGGCCATTCGGCATGGATGCCATTGGATCCATGTCGTGCATGCCGGACGCGGCAACATGCGAGCGGTAATCTTGCGGCGCTGGGGAGAGCGGTGCTTGCAGTGCCGAGAACATTTGGTCGTAAACGCTATTTGGCTGCATCGCGAACATCGATGCAATGGCGGGATCAAGTGACGTGTCCATAGGTGGGACGCCTATAGCACTTGTTGAAGACCCCGCCTCTAAACTGGTGGGCATGCTCGACATCCTCGTACTAGTCGAAGCGGCGTTGTACCAGCCATTATTCATAGGCATTATTGAGTTGGTATTGCTGGGCGCATTGCACCCCGGATGCAATGGCAGCCGGCCCAGTTCGTCACTGTGGATAGGAAGATCGAACGGAGTCGTATTCACCGCGTTTGAGGACATCATGTTGACATCTGGTGGTAATGGCACCGTTGGTCGTGACCCTTGCGTGAACATGGGGGACGCTGCAGAGGTTGCCGATGTTGCATCCCTTGATACTCGTTTTGAACCAGCAATGGTCCGCTGGGCTGTATCCACGGTGGATGAGGTTGCCGGTGACGGGGCTGAAGAAACTGATATCGGACTATCCGCGTCTCGTTCCCGCTTATAAGTCGGAGGTGTAGGTTGGGGGAGTGGTAAATCCCCGACGGTGGCTAGCTCATATAGAATATCCCTGAACAAATATCGTCAACGCGCATAATACATCTGGTCAAAGTGGTGACTGCGTACCATAACCGGCCGGCGGTGTGCCAACTACCAAAAAACATTCAGCGGATCTGGCAAATGTCATCAGCACGATTACATACCGCGGCTCGAGCACCTTCAGCATTTTCATGCACTTGTGCACGTCGGCCATCTCCTTCTCGGGATCGGTCATGATCCCGGAGCGTTTTCCGCCCCATATATTGAGCAGCAGTACGATGCCAGCCTTGAAGACAGCCATCTGTAACAACAGGCGCCAGACGCCGGGTAAGCTTGGTAGACCACTTCGGTGCTTGGCAGGTCCAGACAGACCTGGTTAGCGAACATTACCATTCCAGTACGTTGGTACTGTATATCCAGCACGTGCGTACAAGACCGTGCTGCGTTCGTACAGATGGCTAGCGAAGGGAACGATAGCGGCGAGGGCTTGCGTGGCGTCGGGATGAAGGGTCGATGAACGACAATTTGCAGCTGGTAGTAGCTCGCATAGAGGTGCGCAGACTGGTTGAGGAACGTGATGTTCTCGCGGTTCGGGTCCCAGCGCACTTTTTCACTGTTGTCAAACTATCACCTCGCATGATAGCTGTAATTATATACGTACGATGATCCGGGACGGAATCGATCCATTTGTTGAGCGCAGAATCCAGCTCGGCAACAATATGCTGCTCCCATTGCTGCCCTACAAATCCTAGCAATGCCTTCGATTTATTAATCGAGTACTGCAATCCATTAGGTCAGTATCTCGTCATCGCATCCGAAAGGATGCATCTAACTCACAATCGTGCGTAAAGCAAATGCAAGGATCTGATTTAGTCTGAGCAGGCAGTTAAAGAAAGTTATTCTCGAAGGCTTGTCTGCAGGCTGCTTGAAGGCCTGTTTTGGATCAGAATTCATCCAATACTCATCATCGCACTCCAGTGGCAGATCAAGATCGAAACTATATAAGGATGAATAAGTGCTGTGGCGACCGATAGAATACCCACAAGAGGTACTCACTCTTCGTCTTGGATTGCGCATGGTCGACCAAGGTTCATGCTTATTGTTCTGTCCATGGAGACGAGGACCCTGAGACACTCGGGTAAGACGGAACAGGACTAACGATGCGCCGAAGAAATTTTACCAAAATGCGCGCTTCCACAATTCCTCGTCCACTGTTGGCGTAGGATTATAGACCTTGCGACGATGGGCGCCTACATCTTGTGCCAACCGTATGCCGACGCCAATCATCGTCCAGCATGCTTGTGGAGCAGATGTGCCTTGGAGGAATATGGCCGCAAGCTAGTGAGATAGTGTTAGTCAGCCGAAAGAGATAACAGAAATAGTTCTGACAGCATAAATTTGGAGGTCATACAGACGAGGTGGGGCAAGCAGAGACTTCCTGATCATTTGCACTTGCTGAAACCACTTCCAACCGGCTGAATGCGTCTCGTCCTTGTAGTCCGCCAAAAAGACACGGGGATCACTGCTAAACCGAGCACCAATCGCGCACACGAGCAGCACTGTAGAGCCAAACCCCTCATCGGTCAAGTGGAGGCCGTTTTTGATTCCTTCCTCGAAGCTAGGGCGGTGCAGAAGTGGTGCATACTCGTTGACGTTAACGAAGTAGTGCTCGATGAGCTTGTTCATAAGCTCTTGCCCTGGAAAATCTTTATATGGACACGGTTCGTCCTTTATTGACGAGGACCACTGTACGGAAGGCATTTCAATCAACACTGATCAACGGTTGAATTAAAAAACAAACAGGATGCAGAGTCCAATACTGTGGACGATTGTGCAGCAGGCCGGGGTGGCTCGCTGGGCCGAGCCTCGCGTGGGTGTCCACGCCCGTGTACTCGTGCTTGAGGTCCATCGCGGTCTGAATGAACATGATACTACTCGACTTTCCGAAGAAGCGCATCTGCGCTTTATTGAGCGACATGCGGCCAAAGCTCTGCCGGATATTATGCGTAATCAGCGTCTCGTCGTCGCTGGGGTCCAGGTCTTCTGCGGTTGCAGGACTGGCGGGATCGGGCAGCGTCGATGTTGAGGCGGGCATGACAGTTGTTGGGGGTGTTGTCTTATATGGTACCTTGCAGTTTTTGTCGTTCATGACCCTCTCGGTGAGCCATGCTTCCTTGTCAAAATGCCCGCCTAATTCTTGCGTGAAGTCGGCATCGGGGCACAGCTGGGAGGACAGTACGACCTCAGCTGAATAAGGACCCAGCGGCACGCGCGAGCCTACCTTCTTCAACAGCTTCTCCATTTTCTCCAGCCTCATCTCAAGGCTCTCGACGTACCTAGCACAAGACATCGATGAACCGATGCTCCCCATAATCCGCAGCAGACCACTCACCCCTTGGGTGGGCCGCGTTTCTGACGCCGCACGGAAGAGAAAAACATGTCAGGTAAATCCAGAGCGTCCCGGAAATGACGCACCTTCGCAGCCTCCATGTACGTGCACTCATAATTGTACGTTACGCAGTTCGAGCACCGATTGTTGGGCATCTGGCTGCCATCGCCTTCGCGGAACCATGACCGGTAAGTCGCTGCGGAACACCCCAGCGCAGGACCACGGTACTCACAGCGAACTGCAGTAGCACCCAATTAGCCACCGCTTACGCGAAAACCAGAAGGAGATACGCACTCTTCTTCCGGCGGCATACATCGCACGCGCGCTGCACCCTCCTCTTCTTCCCCTGATTTAGGTTCTCGTTTTCGTTATCCTCGTCTTGCGAAGACATGCAAAGATCAGGACACGCGAAGGAGGGCTGTGTTTACTGGGCGTATGGTTTAGCTAGATGAACGGGCTTCAGGAGCGGAGGAAAGGCAGTGAAGCTCGGCTGCTGTGAACGTCGCCCATCGGCTGGTGGCGTATGTAAACGGTCACGTGCAAGATCGATCAGATGAACTCCACCTTGCCAGTAAAACCGCAGAGTCGTACTCAACTTCCTCCTCACTGGTGCTTACTGGAAACCACCAAACTGTGATGGTATGTCACCCAAATGCGACAGCGATTTAGGATTCAAAACATATCTCTGGCGCGTCGGACGAGCTATCTCGACGGAAGCGCCCTTCATTCATATGTCATTTATGTGTTTGGCCGGCACAAACAAACCCATAACAGGTAGGTAGGAAATTTGCCGCCCGGAGCGGGCGTTCTGGGCTCTGCTCCGAGCCTCCCCTCTTCTTCAAGTGGGACCTTCAAAACTTTCGCAAGTATTGGTCATTGATTGTGTTGGTTCTCACAGCAGCGGTGAGTTTCTGCATCGGAAACGAAGTGTGTGCGAAATTTGCGGGGTCACGCGGTCACGAGTTGTTTGCCCCGGCCAAATAACGCGACCTCGCGCATATTGGATGCCTTCCCGTAGCCGTTTAGAGACGTTCTAAAGCTAAATTCGTCTCTAAATCACTCCGGCACGTCGGCCAATTGATCTCCGACGAGCCTGTGAACAAAGTGAGACCTTTCTAAACCTTGTATCTGGAAGGGGGGGTCGACCCCCCCTTCCAGATTCTAAACGTCTCCCTAAACTATATTTTCGACCTCCGCACCCTCACAACCCCCATCATCGCCTATATTTGGTGTTATGCATCACTTACATCATCTTGCCGTTCATCCTCCGACCGTCTAGAACTTGATTTAGTGATCATGGTCTCACGTCGTTGTGGTCTCGCAAATCTTGCTGTTCCGACACAGTGGGGCATTTCGTAGTCCGCTTTATGATTTAGAAATGCTCTAAATCCTACGGGAAGGCATCCATTTTCTGATCCGCGAAGTGTTCGCCAATCCTGTCTTCTTGGCCCCGGAAACTTTGGCGCCGGTCGCAGTGGAACCCACTCTGCACTAGAGTGTATTTGCAACAATTTTCTGGGCACCGAGAAAGGGAATTTTTGGCTAACCCGCCTTCTGATTGGGCCAGGAAACTTCGGCGCCGGTTGTAGCCCTCCATGTGCACAAAATTTCTCCCTCCTTCGTCAGCAGCGCACCACGAGGATAAGCAGTTGTCGCGCGGCGCCTGAAGATTCACCCTCGTCACGTCTAATCATTAATCTCCGTGAGCGTCGGCTGCGATCACCGCTGTCGGTTAGCACAAGACGCGTGCAGCCCAAGGGCTTGAGCGATCCAATGGAATTCTACACAGTTATCTGACTACGTGCTTCGACCGGTTGCGCTGCAAACAATAAGATACAGATAATTTGAAGTACAATTTTGGTGCAGCCAACGGGGGACAAGGTGGCTGCTGCTGATACATGCATGCTTTATGGCACTCGATTTGTTTCTGGCGCAGGATTGGTGGGCGGGACGGATTCTTGTTGGTGCTCGATGGAGCTCGTAGCATACATGCTATCGGTAGTGCTCTATGCTGCTCATTTTGGTGCATCATCTGTGGTTAACAGTGTCAAGAGACAAACCGAGAGCGGCAGAGAGTCTCTCTCTCATTCGATCGTCCTCGCATTCTCGATCAAAATCTAGAGAACGGTCAAAGTCCCAAGGCAGTGCGAGGCACATCGAAACACTCGGTTTCTCTCGTCCTCCCTCTTAGCGCCTCATGTCAATTTTAACTGGGCCTTACCACATCCTCTGACGCAAGATCAGACTACACACACTTATTCTACACTATGGTATTCCCACTACCTCTGGTAGTGGTTCTTGGCGGATCTTTCGTCACACAGGTGCCCCGCCAAAAAATGTCAGTTTTGTCCTGCTCTCGTTGTTAATTTTCGATGTACCGCAGTTTTGCTTAATGCCTCCATTCCATTGTGTAGATCCGTCGGTGGAAAAATTGGCTCTGTTGTCTGGCACCCTCCCAACAAAAAGCACATCATCGCGAGATAATAAGTGTCCGAAGCGAAGCGAAGCTTCCAACCTTAGAACCTTAGTATATGCCTTGTATGCCTGCCAGTCCATCTCATGCTAGTCTAGGTACTACGTCAAATATCATTGGCAATCTCCTCGTGTGCAACTTCACTCCTGCACCCCTTGTCTTCGTATCAACAACAGGTAGCGGGTCCTGCCGTGCTTGCACGGCGCTACAGCCTTATTATAGATAGGTCATCTATGTCAAAATCGTTATCGGGACTAACCTGAAGGCACAATACAAGACAATACACGATAATGGTAACAAGTTTCCGGCGCTAAAGGTGAGGAAATCTCACCTCGAAGGCATTTCGAACGGGCTATGGCATGTCGCTCAGCATTATTCGAGAAACGAACACGCGGGGTGTGGTCCAGGATAGTCAAAATGGGATAAGTCATCCAGCCCCGAAAGAGAGGTTTTACGGGAGGACAAAGGGTATAACGGCCTCTCAAATACAGTGGCTGGATTTTCAAAAGAAGTCCGTGTCCCCGATTCTGATCTCGCACCCTCTTGCGCCAAGACGCGTGCGGCGCAAGTGGTCGAACGATCCAAAGGAAGTCTATACAGCCATCCGACTACGTATACGGGCTTCGCCCAGTTGCGCTACAAACGATAGAATACAGATAATTATAAGCACGGTTTTGGCGCAGCCAACGTTCTGCGGGGCGACAAGGACGAAGAGAGAGGGGGGCGAGGACAAGGCGGTGCTGATACAAGCGAAGGTCGGAGAGCGTCTAGCTACAGGCGAAGGAGAACGACGGGTTACAACGAGTTGCGGTGGCGAGCATTAAATATCGAGTCAGGCGCAGGGAGGGGCTTCGAGCTTCAGGACATGTCCTCCGATTTGGCGCGCGATTTTTTTGGGAGAGGCTTACTGAGGGAGATACGCGTCGCGGGCGTCGTATGGCGGAGGGGGGATGCAGTTGGGGTCAATCAGGCACGTCCCCTTCTCAAGGTGGTACTTCAACCCATTCGGGTTCAAGTACGACTGCGAGAACCATCTCAGCCATCGCGTAACACATCACACGGCGGCGAATACACGCACCTTCAAGCAGCCTGGATGCTACACAGAAACACCACGTGTCAGTACGCGCAACACACCGCACACGAGACGGACACTCGCCGGACACTTGTACATCTTCTCGCGGTCGCGCCGCTTGGAGGGCGACAGGCGTTCCGCGCGGCGCGCCTTGCGCTCCATCGCGGTGAGCAGGCGCGCGCGGGGCCGGCCCGCGTGCAGCGCGTCTCGGTGCTGGAGACTCCTGCGCGCCTCGGGCGCGTCGTACTCCGGCGTGGTGTACCCAGACGTCGCGTCCGCGTCCCCCGGTGCGGAGAGGAGAGCTGGGGGAAGACACATGGGCTCGTTCCTGACGGGGGACGAGGCGGAGGAGCTGGAGTACTCCGGGGAGTGGTGGCGGGCGAGGACGTCGCGGTAGGTGGACTCGGCCTGCACGAGCGAGTAGGACGCATCTAGCGGCTCGAGCAGCGCGTCGAGGGCGTCCTTGTACGACGGCGGATCGGGCTGGGGGTAGCTGAGGACGACGCTGGAGCCGAGGGAAGGGGGAGACGGCGAGCGGGAGCGAGAGGAGGAGGCGGAGGGTGGGGACAGGCCCGGGTAGACGGGCTGGCCCTCGGTATTAAATACTACGATATGCTGTTCTTCAAAATGGTCGAGGAGCGCATGCAAGTCTGGCAGGGGGAGCCCACAGCAGGCGAAATTGGTGCACTGTGCGGTGCGAGTGAGGACAAAATAGATGATGCGGTGGATAAACGCAGACGCACATAATCATTTTCGAGGGAGTCGTCGGAGCCGCTGGAACTGTCGGGGCCACAAGAGAGCGGGGATGAGATGGGAGACTTGGGGAAAAACCAAGACGGCCTGATGGGACGGGATGAACGGTGAGTATAGACGCGGAGGAGGACGAGGGAGACGTACTCGAAGGAGTCGTGGCCGTTCATTGGGAGGAGGAGAGAATGTGACGGGGTGAAAGGACGGCGCGCGATTAATGATAGTGACGTGAAATATACTGCGGTCGGCCATCGTCGAACACTCGCAGGCGTTCTAGACGAGGAGCGACCAATAAGGCAGAGAACTCGCCTCAGTCCAGAAACGGGCGACGCGAACTGACCTGCGCAGGCGCAGATCGGCTCGTTGACGTTGCTTGCGGTACCGCCGCCCTGGCGTAGCGCCTAATCGGTACCCAGGCCGACGGCGGCCCACCCAAGAGCTGCCTCCGAGGAGCTCGACTCTTCGCCGCCAACAAGGCTCCGCGGCCCCGGCTCTTCCCCCTGAGCTCATTCGAGCCACGCACCAGGTCGTCGTCCAGTATTCTTCGTCGCTGAGGCAGAACTGAGTACACCCAATACCTGGACGGGATGAACGCTTCGATTTTCATGCGACTTAGCTCACGGAAGATCCGCCAGCGGGAGTTGCTCCAACTCCAACAGCCCCACCCGTCCACGAAGCTTGCGCCGGAAGGTGTGGACAGCGGACGTTGCCGATCCTATCAGGTCTCGGGGTCAGCAGTGCCTGAGTCGATGAGCCAATAGCAGCCCGTTCACCTCGCCCAATCGCAATCCGCGAGCAAAGTCATGCGGATCCACGATCACGTGCACCGCGCTCTGGGCCAATGGCCGTTCTCTCCGCGGAAAGTCCGCATGCCTGCTACCTGATCGCGAGAGTCTAGAGAAAACAGCCAAGGAGTCAGCGCTGACTCCAGCTCAAGGTGCTATGTGCGTGGTACGATCGATGAGATCTGCGACATTGTACTAAGTGGAGGATCGCAGTAATTAGCACGACTGATCTTCCCGTTGCAGCTAAATGATCGCGTACACTTAACTGACGGCCTCACACAACGTCGCTTATTTTTTTTTGGTAATGAATGTACATGTTCATCGCCAGTATTTGTCTTGAATTTTCACGATGAATTGTCCTAATTTCGCCATGCCGGCGGAAGTCGTCCCTGTATCCACATTACTATTCGAAGTGCAACTTGGAGCGGAAGAGCACTGCACCCAGCTGCCTCTCCAATATCAATGATGGTGAGTGGGGATAAGGCGGGAAACGGAGTTCAATTGCTAGTGCCGGCCTGTAATCACTAAGGCCTCAGTCAGCATACAAAACCGAACCTGTGATGCTAACCTTCGTCTGGAGTAGAGTCCAGGGCTCCTGCGGAGCTATATGCATCATGAGATACTAGGCAGTGAAGTCGCAGTCCACAAAAATCTGGGCATACGAGACTTCTGGCCTTGGGATGCGACGGACTAGACCTGTCCTCTGAGCTCTCGGGATGACGACAATGGCGTTAGGTCCTACACTTCCATTATGCGCGCGAACCCACAGTCGGGATCCGGTAGTAGCGTCGCATACACCGCCGGACGCGTCCCGCAATGGGGACTGGGACACGGGAGTGATGTCCACCAACTGTAGACATAAGAAGCCTGGCCAAATCCTCAACAACAAACTTGGAACGAAAAGAGCGCAGGAGCTAGCTGCCTCTTCAAGCTTCAACATCAATGATGTTCCCACACGGCCTCACCGGACAACGCGACGAAAACGCGCTCGGTCATCGTACCCAAATGGAATTTGATGTAGAGCTCAGGGCTAAGAATCATGAGATATTGGAGGAAAAGTCGCTGCCCACAGAATCTGGGCATATGAGACTGATACTGGCTTGGACCAACTCGAAAACATCTGGCCTCGCGTCTTGCTCTGACAGACGGGCCGTCCTCAGTTTTTGGGAGAACGGGTTGTCAGTTTGCGTGAGGCCCCACGTCTCCGCACCCGTACTTGGGTGGGCAGTAGAGCGTCGCATATCCAGAGCAGAGGCCAGACGTACCCCAGACCCAGACGCGACGACCACTCGGACATGGGAGTGGCGTGCCCCGCCCACCGTAACCCAAAATCCAAAACAAACAGCATGCTAGCCGTGCTTACAACTTTATTGCCGCGTAGGACCAGTCTTCGTCCTCGCGCCGTCGCAGACTGTGTGTTAGAGGATGAATGCGCGACAGTCTGTAGCGGTCAGTGGAGACGCGGTCGTCCGGTGCGACTCGCGTCTTGGTGAACAGCGGGAGCTAACAGCGCGTGCCGCAAAAGCCAGACGTCGGCGCACCTGCGGGGCGACGGCGCATGGATTGAGCGACGGGATCATATGTGTTCGCGCAGTCGACTACAATTCATGCGAACCTGCCTACCCCGGGAATCCTGATGCGAGCACTGACTATTTCGTGGCCCACTTCCATATCGATGGATTAAATTTTGGATTCCAGCGTGCTAACGGGATGTGCACGTCAGGTATGGGCAATACGTACCACGCCCAACATGCATATTGAATGACGGAAGGCGCACCATCACAGGATGGAATACGACAAGTGCTTGCTCAGCGGCCGGAAAGGACACCATCGAAGTCTGTGAATAGGACAATACGGCTGGTTCAATGTCATTGTCTTGGATCATGTTCAGGTCGAGCGCGCCAATGCGTGTCGCATAAAGCACGCAGGCCATGTTGCGTCGCCATTCGATCGTTGGGTAGCGGGTAGCATGTCTACTGTCATTCTGTGTCGAAGTGGATAAGGTCGCTAGCACTAGTCTGAAGATTCCTATATTGCTTGGGTTGTCGTGTATACGTACCTCTCACGAGTGCGTACAAAAGGAGACGCGCAAAGAGTTGCGCCAATTCGTGATCACCTTGACGCTCGTCGGCGGAAGTAACGGGGCATCGCGAACGTAGCGTCTTCATTCTCTGTGCACGTCGAAACGCTCAGGGCCCACTGTCCCGCCGTATATTCGCAGGCAAGAATAGTCCGTGGCCGCAACAAGTCAGTTTGTTCGCGTCTGAACCAGCGAATGCAATCTCCCTAGAGTCATATCCAGGCGCAGTGCGAATCCCGGGCTTACGCGCGGGATCTGGCAGGGCAGATTACCTCTGATATCGCTCGCAGCCAGACCACATCCTCAGACGCGCGTCGTACACGCCAAATCCCGACTATAAGGACGTGCCCAACCGACAAGCCCACAGCCACCGATCGCCCAGTAGCAGCACCCTCAAGCACGTAACGAAAAGGATGCCCGCCCCGGTATCCTTCCGCCACGGACGGCCGCTCTGACCCTGCATTCTCCGACATATCACAGGGTGGTCGTACACCGTCGAAGGCGGCGCGCGTACTCCAGTCCTCGAGGGGGTTCGAGATGCTGCACACCCTGCTCACGCCGGCGCCAGCTTGCCGGAAGCGGTAGCGGCGGCCCCCCGCGGTGGAACCTCTGCGTACTCGTTGCCTACGCATGACGGGGAGTTCGATCATTGAGATACGGAAATTGTGGGACATGACGAGGTGGGCGGGCCTAGAGGCACCCTATCGTGCTTCGCAGCTTCGCGAGCCTCCAGGGGGTCCGGCAAATGCAGGGGGCATAGCGAGTGCCATGTAGGGTGCAGCAGAGAGAATGCCACTTAAGATACCACACAGAGAGATGGCTGTATGACGAAGCAGTTGCGCAGTACAACAACCTGGAAAGTACAGAGGTTTCCTTTTGTGAGCGACGCCGAGTTGTATACGGACCTGCCTACATCTTCGTAAGAAACCGTCTTCCTGACAGCAACAGAAGATAGAAACAACAAGTACTCGCATGGCCGAGCGGTCACAGCGTCGTCGGAAGGTCGCAGCATGTAGTCTTCCGTATGCAGACATTTCGCGCCTCAGGACGTTCGTGTCGGACACAGTAGTGCGCCGCTTCCGCCGTAAGCTGAGTTTAAGAGGCGACACCCGCCTTCCAGAAAAAAAGACTGATTGGCTCTTGATTGGCGCGTCCCGAGAACGATCCGAAACGGCGTTGTAACCAACGGTGACCCGAGCATTGGAACTGCGCGGATGACTGGATGAGGGTCGGCGATGTAGCCGCGCTGCACTCGAGATTCCGCTTACAAGTCGCTCCGATAGGTAAGAGGGTGTCGGAACATAGGCGTCTGCAGAATGCGTATCGATGTCGCCGACATGACTCAAAAGGCGTGCTGTGCGGCTTCCGGTCGTCCGCACTACTGTGTGCAAACTAATTAGCGGGAAATTCGTGGTGACCACCTCGTCAAGTTGCTTCCGGTAAGTTGTACTTACCGCAGCGGTCAGATGCGTTGCGAGCGCGAGGAATGGCGCCTTAATGGACTGTCGATGGGGTGGGAATGGTAACGCTGGAAGGGGACCGTTTGTTCCGTTCCTGGATGTGTACGCGCCAGCTGTTCACAGCAGTTCCGGCATGAAATGTTGATATTTCACAGAGGATCGAACGGGAAGGTCATGAGACAATTCGGAAGGCCACGTAACCGCTAGCATGAGTACACATGATATGTCGGTTTGCACACGGCAAAATTGCATTAGGATTGGGCTCTTTTTGAATGGGACGATTACCGGCTCTTCAAGGACTAGTGAAGCTCGTCATTACGTTGGTAGAAGAAACTGGGGAATGCACGAAGCGGTGTAGGTCCAACCAAGGTCCAACGATAAAATAACCGAATAATTTTACAAATTAGGGCAGCACTTTACCAAGCGTTCTAGACTCGTGTACCTTAAATTGAGCAGAATTCCAAACTATTTTCCCACACCTTTACTTTTATAGTGATTTCTTTTTTCTTCCGCGCAAGATCCTCAGGGCTACACGTTTTGCATGCAGACTGCGCCGCTCTCGAAACATCCAATCGATCGCCAGTTCGCATTGGCCCACGGCGCAGCCGATGTGATCATCTCTCCAGGTGTCTGAGAAACGGCACGGAGGATATCACACAAAACACGGGATCGGGCGTGCGGGTCCCGGGCCGTGTATTTATCCTTTGAACGAGGAGGTCACGGTTGCGTTTCGCCCGTCAACCACTTTTATCGTCAACGGCCATCGTCGACGTCGACCACCGCTCTGTTCTCGTCGAGCTCCCTTCTCTGTCCCGGAAGTTACTGATCTCTGGGCTTCCCTCTCGACCCTCTCGCGACTCACTGATTCGGAGTCTCCTCCTCGGAGCTACGGACCAGCGGCAGTACTCATTACCTACATAAGGACGTCAGTAATTCCCCAGCGAGCCTCGCCTTCTCGTTGTGGCCATATCGCGCTCTTTTTTACCTATCTGTTCTGTACTGTCCGTGCTACGATTTTACCCGGTCTCTGCTAGCGGCGTGACATCTCGACACCGGAAAAATCATTTTTCTGGACGCGTATAACTTGGGACAAGTCTGAATATCCGGACAAGACATTCCACTATGATCGGGCATTTTCCGTCCCCCATCCTCTCCGTGACCGCAGACGCGGTTCAGGAACTTGAAGGAGAGGACGCCGTCTTCGGCCTCTGGGCCCGTACGTTTGTCCTTCTTATCTGTCGTGGGTCGTGAATCGGAGGGCTGAGCAGCAGCTACAGTGTTCACAAAATGCAAGGAGTCCCTCAAGGACGGCCGGCGTCTGGAGAACATGTCCTGGCGGCTGTGGTACCGCGAAATCGCGGCTTCACAGCATTCTCCGTGCTCGTCGCCAGGCACTATGACGCCGGCGTCGTGCGAGCGGAGCTCACCGCCCATCACACCGATCTCGGAGGACGGGCGTGTCTCACAAGGTACGTGTGTCTGGGGTTGAAACGTTGACGGCTTACCTGAGGGGTGCTCATATTTCCGTTTCTGCTTCCCAGACCACGCGCCGGATGCGACGTTGGCGCCTGCCTCGGGATTTCCCGTAGCCCACTCATGGCACGGAGAGAAGCCGGCTCCGTCGTTCATTGGTGGACGGCGCCTGAGCTCTGCGAGCGTGCCCATGGCCTCCAAGTCCCACGGCGCAGTTCACGTGGGGAAGCTCATTCTCGGGATCCTGCCAGACAAGGTGGTCGTCCCCGTCGTAAGGTTGCCTTCCCCCCCGGCGACGCACCAGGTGTTGCCTACTGTACAGCTACCAGACGCGCCTTCACCAGCGCCCCCAAGTGCGGCGTATCCTCGCGTGGTGGTCGTAAATCCGACCCCGCATCCGACCCCCCCCGCAACCCCGCACTTGTCGCATACTCCACAGGCTATTTTCGCTGCACAGCCATCTCTCAATCTACTTCCACCGCCCCCCGCGCGTCCGCTGACCAGCGTACTCGCGCCCGCACAAGGAAAGAAGCAGTCCGTTTCGCGACAGTCGGATCTCCAGGCACCACGTGACGTTCCGCCAAGCCAGCCGGACACGCGTGATGATACTCTGAAGCCTTCCGATAGGCGCTTCTTCATGCAGGAGGCTGAGTCGCCGGATCGTGATTCGCTAGAGTCCACTTCTCGGGCGACATCGGGGAAGTTCTCGGTTGGTCACGAGATGAGCCCTGGCAGTGTCAGTTCCAATCAGACCAAGTCGGACGGTGGCGGCGCCGCGTCAAGCTCGGGCGGCAAGCGGGGACTCGCCGGGCGGTCACAGGGTCGCAAGAGCAAGGAGGCGGTACGGTATGTCGCAACGCGTCCTGCCGTGCATCGGACACACGCGCCTGCCCATCAGCAACACCATCCATCGCGCCAGACTGCGCAGCGGAAAGCCGCGACAGAATCCAAGAAGACGACATTCAACTTTGGCTCTGTGTCCTCCAATGGCTCGAGGGGCGCTGAACCTGGTCCTTCTAAAGCGCCCGCTGCTCCAAACGAGCCCAGCGAGCCCGTCGTAACACGGCCCTGCGCCAGCCCGCCGAAGCAGACCAACGGAGTGGCTCAGCCTCCCCGGCGCGGTATCGTTGTCAGCACATCTTCCGACTACGAGACCACTGACACGGACGACGACTCCGAATGGGCTTCGGAGGACAATAGCACGGGGGAGCGCGAAAAGGAGCGTCAGCGGGAAGAGACGCGCCTTCGCGAAGCTGCGGAGGAAGTGCGCCGCCAACGCGATATGTTTGCGAAGGTCCCCAAGCGCTCTTATTCGAACCTCAATCGCACGCGGTCAGGACTGCTCTCGCAGCTGCTCAACCCGGATCCTACCATCTTCCCTCCAAATCATTCCTATCGTACGAGCCATTCTACGCAAGACATGACGCAATTCGCGCGGCAAAGTGGCCACGCGCCATCTCCGTTACCGACAAGCAAAAGCTCCGCTGCCGTACCCGTCGCTGCACAGATCACCGCTCAGGTGCCAGCACGAGATAGGAGTGCCGGCGACAATGGTGCATACCGGCTCAAGGGCCGACCACAAGGCGAAGAAATGGAGGAGGATAGCGACAGCGGGGAAGAGAATCCGGACAACGCGATTCAATTATCCCGGAGTCTGGCGCAGCAGAAGCTGGCTGCGTTAACAGACCCCAACCGTCGGCGCAACTCTGATCACGCCGTGCCGACCCAGCCTGCGGTACGCCCGGCAATTCCCTCTGTTGCGACAGCGCCCATCCCTCTCGGCCACCCTTACAATCTGCCAGCTCCACCTCCGCCAATGACTCCACGTACCATTCGTCGGCAGATGCTCGCCACGGAGCTGTCGGAAAGTCTTAGGCGAAATTTGTTGTGGGAACGACAGGTTAGCAAGATCAATCTAACGAACCGTGCGCGTCGCGGTGGCTATCTGGGCGACGGCTTGCGTCCCCTCACAGCTGTGCGTGCCGAGATATCGAATGGGAGTACGAGCAAGAATGCTGGCCGCGGCGGGAACGAGGGCGTCGAGGAGCGGAGTCGTCACACCATGACCCGCAATCGTAGTTATGCGGCAGATGACTATCACTACGCAGGGTGGTAGTCCTGGTATGTTTCTTTTCTCGGTTGTATAATATTGTTGACATATGTCGGTTTCTCTCGTGCTGCTCTCGTTTTCCTTCCCTGCTCGACTGCCACATCCTCATCCGCATCCATCCTCGCCCTCACAGATTGATTTCCGTGCATTCAGACGGGGTATTGCAGGTTCTGTACCCCGCGTGCACTCCTGTTCCGCCTCTCCCCCATGTCATCGTCGCATCCCGCATCCTGTCGTCCACCTCCGTCTGCCTATCTCCTGCTTTACAACCATCATCATATTGCTCGCCGAACATTCGTTTGTAGTGTTATAATGTGTACTTGTACTATTAGTGATTGACTGTCTAGTATATAGTCTACTCGTGCCACTGCCTCCAGGGGGGTTCTTCGAATTCGTGAGAGACATCGGACAACTAGTCGAGATACGCGACGTTCACGAAAGGTGCGCAGGATCTGAAACATTGAAGTCCACAGCTTTAAGTGAAGCACGGCCCGTTCGAAGGACGAACTCGTATTCACCGTGTGCCGAGCTTGATGGGCCAAATATTCGGGAAGCGTCGAGTAGAAACACGTCCACAAAAGGCAAGCATTCTGGTTCGAAATTGCCGGTCACAAAATTCACAACTCAACTGGCTTTTGCGACGACCTGGACGATGCGCACCTACCATACAGCCTCTGGGCGCTGGTCTTGTTGAATTCCCCTTCTTTGGCTTTGTTCATAACCTATCGGTTCCCAGCCTGAGGCTGAAAGACACGTCAAGTCCGACAAAATCTTGTCTTGCGGTACGAGGTGGACCATATTTATCATTGATTTATCTGGAAATAGTCCGTCTTGTCCCCCCTACAGCAGACTTCCGGCATGCTGCGTGCTCGGACACTTCGCTATCCCGTGGCAAGCGACTTTCCTCGACCATCTGGCTTGTCTGAGAGGCCTGCACACTCCGCAACGCGCATCATTCTACGCAGACCCAGACGCATACGAGGGTACTGTCAGATATGTTCCTGGGTGGTCGTTCTCCTCATTCTTCTGGGCTCTGGATTCTGGCTGCGGCTCGTTTTCATTAATCACGCAGAAATTCTCCGCGTCCTCCGACGGGAGCCGTCTGCCAATAACACTACTAGTAGCGCGTCTTACGAATATACACTCGGCGAAACATGGCATGGGCAAAATCTCACAAAGCCGTTCAGGGCACCGTTGGTGGATCGATCTGTCATCCAGAAACTAGCTTTACTTCATATTGAAGATCAAGACGAAGACGAAGACGAGCAGCCCGAGGTCCTGCTCATAGGTCCATCACCAAGGCCTCGCTGGCCACCGACTGTAACTGCCCTGCCGGAGTCAAGACCGACTGGAGGAATCGCGGCGTCTCGTCCGCCGTCGGGCACACGCGCAGGCCAGTCGACGGAAGAGGTTGACTCCCAGTTCTGCACCCACGGGCCCTGCCGGCTACTCATGCCCCTCGCTCTCAGTGCGCGCGAACCGAAATTGCAGGCGCACCTCACACAGCTGCTCCAACTCGCGCGTGCCCTGAATCGCACCCTCGTCCTTCCGAATGTGGGCCGGGGGCGCGCAGGGGCGTGCCTACGCTGGGAATTCAGCGTGTACTTCGACATCGCAAGTATGGTGCGTGCGGGAGGGACATCGGTGATGCTGCTGGACGACTTCAGGACGTGGGTGGATGTCCGTCCGCGGGTGCCTGCAGCGCAGTTCGTCTCGATCGACGCGGACGAGCCCGATCTTGGCCTGGGGTTAGAGCCTATGCCCGAGAACGCCATCTTCACCATTGGCGATCGTGTTCGGGTAGACGTGGACGATGCACTGGATCTGGACGACGTGCTTCTGCGAAGCGCTCGCTGCCTGAAGCCCAAATTCCGGAGGCTGAACCTGGAGACATTCTCTCCGCTGTCGGTGCACCTGGCACCATTTGCGGGGCGGCTTTCGGAGGGCGGTGATGTGTCTGCGGGTCTGGTGGAAGCTCTCAGCCGGAAAGATGTCAAGCTCGCAGCTTTGGAACCTAGCCTTGATCCCTTCGGAGAGCTCAACTCGTTCTCAGATCCAGACGATGCTCCGCCGCAGCCCGATCCCGGACGCATCATGGATCCCGAAGTCCTGCTCGTCAATTGGGACATGCAACTCCTTCCTTTCTCCACTGCTCCTCTTCAGTATTCGAGGAAACTGTGGGCACTGGCAGACAAGCTGGCAACCCCACTAGGTCCGTACCTTGCCGTTCATTGGCGCATGGAAAAAGTCTCGCCTGAGGTGCTGCCTGCTTGCGCGGAAGCACTTGTCGACACGCTCGACATGCTCCTGCGCGATGAGAGCCTCGCCGGCGGGGTGGAAGCTGTGTGGTTCACGTCGGACTATCCGTATCCCGTTTCGTGGTCGAGCTCGAGGGAGCAATCTTCGCCCGAGCCCACAGGGAAGGCACGGTCGCTGAGGACTCTGAAACGAGAACATAAAGAGGCAATTGACATCGTGCGGACTGCTTTTGAACCAGGCGGAGACCTGAACGAATGGAGGATCACCGGCTTGGTCGAGGAATTGGCGCATATGCGGGTGAGTGCAGCCGTAGACGACGGTATACCGCTTGATCTCGGAGGTGGGGATGATGAGATAGCACTACTCGAGGATCAGGGTCTGCTGGATATCTTGGAGAAAATGGTGGCTATGAAAGCCACGCTGTTCGTGAGTAGCGCGAAAGGGTGTGGCCGAGTCGCGTATGTTCTTTGCTCACGCACTCTGAATGAATGTAGCTGAGACTAACTGAAATTTCTGCAGCGCCTCCGCGAAACAGATTGTGGACTTTAGAACACATACACGGGCGGGAGACATACCGAACAATGTGGTAACGCTCTTCGGATGAGTGGGAGTATTGGTGTCAGACTGTTATTGTGTCAAAATGCAGTGCGACAATAAACCGAGAAAGCAGATAAACATAGCCTAAGCGAGGCATGGAGTGCTCATACTACAATTTTGCGATAGACGGGACGTAACCATACACATATAAGCCCGACCCGCTGCTGCACGCCCTGCGCCGATGGTGACTGAAGAGGATGCGCACAAATCTACTCCCGAGGTGCCCCCCGGCCGACACCAGCAAACTGTGGCCGGAACTCGCCAGTCGGACCACCCTCTTTCTTCCGGTAGTCGTCCCGGTCACCGCGCGGGGCACGGTACGCACCTTCCCCACCGGAGCGTATACCCGCGGGGCGCGCTGGACGAACTGCCTTCTTGTGCGTTGCGGGGACGATCTCATTCGGCAGATTGAGCCTGAGAGCACCAGCGTAGTGCACGTTAGTATGATGTCAACAGCCTCTGCAGAATGAAAGCACACCATTGACGGAGGTAGTCGACGCCCTCGCCGGTAAGAACGTAGTAGTACCACTGCCAGCAGAACTGGGTCTTCACCAGTCCCTTGGACGTCAAGCTCTGCAGGGCCTTGATGACTTCGAGGTTAGGCACATCGAGCTCTTCATGCTTGGGGGCGTTGTAGTCCTTCTTGGCGACCAAAACGCCCTCTAAATCACCGGGCACGTCAGCTGCCCGGACGTTTATACCATGGGACAAGGATGCCAACCTTTGAAGAGAGCTTCGTAGATGATGCGCCTGTGGGCCTTGGAAATAATCATGCTGGGCGAGTTCGGTTAAGGGCGGAAGCTGCCGACACGATTCCAGTCATCTATCCGGGGCAGTATTGACAAAATACTCACTGCGATGGGCCTCGCACTTGTTCCGGCTGCAATACGATGACCGTCAGCTTCCCATCCACAATCCACAAGTAGCGTCATCCAAGATTGCCATCGTCCATCCAACCTTCCTGACCACTCAGAGTCCAACGCCAAATTTCCTGGACATAGAATCAAGGGTCAAGAATCGATCTGAGACACTCACGATAATTGAAGGGGCGTCGGGGCCTTGGGATATGTAAGTCTTGAATGTACGACGGACAGCGAGGTGGATCTCGGTTGTTCCCGAAGCGGCAGGACTGCAAAGAGGACCCCAAATTGGGGTGCCATGCGCATCGGACTTGACGCCACTGTCGCGCTCTCGCATTCTGCTCACCGTTGCACTCGGACTGATTCCTTAGCTAAAGGTTTTGCGTGTCATCGGTTACATGATTCTGAATACACCCATACCAACACCCATTTCACAGGATAACTGTAACAATTCTCACCACCTCACGCGTACTCCGAGTTAGGGAGAGATTTATAACCAGTGAAGCCCGATGTTCTGAGACCATCATTGGAGCACCGCTCCTGAAGACATCAGAAAGTGCTCCAGTGATTCGTGCATTTTTCTCCTGGTTGACGCAAAGATCACAGGAAGAGCGCGCGCCTCCCTTTTGCCGTGTCTCTGCGTGATCAAGTGCTTCTGGAGAGTCGCAAAAATGCTCTAACAACTTTGTAGACCTGGTTATTGCACAGGAACGTCGCTCGGGACCGATGGATTTTTACTGGGATCGTTCGCATGGCGCTGATCGTTGTCATCGTTGGCGGTGGCCTACGCGAGCTACATAGCACTACATAGGTATTGTCCTTTTTCCAGATGCTCAAGCTGGCTGCCAAGTATCGGAGCGAATATTGTCCTTGCAGTCTACAAAAAGATTAAACACACAATGCAGTAGCGATGAGAATACTGACCTTGCTTGTGAATGTGCCAATGAGTTTTTTGACATTCCTGCAGAACATTTCAATTGAAATATGCGTCATCTACAATCAAAACAACTCACTTTTGAACAATATGATACTAGTCTGCACCCTCCGCATGTCAATATACCTTCATTCGGGCAACATCGATTCTTCTCGACCTCAACATTGGCGCAGGGTAATTTCTAGAGGGGTGGAAACGGCGGTGTTAGCTCTTCGAGTGACTCAAGTAAACGGTCGCGAACCTGAGCCTCGGTAGAGGCACCGAGATCATGAAGTGGTTGGTTGGCCTTTGGAGCGTTCAGCAGATTCCATAGTTCCTGAGCATAATCCCTTGGAGGTGACAATCTACGAAGACTCGCACTTTGGCTTGTTAAGTCACGGTTATCGGCCTGAAACGCGGCTCTCCTCTTCTCAGCAGTCAGAAGGCGGCAGAGAATATCAATGGCTTCATCCATGGTTTGAAGGTGAGCTGAGAAGTAAATGGAATATCAACACCAGCCGCTTGCGTCGAGTGTATTGGAGATCGGCGTGGATAACGAGATTGGGGGAATCGGTATTTTCGAGTCGGAACTACGGTTTTAAAAGTGTTCGAGCTTGATTCAAACTATCTCAACCTGCGTAAGCATTGTTCAATTTCGTCGGTGAGTGGCTCACGTTGCCTCGTAGTAGTGCTGTAGTGTGGGCGATTGCGTGTGTACCAGGTGAATGAACGTTTATATACCTGGAAGAGTAAGGTGGACGCACGGACACCGCGAGGCTTCCAAACCTTGAGCTTATTTGACGGCCGCACTGGAGACCGTATTGAGCTATGAGTGGAAACTTGAGGAATGAGGCATTAATGAGGTCTGTCATGCAACGTGAGCCACCAGTACATTGACGGAAAACATTTTCTAGGATGCGGGAAACAGACCCTGTAGAGTATCCTGCTGCATTTGTGAGGGACGAAATTGTTACCCAAGCGCTCACCACAACTGACAGGTTGCAACGGCGTTACGTCCCGCGTACTTGCCGTTGCGAGCGCTCATCGATGCATCCCCGTCACGTATGTTATTGTGAAGTGTAGATCTGTGAGTGTGGGATACTCCTTGATTGAATCTGCTGCATCTCCCTTCCTGGACGTGACAATGTGAGCTGCAGTTGGACGCCACAGAGACACTCGCCAGTGGTAATTTCCGTCGAGAATCTGATTCCTGCTTGTCTCCTATCAGCGCACTTCCAAACGAGGGGGCATGCAGTGCCACAAACGCGAGACTTCAGTACTTCAGTTCGACTTTCGTGTTCAAACTCAGGTTTACAGGACCTCGTAGACCCCCGAACTACGTCCCAGCCTCTATGCGAAAGGCCGATCGTACTCCGTAGTACCGGAGCCAGGAATCAAGCCTAGAGACGTTCGCCGGGGACTGATGATAGAGAAGTGAATGGATCGAAAACCAAAGGATAATCGACATACGTCGTGAACGACCGGAACATCTCTTCTAGCCTGCAGCGCACCTTTTATACTGGACAGGAAGAACCAAAAGCAATCAAGCCGAATTGTACGGCTAGCGACTGACAATAGCGCGAATGTAGGTGGAGAGGACGGTGATCTGGGCCTTCTACCTTGGTATCGTGCCATGGTGGGCGACCAAGGGGTCACTGCACCGAGCGTGACGTGCAGGTCGCCTTACACAGAGGCTCCGGTTTCATATTATATGGCTAACGTATGGTGGAGATCTATATAGTGATACTGGGCAACTTATATGGGTCTCTGGATTAGAGAGCAAGAATGCAATTATACGCATGTCAGAAGGAAAACGTCGGAGATCCACTGGCAGGACGACGGTCAGTCAGGCAGCGTAGCACGCCATGCTCACTCGACATATACGCGCGCTGGTAGTGTAGCATAACAATTTGACCCATAACTTCTCTGTAGAGTAATGCTGCGCATGAAGTAAAAGAGCACTCACAAGCAAACAGAGATACCGGTACGATCATAACATCGAGGTTGGAGTGAATCTGTAACGAATGGCTGTAAACGCGCCCCGCATTTCTGAGAGACAGTAACACACAGCGGTCAATTAATCGCCATCCTGGTAGGGGCACGTGAGGAGGAAAGCTCCACGCAGCCGCTGACTTCAAGTCAGATCTTGGTAGCTTGTCTCTCATTTCTGTAAGATGGAGTCACGTAGAACAACGAATACAGAAGATGACGAAGGACTGCGTGCTGGCTGGTGCGTCCTGGTAAACCTGCGGCAGCGTGGGGAAATGTCTTCTGCGAGCACGCACTCAAATATGCGACTATGGCGAGTGCCTCCAACGTCCGTTTTGAGCGGCTGTCGTTCGTAAAGGCGCAGTTTTCCGCGCGCTCGGGCATGCTCGAGGGAGCGGGGAATGTATGCGACTTGCGGACGGGAAAGTACGAGCGGCTCTGAAGATCCCGCAACGTAGAGGCTGGGAAGGATCGTTAAAGTGCAGCGTGTCTCGACGAATATGCCCGTCTGTTCTGTATCCAGTCCTAACTGTAAGGTCAATGTCGCAGATCTACGGGGGCGGGCTCGCGACTTCGGCTGCTGCAACACTTGACGTATAGTGGGTGCTCCCTCATTTTTGAGAGCATGATTACTCTCTGATCAGTCCCAGCATCCGGTATGTTTTACTTGTCATGGATGTTGGATTGACTTTGGATGCCCTAGTGACCTCCTCTAGGGAATGTCAAATCTCGGAGTACAAGCGGTCTAAATCAATTACGTTTCGGCAAGTTCTCCCTACACTTCTCCCCAGTATTCCATGACATGCAGCAGCGGCTGCCCATATCGACTCGTTGGTCTCATTTTTAAGCGCGAGCGCTAAGTGGCATTGGCAGAGCTGTAGTTCAATCACACTGTTTGCGGGAGTCGTTGCTTTATGGCTATCCAGACCGGTTTGAAAGATGAGCATACAATGTGGATGAAACGAACCGCTCCTGTCCACCGTTATCTTTATTCCCGTGGATCTAAGCAGAATAAACTGTTCGCCCTTGGGATCCCCCAATATGTTCCTTGTTGCATTTTCACCTCCACCTCTGGGTAAAGTCGGGCTTGTCAATCCTGGGCATACCGGAATGTGTAGGTTAGTGCCAGTAGCTATTACTTTTACCCCATGGATACTTTGCTCATGCTGTATTTGTCAGAATTATCCATTGGACCATCTACAGTGACGGACTTCTCTCTCGAGATGGAAAGTGTAAAACATTTGATGCAAAAGCAGATGAGTGTGGAGATGGTGACATATTAGAAATTTCTTTCTGACTCTATGTCAGATTCGGGACAGAAGCATGTGTAACCGTGGTAGTCAAGCCAGTCAAAGATGCTCAGCCTGAGGCCTGATAATGATCGCATATATGCTGTGGTATTATCGGTTGAATTGAACCCAGTGCCTAGATACTGATCCCTTCTAGATCTTGGAAACATCCATCAACAGTTCAGCGGGGGCTCCGCCTGGCACCCCAGTTGCAGAAGACACCATGCTACAAGCTATTAGCCGAGCACATTGAAGGCTGCAGGATGTTGATTTCTCGGAACTTCATGCTACCGGTATGGCTCTGTCAATGTAGTTCAACCTCTATGCAAAGCTAACACAATCAATATGGACTGCTACAGCAAGCAATTCCAATGAGGGGACAAATTCGAAGCTGTTTCAAATCGACTATTAACATGCAATTAAGGCATTCCGAAATCGTTGCCTTTTAACTTCCTTGTCAAAAGTACTCCCAATTTTCGAGCACAAGGTCACTCCCCCAACATGAATCCGGCTGAGCGCAACCCTGCTATAAAATAGGGGGAATACATTCTTCGAGTACGCATCGATCCCATTGCGCTCCCATACCGTTCTGGCGAAACGTCCTTGGTCGCCGTGATCTCTTCAGGAATAGGCGGCTCAAATGGACAAGTGGTTTTGGAGAGTCCTTCAAGGATTACTGCACACTAAGGACAGGTCGAGCTCAAGTTGGCCCCTGCTCTTTATCGCTTGCAGTCTGTTATTGCGAGTGTGTTCCTCTATGCCAGACCTTGTCAGAAATTACGTGGTCGATGGTCTTGACAAGTTGCCCGGGGTGTCCGCCGTCCTAGGATGCCGAGCAAGACGGAAGACATGGAGATCATACGCTGTGGTTGAACCATCGTCATCGGCACCCACCACGTTCTCATCCCCCCAGCACTGTCCTTGTCAGGCTCGCCCAGTTGTCATGGTCTTTTTCCGGACACGGACCACATAAAGGTATGTGTTGAATATGCATGGTCAACATGTTCTTTCTGAGCCGAAGTCATAGTGGGACAAGAGCGGTTCAAACATATCCGGTATTCCGTCAAAGCGTGTTGGAGACGGACGAAGTGTTCAGGAAGAATACCGATAAATCTACAGTACTTAGGCTTGCGAACTTTCATTCAGAGTTTCAGATGACACGGGAGGTGGGTGAAAGAAATATTGGCGGTGTGTCGGTTACTTGCCAATGGTTTGTAGGTTGGAGCACACATTTATGTAGTCTAGAATATCTATTCGTCGAAGATGACGTTCTATAGCGATTCTGTGATGCCTGGAATTCAACGAGGGAAGTGCCGCCTCCTCGCGGCAGAGACCTTGCTTGCGAAATTTGCCACCGCATAGATTCGAACTTGAGACGTTGCAAGCCGAGTCGGGCCTTGTCGTGCAAGATTCAGATGCACGGAAGGAATCGGGGAGTCGACAGGCGCGACAATTACAGCGTGTTGCATAATTGCGTGAAACTTGGGATTTTTGTGCGCTATTTGTCTTGCGCAAACAAAGCCATAAGGGGAAGGTCGGGGTTGCATCAGGCAGTACACCCAAAATTCTACCACTTACATCTTGGTTTACAGGACCCCATTTAAGAGAAGGAAAGCATATAGAAGCACTTTGGAACACGTATCCAGTGCATTGGAAAACTTTGTAAGCCACCAAGTGGCACGAATGACGAATGCAGGGCAGAGTGTCGGAAGCCGTGATTTGTTGGCATCCACCCGACCTACCGGATATGGGTTTGTTTGCCCCGGCCAAATAAGCCAGAGAAATCCCGGGGTTTCACGCAATTATGCAACGCGCTGTATATTCGTCTCCACATTCCATCCGTGACAAGTGTGACCAAGGCACACGTGCTGAGACGCGCTCTGCAGCGTCCGACAACACAAGTTCTTCATGTCTCGTATTCCTCACACGCCATCCTCATCTTCCCGTTCGCCTTCCAAGCCGCCTCCAGCGGCGAGGACGCGCGTAAATCCACCACCCAGCCCAACCCCCACACCCAGACTTCGTGCGACGAGTCTGAAGAGCCGTAAACCACCTAAATCCCCTTTGAAACGTGCACCACCTCTTCCAGACGACCCTCCAACGCCCAAAGTACAGCTCAGTATCAGGGAGCAAATTGCCCTCAAGCGTGCGGAAGTGAAGAAAACTATGGTTCAAGGAAATACCCAGGCCACAAACGAGGGCTTTGAGGGCCTCGAAGACGCGATTCCTGTGACTCAGGAAAAGCAGGACGACGATGTGATTGATCTTGGAAGATGGTCCATCAAGGAGACTATTGAGCGAGCGCGAAGTAGCGGTAAGTTCATTTCTCGTTGATACAGGACATGTCAGGGAGCCGCCACGGTCGCCGCCGATGTAAGAATGATCGATGTGTACAGACAGACGCGCACTTCTCAAGCGTTTGGACGAAGTATCTCTTACAGTCTCCATTCTTAACACGGATGTTTGCGAGCGTATAGCATGCATGCCCATCTGTGCCATTTATCGTGAAGTAGTACTTACCACGGTGTCTCAGGACACTTCGTGCATGTTGCAATGACAATGTCCCAAGATGTTGTGGATACTTTGTTGGCATGACATTGTATGCACTTTGAGTCCAAAGGGACTAGAGTCTGTCGGCTGACAGACTGTACAGACTCTCTGGCATGTCCACACGTTTATTATTGCTCTGCTAGCCAATCCATGATACCTATCGTTCAAGGTCTTTTCCCAAGGCTCTATCAACCTTGCTTCTCGCGCACTTCCCTGCATACCTTCGGCTCTCTTCGAGGTCCACCTTGGAATCACCCCAGAACCTCTAAAGTCTGTCCCCAACGAGCTCCCGATAACCACTTCAACTTCGAATGAAACCTCTGTAATGCTTCGTAAAGGCAATCAGAATGCACCATCATGGTACGAAGCACAGGATCTTAAAGTTCTTAAAGCTTGGTCAAATGAAATTGTCGAGATTCAGCCTGAAATATTCATGTTCGGTTCACTCAAGACTGTCGACGTACGTCGCTCTTCCCATGCGTCTTGCCTGAGAAATGCTCACCTTCGCCATAACAGTTGCACAACAACAAACTCACAGCATTGCCAGAGACCTTTCCAGATCTGACAGCGCTGACAATTCTCGATCTCTCTCATAACGCCCTTCAATCTCTTCCCGTCAACCTATTTGCACTTCCAAACCTCACAACACTCAATATATCCCACAACAGCCTCACATCCTTGCCCTTTCGCTCCCCCTTTGCTGCTTCAGGTGCAAACCCCCTTGCGCGTACCAGAGATCCTCGTGGTGGCTGGTTCGGACAGAGCATCACCCGCGCAACGAGTCCCTTACCTCGGCTAATCTCTTTGGACGCGTCATACAACTATATCACTGCGCGTGCCATCGACCATGGTGCTGACAGCCTTCCAGTGACACTGTCTAAGCTAGACCTCTCTGGCAACCCACTTGGCGCATCTCTATTGCTCATACGTGCTCTTGCTCGCCTTGGGCGTTTGCGCGAGCTTCGATTTCAGCACGCAGACATAGCGGATGATTCCTTTCCTCCAGACCTATTCTCCGCACTTGCAACTACCTCTCCATTTCTTGCTCTGAAATTGCTTGACCTAGAAGAGAGCCACGTTACACGTCCTGGAATTGAGGCGGCGTTTGTGCGCCCGATCGTCAAACAGGAATTGGAATTCGAGACGACCAATGAAGAACCGCCCGAAGGCGTACTTCGCGTCATTGTGGGGAAGAAGGTTATCAAGGAGGCATGGGAGGTTGAGGCTGAGCGCAGGGCCAAGCTGAGAACTCTCCGACAAGCAGGCGGCGTCATTGAAGAAGGTCTGGGCATCGGACGATCGGTCTATGCAAGGTCTGTACAGGCAGCCGCCAATGCAAATGAAGTAGCGAAGGATGCCTGGGAGTTGGAGGCAGATCAAGGACTGTTGACAGAGGGTGCCCGCAGGCGCGCCCGTGCTGCTGCTACTCAGGCTTCGTCTTCGTCTACGGTGCCAGTTCCAGCTGCGCCTCGGAACCCTCAGAAAAAGCCTGTAGTGGAGAAGGAGTCTTGGGAGATTGAAGCTGAGCAAGGTATGTTGACTGCTGGAGCTCAGAGGCGCGCGAGGGCTGCTGCAGCACTCTCAATCTCCAAGCTAGCAAATCCAGCACAGAGTGCGAGCACCACAATTTCTGCGGCGGGTCCGGCTACATTCCCAAGTCCTACTAGTGTGGCATCCGTGCTGAGCAACCCTCAATTCTACCATGCGGTGACGCAAACCCTCACTCTTCCGCCGTCCGCTCCCCCTTCCAAAGCCCCTCATGCACGGTCTATCTCCCTAGCCTCTCCCTCATGGGCCACATCCAAGGCGTCTTCCGGGTCCGCATCTGAATTGGCGCTCGCCATTCCAACGCCCACGCTTCCCCTTACGGTTATCGTCACACAACCTTTTGCACAGACGCTCAAGGTTCTCGTTCTCACGAACCGGCGCAAGGACACTTCATTTAGCCTACCCAGCGCCGAGGGTGCATCTCTACCGCGTCTAGAGGAGCTCATCTTAGAAGGGTGCAATCTTTCGGATTCCGTATCTGTAATGCACCCGAGCTCAGTGGTAGAAGGCGGAGACAGATTCTCCGCTCCTCGTGTGAGCGAGCCCCTCGTGCCCCTCATCACGAAGCTCTTCCCAAGTCTACGGACCCTTGACCTCTCGTACAACACAATCTCTTCGTCTGCGTTGGGCAGAGATGCATTATCCTCCTTGATCCTGGCCAGCGAAGCTGCACCCGACGGCCCCCGTAAGGGCCTTAGACATTGCCGGCTGCGTGGGAACCGTATCACGGAGTTGGATGGCTTCCAAGGAATCGCCGAGCTTTTCGGTCGAAATCGAGACGTGCCCGAGTGGAAGCTTGAGGAGCTCGACTTGCGGGACAATGAAATCAGCAAGCTCCCGCCGGAGCTGGGATTGTTGCCGTTGGACGTGTTCTTGGTAGACGGGAACGTGTACGTGATCTTCACTTATCTTTCTTCCATTCTGATAATTGAACGTCTATGCATGCAACAGTTTTCGCGTTCCTGCGAGACGAGTGTGGGAAAGGGAAGGTACGAAGGGCCTGTTGAGCTGGTTGAGGGGGAGAATCGAGTGAATGATAGGAATGGAGGACCTGTTCCGAAGTTACGCACTGCCTACCACCGAACGATCCAGTCTTAGTCTAGAGCTCAATACAATTTGTTGACCATATCGAGATCAAAGTTGCACTACATTGTATTGCAAGGCACGATCGATGGCATTATTACTGGGTCTCAGCCTCGGCAGGTTCCTCTTCCGTGTCCGCATTTGCATGCGACGCCTGTTCCAGCCACATGCTTTGATAGACCCCGCCTGCTCGCAACAACTCTTCGTGAGTGCCTTGCTCGACGATTGCACCGTCTCTCAACACGAATATGATGTCTGCTGATCGGTCAGAGATAATTTATTCCCCAGGATTGCGTGGTGCCTACCTGCTTCAACAACTGTGCGCAGCCGATGAGCGATGAATATACTAGTACGGGCTTTGTCTCGTAACAAAGAATTGATGTTGCGCATCAGCTCTGCTTCTGTATGTGCATCCAGGGCAGACGTCTGGAATACCATCAATATCCCAAAGGTGCGTGACGCAAACATGCGCAAAAACTCACCGCCTCGTCGAAGAACAGAATCTGAGGATCCTTCAGCAATACACGAGCCACCGCCAGTCGTTGTTTCTCCCCTCCGGAGATCATGAGCCCACGCTCACCCACCTTCGTCTTGTACCTCTCTGGCAGTCGCATAATCGCGTCATGCGCGTTCGCCTTCTTCGCTGCAGCAAAAACCTCCTCATCCGATGCATCCAGGCGGCCATACCTCACATTCTGCAGGATATTTGAGTGGAAGAGCGGGGTCTCTTGCGGAACAACGCCGATCGCGCCGCGGAGCGAGGTCAGCTGCACATCGGAGATATCCTGGTCGTCGATGAGGATGCGCCCAGAGGCGGGGTCGTAGAAGCGGAATAGCAGCCGGAAAATCGTAGACTTCCCGCACCCGGACGGCCCAACAAACGCCACCTTTTTACCCGCAGGGATCGTGAATGAGAGGTTGCGGAAGATCGCCCGCTCGGGGTGGTACGCGAATGCCACATTCTCAAACCTGATGGCACCGCCACGCATGGCCAACGGCTTTGCGTTCGGGTTGTCCTGTAAATCGGTGAGCGTGCAAACCCGTATGAAAAGGACGGTAAGATGTACCTTGGGTGGCTGGTTTTGTGTTTGCAGATTGAATAGTACCTCCATGTCCAGGAGGCTCTGCCGCATCTCTCTGTAGATGCTTCCCAGGAAGTTCAGTGGCAGAGAAAGCTGGAACACCAGCTGGTTCACCATCACCAGATCACCGACGGTCATCGTACCTGCAGCCTCGCAGGAACGTCAGCTGATGCTATCTATGAGCTGACGCAGACTGACCATTGACCACTCCTTGCGCGGCGAGGAACATCATCGTGGTCAGTGCGGTAGAAAATATGACGTTCTGGCCCGAATTCAGAAGTGCAAGTGACGTCGCAATCTTGATCGATGATTTCTCATACGTCGACAGGTGTTTATCGTACTCTGCAACTTCATATTTTTCGTTGTTGAAGTGCTGTCCCGGGATTGGAAACCGGTACTGATACTCTGAGGCAGACCAAGAACTCACCTTGACTGCCTCGTAATTGATCAATGAATCGACTGCCACCGTCGCAGCCTTATTATCTGCAGCATTTGCTTCTCGACGGAACCTCGTACTGTGACTCCGTTAGACAACTTCACCTTTGACACAAAACCATACTGACCGCCAAGATGTGGTCCGCACCGTGAACCAGGTGTAGGCCGCCATCGTTGCAAAGGTGATCGCTGCAAAGTCCCAGCCGAATTTGTATGTCTGTTGCAATGTGAGACCTACCCTGCGATGGTTGCGTAAAATTTAACGTACCAAGATGCCACACACTAGAGAGATTTCCAGTGCTGTGGGCACGATACGGAATATGACTGCTGACATGATAAATGTGATTCCCCTGTCGATGTTGTAAGCGGTGACGCGCAAGTCCTAGCGGAAAATCGTACTTCGTGCCACGATCAATAGCCCTTGTGAGACCTCCCGTATGCCGGGATAGATGAAACTTAAGGTCGAGATTTAGCAGGTGTTCAAATGTCTCCCTTGCAACCTTGCGGACGGCGCGCTGCCCGACTCTAGCAAAGACCGCGTTCAACATCTCCCCGAAAAGTGTCGAGCCGACACGTGCTGCGCCATCTGTGGTCTCGTCAAAGTGTCATGTTTAATTCTGGACAAGTCAAAACACAGAGTACGTACAGCCCAGTATGAGTGACCCTGCGACTATCCAAACCGTGCTCCCGGCGGTAATCTCAACATTCAGTGCGTCAATAACGTGCTTGAATATCAGCGGGACTTGCACATTCAGCAGCTGCGTGATCGGTTGAGTGTCTGGTTTGATAGAACGCAGCGGATGTTCACACACCTTCCCAGATATAAGTAGCGCAAATCCAAACAACACTCGGCCTCGAGTGCCCCAATCATTCTTTGGCCAGATATTTTCCGCTAGGCGCTTCACGATCTGCCAATCCTTCCTGCGCTGTTCCGACTGAGTCAAGTGCACTGGATCATGTCCTAAATCCGCCGGACTCTTCGCAACTGCTTTCGGCGGTACGCTACGGTGTTTCGCCGGCTGGTGCGCAAGGTTCTGTGTAAGACGCGCCTGGAGGTTCGGGAATGCAGATCGCGAGGAGAACTTCGGGATGGATCTGTGAACGGCTGATATCTGGCAAGGCCTCGCAAGCAATCGCAATGGGGGTATGCGGACATGCATGTCCCAGGACTGGAAACAGATGTTGAGCAGAGAAGGTAGCTACGGTCTCATGAGATACCGTTGGCCTACGACCGCGCACTTGGTTGTAATGTGTCTTGGAGCGGTAGTGCAGGCAGTCACCGTATGGATGACTCGCCGAGGGCGGGAGTATGATGAGAGATTGCGCGAGCCACTGTTATCTTATCTCATAAGCCGTCCGATCCGAGATCAATTTGTGTTGCCTCACTCAATTGCCGCTGACCTCGAACTTGGTAGAACGGGATTGAACTTGGTAGAATGGGATTGAACTTGGTAGAACGGGATTGAACTTGGTAGAACGGGATTGAACTTGGTAGAACGGGATTGAACTTGGTAGAACGGGATTGAACTTGGTAGAACGGGATTGAACTTGGTAGAACGGGATTGAACTTGGTAGAACGGGATTGAACTTGGTAGAACGGGATTGAACTTGGTAGAACGGGATTGAACTTGGTAGAACGGGATTGAACTTGGTAGAACGGGATTGAACTTGGTAGAACGGGATTGAACTTGGTAGAACGGGATTGAACTTGGTAGAACGGGATTGAACTTGGTAGAACGGGACGCCGTCCATCATTTCGCTCTGGGAGAAGTGTAAGTAGAGGTTTCAGAATCCGGGAGTTGAAGACACTTGTTGCACTATTCTGGCACCTGCACGCAACTCTGGCTATTCCGATCGATCGCTTGGAGTGAGCCAGCGAACAGAGCACCCCCAGTGACTCCAAAACAGAATCTTATGTACAGTATACTTTTTCGGACAATAAAGTACAGTAGAACGAGCTACATGAATACAGTAGGACCCGACTACGTTAGGATAGAGACCTAAAAGTCGCTCAAACCGCAGGCTGTGCGTCGCTGTCCAGCGGCGGCATCCCAGCCTTGACCATCTGACCCTCGCACCAGTCCCACAGCCGCTTGCCTAAGACTGGATCATACGCCTAGTGCACCCACTTGATTAGCTTATGATAATATTGGGAGGCTGGTTAAATTCACCTCCTTCCGCGCAAGGATCGTCTTGCGCGCCCAAGGGGCAAAGTATGCACCAGAGTCAGCCTTGGTAATATCCGGCGACGTTGCGGCGTACAACTGTGTGAGCATGCCGTATTCAATGGGGTATTTCTTGACGATTGTCTACAGATTATTGACGTATCAATAATCATCCAGAAGCGCGTCGAATGTCATCAAGTATACCTTTAGATCGAAGAACGATGTCTGATGTCTCCACAGTTCCGTCTGTATATTTCCTGGGTTCAGCGATACCGAGATAATGCCTGGTAGTACACAGTGTCAATAGATATGTTGAGATAGGTAGATAACTCCGGGTATAACACATACCAGCATCCGTGTACCGTCGAGCAAGCTCGTTCGAAAAGACAATGTTCCCCATCTTAGACTGGCCATAGATGCCAAATGCTAAGAAGATGGGATACGTGAGGTTCTCGAAGTTGATCCCGCCCTGTGTTGCGCTAAGCGTTATCGCCCTTAAAATTGTCGAAGAGGGAGACTCACCGATGGTGCAAAAGCCGGAGACAGAGAGGAGACATTGACCACACGGACTGTTCCATCGGTGGACGCCTTGGCCGTGCGGAGGAGCACCGGGAGGAGGAATTCTGTCAGAGCGAAGTGTCCAAGAACTAGCCAGTTGAGGTCGTTACATACTTGAAATATGGTCCCAGGGTGCATAACTTACCATTTGTAGCAAATTGTAGTTCAATGCCAGACTCTGTCTCGCTGCCCTTGGGCGGCGTCATAATACCAGCTGAGTTGAGAAGCACATCCAGCTTGTCTTCCTTACTGGAAGAGCGTGGTATTCGGTAGAGGCGCAAAATCTTCGGAAAAATGCTCACCTGAGGAACTCGTCTGCCGCGCGTTTGACGCTCTTCAAGTTGACCAGATCCAAGTGCAAGAAATTCACTTTGCCGGGCTTCATCCCGCGGGGCTGCGCCGCAAGTTCTGAATTCATCTTTTCAACAGCAGTCGTGCCTTTCTGCTGGGAGCGAGCTGCGGCATAGACAGTTGCGCCGTGCTTCGCAAGCTGCAATGCAGAGGCATACCCAATGCCTGTGTTAGCGCCTACGGTAGTACGAGTTTCTCATGTCAGACAGCAAAGGCACTGAGCAACGTATATAAGAGCGCACCCGTAACAAGGACGACCTTGCCGGTAAGGTCGCCTATGCTGTCCGCTGACCACTGGAATAAGGAAGTCAAGGGAGGGAAAGGCGTCGGAGCCTGCGTTCCTCGCTGACCTTGGGCTCGCTGGGGTACAACTCCCTGAGATATTGAATGAGGTTGGGGGGCCAGCACACAGACAAGAAAACGCCGAGAGCGCCCATTTCGAGAAGAGAGGGAAAGTTACTGGTAGAGAACGCAGAGATGAGAGACGATGCTGGCTCCTCTTCGCGTTCCTCGTGACAGCATCTTTTTGAGATAGCAGGAACCTGCTTGTCACACACATGAACATGGTCGGGAGAAGCAAGCTTTTGCAATTTCTGTCAATCAGCAGGAACCATGATGTGCGTAGTTGATATGGAATTGGAGAGGGTTTGATTCTGCAGGATTTCCTTTCTAGGATGCGCACCGGCAAGTCCCGCGGCTGCCGGCACAATTGTAGTACCGAAGCCCCCGATCGTTTTTGTCAACAATTCTCGACAGCTTCCGACTGGTCTGATATGATGGACCGTAGTAGGCCTCCTCTCCGTGATCGGCGAATTCATGCATTCGGCGACGGAGACGGGGATCGCAAGGGGTGCTGCAGCTGATTAGCATGCCAATCTGTCTGCGCCAGACAGTCCTGGTCGTTTACATCGCCCATGGCCATACTCTTAGTCAATGAAACTGCCCGAAATAACGTGCGCGGTCATTTACATTCTACCAGCTCAACATTCTGCACACGTCTGTGGAGAATCCAGTCCCGCCTGCGGTGCTATCATCACTCTGTGTATGACCACCATCACACAGTGATGGGAATCAAACCGCTTAGCAGGCTCACGCAGAATTGCGAAAGCGCTCAAGAACCTGAGATGGACCTGGCGACCCTCATATTGCATAATTAGTGGACATAAACGCCGTGTGCGTCCCCCCGGCGCCGCGTGTCCGAGTCGCGTTCCATTCCACCATGGGTGAAGTTCCTCTCGTGTCTGCTAATCTTGCGACTGTGTCCATCGAGAGTTTCTTCTATGGCATCTTCTTCGTACTCTTCTGTAGCTCCACATATCTCATGGTGCAGCGCCAGCGTCAGCTCAACTCGACAGGCTCCTCTTCGAAGCCTATCTACAAGTCCCCCTTATTTATTGCAGGACTTGCGATGTTCACCTGCGTTACCGCGGTCAGTGGCTGCGCACTTCATTACGTATGAAGATATGAGATCGATTAACATCTACCGTGCAGCACTGGATACTGACAGTCTATCGCTCGTTTCAAGCCTTCATTTATTTTGAAAACGGAACGCTCCCTATTGCATACTATGGGAACCTGGCGAACACGGCTGAAGTAGTTAAGACCGCATTCCTTGTGACTGCTTTACTGATCGGCGACGCAGTAATGGTCAGGCTTTCGCCCTCGCTTTCCATGCTCTGACACCGATGCAATTTCTTATACAGATCTACCGCCTATGGATAGTTTGGAACTACAACAAATACGTGATCATATTTCCGTTGTGCACGTTCCTTGCGAACGTCGGTGAGTTACATTTGGTCACATTCCCATTCTGTTTCTGATATTCCACACTTGGAATGTCTAGCATGTTGTATCGCTGTTGTATATCAATTCACGCAGTATCGTTTCGGGCAAAACGTCTTTGATTCTTCCATGGGTCGTTGGATCACGACGGATTGCGTGTTTACACTGTGGTATGTCACGTACAATTGCGCCAAGAAATGCGATGATTAATCGCATATAATCATGAAGCACAAACCTCTCGGCTTCTTGTGAATCCCTTCATTTTTCTTTACGCAGCGGCACAGATATTGACATCATCTCAGGCTTAATTGCTTGGAGGCTATGGCGTGCGGACCATCTCGTCAAGCGTTACGGCAACGGAAACCTCATGGTGCGATTGATCTACGTATCGCGGTTTCCTCACTATGATTGACGCTTGTGGTAGTGGGTTTTCTCTATCTTCATCGAGAGCGCTGTCCTTTACGTGTATGTTTTTGTGGAATATTTCACTGAATCCCATTTACTGAGAGCATCACAGAGGATGGACGATCTTCTACTTCGCGGTCTACGAATCACGAACAAATCTAGAATTCACCATCATAGACACGTGGGCCCCGGTTTCTGGCATAGCTTTCATGCTCATCAACGTTCGCGTCGGAACAGGCAGGGCAAGAGAGGCGCATGGGTCTGCTAGTACCTTTTCTGCAGGCAAGGTATCAGCACAGCCGCGCGCTGATCCCGTGGGGTCATTCCCCATGACGCCCCTTGCAGTCAATGTCACGCGCGTTGTGAACAGCGATCTGGAGGACGACTTTGTGATGTCGGATAAAAAGTTTGCAGCAATTAGGGGGAGTGCTGATCACCATAGGTCAGACTCACCTGTCTGACCTTTTGGGGAATTGACAAGCCGATATTCACATCTGGAGCACCGTGTACGTCGCATAATTATCGCGCATTGTTTGCAGTGGTGGAGGTGTACTGTATGTACGGTGTAATATTTGTGATTTATCATGATGAATTATTGTAGACTTTGTTGTGCGGGTTCTCCGCTCAGCGGGGTTCCGGTGAGCATGTCCGTTGAACGACGATTGTCAATGATCCCTCAAAGAAATGGGACAGCTCGAGTGAGGCAATATCTCGAGTGTCGTCAGGCTGACGATGTCCGAGGAGGTTGAGGTCACATTTATACAAATGCGCGGCTTTAGAGTGGCAGCGTGCCTTTCTTGGACTTCGCTTGGACGATGCCAGTTGGCGCTCGAGCGCTCCATTATCGATACAGCGTGATCTTCGCCACCCAGAGCTGACGCCCTTCACTGTAGGAAAGTCATCCCTGATGTGTGCAAGCATGCGCGCACATAGGCGCGAGGATTCAATGCCCTCGATTTGGTGCTGCCTGTGCTACCGGAATATTTGCTAACCTCCGGCAACGCGCAAGGTTTGGACAGACGTGGCAGACCACCCTAACGTGTACGTCTACGTATCTTCTTATGGTGCTATAGAACTCGAGGCGGGTGCGCTACTTCCGAAGTGTCCGCACAATACATGTTCTCGGTCCCACAGCATCTTCCGGCCTGCATGCTATTTTGACCAGGCGTAGCCTATGGGCTGCCAGGACTCAGACTTCCCTAGGCCCCCTCAAAGCGAGCATGATAGCAAACTCAATGCCTTATCGCTCGACTTTCTTCCTGTTTCATTTGCGCCTCATTCCCAGCGGCAGGAGCAAAGGTGGGTCAGAACTTTGACAATGCACTTGAAACATGCGCTTATGCAGAAGAGATTACTGGACCCTTTGTCTGGATTGTTCCTCAAGGAACATTAACATTGATCATGATGATTAGGTTCACCAGGCCTGTCTTCAGTGGGAGCCTGGCGAGGCGTCATCGCTGGCAGCTGTATGTCCTAGAATTGAAGCCTAGCTGCGAACACCCGGCGAATGCAGACTCCGGCGCAGTAGCCACGTCCGATGCTCTGGGTGCAGTCCGTAATCGCAAGCTTTGGATTGCATGCGATTGTCCGGAAACCCTCGTAGTTGGTGAAAACTAACCCTTCACGGAAGACAAATATTTCGTGTAGGCTATCGAACAAATTTTATTTTGTGAAGTTACGGTCAATAATGACATCACTTTTCGGGCGCTACAACTCAACTTCCGGCAATAATCCGACTGGTCTTTCCGAGTTTTGCATCGACTACAAGACCGACACCTAGAGGTACTGTATACCTTTTATTTTCGTCAGCGTTATTTTGTTGTTCCGACGGATGTTCCAACAGAGCATCAATATTATGATCATTCCCCCAAAGTCACTACTAATCTGCCTTCGATCTACAGCTCTCAGGACCCATCGATCGCTTATTGTTGGTGACGGAAACGAGCGATCTTCTCAGTTCCGTGCGATGGTCTTCTTGAGCCAAACAGTCGTGACATTGTGCGCTGCATGCGTTCTCCATAATTACGACTTCTCAACGAGTATGGACCTGATGGCACCCTATTTGATATCCTGTACTAGTGCGCTCCCGACAAATCTCGTACTCTGATGATCACTCCTTTCGTCTTCTGAGCATGGGCCGACGTTCGTGACCAATGCGACATCAGAGTTATCCGGAAGGATGCCCGTTTGCGAAACTCTAGTTCTTCCAGATTTATATGTATTTCTATGGCGCCGAGGGAGGGTGCTCCAGTCTTCCCATTCTCGCGATGGGTGCTGCAACCCATTGTACTGAGATTGCCATTGTACGTTGATCCCCTCTGTAGTCGTGGTCAGGTGTCAACTTTGTAGGTAGGTCGGCATAGCAGCGGAGCTTCCAGGTGGTTACAAGAGCGCGAAAAACCTCGACTACAAAGCTTTCTCTGAATTTTTGCTCCAGAAAGGGGAAGCGTATGAGACCATTCCTTTGGAAAGATTCAACATAGAAGGGTGAGCATGTAACTTAATGACGATGCGGTGGTCCATTGACAACCATACAGCCTACGAGGGCAGGGTGTCGGTAAAGTTTTGACGGACACAGGTGCCTTTCTGAAAGATGTCCATTTGTTTGACTATCTCGAGTTTGGTATGACGAGCAGGGATGCCCGACTCATGCCTCTCAGTACTCGCAAGCTCATCGAGCTGGCTTTCCTTAGTCTTCTAGATTCTGGGATCGACTACAGGGGGCACAATGTAGGATGCTACATGGCTGGCGTAGCACACGACATGTTCGCAATCTCCGGCCATGTATGTCTTCGCACTATTCTTGTTTTCCAGATGCCGATGTTCAATGTCAGGATGACTATGAAGCCCGAGGTACTTTTGTCTACGGGCCTGCCATGGTCGCAAACCGCGTGTCGTATCATCTTGACCTTCGCGGGCCGTCAATTCCAATTGACACGGCTTGTAGCTCGAGTCTTTACGCGACACATCTTGCAGTGCAGGCCTTGAGAAATGGTGAATGCGAGGCTGCCGTTGTGGGTGGTTGCCAGATAAACCACAGGCATGTGATCGACCTCCGGCCTACCATTTCATGTATTCTAATTCGTCACGCTAGGTTTGCGGAATGGCTCATATATTCCGAAGGAGGAGTCTTGGCTCCTGATGGGAAATGCAAGCCGTTCGATGCATCCGCCAATGGGTATGTTTCTTCGCCGTACATTATTCAAGCTCACAGGTTGGGGGCCAGATTTGGCCGAGGAGAGGGTGCCGTTTCGATTGTCCTCAAGCCATTGGATGCTGCGCTTCGCGACCACGACAATATATATGGGACAGTACGTCTATGGATCTACTTGGGTTCGTTTAAACGCGCTGACATATGCTAGATTCTTGGAACTGGTGTCAACTCATCCGGTTCTCAAGCACCGGCAAATGCTCCAGTAGCCGCAGCGCAGCAGGATGCGATGCTTCGCGCTTTTGTGCAGGCACAACGGCTACCTCAAGAAGTTGATTTCGTAGAGCTGCATGCAACAGGTGCGGAAGGGATGCTATCTACATTTCTCGTTTAATTATGCTCTTGCTATGAAGGTACTGCTCAGGGTGATCCGGCCGAAGCAAATTGGGTTGGCGCACAGTTCCAAAAAGGTGAAGAGTTGATTATCGGCAGCGTCAAGGGAAACATAGGGTGCGCTCATTTGACAGATGGCGGCTGTCACCTCCAACTCATCACAGGTTCACATCAGACACCTGGAGATTACGGCATTTCTGGCGTCTCTGTGCAAGGTGTGCTCCATGTTCCAGACAAGGCTCATACCGCCCACCGTGAATCTAGACACTCCCAATCCGAGTATCAGATGGGACGAGTACAGGCTTCGCGCACCTACGGAAGTGGAGCTTCTTCCGTGTGGCGGAGCGTCCGGTCGCTCGCTCGTTGCCTTGGCTAGCTCTGGGATCGGAGGCGCTAACGCGCACTGTGTCGTTCAAGGTCCGCCTCTTCAGCGCAGTCACGTTTCTTCGTTCTGGAGCAATGACGACGTTCCCGCACTCTTCATTGCTGGAGGGTTGTCACCGCGCTCGACCACAGCTCTATATGAGGAACTGCAAGAACGTGATATCCTCGAGAACGTCCAGTACCTGTCTCGCATCTATGGCCGAAGATCGCGGTCGATGAACTGGAGATCTTTTGCGGTGGCCCATGATGGACGACTCTCTTCCTTCTCGAAAGCGTTCATGGTTCCCAAATCGACGCCTCCTCTTGTCTTTGTATTCTCCGGTCAAGGACCTCAGCATCTTAATAGTGAGTAGTACATACCTTTCTCCCGCGTCGCAAGGTTGATGGAGTATCACTTCTTTTGTAGTGGGCCGTGAACTCTTCAAGACTTGCAGCGTATTTAGCCAAAGCGTGGCGGAAATGGACGAAATATATCGTAGCGTCCTTGGTCATTCTCTGCTCGAGACCACCGGCCTCTTCGCAGATCACGTTGGGAACCAACCTTTGGGCGACATTTGGCCAATTGCAGTCACGCTTCCTGCCCTCACGATCTTGCAGATAGCTCTGGTCGATGCTCTTGCGAGCCTTGGTATTCGACCGAATGTCGTCATCGGGCATTCCGCAGGAGAGACTGCTGTGTTGTACGCCTCTGGTTCTGGTTCGAAGGCGATGGCTGTTGAGCTCGCGATCGCCAGAGGACGAGCGATGTCACTGCTGGAAGATGCTCATGGCACCATGGCTGCTCTTTCGTGTTCGCCCAGCGAGGCAGCCCAGATCATACAAGCTGTCGCTGCCGAGCTTGGATCTGCCGCTGTCCTGGAGATTGGGTGCTACAACACCCCGAGTGCCGTGACGCTTTCAGGAGCAGAAGACGCCATTGATCTCGCCGTCAAGAAGGCAGAGGCGTTGGGTTTTCTTGCAAGACGATTGCGTACTCGCATCCCTGTGCATTCGGCGTTGATGGCGCTCTGCCAAGAACAGTACGAGGAGTATGTGCACGACGTCTTTCTCCGTTACAATACCTCCAAACCCACCGTCGAAACGTATTCAACGAAGACGGGCGACCTTTTCAACACTCCCTTCGATGCGCAGTACTTCTGGGATGGTACTCGCGGGCCCGTCATGTTCACTGATGCTATGCAGGCCTCCCTCTCACAAAATCCGAACTCTACCTTTATAGAGATAAGCCCTCATCCCGTTCTGTCCAGCTATATTTCGTCCATGGCTGGAAAGGACTCCACCGTGCTCTGTCCACTGAGGCGGCCGAAACGCACGGAACACAGCGTAGAGACGCTCGGTCTGGTTGATTCTCTCGGAAGACTCATTGTCGCAGGTCACAACTGTGTCAACTTCGACGTTCTTTGCCACGCCACGGGCGACGTCGACGAGACAGTACCGCCGTATCCATTCGCTCGGAAGGACATTCCCTATAGAGCACAAACTGCAGAAGTCACGAGATTGCGACAATCGCGCAATGGTCCTCTGAACTACCCCCAGCTACAAGTCAATGCGAAGACGCATCCAGGTTTGGCGGAACATGTCATCAAGGGTGAACCAATCATGCCCGCTGCAGGATATTTAGAGATGGTAAGTGCCTAGTATCTCTTCTTTGCCAAATATATGAGATGCTCCTATGCTAGGCCCTCGAATTCGGGGCGAAAAAGCTGCTGAACGTCGAGTTCATATCGTTTCTAGCCTTATCTTCTGAGCATCCCACTCCTGTCCACGTCAAGCTAGAAGGGTCTCACTGGACAGTTAGCAGCGCATCGTCTGCCGATTTCACGAAGTCATGGCCACCTCAGGTGAGGATCTCCATTATATCGCCCTATGAGAAAACTGAACATACGGCCTACCACCGACAGTACAATCGCTTGCATGCGAAAGGTTATCTTTCGATGAATGCATCCGCAGGGGAACACCGAGATCCTGTACCATTAGATTACATTCGCGAGAGACTCCAGCCTGTGGAGATGAATGGTAACCTCGCTTCCCACTCTTACGCACCTGCATCTGATTGGGCTGTCGTGTGTCAGGCTTCTACGATGGTTTCAAAACTTTTGCTGATTACGGACCGACTTACCAGAGAATTCTTGCTTGCAACATGGGTACAGATGAGAACGGGCGCGATGAAGTACTGGTGCAAGTTCGTGGAGCAGACCATGATATTCCCGAGTAAGTTCAGAAAGCATGGGTTTTCCATGTTGATACTCATATGCATAGTCTTTCGGAGTACCACATACACCCTGCTATCCTTGACTGTGCCTTGCATGTCGTGGTGCATCCACTTATTACCGGGAGCAGAGACAAAGGGCGTTACTACCTTCCCTCGAAGGTTGGTACGCTTATAATACATGATGCATTGCAAAAGAAGTCATTCCCGCGAATGATTTATGCACACGCGGTGCTCCACAAGTGGCTGCCTGGTGCGAATGGTCCCACTGTTCATCTATGTTGCTCAGACTCACTGCCTGCTGACAGACTCGCTAATATGGAATGTCTCCATTGTTGATGAAGAGGGGACGCACCTGTGCACTTTGGAGAAGCTGGAGGTCGCCCTTCACGGTCAGTCGAGGAAAGCAGTACAAAAACGATACGACGTTGTATATCAGCAAGCCGGTATCTCTGTGGCTGGCCGTCACAAAAGCAATGATCCAAGACTGTCTGCCGACGTCGTCAGTCCATTAGCGCGAGTTGCAGGGATATATGGACTTGCCAGCAGTGTGGCGATGGTGTCGCGCTTCTTCTTCCCTTTCAGATCGGTTCGACAATTACTCTTCCCCTCTGCATCCGAGTACGTTGCACGCATCCCTACATCTGGCAGCTGGAGTTCACATACAGAAGACGACTCTCACAAGCAAGAATCTGTCAGTGACACGGCCAGCGTCTCATCGTCCGCCGGTGACGAACATGCATCTTCTGCTAGTACTTTGGGTGGGGAGTCATCTCCGGTGGTAATCGACTTCGTTAGAGGCAAGGAGATCAGGATCCAGAAACTCGTCGCCAGTCTAGATCCTTTGGCAGAGCACTCCTTATGGTTCCTGGCCACTATGGGACTCGATGGCGATGCCTCTCTCGGATTCACGCGATCCCTTCGAAAGGAGTATCGTGTCTGGACCATACGAGTTGTTGTCTTCGACTCCGCATGGACCGACCTCATAGAAAGGCGGAACGTAATGCATGATCTTATGGACGTACCCGACTGCGAGCTTGAGTTGATGGTGGATGCTCATGGCTCTGTGCTCGTACCAAGGATTGCTCCGACATCCCCACCTCCAACTGTAGCTGTATTCCGGCCTCACCTTCCGTGGAGGATGCAGACATCGGGGCTGGAGCAAATCTCACTTCCTCCCGTCCCTGACGAGCACGTTCTTGTGCGAATCGTGAGTGTCGTACAAGGCGCTGGGCCGCTTTGGTCGTTTGTAGGGCAGACTGACGATCGCTCTTCGGCCGTCGTCGGTTTGGCTGGTGGTTCACCTTCTAACGTTATAGTTGCTCATAGAGGAAGCTTGGTAGAGCGTGCCATTCCGAGAGGCAATTTGGGGCCCTGTGTGCTTGCATCTGTGATTGCCGTACTAGCCCTTGGGATCTCGTCTTTCACTCATCGGGAACGTCTTCAACAATCGTCGATTCTGGTGACAGATGCAGACACCACTCTAGGAAGCCAGGTTGCACAAATCTATACTGCACTTAGGCTTCACGCTATGACATTGCCTGCGCACTGCATTGCGGACATGATGCAGTTCTCCGAACATCCTCCCAAAATTGTGGTGTCTGGAACGGAGGATGTGTCGGAAATCCGCGCATTGCAAGATCTAGTAGGCTCACACGGTAAACTGTTTCTGTGGAATCACCGTGTCGAAGGCATTGCGCGTATCCTTGCTACTGATCCCTGGTCCATTGGTGACGCTTTGCGGTGTGCATTCAAGGAAGGCGCAGAACACAGAGAGCCGTTCCAACGTATAGCAGATCTTGCACACCCTTACGCATCGATGCAAGTACCACTTGTCTCCAGTCTCTTTGATCATGCCAAGTCTTATTTGCTGGTCGGAGGTGTAGGAAGTCTGGGTTTGCGTATCGCGTTGTGGATGTACCAGGTACGATGACGAACACTCCACGCAAATATTTGTTCTAATTGTGTCACAGAATGGAGCTCGGGAGATTATATTAACATCACGTTCAGGACGCAAGAGCGTAACCTCACGCTCAGAGTCTGTTGCCAGACACATTCTCAATTACTTGGAAAGTCTTCCTGATCTGGTGCTTCGAGTGGAAGCAGCAGATGCACAGTCGACCCCTAGAATGATGCGCGTTGTCAAGGACATGCAGAACCCTCTAGCTGGGTGCATGCTGCTCGCTGGGGCTCTCGTGGACAGGTCATTCGCATCACAGACCCAAGAAACATTTGAGACTCCGTTCACGCCAAAGGTTGGCGCATTCAAGGCTTTGGAAAAGACCATTCCGATTGCGTCTCTCGATTTCTTGGTTGCCTTTTCTTCTGTTTCCGGTATGTTCGGAAACGCGGGACAGACAAACTACGCAAGGTGCGTTGTTCGAACTCCTGGGACATCGATATACTAATCTTGTCCGATGTAGTGCGAACACTGCTTTGGCAGGCTTAACGAAGAAGTACCGAAACGCATTCACTCTTGTTACTCCTGCGATCATCGATTCATATTTCGCTCTATCCGCCGAAGCTGCTTCCAAGTATGGACTGTTGAAGCATTTGGGTGACTGGGGAATGACCGGATGGGGTGTGTATCGTTTGTCGCTTTGCAGATTCGGCCAGATGCTGAGGATTATATCTGGTACAGATTTTTGTGAGTACATTGGCGACGGTATTCGCCAATTGCGGGAAGGACCTGTGTGGCAGTATATCCCCGACTTCGACTGGCGCCTAGTATGGGACAACATGGGGCCTTCCACTATGTACGCTCAACTCGTGCCTGATAATGTCGCGGATTCGACCGAAGCACAACCAGAAGATGCTGCAGTAAGTCTACGCAACGTCGTCTGCAAAGTGCTGGACGTGGCCCCGCAAGATCTGTCTCGCGACATGCCGTTTACATCCTATGGCCTCGATTCGCTTTCTGCTGCATCATTGTCATACGCACTGCGTCCTGTGCTTGCGGTTTCCCAAATTCAGCTCCTGGCAGATCTAACACTAGGTCAACTTGAAGATCGTTTGAAGGAAACGACCGAGGATGCAATAGCGAATGGTGTAGATGGGGTGCAAGACATGCAGAAGGAAACCAACAAATCCCGCGAGATGTTGAAGTTTGTCGAAAGGTACACCACCAATCTCCTGCAGCTATCTTCCATTTCTCCTCTGTTTGTATCTGACACGAAGAACATCCTCATCACCGGAACCACTGGGAGCCTTGGCGCGCACATGCTGGCACATCTGCTACAGGCAGCGTTTCCGCTCAAGGTCTACGCGCTGCTGCGAAAGGGGCCTCAAGGCGTTTCTACTGCAGCGCGCCAGAGAAAGGCATTTGAAATGAGAGGACTCGACGTGACACTGCTGAAGGACGGCAGGCTTGTCTTGTTAGAGGGAGATCTGGTTGCTCCCTCTCTCGGCCTATCTGACGTTCTCTTCGAGACGGTACATACTTAATTGTGCGAATATTGAGGCTATAACTAAAGTTCTTCCCTCTCAGGTTGTGGAATCGCTCACGCATATTGTGCACCTGGGTATATTCACAATCAGGTCATCTTTAAGTTGTCAATATTTACTGACACTCACAATTTCAGGATGGCCCATCAACTTCAATGGACCTCTGACGATGTACGAAGCTGCGATTCAGGGACTTCGGGCTCTGGTGGACACGTCGTCGAAACATCGCAGCGCGTCTCCGGCGAAGCTGATCTTTGCTAGCAGTATCAGTATGATCCGCAGTACGCAATATTTTTCCTCTCGTATGCCAGCTCGCTGCTCGCTCACGTCGACACTATTGACGCAGATCTTCCATACTCACATCTGGTATGCGAGGAGCCCCTACTTGACCCTATGATTGCACTTGACTCGGGGTATCCGGAATCAAAGTGGGTTGCAGAGCGTATACTCGGTCTTGCCTTGGAGAAGGGCCTGAGAACGACGGTGGTGAGAGTAGGACAGCTGAGTGGTGGCGCGAACGGAGCATGGAAGACAGCTGAATGGTTTCCTGCCATGATCTCGGCCAGTGTCACTCTAGGTTGCTTGCCAATGGCTTCTGGAGTGAGTATCCTTTCGTTTCATACGCCCACTGATATGACATCTGATGATCCTTCTGCAACGTCAGAATATCTCCTGGCTACCAGTTGATGTTGCTGCGCGCGCATTGATCGATATGCTTGACACGCCCCAGTCGGTTCTCCACTTGCGTCATCCGACACCCATGTCGATCTCTACTGTCGTCCCGCTCTTCTCAGAGTGTCTAGGGCTACCTGTTGTCTCTTACGCCGAGTGGTTTAGCCGCCTCAAAACTGGCCTCGCACGCCGTGAGAACGGAACGGAGGCCAAAGGACTGGCAGGTCTGGAGCCGGCGATGAGGCTGATGAACGTGTTTGAGCTGTCAATGCAGGCGTGCAGCTCCCAGGACAACACTGAGGAGGGTAGCAGAGAGGACTTCGGTTTGACGTGCAGCGTCGACGTCACCGAGGGTCTTGCTGCATCGGCAACGCTGCGTGAAGCTGCCAGCACGCAAATTGGGAGGGAAGATGTGGAACGGTGGTTGAATTGGTGGCGAGATGTGGGCTTCTTGCCTGCGAAAGCGAACTGACGGGGCGAGTGAGATAATGTTGTTTGGATAATGTAAGACTTCGCTCTCAGCAAATATTCTGCTTACCAGATGTTGTACGTTCTGTTAGATGTGCTGCTGTATGTTCTGTTGTACACCAACTTCATGATTATTCGCAGGAATTTATAATCGCGTTTGCGATTACAATCTTGTGACCAAGTTGATATCAATGCTAGCATCTTATGAAAAAAAATGGTGAAGTGGAAGATGACGACGAGTATCAATCTTGGAGAACTGGTGCAAACGCTCGAAGGCTAATTGCCCTGATGCACATCTTCCGCCTCGTCTGGCTGCACTCGGGCCTCTCCGTGCCCATCTCTTTTGCCTCGGTGGGTCAGGATACAGAATATTCCACAATCTTACGCCATAGTAACTTAATATCCGTGAGCCTTCGTCGATGGGACAGTATGCGGAACCAACAACGATTCGTGAGGCGAATCCGAACGGAGCATCAGTTCCACCATCAAAAAAATTTGCAAACATACACATAATTTAACTCACTGCTACCATATCTCGCGGCGCACGACTACTTCACTGCTACGCTTCCCGTTCCACTTGCAACGCCCGTCGAACTGCAGCCAGCGGGGCTGACTTCGCCGCCAGGTCGACAGTCCACACCTGATGGTCACGTACATGCAGTTCGCCTTCTCTGGGCATAGAAACCCAACCGTCGTAAGAGGGATCGACGCACTTCACCGGCTCCAAAATCTTGAGGATCCGCAAACTGAGCCTGGGCGGCTTGTCGTCTGTCCGCTCGAATCGGCAGAAGGCACTCCCTGCGCGCACGCCGTGAGGACCATATTTTAGCAGAGTGCGTACCTCCAACTCACCGGTATATGGCGCGGTCACCTTGCCTGAGCGTGAATCGTAGAAAACGCGGGCCAGCTCGAACCGATAGAGCTCGTCCTGTCCTAATAAAAGATGGTACGTCGGCGCTTGGCGACCAAGGTCTACCCAAATGGTGTCGTCGAGCGAATGGAGTATCTGACTCCTCTGGAGGAGCCTGTCTTTGGCATACAGGCGAATGCAACGATCCACCAGATCCGGTGTGACCAACCCATCTCGCAGTAGCAGTGCTCGCATCGGCGCATACCTCAAGGCGGAAGCTATCAACAGGAGTGGAATACGCCAATGTACACCATTTCCCAGCAACAAATCCGTCCCTGACGCAAAATCGGTGAGGCTGGAGTCTTGTGTAAGGCGAAAACGAACTTCGCCCGCCAATGGTGTTTCTGGTGAGGGAGAATAGTAGTACAAAAATCCGCGTGTATTAGGTGGAAATGATATGATTGAACCCCGGTGAAGTTGATAGCGAATGCTACCATGGCCCTGGACTTCTGAAAGGGCAGCATATATAGTGGGGACATTGCGGCTGCTCAGGTCCATGCAATCCTGTGGTCTTACGCGACGCGGGTCGAGAGTTCCAATTACGAACTTGCAATTTTTAGGACGTGAAGGATTAGTCGCAGACTACAACTCAGGTCGGGATTCGTCAACAAGAACGACAGAGTTCGTGGCGAAGCCTGGGGACTCACCTTAGATTGTGTATGAGTGGAGGAAGACCGTGCATGGAACCTATTTATACCCCTCAGCTCGAGTATTTGCCGCAAGGATTTATGCAGCAATTGGAGGGGGAATCGAGCGGTGATCATCGCAGCACGCCCGTATAAGATGTAGGTGATCAGGAGGATGTCACAGAGAACGAAGAGTGACTCCTATATCGTGACTGGTACTGAACGCGTTCCGACGCGTCACGCCTCGGTACGCTTGCCCAGTTTTGTGCTCTTGTCAATTATTTTTCTTGCTCGGATAACAACTCCCGACTCAAAAGTGAAGGCGTTCTTTTTACACTAGTGTTGTTGTGCTATTTGTCTTGTGGCAATTCTGTCCTCGCTCTCAGAGCAAGTTCCATCGCCACCTGGTTATATTTTTGGTCTATCTGACTGGGGGCCTATTCAGTGGCTCTAGACTTCATGGTGAGTTTGACCAGTTCTGAGCACAAAACTGACACTAGCTCACGACTGAGGAGGTCCTTCGCACCGAGGCATTGGTGGCGCCGGAGGGATAGTCAACATTCAGATGTTTAGCCTTAGGACTGGACCCACAACGCCGTCGCGTTCGTTGGAGATGGCCTCTAATCACTGCGTCGGACGGGCGAGGCCAGTGCACTCCACCAACTTCCTTACCTCTAAGAAGCCTGATGATGGCACTGCCCGAACATTATCCCTACGCACACACCATGCTGACATGATGCCATACAGGATGAAACACTGCACGCACTACCAAAGACCCGATCGCTCTGCCCACTGCGGGGTCCAGTAGCCTCAGACCTACTACAGCTGCCTTCCCTGGCCCATTCACCGGATTAGAAATCACGCCGTTCTACTCCGCCTGGAAGATGATGGAGAACCGATTCCTGCGGACATTACAACGCGCACGAAGGATCTGCAGACACCCGGACTTCACCGACTCGCTTCAGAGAGCTTTTTCCTGAGACATGTTGCACTGAAACTGAAGCTTGGCCCGCCATTCGACAGGCCTACATAATGGTGCAGGCCCGGATGCCTCTCGGGCACAATGCCATCCACCTCCACGCATACCCACAACCATTACACCACTGGCGGATGTGCGCACACTACCGCACGTCGTGCGGTACATACTACTGAACAGAATCGCACTGTCATTGCGGTTGTGAAGTCCGATTTTCCTCCAAAAGATCGGTCCCTCATTGCTATGGGCGACAAATCCCTGTCCTCTCGTGCGCTTCACAACGGCGTCTCCATGTTCGATGAGTACTGCCGCGTGTCACCATATAAACCGTGTCAACACACTAATCACCAAACATCCTAGTGTAATGGCCCCCTAGTTCGTATATTTCTTAGCCTTATGCCTTGTCATTTGCTTGCTTTGACCCTTCCTGTATTGCTGCACTCTTAACTTGCACCGACCACATTATCACCTGATACTCCTCGCCGGTCTGCGGCATCGACTTTGTTCGACCCCAACCTTCCGACTTCATGTACAAAGGCTGCTGCATCATCGTAGTACTGTGCCTTGGCGCTCTATACTCGCCTGCTCGAAGTAAAAATACTAGAATCTTTGTCTCTCTCTCTCTGACCGTCTCTCCAATGTATTTATAGAAATGTTTAGAAGAACTTGCTATTCATACCGATGCACGATTTATCCGTACCGCATAACCAATACAAGCCTGCAACGTCTCCTGAGGGTGCACAACGAGTTTCACACTGCTCGCCTCATTGTTCGTATGCCTCGCCTCGCCGTCCTGAATTCTCGCCAATCCATTAGGCAAGACCTCAACACGATTCGGCTGGTGGTGTATCAGTATAACTTGATCCACAGGTCTCAAGGAGCAGAGAGAACAAGCACCATTAACCGTGATCAGGCCGTTTTCGAGCAGTGACGTGATGTGAGAGAACAAGCTCGCTCCGGTCTTGCGGTTTGCGTGACTATCCCCGTAGACGCACACAGCCTTCTTGTTGGCACATTTCTTTGCAGGGTCGACGGAATCACCAAGCACTAGGGTTCCGCCACCCTGCGTTCTGCGAGGCCGAGACTGATCCATCGAAAACCAACTCGATGGGTGCTGCGGTGATGTCGGCGACAGTAGAGACGAGCTAGGAGATAGGCAATTGGCGGTCAAGAACATGCGTCACCGATGGAGTGTAAGAACTCTGCATTTTTCAGACACAGTGGAGATGATGGGAGAGAAGCCGGAGAGCTTCGCAAATTGGATGGCTGACAGCCAAACCGACGCGTCACCGATCTGCATGAACTGCACAATGCCAATCGATACGTACCGTATTGGCCGATGGAGGAAGTACCACCAAGGTTTCCCCGCGTATTTTCCCCGCCCACTCTCTTCCCAAGGTGGGAAGAGAGCGGGGCTACGAGCCGGATCCCCTTGGTTGAACAGGTCAAGCGCAGAGATGGCAACGCCCACCGAGAGAGAAGCCGCCTGGTCGAACGAAAGATTGTTCGGAACTTTGTACTAGACGAATATTGATGTTTAAAGACTGAGCGCAAATGCATAAAAGTCCAGGGCACACCTTCGCTGTCACCTCGGCAACTGCAAGGAAGTACTACTGAAAAGTGTTATACGCATTGGTGTTAAAAAGCCCACGGGAAAACCTAACCAATGCCAGTGCTTGTTGATCAGTACACGAGGAACATCCTTGAAACGAGACACATAGCTCACACCCTATCGCCTATGGCAAACCCTGAAACACCCTCACCAATACCTGTAACTAGACCTGCGGCATCAAATCCAAGGACGGCCGGGTACTCAGTAACGAGGATGCCATATGCCTGTATCTTCCATTCGACAGGGTTCAAGGCGGTAGATTCGATCTTTACGAGCAACTCGCCAGCACCTGGAGCTGGTATGTCAATTGTCCCGATGGCGAAGGCACCCTGCTTGGATTGAAGGAGAAGCGCTTTCTGCTGAGAAGACATAGTTAAGGTCATGGCCCAAAGTTGGGGGGTTGATGCGATGAGTATCTGAATACAAAAAGCCTAGAGAAGCTGAGATAGTTAAGTAGCAAGACTCGGGCGGCAATGAACTCGCTTTGTTATGGTTGCAGAAGTGCAACCCACGTATCTTTCCACAGGTATCCTGCCGACGCAGAACGTCACTCTGCCGCTGGCGGTTTGGCCACGTAAGTGGATGTTGCAATCATAGTGCTATCATGTACCGCAGATATGTATCGGGCGACGCATTACGTTGCTACAGCCCTGCCCTCTGGGGTTAGTAATCGGGATCAGTAGTAAGGTCTGTCGACCCATTCACTTCACTTCCGCACTGGCACGCAATGCCCTGCTACCAATGGCGGATAGCTTTATCTTGCACTAGGTCCATGGATAATCGCAAGAATTACGAAAGTCGATGTGGAAGAAGACCGTGTACAGCGCATCCGGTGGATGCTGCCAATTGCGAGATTCACACTACTTCTCCGTGTGGCCAATGCAAATGGGATCTCTTTGCTTCGTTGATGAGCTCAATACAGAACTACGGGGTCTCCTGCGGGCGTACGATGAGCTTCAGACCACTGACCTCATTGTTCCTGAGCCTCTCTAACCCTTCAGGAATCCCCGCCAACCCATTAGACAGTACCTCAACACGATTCGGCTAAAAACACATATGTACAAACAGCAGCAGAGACAGACGATATCTTGCTTACCTTGATCAAACCTCGTTCCAGCAAAGACGTCAGCTGCCCGATTAGGCTTGCGCTCGTCCTACGGTTCTCAACGTAAGTGTCTCCTTCTGCGCGCACGATCTTCTTCTCCGGAGTCTTCTTCGAAGGATCCACTGCATCCTCGAGGACGACTACGAGAGTTCCACTAGGTGCGAGGATATCGTACGCGGCGTTCTGTGTATCGCGCAAACCAACCGCATCATATACTGTCTTGACAGGTAATGATGTTATGTCGGTAACGGCGGATCGGAGTTCTGAGGCAGACAGCCTGCGATCTAGGACGTGCGTCGCGCCATAGGATATCAGGAACTTCGCATTGCGAAGAGATGCAGTGACTATGACGGGAGAGAAGCCAGAGAGCTTGGCCAACTGAATCACTGCCATCGGAAAATTCAGCCAGGTCGGAATGTTCAGTAAATGATCATTTGGCGCGTACCGATCTGACCAACTAAAGTAGTACCTCCAAAGATCATCATTGGCGTTCCTGCATACTTCCTCGTCCATCCCTTTCCCACGGTGGGAATATAGCCGCGCTGCTGGCGGGATCATCTCGATTGAACAGACCAAGCGCTGCTGTCACCACGCTCACTGGGAGTGCTGCAGCGTCATCGAAAGAAAGCTTGTATGGAATCTTGCATACGCAGTCATCGAAGGGGTAAGCAGGGACACATAGCATGTTGGGTGCATACCTTTGCTGTGATGTCAGCGTCAGCAAGAATATATTGCTGGAAGGTGGCATGAGCGTTATCGAACGCGCCCTCGGTAAACCTGACGAAACGCAAATGATCCTCATCAACATGGGATTCCTACCTCAGAATGAGCAACACCACTCACACTCTGTCGCCGATAGCGAATCCAGATACTCTCCTTCCAAACCCTACCACAATACCAGCAGCGTCCAGGCCCAGGACAGCAGGATACTCCGTGATGAAGATGCCGCGCGTTTGCATCTTCCAATCTACGGGGTTTAAGGCGGAAGATTCGACTTTCACAAGCAACTCGCCAAAGCCGGGGGTCGGTATGTCGACGGCTCGGATGACAAACGGACCCTGTTTGTACCGGACGATGAGTGCTTTCTGCTGGGCAGGCATGGTCGATGGTAGTCAATGGACGCTCCCAAGCTCGGACGATTGACCCATTTGCTGGTGGCTACTCCGCAATCAAGGTTCTGCCCTCGGGTGCACCTCTGAGAAGTTCGCCAGGCTGAGATAACGAGAGCTTAGCACCCATGAGATTAGACATGCCACAAATTCATGCGAGGGTCAACTAAACGCACCATGTGCCTCTGCGTGTGGAATACCAAGGTAATGAGGGCACGCAAGCGGAACAATGAAAAGAAACCCAGGTCACTTCTGCGTTTTCTGGGGCGGCAGAAACGCGGGGACGTGTCATAATTTGAGATTCAATGGCACCTTGTGCCCAAATTCGAAGCCAGCGTGACGCAGTCAGCGTCTGTCTTATAGGAACGAAGTACGGTACTTACCGTACGCGTGTGACGAATATCCCTGACACACTGCCTTGCACTCGCGTCCAGGTATATCGAGAGTCATGCCCTTGTTCAAGGCAGGCATTGCTCCTTGCTGCATCGAATGGGTCGCAAGAGATCGCACCGACCACTAAGCACTTACGGATGAGATTACTCACTGATTGCGTCGTGGGCGCGTATGCAGCCGCACATGATATCGAATGCCGTGAGTCCTAGGATTTGGTTTGATATTGCGACGTCATAGCGCGATGGCCATATTGGTCTGTGAGAGTTCTACGTCCCGGACGACGTACGGCAGAACGAGCAGCATCATTCATGTGAAGCCCTATAGAGAAGAATCAAGGTCCGTGCTGTCAGTTTCACACCGCGGCAGACCTCAGCACAGATATCTCCTGCATCAGTGTACTTACTCTCTGAGAATGGAAATGGAATTCAAGTCCTGAGCCGACCAAGAGGTACAGAAAAAACAGTAGGAGATCGATACTACTGAGCCCAAAAAGTGATGGGTGCTGGCTTAGTACTAAGGCTGAGTGATAACAGGTCGTTTAAGACGAAGGAGCATCAATTTGTTGAAACTGGAGGAAAATGTGGAAGACCCATTCAACGCCTTGTTAGCGCCCATGTTATTACAGTAATAAGCTAAGGCTAGATCATCTACTTGACCAGTTGAGGTCTTGGACAACCGTGCCGTGATTTCGAATCTTGTAGATATGCCTCCAATTACATAGTTTTGACGGCACTGTCAAGGTCCTTGGTCGGTAGACCTGTTCAAATTACACAAGTGGATCGACAGACATGGTCTCCACGTTCAGGCTAAAGCCCCGCTCCGCAGTTCGCCATATTCACCTGGAAATCGACGTCCACGTACATTGAAATGTTATGCGCTCGGATCGCCTGTATACGTTCGGACTTCAAGCAATTGTTCCGCACTCCTGAGGTTCATACCTACCTTAAGCCTCATCTAATCAAACAATCACATTATTCATACAACAAAACTCTGGAACTGCGCTACTATCTTTGCTTTACCTCTCCTTTAACACACGGCTATGCGGTTCCCTCCTGAGGGTGCGCGACAAGCTTGAGGCCGCTAACCTGGTTATTCTTGAGCCTCTCCAACCCGTCGACTATACCTGCCAATCCGTTGGGCAAAACTTCAACGCGGTTCGGCTGACCACCAGATAGCCGCATCAGTAACGCGAATGAAGAGGAGAAGGCAAATTCGCGTGCCTTAATTGCACCCTGTTCCAACAGAGCCGTGAACCTACTGAAGAAGCTGGCGGCTGTCTTGCGGTTCTGGGCACCATGTCCGCTTCCATACACTTGCACGACCTTCTTCTCTGCGACCTTCTTCGCAGAGTCTACCGCCTCTTCTAGGACGATCACAAGAGTACCACCTGGGGCGAGCACATCGTATGCAGCGTTCTGCGTGTCACTCTCGCTCACTGCGTCATAGACCAACTCCACGGGAGCGGACGTAATCTTGCCGACGGCGGCGACGAGCTCAGAGGCGGAAAGCTTGCGGTCTAGGACGTGCGTCGCGCCGAAGAACTTCAAGAGGTCGGTATTATGCAGAGATGCTGTGGCGATGATGGGCGAGAAGCCTGCGAGCTTCGCAACCTGGATCACTTTTATTGAGGGTTAATTCACGCTGATGTATAAGCTGTTAAGATAGTGCGCACCGTATTGACCCACGGAAGTAGCACCGCCGAAGACTACAATGGGCTTTCCGACATATTTCCCCTTCCCACTCTCTTCCCAGAAAGGCGTCAAAGCCGCACTTTTGGCCGGATCATCTTGGTTGAACAAGCCCAGCACAGCGGTTACGACGCATGCGGGCAGCGAAGCAGCGTGATCGAATGAGATATTGTTCGGGATCTTCGGAATGGACGCTCAGACAAGCGTCGATGCATAGTACACCGAGCTACACACCTTCGCCGTTATGTCGGCGACAGCGATGAAGTACTGCTGGAAAGTGGCGTGTGCGTTATCGTGGTTGCCTTCAGTCAGTCTAAAGAACCAGTCGGCGATTCCCGTCGACACGCAAACAACGCACAGAGAACTCACACACGGTCACCGACGGCAAACCCACTCACGCCCTCTCCAACTTCCTCTACGATACCAGCTGCATCTGTCCCCAGGACTGCGGGAAAGTCAGTGGCGAAAATGCCATAGCTCTGGATCTTCCAGTCGACAGGATTCAATGCAGTCGACTCTGTCTTGACGAGCAGCTCGCCGGGGCCGGCTTTCGGTACGTCAATTGTACCAACCGCGAGGGAGCCTTGCTTGGACTGGAGAAGAAGGGCTTTCTGCTCGGAAGGCATGGTAGGCTGGTGGTTGATGCAGGTTCAGCAGGGACACTTTCTGATACTCATCGCGGGCATATTTAAGGATTCACCTGGCCTCGGCGAATGCATGTCGAATCTTGTCGGCGATAGTCTTGGCCTCATTTCGACATATGCTGACGCGATAAGTTTCGCCATGACGCCCGCGAACCTGGCTTGATCAGCAAGGAGAGGGCTGCTGAATCAGCAGCAGTGGTCCATCAAAGTTATAGGACATCAATCCGTTGCATTCCTCATGATATGTGCATGGATCACACCGCTATTGCGCAGCTTCTCCTGCAGGTATGGCAAGAGAACTACAAAAAAGGTGGATGCACGCTCTTTCGCGACCTGCGCGACGCGTTCGAGGATGAGAATATCATAGGTACTACGAGAACATTCTGCTACGGTACACGTCTCACAGGCTGTCTAACCGTAAATAAGTTCAAGACTGCAAAAGGTGTCTACGTGGCAGTCTAGCTATAGTGATAGCACAGTTAGGTCCTAGCGGAGTTTGAAAAACCTAACCTACCGGCGCGGGCGTCATGTGCCTCCCAATATGGTAAATGACTGCCACAAATGGCATTTCAGACATAAGCATTCTCCATGGCTCGGGCACCATGCTACTGCAACTCAAATTTCAGGCTCTGTTGTATGTTTCCATAAGTATTAGTGCCTGTTTCTGATCACTACACATGAGCTCTGACTGCACACAAAGATTGCACAAGTTTGCTATCAGGCAGAGATGCACATTCTTAGCAACACTGTACGTGATTAAGTTCATGCACGGGGACATTTCTTCTTAGTGCAGAGCAAGGGTATACCCTCGGGTGTCCCAAAGCATACCCCTACCCATACCCGTGAGGGTACGGTACCCTTTGCTGCAGGTACGGGTTACCCACGGGTACGAGAGATTCTCACAGGTATCAATACTCTCACGGGTCTACACACAGGTCAAGACATCATTGTAGAGAATACAAGGCTATCTACTCAGGCATGACTATGCTATCCCATCCATCTTCAAGTCCTTCATCATCCTCATTGGCCTCTGAGAGTGCAGTGATGGCACCAAGTGGCTTCACTCTCCCGGGCAGAGAAGCACACAGATCGACTGCACTGACAGTCCATTCTGAAGGTGCAGCAGCAGAATCCTATTGCGAGTACGCGGCGAGGGGGGAAGGCGTCCAGGGGATGTCTGACGGATCTAGAGCGGGACCAAGCACAGCTCAGTCTCGTGCGATAGCAAACGAGTGACTGTATTAATACTAACCTAGAGCGGGACCAAGCACAGCTACTACAGGTCAGTAAGGAGATAAAAGGTAGGTAAAGAAAGTATTCACCTCAGTCTCGTGCGATAGCAAACGAGTGACTGAGGTGCATCGTCCGAACGTCCGCCAGTACTACCTACGTGATTATGTAAGTAACGTGGTGGCGTAAATACCGTACTACTCTCCCTGTGTCGCAATGTATGTACTTCAACACGCCCACTCAGGGTGACAGGGAATAGAGTATATAAATGAAAATACTTAAGCCAAGCCCATCCCCGCTGAAAACTTCTCATGCTTCTCACGAGGAAGCCCCTTCGTCAAGACATCAGCAACCTGATTTCCGGTAGGAACGTACTCAGGTTCGATCTCGCCGGAGTCATACTTCTCGCGGATGAAGTGGTAGCAGACGGCAATGTGCTTGGTGCATTCATGGAAAGCAGCATTTTTGGATAGCGCGATGGCGGACTGATTGTCGATGAGTAATGGAGTAGGGCCCTTCTAAACCTGTCCAATCTCCGAGAGGAAAGCACAAAGCCAGACTGCTTCCTTTGTACCATGAGCTCCAGCCATATACTCAGCTTCAGTGCTGGACTGCGCCATCGAGTGCTGCCTCTTTGAAGACCAGCTGACAGCGCCTTCCGATATGAGGAAAACAAAACCTGTGACCGATCGACGGTCGTTGACGTTCGCTGCCCAATCTGCATCCACGTATCCGAGAAGGGGTTCCTTCTCCTTGGTAGTGCCACAATAGACGAGCTTCTTGTCTGCTGTCCCACGCAGGTAGCGATAGACTCGCATAAGAGCAATCCAGTGCTCCTTGCCTGGTGTTGCAGCATGCTGGCTCAACGCGCCCACTGTGAACGCAAGGTCGGGGCGAGTCCCGATCATTGCATACATGAGAGAGCCAAGCGCGCTCTGGTAAGGCTTCGGGTCGATCTCCGCCTCCGAGAGCTTGACGAGCTTCTGGTTCTGTGCCATAGGTGTGCTGACCGGGCGGCAATCGGCCATACCATGTTGTGCGAGACACTTCTCGACATACTGGTGTTGCGAGAGCTCGAGGACACGGCGAGGACGATCACGAGCGATTTCCATGCCGAGGAGCCACCGTGCTTCACCAAGGTCGGTCATCTCGAAGCGAGACTTGAGATCTTCCTTGAGGGTGGTGACAGCAGTGAGGTTGTCAGAAAGAATGAGCATATCATCGACATAAATGGCAATAATGAGGAGAATACCATCATCATTCTTGTAGAACACGCTGTGGTCCGAGTGGCAGCGGGTGAACCCAAGCGCCTCGAACTCAGCACGGATCTTCTTGTACCACTCACGTCCAGCCTGCTTAAGACCATAGAGGGCCTTGTTCAGCTTCCAGACGAGGCTGTTGGACCTGCGGAAGCCAGAGGGAACCTTCATGTAGATCTCCTCATCAAGATCACCATTCAGGAATGCCGATTTGATGTCCATCTGGTGGATCTCGAGGTCGAGCTTGGCAGCAAAAGCAAGTAGTGTTCGGACAGAAGCGAACTTTGCGACGGGTGCAAAGGTTTCGTTGAAGTCGAGGCCCTCAACCTGTGTAAAGCCCTTGGCAACAAGTCAAGCCTTGTACTTCTCGATTTCACCGTCCGGTCCACGCTTGATCTTGAAGACCCACTTGCAGTCTATGACCTTGCGATTCCGCGGGTGCTCCACTTCGTCGTAGAGCTCCGCTTTGACAAATGCGTGTAGCTCCTCTGCGCACGCAGCCTTTCAGCGCGCAGCATCGGGGCGTGACATCGCCTCCTCGTAGGTCTGTGGTTCATCCCAGCTTGTGGCTTTGTGAGCATTCTCTGCATCGCCCACTTCCTCTGCATTCTCCGAGTCTGCCACTGCGGCATCAGCGCCCACTCCACCCACATCATCCTGGCCCTTCGGTTTCCGTGTGTAGGAGGACACGAAATAGCGGTCATCATCGGCCACTACCGGTGCCGTGCGCGTTCGACCTGAACGGCGCAGTTCCGGAGCCGAGGGAGGAGGTGGTGGTGGCTGCGCGGTGTGACACCGGCACCTAATTTCGGGCAGTGGAATGTCATCGTCGCTGTCCTCATTCGCGCTGTCATCGTCATCCTCGTCGTCGCTGTCGTCCACATCCAGGAGTGCAGGTGCGTCCTTATCTTCATCTGGGACATCTTCGACAGTGGGCCTTGGTGGGCGCGGAGACGGCGGCAGCTGCGGCCGCATGTCGGGCGCCTCCTGCATAGGTGTGATGTCAATTGTGATGCGACTGGGTGCGACTTCGGTGCCTTCATCGAAATACACGTCGCGGGATTCGACGATGCGGCCGGTCACTCTGTGAACCAGATGGTAGGCCTTGCGATTTGCGGCAAACCCCAGGTGCATGCACTCGAACGTTTTCGAGTTGAGTTTCTGACGTTTTTCCTTCGGAACGTGGACATAGGCTTTGCAGCCAAAAACACGGAGGTGCGCCACGCTCGGCTTGTTTCCGGTGTAGGCCTCGTGTGGTGTGAGGTTGTCAGGGAGAGTGCGGGTTGGAACAGAGTTAAGGATGTGTACTGCATGTAACACAGCATCACCCCAGTATGTGTTCAGCAGTCCAGCGTCATTGAGCATGCTCCTGGCCATCTCCTCGATGGTGCGGTTCATCCGCTCGGAAATGCCATTCTCCTGTGGAGTGTAGGCATTCGTCTTTTCGTGGTGGATGCCCTTCTCCTGTAGGTACGCTTCGAATTCCTTCGACTCGTACTCACCGCCACCATCAGTCCGCAGGATATTGGCACGCTGCCCGGTCTCGACCTCAGCTCATTCAACAAAGGCTTTGAAGTGTGAAAGCGCTTCATCCTTCGTCTTCATGAGATTGGCGACAAGGTGGTGCATGTGTCCATTGATGAACGTGATGAAATAGCGGTGGCCGGACCGCATCTGAGTCTGCATGGGACCACAGACATCGGAGTAGGTGCGATGGAGAACGCGGGGATTCTCGACATCCGACTCCTTCGGGATTGGCTGGCGTGTCTGCTTGCCATGGAGACAGGGCTTGCAGGTGACGTTACTCACCTTTTCTCCGACGATCGACATGCCCTTAACCATTCCCTTTCACACCATCTTCAGCACAGAGTCTACGGAGATGTGACCAAGGTGGCGATGCCAGACCTGAGCACTCGCACTGGATGTTGTCTCCTTAGCAACAAAAGTGTGGAGTGAGGGATCATCCATGGAGTTATCGTAAGAGGGAGGGAGATCTTCTGCCTGCAGGATGTAGGTACACTCGGGGAGCTGCGTGGTCATGTCGAGAACATAGAGATTTCTCCGCATGTACCCAATGGTGCTAAGTCAGCCCTGAGCATTGCTGATGCGACACGTACCATCAGTGAACCTAACATTGTAGCTGTTGCGGTCAAACTGCGAGACAGAGAGCAGGTTGCCATTGAGATCTGGGACATGGAGAACTTCCTGCACAATGCCAGTGTTTGTTGAGCCATGGTCGACTGCTGCACGGAGTGTGACCTGACCGATACCAACGGTGAGGATAAAGTGCTCATCTCCGAGGTAAACACGCTTGGGCGTAGTGAGGGTGCGGCAGTTTACGAACCACTCGCGGTGAGATGTCATGTGGGAGGAAGCTCCTGAATCAACAATCCAGCGGTGGAGGTCATCACCACGTGCCAACTCCTCAGCAACGAAGAGGCGGAGCGTCTCGGAGTCAGCCTCACCGACACTGGCGATCTTCGCAGATTCCTTTGCATCAGCAGCCTTCTCAGCTTTCTTGTCGCCCTTCTCTGTGGCGCCCTCCACCTGGCTCGCCTTGAACTTCTGACACTCGTCCTTCGTGTGACCAGTGTAGCCACAGAAAGCGCACTTGCCCTTCTTCTTCTTGTCCTTGTCCTTCCCCTTCGACTTCGACTTGGTATCAGCATGCTTCGCAATGAGCGCAGATGCTGCGGTTGTCTCGCCACGTCGCTTCTCCTCGCTAAGGACCTCGTTGACGACCTTCTCGACTGTGAGTTTCGAGTCAGAGGCCATGAGGATAGTGCGAAGGGTTGAATAGGATGGAGGAAGGGAGATAGCCATAGCAATGGCGATGAGCGTGTTGTCTAGCGTTAGCCCGAGCGTCTCGAGGATGTGGGCCTTCTGCTGCATCGTGTTGAGCTGCGGCTCTAGCGGCGACTTGTCACTAAGTGTGCTGCGGAAAAGGTCGCTGATGAGATAGGCTAAGGTTTGCTTGCCTCTGCCCTCGTAACACCTGTTCAACTTCTCCCAAGCATCCTGTGCCGTCATCGAGTACATCACACCGTTGAGCGGCTCGTCCTTGAGTGTCAACGTGATCTGCACGAGTGCCTCATTGTTCCGGACATCCCACTCCGCCTTCTTCATAGTATCCGCTGTTCCGGGGTCGGCTTCGGTGCCGTCGATGAGCGAATAGAGACCACGCAACCGGAGGATGGTAGTCGTGCGGTACTTCCACGTCTGGAAGTTTCCGCCATTGCTTTCGAGGTGCTTTGACTCAGCTTTGGAGCTGGCCTGAGATATCGGCGGGTATAGAGACATGGTTCGACAGGGGTGTGAACGAGAGAAGCAGGTTGTGGGAAAGGAAGGTGATGACAAGCGATTGAGTTCTCGATATTTCCGATGCTGTCAGATTCAGTTGGAGCCGGGGCTCATAACCTATTGCGAGTACGCGGCGAGGGGGGAAGGCGTCCAGGGGATGTCTGACAGATCTAGAGCGGGACCAAGCACAGCTCAGTCTCGTGCGATAGCAAACGAGTGACTGTATTAATACTAACCTAGAGCAGGACCAAGCACAGCTACTACAGGTCAGTAAGGAGATAAAAGGTAGGTAAAGAAAGTATTCACCTCAGTCTCATGCGATAGCAAACGAGTGACTGAGGTGCATCGTCCGAACGTCCGCCAGTACTACCTACGTGATTACATAAGTAACGTGGTGGCGTAAATACCGTACTACTCTCCCCGTGTCGCAATGTATGTACTTCAACAAATCCGGCCCTTGCTGAAGAGGTGTTTGACATCAACAGATGTTGCTGGAAAGTTCATCAGCCACATTTGACTTCAAATGGCATGGTACATACCAGGGATAGTCAGATAGCTCATGGCCATGAGCAAGAGACATGGAAACTGCTTGTGTCATGCATACCACCATCCCAATGCATCTGGGACATGCTCTGTATCGGCATTGAGGTAGCGCTGGAGCTCATCCTGATCATCTTGAGTCTGCAAGATGTTCTGATGAAGCAAGTTGTTGAACATGTTGGCAGACGGCTGAGCTTGAGTTGCAGCTGGGGTAGCCATCCTGGACATCACATTGCACCCTGCATAGGTGTGTTCAAACTCCTTATGCACAAGTTCCTCTGCCGTGTTGATCCAGTCTGGCTGCCAACCAGCCTGCTGGAAGTATTGAAGCTTATGAGAGGGGTGGAGCACTATATAAGATTTGTATTTAGTGGTCAAATTGATACTATAAACACTTACCCATGGCGATCCGATAGACATTAGACTGATCAGTCTTGTCATAGTAACAGTTGAGGGTTTTCTTTGCCATGTTGATTGCAGTGCAGATGCATGGTTGGTAGTGGGTGTCGAGGGAGTTGTCGGTGAGTTTCTCATCGATGATGTCCATGGCCAGTATGACCATGGGGAGACTGGGCATCAAATGCAAGAAGTAGAGGGTGGTGTCATTGAATATCTGAACATGCTGGCATGAGGGTGCCGCCACGTCCAGAGTCACGTGTGACTCACCTTCAGAACATCATGCAGCTGTGTCACTATCTCCCACTCATTGTTGTCCATCTCATACTTCCTCAGCTTCATCGCCCTATCCTCCATCATCTCATTGATCGCAGGCTGATACTCCAGCATGAACTGCAGCATTCGGAAGGTCGAATTCCAGTGGGTTGTGACATCGTGGGGCATCTTCCTCTCGGCCAGTTCAAGCTCTCCCAGCAACTTCAACCAAGCAGGCAAGAGCTTGGTTGAGGACCGGACTATGGCCTGCATGATCTTGCACAACTATTCAGTGTCAGTAAGGTAAGTGGAACTGTTTCTGCCACAGATGACTTACCTTGACGAGCACAAATGTTACAGGGCGCACGCTCTCATTGAGTGCTGTGTGGTCCTCAGGAGAGAGGTCCGCACGCTCGTCTTTCCATCCATCAACATCATTGTCTTCTTCCTCCCCAGCTCCCCAGTTCAAATCTCCATCCATCTCGAGGTCCTTGGCAAGTTCTTCCAGTGCACGCTCGGCCTCATCCATCAGATCCTCGGCCTTCCCTTTCGGTGCATCAAATTGACGCAAGAGTGTCTTTGTGACCAGATTGATGACATGGTCAAAGCAGTGCAAATGATTCACCTGTCCCTGGAAGCTATCAATCAGTTTCTCAAGCACATCAGCAAAAGTCAACTTTTGCTTACTGGTGTTATACCCTTGATTAAGGAAAAATAAGGAGATCCCGTTTCTTATTCCTCCATTATTCACCCTTATCGGCATTAATTTCCCAATTAAGAACGGAGACCTCCTTAATTAAGGAGATAAGGGAGCTAAATGGAGGTAACCAAAAGTTGACTTTTGCTGATGCATGTCGATCATGGTATCGTTGTTTGTCGTGTTGTCTGCTGTCACACCAAGCAACTGCAGCAAAAGTAAGTCCTTTCATTTTTCGTGTGAGATTGGTCTGATCCATTTACCTTCGTAGAGATTTTGAAGTCTTTGACCATCTTCGCGAATGCGGCAGCCAGATTGAGGCCATTGTGAGAGTCAGCAACCTCAACCACATCGAGAATCATGCAGAGAGGCAGCCCCTTGTGCTGCAGATGCGCGGTAAACATGATGAGGGCCTTGTTATTGGGCGACGTCCATGCATCCATAGCAAAATTCAATTCTCCTTCATACTCCTAACAGTATGTGAGCCCTCTATCCAGTTCGAGTGTGCGCACTACTGACCTGCAACATTTTTGCGACGCGTGCATGACAGTGCACAAAAACTTTGTGCACATCGCATGCCACAGTCCACCACGATGGGATCCAGTACTCCGGCCTTCCAGTCTTCATCAGAGACTGGAATGCATGGTCCTCGATAATGGTGAAGGGCCGAAGGCTTTCCGAGACCCAGCGTACAATCTCAGCCCTGCATCAAGACGTTCAGCAATGATCACTCAACGCTGTGGAGATCAACTCCCCTGGACTCCATGTGAGTATACTGGCACATAGAGTATGTAACTTTCTCCTTGCCTTTGCAGACGAACGATGCCATAATATCACCTGACCATCAATATTTCTCCACAGATGGCCATGCATCTGCAGCCATCTTCAAGTGATCAGCTGCCACTAGCGCCTCTTCTCCTCAGCACTTCTGTATATGCTTTCACAAGTTCCCTGTCGACGTTCTGTCCCCTTTGTTGAGCCATCGTGTCACCTTCATTTTGCAGCCACAGTTCCCACACTGGAAAATGTGCCCGCGCATGCCCGAGGCCTTGTCAACATTAATTGTCACATTCGGCTTGTAGAATGCATATGCTGTCACAGTCCAGTCCTTCTGCTTTTTTTCTATGCCATGGTAAGTGACAGCCCCCCCTATTGTGAGACTACTGTCCCAATTCTTCTTTAGCTGTCAAGGCTCTCTTCTTCGAAGGAGCCTGGACCTCAACCACATCATCATCGTCCTTCGCCACTACTATGACATCATCATTTTCATCTTCAATGTCATCAATGCATGTGTATCGATCATGTGCATGTGGCACTGGGGATGGAGAAGCACGAGGCTCGTCATTACTATCCATGCACGTCTTCTTGCTTCATGAGGGCTTCTGTGATTGACTTCCACAACATTTTGGCATATTGCTGATGAACCGCTGCTCAGGTGTCTTTTGTCCTTTTATGCACAGTCCTGTATGTAGTATGTAGGTCATTGAATAAGGTTTCAGAACTGTCCATGTACCTGAGGGAACTGGGTAAGGACCAGAGAAGGTTCCTGAAAAGGTAGGCAGAGCCTAATAAATGGGGCCCACAGGTTTGCCACGGGTATCACAGGTCAGCCTATGCTGACCCATACTCATACCCACTGATACTCATACCCGATACCCTCACAGATTTGTATAACCCTTGCTCTGCACTAATATTGGCTGGGCAGGGCAGAAATTGTAAGCCCTCGACTAGATGGTCGCACTGCAAAGTTTGTAGTGTGGCTTTGCTAATGTGTCCGTATGATCGATTCCACTCTTTCCAGGTGCGTGAGTCATTCTCAGACACTACGTATGCACTCTCTTGTTGCGGCTTAACCACTCGGGCATGTAATAAATATAATCTACCTTTCATCTTGGCGACAGTGAGGGTTTTTCCATGGCAATCAATTAAGATTGCGTGCCGATCTCCCATGACTGTTTGGCCACTGGCTTCATCAAGTCTTGGTATTGAAAGTAGATTACATGGGGATCGTGGTGCATATAGCACATCACATAATTGGAACTTCATTTTTCTATTACCTACCTTACCTTCGAGCTGTATGGTCCCCCATCCGTAGGCTTGGACAGTGCCAAGTCCGCTTATTGTGTGATGCTCGAGGGGTTTGTAGGTTAAGAATATATCGTAATTTTTCGCCACATGCAATGTTGTCACTGAATCAGCATACCAGTCATAGAAGGAATCGAAATCATCATTCCCTGAGCTAGTGCCTAAGGATACCATATTGCTATCGCAATCCTCATTATCATTCTCACATGCAACATGTGCTCTGTCCTTGCCTTTGCCGCCGGCATCACACGTCTGCTCGAATTTTCAGCGCTTGTACAGAGGTTCTCCAGACGATGTGCCTCAATATGGGGCATTGGACGGTCCCGCTCTGGAAGGCGCTTGTCTCTCCTTGCCACTGCCTTTGGCCCAACAATCTTTCCCAATGTGCCCGAACTTTCTGCAATTGGAACAGATGGACTTGCCTCAGTTTCAGCATTCACTAGCCGTGTGTCCCATCTTATGACAGATGGAACATTTCTTGATCAAGTCTCACTTCCGCTTCTGGCTCTGGGCAGTAAGTGCTTGCCCTGGCTCAACATGCTAATTGTGGTCAAAATGGTGTATATATTCGCTGATAACTACAGCGATCAATTCCGGTGTCATCATTGGCAGAGAGTTTGGCTGAGAACTCATCACGCCAGTGTACAATGCCATATATGAGTCCCAGCTGCTGGGCAGGGACTTGATGAGGATCCCATTGAAATCTGCATTCATTATTTGCTTTCCCATCGTCTGTAATTGTTCGCATATCTCCCGAAGCTTGGTGATGTGCTTCGGGATATTCATGCCTTTGTCAGCATGGTAATCGTAGAAAACTCAACTCAACGTTATAATCCTGTGTTGTCCTTTCAGCTTCTTTACTGTGCGAAGCAGATCCCACATATGATGTGCTGTTGTTGCTCCTTCCATATGTGTGCATCGTCCAGGCACATGATGATCAAATTCCTCACCCTCTGATCCTTCTCGCCTCACTTCTGAATCTCGGCATCACACGCTTCTCTGGTATCTGGATTAGTACTCAGCTCCAGTTTCTGTATCTCACTGGTGACGTAGCCGAGAAGCCTTTTCTCATCCAGGAATGTGGTCATGTGCCTCTTCCATGGCATCCAGTTGTCCTCCTTCAGAGGATGAATCCGATACATACTGTTCGGAATGTCCTTGTCATTGTTCGACATTGTGTCGCCCGGAACAGGGGTAGTTTTTCTCATATGGGTGAGGATAGTTTTATTGGTTGTTAGCAGCAGTAGGATACAAGTCCGAGGTTCAGATGGTCTCCGGGCTCATAACCTGTTGAGAATAATAGGTAAATTCCCAGAGGATATCACGATGATGTCTCGGATGAAGGGAAGACCCGATTACTCAGCCGGGTTCCCGAAATAGATTTCTTTATATACATTCTATATAAAGTTCCCTTACATAATCATTCTCCGCTGTGGCGGACTCCATGGGTGCCCTCGGATCGCTTCCTCCGGGCATTCCCAACAAGGTGTGTAATTAACAAGGACCATGCAATTTTGGCGCCACAGGCTGGCAAAAAATGCCTCTTTTCCATTGGTTTGGGGTCGGCGGCGAGACTCGTTGTGACACTTGTCCGAAATCCGGCAGGCCATTGGCCTTGTGACCTGTGACCCGCCGGGTTGGTCGAAAATGATCTTAATCTTTAGCGCTCGCGCTCAACGGGCAATTGCCACTAATGTTGTTGCCAATCAACATCTGTCGGTTTTGCAAACAATCAACATGTATTTAAGTACTGAAAGTAACCTAGTACAATCATCAAAGTCTTCTGGTGCGAAGGTGACAGGGATGAGCTAGACTTTCCCGCCTCACCAGTGTACTACTGGACAGTGGAGTAGACCTTCGCCTCTAAGTAGATTTACCCTTCTCGTTTTCCAACACCTTGATTGTCTTGGTAATTTCGCCCATGACGACTTCGTATTCCAGGGGGGTGTATCTATTGTTTATGCAACCGCAGACGTAAATTCGGAGGTCTGCAAGAAGTGCACGGAGAGAGTGAGACAAATATTGCTTCGCGGCTTCAGGTGTTTCGAACGGGGCACCGCCTTGCCTCTTCCATCGGATAGAGTCCACCTTCGTCTCCCCAAAGCAAGAGTTGAAATGCTCCTTGAGCTTGTTCCGATCAGCCTCTGTCGTAGGATGGAATGTCGTGAGCTTCCGGGCGATGCCGTAGCACAGAACCCAGCAGAACGATTCGATGTCGTGGGTCACTGCATGGACGATGGGAGGTTCATCGGTCTTCCCGAGCATTATGTGGTACAGAATTTCTTCTGCCATGAACTGCACTGTTCCCTACACGTATCGTATATTAGGCACACTACATTTGATACGATATTGCGAAACTTACTGTCATGGCGGCGCCACGCAGTACTGGTTTTTCCGCTCCAAAGGTCGTGTGAGTTCGTGTAGTTGATTCAGTATACTTGCCGGAAGGATGAAGCCTCGATGGAACCGGGAGAGTGACCGTAGTTTGCGGAATCACCGTCTTAGCGACAAGGTAAGCGAACTCCAAATCGGTGATGAATGCTGAGCCACCAGGTTTGGCAGGGAGCAGGACATTTCCGGCACTGACATCTCTATACAGGATACCCTGTTGAGACAGAAATCTATGACCTGAAGACTGCATTCAGCAAAATCTTGGTTATAAACCAAATGCAGCATACCTTGCAATGCCCCAACAATACCGGTGAGTAACTCAAGCTCCGTATTGTAATCCCAAATTGGACGACCAAGAGTTGTGAGAAACAACCGGTGAAGAATAGGTGTTTCCTTCTCGACTGAGAAGCATCGACGGAGCGCATCAACACTGAGCACTGCCTCTGTGGACAAACGGACGTCATCCCCGTAGCTGAGCCTGGCAACCCCGGGATGACTCCCAACGATAGCACTATATATGTCGGCTTCTGCAAGGCGTCTGCTGCTTCTCCAAGCACTTTTCATCACAACGATAGAGTCAGACAGCCTGCCGTGCTGGATTTCCGCAACGCGCCACACGGAAGTACCGCGACCGATGAATGACAGAGAATTCCAGATTGGAGGACCCACGGTGCACCATCGGCGACTGCTATTCCCGCCCATTGAGATGGAGTAAGATGGGAAGGTGGGCACTCCAGACCCGAGCAACTTCGTTGCAAGTATCTGAGCTGCACGGGAGTCCGCACTCCCTTCTGGTAGCATAATTGCGGTGGGATCTTGTCCAAGATCTGTAGGTGACATATCACACGCCATACGGCGCACAATGCGGACGAACTCTTCTGTCTCCTGCTACATGTCATGTATAGGAGAGAATGTGACACCATCACGATCGAATATACCAACACAGAATCTGGTACCGAAGATGAGGAGCCCAACGGAGAAAAGCTGGAAAGGCTTTGCAGACAAATGCAGCCTGGCATAGTCGGCACACTGTGTCACAAGCGAGGGAACTCGTGTGTCATTTCTCCACACAGGCTTTGGCCCCTGCTTGTGGGACGGCTTGACCTCTACGAACGCTGCTCTCTCACGCCAGAGAGTAGAGCTTACATCTTGGTCCATCAAAGTGAAATCTGGAGCACCTGCCGGAAAGCCCCAAGTGTGGGCGTCCTGCGTGAGATACTTGGCATCGTTGATGAAATAACGACGATTTTTGGAAGATGAGGTTGGCAACGCAGCAGAAGGAATGGGAAATGATTCGATAAATTGGAACATTGTTCTCTGTACTTCCGATCTCGTCATCAACGCGGAGAAGACGACATGGAACAAAGACGTACAAGGTGTGGATACATGTCCTTTTCTCTTCTCCTCTTCGCCTGCTTTACGGGATCGGTGTCTTGGCTGCTAGGTTCCAAATCTTCTAGAGGCAGCTTATCAGCGGCTCCAGTGAGTCTTCTGAGCTGTCGCATAGCTTCAACAGGTGCGTTGTCTCTGCAGAGTCTAGCGCAACATTCGGAGACTAAATCGTCTGGCGCTTCAGATATACCTAGACGCTCGAGCACGACGAGGCTATCGAAGATTTGTTTCCCTTGAAGCTCTACGCCGAGATCCTGGCGGCTGGACCGCCAATCAGAGTTCGCAGTGTCCATGACATGGAGGATGATGTTGGCAGCCAGTGCCCTCTACCCTGCGGGGATAAACTTGAGAAGCCATGACGATGACGAGCCGTATTGCTTAAGCGAGAGAGCTCACCTTTATACTTCCAACAGAGTAACGCTCGAGTGCTGTCACAACTGAATAAAACATACATGAGGCAATGCATCGGATATGGAGAATGGGCGAAATGTACCGGTATCGTTTCTGGCTTGGTCTAGGGTGGTCCACAGAGCCAGCGTCTTGTCTGGGATAGTGAACCGAAATCTGTCTTTTTTGTCTAGGAGTGATCTTGCACCGTTCGAATTATGAATCCGGCTTTGCTGAAAATTGCAAAAAGTAATTAACTGCAAATGGAAAGTTTGAGAGCTATACTTGGGATAGAGATCACGAACTCAGAATACGCGGTTGTGAATGTAAACAAAATGCTGCGTACGAGGACACAACCTGCCGTAACCGATCTGTCGGAACGAGCCGAAGCTTCGCGGATGTTGACGGTACTGACAGGGACAGGAAAAGGCACTGCCGGTAGACGCCTGCAGTAAAACCACTACTATGCGGAAGACCCCTCCACGGTCAGTTGTGAAATAGGTACAACAGAGTGTCTGAGCGCAAGAAAATTCTGTGAAGGAATGTGAAGTTATGCCGGCTAGTCATTACGATATCACGCAGACATACACAACTGACGACGGCTGATGTGAAGTGAATGATACTCCGAAACAGCACGTATGGCTTTAAAATCCTTAAGAATAGTCCGTACGGACGCCAGGACAAATGCCGCGAGGCATGCTCGAGCACCCGAGTTGGCGGCTCTAGTCTGTGAGATAGTATCCAGATGCCAAAGACGCAACCAGAACTACTTCTTGGCCATTCCAGACTGACTGCAGAAGCGGAGTGGGCGTCTTAGAATGGTGTAACATATAACCCACCAAAACGATTCGACCGTACCTCGTGTTTTTGACATGGGCAATATGCCAACGCTGAACCCGTCCCTTGAACCCATGATTGGTTACCCATCTCTCTGCAGCTATAAGGTTTAGTACAGTTGCTGCTGCATGCACCACGACTTGTGTGAAAATGGTCACCATCCAGCACATTGCGCAATAACAAAACACTCACGCTCTTGGTACACCACCATTGGGACAACTCACCAACGATCAGCGCCATCGATATTTTCAGGAAGCCATCTATTGCAAGGCGACATGACCTAGTTGCATATACATCATCATACTGCCAATACTACTCGGACTCTTACTACTTTACGTGGCATTACTAGTCAAACTACATATGGATGTCCTACTTCCTCTTCTCCAACGTGTTGACAGTCTTCTCAATTTCCCCCATAACAAATTCGTATGTGAGAGGTTCTTTGTCCGTTATGTGGTGAATCACGTGAACTCGCAGAAGGTGGAAAAGCGAGCTGAGAGCCTCAGACATACATCCTAAGGCCGCTAGGTCCAGCTCCAATGGTTCCCCCATGGCCCTACTCTTCCGGATAAGGGCCAGATCCGTATGAGAAAAACACGATTTGTACCACTTCTGAAGTTGCTCGTGACGAGCTTTAGTCGACGGATTGGGTTTCTGCAAATGCCTTCCGATGCTGTAGGATAAAACCCAGCAGAAGGATTCAATATCGTGAGTTGCCGCGTGAGTGACAGGGGGTAATCCTTGCGTTTTCCTGTCATCCTGCAGTATTACTGCATGCAATATCTCAGCTGCCATGAATTGCGCTGTGCCCTGGGCAATTGTGGTTGGCAACGGAAGATTGGTAATACCGGGAAATACGTACTGTCATGGCTGCACCACGTAAAACTGGCTTCTCGGCTTCAAACGTTGTGCGAGTGCGTGTTGTTGACTCAGTCCGTATGCCGGAAGGATGACGTACTGGTGGTACTTGGATAGTGACTGTCGTTTTCGGATAAATCGTATCAGCGACGATACGAGCGAACTCCAGATCAGTAAGAAATCCTTCGCAACCGGGTTCGGCAGGCTGCTGAGGAAGCATGACATTGCCTGCACTGACGTCTCTATGCAGGATGCCTTGTTTGTAGAGGAATTCGTGGCCTTACGACCAATGATCAGCCGAGGATTAAGGGAAGATGTGAATCAAATACCTCGCATCGCTCCAAGAATCCCTTTCAACACCTCAATCTCCGTGGAGTACTCCCAGATGGGGCGTCCTATCGTATTCAGGAACAACCGATGAAGGACAGGTGTTTCTTTCTCCTCCAAGAAGCACCGACGAAGGAGATCGACGCTGATCACCTTGTCTGCCAAATGGACATCGTCACCGTAGCTGAGCTTGGCAACACCAGGATGACTTCCAACAATGGACTTGTAGATGTCTGCCTCTGCTAAACGCTTGCTACTTCTCCAGGCACTCTTCATCACCACGACGGAGTTCGACAACTTGCCATGATCAAGCTCGACAACGCGCCATATGGACGTGCCACGACCAATGAATGACAAAGAAGTCCAGAGCGGAGGGCCCACCGTACACCACTGGCGGGGATTGTTTTCCCCCATGGACACAGTGTACGATGGAAAGGCGGGAACGTCAGAGCCTAACAACCTTCCTGCGAGCGCCCGAGCGGCACCCGGCAGCGAACTGTCTTCTGGAACCTCAACCGCTGTGGGATCTTGACCAAGCTCTGTAGGAGACATGTCGCATGCCATACGGCGAACAACGCGGATGAACAGCTCCGTGTAGGCCCAAATGTCATGTATTGGAGAAAATGTGACACCATCACGGTCAAAGATACCAACGCAAAAGTGGGAGCCGAAGATGAGCAGGCCGACAGAGAAAAGCTGAAAAGGTCTTGCAGACATGTGCAGCCGTGCGTAATCAGCGCACTGCGTCACGAGCGAAAGGACGGTATCGTCACTGGTCCTCACAGGTTTGGGTCCTTGCTTGGATGAAGGTTTGATTTCTGCAAATGCGGCGCGCTCACGCCAGAGCGTAGACTTTACGTTTAAGTCTATCAAAGAGAAGTCGGGTGCACCTCTCGGAAATCCCCAGAAGTGAGCATCCTGCGTGAGATACTTCGGATCGTGAATAAATTGACGACGATAGCGGACGGTCTGTGGCGTTGTAGTAGTCGAAGGAAAATTTTCAATGAATTCAAAAATCTTCCTCTATTTCCATGCTCTAGTCAGCGAGTTGTGTCATAGTATGTAGTGAAAAACGTACGAGGTGAGGATACATTTCCTTTTCCCTTCTCCTCTTATCCTGCGTGACCTCATCCTTCTCTCCGGACTTCTGCTCCAACTCATCCAAAGTAAGCTTGTCAGCATTTCCTACGAGCCTTTTGAGCTGTAGGATAGCTTCAGAAGTAGTTCTGTCTTCGAAGAGTGCGGCACGACACTGGGTGACTAGGTTATCGGAAACTTCAGAGATACCTAAACGATCAAGTACGCGAGAGCTGTCGAAAACCTGTTTCCCCTGGAGGTCCGCACCCAGCGCCTTGCGGCTAGAGCGCCAGTCGGATACCTCCATAGACTGAGGCTTTCGAGGAGAGAATTCAGAAGTCATAGCAGTGAGAATGGGTGAGTTGGATTGCTCGGACAGACTCACTTTTAGTACACCTGACGAGCGTCAATCAGGTAAGCAGGAGCTATGCCAAATTGTTGTTACAACCTAACGAAATACAATAGGTGACGTGTTGATATAGGCATATGAGAAACGTGCGGGGGATCACGTACCAATCTGTGCCGAAAGTTTCTACTCTGCCAGGCTGCGCACATGAGATAACGATCCGTCTTTAGTGACTACATACTATTCCAAATCTTACCTCGACTCTACGAAGGGTTGCGTCGTATTGGAAATAGTGAGGCCAAGCTCAAAGTCAGGATGCGTCGAGGTTGCCACGATCTCCGATCGGAATATGCCGATGTCTTCGGAAACCACATGCTACCACCCACAAGTCTGAGGCCCACACCCACGTTCCAACCTCCACTGTGACATCGCGGCAAGTGCAAGTACTCGTACGGTTAATACATTACTATATATTTACGAAGTGCTGATACTTGTTGCAGCCTTTCCGACCGAAGTTTGTAGCGACTAGTAGACTATCCACCGCTTGTGAGTCCTCGCTGTCCGTCTCCTGACTGCAATATGGTAGACCTTTGTAGGTACGATGCCGTCGCATACCTGGTGTAAGTGACTTGACTCAGCCTCCAAGCGTTAGTCCTTATCGATTGATTTTGCCCAGGAGCGCCGAGCCGACTCGCGAAGCTTCATGTGTCTGCCCAGCTGTCGACTCAGCAAGGACTATGATGTTCTGCATCATCTTACCATCAGCTGAGTTCGGCCCCGGAACCTGCGTTGTTATCAGTCTATGGCTCGATTTGATCTTCAAATCTTACTCGTGGTCGTTCTCTCAGGCATTTTTCTAAGTCGCTCTCCCAAACCGAATTCGAAATCTGTTTGACTCACAGAGACGGTCAAATTAGGGTGCTACACTACCTTTAGCCACAGACGTGTTCTTCGCGCACGTGCCAACTTGAAAATTAAAAAGTTCGGTCGCTCTGCAAACCACGGCAGTCACTCCCGGCCCTCCCTCACCAACTATCGTCATCACTCTTAGAATGCCATTCTATATCTGCGATATACAGGACTGCAGCACCCCGAGCGTGCGCAAAGGTTGTTCTTTATGTGACCGCCACCTGTGCGCCACACACATAACATCAGAGAACCATTCTTGTCTCAGAACAGACGTGAGTTTTTTTCAATCGCTTACGGACTGAGCCGAGTCGCTTAAAGGACGACAATCAGATGTACGCATTTGCAAGAGCTACAGAGCGAGACATCACAGCTCTTTTGTCACGTATTCACGTCGAAGCTCTGCGAGCCAGAGCGAGCGCCTTGAGGAACGGTGTCTCGTGCACAATACCACCACTGTCGTACGACACGGAGACTTGTTGGGATGTTATGGGTGGTATGAACTATCATGTCAATATTATTTTCGAAGATGGAGTCGTTTGGCTTTGTCGAATCCGCCGGCGAGACGTATCTTCCCCTCCCACCGTGTTGCAGAATCGTATTCTCCTCAGTGAAGCGGCTACCTTGCGCTATCTCTCCACAACGTCTGTTCCGGTTCCCAAAGTGTACGATGCCATCGCCGATTCTCCGTCTAACCCTGTTGGCGTTGGATATATCCTAATGGAGAAACTGCAGGGAAAGTCGCTCGATTGGTTCGACTTGGACCGTGACGGCAAGTCCAAGATTCTGGAGCAACTCGCACAGATTTATATAGAGCTCGAGAAGCATGTGTTCCCTGCGATTGGGTGTCTCGAGGAGGGAGGCGTAGTGGGACAATTGGTCAACAGCGCTGCCGCGGATGTAGACGCTGTTGGAGACCTTCAGCTTATGGGACCGTTCACCACTTCATTCAAGTACAGGTATACGCTCGTCATGCATCAGCTTGCTATCATCGGAAATGGAGAAGTGTACGCCTCAAAAGCGCATGCCGTCGATGCATATCTTGTCCACCGATACCTCTTGGATCATATGTCCCTCTTCGTTCCACAAGACGAGATGGAGAAGTCTGGCTACTACCTGAAGCACATGGATGACAAGGGCGATCACATTCTTGTCGACGAAGCACTCAATATTCTTGGCGTGGTTGACTGGGAGTGGGCACAGACAACGTCGAAGCGCGAGGCGTTCGCGGCCCCAATATTTCTCCTCGATGTTCTTGCATACTTCAAAGGCAAGAGTGAGCTCAGCGACGACGAGTTGCTCTTCGCTTCAATCCTTGAATCTCAAGGACGCTACGACTTGGCTTCCTTCGTACGTAAAGGTCGCGTGGAGCATCAATTGGCCTTCTGTATTGGTGGAGATTATGAGAGTGAGAGCTTTCAAACTTTGTTCTCCAGTTTGCGCGCGTCCTTGCAGATCGCCGAAAATGATGATCCGAAGGTAGATTGGGAGCTCTGGAGGAAGGAGGCTCTTACTAAGTATAGAGATGAACCCGTCTTGCGAGCATTAATGTCTGATTTGTGAAGTGGTTCGCCTATTGTACTATGTCAATCCGCTCCAGCGTTGTTCGTATTTTCTTCGTCATACTTGTTTGTTTATTGCTGTTCATTCTACGTTATCGGTGTATCTCCTCTGTGTGTTATCTTGCTATTTCGAAATGCATTCCTGTTGCAGCAATACCGCAAGCGGGGCGTTATATACTATGTGTTTCGAGCAAGTCGAACTAAGGACCTGGCATAAGAGCGCGGCAAGATGTAGTGGGGCTTCCAAATCGAATGCGCCGGTCTGACTCGATTGCGAACAGGAACCTTGTGATCCATCGTTGCGAGCGCTGAGCGACAAGCCTCATGTGTTGCGCGTTTTTCACGCTATACCATAGTGATGGAGTCAGCATAATCATTATCTGCAGCTTTGAAGCCCAGCTCAACAATGGGAGTCGAAGATGCAGGCAGCGAGATCAAAGAATGGGCTTACACGAGGTATCGCAGACAGCGACGTATCTGACCGTTACGGCACCCTGCCACCTTGCTACGGGGAGAAGCTGGTGCGCACCCTGCGAGACCCATGACAGGCATAGCTCCTTTATGGTGACAGATGACTAGGCTGAAGGAACGAGGCTTGTGAACAGATCCGGGTGCTGTAAACAGTTTCTTGTTCTATTAGCAGGAATGGGAAAACTTCTGCGACGGGCGTCAGTGGACCTAGGAAACCGCGCTGAGGAACCACCGAGAACGATGGCAGATGGAAATGTCGCACGCCTCGACTGCGATTTCTGACATTTAAAAGGCCAAGAGAAGGACGACCGAACTCACCGTCTCAACCTCCATCGGCACTTTCCACAAAAATCTCACGTTCAATCATCCTCATCCTGCTACGAATGGCGGATAGCTTTATCTTGCACTAGGTCCATGGATAGTCGCAAGAATTACGAAAGTCGATGTGGAAGAAGACCGTGTCCGGTGGATGCTGCTAATGGCATTCAGACTACTTCTCCGTGTGGCCAATGCAAACGGGATCTCATTGCCCCGTTGATGAGCTCAATACGGAACTACGGGGTCTCCTTCGGGCGTGCGATGAGCTTCAGACCACTGACCTCATTATTCCTGAGCCTCTCTAACCCTTCAGGAATCCCCGCCAACCCACTAGGCAATACCTCAACACGATTCGGCTAAAAACACGTATGTACAAACACCGGCACAGACGGACGATATCTTGCTTACCTTGATCAATCCCCGTTCCAGCAAAGACGTCAGCTGCCCGAATAGGCTTGCGCTCGTCCTGCGGTTCTCAACAGCGTAAGTGTCTCCTTCTGCGCGCACGATCTTCTTCTCCGGAGTCTTCTTGAGAGAAGCCAGAGAGCTTGGCCAACTGAATCACTGCCATCGGAAGTTTCAGCCGGGTCGGAGTGCCGAGTAAATGATCATTTGGCGCGTACCGATTTGACCCACTGAAGTAGTACCTCCAAAGATCATCATTGGCTTTCCTGCATACTTCCCTCGTCCACCCCTTTCCCACGGTGGGAATAGAGCCGCGCTGCTGGCGGGATCATCTCGATTGAACAGACCAAGCGCTGCTGTCACCACGCTCACTGGGAGTGATGCAGCGTCATCGAAAGAAAGCTTGTACGGAATCTTGCGTACGTACGTCACCCAGGGCGCGAAGGGGGACACATGGCACGCTGGGTACATACCTTAGCTGTGATGTCAGCGTCAGCAAGAATACATTGTGGAAAGTGGCATGAGCGTTATCGAAGGCGCCCTCGGTAAACCTGGCGAAATGCAAAGGATCCTCATCAACATGGGATTCCTACCTCAGAATGAGCAAAGCAACTCACACTCTGTCACCGATAGCGAATCCAGATACTCCCCTGCCGAACCCTACCACAATACCAGCAGCGTCCAGGCCTAGGACAGCAGGGTATTCTGTGATAAAGATACCGCGCGTTTGGATCTTCCAATCTACGGGGTTTAAAGCGGAAGCTTCGACTTTCACAAGCAACTCGCCAAAGCCGGGGGTCGGCATGTCCAGGGCTCGGATGACAAACGGACCCTGTTTGTAGGGGACGATGAGTGCTTTCTGCTGGGCAGGCATGGTCGATGGTAGTCAATGGACGCTCCCAAGCTTGCACGATTGACCTATTTGCTAGTGAGTACTCCACAATCAAGGTTCTGCCCTCGGGTGCACCTCTGAGAAGTTCGCCGAGCTGAGATAACGAGAGCTTAGCACCCATGAGATTAGACATGCTACAAATTCATGCGACGGTCAACTAAACGTGCCATGTGCCTCTGCGTTTGGAATACCAAGGTAATGAGGGCACGCAAGCGGAACAATGAAAAGAAACCTAGGTCACTTTTGCGTTTTCTGGGGCGGCAGAAACGCGGGGACATGTTATGATTCGAGAGTCAATAACACCTTGTGCCCAAATTCGAAGCGAGCGTGACCCGGTCAGCGTCTGTCTTATAGGAACGAAGTACGGTACTCACCGTACGCGTGTGACGAATATTCCTGACACACTACTTGCACTCGCGTCCACGTATATCGAGAGTCATGCCCTTGTTCAAGGCAGGCATTGCTCCTTGCTGGATCGCAAGAGATCGCACCGACCACTAACCACTTACGGATGAGATTAGTCACTGGTTCCATCGTGGGCGCGTATGCACCCGCGCATGATGTCGAATGCCGTGAGTTCTAAGATTTGGTTTGATATTGCGATGTCATGGCGCAATCAGGAAGTGTGTCATATCCGAGGTCTGTAGGAGTTGCACGTCCCGGACGACGTACGACAGAACGAGCAGCATTATTGAGGTGAAGCCCTATAGAGAAGAATCAAGGTCCGTGCTGTCAGTTCCATACCGCGGCAGACCTAAGCACAGATATCTCCTGCGTTAGTGTACTTACTCCGTGAGAATGGAAGTGGAATGTAAGTCCTGAGCCGACCAAGAGGTACAGAAAAAAACAGCAGGAGATCGACACCACTGAGCCCGACGAGTGATCAGGGTTGCCTGAGTAGTTAGGCTGAGTGATAACAGATCGTTTAAGACGAAAGAGCATCGATTTGTTGAAACTCGAGCGAAACGTAGAAGACTCGTTCAACGCTCGGATACTAGCGCCCGCAGTACCATGGGCGCTTGCCTTTTGCCCTCGTTCTGTCCGAGTCTTCCAGCACGTCTCGACCTCGTTTCTCGTTGTATCAGGGTATCTTGAAAAGCTTGCGTGCTTTGTCTGGTCCAGATCACTGTGCAGAGACTCCTGTGTTTTCGTGCGAGCTCGAAGACCAGGACCAAATTACCAAGTTTTCCAGCGTGAAGGCCGAGGATGATGTCCCTCGATCCGTGACGGTCTGATTCTGGATAATCTGGCCGTAGCCTTCTCTATTTTTCACACGACAACGAACGCAGTGGGGGCTGATGAGGCCGAGCTGCTATTGAATATTGATGTCTTACTGGGTTGGAACTTGGCGCGGCGTCTCTCGAGGAGCTCAAGAAGATGTACATACATACGTTGGCGATCTCTGGACTTCTGAAATGTCGGAGCTGTCTGATTTCAGACCTCCTGTTCAGTCATCTTTTTCCTTGAGCTCGGTCGGTACATGTGTGGGTCTGTTTCACAGACGTCGACGTTAACGTTATATAACGCACACAAGGTCCAAGGGTTGACTCATCCATCTAGGGAATCACGAAGATGAACGGAAGTCGGATGCTGCAGGTTCACATTTGATGGTCATCGACGCGTAATATGAACGCAGTGCTCCATGCGTTTATCGCATGTCGCGCGACTTCGTGTCGACAGCGCATAACTGCCTACAGCCAAATAGCGCAACGACAGTTCACTCAACTGCGCCATTTGCTCTGGTAAGTCTTACCATACCCTAATTTCAGAAAATCAGACTGTCTGAAAAATGACACGCCATCCACAGCTTCCTCCTCTGTTCCACCGCAGCAACACCGCGAGTGTTCGCACGTCCAACACATGCAGACAACCCTCTACATCACTTTTCCCGGATTCCAGCCTAGGTAGTGTTTGCTGGTCGGCGAAGACGATGGCTGTCCACCTGAGGAGCTCAACGTGGAAGTGTACGAGCACGAGGAGTTCGAGCAAGACTTGTCAGACGAGCTGTACGCTCGGATCCACTTTGAAATCATGCGCGATCCCTCGGGCTGCTCTCGACGCGTCGTACTGAAGATGTCTTTCCCGAACACAAAACACGAGCTCGTTCGCGAAGCCAAGTTTTACGCGAACGAGTTGAGGCCGTTGCAGGGCGACCCTGTCCCCCGATTTTACGGATTATTTCGCGGCGAGGGTCTGGCATTTCCGGGCGAGGACGAGGTGGCATGCATCGTGCTCGAACATTGCGGATGGTCGGTGGGCGATCATCTCCATCACACGCCTCTCGCCGACAGGTCAGCCGTTCCGAGTCTACAACGCAGATCGCGCCGACAAGTAGCACACGGTGTAAGATCCTGGGCCAGCTGCGGAAAGTGTGCATCGTGCCGGTGTCCTGTACCTGCACGATTTCGAGGAGCGGCACGTCCTAGAGCAGGATGGGTCGTTCAAAGTCATCGACTTTCACCGAGCGCAAATCCATGAACCCCCGTGCGACTCTACGTTGCCCGATGATCTGCTCGCTGGCAAGCCCATCCCCGACGTGATGACGTCCGGCTGTAACGTCATTTGGGTTTATTGTTACGAATTCCGGATCTGGGATAATGGTGGGATTAAGTGGAGGGTCCAACAGCTGATACGCTTGTAGGCCTTGTATCTCTTGCAGAAGGCGAAAGAACCTTAGCCAGAAGAGATGGCTGGCCCTCTCAGGAAATCCTCGATGCATTCACGCCTACGTGCGTCGGTTCGTGGTCAGACGAGGCCGTGGCGACTCTGTTTGAAATGCTGAAGATCATGGCTCCGGAGATCAAGCGAGGGCGATTGGAAGATCTAAAGCCGACCGTTAACGCGAGGTATTTAGAACTACTGGAGAAGGAGGCGCCTCTGCGCACGCACATATTCCTGTTCCGTGAGTATCGAGAGTGACCGCCGACCGGTGTCCGTGCAGTATGTGTGTCCCAAGTTGTTGTGTATCTCGACATGCTGATCGCAAAGCGTTTAACGTCATTCATTTTGCTGACGTACACATCGAAAATATCCATGACCCGGTGTCACGGTATACATACAGAACAATATAATCCATGGTTTGTCCGTCCCGTGTCCCTCCGTACGGTTGCCGAGGATGGACAGGTCTGTTCCCCAAGACTCGCAGCGACCAGGCTCCTTCCCACCGTAGTTTCGAGTTAAGGGGGCGATATACAAACATTTCACGCAAGCTTCATCCCAGAACATATCAGCCACCGATCACATGATAATCACGTGAAAATTCAAACTCCCTAACTTTATTCCCCCCAAACTCTCCACTACGGCTGGCATCAAACATTGGAACAAACAAACGCCACCCGGGTGCGTCTCACAAATCAGGCAGTCACGCACCGCATTTTCCTGGAATTTATATATTCTGGAGGTTGCACCTCGAGAGCAGCACGCCCTTGTTATTCACTTTGCACATAAGTTTTGGTGCGGAAGAGGACTTGTATAGCTAGTTATATATGAAATCCATTATATTATCTCAGACTTAGCACAACAAAAGGTTGCGAGACAGCGGATGAGGCTCAAGCAGGTGGAGGAATACCGGTAAGCTTTGCGGAAAATGCGGTGCGCGACTGCCTGATTTGTGAGATGCGCCCGGGTGGCGTTTGTTTGTTCCAATGTTTGATGCCAGCCGTAGTGGAGAGTTTGGGGGGAATAAAGTTAGGGAGTTTGAATTTTCACGTGATTATCATGTGATCGGTGGCTGATATGTTCTGGGATGAAGCTTGTGTGAAATGTTTGTATATCGCCCCCTTAACTCGAAACTACGGTGAGAAGGAGCCTGCGTAGCGACGTGGCCTGGACACATGACCTATATGCAGTATGCCGAGAGGTGCCACAATGGCCGCTGAGCCGGAGGCCGGCTCGATGAGGTCCACCTGTCTAACATTGGTCTAACGGGAGTTACGGCACTTGAAGCTGTCTAATTATCTTTGAATGTTTCCCAAGGCATGCGCGCAACAAAATACACGCTCTGAAGTGACGGAACATCCGGGCTTACTGCCGTCGAGATTGTCGTGTCAGTGCACCACCAGCCACCAGTATACCACATAAGGTTTGTTTGTCTGGGCCAAACAAGTTTCCGCATGACTACACTACCAGATGAGCCGGGTACCGGACGGATGACCAGGACCGGAGTTACCTGGTGGATAACCGTCAGGTACCCACCAGAGGGTTTTGACACAGTACCCACCGTGTAAATAATATAGTTAACTGTAGTTTAACCAATGATGGCTATCTCGCAAGTAAACCGGGGATATACATAACGTACCCACTGGGTACCGGACCGGTAGCTGGCTCTGGTTACCCAGCGGGTAACTGGAGCTGTATACCGTGTTGGTATCCGCTGAGCAACTCGCATGTGTCTAGCACGCAACCTGTGGTCCCGGCAGGGGATCACAAGAGGCAGGTTACACTGCCATATAATTGCACAATATTACTACATTACAGTACTGTACAGGAATACACAGCATGTAAATACATGGTTAGAAAACTAAAAGGTAGATAGGATGGGCTGGAAGGCAAGTGAGAGCGATAGCACGTTGGCGGCCCCGGATGGCAGGAGGAGCGCAGCAGGGGGTTCGAGCTTCACAGAGGCCAGCAAGGTGCTGCAAGCTATGATTCCATCCTGTGAGAAATTCCACTGTAAAGGTACTTCAGGAGCTCACCAGTAGCAAATTTGCAAGCCAAGTCACGCTAAGCCTCACGCAAGCCGCCCTTCCCATTGCTCCCCACTCGTGTTCGCACTCTGCACGTCAATGCGGCTCGGCTGGGATAGATGATGTCACTTCCAGAAATATGGGAATATCATACCTTCAAGATCAAACGTCGCAAGGAAAGAGAGGTCGACCGAGAACGCGCGTGCAGTACCAGTGAGAAATTGCTAAGTCCAAATGCCCATGTTGATCTTCAATAAGCCAAACAAAACACAACAAATGACGGGAGCTCTCGCCGCCCGTCGGATTCAAAGTTCTGCTTTCGTTCTTACATCTTATATTTACTTAGCCTGCCGGTAAATATTGGCCTCATTGAAACCCAAACATCCAATGGAGGACCTTTTGAAAAGCATGCATAGGGAGGGAGACTCAAACATGATGCCAACAGCGACAGCGACAGCAATATTTGTGTGCCGAATCCCCGCCCCCGCCGACTGTACGCACGCGTACTACGACGGCAACAGCAACAGCGGCATGGGCTGAGAGAGATATTATGAACATGCTTAAGGAAATCTTGACAGGTTTGCACCATCAACACCGAAAATATTGTAGTCTGATAGGCAATGTCGTACAGCATGGATGCTTGCCAGTACCACACAGTTACCCAACGGGTACCCAGCGGATAACTGACACTGGGTACCCACCAGTTACCCAATTCCAGTTACCCACCCGGTAACTGTACCATGGCGCCAGCCGGTAACCGCCAGCTATATAGAAAGTAACTAGTGGATGACTACAAATTAACTAACGGTAGGTAAACACCAGGTATCCAAACCATATACCGGATGGTTAGCTGAGTTTAGTTACGGACTATATGCTTGATATATAACCGGCGGTTACACTCTGTAAAAACGGGAAGTCCAACAAAGTCATATGTAGTCAAACAGTATACAGTCGTTGTCGCATTATAGTCTACTGCTAGTCACAAAAATTGTCAGCTTACAAATTGAGAAAAAAATGCCAAGAAATTTGTCATACAGTAGTCTGCAATAGTCAAGAGATCTGCTAGAATGTATTAAAGCCTTCTTCTAGATCCTCTGCCTCTTCCTCTGCCTCCCTGGCCTCTCCCCTTTCTTCCGGGGTCAACCAATCAAGTCCTGGATGCTTTCTAAGCACATAGACAACAGACTTGTAGTTCCATACTCCAACAACATCCACAATTTCTGAAATTGGGGCAACTTTGATCTCATTAGACCACTTCCCCTTCCAAGTCTTCAATGGATGCTGTATATCATTGATTGGATGATAAACAGCTATTGCCTCTCCATTGAATTGGTAGAATGCAAGTGCTTCACCAAAAATTGGGGCTGTACTTCCAGCCAGATGACCCTCGAAGTAGCGATGAGATCTTGAGGGAATTTTGCCTTGGTGAAGCTCGTCCAAATGGCTGTTCAAGACAGCACCTTGACTGCCTACACGTAGTTTTCCATATCTTGTAACAATTGCATCAAGATTGAAAGCAATCTGCTGTGACTCTGAGATTGCTTGTAATTGTTGATAGAATACCGTTCCTGGTTTACGCTCCTTTTTGTTCACTGCAAATTTGGAAAAAAGCAATGACTTATTGGTGTCTGGTTGTTTCGAAGTCGGTGCGAGTGCAGGATAGTATAGAAGAAGGGATTCAACAAGTTGTCTTTTCAAAATTAGGTTGGCCAAATTTGCAAATGGTGCCTTCTTGGAACGAATTTTTGAACCAAGTTTCCCAATGGTTCTTTCCATAGTTGCTTGTGAGCCAAGGCATATAGAGCCATACCATTTGATGTGGATGGGCACATGAATTAACTGAAAAATGCATAGCCGAAATCTTGAAATTTTTTCTGGATCGACTCCAATGTATAGTGTCTGAAAATCTATCAGAAATGTCTTGATCATATTGTGAAGCCAGTGAATATCGGCATCGCTTCTAGGCCTGATTGTCATGACAAACTCTACAATTTTCACAAATTGGGAAAAATTGTAAAGGACCATAGAATTGAAGCCCAGTTCCAATCCAATTGGAAGAATATACCAATGAAGCAAAGCCATCCATTCGTAGATTTTGTACTGGCTTTGTCGTTTCAAATAAGGATCACGAACTGGTCCACAGAATGATGGAGGGAGTGAGGACATTGCTTCTGAGATCAGAGTTCCAAATAATGCTGCTTTCTCTTTGCTGAGATGAATTGGATCTTGAGGTGAACTAAAAGTAGTCCACAAATCCCATATAAAAGCCATTTAGTTTTCATACTGGAGTGAAATGGATCCAAAGGATAGAAGGATGGATGTATGAATGCATGACTTGCTGCAGCTAGAGGCATACGAGAAATTCCAGTATCTTGTGTAATCGCAGCTTGTTCTCTCTTTGAGGTAGCATGCAGAAGCTTTGCAATGGTGTCCCAATATTTTGTTTCAGTCCGCAATGGTAAATTGTCAAGATCATAGAAAGGGGTGCGACTGGGATTATATCTTGCATTATCTGGAGGTGATATAGGATAGTACTATGCCTTTGCTCCTTTCTTGAGGCTCGAGCGTGCACCCTGTACTTCACTAAATCGATCACCATAAAGTCCAGAGTGTCCTGCCATTCCATTCATTTTTGCAGAGCCCAGCATATCTTTAAGGACCATGCAAAGAAAAGCATGGTGAACAAAATACGAGGAATCGATGGCATCCCACATCCAAATGCCCTCACTTGCCATAGCTAGATCTTCAAAAAGAGGTCGCAAAAAGGATTCAATGTCTCCTGGACTTTGTGGGCCTGGAATAGCCATAGGAATGAGAATGCGATGAGATTTATAGCGCAGTTCTGGAGGGAGATTCAGCAAGATCAGGATAAGGATCCATGTGTTTGAGTGTTTCTTCATTGTGAGCTGAGCACCATCTATGGACAAGGCAAATGCAATATCTCGTGAATCCCGAAATAGATCCATCTGTGTATAATGATGGATGTGCACATTGGAATCTGCAAAATCTGAATAGAGCCTTTGAGACTAGAAAATTCTAAATCAGTTTCAAACATATTAAATATATATATATAAGTAAAACCTACCTGTGAAGCTTCTGCAAGCAATTTTAAGGTCTGCTGTAAATATTTATCCCTATATCGTAGAAGTCTTGAAGTCTCCACATTTGCAAACATGACCTTGATAACTGCAGTAAATGGGGTATAAAGCATCTGTGCTCTGGGCTTTTTTGCAGCTCAGTACCGTGGCTTTTCACAGAGTTTGTTGTCTCGAAGAAATGGACAGGTATCCATCTTTTCGAATTGACCAGTATAAGCAATGCAGCTTCGTGGACACATATCAATTTGCAGTGGTGTGGTGTCTGTTAAGGTCATTGCTAGCTTGCGGACCAAATATAGGGACAAGATATCCACTTGGGATGCATCTGCCAAAACATTTGCATGATAGTTATATGCTTTCACTGTTCCATTGGACAGCTTCCAAGCAATATAATGTCGAAGAGATTGAAATTCAGACCTAGATAAATCCCGTGGTGGAGATGCAGAGAAAGGAGGCTCCGAGGGACAGAAATATTTATTCAGGAGAGCTTTCTGAAGATCCACTCGTGCTTGAGGATATTGAAAATGAGCAGGCTCCGCGATATCGTCTTGAGTCTCAGTATCACTTGAGTTGATACCACTTGTATCACCATCATCTGAATCTATATTACTTGAGTCAGTTTCTTGAATTTGAGGAGGAAATATACCACTTGTATCACCATCGTCTGAATCTATATCACTTAAGTCAGTTTCTTGAATTTGAGGAGGAAATATAAGAAGATTTTCATTCTCTTCCTCGACTTCTTCCTCAGCTTCTGTATTGGCTTCTTCCTCAGCTTCCTTCTCATCATCCTCCATATCTTCATCCACTTCCATAGCATATACCTCTTCCATATTTTCATCAACTAGATCTCTCTCCTCACTTATATTCAAACTGTCCTTAGCATTGGAGGCTATAATTATATTAGCTGTAAGATTTACCAATAACTAAGTAAAAAACATACAAGGATTCAAACTGTCTGAGTCTATAATTATATTAGCTGTAAGATTTACAAATAACTAAGTAAAAAACATACAAGGATTCAAACTGTCCTTAGCATTTGAGTCTATAATTATATTAGCTGTAAGATTTACAAATAACTAAGTAAAAAATATACAAGCAGCCAATATTTCACTGGAAGCTTCTGATGATATGTTCCACAGTGTCTGAGCGTTCAAAAAAATACAGGTGTGAAGATGGTCGCAAAACTCCTCTGTGTGAAACAGATGTTCAAGCTCTTCAATATCTTTGTAGAGGTGTTTTCGAATAGTTTTGGGACCGCGTTCCTTGCCGGGGTGGCATTGACTGCACTGGCAAAGCATATTGTCTTTAGTCTCAGGAGTGTAGAGCTGATCAGAAAAGTGTAATGAGATATAGTGAGAGTCAGAGAACAAGAGAGCAGTACGGCCAATAGCCGCGTTGCATCCGTCTGGTTACAATGTGGTCCATTTCCTAATTTGGATTGCTGACAAATCTCGAAAACTCAAACCTTGCGGACATGGCGCTCTCTGTGTTGGCCGCCTAGTAATGTCGTTCCAACCCTCTAATTTTTCAGATTTCTCTACTAACTTCTCTCTGCCTTCTGGATCTGCAAGTCTTCATCAGTCCTTCACTGATCATGACATTGCAGGGCTCGAGCTCTCCGAACTTATGAAGAATCGCCACGTTGCCGACTTGTACACCGAGCTGCGCAGAACAAGTGCTCAGGTGGTCAAGTTATCTGATGTACAGACTGAATTGATGCAGGTTATGCAAGAAAATAAGCAGTTGACACAAGAGCTGCAGGCCTTAAAGTCCGAGAAGAGCCGATCCCCAAGTTTTGTCAGGTAAGCTTTTCCCCTCATGTTCGATCCGATTAACCTATATACTACACAGTACTTCAACACTCATGCCAAGCGACTCTGTTTCGCATCACGGTGGCACGATCTCACAAGATAGCAGCATCGTCTCTCCTCCTGTGCCGAAAAAGACATATCCATTCATGGTCCTCTGGAACAAAGAGGGTTGTAAGAAGGACGACGATGTCCACATCACGGTAGCTAATCCTGAACGGATTCCTATGGATCAGGCCATTCAACACGAGTACGGTGACCTCATCTCAAGCGCAGAGTGGCACGCGATTCAGATGACTGCATGCGTAGTCAAGAACGAGCTTCTCTCTCTTCCACCTCCTCGAAACCGTCGGTATCGCAACATAAAGCGAACAAAAAAGGTATTCAAGGCTGCATATCCACGCGAATGGGAAGCAGCCATGCTGAAGATGAAGAAGCAACAACCGTTGCTCGCCCTTTGCTCAGACCATTGGAAGGCAGAGTACATCATTGGTCCTATGCTGCTCCAGCAGCACAAACCCGACTCCGAACTCGACAATGATGATGATGACATTAGTCACATCAGCACTTCCGCCACCAACACTCGTGCATCTGAGCGCAGTGAAATCTCTGCCTCGATGGCCTCGCAGGTCTCTGTTGCCAACAAGAGGTGCCGTGTCCACTCCACTTCTTCAAGCAAGCCGAAGAAGAAGCCTGTCGCGAGTGTGGTATCGCAACATGCAGAGGGTCGAACATCTGGCCCAGTGGCCACACCTGCATTGGAACCGCCGCTGAGTCTAACGTCTGCCCCAGTGACCATGCCTGTGGAACCACAGCTGAGTGCAATCGGTAATATTCTCGGTAAGTAAATTTACATGGTCCTTTTGCGTTATTGAACCTCATGGTAAATAGCCCAAGTGCCTTCCGCGCCTCCCTCTGTCGTTGCCTCTGTCATCTCTCCTTCGGTATCTGGCCTAACGGTGAAAAGCGCCATTGACATCAGCTTCATCAATGTCGATCCGTCAATCGAGAATTTGATAGGTACACTTCGTTCATCATTATTGTTTGTTTATTTATTTGCTTGCAGATGCCTTGTCCAGTAGCCATCCGGATTTAATAAGTGGTTTGGAGCTGCTCAATTCCATGAAGCTCACACCTGTATTCGACATCGGTTCTCTGACATCGGAAGTCATCACATTCATCGAGCGCATCGAGAACGCTGATCCTAACTCACCCGACCTCTCGGAAGACGATCTTGGAATGGCGTGGGGCCATTACCAGTTTACAGCAGGCTCGATGACCTCCAGCTCCACGCTTGTCTCATGGGATGGCATTGGGAGTGAGGCCGCATGAAGATTAATTGCCGCCACCATCAAGACGTGCAAGGTTGCAAGACATGTGTGTTTTGTCAGCGGGATCAAAATGAACGCGTATCTTAGTGATGCATACTTGGAGACGACAGTTGAAATCCTTTGGAGGCTCTGGAAAGCCGCAGGAGGAGTAAGTGCTATATTATCTTGGCGGGTGTTGCTTCTAAATATGTTCACTACAGCCTGTTGTGAAGGGGAAGGGCAAAGCTTTCACATCATCAGACTCACACACCATGTCCACTGCTGACGCCATCGCCAGTATTCCTGACTCCTCTGCCGCCACTCTTACCCCCTCTGCCACCACTTTGGTCAATGTCTCTCAGCCCTCTGCCAACATCGGTTTGTCCATGAACTCTGATTCGTGCCCTTCCAATTCGTCTGGTAGTGGAAAACCTATGGCCAACAGCAATTCTGACCCGCGTGCATATATCACTGTACGTACATTTAGCCTTTACCGTTTATTTCCACTGACGTGCGCCACCGGATAGTTGCTCAACAGAGACGAATTGTTTGAATGGATCATCGATCGGAAGTTGGCGGTCAATATGAAGCTTGGAAAGAAGAGTTCCTCCATTAAGAAAGGTAAGAATTCTCCATTTTTTTACCTTCTGTATGACTTGGTGCACTCATTTTCGTGTTTACAGACAAGCTCGTATCAATCATTCTGTCCGCCGAAGCGACCGCCCAGCCGTCTAAGGCAGAAGTCGACGTCATCGTGCAGCAGGTATGATACTAGTCCCATTCTTCGCATCTACTTCTGACACTTCGGTTTGCAGCGCAAGCTTAAGAAGATGGCCACTTCAAGAGTTTGAGCCTCATCGCGAGGAGGGGAGGGGCGTGTCGCTGCTGTGTCGCTAGTGCCAAATTGTTCTCATTTGTAGTAACTCTGCGTGATGAATTCATGACTTTTGATGACCTTTGATGACTATTTCGATGAAAGAGAGTGACTGGAGTTTGACTACTTTATGACTGAAATTTGACTATGGATGACTATGACGGACTATTGTTTGACTTTACTTGGTGGCTGCGGTGTCGTTACCGCTCCCGAACTCCAGACTAATTCTCGACTTTTTGTAGACTAAACCTGACAAAAATAGTCACAGGCTGGTAGCTAAAACACAAAATTCTGGCCAAATTGACTAGTACACGACTATTTAATGACTCTACATGACTTAGTTGGACTTCTCATCTTTACAGAGGGTTACATGCTAACTACCGGCCAAATGTTTTCGGACCCAGTATCCGCCCGGTACCCGCGTCGCCTGGTGGTGTAGCGACCTGCACGTTCATATCCTACGGCACAACGGAAGAGCAACTAATTGATCAACAGGTCGGGCACTTCCAAGTTGTTGATGGTAGCTATAGCTTCATCTCCGATGATATTGTTTCCAGATTTGAAATTCGAGGCAACAATACAGTACTGTGGCGTGGTTAGTATACTAGTAGTGTTCCGTACTGCTGCGTGGATTCGAGACTAAGAATTCCAGCAGGTTCCAGTGAACTAGATGTCGCGACCGCATTGTGCCCATCCGCAGCATCGCGTCGGACGCACATATAAAAGCACAAAGGTGCTTTCCTCTCCTCTCCTCAACTCACCATCTTTCAGTTGTACCTGCATCCGACATTCTCCGCCACTATGAGACTATTGGTCACATTTTTCCCCGATATCGAACTGATGCCGTTTGAACTGTCAGACGACTATACTGATTCGTCGGTGGTGTTGTCTGTTGCTGTTATCGGTGATCCCCACTTCAAGCCTATTCTTCCTGCTTCTGACGATGAAGATGACGAGGGTGGCTACAGTGGCAGCAGTGAGAGCGATCACTATGCTGTTGACTCGGAGGACGAAGATGAGAACGTCTTACACAGTGATTATGCGACGATCTACCGTGGCATCATGACGCGCAACGACACAGGCACCTGCACTGACGTTGTGCTGAAGTGTTCCTACAGGAACAGGCATGCAGACATCGTTGAAGAAGGAAGTTTCTATGTCAATCAGTTAAAGCCCCTCCAAGGCGACGCTGTACCGGAGTGCTATTGTCTTTTCCGTGGCACGGGCCCTAAAGGCTATGAAATTGTATGCATCGTACTGGAGGATTGCGGCAAGACAGTGGGAAGTCCTTTCGCAACTCTCCCGCTCCTCGACAGGTGCGTGCCACTGAGTCTTATTTGGTTACGAAATGAACGGTTCGTGTGCTTTCTGTCCAGGACCAGGATTCTGTCCCAGCTGGTGAAAATTCATTATGCTGGAGTGATGCACCGGGATGTCCACGAAGGGCATGTTGTCGAACGCGGGGGTATTTTCAAGATCATCGACTTTCATGATGCCGTCGGACACGAACCTGCCTGCGACTTCAGATTCGCAGACGACTTGCATGCGGGAGAGCCAGAGCCTGACGGCGACGAGGCTGGTTGCATTCCACTGTGGAGGCAGTGCAAGGAGTTCGAGATCTGGGATGATGGTATGTCCATTCTCTTCTTCGATCGTTGCCTTGACTTTGCTGAAACCAGCATAGGTCGCATATTCATCCCCTTGTCAGGCATGGCATTCCGCAGATGCAACGGTTGGCCTCGTCAAGAGGTTATTGACAAGCTTATGCCGTCATGCATATCTCACTGGAACACCATTGTGAAGCATGCACTGCAAGAGTACTTTCATCTCATTCAGAAGGAGCTCGACAATGGCGTGTCCATGGAGCTGCTCAAGAAAAATGCTAATGAACGATTCTTGAAATCACTGCGGCCTGCGGATGTGGTACCCAATTTTGTCTTTCCACAATACCGGCGCACTTGAGCTGTTTGTATTGAGTGCATCTATACAATGATCGTTACGTGCATTACATTTGATCTGTCTGTACCAGATGTTGGCATACACTCCAAAGCTGATGATGCTCAATGTATGAGTATTGTGTGTGTGCAGATTCACTCTCACCAGGTCACCGTCAGAGTCACAGGACTTTGAAATCGGGGTTAGCATAAAGTCCCGGTCAGTGATCGAAGATCTGGTTGGGGTTATGGGACCATGCCGATGCAAGAATTATGACATAGTCACGACATGATTATATTCGGCAGGCAAACCATCGTACCTCAGAGTATTCTGTCCTTCGCGTCCGCAGGAATACTTACTTTTCTAGCGCTGCAAGTTGACGCTGCCCTCATTCCCACTTGCACCGACGCAATGACGATCTGTGAGCTTCCCAAAGTTGACTTAACCAGCAATTTCCGAGGCTCCAGCTGCGATGGAACAGCGTCAAGGAAGCTGAAAAGCGACGTACCCCTCCGCCATACATCTGCTGATGAAGAGTTGGACGTTGTATCGCAACGTGAAGCAAATCTATCAGAATCATAAGCGCGTACTGAACTGCTGTACTCGGACACTCACTCTGGGCGAGGATGGAGATATCCGACCGCTGGATGGATGGAAGTAGGTAATGGTCGCATACTCTTGACCCACGAGCGATACAATGTAGCTCGACGTGGGCAATTTTTGCAAAGTTCCGGCGATGTCAGCCAGTGGTGGTGTGTAAGGGTTGTCAAGACATGGTTGACGTTGGCGCCCAGAGCGAGGTCAACTACTCTCAGACCTTGAATAGTGAGCAATTCACAGGATCCAACTTCCTCGATCAATGGTTACACTTAAGTGACTTATCACGAGTCAGAGCGGAAACATCACCCACCCAGAATTAATGCCTCTGGTAGGACTTTTTTGGCCCAGAAGATCCTTACGAACAGAGACCAGATTTAGTCGAACTGGTTGCGAACTCCGGGAAGTTGTTCCATCCCGACACCACGTACTCGGGACGACCAATCGATAGAAATACATTATTTCCACAATGTATTCAGTACACGGCTATGCGGTCTCCTGCGGACGGGCGATGAGCTTGACAGCACTGACCTGATTGTTCTTGATCCTCTCCAATCCATCCGGAATCCCAGTCAATCCATCTGGCAAAACCTCGACACGATTCGGCTGATAGTCATGTATGAATCAACAACAGCCTAGACAAATGACGCCAGGCTTACCCTGATCAGACCCTTTTCCAACAAAGACGTTAGCTGGCTGTAGAGGCTAACACTTGTCTTGTGGTTCTGAGGGACGTGGGTATTTCCGAAGACGTTGACGATCTTCTTCTCCGGGGTTTTTTTGGATGGGTCAACCGACTCGTCGAGAACAACCACCATAGTGCCACCCGGCGCGAGCACATCGTACGCCACATTCTGCGTGTCTTGCAGGCTGACCGAATCGTAGACTATCTGTATCGGTGCTGACGTTATATGAGAGACAGCAGTGATAAGGTCAGATGCAGACAATCTGCGGTCGAGGACGTGTGTTGCGCCGTAGGACTTCAAGAGCTCAGTGTTGTGCAGCGATGCGGTAGCAATGATGGGAGAGAAGCCAGCGAGCTTTGCGAATTGGATAACTGTTATTCAAGAGCGTGGTCAGTTATATCGAGTTGCGGCATGGATGGTTGTTTTGTCCACACCATATTGACCAACTGAAGTAGATCCACCAAAGATCACCACAGGCTTTCCCGCATATTTTCCTCGTCCACCCTCTTTCCATGGCGGAAATAACGCCGCACTGTTAACCGGATCGTCTTGGTTGAACAAACCAAGCGTTGCGGTCACCACGCCCACCGAGAGTGAAGCAGCATCGTTGAATGAGATATTTTCTGGGATCTACGGACATATAACGGTCGGAGGAATGCAGAGAAAATCGCAACGGACCTGGCGCTTACCTTAGCTGTGACATCGGCGGCAGCGAGGGAGTATTGTTGGTACGCGGCATGAGTTTTATTGAGTGACCCCTGGGTGAATCTGAGAAGCGTAGATGTTTCTCATTATCATGAATGGACATCTCTCAGCTAGATCACCACTCACACTCTGTCACCAACAGTGAATCCTGTCACGCCCTCTGCGAATCCTTCCACGGTTCCCGCAGCGTCTGTTCCGAGGACGGCGGGGTAGTGGGTAACAATGATGCCGTGCGTCTGAATCTTCCAATCGACGGGGTTCAAGGCGCAAGATTCGAGCTTCAAGAGCAACTCGCCGGGGCCGGGAGTGGGTATGTTGAGTGCCCCAACAGCGAATGGGCCCTGTTTGTATTGTAGGAGAAGAGCTTTCTGCTGAGCTGGCATCGTAGGATGGCGGCGAAGAAGGGATGAGTTGGTGACAGATCGCAAACCTTTGCGAAAGTGTACTCACGCAGTCAAGGTTCTGTCCTCAGTGTGAGATTTGCTGACGCAGCGCATCTCAAGAGCTTCGCGAAGCTAAAGCGGCACTGATAGTATGTAAACATCTACATCCATAAGGCGTATAAGACGTACCAATCGACATAAATAACGCAATTGTCAGTGTCAGTATAGCGCGCAGGAAAGATAATTGATCGGTATTCAGGTATTCCAGGAACGTGCCTCGTCGATAGTCTTGAGCTAAAGGTGAGAGCGTTTGTAGTTCTGCAGAGTCAACATATGGCCGCTTGGTAGGCATTGATCTCCTCCCGCGTGCACAGGCCATGCAACTGCTTGTCCATGTCCACCGCGAGGATGTGGGAGGACAGTTAGAGATACTTCAAATTATTTTCACTTTTCTTCATGAGTTCAGATAGACATACTGCGTTCCAATGTCCGTCGTAGTGCCGCTACTAATGCGCGGGGTGAAACGTTGACAAGCTAAACGTGAACAAGAAACGCGGTGACACAAAATCCAACCTGTGGAGACATGCTGCGAGTCACAAGCAGATCTTTGAGCAGCGGGAACTTTCGAGTACATATCTACAAGGTTCAAATCTCGTGTAGGGCAACACTGCAGAGTCCGAAGCGAAATAATTTGAATAAGCGCCTGTAACACGCCGACGGCAAGCGCCCGTCTCAGTTGGGCGCTCCACGAGCGCCTGTCTGCTACTAGTAATTCGTCTTCAAATCGTTCTCCTGAACAATATCTATACGTATCTCAGGCTGCGATTTTTTTTGCTTCGAAATGACTGGAGCCTGGATTTTTTTTAGGGTGCGGGATCATCAAAGTCATATTGAGACACTCTGCGTACCAACCATTCGTAAAATTACGTGACGCAGCGGCAGTGGCAGCATAGTGCCACGGATGATGTTCATATTCAGCTAACGCCCCGTATCGTGCATTTAGGTGAGTAACTGTTGTTCAACTGCAAGACGACTCGCGTACCTCACCCTAAGTACTTTCAAGTTGAGGTAGAACGGTCACGAACACATCGCGGAACTTGATCCCAGACTTTCAGGTGCGGCTTGCGCCGATATGAAATGTTCGCATTACCTGATTCCACTCCAGCTCATTCATACCGCGCTCCACGACTGCGAGAGCATTTACTCGTGTGTCTGTGTAGCCCAGACAATGCTCCTTGCCGAAGAGAACGGGCGGTCGTGCCAGCAAGTCAGCGTTGAACTTCGAGCAAGAACGTTCTGACTCAGATTAGTGCCATAATTTTGCGATTCTGTAGGTAGCACCAGACCTGTGGTGTTGAAGATATCCCATAGCGATTCCGCCAAGGCGCTCGTGCTCGAAACAAATTTCTACGAGATTCAGTGGAAACTGTTGCAAGTAGCCGCTTCCTTGGCCTGTTTCGTGGCCGAGGTCTTACGTTTCTTGGAGACGGCGAAATAACCTGCATCATTCTGTGACATCGTATACTGGCCCGTAACCTTTTTTTTCTCACATGGCTCTCCTTGCCCAGCAAGCAGCTCTCGCGATATATGATACGAATGATGCTGACAATAGATATACAGGGTGCAGATCCTGTCACAACCCCGGAAGGTGGCATCGTGCGGGTGTTCTATACTTTTATGATCTTGAGAAGCGGCATATCCTGGAGCAGATGGTGCCTCCAAGATTATCAACGTTTATCGAACAGAGCCCCGCTAAGTCGAACCTCCACGCGATTTCACGTTTACCGGAAGACTTACTTTTCGACAATTCCAAATATGACGACGAGTCCGGCTGCCAAAGCGTTTGGGAGAATTGCTGGGGGCTTCGGATATGGGATATCGGTCTGTCTGTCCCCTTCCATCGATGATTACCAGACTCGCTGATCTGTGTGTAAGTTGTATGCGCACCCCGGACGGTGCGAGAACCTTCGGAAGGGCGGACAGCTGGTCTTATCAGGCGGTGCTCAACACTTTCGCCCTCCCGTCCGTCTGAGCGTGGACAGACGGAGCTGTAGCGGCTCTGGACGAAGACCAGCTGGAGGGTTTGAAGATCTGAAGTTGATCGTCAATTCGCGATGCTCAGAGGATATGCCTCTGCTCACACGTACGTTCCTACGACGTCAGTATGGCAAGTAATGGATCCTGCGCCGTACAAGGCTTTGCACCATGTATGTGTTGTCAGATCATGTGTAATCTGACTCCTAGATTCTTGTATAGTGGTACCAGGTCCCGATCGGTTTGTAATTCCGCGGATGCCAAGCGCATCTACCTCGATTTACATTGTGTGCCGGGTCGAACGAGAGCAGGCCGCACGTCATCTGCTATGGATAGTGTGGCTAACGCCTCGTCGAACCAGGTACTAGTCGCGCGATCGAGTCAGGCGATCACTGGCGGGTCGGCTCACCCAAATTGAATATCACACCGCCCGGTGAGCCTTTTGCCGCTGGGTCATGAGAGTATTGAAGAGGGTGTACCACACAACGTCAAAGATACAGATCCAAGATATATCGTTGTGAAATAGGCATCGTACCGGATGGATCGCGCCTTGCCCTCGGAAGGTCAGCCTCAGAGTTGAGCCTGCGTCCGGTAACTAGAGCGTACCACCGTTGTCCACAGGGCGTACTACTTGTGTACCAAACCAGACATGGGATAGCGGGCTGGCATATGCATAGCAGACGTATAGCGCTTTGGTCTTGGCGAGCGAGACTCGGAGCCGCGACTGGACCCACTAGTAACATCCTGCTGAATCGCTGAGTTTGGGCGACGATACGCAGGAGCCTAAAACAAGCACTGTTAGGTCGAGGTGGTCCAGTGAGCTGACGAAAGACGGCGAGACATAGCGATGCTAACTTCTTCGGTCTGACCCCAGCCTTTCGACTTTCCATGGTCGTCATATTCTCGAATCGATGCGTCACCAGCCAGAGGTGTCTGCAGCAGCGCAGAGCTCGCCGGAGAGTCTCTGATAAACCAATCAAAGATATCCTCGATCCACTATCGTGTGAGGTGCAACGTAGACGTGGATACCCTCGTCCGTGCCCTTCAGTTCAGACTTTGTGTCCCTCGGCGTCATCGACTCTTCACCTTCAAGAAGTTGGAACACTTCTAGAGTTTGCTTATCACTCCAGCCGTGGAGCCGTCCGTGCACAGTGGGACGAACACACGACTAGAGTGTCAGTCTGCCCTTGGCAGACTAACCATCCCTCGCGCCTCTATGAGTCGCGTGCGTCCGCAGTTCAGACCGTGGGCCATCGATTACTGCGAGGTACTCCTTCAACGCACAGGTGCTCGCTGGCAGCAGGTGCAACCCAGGCATGCCGCAAACCTGACCTCTTCGCAGTTAGTCCTCGTACCAGGTCGAACGCGAGCACTCACCATGGCCAATAATAGCACGTCCAGCGTCGCCTGAGAACCCATCCTGCGCTGCGACAATCCCCGACGCTCAGACATGTTTCACATCATCCAAGCACTGTCACCCCGGGCTTTGGTCTGTCAGCGAGCGCGACGGATCTGGATCTGCGCCGGGGAGGGGTACCAGATGCAGATGCAGATTATAGCAGATACAGGAGAACATTTAACATTTGTAGTGCGCGTCAGCAGCGACCCTCGAGATAACGATCGACGCAGACTCCGCCCGCCTCGCTGACGTCGTGCGGACGAATCGCGCGCCACGCACTCGGGCGTCGGCCTCGGAACCGTCACCGACGTGCGAACACGCATCACTTGCAAGCGACAGTACCCAAGTACAACCCAGTGACCAGTAGGCGCAAAATTGCGGATGAAGAGTCTGTAAATCACCGCACTACCCAGCAACCACACCCGACGCACAACCCAGAGAGAGCAAGTGCCAAAGTCCGGATCCGACTACCGCTAGTACCGCAATTACCGCACCACCCCGCACATATACCCGACATAACTTATAAAAAAACACAATATACACACAACGGAGCCAACAACACATACACACGCAGAGGCGGCGAAACACGTACACAAAGATGACCTACAAGCGACGATACTCGAAACAGAGCGGGAACAGACAGAACATGAGCAGAACAGACGTGTATGCGTGAGACCGGGGTCGGAGTCGGAGTCGGGGGGGTGGGGATGGTCGAACGATGAGATGAGATGCTACACATAGACGACACGAGCCAGAGACGGGCAAACGAGAGCGCCGAGAACAAGTCGGCGCGGGCATAACGCGCACAGCAGGGTATAGCAAAATCAACGAAACAATTTTGCAAAGTACTCAGGGAGGGGGGGGGGGGGGGGGGAGAGAGGAAAAATCGTGGACGCAACGAGAACCAAGCACCGCTCAATGGAGGTACTTCTCATTGAGCGCGTGCACCTCCTTCGCGAGATACGGCCAGTTGAGCGCACGCGCCAGCTCCGCGCGCAACCGATCCGGGTCCTCTCCCGCACGCTCCCGCGCCAACTTGACCTCCCACCCGAGCAGGTTATACAACAACCGCATATTCGGCTGGATAAGCACGCTCAGGCGGCGCGAGCGCACGATCAGGTACGCATCCACCAGCGGCAGGTTCAGGTGCTTCATCACATACGCGATCTGCACCAGCAGCCCCCATCCTTCAGCTCCACCATCCACCAACAAAGACAAGGAAGAAGAAACTCACAGTGACCGTCGCAGAGCGCGACACCCCCACCCGACAATGCACGAGCACCTTTCCCCCCTCCTCCCGCGCCCGGTCGATCCACTGGCAGATCGGCTCCAGCTGCGGCTCGAGCGTATCGATGCCGTCGTCGCACACGCCCTTGATGTCGAGCACCTTGATCCGGCCCTCGCGCTCCTCGATCCACAGCGAGCCGTGCCCACCCGGGCCCTTACCCGGCACGAAGTGCGCCCCCGAGGACGGAGAGGACGGAGCGCCGCACGCCGACGCTTCGAGGTTCGGCGGCGGGACAAGCGCGCACTCGCCGACGGACACGACGTGTGTGATCCCCAGAGCATGCAGCATAAAGACGTTCGACGCGTGGTTCCTAACATCACCACGTCGTCAGCATGACACATCACGAAACATCGCGAAGAACAAAGACGCACAGGTTCCCGAGGTACAAAAACGGCAGCACCCTGCTCGGGAAACTCCCCTCGAACCGAGGGTCGTCGAACCAGAGATGGTGATCACCCGCAGAAGGCGAGATCGGAAGCGGGAGCGTACTCGCCCGCGGCCGACCCAAATGGCTCTGAGACGGCCCACCGGGTACGAGCGCACCCGCATCAGACTCGGACATCGCACGCAATAAATGGCGTCCATGGCCTGGCGAGTGAGTCGCCTGCTCGGCCGTCACAATCGACAGCGCGGAAAGCGGAGGGTCTTGCGCAGGTGCAGGCGCGAACGACACCGACAGGCCCGCAGGACGCGAACCCTCCTCTCCAGCCTTGCAGTTCTGTACGTTCCCCCCGGTAGTCGGACTCTCGCACTGCCGACCGCCCAACAAACCCGTCCGCGCCCTCGCATCCCTCGCAGCCCTATCCTTCTCCAGCCGCTGCTCCACTCGCCGCAGCACGCTCAGATCGTTGGGGTACACAAAAAACGACCGCCGCTTCTCCACCTGCAGCACGAGGTACGCCTCAGGCAGCGAGATCCCGCGGAGCGCCATCAGCAGACACAGCGCAAGCACAGAAGACTCCGTGTACCCATCTGCGGAATATATCAGTATTTTCAACGGCCGCGTGCGCAGCTCCATCGGCGCAATCGGTCCTTGCGAGGAAGAGGCGGACGGATGCCGAGAGGTGGGCGCAGTCGAAGGAGACGAGTGACCATCGGATGACGAAGAAGAGGTGGATGGCGACGGCGAGGACGGGAGGAACGTCGCGGACGTCGACCGCACGCGCGTATACGCCGCAGCAGGTTCGTCCTTGTCGAAGAAAGACTTCGGGAACGCGCTTGGGGGCGGGAGCGAGCTCGGCCCAAAAGCAGGCGGCACCGACGTCTGGACGTGGAGGGGTATGAACGACGGCGGACGCGGATTCAGTTGTTCACGCGCAGCGCCGCGGGGTATGCGAGTGGCGGGCTGTATCATGCGCTCTATAAAGGCAAGGAAGGGAATCAGCGTAGCAAGCGTGGTAGGCGACGACGGCGGGGAACTGGGGAACGGCAGGTGCACGACCGCCGCAGCGCTGGGTGGCGGACGCGGTGGTATCGACTTCGACTCCTCGTCACCACCATCCAAGTCCATCTTGACATCTTGACCACCACGCTCCTCCTGGGCAAGACACCGGGCGATCCACCGTCTCTCTAGCGCAGCAACATGCTCCTCCGCCGCCCGCACATGCGCGGTACTCGGGAAGGGCGCAAAGTCGTGACACTCGATGCAGATATCGAAGCCCTTCCCATTCGCCGGATCGTTGTCCCCGCGCCAGTCCCAATCGTCCTCATCATCCTCCATCGCAGCCGAGCGCACACGCAGCCGCCTGTCCGGGGGAAGAGGCACGTCGTTCGAGTTGCCGAGGAACACCTGCCCAAGCGCGGGCTCCCACACACTAGCCGGCGTCGACCCACACACCGTCTCCGGATCCCACGTCTCCAGCGCAACCCCCTCCTCCTCCTCCTCCGGCGCGACCGACACAATCTCGCTCGCCTGCGTCAGATCCCGCATCTCCTCCTTCTCGCGCCGCGTAAAGTCGACCGTGTTCGCGCGCAGCTGGGCCGGTTTCCCCTGCCGCGAGTCCCCATGAGCGTGCGCATCCGTCCCGTCCGTATGCGCGTCCGTCGGTCCCTGCTCTAGCCGCATGATCGCATGCGGAACCGCCCGCGCGAGCTCCGCTGGCCCCGCCTCCAGCACGAAAACATTGTACCCTACCCCAGGGTCCGCCCCTATCTGCGCCGTCCGCGCCGCCCGCTTCGCCTCCACCGCCGACGCAAACCGCTCCGCGACCGTCGCGGCGTGTCGCGTGTTCCCATACGGCGAATACACGATGATATCCGACAGGGCCGCATAGATCGGCTGCAAACGCATTCATCAGCACAGGCCAACGATGATTCGACAAGGGAGAGAGGGGCTGGAATGACGATAACGGGGCAGCCTAATCCGCTCACGAGGACCAAAGCTAAAGCGAAGAGGCCGTCACGAGGCAGTACACGCGTTTGACAGACGAGCGAGGATGCGCCGCGTTCGCATGATACGACGAGCGAAGCTGCGCATGATGCGGCGAGCGAGCAGCAGTCGTCGATAACGCAGATGAGAGCCCAGGCCCACAGACCATCGCAACACCCCAGATTCCTCAGCCCCGCGCTAACGCTAGGCCACCTGAAACCGGGGTGGACGGCAGGCAGAGCAATGAGAAGACGCGATAACACGTCGTAACACGAGGCGATGACCGACCACGAAAGTGTCCCGAGCCTCGGCGCGTCAGAGCCAAAAACAAGCGCAAAAGGGCGAAGACACCGCACACCTCCATCTTCCGGACGGACTGCGCAGAAACACGGACAAAAGGCGTGGACTGGGTCTCGCCTGACCCTGATAGAGGACGTGTAGAACCGGAGCAGGAGAATTGGAGATAGGAGACAGTCGCAAAATTTAAGAGAGAAGTATCGTCTGTCCCCAGATTCGAAGCACGGAGCACTTATCAATGCACAACCAAATCTAACACCGGGATAACAAGGAAAGGAAGGGTCTGCCTTGGACCGATCCCCGCGTACGAAACAACACAGCGCGACTCCGCGCACACAACGCGGACTGAAATAAACTCAGACGCGCGTAGAACCGCGACATCCCCGCCAAGCACATCCCGCCACCAGAACCTCAACACACACACGCAAGATCCCGTTCGCGCATCGACTCCTCCGCAGGCATCAAGCACCCAAACTACGCGCAAACGCACACGCCAAGCACACCACCTCAACACACAACACGCAAGATCCCGTTCGCGCATCCAAACTACGCAACAAAGGCACACCCAAGTCGCGAGCCAACCTCCCGGGGTCCCCCCGCTGATAGCCGGACGCATACGCACCAGCGGAAGCAGATCCCAACGGCCCAGCCCCGAAGCTCGTAACGTTATGTGAACGCAGGCCGGGTCGAGCCCAAGCTCACAGCGGGCTGACAGAGCAACCGTCGCGCAACCGTAGCGCGACGAGGTGCCCGCGCATACAGCCCGCGTGAAAAAGGAAGGGAGGGCTGGGAAATACGCGGGGGGAGAACCCGAAGCTCGTAACGTTAGCAGGCCGGGTGAAGCCTCGGCACAGCGGGCTGACAGAGCAACCATCGCGAAACCGTAGCAGCGCGTCGTCGCCGACGATGGTGCCCGCGCATACACTCGCGCGAAAAAGGGAGGGAAGGCCACGAAAGACGCGGGGGCAGAATAGAGAGCGGCGCAGGGGAGACACTCACCGCCTGTATCCCGAAATTCCGCAAGCTAATCCCAGCCGGCACCTTCGGCTCCACGAACGCATACGACGACTTGCCATACAGGTCGACGTCGGCCCTGAGCAGCTCGCGGGGGCGGAAGGACGACGTCAGCATCGCGGGAGGGGGTTTCGGGGTCGGCGTCGGGGTGGGGCCGGAGGCGGGCACGACGTGCACTCTAAGCAGCGGGGGGGCGGCAACGGGCGCGACGGCTTTCGCCTTGGCGGGGGGGAGCGCGTGCGGGGGCGGGCAGCCCGTGACGACGGGCCCGGCGAGGGTGGGGTCGCGCGCGACGCTGCTGTCGTCGTCGATGTCCATGGGACCCACGGACTCGGAGTCGAAGGAGGACTCGGAGTAGTCGTCGTCGTCGAGCTCGTCGATGTCCTCGGCGTCGACGTCGTCCGCGTCGTCGGCGTCTGCAGCGACCCAGACGAGGCCGCGAAAGCGCGGGATGGGGGTGGAGTTGTGGGGGGAGGTGAAGAAGGCGTTCTGCTGGGCGTTGTCGCCCTCGAGGCCGTGGAGGAAGGGGAAGAGGACGTGGTCGGGGGCGTGGGTGGTGAGGTACCGCAGGTGCACGTCGGCGAAGCGGTCGGCGTCGAGGACGCGGATGGGCTGGTGTTGGTAGCGGAGGATTGGGGGGGAGTTGTAACCCTCGAGGAAGGGGTAGGGCACGCGCGTGGGCTGGGGTGGTGGCGGGCGGTGGTGGAGGACGGGGAGGGTGTCGAGGAAGCCGTCGGGGTAGGCGAGGCCGTGGACGTCGTCGACGTTGGTCATCGTCGTCGTCGTTGTCGTCGTCGCCGTCGTCGTCGTCGTCGTCGCAGTCGTTGAAGAGGGAGAGCTCGTGGTGGTGTGATTGAAGTGCTGAGCGCCAGGTCGCGACGCGCTTCCGGGGACGGGCGAACACGATCTGAGATCTGACACCTACTTATCGTTTGTAGTTCTCCAGCCTCCTGGAATGTTCCACAGCGGCCGCGTACGGCTGGCGTGCTCTGAGACCCGCACAGAGAGCAGAGGCAGCGCCCCATGACCCGCTCGCCCCTCTCGGTGCGCCTCCAATCAGCAGCCTCCGATCGCCGTCGCACCCTAATTCTGGGCCCGCTTTCTCGGCGCGGCCTTTCCTATTTCGGCCAGCCGCCCGCCTATCACGCGCCCAGCCACCGCGCCACGACTCTCGCGCCATCCTCCGTCACCGCCCTCTCTCTTCCTCTCCTGCTCATTCACCGCCGCCGTTTTCGGCGTTTTTTCCTCTTTTTTTTCTGGTTTGTTTTTCCAGCTCGCGGAAACCGGGATCCTCCGCCGCTTCCGAAGCTCGCTTCCTTCCTCAAACACTGACGCTTCTTCTCTCTTGTCAATTTGGGCTCCGTTCCTGTCTATTCTGAGCGCGGAACTGTCCATCCGTGCTGATCAGGAGGGGGGCTCTCCACTCCCAGACACCTGACTTCCCTTCTCTGGCTGCTCCCGCTGGCAACCTCGCTGCCACACCCGGCATGCCGTATGATATCCCCCCACTCCACGCCCAACTTCCACATCTCCAGATAGGCTTGCTTCCTCGCGCGATAAGCACACCTTTCCACCGCGCCAGAGACGCGGAAGCTACAGCCTTCTTCTCACATCGCTATCGGAAGTACTGCTTTTGCTGTGCTGCGGGACACCCATACGCGGAGGGGGTTTCCATACCTTGCGGACGGGAGCTGCGGGGTGATGCATTGATGTGCGACGGTGACGGTGCGCTTTCTTGGCACTTAATATCACAACGGTCGAGGCCCCAGCTGCAGTGTTATGGTCGCTGATGGCTACACTTACGTTGACTGGTGTGATGTGCAATTCGCGTCACCGTCAGCGGCACTCACGCGCGGCCGTGCTCTCACGCCGCCGTTCCTGTTCGCCTCATCCTGGACGGCAGCTGGTGTCCTTGCGCATGACACTTCCTGTACAACCTGTCTCGCTTTGTGTCGATTCGTCGTCATCGTTCCAGGGTTCTCTAGTGTGGATACTTGATTCTGTTGAGCAACCTCAAAAGAGCGAGAAACCTGTGCGGGAACCGGGTTTCTGAACCAGCCCTGACTGCACCCATCTACGTACCCGCCCGCCCACCGGCCCACCCCGCACACACCCACTGGCGGGGAACGGTCTCCCGGCCAGAGGCGCAGAAACGCACCCAGTGTTTGTTCTCGCTCTTAAAGCTTAAACTTCGGGGTTCCCATGCTCGATAGAGTCGTGCGTTCTCTGCCTCACAGACTCGTCCCACCCCGCATGGCGGTGGGTATCCGAACCCAGAGTGCGGACTTGGATAGGCACGGGCGTGGAGCAGCGAACCGATATACTGATACCGCAGCAGTCACCGGGCGTTGCCCCGCGCGCGGCGACCTGTACCGAACCGAACTCGTTCTGTGATCAAGATGGAGGTCGCTCCAGATGTGCGCCCGCAACGTCGCGATCGCGCCCGCCTCTCTTCACGCCGCACGCTCCTCCGCACACCGATCCTCCCCCGCAGCCGCCAAGTGGAGCCCCGCAGTCAATCGGAATCGGACAGCGCACGTAGCTGGGATCCCCCGCCGGGCGCGTTAATATCAATTTCGACTGCACGATCAACGACTTCACGTATCGATCTGCGCCTCGAGGCTCGGGCGCTCTTCACACATGTTGCCGCCGGGTGCTCGCTAGGTGCCCTGCAGGAGCCAGGCGCGCGGTTCGCCCCCAGCCTTGCACTCGTTCTCTGACGCGCTCTCTCCGGCTGTCCGACCTGTACCCAACACACCGTAACTGATTCCGCACCCGCCGACACTCCGCTGTGCATGTAGCCTCTGGAAATGTACCCACGCATTTTCGGGGCTGGGAGTGCATATAGTGACGCACTGTGTCCTCACAGGTAACTCTGGCGACGGCCGACTCGATATCCGACGCCATCTCTGACCCTGCTTCACGTATCTGGCTGCCTCATCACAGTGCGGCTACGATACTATGTCCCAGCGTCTGATATTATAACGCGCGACTTCGGGTCGTCCTGTTACGTCCCGCGGCGGATACGTGCGTCGGTCGGACTGGCATTGCGTGTACTATACCGGCTGTGCCCCTCCCGACGATCTACGCTCTGCGGCATGCGCCATACACAGGCACACTCTGCGCGACTCTGACCTGGGGCGGGGGCGGAGCACTACGCACAGAGACTGGCTAGAGACCACTAGTGCCCGGAGTCCGAGCCTAACGTTGTACGCGCGCCGCGCGATCCACCCGCCATCCGCCGCGAATGTCGGTCGTGTCTGTAGCGGGCGGCCCCTCTCCCCAATATCCGGGCCTAAGATCGTGCGCGCGGTTCATGGCCGGCGGCGACGAAGTTAGGCCGCGCGGGATGGTGTGAGGGATCCGTCCTGGGCAGAGCCGGCCCGCCCTCGATCTACCGGCAGGGCGGATGAGAGCTCTCGGGCACGGCCGGCATGACGTCTGATGCTACCCTGTATTGCGCACCATCAAATGGCCCCGCTTAATACTAAATACATGCAGGTTACGGATATTTTCGACGTATAGTCATCAGCAGAAGGAATGACGAGAGACGCATATCGCGATACTTTAGTGATGCAACAGCATGTCGAGATACACAACAACTTGAGACACACATACTGTGCGGATACGGTCACTCCCGTACTCACGGAACGGGAATACGTGCGTGCGCAGAGGCGCCTCCTTCTCCAGCAGTCCTAAATACCTCGCGTTGACGGTCGGCTTCAGGTCTGACCACGAACCGACGCACGTTGGCGTGAGTGCATCCAGGATTTCCTGAGACATCTCTTCTAGCTAAGGTTCTTTCGCCTTCTGCAAGGGAGACGAGGCCTACAAGCGTACCAGCAGTCGGACCCCCCCACTTAATCGAGAGAAACTCACCATTATCCCAGATCCGGAATTCGCAACAATAACCCAGATGACGTTACAGCCGGACGTCATCACGTCGCGGATGGGCTTACCATCGGGCAAGGTAGAGTGGCACGGGGGTTCGTGGGATTGCGCTCGGTGAAAGTCGATGATATTGAAGGACCCGTATCCTGCTCTAGGACGTGCCGCTCCTCGAAATCGTGCGAGTACAGGACACCGGCACGATGCACTTTCCGCAGCTGGCCCATGATCTTACGCTCTGTGTTAAATAATTATCAACACTATCCGCCAACGCGGGCTCGGGACGGCTGACCTGTCGGCGAGAGGCGTGTGCCCACCAACAACCCGCAATGTTCGAGCACGATACACGCTACCTCGTCCTCGCCCGGAAATGCCAGACGCTCGCCGCGAAATGATCCGTAAAATCGGGGGACAGCGTCGCCCTGCGACGGCTTCAACTCATTCTCGTTGAACTTGGCTTCGCGAACGAGCTCGTTATTTGTGTTCGGGAAAGACATCTTCAACACGACGCGTCCGAGGGATCGCGCATGATTCCAAAGTGGATCCGAGCGTTCAGCTCGTCTGACAAGTCTTGCTCAGACTCCTCGTCCTCGTACACTTCCACGTTGAGCTCCTGGGGCGGTCTGCCATCGTCTTCGCTAACTAGCAAACACTGCCTAGGCTGGAATCCGGGGAACGTGATGTAGAGGGTTGTCTGCATGGGTTAGACGCGCGAGCACTCGCGGTGTTGCTGCAGTGGAGGGAGCTGTGGATGGCGTGTCATTTTCAGACAGTCTAATTTTCTGAAATTATGGGATGGTGAGACTTACCAGAGCAAATGGCGCAGGTGAGTGAACTGTCGTTGCGCTATTTGGCTGTAGGCAGTTATGCGCTGTCGACAGGAAGCCGTGCGACATGCGATAAACGCATGGAGCACTGCTTTCATATTACGTGTCGATGACCATCCAATGTGAACCTGCAGCATCCCGCGTCCGTTCGTCTTCCTGATTCTGTAGATGGACGAGTCAACCCTTGGACCTTGTGTGCGTTATATAAGGTTAACGTCGACGATATCGATGAACCCGTGAAACAGACCCACGCATGTACCGACCGAGCTCAGGGAAAACGACGATTCAACAAAAAGTCTGAAATCAGACAGCTCCGAAATTTGAGAAGCCAGGAGATCGCGAACGTATGTATGTACATCTTCTTGAGCTCCTCGAGAGACGCGCCAAGTTCCAACCCAGTAAGACATGGCAGCTCGGCCTCATCCTTCCCAATTGCGTTTGCTGTCGTGTAAAAATGGAGAAGGCTACGGCCAGGCTATCCAGTATCAGACCGTCACAGATCGAGGGACATCATCCTCGGCCTTCACGCTGGAAAATGTGGTAATTTGGTCCTGGTCTTCGAGCTCGCACATAAGACACAGGAGTCTGCACACAGCTGGACAAGTCAATGCACGCCGGTTTTCAAGATACTCGAACACAATGAGAAACAAGCTCGAGACGTGCTGGAAGTTTGAGGCTTGACAACCGCCCAAACAAGCGCCCATGGTAGTATGGGCGCTAACTTGAACCGGGAGGCTTCTGCTTTCCGCTCGAGTTTCAACAAACCGATGCTCTTTCGTCTTAAATGGTCTGTTATCACTCAGCCTAAGGACTAAGGCTGCACCCATCACTTATCGTGCTCTGTGGTATCGATCTCCTACCATTTTTTTTGTACCTCTTCTTTGGCTCAGGACTTGAATTCCACTTCCATTCTCACAGAGTAAGTACACTAATGCAGGAGATTTCTGTGCTTCGCTCTGCTGTGGTATGAAACTGACAGCACGGACCTTGATTATTCTCTATAGGGCTTCACCTCAATAATGCTGCTCGTTCTGCCGTACGTCGTCCGGGTCGTGGAACTCTTACAGACCTCGGATATGACACACTTCCTGATTGCGCCATGACGTCGCAATATCAAACCAAATCTTAGAACTCACGGCATTCGACATCATGTGCGGTGCATACGCGCCCACGATGAAACCAGTGAGTAATCTCACCCGTAAGTGGTTAGTGGTCGGTGCGATCTCTTGCGACCCATTCGATGCAGCAAGGAGCAATGCCTGCCTTGAACAAGGGCATGACTCTCGTATGTACCTGGACGCGAGTGCAAGTAGTGTGTCAGGAATATTCGTCACACGCGTACGGTAAGTACCGTACTTCGTTCCTATAAGACAGACGCTGACCGCGTCACGCTTGCTTCGAATTTGGGCACAAGGTGCCATTGAATCTCAAATTATAAACGTCCCCGCGTTTCTGCCGCTCCAGAAAACGCAAAAGTGACCTGGGTTTCTTTTCATCGTTCCGCTTGTGTGCCCTCATTACCTTGGTTTGTGCCATGTATTCCAAACGCAGAGACGCGTGGTGCGTTTAGTTGAACCTCGCATGAATTTGTGGCACGTCTAATCTCATGGGTGCTAAGCTCTCGTTATCTCAGCTTGGCGAACTTCTCAGAGGTGCATCAGAGGGCAGAACCTTGATTGCGGAGTACCCACCAGCAAATGGGTCAATTATCCAAGCTTGGGAGCGTCCATTGACTACCATCGACTATGCCTGCCTAGCAGAAAACACTCATCGTCCCCTACAAACAGGGTCCGTTTGTCATCCGAGCCGTCGACATACCGACCGCCGGCTTTGGCGAGTTGCTTGTGAAAGTCGAATCTTCCGCCTTAAACCCCGTAGATTGGAAGATCCAAACGCGCGGCATCTTTATCACAGAGTATCCTGCTGTCCTAGGCCTGGATGCTGCTGGTATTGTGGTAGGGTTCGGCAGGGGAGTATCTGGATTCGCTATCGGTGACAGAGTGTGAGTGTTGTTGCACATTCTGAGGTAGGAATCCCATGTTGATGAGGATCATTTGCGTTTCGTCAGGTTTACCGAGGGCGCATTCGATAACGCTCATGCCACCTTCCAGCAATATATTCTTGCTGACGCTGACATCACAGCCAAGGTATGTACCCAATGTACCATGTGTCCCCCTTCGCGCCCTGGGTGACGTACGTACGCAAGATTCCGTACAAGCTTTCTTTTGATGACGCTGCAGCACTCCCAGTGAGCGTGGTGACAGCAGCGCTTGGTCTATTCAATCGAGATGATCCCGCCAGCAGCGCGGCTCTATTCCCGCCGTGGGAAAGGGGTGGACGAGGGAAGTATGCAGGAAAGCCGATGATGATCTTCGGTGGTACTACTTCAGTGGGTCAAATCGGTACGCGGCAGATGATCATTTACTCGACACTCCGACCTGGCTGAAACTTCCGATGGCAGTGATTCAGTTGACCAAGCTCTCTGGCTTCTCTCCCATCATAGTCACTGCGTCTCTTCACAATGCCAAGCTCCTGAAATCCTATGGCGCGACGCACGTCCTCGACCGCAGGCTGTCTGCCTCAGAACTCCGATCTGCCGTTACCGACATAACGTCATTACCTGTCAAGACAGTATATGATGCGGTCGGTTTGCGCGATACACAGAACGCCGCGTATGATATCCTCGCACCCAGTGGAACCCTCGTAGTCGTCCTCGACGATGCAGTGGATCCTTCGAAGAAGACTCCGGAGAAGAAGATCGTGCGCGCGGAAGGAGACACTTACGCCGTTGAGAACCGCAGGACGAGCGCAAGCCTATTCGGGCAGCTGACGTCTTTGCTGGAACGGGGTTTGATCAAGGTAAGCAAGATATCGTCCGTCTGTGCCGGTGTTTGTACATACGTGGTTTTAGCCGAATCGTGTTGAGGTATTGCCTAGTGGGTTGGCGGGGATCCCTGAAGGGTTAGAGCGGCTCAGTAATAATGAGGTCAGTGGTCTGAAGCTCGTCGCACGCCCGCAGGAGACCCGGTAGTTCTGTATTGAGCTCATTAACGAAGCAAAGAGATCCCATTTGCATTGGCGACATGGAGACGTAGTCTGAATCTCGCAATTGGCAGCATCCACCGGACGCACTGTACACGGTCTTCTTCCACATCGACTTTCGTAATTGTTGCGACTATCCATGGACCTAGGGCAAGATAAAGCTATTCACCATTGGTAGCAGGACATTGCGTACTAGTGCGGCAGTGAAGTGGATACCGCAGATGACATTTATGGCAAGCAGGCCGAAGTCCAAATGTAACAGTGTTCGAACCCGAGAAACAGGTCCCGCGGGATGCACTGGCACCCATGACCATGAGTTCCCAATATACACCCTGAGATAAGACATCGCGAAGCTGACGCATGTGCCACAGGGCGCGATACAATTCATGGCAACGGAACTTCTTCATGACATAGAACTTAGGCAAGACAGAGATGAACAGGGCATTCGCCGCCTCGCCCAGTCGCGCATGCAAATATCGAATCATTCTGTTAGGTCCTGTGTTTTTGCGTAGCCTGGCATCTCCAAAGACCCAATCCTGCAACAGCCATGATAGGTTCGGTAACTGGTTCCATTCCTGCTTTGAGCAGAAAGACGCTGCATTTATACGTGTGTGTAGGACTGCCGGCGGACCATTTGAAGTTTTCGAAGTAGGCTCACGTTATCTCTCCCAGCCTCTCTGCTCATTGTTCCAGGATTTGCGGTCACATGTCTGTTCTTGCATCATCAATCGATATCGGCCCCTCACATATGAATACATTATGACACAGTTGGACAAGACTATCGACCAGCTAGTGTGGAGGAATGTACAGGGAGATGAATTATCTTCGAAGACAATGTGATCTCTGCAAAATTACATGGCTATTTCCAGACTTTTGCTGGTTGTCCTACTTGATTGTTTTCACCTGTCAATTTGACAATTGGACAGATTCAAGGCACACAATATGCTGTCAGGCATATAGTTGTCATTTATCGCAAATCTGTGTATACAGTCTAACCTGGTTGATAAGCTCAAGCACCCCCATACTGCGGCCGTAGATAAGGAGAACTCGGATCCAGGAGCTTTGATTCCAAGAATCGTCGATTTGCGTCCTCCTTGAGCTCTTCTATAGTTATACCTCTCGCAAGGTCTGCTTGAACCAGGCGGAAGTACTCCTGTACTGCATGCTTGACCTCATCATTCCACACCGGAGACAGCGGGCAATATCGCATCTGCGGACATTGTGGGAAAATTCTGCCTTACATTGTACATGTATGACCGGCTCTTGTTGCCTGTGGAAATTTTGCCTTACATCCTTTCGCAGCCAATCAGATCGCGAGAATAAGCCTGTTTACAAAAATGTACAACTGTCTGACATTCTACCACATATGTACAATGTTAGATGGGATATTTGCACAATATTAGATGTCCAGATATAGCTCGCCGTCTCCGGTGCCATGTGAACAAGCACTGCGGCATGAGTTCATCGACAACTTCCTGACAAGGCCAACCTTCACTTTTGCGGAAAATCATGCCCGCCAATTCGATCCAAATGCATCCTATATAGATGTCAGCAGATGGTCAAATACAAGATTCAATGACGAGATTGGCTTACCATTATCCCAAATCTTGAATTCCAAGCAAGTCCTCCACAATATGCTACAACCACTGTATGTGCAGTCCGGCCGTGGTCCTCCAGCGCACAAGTTATCCTTGAATTGGAAATCGCAAGTCGGCTCATGTGGCGCCGCATCGTGGAAATCGATGATCCTGAAGCTACCCTCACGCTCAACAACGTGTGTCTCAGAAAAGTCTCCATGGATTACTCCGGCGAAGTGTATTTTGATTAACTGGTACAGAATACTGGTGCTGAATACGAGTTAAACGGGGTGAAACACAGATTTCGTGACAATGATCACAATGCAACACACCTGTCTCGGAGCGAAAGTTCCTTGAAGTGAACTGCCACACTCTTCCCACAATCCTCAAGCAAAATGCATACTATTTCGAGGTCATCGGGGCCTATGCCATGAAAGAGACCGTAGAACTTGGGCACGACAATGCCTTGAAGAGGTTTCAACTGGTTGAGGTAGAACACCGCTTCTTGAATAAGGTCGGATTGTGTGTTCTTATGGGAGCACTTCAACACGACATTAGTGGAAGTACCATCGGCATCACGAATGACTGCGCGGTATATTGTGGCATAATCGCCATACTCGATATTGGCTTCTTCGTCCTCCGAGTCCACTTGGCCAGAATCAGAAAGGTCGTCATTGAAATCGCCCTTGACTTCGACAGATAACCTATCTGATGAACTATTGTTGTCATCTGAGAAGTGACAGGGTTTCAGTTCCATATCAAGAGGGAAGGTCACGGATAGTAGCATGATGTCAGAGAATGTCCGCACGTATGGGATGAGAGTGAGAAAGGGAACGGTTTACTGGCTGAAGCAACATACATACCTTTATACTTATCTGCCAGGCCCGGTACTAAGGACTCCTCATGGCGCACTCACGACTGTTGCACACACAGACGCCCACTGGCACAATCGATGATCAAGATCTCTCATCACCCCTATTTTAATTTTTTTGGCTATAGACTGCTTGGTGCGTATCTATGCAACAGTCTCTATTGTACTACATCATTCTTCATTTGTCCAGACTCCAGCATGAGCGAGTGTGCTCACCACATCTGGACTCATTATTATGGCTTTGAATTAGCTCAGAAGTACGGCCCTGGGTGACAGTACTGACCGGAATTCTACGTCAAGAGGACTGCACCACAGTTGGGACCTTTCCGCTGCAGAGAATACCGAGGGCCTTTAATAAAGTTGTCCTTTCTGGTCGTGAGACACACCACACCGTACGTGACATACTTCAACATCGTACAATCTCGCTATTCTGTGGCATGGCCCATAACGAACCAATTGTTTCATAGATACACGTGCAGGTGACTGTGCGGTGCGTGTCTGTAAATATCACTCACTGCTGCGAAAGCCTGAGTGCCAGATCGCGACGTGCTTCCGAGTCTGTGGTATTGCAGGACGCCCGTCACTTCAGTGTACAACAAGATATGCTGCACCTGCACAGCATGCTGGGGGAAATGCCGGAGCCGTGACCATTGGTATGTGGCACAGGCGTCTTTTTTCTGCTATAAATGATGATCTATCCGTCATACTTTCACCTTCACCTTCACACCCCTCTACTCCCTTATACTCCGAAGATGACACAATTTCTTAGTACCACAACCATGCCTCCAAAATCCACACAGTCATCTACACAGTTGGCAAGATCGACACAGGTGCCACGAACTACAGCATCTTCGAAGACTCAGTCGCCTTATAGCATTGTGCCACCATTTTGGGACACACCATTGTGGAGAAATGTTCTTAAAGCAGGTTCATGTATGCTGTACGATCTTCTGCAGCAATTGCCACATCTCACGGATTGCCCACCGATGAGAGGCAAGAAGACCGCAGCGAGCACAAGAGCCCCTACAGCCACGGATATCTTACTGCCAAAGCGTCAACAATTGACGCAGGTTGTCTTCCAGCCGAAGCTTTCCAGCAATTTGTTCGACTCTGCCTGCAATTTGGCGAGACGCATCTCAATCGACCCCGAGAAAGCCGCTGATATGGCGTGGCTCGGTCATATTTTGCCTCCTTGTACATCCTCGCTTCTTCCCCCGGTGATTAACAGCAAGTAAGACGTCCATGACTGGTTTTTGGCTGTTCTGGCATGACCCACCCTGGCTACTATCCGGAGGGCCTCTATGGCATCGACTGACACTTATGTTGCCTCGTCGCCAGGGAGGAAGAACAAGCCTATTCCTGACGGTCTCCTCGTGCGCATTCAAGGTCCATCAAGGAAGAAGATAACAGTCTTGACTTTCGAATACAAGTCGCCCAACGCTATGCCTGAGGATATGTTTGTTGATTTTCAAGATATCGGTATTCGTTCTTCCGGCAGCAATTATGCACCTGCTCTCCGATTCTGGTGGCCTACTGCTGCTAGCACGAACGACAAGGCCACAAAGATCCTCACTCAGGTACGTGTTTCCAAGTCTGTGGGTTCCGTCGTTTTAATTCTGTTATCAGGTTTGGTGCCAACTCGTGAAACACAACGTCCATTATGTTATACTCTCTTCCTATCAAGCGACTATATTCTTCTACCGTGACCCTGATTTTCCTGGAAGACTTCATTTCTCACCTACATACAAGGTGAAATCGCCCCAATCACTCATCCTGAGTTTCGCATGGATGGCTTCTGCACTCGGCTTGCTCTCAGATGCTAACGTTGGACTGATTGCTGTTGATGATACATTCACTAATGAACTCGAAAGGCCCTACCTCCATGCCTCAGGAATCGATGCCAGGTTTGTAAATTGACCTTCAGATGATTTTAATTGTTTCTCACAATTTCTGGGACCGATAGAGCTTTCGAGAAGAGCCTTAAGAGACTCGATGATCCTATGACGGAAGAAAGCGGAACTGAGTCTGAACACATCAGCAGTAGCTCGGATGCTGAAGATGAATCACACGAAGACGATGTCCAGGTGGTTATAGGACTCAGGAACTTATTTATCGGACAAGGGCCTCACAAGACGGCCGGCGAGACTTCGAATGAAGAAATACTGAAGACACCTCGTCGTCCTGTTGCACTCGAAGAAGCGGAGTGTGACACACCCACTGCTGGACTGGCCGCAAAAAAACTCACTCAGTCGAAGACAAGGAAACAGACAACTAGAACAACAAAGCCGCATACTATGAAGACGCGCGGCCAACGTAGCCGTAGCACATCTGGATCTTGGAGTCAAGGGGAAGAGGGGGCATAGGAGGTGTTGTGGTACGTGCACGCTTCTCGTACCTAGTTGTGAAATCCATGTATCACGGAAATCAACCGTAACGAACTTGAACGTTTGAACATGAACGTACAACTGACTGCACGATCTGAGTCGACGACATGTACAGACAGCGAGTTGATCAAGCGGCACTCAATTGTATGACAGTAGATTTTTCCAGCATACTGAATTTCCACCAGCTGGAAGTCACGGAGACTGAGACCATAAAAACCGCTCAAGCTGTGTCAGAATAGAAGATAGAACTGCTCCTCTGTCGAGAAATTAATGATATCCTGCGTGCGCAGTGCCAAGCGCTGGCCTTCTCTGCGCGGAGGGCGCTAAACGCCCAGACGCTTCGTCCACTAGGAGGCTACGTCGACCGGTCGTCGGAGCAATATGAACTCTGTCTTTAAACCAAGTCCACAACGGCAACGTGTCTGAGTGTATGCAATTTTCTTGTAGAGCTTTCTCTCGTGGTGGTGGACCTCTCGGTGCTTTGCACGTCCCACCAATCTGACTCTGACGTTTCATCTGGCGTCCATTACCCTCTTGTTCTGCCGAGTCTTAGCAAAGTCTTATTCTGCATCTACCACTGGAAGCGTGCCCATCGTGATCTCAAGTAGGCTCTCGCGGAATTTACATCATGGGATACTGGACATTTGTTGAAATCGACGGCTGTCTCACCTGCAATACTCTACGGCAATCGGACCCGGGTCTCTGGCGATACTCACCTGCAAAAAATGTGATTCTCTCCCTGGGAATTCCTTAGATGCGCACTGCTTTCCAATCCGCCAGCAAATTCAACAACACTAATTGATCTGCCTGTGGAAGTTATCTACTAGATCTTATGCGCGACGCGGATGCAAATCGCGCCACCTCTTTATCTGAAGAAGATTTGGACGTACGTCTAAGAATGGAGTGGACTTGATATTGGCCCTGGGCACACCAACTGGCTATTCGCTTTCCAGTACGTCCCCGTGTTCCACAATGTGGATGCAATGGGCATGGATCTGTGATGGAGATATGTAGATGACAAACGCTAGATATCCGTGGTGGCGTGTGCGTGTCATGACGAATATTGTGGGTGAGTTAACAGAACAGAACTGGATATTTGATTCCGACAGCCCACGATTGGCACAACTGTTATGTCGCACATGCTACCGCATCTAGTATCTTGTTGTTCTGTCATCTTCTGCCATTCGCTGCGTTCCTTCAGGCTGCTCGCTGATTTTCAACAGGAATGTCATTCTATTATTGAGACATTCAAGGTTGCCAGGCCCTAAGTTGCGCACGGGTTGTTGCCTATGTGACCGTCGTCTTGCGCCACACATGGTGCATTTGAAGAAATTTCCTGACATACAGGTTAGCCTCCTTTTCTACCTTTTTGTGTGACCTTATGTGTGAGCTTGAACAAACGAGCCACAGAGCGCGACCTAACTGTGTTCTTGTCGAGTATCAATATCGAGGCTTTGCGATCCCAAGCGAGTGCATTGCGGTACAGAATTCCGTTCAATGTCAGCTTTGTCCTATGATGCGGGAAATCGCCGGCAAATTATGGGTGGTATGAGCTACCTGTCAGAATTTTTTCCGATGATGAAGTTGAATCGTTTCATCGGATCCGTCAATGGAGCACATCTTCTCTGCCTCCGCAGATATAGAACTGCCTTCTTCTCGGCGAAGCTGCTGGCCTGCGATTCTTCGCTATAACCCGTTCTTACCCCCCCAAATGTACAACGTCAGTCCAGACACCCCGGCTAATCCTGTCGATGTTTGCTATATCTCCACGGAGAAATTGCCCTGGAAGGCGCTGAATTGGTACACGCTAGACGATGTGGGGAAGTGCATGGTCTCCTCCGAGTCTGTTGTACTGCCAGTTCCTCCACTTTGCAGTTCGGAAAGATGAGCCTACCCCTGCGTATGCCGGTCTGTCCAATAGGCTCGTCTCCGAGTTTTCGGACAACCTCTGCGCGCGACGCGTCGTGGATGCCAGATCTATGCACGCGTTTCTGAGATCAACTTTTCGGAAAATCCCGAATTCGTGTACTGCGGTGCCGACAAGACTCGACATGCATTCGCCGAGGCCAGGTGAATCCTTAAATACGCCCGCGATGAGTCTCAGTAAGTGCCCCCGCTGAACCTGCATCAACCACCAGCCTACCATGCCTTCCGAGCAGAAAGCCCTTCTTCTCCAGTCCAAGCAAGGCTCCCTCGCGGTTGGTACAATTGACGTACCGAAAGCCGGCCCCGGCGAGCTGCTCGTCAAGACAGAGTCGACTGCATTGAATCCTGCCGACTGGAAGGTCCAGAGCTATGGCATTTTCGTCACTGACTATCCTGCAGTCCTGGGAGGAGATGCAGCTGGTATCGTAGAGGAAGTTGGAGAGGGCGTGAGTGGGTTTGCCGTCGGTGACCGTGTGTGAGTTCTCTATGCAAGAGCGTTGTTTGCGTGTCAACGAGAATCGCCGACCGGTTCTCCCAGACTGACTGAAGGCAACATCGATAACGCACACGCCACTTTCCAGCAGTACTTCATCGCTGTCGCCGACATAACGGCGAAGGTGTGTAGCTCGGTGTACTATGCATTGACGCTTGTCTGAGCGTCCATTCCGAAGATCCCGAACAACATCTCATTCGATCACGCTGCTTCGCTCCCCGCATGCGTCGTAACCGCTGTGCTGGGCTTGTTCAACCAAGATGATCCGGCCAAAAGTGCGGCTTTGACGCCTTTCTGGGAAGAGAGTGGGAAGGGGAAATATGTCGGAAAGCCCATTGTAGTCTTCGGTGGTGCTACTTCCGTGGGTCAATACGGTGCGCACTATCTTAACAGCTTATATATCAGCGTGAATTAACCCTCGAGAAAAGTGATCCAGGTTGCGAAGCTCGCAGGCTTCTCGCCCATCATCGGCACAGCATCTCTGCATAATACCGACCTCTTGAAGTTTTTCGGCGCGACGCACGTCCTAGACCGCAAGCTTTCGGCCTCTGAGCTCGTCGCCGCCGTCGGCAAGATTACGTCCGCTCCCGTGGAGTTGGTCTACGACACAGTGAGCGAGAGTGACACGCAGAACGCTGCATACGATGTGGTCGCCCCAGGTGGTACCCTTGTGATCGTCCTACAAGAGGCGATAGACTCTGCGAAGAAGGTCGCAGAGAAGAAGGTCGTGCATGTGTATGGAAGCGGACATGCTGCCCAGAACCGCAAGACAGCGGCCAGCTTCTTCAGTAGGTTCACGGCTCTGCTGGAACAGGGTGCAATTAAGGCACGTGAATTTGCCTTCTCTTCAATCGCGTTACTGATGTGGCTATCTGGTGGTCAGCCGAACCGCGTTGAAGTTTTGCCCAACGGATTGGCAGGTATAGTCGACGGGTTGGAGAGGCTCAAGAATAACCAGGTTAGCGGCCTGAAGCTTGTCGCGCACCCTCAGGAGGGAACCGCATAGCCGTGTGTTAAAGGAGAGGTCAAGCAAAGATAGTAACGCAGTTCCAGAGTTTTGTTATATGAATAATGTGAATATTGTTTGATTTGATGAGGCTTAAGGTCGGTATGAACCTCAGGAGTGCGGAACAATTGCTTGAAGTCCGAACGTACACAGGCGACCCGAGTGCATAACATTTCAATGTCCATGGACGTCGATTTCAAGGTGAATATGGCGAACTGCGGAGCGGGGCTTTAGCCTGAACATCTACGAAGTATTGTGGAGACCATGTCAGTCCATCCACTGGTGTAGGACCTTGACAGTGCCGTCAAAACTATGTAATTGGAGGCACATCTACAAAATTCGAAATCACCGCACGATTGTCCAAGACCTCAATTGGTCAAGTAGATCTAGCCTTAGCTTGAACGTATCGATGCGGCTCACGATGGGATGCGCAATCATACCTCAGCGCTGAACATGGGATATCGATCTAGGTTGAACTTCGGGGATGCCACGATTGAAGAATGCACGTCGGTAAGCGCCGCTGCACTGCCTCCATTTCAATCTTGAGACAATGATCCAGAGATCTTGTCCGGCTTTTGGATCTGAGTGGTAAGTTCATACTAGGAGGCAGTGCGATAATGTGTGAACGTGAGTAGTATTCTTTGAGTCCTACATCACAGATACGGTAACATGGACTACGTACGTGTACATGTTCAAATGTCCAATTTCTCCGCGGTGAACATGAATGTAATGGCCACTAGTGGTATCTCTCTGAACATCAAGAGGAAGTTGAACGTCACGGTCGATCGTGCATAGTAACACCTCCAACTGTCCACTCACCCGCCTTATCGCGCACTTCCCACCTCACCTAGTCAATTCTACTTTCGCAATCCCTCGCAGCCTCAATTTGGGTAATTGAGAGACCAAGTCATCCTCCCAATCTCCCTCAGGGAGCTCGGTATCGCCCGAGGATGAGAACTGGAAGACTACTTCCTTGAGCTGAGAGAATTGCGGTCCGACCAAGATGTCCTCCATCCCTGCACCCTGTATCCGGAGTAGTACATCTTTCGCACCGTCTAGCGGCGTAGCACTATACCCGTAGTGGAACGAAAACGTCAACGCGCGCACTAGTTGGCTGCATATATACCGAGACAGTAGCTCCTTTATCCAGCCAAAATCTGTACGATCGAGACGAACAGGAATTTGAAGCGACCGAAGGCCCGTCAAATCCACCATACTCGAGCCTTGTTCTGGCGAAGTCTCATCAGTATACCTTGGGCGCGGTATAAAAAATACTGACCTGAAACAAACGATTCCATCCATTGATTGTCTGCTCCAAAAGTGAGATGTTGAAGGGACGAGCCAACAGCATGCATTAACTGAGCTAGTCCACTAAGCTCTACGTCGTCGACCTAAAAAAAAGAGTGGGGATAGGATATGCAGGTAGAGATAACTACTGCGTATGACATACGGTGAGATCGTTCAATCGCAGGCGGGACCTATAGCCACCCAGCGCAAATGGGTTTGAGCCGTGTCCTAGCCAAGATACGTTCCAGCATTCGACAGCAAGGAGGTTCGGAAAGTTAGAGACTAAACGGGCGAAGTCCGAGAACGACCGAAATTCGACGTGAAAGAGCTGCAGATCGGTAATGGAAGCAAACTCGTGGATAGCTATGAAGTAGATTCGATGGAAGGGAGCCACAGACGGCGTGGCATAGGGCGATTCGAGAGTAAGTGACCTCAGTCTTGGGAGCTTCCGAGCAAAAACAATAGGGAAGATGGTCATTAATCTGAAGGGTTTGTTATCGTCCGGATGTTTTATGATCAGCTCCTGAACAAACGTCGCAAGGCGCGGGGACTGGTCGATCAACTTTGAAAACGCGTGTAACTGCTCTCTCGTGTTTAATTCGACCGTGTGGAACAAGTTGTACTGGCTCCTGGCTAGCCAGGCTCGGCATGTGAGAGCGCAGGAACGAAGCGTGGTGTAATTGCGTTCGTCCGACGACTCTTCCCGCGAGAGGTCAATGATATAGTCATAGACCTCTAGCGGCAATCTGGATCTCCCCCATAACATTTCCTCAATACTGTGAGAGGTTCCTAGACTGCATGCGTGGCCACAGCTGCAGGCAAAATCCTAGCTCACAGAGAGGACGATGTGCTGGTCGAACCAAATTCATGAGTGATACGATGGTTGAATGAGGCCGAGCGCACCGATTATGCGAGGGAGGATAGAACAAAGAATGGGATCTGCAGAAAGCTAGCCAGTGGAAGGAGTGAATTTAAAGTACATCCAGTAAGCATCGCTTTTTGATCGCTTTTGCATTAGTATCCTGCGAACCTGTTTGTCTTTAAATCTACCACTTGCAGTGCACAGGTTGAACGATCGCGAGAGGATGAATCTATGGCACACGTAAGCTCCAGCAGGCACATGCTACTCACGCACGCGAGCTTCATTTGTATCATTCAGTATGCCATCATTACTCCTTGCAGCCGAGCCGAATCAACCGCGATGCTCAGTTATCAAGCATGAGCTATCTCTGGATTAATTAGCAAACCGACGCGGACCTTACTCGTCTCAGAAGTGCACGCATATTGCTGGCTGTGTTGATATCCCGACCTGTGTAGAAATCCTAGGTGGATGATCGAGTCATTGAGACGTTTTGCGGCTGTCCTTCGGGCATTCCGAAACCTGTCCAACTTTAGAAGTGGTTGCCATGGGCGCTTATTTGGGCGTTTCTCTGGAGTCTGCCTGGTCAGACTTTCGCATACCTTTAGGGAAGCGCCTTCGCCTTCGGTGTAGGAAGATCAGAAACCCATGTCAAGGCTGGATATTATGTCTGTATGTCTATCCGTCACTCATACTTTTTGCCGAGGACACTTACAGTAGTACTCAGAGTGTCCTCCATCACTTCATCGGCGCCAAATGCAACGCCGGTGCCAGCGTCGTGGACCGCTCCGCCATCGTGGTAAATTCATTAATTTACTAGTGTTGTGGGTGTGTTACTTTTAATTCACCGTGAGTTTCACCTCCGTGATTGATGCGACCACCGTCCACTTTTTTCGGTATCAATCGATAATCGTTGACGCAGTCGAAGCGACACATTTTCCGCTGTACAAGTACACCAACTGCACGTATTTTCCGATGCCTAGTGTGTGCTGCAGTTCCACGACGTCTGTCTCCGCGCCGCGGCGTCTTCCGATGCTAGCTCGCCAGAAAGAACACTAGTGGACCTTGGTGCTCTCATGAACGCGTCCTTGGCAAGCAAGCTGTTCAGGTTTGTGTGAACGTCCCTGCCCCGAGCTGCCAAGCTAGCACCGGCAGCAAGAGCCGGCTAACTGGTGCGTTCCATCCTGCTCCGTAGTTAGATATCTTCGGTCAATGACTCGCGTTAATGTGCAGATGCTGGGTGGGGAGGATGCACCGTATCGCTTGTCGCAGAAGACAAGATGGATGAATTCATCTCGCGGATAAAGGCAGTATAAGTACTGGCCTTGCAAGAGTCTCGAAGGTGGTGCGCTGCCTGGTATCAATTTGGCGACGAAGCCGAGCAGCGTGGCATTTCGTGAGTAAAATGGCTGTATTTTTTATCTCCGGTATTCCGTCTGTCCAGTGGATAATGTTGATCAGTGTCGGTTTCAGCGGTGTTGAAGCAGAGAATGTAAAATATGTGAAAAATCACGAAAGGTACAATATTTAACACTCACACGTTCACTGAATTCGAAGCAATCAGAACAGACCCCATATATGCGGACAAGTGGCACAGTTGTAGTTTTAGTTGTAAGGTGTACTAGACAAACCGATGCAGACCAGAACGTTCATCAGCAGTTTAGTGGATGTCAATTGCAATATTTGAACGGAATGCATGCAGATCATTCAGATTCTTGAACACAACAGAATTATTTAGGGAATCAAAGACCAATGCCTGAAGTTCCCCGGTCCTCGGACAATGAAAAATTCAATACGGATCCGGATGAACCAGGATTGAATTTCACGAAGCAATGCAGAATGCAGAGTACATATTTTATACATGAACATTTCAATCACCTGATGAACAAGATTATGCGCCCACCTCAAAAAATCGGGCAAGGTCTACAATATCGCGACTGGAAGTGAAAGTCGGATGTCGTACAAGGAAAGTTGACAGGCAGGGGGCCGCGGCTAGCCGGCACCTCAGCTGGCGAACTACCACACGACGCCTCGACAGCATGAAGTTGTTGTCCCTCAACGACGATGCTCTCTTCCTCGTCGCCTCTCTTCTCGATCCCCTCGATGCCCTCCGCCTGTCGGAAACCAGTCGGCATCTCTATCTCATCGCGCTCCCTCAGGCACTCTCAGCCATAACTCTCTTGACACACCGCCAACTCACCGCATTCTGCAAATACATGCTCAGAAGTCCGTCGACTCGCATGCATCTTTTGCGCGAGCTCTCTATTGTACCCCCAGACGGCCTCTTTTCTGATATGGCACCTCTCCTCGCCGATGTGCTCGAGCAGGTTCTCGGACTGCGGTCGATCATCATGCATCATGCAAACAGTTTCATCAAGGCAGCACCACGCATTGGCGATGCCCTCGCTGCCCTCGAGGGACTCGACGATCTCCGTCTACTTGGTGCCCGCGAGCTTGTGGTGGAGATGCTTCCCAGACTCCGCAGTAGGCCGCGTTTATTCCAGCTTGAGTGCTCGGGACAACCTCGCATTGCACTTCATCTCTCTCAACTTTCGGCTCTGCAGAATGCGGTGTTTATTGGATTGGTCAATGTTACGATCGACGACGATTTGTTCACGGAGCAGCCCGCGCCGTGGGAGGCATTGCAGCATCTTAGCCTCGACTATGTTAAGATCCCCGCGACTTTCTTCCTTAACTTCCCGAATCTCGAAAACGTAGCGCTGCGGTTGGATGAGATAGTGGGGCCAGTACCAGATGCGCCGATTCCCTCACCGTCGGTGCGCTCTGTCCGCGGCACGATGCTCAACGCGTCATGGATATGCGATCAGACATCTGAAGAAGATATCATACGAGCACTGCGAGCGCTGCAGTATGTCTCGCCCCTGACGCTCTCGCTGAAGAGTTTCGTAGACCCATCGCCTACGTTCTGGACACGTCTTGTCGCGCTATCTCCACAACTCAGGTATCTCGATATAGAGTTGGATGGTGTGAGCGTACCGGAAGAGGAAGGGCAGCTTCGAGTTGTCTTTAATACTACGTCGTGGCTGGTGAGCACCTCCATCTTGGTGATGCATAGGTTCTGTCGTGTTGACTCTTTGTCTTTGCTTAGCGTACAATCCCCCCTCTCCTCGCCAATCTGAATATCATTTGTCTCCGTATCTCCCTCGCGGATACGCGCGATGATCGTGACATGGAAATTCAGGACTTATTCTTGCAACATATGTGTGCCTCACTGCGCTACATCTCAGTCAAATCTATACCTCTCGGGCCCTGGCAGGACGACTGCGGGTATTCATGGTGGACCGTTGAGGAATCCGGGGACACAAGGCGGCTCGTGACAATGTCCAGTGAGGCTGGAGAGGCCATCCACGAAAGCTTGTGGACTCTATTCGCGGAGTAAATTCAATGTTCCACCACCGCAGGTGGTTCTCTTGGATGACGAACAGTTGTTTCAATCAGTGGTGTCTATTGCTGGCCTCATTTTCCTCACAATAGTCCGAGATATCGGCTGCTGGTTCTCTGAGTGCGTGCTCGCCTTCTGGGTTGACCAAATAATACTTCGCGATGTCTCCTCGTCCCTGCTGACGATATCTCTACCCGTCTTTGAGTCTCTGCAGTAGCGTTAACTTCACCCGTGGTATATAAGAATGAATTACAAGTTTAAAGCACTGGTTTATGACGTTCTTTCACCCCATGAATGCTTGTGTAGCTTCCCTGGTCAATTACACCGTGCGTTATCTCAGAATGGATAGATTTGAGTTAGTGTATACATAGTTTGGAGCTGAAGCAAATCAATGCGGACCAGCCCGTCTTACCGCTCCCGGCTTGTTCCCCGATATCCTAGTTGTCAATGCATGTCCCGCCACAGGCGGCACACACAGGCGAGTGCATTGCGGAAGAGCGTGGATGCGGATCGACACGTGGATACAAGTTTACAGTGGGAGACGGGTCGTCCTGGCAGAGCCACTCGGAATGTTCTTTGAATCTTTATGAGAAATAATAAATATGCTTGAATATTCCGATCACGATGTCCATGGGGAGGTTAGTGATCAAAAATGCTTTCTCTTCAGGGATTCCTGGTCAATATTCGTAACTAACGGGGCCACAATGGCATCGAATGGATCGTGTTCGTTAGTTTCGAAGTCAAGAAAGAAAGCCATAGAATGTATCACGCACCATCCTGCCGTCTTTCTACATGAACGTAAGCTTGTCCATGTTCCGTCGTACTTCGTACGAGCTCGGTGACTCTGGGGTAGTACCCATTCGGTTCGGTTATAGTCAAAATCCCGAATGCGCAGTTATTGCTCACTGATCTGTGTCTTATGCAGGTTCGACGTTCGGTGAGTGAGCAAGTCTCTGCGGACAATCGTGCATGAAATATCAGGTGTGAATACTCATCTTTCATTACACGGATGTTTTTCATTGTACACAGCCAACTGAAGATCTGAAAGCGCGCGAAAAGCTACTCGCGAAATCCTAGGACAACTCACATCCTTGCAGGCTGCACCTCCCTAATCCCATCGATCCACGCCAACAACTCGCGATTAAGCTCATCGGGCTGCGCCAGCTGTACCCAGTGGTCTGCATCGAAGCCCCTCCACGTCAGGTTGGGGCACAGCGCCTTCGCGAAGAGCTCCGGCACGCAGACGTAGTCCCGCATCGCAGCACCGAAGAACGTCGGCTGCTGCACAGTGTAGCGCTCCTGCGGAATTTCTATAGCACGGAGCGTCAGGAAAACGCAAGACGACGGCAAGCCGAATGTACGTTTGTTATCCTCGGCGCTGAGACCGGAAGTCATCACTTTGTACCAGTTGAGCGGGCCCGCGATGCCGAGGTCGCGGATGCTTTCCTTCATGTGCTTCTTGTCCTTTGTGTGCGCGATACTGGGTATCAAGACTGTGCGAATAGTAGGAAAAGGTGCTTACAGCCTCCGTGAGGTAAGATACGGGCGGAAGCGCTCGATCTGCGAGGACCCATGCTTTGAGCGCCCCGACTGGCGCCAAGTCCGTGCGCCAGTATGCAGGATCTGACGGGTAAACGATATTGATGAACGAGTCCCACTAGAAATCAGTGCCAACGGTCTTGAGAACTCCGAGTGCGATGTCTACGTGGAAGCGCAAAGCACCCACATGTTCCTCTATGATCTTATCTGCGCCTTCCTCGGAGAAGAACCTGTTCGACCGGTCGTCCGGCAGTCAATCATCAACAGTGCATTTGACCGGTGGAGGGAAACGTACAACCAGTACCCGAAAAGCTCATAGCCAAAGAGGCCTTTGAGATGGTCGAGGAAGTGGGTAAATGTCCCCGAGGTCGATGGCGGAGAGTAGCCAACCGAAAGAAATGCAAAACCGAGGAAGCGTTCGGGGTAGTAATTCGCGATACGGCAGGTGAGCCCGCTGCCCCTACAAAGGTGCATGCCTGGTGAGTGAGCTTTGACAGGAGAGACAGAGGCAACGAGATGTACCAGTCATGCCCAATCGCGACCGCCCTCCCGGGCGCGACGTTCTCCGCGTCAAGTATGTCAATCATATCCGCCGCCATCCCGCTGAACTTGTACTTCTCAACCTCTGTCGGCTTGTCCGTGCCACCGTATCCCAGCATGTCTGGTACGATCACCGTGAATCCGTGCGCACGGAAGAACGGGACTTGGTGGCGCCAGTCATAGGAGGTCGATGGAAAGCCGTGAATAAAGAGGAGGGCGGGCTTCGCGGAGTCGGTGCCGTGGACGACGAAGTAGTTGTACTTGAGACCGCGCTTGGTAGTGAGCGACCTGTACGCTGAGGGGTCCATTCTCGGATGGTGAGGATGGGTGGCTATGGCGCTGCCAGTTAAATACAGCTAATGGATCGCCAGGTACTCGATACCTCCGCCATTTGATATGGATAAGACGATCGCGATCACGCGCACTCGACGTTCATCGGGCATCCCAGAATGCCCGAGGTCGGAAATCGCATGGACTTCAGAATTCATACATCAACATCAGTGAAGATCCGATGGCAACCGTGGACTACGAACGAGATGAACATGCGTTCGGGCAGAAGAACTTGAACCCAGGGCACGATACACCAACTAGAATGCTTGATGAGAATGGCCCTCCAAAAAACTTAAATATCTCAATGAATATTGCTGCTGGAGATATAGACTTCTGGAATCAGGTCAGAGTAAATAAAAGAGAGACGTCTTGAAGTGGTCGTCCACTACGCGCTCAATGATTGGACCACACGGTGTGACCTGTGCACGTGATACGAATCTTTGACGCCAGTCACTTCTACGACTACCACAATCATCGACAACTCTGACACTCCTTCTCCTCTTTCTGCATGTCCTGGGTGCATCCAAGAATATGAATATGCATGTGTGGACTCCACTCTGTGGGTGTAAGCTCCAGTTCATCATAATGAGTATGATCTAGTAATGCCCATACTGCATGGAATATGCTTGTGTTCAGAGGGCCAGAACTGCAAACAGAATCAGAACCCAGAAAAGACAGAAAGAAACATACTTGAGTTATAGGGCACAAGGCTTTGCAATGTGCATTCATTCTTAGATCTGCATTTTCACTGGCTTATGGGTGTGACACTCACTGGTATAGCACACATCAAGATTGTGACAGATATGAACAGTAGTTAGAACACTTAAGAAATGCATAAAACATTCATGATTGGAGACAATACATCAAGATAACACATATGGTGAAGAGGTAAGTGTGATGACAGGACACAAATGTACATAAAGAGAATTGTAGAAAGCCTCCATAGGTATGTATATAAAAGAAACATTACTGAAGACTGACTTGACCACTACATAGACCTAAAATACATTGTCCTATGTTCACCTGCTTAGGTGATAGAGGCATTGGTATGCCAACTAAGCCAGCGACTATAAGCAGTGGAGCCCATGGCTTCAAGAATACGAATACGTAGGAACTTCCAGAAAGGCTCAAGCTTTAGAATACGTTCTGCCAGAGTGTCCTCCTCCATCCAGGATGCCTTAGGAAGTGGTGGCATGGGGAGAAAGTATCCTGTTGTAGCTGCTGACATAGATGCTGTACCCTATTATGTTCAGCTTCTTCAGTACCAACCTTACAATTAGTAGAGATTACTTACCAGATTGTTATCATCTTCTTCCTCCTCTTCCTCGAAAGGATCTAGAAGGTTTTGGTAAAGATTGTCTTTCTTCAAGTTGGGAGTTTCGCCATCCTCTACTTGTCTCTGCTTCTCTTCTTTAATGACACACCTACATTCATCCAACAACAGCAAGAGACGTTCACTTGAAGTTATCTGCCTAGAGTACTGTTCTGCTGTAAGTCTGTCACCTTCTTCAGTTTGTGTAAGAGGACGCTTATATGTTAAGTTCTATTGGTGATTAATAAGAGATAAGAAATTTAAGAGAGAAAACATCTCGTACTTGGCAATAAGCATGTGTCTTTCGTACCTCATAATCTTGGCTCATCAATTGATGCAACTCTTGCACCTCCTCGCCTATATTTCTGAAGACATATATGTCTGCATTGAGTGTGCCAAACCAAGCAACACCATCCACAGATACAGGTCCATATTCCTTTGAGGCATTACGAACATAGAAGTCGCTCGCCTGGTAGTGATGAGTGTGATATCCATTTGGCATAGAAGGTAAGCTCCAGGAGGGAAACTCCTTCAAATCAACAATAATTGCCCCCAAGAAGTCTGGCTTCTCTGTCAAGAGACATAGAACTTGAGAAGACACTGTATGCCATGACTGAGAAAATGCAACTTCAACAAGAATGAGCTCCCTCCGCTCTGAGATCCGTTCCATGCTGCCTCGAATAATGCGATGATGTGGGGTCTTGAGTTTCAACAGTATATCTGGCTCTGCCTTGCCTCCTTTGACAAGTATCTCAGAACCACCTTGGGGTTCTAACACTTGTCCATCACTGCTAGACAAGAGAGAATGGTCAAAGCAATGTGCAAACACTTGAGCAATGTCCTGATGAATATCAAGAGGAAATTTGATGTATAGCTCTTGAATCTCTCGGTCATACCAGACACTAGGGCCACATAGTTAAACAGTGGAAAAAAGGGCAAGAACAGAGAGGTATATACCGTGGGGGCCGTCCCATAGTGTCATTCAATTTCTCAACAAACATTTTATATGTGGTGAGGTCAACGTGAGTGAACGTCTGAAACCAGGTTCAATCTTCAGTTGGTATCCTAGCCCTGCCAGATAAATGCTAACTTACCTGGGCCAACGGGCGTTCATACAACGGCAACATAATATATTCTGTGAATATCCTTCTGACCAACACCTCCTTATCTGTTGACGGCACCTCCCTCAGTACCGCGGCATGGAGGATCTTGGCATCTGTTAACATCTTCGCCAATATTGCTTATGTTTGCAGGAGAAGGGGTGAAAGCGGCCTTATCTACATGCACAATATTAGATCTCAACAGGTTGTTATGATGCATTATGCACTAACCCTTTTAAACAGTCTGCAAGATTCTCCTGCTCGTCGTACTAGTAGGCCCCGCAGAGAGGCTCGCGCTACGGTGGTTAACTGAGCAGGGGTGAATGAACTCCGCACTGGCTGAAAACACATGATTTAGAAGTTAGAATGTACGATGTTCAGAGCAACTTGAATGTAAGACGTGTAGACTCACCACCAGAACGTTGCTGGAGGCCGTTGTAAGAGGCCACGTCACGGTTACTAGTAAGCGGAATTCCGCACCCTAGTAAAGTGTGATTCCCACAGTTTATGGTAGTTTAAGTCCCAATATTACGCTCTACAGTATAGTACAGGATTTTTTCACAAACCATGGCGTGCTTGCTCACCTCCTGCAGGCTGTCATGCGTACTTCGCAATTGCAAGCAGTGGTACAGAATGTACAAACATAAGTAAAGGGAGACGCGCGGAAGAACCCAGCGGAACCCGGTGAACTACAAGAGCTGCTATAGCATTGCACCCCCTGTCCCTCTACGCACCTAGTATGCATGGTCCTAGCTCCCGGAAAACAGAACGACTTGGATATATACGGTCAACTCTGGAGGCTGCGCAGTGCACAGTGCAAGGCTGTCCAGAAATTGATCACGTGGCGGTGATGAAGCTCTTGCATCACCGCACTGCCGGCGAAGCCCTGGCATATACTTACACGATCATTCACACTTTTCACTGTCACTCTCAATCCTTCAGAGCTTCACAACGTACGAAGATTTGCTTTCATTCTCTGGCGTGAAAATCTGGAGATTTGGAGAGTCCAGAAGGTCGCACATTGCAAGCTACTCCCATAACTCCTCGCAATCACGACCTTAGAATTCTCGTTGTGTCGGGTATATCTCTCATCCTCGAGGCTGTTGTTGTGAGCGGTCATTCTGGTTGGACGTGAGTTTTGTCTCGGCCTGTATCCGAACGTATCCCCGAGTCATGACCGAGCACAGCAGTATCCGCTGCCCACCGTCCTTTAACTCCTTCAACCACCATGGTCAAACCGCCGTCGATGCGCAACAAGAAGGCTATCAAGTTCGGTCGCGCAATCAGGTCTGCCGCCCGCTTTCCTGTACGGGTGTCGGGCGGTAGAGGCAGCGGCAGAAATACCTTCTCCCCCGCCCAAGGCGAAGTGCCCGTCGTATTGCTTCGCGTTCAGATTTTGGGCTGTACGAATCTCGTTGCAAAGGACAGGAATGGATATAGTGATCCGTAAGTGCCGTCTCGAATTGAGGCACTCATGTGCTCACACGACACAGATTCGTCGTCGTGTCGCTTCTGCGGGACAGACATCGAACCCCAGTCATCAAGCGCTCGCTGAACCCCGTCTATGCACCCAAGGATGCCACGTTCGATTTCCCCATCTATATGTCGCTCGCGGAGAAACTCGGCGTCATCGAATTGGTCGTGTGGGATAAAGACGTGATAAAGAAGGACTACCTTGGTGAGGCATGTATCCCGCTGGAAGACTGGTTCCGGGACGGAAACGCGTTTTCTTTTGACGATGCGAACAACAAGGTGCGTCGCACGTGTGGTCTCATGCCCCGTTCCTCATGCTCCCTTCTAGGCGATAACTGCGCCCATCGTATCGACACGCACCTCCACTCAGGCGTCGGGGACGATCCACCTTAAGCTGGGATTCGTACCTGCTGCTAAGAGTGCACCGTTGATGGATTACGATCAGTTGTACTCAGAGCTGAACAAGCGCTCGCGACCGAGCCTTGTCTCGGCGCCGCCTACGGCAGGGATTGGAACGGTGCGCTCGCAGGAGGGCGGGCCGGCATTTGAGGATGATGGGCTGACGTCCGACGAAGGCGAGTACAACAGCGAAGATGACGAGGAAGACTCACCGGAAAAGTTCATCACGACGCCGATTGCGCAGCCGATCCCTCGCACCGCTTCAATGCCGAGCACACCGACGACGGCGAAACCTCTTTTGTCTGCGCCCGCAATAGCATACAGCCTGAGTAAGCCACCGTCGCCGCTACCGTCGTCATTCAATATTCCTAAGATCTTCCCGCGGCGCGCGTCTGGTGCGCGGTCGCCATCGGTGGACTGGTCCATGACTGGCTCCTCATCACCCCGGGCGGTAACGCCGACGCCGACTGGAACTCCGACACCGACGCAGAAGACTAAGTTTCGGCGGTCGTGGATATCGAAGCGGAAGGATTTCAACTTCTCCGCGGCGAATGACATCCTTGGGATTGTTATGCTGGAGATCCAAAGCGCGAGGGACCTGCCACGCTTGAAGAATAGTAAGCCAGATATTACTTCTGTGTCGGTGTGTATTAACTGACAACCACGCGTGCAGTGACGCGTACCGGGTATGACATGGATCCGTTTGTAGTTGTATCGTTTGGCAAGAAGGTTTTCCGGACGCGCGTCATACGGCACTCGCTAAATCCGGCATGGGATGAGAAGCTGTTATTCCATGTTCGGCGGTACGAGTCGGCGTTCAAGGTGCAACTCACCGTACTCGACTGGGACAAACTTTCTTCCAACGATCATGTTGGCGACGCGAGCTTTGACGTGGCGGAACTGATCGCAAACGCGCCGCAGAAGGACGAGGCGACTGGTCTGTACCCCGCGAATGAAGATGGATTGTCGCCCATGAAGGAGTTCTGTCTGCCGCTCACGACAGCAAAGGAGGTACCATGGGAGTCGAAGCATGCGCCAGTGTTGATATTCCGGTGCGTCACTTACCCGCGCCTGACTGCCTGTGATGAACCTTCGCTCAGCGCCAAATATCAACCGTACGACGCGCTCCGGCAACGATTTTGGCGGCAGTATCTCAAGCAGTATGACACAGACGATATGGGCATGCTCTCACATGTCGAACTCACCTCTATGCTTGACTCGCTAGGATCCACGCTCTCGCATGAAACCGTCAATTCGTTCTTCACACGATTCGGAAAGAAACCGCATGAGGACGTCATCACAGTTAATCAGGCTATCCAGAGTCTGGAGACCGAGCTTTGTCGACCCCGCAGTGAGAAGAAACGGATTAACCCCGACGAGACTGGTATTGATACCAGTGCCCCCGTAACCCCTGCCATTCATTCAAACGCGGACAAACAATTACTGCTCAACCTCGACCTTCTAGACTTTTCGGGCCCGCCATTGGACTTATCTGCCTACATACGTGACTTGGAGCATGATCCTCTCCAGAAACCAAGCCCGCCTGCTTCCTATCCAACGGAACCGATGCAGCAGCCTCTTGCGGATGTCGCAGCATCGTCCAGCAGCAGTTCTGTGTCGGCGAACTTCAATCATCAAATATCCGGTTCCTATTCTGACCCAGAGGAGTCCTCTGGTTCTGCGTCTGGCGGCTCCAGCTCAAGTTCAAACACAACTTCACCGAGTTCAACATCCACGGATGACCTCTTCGAGCGCGTTATCAATATTAAGAATTGTCCACTGTGTCACCGGCCCCGATTGAACTCGAAAGCAGAGGTAGACATCGTCACTCATCTTGCGATATGTGCTAGCCAGGATTGGGCGGCTGTAGACAGGATCATGGTCGGAAACTTTGTCACTGCAAGCCAAGCGCAACGCAAGTGGTACACGAGGGTGATCTCGAAGGTGTCGAGCGGTAACTACAAGCTTGGCGCGGTAAGTTGTTCATGCTATGCGGTCCCGACTGTCCATCTCTTGACGCGGCACAGAATTCTGCAAATATCATTGTGCAGGACAGGTTGACTGGACAACTGGAAGAAGAGAAGATGCAAGTTTATGTTCGACTAGGCATCCGGCTATTGTACAAGGTCTGTGATGTCCTCTCCAGATTTGTATTGTACATGCGCGTTGATACGGCGCGCAGGGTTGGAAAAGTCGTATGGAGGGTGCGCGAGGTAAGTGAGGGCTTAGTCGCGCTAACAAAGGTTGACATGAGCGCTTTAGCTCGCCGTCTTCTGCGGTCGATGTCGATTAAACAGGGCATCAAATACGATTCTCTGGAGTCCGCTCTCTACATCCCTACCTTCATTGCTTTCCACCATCTGAATGTAGACGAAATCTTGGAACCTCTCAGTTCTTTTAGTATGTCCGGCTAATTTCGAATGTGATAGGAACTGACATGTTCGAATTGATAGAGAATTTCAATGAGTTCTTCTACAGGTTGGGATCATTCCATTCATACTTGTGATGCTGCATACTCACTACTAGTCCGCAGGAAGCTGAAGCCGACCGCTCGACCGACTGAATGCCCTGACGACCCTTATCGACTGGTCAGCAGTGCAGATTGTCGCTTGATGACATTTGAAACTGTACATGAGGCGACATCGTTGTGGATTAAAGGCCGTGACTTTACGGTTGCTCGCCTGCTAGGAGAGGCATATCGTTCCCAGGCCGACCGATATGTCCACGGTGCATTGTGTATCTTCCGTCTTGCCCCACAAGACTATCATCGTTTCCATTCTCCGGTCGACGGGATTATCGGGCCCATGACGTATGTTGCTGGAGAATATTACACGGTTAATGTGAGATACATCGGTATGACATATAATTATACCTGACTGATTATGATATCCCTGACAGCCTCAAGCCATCCGTACCGCCCTTGATGTTTATGGTGAGAATGCCCGCAAGATAGTGCCGGTTGATAGTCCACAATTTGGCCGTGTCATGATTGTCTGCGTTGGTGCCATGATGGTTGGAACCATCAAGACGACCGTCAAGGAGGGTGACCGGGTTGCCCGGGGTCAAGAGCTGGGCTATTTTGCATTTGGTGCGCCTACATCTCAGCGCATTCTGCCCCATGATGCTCATGACCGTATTAAGGTGGATCGACACTAGTTGTGCTATTCGAGAAAGGCGTGGTGGAATGGGACGAGGATCTCTTGGACAATGGCCGTGCCTGTTTGGAAACCCGAGTTCGTGTCGGGATGGGCATCGGACGCGGTCAGCGTGCACCTTCTCTCGGCTCAGATAACAACACCCGCGCTGCTCCATAAAACGGTTGGAACTTTTTTTGGACGCACTTACGGCTTGAAATATAATCTACAGATTGTTATCACGGTTTTCCCTCTCCTTATTTCCGCGCATCAGCTACATACCAGAAGTATTTATGATAGACCATGCATCAGACTCCCACTTAATTGTACAAAATGCATCTGTTATTTGCTGTCGGAAACCGTTCCCATTGACGGTCTGCTATAGTCTTTGTTGGTCTCCTACCAGTGCGTCTGATATATTGGCTGCGTGCGTATGGGCTGTAATACCAAGAGCACGTGGCACGCAACAGTTTCTTCTCAGGGACCAAAATATTTGTCCTCGTAAGGATTAGAGAAAAAAGGAATAAAACCACAGCACCCAGGATTCCCGCGTGGTCCCCCACCGTGGTACTAACTGGGCGGCACTCCGGTTAACTTCGCAGATCAGACGGGATGCGGTGCTTTCGAAGTCCTATGGCCGTGGATGAAATCTTTCCCGCGTATCTCTATAATACTATGGGTTACCACTCACTCGGCGGACCCTGTAAGTCGGCAGTTTTCCCATGTATAGGGAGGATTCGGGTCAAATGTTCGAAGCGGCGGGAATTTGCCCTGAGGATGCGCACCTACCCTGGATATTTCCCTTATATGGGGGCTTTTGCCGACAGGATTCGCCGAGTGAGTGGTAACCCATAGTAACTAGGTTTGCACGACTTCCAAGCAAAGGTTGAATATTGTGACCAACAGCAGCCATCGCTATATACGAATCCTTCCCGAAACGTACTAGCAATATTGAAGGCCTGGTAGCTGGAACGTTGAGTCTCGAGTCATCAGGAAAACCCCATTTTTACTTTAGCTCGTTGTGCTCCCTTTTTGCAGCAAAGATCATATCGATAGGCCCTTCCAAAAAAATCCGTTCACAGATCGGACTGCGAAATCAAACGCTCCGGAAATTCCGGTGGGTGGTGGCGCCACCGTGCAGCGCGGTGCCACCAAGTCACGCCGCCTGGGCCGCTCGCGCCCGGCTGTAGGCGGTTAAGGTCCCACCTATCGGGAGCTTTTTTTTCGCACACCGCCCAAAGGCCGGCTGTGCACGATTTTTTGACCATGGGCCTAATGATATGATCTTTGCTGTGAAGGAAACAAGCCCAACAAGTACTGAGATCAGCTTGATTTGGCTTGTACAAGCTCCAAAAGGAGCAATCAAGGGCAAAGTCAATTCTTGCCTCATCTAACCTCAGCGAATTGTTACAGGTAGTAAGCCATTATCATAAGATTTCCTATTCTACTGCGTTGGCACAGGAGCTCTCGTCAAGGCGCATTTACGCGCGAACCGTGGGCATTTGTAAGTCAGAGACACCGAACCTGCTTGTCATATCGTTGTAACTTATTTCTTCATAGTTATCATCCTCCACGAACATGGGTTCTGATACGAACGTCGCCGTACACGTAAACTCTACCGGTAAACGTGCAATTGATTTTCCTCTCGACGTCCTGATCAACATCTTCGAGTTGGTCTACCCCGAATCCCGCGAACCCTTCGTTAGCGTCAAAACCAAACATCGCCCACTCTTCAGTTGGGAGGAGGAAACCCGCACATGCTGGAAGGACGAAGATCCTCTGTCTCCCACATTCTTCCCAGAGGCGCTCGCCGCGGTGTGTCCATCGTGGAGAGCAGCGCTCTCTCAAATCTCCGTATTTTGGACGCGCATCGTAATCGTTGTCGATGACGAGCCCACCCCCCTATCGACCGTACGCACGTCTCTTGCACTCTCCGAACCTCATTTTATCGACATTATCATTTGTCGGCGACATGATCACGACCTCAATAGTACCGCGGCCGAGCGAGCATATATCGACGCGGTTATGGCACTCCTGGATCCGCATAAGCAGCGCTGGGGAAGCCTGCACATCGACCTTCGCACATCGTTAGAGTCGCCTTCACCCATCACGCTGAATGGCGACGCTCATTCCCTGGTCGCTCTGAACATAGATTCTACTGAGGATGCGAATATTCAAAATAGCCCCGGATTTTGCTTCCATGGCCCTCAGCTGCTGAAGTTGCATATGGGCGGCCTCGCAGTTAGCCGCCACTATCTCGTAATGCCAAAGAGATCTCTTCTCTGAAGAGCCTTAGCCTGATTCAGTGGATCCACCATGGCCCCATCTTCGGCGTAGACGAATTGGTGCGGTGTTTGTCTCATCTCCCACGACTGAAGACCTTAGAGCTCGCCCACCTTGATTTGCTCCCTGCGCTCCGTGCATCTGGCCCCAGGGGGTCCAAGTTGGCATATTGCGGTTACACGGGCTTCCCCGGCGATATCCTATGCACCCTCCTAAATTGCCTACGCTATGCGGACAATTGCGAATTACATCTCATCCAATGTGAGATTCCGCGCGAAGTCGACCGTTTGAAGTTGTTTAGCTTGCAGCTGGAGGCGACAGCGAGACCCTCCGTACCCTCCTATCAGCATGTAGCGCTTCTTTACTCACGGTCATCGAGTGCCCTAGCTTCGACACCCAATTGCTGCACTACTTATCTGTAGCGGACGACCGTGACCGATGGTTGTGGTTGTGCCCATCGATGAGCGAACTCGCAGTACGGGGATGCCATGGGTTCACGAGCGGAGACATAGCGAACATGATAAATGCCCGCAAGGAGGAAGTGGCTCTTCAGGAATATCACCTCGATTTCGTCGGTCGTGATCCGCCACAGAATTTGGAGCCCATTGTATCCATGCGAGTGGACGACTGTACCGAGCTTCATGAATGCGACAAGCAGTCATTCCGTAAGAGCGAGGTGTACGTTTCTTGGGATGCATGGTGCGATTTTCCAGAACAGTTTTCGTAGTTGACTGTTGGTCGAAAGCAGGTTAGATATATTTGTCATATGTAGCCGAAACGATGAGTAAGTAGTACAAAATGGCGTTGCAGCACGGACAGCCCCCTTGATTGCGCGCAGTCGAATATCCGTATAATCGTAGTGCATAAATGCAAGGATGACACATACTGTCAGTGGCATCTAAGGCTCCATCTTCACTGCTTCAGCGCAGCGGCACAGCCACTAATTCGCCGTATTACACGTGACCGTTACTGGACTACAAGTTCCGTAGACTCGCAGAAGATGAGTCCACTATGGCTGCTCGCAATCCTCCACCTATTGTCCTATCCGAAGAATATGTTCAGGAGGCCTTTCACTCCTTCCTCAGGTCTTCCCTCTCCCAGGCAAAGGTCGAAGGACTCCTCGGTGTAGACGTCCTCTCGAGCGCCGAGGCAGATTTGATGATCACTGGCAAGTGCAGTCTTGTAATCGGTTCGCTTCACCTAAGCTCACATCTATGCTCACAACCATGTGCAGGGCCCGCGTTGTGTCTCTACTTCGCCGCTTTGCGTTCGACTACAAATCCACCATCTGTTCCGCTACCCAGGCGGACCAAGGCGTCTGCACCTGTGGACCTCTCTTCAGAGAGCTGCCCACTTCCCTTCCGCCAATTCTGGGCCGTCTGGTCCCAGAGCGTACCCGAAATCCAGGCACTCGTGCCCGAGCACCAGCATGACCTGGCGCGAATTATCTGCGGCCTTCTGCCTCTCTGTAAGCCGCCGAATGCCCGCTTGAACGGTATCGCTGCGGATCTGCGAGCAGTCGCTATTGAGATCAGCATGCGCCGGACGTTCCAGGACCGATATGCGAATGACTTACAGGCGGCACTGGATGCAGGGACGGGAGGGAACACTAGGCTCAAAGCAAGCTTCGTACCTCCACCGGGATACGAGGCTCCCAGATTCCCATCCCCGATTTCTACCACCACTCCACCCAACACACCGCGGAAGTCATCCCGGAAGTCACACGTGTCCAGCCCGACATTAAGCCCTATTCCACCTTCTCAATCTCGCGCGCCGTCGCCCAGCATCCTATCACCAACATCCCCTGCAATTGAACTTATCCGCGAGACACTCTACGCAGCGCTCGCCGACGTGCTCGAGCGGATGCCGCACCTACGGCAACTCGTCCGCACAGACCCGATCCGCGGATACTTCGCCGCCGTCGCCTTTGCGATCCTCGACGTCGCCACGGGCTCTGCCACCCATCCCTCTGCTCCCTCGCAGGCGGTCGCGGACGTGCTTCCCCGCTCCGCTGAGCCCTCCATTCGGGGCGTGCTCGGACAGACACTTTTACTCTCGAACTGCCCTGAGCCGCTGCGCCCGTTCATGGCGGAGTTGTGCGACATCGGAAAGACCGCGGCGGAGATAGAAGAACAGGACTCACTTGCTAGCGTCCAAGCACTGCAAAAAGGACAAGAGCCGCCCGTTCCCCGCCTCGATAAGGTGCGCGATATCCTTGAGCATGGCGTGGGGAATGCGCGCCTCGGCGATGAGACCAGCCCGGCGCAGGAGGATCGCCGGGCAGCAGCGAGACAGACCAATGGCAGCGACGGATATCGTCACGTTTCGCGGCCCCGCACGACGTCCACTGAGAACCGTGCTGTGGTGTTTGCGAACCGGATAAATGCCCTTGCACTCGGAATGACGAAGCTGCGGGCGTTCAGGGAGAGGCAGGAGATGGTGTTCAAGGTCCTGGTGGGTTTGGGTGGGTAGAAGGACGTCATCGACGGCATGTTCTCTTCTTTCGGACTTCTTCAGTTGCAATAGATTTCGAACTGACCTTATTGTTGTTATACCACTAATCTAATTTACATATGTACTGCTGTCATTCCTAGGCTTGTTGTATTGCTTTCGTTAGTTCAGTGGGTTCCTTACTTTGTAGTAACCTTGTCTTCAGAGCTTGTCTTCCGCCGTAGGCTTGAATTGTACCTGTATGTTGAAATCGTATGATACGAACTTGACACGCGGTGTGCGGTAAATTCGGACTACTAGCTTGCGCAAGCGCGGAGCCAGGGGGTACTTTCCAAATTCCTGACTTTCTGGCGATAGGAGGTGCAATTTAACAACCGTGTGGATATGAGACCAACTACACAAAGGAATACCATGCAGTCCAGTGAAGGAAGGATTCCGACGTTGACTCTGGAATGCCGAGGCCGCTTGCATTCTCATCCTCTCCTCTACTTCAGGCGGAATGGAGAAGTCGTCGTCAGCAGAGATAGAAAATGACTGATCGTAGTCGGCACTGGCACTTTATCCCTTCGCCACGAACAATAATCGCAACTGCTCCGTGAGAGCTTGTTTCAGTAAGTCTAGGGTTTTCGGCGGAATGCCGAATCGTGGAGGACCAGGGAAAGATCCAGCCGTGAGTGCCCGGTAAGATAAAACAGTCCTGCCCCGGCACGGCCAGGTTTCTGTATTTTTTACCGACACCAATGACATTGTCGATGTCCTAGAACAAATCAGCGCCCATGCACACTACATTTCGGAATGATCGAAACATACACAGAAAATAGTGCCAATACCAGACGTAGCAACAGATGCATTAGCTGCAGCTTTGATAGCCATGAGGCTCGCCTCGCAGTGCACCGAGCCATGAAATGACTTGATTGCAGAAGGAATAGCGGCACGAAGCACCTGCAGAGCGAACTCCTTCTCATCGTCTGCTGCAACCTGGCCTGTAGGGAAGATGCGTTGCATAACCGAGGTCAGGAAATTATTATCCATCACTTCTTTCACGGGAGCCAGGTCCTTATCAGGATGCGGGACTCGGATAAGGGCGAAATCCAGTGGCCGATTGCCGAGAAATATCTTGCGAGACGTCAAAAAATGGATGGCTGTATGGCACGCCACCAGCGAACGAATGTATCGCAGAGGAAAGGCCTCGCCGTCGGGGTCCAATTCCTCTAGTTCTACATAGCCGTTAGTACAGGCTTGGATCGGGTGGAGATGTTATCAGGTACCTTCATATACCGCCTGGCCTACCTGTAAAGCTGCCGATCTATGAATGGCGCTACGATAGGGGGAAGGTTGACAACTTACTGGCTCGTTTGCGCTGCAAAAGGTCCACAAGCGAAGGTATTACGAAAAGCGAATCAAATATATGCGCGGATAAGAGCGTGTTGGGGCCGATACTATTTGCCACCAAATTGTCCAAAAGCTGTGAATTCTCCTTCTGATTGCTGCTATTGATCACGTCGTTGAAAGACTGCAGAGCATCCAGGGTAATGAGGATGTACGAGGCGAGACTCCTAAGCCAAGGACGAGGCGTTTCGATAGTTACGGCGAACATGTCCCGATCCCCTCGACGGACCAGTGGTATATCTGGGGTCGGTATATATCTGCCAACCCGCGAAGCGGGCACAAACTTTTCATCAAGGGTCTCCCCAGGCTCGGGAGTCCAAGGTTCAAGAAGATCGAATAGATCCTCCTCCCAAAATATGTGCCTCACCTGAAAACGCCGGAGCATCGTCTGACAGTTCCTCCTGAGGACGAAATGGCGGAAGGATTTGACGCATGTCGAATAAGAGGGATCACTTCGATGAGGTACCTCCCGAAGAGCTGCAATAACATCGCTGATATGATCCTTCAATGCGATGCCGAGATCAAAATCGCTATAAAAGCAATGAGATCGAATCGACTAGAAACCACTTGTCGCAACGTACTTCGAGCTTCGAAGGTCGGACAACTTCTTTTCGCTCCGAGGGATCCAGTCTATATCCAAATCTTCCGATAAGTTCTCTTCCGGTCGGGATTTTTGTGTTGCTCCTAGCATACTGCCAGTGACAGCAGCGTCCGTGTCTCCGGCATCCTCGTCACGGTCCTCCGCGCTGATCACCACTAATGTGCCTTGAAGAGTGGATCTCCCCGTCACAGCAATAACCTTTGACCCTTTGCCATCGTCATCGGTCCCACGGGTGAGTAGAGCGGCAATATGGCGATATAAATTCGCATGTGCTGACTGCTGGCTTAACGCACTGTGGCACACCGAGATGAGGCTTGACATCGTTAAGCACAGTCGTGAGCGTTTTGATCCGCCGGACAAGGTGATCGTATCTTGTGAACCCATGGCATGATCTGTGGACATATTAGCCGCGCACTCAGAATTAGCCGACCTTCCTACTTCCAGGCTCCTAAAATCATCCCTTCACCGTAGTGATTTCACTCGCTCGAACGATCATGTGACATATGTTTTATGCGATTTACCTTTCTGAGCGAGATCTACTTGCATCTGCAGTTATTGAGCTACATTACTGACTTGTGCTCAAGTCAAAACGGTCAGAAATTATTTTGCGGGTAGGGTTTGGTGAAATACTCACATTATCCACTTTCTAGGGCATTGTGTCCAAAAAACAAGTCTTCAAAATTTGCTTCCCCTTGACAAATACCCACAATGAATGCACCTCGGGAATACAAGCGTGAGAGGTCTTCGTGTTCATGCGCCGTATGGATGTATGTCAAACGTTCCAGAGATCTATCTTGACGGGGGCCACCAGTTCATAACGCCATGAGACATGCAATTCCTGCATTAGAAACGTACCACGGCAGTCAATAGCATTCTTTGAGCATATACATGGCGTTGAAGAATGTCATGGTACGAGGCAAGTCGAGGAGGCGCCGAAGTACGCGGTACCGTGACAACAACGCGTAACGTATGCCTCACCCCCACGTGCACCGAACCACGCGTCCGCGTCAACATTTGCTAAGCACTACGCACTCAACAGTATACAATGACACCGGAAAAGAATGCTCGAACGATATGGTATATATGCGTAGGTCATGGTATTCAAGCAAGGCTTGTAAGTAAGGTCCGTAGACGAAGTAGTCAACGCAGCAGGCAACCAACACAGTTGCCAACGCCGATGGCAGGTTACTAAAGCAGCTATATAATTCATTCATGTACGAGTCCGTTCCTCGATGCACATCTAGAAAGCGTCCTCCAACACGCACGACACACGCAGCACAGTCGTCATGAGTAGCGAGCACGTAAATGCGGCTTACGAGAGGAAGTAGCCAGCGAAGAGCACGCCGGCGATAGACGCAACCGCAGAGATGTGGAGTGCGTTCGCGCCGTTGGCTGACGACGCACCGGCCGACGAGGACGCCCCGGCTGTGCCAGAGGCCTTCGAGCCGCTGGCCGTGCCAGTCGCGCTATGACCAGATGCAGTGCCCGTGCTGGAACCGGAGCCGGTCGGGGTCGCGGCGACGAGCTGGGTATAGAGGTCGGTGGACTGGTAGGTCTTGCAGTTGGACGTGGCAGGGACGGTGGGGGTGTAGGGCATGGAGGTAACAACGCCGGAGGCAGGCTGGGTGTACGTCAACGTCTGGCCGTTTGATGTGTATACGCCAACGGGATTCATAGAGTCGGCATCGCAGACGACAAATGTGCCGTTCTTCGCGGGGTTCGGGCAGTTGTAGTCGATGCCAATCTCGTCGTAGATGTTGTTGCACAGACCGACGTTGTCGGCCGTAGCAGTAGTTGGGTTGCAAATCTTGATACACATCTCGCCGTTACCAATGAACCTGGTGAGAACGTCAGTAAATATTCAGGGACAGAGTCTGCGATACGTACTGGACCCATTCCACGACCTGGGTATAGGAATCGTTGTTGGTGTTCCCACGAGGGAAGGCGTTGGAGTACACCAGAGCACCCATGGGGTTACCCAGCTGTGCCAAAACATGGGTATACGAAAAGATTGCAGAGACTGAACCCACTCACCAGATCAGCACCGTGTGGATCAAGCTCTCCTCCAGAGTCGTTCGCGAGCAGGTTGATCTGGCTCTGGTCGAGGTACGCGATGAACATGGTGTAATCCGGGGTGTTGAAGACAGAGACACCGTGGAGAGTGCCCTCGGGAACCATGCGGGTACCGTATCCCTTGTTCGTGCACCAGGCGACTTCCTCAGCTTCCGTGTCGGCGATGGTCTCGCCGGGTTTCGGAGACGACCAGAGACAGAAGTCTGCACACAACGCGAAGCAATAAATCAAAGCACGTCCAACCACTACTCGACTCGAAATCACATACTGTCGATGGAGTTAACCATTAAGGTCTGACACATGGACTCCTGGTTTTGCGTGGTGGAGTTACAGACATTGTATCCGACCTGGTTGCCACGAATATCGCCAGTCGGCTCGACTTGGTAGGGCTGGAGTTACCTTCAGCATTGATGCGTTATGTACACGTGTCGAACACAACTTACAATCCCGGTGGGGTAAGCATACTGCTTGTTGACGAGTGGGATGGAAGTGAAGGAGGTATACTGGGCGACGGCCCCTGACGCGGCGGCGGCGACGGTGAGTAGGGTAGAAAGAGCGACTGGGGACATCCTAACGGAAAGATGTCTGTATAGAGAAGGAGAGAATAAAAAGTACTTTATGGAAGAACGACGCCAAACAGTTAATTTGCTGTCGCGCACTGCGTCGGACCTTATACTGCTCGGTAACCGCTTTGTATCTCAGCTCGAAATCTGACAACGGTTACGCACCGGGTATTAAATTCCAATTCCAGGCCAACCCCGTTTCCCAGTCAACTTTACTGCCATCGTTTAGCCGATGCTGTTGACAACGGGTGTATGCGAAATTGCGAGGATAATTTGAACAAAGTGTAGGCTACAGATAGTGACTCTACAAGATACATGAGTGGTGAATGACAGCAGCAGTCACAACATAGTGAACAACAGACGGAACAGCACATCTATTACAGGCACAGCACCCAAGCTTTCCAGCATAGGTACTCACCTTCGCCGTTTCCCGAGGGTGCTGGCAAAAGTGCATAACGGGCCGCGCTCGATGGTTGCGTGTTCAGACGTGTCCAGCTCTATACCCAAATCTTCTCCAAGTTCGATAGCATCTCGTGGAGTGAGGGCGTCTGTCGCGAGCTGCCAAAAGCTGTCCAAGATCAAGGTCAGAGAACGTTCAGCAGGCCATGTCTTCTGCAAAGATAGAATAAATAGAATAGGTCGGTTGACGCACGTTGTGAAAATTTTCTTCCGTCGGACCCATTCGTTTCGCCATTTGTTCCATTCAGCGTCAAGTCGGGCGACATCTTCTGCGGAGATGAGTGGGGCGCCAGACCTCAACGGCTCCAGCCGCGTGCGAGCTTTCGCGGTCTGTTAGCGCATATAGTCAAGTCAGTATACACCAGCAAATGCTATTCACTACTAAGATGGATGAGGTAGTGACAGCACGATCTCATGCTTACCGCGTTGGATGCATCATTCAGTTCGACAGCTAGCTCTACATCCGTGGGAGCGTTTTTCAACCTTGCAAGCTCTTTCGACGCGAAAGATCAGCGAAACACGGATGTGCAGAGCGTGACACTAGCGCATACCTGCCGATGCAGTTCTAACCTCCACGAGAAGAGTCTTGTTTTCTTCTTCGATCGACTTGTATTCCGAATCCAACGCAGCGAGCTTCTCCACCGGCATGTCTTCCAGATTGGCCTGGTTAGCGACGAAGAATGTCGTCTTCCCTGTTAAGTGTACCATTACACGCCGTGAGAGCCAACTGTATGCGCAGTTTATCTATCCGTACCATATGTCTTCTGCACCAGCTCCCCCTTCTCTGCGAGAGCGACCATGATTTTCTGGGTCGCTGTCTTCGGCACAGCGCCCTTCAGGTTCGCTGATACATCGACAGCACCGAATGGGCGATTCATCTGCGAATAAAAGTGGATGAAAATGGTCACCACATATGTTTGATTCCGGGGTATATGCACGGCACTCACCCTCTTCACATACTCTAGCACCTTATTCTCGGCTTGAAGTTTCTGGTCTCAGTTCAATACGATCTTGAACGCGTAAATCACGTACCATCTTGTCCCTTCAGCACAGGTACTTTGGCTTCAGACGCCTTCGGTTTTACGGACATGACGAGAGGAAGATGCGGAAGAACGCTGACAGAGCGGAGAAGCGCCGGGTGGGGTGACTCCGGGGAAGATCACGCGCTGTCGGCTATACAACTGTGCGCCCGGCGAGGTAAGTACTGGCAAGAGTTAAATCAACCTGCTCCGAGCGGCGCAAGCTATCGTCCACTCTGCTCTGACGCCCCGGTAAAAGACTCTCCTTCTGTCATATGCGATAAGGCACCGGAGAGGCTCGAATGAGTTCCGATGGTTTTTCGAATAAACAGAGCCTGCACTACATAGTCCGTTCGGGCATCGCTGGTGGAGTCGCTGGTTGCGTAGTGCGTCCGATGCTTTTCAATTCTCATTCACGTAGGTTAACGTTCATGTCATCTTTGGCAGGCAAAGACAGTCGTAGCACCCCTCGACAGGGTCAAAATCCTTTTTCAGGCATCCAACCCGGACTTTCAGAAGTATGCTGGTAAGTTCGCCGCCGCATACAGTCGTTCTCAGCGAATGTCGTTGTGCCAGGGACATGGAGTGGTGCCTTTCGCGCAGCTGGGAAGATATACGGAGACAACGGCGTGCGGGGGCTGCTCCAGGGCCATTCTGCGACCCTACTCCGCATATTTCCGTACGCGGCCATTAAATTTATGGCATACGACCAGATCGAACAGGTGAGTCCCGTCAGCCCTACTGGTGATTCATGAAGTATGGCTTGTCTTTCTGTTTATCCTTTCCAGATTTTAATGCCAACGAAGGCCGACCAGACGAACCTCCGTCGTTTCGCATCCGGCGCCATCTCAGGTGTGGGTCTCCACCAGCGAATGCAAGCGTGCAATTAACACTTCGCAGGAATGTGCTCCGTCCTATTCACCTACCCCCTCGAGCTGATCCGCGTACGCATGGCGTTCAGCACCCCTTCCTCCGCTCGGCCCGAGCAGACGCCCCAGCGGCACCGCCACTCCTTCCTCCGCGCGATGCGGCTGATCTATCACGAGGGTACGATCTCTCCCGCCTCCGCATCCAGCGGGGTGGCCGCGCCCGCCGCGACGCACACGCTCTTCATGCGCTTCCCTGTGCTCAAGTTCTACCGCGGGTTCACCGTAACGATCACGGGGATGGTGCCCTACGCGGGCATGTCTTTCCTCACCTGGGGCTTCCTGCACTCGCATCTATTCCCCGCGCACCCGCCCCAGAAGCCTTCACCCGTAGCGGACCTCGCGATCGGCGCGGTGTCGGGCGCGCTCGCGCAGACGGTATCGTACCCGTTCGAGGTCGTGCGCCGGCGCATGCAGGTCGGCGGCATAACGCGGCCAGACCGCTGGATGCGCTGGGGGGAGACCGTGCGCGCTGTGTGGGATGTGCACGGGTGGCGTGGATTTTATGTGGGCTTGAGCGTCGGGTACCTGAAGATCGTGCCGATGACCGCAGTGAGTTTTACAGTGTGGCAATGGGGGAAGCGGGTGCTCGGGCTATGAGGCGAGTTTGTTACGTCGTGTACTTTACAATAGCATATTGCAGCACATCTCTATTTAAAGATCATCGGAATCGTCATGGTCGATGAGTGTAGCCTTTGTTATCACAATCTGGTCGGAGCTCATTGGTACGTCGCGTTGCTCACGTCCGCAGTGCAGTCATGTCTTTGTATTCTGATAAATATTCTGAAGGGTTGTAATTGTGTTGATTTCGCAAAACATTATACGACATTCACAGCAAACATTACGGTAAACGTGCTAGAGTGTACAAAGCAAGTATTCCGCTAAGCCTTCACGACGGGGATCACCTTAAGCTGCTCACGGTCAAATTTGAGCACCCTACACGGAGCGTATACATATCATTAGTTGATCCACATGGTTGATTGGAACGGAACGAACCCGAAGTCTCTCCTCTTCGCGAAGTACTCATGGATCGCAGGGAGGGCGCAGGTATTGTTAACCAACTTCACGAGGTTCGGGAAGGGCTTGGAGAACTCGTCGCCGAACAGCTCCTCCATACGCGAGTACGATGACACCGCCATGAAGTCTGCAATCGTGGGCTATTCCACCGTCACGTCAATGTCCACTCTAACGCCTTCAGAATCATCGACCCACCTTGTCGCCAAAGTAGAACGGGCCCACGCTCTCCCCAATAAGGCGCTCATGGAATGCCACGTGCGCTGGTAAGGTCTCAGTCTGGAGCTTCTTGACGCGCTTCTGGCGCTCTTCGAAGTCGGGGAGGCCCATGGCCGTCGCGAACTTGTCCGCGAGCTCGAGCCAGGACGTGAAGACAGCGAGGCACTCGGCCTTGGCGAGCGCAGGCTCCGCGCCGTCTGCGGGAGCGGGGAAGAACCCGAGCGTGTCCGCGAGATATGTGAGGATCGCGACCTCCTCCCAGAGCGTTTTCGATGTCCCGTCCGCGTAGTGGATGACGAGCCACGGGCAATGTCCGAAGCGCTGCTGCTTCTTCATTGCGGGCCAGTCCTAGGTGCTATGGTTAGCGTCGTGAGTGGTGAGTTCTGGCTACACGGGACAGACCTTGGGGTTTATGAAGACGTTTTTGTACGGCTTCCCTGACGCCTCGAGCACCATGCGCGTGACATCCCCACGGGCGTGGACGGGCCAGTAGTGGACTTCGTATGATACGACGGACATTGTCGGCAACGCAGTTTATCAACTGACTAGTACGATGTGTTACCTGGGTATCTGATGGTGTTGTTGGTGAGTCGCCTCTGTCTCGCGCAAGTTATATGCACCCTCAAGGCCTCACTTGCTACGTAATTACGGGATTGGACAGAAGATAGTAGTGCCACGGAACACGACTGTCGTCGTGGGGGACCCAATAGCGGGCCAGGTGAGCAAGCAGATCCGTCCGTGGAACGCGTCACGATGCGCGCTAACGAGCAGCAGGCTGGCGAACGTCTGCAGCCGGAGATGGTGATCGTAGACGGTGTCCCACCTGGTCCGTTCAATATTACCGTCGGTGTTGGCAATGAGCTCGGGGAGCGGCGGACCAGGGGCAAGGACATTGATGGGCAGGCACTCTTGCTACATGCTTGCTACGCCACTGCACTGCCAGGTGAATACTCGAACCAATGTACGTGGTTCTGCTTTGACGAGTAGTCCCGTATAGCACGATGAGCGGTTATATGTTTCATGAAAGTATTGCGAGTACGCGGCGAGGGGGGAAGGCGTCCAGGGGATGTCTGACGGATCTAGAGCGGGACCAAGCACAGCTCAGTCTCGTGCGATAGCAAACGAGTGACTATATTAATACTAACCTAGAGCGGGACCAAGCACAGCTACTACAGGTCAGTAAGGAGATAAAAGGTAGGTAAAGAAAGTATTCACCTCAGTCTCGTGCGATAGCAAACGAGTGACTGAGGTGCATCGTCCGAACGTCCGCCAGTACTACCTACGTGATTACGTAAGTAACGTGGTGGCGTAAATACCGTACTACTCTGCCCGTGTCGCAATGTATGTACTTCAACACGCCCACTCAGGGTGACAGGGAATAGAGTATATAAATGAAAATACTTAAGCCAAGCCCATCCCCGCTGAAAACTTCTCATGCTTCTCACGAGGAAGCCCCTTCGTCAAGACATCAGCAACCTGATTTCCGGTAGGAACGTACTCAGGTTCGATCTCGCCGGAGTCATACTTCTCGCGGATGAAGTGGTAGCGGACGGCAATGTGCTTGGTGCGTTCATGGAAAGCAGCATTTTTGGATAGCGCGATGGCGGACTGATTGTCGATGAGCAATGGAGTAGGGCCCTTCTGAACCTGTCCAATCTCCGAGAGGAAAGCGCGAAGCCAGACTGCTTCCTTTGTACCATGAGCTCCAGCCATATACTCAGCTTCAGTGCTGGACTGCGCCGTCGAGTGCTGCCTCTTTGAAGACCAGCTGACAGCGCCTTCTGATATGAGGAAAACAAAACCTGTGACCGATCGACGGTTGTTGACGTTCGCTGCCCAATCTGCATCCACGTATCTGAGAAGGGGTTTCTTCTCCTTGGTAGTGCCACAATAGACGAGCTTCTTGTCTGCTGTCCCACGCAGGTAGCGATAGACTCGCATAAGAGCAATCCAGTGCTCCTTGCCTGGTGTTGCAGCATGCTGGCTCAACGCGCCCACCGTGAATGCAAGGTCGGGGCGAGTCCCGATCATTGCATACATGAGAGAGCCAAGCGCGCTCTGGTAAGGCTTCGGGTCGATCTCCGCCTCCGAGAGCTTGACGAGCTTCTGGTTCTGTGCCATAGGTGTGCTGACCGGGCGGCAATTGGCCATACCATGTTGTGCGAGACACTTCTCGACATACTGGTGTTGCGAGAGCTCAAGGACACGGCGAGGACGATCACGAGCGATTTCCATGCCAAGGAGCCACCGTGCTTCACCAAGGTCGGTCATCTCGAAGCGAGACTTGAGATCTTCCTTGAGGGTGGTGACAGCAGTGAGGTTGTCAGAAAGAATGAGCATGTCATCGACATAAATGGCGATAATGAGGAGAATACCGTCATCGTTCTTGTAGAACACGCTGTGGTCCGAGTGGCAGCGGGTGAACCCAAGCGCCTCGAACTCAGCACGGATCTTCTTGTACCACTCACGTCCAGCCTGCTTAAGACCATAGAGGGCCTTGTTCAGCTTCCAGATGAGGCTGTTGGACCTGCGGAAGCCAGAGGGAACCTTCATGTAGATCTCCTCATCAAGATCACCATTCAGGAATGCCGATTTGACGTCCATCTGGTGGATCTCGAGGTCGAGCTTGGCAGCAAGAGCAAGTAGTGTTCGGACAGAAGCGAACTTTGCGACGGGTGCAAAGGTTTCATTGAAGTCGAGGCCCTCAACCTGTGTAAAGCCCTTGGCAACAAGTCGAGCCTTGTACTTCTCGATTTCACCGTCCAGTCCACGCTTGATCTTGAAGACCCACTTGCAGTCTATGACCTTGCGATTCCGCGGGCGCTCCACTTTGTCGTAGAGCTCCGCTTTGACAAATGCGTGTAGCTCCTCTGCGCATGCAGCCTTCCAGCGCGCAGCATCGGGGCGTGACATCGCCTCCTCGTAGGTCTGTGGTTCATCCCAGCTTGTGGCTTTGTGAGCATTCTCTGCATCGCCCACTTCCTCTGCATTCTCCGAGTCTGCTGCTGCGGCATCAGCGCCCACTCCACCCACATCATCCTGGCCCTTCGGTTTCCATGTGTAGGAGGACACGAAATAGCGGTCGTCATCGGCCGCTACCGGTGCCGTGCGCGTTCGACCTGAATGGCGCAGTTCTGGAGCCGGGGGAGGAGGTGGTGGTGGCTGCGCGGCGCGCGCGGCGTGATGCCGGCGCCTAATTTCGGGCAGTGGAACGTCGTCGTCACTGTCCTCATCCGCGCTGTCATTGTCATCCTCATCATCGCTGTCGTCCACATCCAGGAGTGCAGGTGCATCCTCATCTTCATCTGGGACATCTTCGACAGTGGGCCTTGGCGGCAGCTGCGGCCGCGCGTCGGGCGCCTCCTGCGTAGGTGTGATGTCAATTGTGACACGACTGGGTGCGACTTCGGTGCCTTCGTCGAAATACACGTCGCGGGATTCGACGATGCGGCCGGTCGCTCTGTGAACCAGACGGTAGGCCTTGCGATTTGCGGCAAACCCCAGGTGCGTGCACTCGAACGTTTTCGAGTCGAGTTTCTGACGTTTTTCCTTCGGAATGTGGACATAGGCTTTGCAGCCGAAAACGCGGAGGTGCGCCACGCTCGGCTTGTTTCTGGTGTAGGCCTCGTGTGGTGTGAGGTTGTCAGGGAGAGTGCAGCTTGGAACAGAGTTAAGGATGTGTACTGCATGTAACACAGCATCACCCCAGTATGTGTTCGGCAGTCCAGCGTCATTGAGCATGCTCCTGGCCATCTCCTCGATGGTGCGGTTCATCCGCTCGGAAACGCCATTCTCCTGTGGAGTGTAGGCATTCATCTTTTCATGGTGGATGCCCTTCTCCTTTAGGTACACTTCGAATTCCTTCGACTCGTACTCACCGCCGCCATCAGTCCGCAGGATATTGGCACGCTGCCCGGTCTCGACCTCAGCTCGTTCAACAAAAGCTTTGAAGTGTGAAAGCGCTTCATCCTTCGTCTTCATGAGGTTGGCGACAAGGTGGTGCGTGTGTCCATCGATGAACGTGATGAAATAGCGGTGGCCGGACCGTGTCTGAGTCTGCATGGGACCACAGACATCGGAGTAGGTGCGATGGAGAACGCGGGGATTCTCGACATCCGACTCCTTCGGGATTGGCTGGCGTGTCTGCTTGCCATGGAGACAGGGCTTGCAGGTGACATTACTCACCTTTTCTCCGACGATCGACATGCCCTTGACCATTCCCTTTCGCACCATCTTCAGCACAGAGTCTACGGAGATGTGACCAAGGCGGCGATGCCAGACCTGAGCACTCGCACTGGATGTTGTCTCCTTAGCAACAAAAGCGTGGAGTGGGGGATCATCCATGGAGTCATCGTAAGAGGGAGGGAGATCTTTTGCCTGCAGGATGTAGGTACGCTCGGGGAGCTGCGTGGTCACGTCGAGAACATAGAGATTTCTCCGCATGTACCCAATGGCACTAAGTCGGCCCTGGGCATTGCTGATGCGACACGTACCATCAGCGAACCTAACATCGTAGCTGTTGCGGTCAAACTGCGAGACAGAGAGCAGGTTGCCATTGAGATCTGGGACATGGAGAACTTCCTGCACAATGCCAGTGTTCATTGAGCCATGGTCGACTGCTGCACAGAGTGTGACCTGACCGATACCAACGGCGAGGATAAAGCGCTCATCTTCGAGGTAAACACGCTTGGGTGTAGCGAGGGCACGGCAGTTTATGAACCACTCGCGGTGAGATGTCATGTGGGAGGAAGCTCCTGAATCAACAATCCAGCGGTGGAGGTCATCACCACGTGCCAACTCCTCAGCAACGAAGAGGCGGAGTGTCTCGGAGTCAGCCTCACCGACACTGGACACTGGCGATCTTCGCAGATTCCTTTGCATCAGCAGCCTTCTCAGCTTTCTTGTCGCCCTTCGCTGTGGCGCCCTCCACCTGGCTCGCCTTGAACTTCCGACACTCGTCCTTTGTGTGACCAGTGTAGCCACAGAAAGCGCACTTGCCCTTCTTCTTCTTGTCCTTGTCCTTCCCCTTCGACTTCGACTTGGTATCAGCATGCTTCGCAATGAGCGCAGATGCTGCGGTCGTCTCGCCACGTCGCTTCTCCTCGCTAAGGACCTCGTTGACGACCTTCTCGACTGTGAGTTTCGAGTCAGAGGCCATGAGGATAGTGCGAAGGGTTGAATAGGATGGAGGAAGGGAGATAGCCATAGCGATGGCGATGAGCGTGTCATCTAGCATTAGCCTGAGCGTCTCGAGGATGTGGGCCTTCTGCTGCATCGTGTTGAGCTGCGGCTCTAGCGGCGACTCGTCACTAAGTGTGCTGCGGAAAAGGTCGCTGATGAGATAGGCTAAGGTTTGCTTGCCTCTGCCCTCGTAACGCCTGTTCAACTTCTCCCAAGCATCCTGTGCTGTCATCGAGTACATCACACCGTTGAGCGGCTCGTCCTTGAGCGTCAACGTGATCTGCGCGAGCGCCTCATTGTTCCGGACATCCCACTCCGCCTTCTTCATAGTATCCACTGTTCTGGGGTCGGCTTCAGTGCCGTCGATGAGCGAATAGAGACCACGCAACCGGAGGATGGTAGTCGTGCGGTACTTCCACGTCTGGAAGTTTCCGCCATTGCTTTCGAGGAACGGGACATCGTAGAGGCGCTTCGACTCAGCTTTGGAGCTGGCCTGAGATATCGGCGGGTATAGAGACATGGTTCGACAGGGGTGTGAACGAGAGAAGCAGGTTGTGGGAAAGGAAGGTGATGACGAGCGATTGAGTTCTCGATATTTCCGATGCTGTCAGATTCAGTTGGAGCCGGGGCTCATAACCTATTGCGAGTACGCGGCGAGGGGGGAAGGCGTCCAGGGGATGTCTGACGGATCTAGAGCGGGACCAAGCACAGCTCAGTCTTGTGCGATAGCAAACGAGTGACTATATTAATACTAACCTAGAGCGGGACCAAGCACAGCTACTACAGGTCAGTAAGGAGATAAAAGGTAGGTAAAGAAAGTATTCACCTCAGTCTCGTGCGATAGCAAACGAGTGACTGAGGTGCATCGTCCGAACGTCCGCCAGTACTACCTACGTGATTACGTAAGTAACGTGGTGGCGTAAATACCGTACTACTCTGCCCGTGTCGCAATGTATGTACTTCAACAGAAAGTGGCCCGTGGCTTAAGGGAGAGGAATGGAATTCTGAGACGCGCCATACCAGGACGCGTCGACGCGTCGAGATCACATGCCTCCTACTCAGCCAGGCTCTTAGGGGCTGGCGCAGCGTCCCTTACCAGACTCCCCTCCTTATCGCTGAAAGGACGTCATGCTGATAGAATTCGAACATACGTGACGCATACGGTGGAATAAGTTTGTTTAATCGACACGATTTACGTTATCACCCTAAATCCCAGTAAAACGGTCCGGGCCCCAGCTCGCGCACCGAACCGGTTCGCCTTCCCCCGCGCGTAAAGCGAGCGAGTGCCCGCGCGCCCCAATATGGCAAGCGCTGTCGTTCGCCCAGCGCTTAAGGGCCCGTCCTCGACAGCGACCCGCCCGATGTCAGTCCTGCGGTCTTCGTGGACTCCCAATTGTGTCGTGCACACGCAGGGCTCTTTCTTCTCTCCATCTGTGCACCCGGGTGGTTTGGATTAGTTTTATTTTGCAGTGTTCACCCTGCAGCCCACTGTCTGTTTTCGCGCAGACTTTCCCGATGGACTATCACGCTACGTGTGAAATGTAGATTTGGTGTATATTAGCAGGTACCAACAAACATGAATTAATGGTATTTGTCCATTGGGATTGCATAACTCGAGTGTTCTTTCCCCCATGAGCTGCAAATGCATCAGTCTCTCCCATCCGGCACCCTTCTCTATGTCTGCCATAAGCGAACTGGTCGAGAAACTTCACCACAGGAAGAACAAGTTAGTAATTCTGTGACTCATAATGCTTTGGGACAGAATATTATAGAGAAAAAATCCCAGACTTGAATAAATGCTCACCTGATGTTATGTGCAGAAGTTTAGGCAACTGCAGGTTATGGCTGGACCGAGACTTCATCCAGTTCGACCCGTAGATTAACGATTTCAGTACAATCCTACAGGATGCTATTCTATGCAGTAGACCCAAGCCGTTCTCAAAATATGATGTACTCAATAAGAGTAAAAACAGTACTGCCATATCCACATAGGCTTGCTTCCGGCCACAACTATGGCATGAGCTGGAGGAGAATGTATCTACACAATACATTCTACACATTGTGAGTGGAGTGGATAGGTGAGAGGCATTACGTAGTGGTGAGGCAATGGTTGATGCAGTGGTGGATTGCATGCGCGAGGCATGCGTGCAGGTTACAGTCGGCCAGATTGCATTTCGTGCACTGCATCGACTTCGAGGAGCTGGCTGCGACCTCATGGGACATCTCTGTCTCCGCACTTTGTGCGACAGTGAGCCTGCCTGGCTCAGTTGTTGCAGGTGAGCATTGAAGGCTGATGGGCGGGCAGACAGCGTCCGTGTAATGGAAAATTCATATGAGCGCAACGGTGTACATATTCGCAGTTCAGGCACGCGGAATGATGGACTAACGTGAATATTGACACGTCCCTGGTTGCTCTCCATAGTTGGGCATTCTACATCAGGGTCGGTCGGTCAAACTTGCAGTGAGGGCGATGCCGTCCTTGCTATCTCGCACTGTCTGCAGTGTCTCGTGAGTGTTCGAGTGTTCGACACAGAGGAGATGCTGAGGCTCAACAACATGCACTTGAGTTTGTCTATTTCGCGTGGATGAGCGGACGAGCAGACGGACACAGATGGATTTAGGGAAGGTGGAGGGAAGATCAGGATCGAGCACGTATGCACGGTGCACAGTAGCATATGCGCGTAGGTGCGTATCCATGTGTCCTAGACGCAGGGCTGCACGGAGGATAGACCAAAATTAACCATGCATGGAGAGCATAAGGCAGTTGAATGGGGCTTACCATGTAGGATTATTATTTGCTGATGCACAGTGGAAGTGGATCATTCTCTTATTTCAGAAGGCATTCATACACGGTGCCGATGGACTTACAACAATATTTCGGGGCCTGAGTATGGTACCGTTTGTGGTAGTAGCAATGAATGGCCTTGTTTAATGGCTAGTAATTCTAGCACATCACGTGTCTGTAAATCGTGCTCGATTTACTGTAAAATAAAGTGGCTCTCAACTTACGCCACCAACAGGAGCACTTACGAAGACTTTTCGCGTAAATCCAGTGGCCCAGAGACTCGTTAGGTCCAAAATATGGCCTGTGAGCCATGGAGTGACTTGGCCCTGATGAGGACCCATACAAAGCAGTTTCCCTTGGAGTCATAACAATTTTTTGTAGCAGTGGATAGGTATACAATGCATCCTCCTGCATGTAAAGCCCTGCCGTTGAACCATGTCCCGGGACTTGCCGGAAAACCTTCCCATTTGGGCAATACTCATTTGCATCGTCGCCCAAACCACCTCGTCCGTCCTCCTATCTATATATCTGCTGATATACACCTCCTGGTGGTGCGTGTGTAAACCTGCAAAGGTGGGCGCATGTCAACCAGGCTGAATGTGAACAAGATTCCCATCGTCCTGAGTCGACCACCCTGTGCCGAGCCAAACACGAATGGGATTCCCGTCATCCTGACCACCGCCACGCTGAATGCGAACCTTGACATGTAGCTGACACCCTCAGATCTTACGGAAGTGGTTTCCCACCAAGAGCACAGGCAGCGGGTCGACGAAGCTTGCAATATTCACCGGTGGCTTTTAGCCCGGTGCCTCTTACTCCTCGACCAGCAGCCCCGCCAAGGAATGAATTCACGCGTACTACGGATTCTACGCAAACGTCCCCGCCCAGCTCACAGGACATTGAATTTTTAGAAATTTTCAATCGGAAAACCTGGGCCATTGCGAGGCTGCTTGCGCATACAGCAGGGTGAGAAACCCGAGTCGTGAGGAGAACGACGAAGGGGCGCTGTAAAACCATGGAGGAGAACGAGTCACTTCACTCACCACCGGGATGTCCGTCCATCGCCCCCTTGCACCCTCGCTCGACTTCTCCGAAAGTACCTCCCCACCGCTGCCCTCGAGTATCTTCCCCATGCCACCAAACACGTCCGCCGTCTTGTTCTCAGTGCTGTCCCCTCTCTTTCTCAACCCCATCACCCTCTCCTGGGGCCAGGTGCACAACAATGCCGCCTACGTCATGTAGGAACACGACGCAGATCATGAAGCTTGCCGTGATGAGCATGAATGCGAACCAGTCCACTGCATGAAAGTCATCGTGGGCTGGCTCCCCGCCCTTGTTCCGGGGCACCACGCAGCTCGGGCGCGCAACATCGAGCTCCAGATCCTCCGCCACTTCCACGGCGTCACCATGTTCATCGAGAAGGGGGCTGCTGACAGGTCAGCATCATCACCCAAATGAGAACGCGACGAAAGCTCACATTGTACAAGGAGAAAAACCTTCACAGCCACCGCGAATCAATAAATTGAATATATGCGCACCAGACAGAGTCGGAAGTAACTCACAGACAGTGTATCGACCTCTTTCCCGGGCGCATACAGCGACGACACAATCAGCTGGCTATCACCCACCACACCTCAGTGTCCACACTACACGAACGAGCACGCAAACCACTCACTTGACCACCGCCGGCGTCCCGCTGAGGAACATTGCAACGAAATGCTCCACGATTGCTCATCGTGGGCTGGCTTCTCGCCCTTGTTCTGGGGAACCACGCAGCTCGGGCGCGACATTGAGCTCCAGATCCTCTGCCACTTCCATGGCATCACCATGTTCATCGAGAGGGGGGCTGCGACAGGGCCCAGCAGCGATCGAGGAGGCATTCAAGGTTTGCCATGTTCTGGAGCACCACACAGCCCGCAGCCCAGGCGCGACATCGAGCTCGAGATCCTCTGCCACTTCCCCGGCGTCCCATGTTCATGCAGCCCGGGCATGACATCGACCTCCACATCCTCCGCCACATCACCGGCATGGCAATGTTCTCCACGCAGTCATCGTCGGCTCCCTGCCCATGTTCCGGGGCACCACACAGCCCAGGCGTGACATCCAGCTCGAGATCCTCTGCCACTTCCACGCGTCGCCATGTTCATCAAGAAGGCGGCTGCGACAGGGCCCAGCAGTTGGGGTGAGCTCGGTGGAATGGGTGAGGGCTGGGGAGGTGAGTATGAGACCACCACCAAGCCTGAGTGGTGGGACAAGTCCAGGAGGTGCGTACCCCCACTCGCCCGGAAATGTCATTCTGTCTGACGGTTGGTCCGCGAACTCTGGCTGTCTCAGCTGGCCAGGTCATATTCAATGGTTGCGAAGGAGAGAAGGAGGCCCTTGGTTCACTACCTCAATTATACGAGTGGAATTGGGCACATGTGGATACGCCATACTTGATGTCTGAGCATACCACCTTCAACGACCCATCATCGTCGGCAACCGCTCCTTCAGAAGGAGAACTTTGACTCACTGACCAGTCCCTTTGGATGGCATTCTTTGCCTTATTACGTGGACCCTGTTTCCGTTGGCTTCAAACCAGAACACTGCCAGAAGTTCCGGAACACCACGACGACATGGGGCAACAATGTGGGTAAACTGACCGTATGAGTTCCAGCGTGGCTGACATTATTTGTAGGTCTTCGTCCATGAGAACTGGGAAGAGCACAACAGCTGGCTGTCCAACTATCGCCCGGATGCTAGCGTGGACCTGGTCTTCAATTACACGTACGCTCCCAAGGAGACGGACCGCATGGACTCACTCGATGAGGCGAAGAAGTACGTCAATGCCTCGGTCACGCAGCGTTTCTACACGTCCTTCCAGCAGCATAATTTCAGCCGTGGCGGTAAGGAGAGCGGTGCTGTCATCGCCAACGTGCAGGACGGCAGCGGGTATAACAATGGTCAGTACCGCCGTGGTCTGTTGCTTACCTTGTACTGACTGTTCGTGCAGTGTCATCTCACCACAGACAGTTGTCCACGGTCCTAATTGGATATTTCCACTCCCTGCGACCTACCCGATGTTCTACTCCCGACCGACCAACATTCTGGTGTGCTCATCCGAGTAAGACGATGACCATCACGAGGATGCCCGGTGCCCAGCAGCTCGCATGCACGAGGATCATTAGCCTATCAATTCTTAACAGTCACGCGTTGTGCCAGCCAGTGAGTATTCTCCACCATTTTCTTGAGGATCTCGGTGCTAACCATAGGTAGCAGGGATAAAGGTGAACGCCAGAGGTGATCGAGTGCTTTGGCAGCCTCGTCCGCACTCGCCCTCCTTCATCATGCATTCGCCGCCCTTGAGTGACTTCAACCACAGCTGGCCGCTCTGTCGCTCCTTCGACACCGCGAGACCACCTCCACATGACTCATGCCTAGGAAGGGTCGTAATGGGACTGCTCTTACAGATGTCTCCAGGTTCGCGGACATTCGGACACCACCGAAGGACCAGTAGGGAAGTGCCGTGAGCACTGTTGCTGCATGAACCGTGGTGGGAATGCCAACGTACCAATGCGGCCAATTTAATGTGAAATGCATGGGACAGGTTGGAGCATGTCCAGAGAATGTGCCACATGTGGGTCTTTCGCATTCTCATCACCAGGCAGAGTGGGGGACAATTAATAGCAGATGTAACTCCATACGTTGGGTAGCAATATGAATGTTAGTACCCCATACAGTATTTGAGAGAGGTAGTCTCGGGAGATGACGTCCGACAAGATTTGCTTCCGTCACCGGGAGGGCCGAGACATCTTCACTGCCCATCTTCATGCCCTCTCACATTCTCTGCATGGCATTCTACGGCTGAGCCCTGATGGCTAGGCAGAAAGCTGCTGTCAACAAGACGAAGCCCAGGAAGAGCCGTCGCATGAAGCCCCGCAATGGCGAACCTGCAGCGGACATGGCGACTTTGCAAACTCTGCGCGACACTGGTAAAAAAGATTGGATGCAGTCTAAAAGCACAAGGAACTCTTACGATGGCTACATTCGACGGGGGAAGGACTTTTTGTTGGAGCTTGTGGGGAAGCAGAAGGCGAGCCATCCAGGTGGTGAAGGTGGCATTGGAGTGGAGGATGTGGATGGTGAACCGGTGGACTATGAGCAGCTGCAAGTGGCATTTGACAACCCGCCAAACCAATACTCTGCCCTTGCTCTTGAGCTGTTCCTGGTGGAGAAATGTTTCAATCAAAATCTCGGAGAATCGACAGGGAACTCCACGTACTCTGCATTCAAGAAGTACTGGGAGATGATGTGAGTAGTGTCTTCTACATCGGTGCTACAGTCACTCACATTATAGAATGGACCAGGGCCAATGAGACTTACCGTGGTCCGTATGCATACGACAAAGCCAGTGACCATGTTTCTGGAAACCCGGCCATGGCGGCTCGAGTGCAAGATCTGCGTCATGCTATTGAGAACAAGGCACGTTCAGGAGGAGGTTCTCGGAATCATGCAGAGGCGATGACCCTGGAGAACATGACAAAGCTAATGATGTGGTCAGAGCAAGCATGCCCATCTGAATGGACGCAACAAGAGATCACGGACCTGGGCACCATGCAGGATGTCACGAAGCATTTGATGATGCGTGCATTCATGACATCTGGATTCACAATCTGGACAAGGTCAGTGGTATCAGCATGAGGTTCAAGACGTAGCAAGGATTGACAGTTCCGGGCCACCAGAAATATTGAGCTCTGTAGCCTGCAACGGAAACATTACACCCCAGACTGCGAAGGAAAAGCGCCCTATCATATACCTCATGACCTTGTGAAACTCGAGAATCGAAAGGGTTGGACTCGAAAGTCAGGTGGTGATGGTGCCTTGGTAGGTGAGTTGTTAGTAGACTCACCTACCGGCTCATGGCATGCTCACCATAAACACTTCATTAGGCAATGTGTATGAGATTTACGAGCAGAAGAAGACACCGGAGATTGACATGTACACTCACCTGCGCCACTGGATATCTTTCCTCGAGACTCATCTTCTGAACCGAAGGCTCGGACCGGAGGAGTTCATTTTCCCAACAATTTCTGTGAACGGAACAGTTCAGACACAGAAAGGTATCGATCATGATGTTGTGCAAAAATATCTCAATGAATTTGCCATGGCGGTTGGTCTCCATGTTGAATACTCTACGCACTGTTTTCGCCGAGGTGGGGCTCAGTACCATTTTATGTTCTGTCCCTTAGGAGAAAGATGGTCTCTGAGCACTGTACGCTGGTGGGGCGGATGGGCTGAAGGAGAAAATGTGAGTCTTCAGAGTATATATCATTTAAACATTGAGTTCGCACTTACTGCTTATCATTGACAGGTCGACACACTTATTCGCTATCTACTTGATGAGTTAAACACTTATGAGACCACACACAGTGATGCTCTTCACCCGCTTCCACGCGAAGCTGACCGTAGCTTCATGGGCGATCACATCCTGACAGCTCCGGTCACTGCTGCAGAAATCCGTGAATTCAAGATGGACGTAACAAGGGAAATGACTGGCCTTGTCGTGACAATGACTGATCTGTCACAGCGACTACGTGAACTACAAGTTCAGGCTGCAGTTGCTAGCCTGGATCATGTTGTTGGACCGCAGGCAAGTTCATTGGCAATGACTGTGCTCGATCACCCCAATCATCCCTTGATCAATACACTTCTCCAGCAAGTGGAACCATTGACGGACCACTCACAGATTGTAGCCCATGAACGGACTGGGATGACCACTGCTCCTGTACAGACTGGGGGAACTTCTACAAGGACACCGGTCTCTGCTGTGTTGCCCCACGGAGGGCGCCCCGTGCCCGCACTGCGTGGTGTATGCATCCCAGATCTCCCACGTCCAAGTCGTGGTTCGGCATGGCGGGAAGCCGTGAAGCAGTGGGAAGAAGTTGATCCTACCACTGGATATGCCCTGAAGGATTGGCCTCAAGAATGGTACACAGGCGTCAACAGGGTTTCCTTTGCACAAAAAAGAACAGACAGGCGCATGGTTGCCCTGGAGTATGAAAGGTAACTATCTGGATACTGTCAAACCGACACATGAAACTCACATGCTGCTCAACAGGCTTGGGCACGATGATAGCCAGTTTCTCCAAGAATATCCGGAGGCAGAGAAGGGCATGAAAGTGTTGCTTCATGCAATCAGACTCAAGCTGTTGCAACGGGGCGAGCTGGTCCAGCGACGAAGCAAAAATGGTTCACCGCAAGAGCGGGAAACCACCTCAGATAATTAGTGACCTGTACTACATAGTCTGTCGAAGCTCCCTGGAGTCCAAATTACGATCTGTCTCAGACTATCCCCTATCAGTAACTGTCAGGCAGAATCACTTCGAGTGAACAACTCGCCAGCAAGCCCAGATCTTCAGATCTGAGAGTACGATCGAATCTTGCAGCGGACTCGGAAGCAATTTCGCACATCCAGTGCCATACATCAGTGCCTCCTGTCAAGTGTGCGCTTCAAACTGACACCTGTACATGGCGAACTGAAGGGCAACAGTACTAAGATGGGTATTCAGCACCTCTGGACGGTATGCTACGCTCCCGGTGCCAGCAATCAACCAAATACACTGACCTGTTTGCACACTGAACAAAGCTCGTCAAGCCTGCACGTGAGCAAACCACGATAAGAGCTTTGAGTTTGAAGGATGGGTTTGAAGAGAAGTATGGATCTGGGCCGAGGTTATATTGCATTGGCGTGGATGCCAGGTATAGTCCTATCTGAGTGAAATACGCACCAAGGCAGGCCGCTTACAGTAATTTAACCCAGCATCTGGCTTCATGCGCTGCAGCACAAGTTCGCAGTCAGCCATGCGCAGTCTGGTGAAAATCCTGAGCTGCGGACCATGCTGTTTCGTCTCCTGCAATACTTGAAGTCACCCGTACATCTGATCTTTGTTCTTGATGGCCCTGAACGACCTGATCTGAAGAGGGGCACGAAGGTGATCAAGGCAGGTCATTGGATGGTGGAAAGTATGAAATTGTTTGTCCATGCAGTCAGGTTTGACTGGCACATGGTCTGCCTCCACATAATTGACTTGAAGTATACACGGTGCTGACTTTGTTCACAGGCACCCGGAGAGGCCGAAGCAGAACTTGCGTGCATGAATCAGACCGGTATCATTGACGCTATCTTGACCGAAGACAGTGATGTCCTTCTGTTTGGTGCTCGGGTGGTTATTCGAAAGTAAGCTTATGTGGCACCTGCGAGAGAAGGGTTCTAACAAATTGACTGCAGCCCCAAGTTTAAAGCCGGTGAGGAAGATCCTCCTATCGCGATGTACAGGATGAGTGCAATATTCAGCAATCCTGAGATCGGTTTGAAGACGCGCGGTGGATTGATTCTGTATGGCCTTCTGTGTGGGAATGATTACGACGAGGTAAGTCATTGGCCATTCTCCAGCCATCCTGTGCTTTTGACTTTGTCCATCACAGCCTGGTCTCTTGGGTTGTGGATCATCAATTGCAGTTGGTCTAGCAAGATATGGGCTCGGTGAGAAACTCCTCGAGTCGTTCCAATGCTTCGAACATGACAGTGCAGGCCAAGCACATTTCCTACGCTCGTGGAGGGACGAGCTTGTTTTCTACCTGCAGATGGATCCCTCTGGCTATCTCGGTCAGCGGCACAAGAAGTTGGCTGATAATGTCCCGTGCAACTTTCCTGACCCGACCGTCGTGCGTGCCTTAGCATATCCAGTGGTCTCTGTAGGATTCTACGGTCCATATGGAGCTGCGCGATTCTGCCGGGACTCAAACATCGATGTCAGTCATCTGGCCGAGCTCTGTACAAGGTACTTCACATGGGGTCTCTCGGAGGAGGGAGTATTGCAAAAGTTTCACAGTGTGCTCTGGCCTGGACTTGCCATCAGGCTGTTTCTGGAGAGGGCGATGAGTGTGAACTCAGAAGGTGTCCAGTTTGCCCCTTCTGCCGAGCAGGTATGTAGTATTTCAGCCTACATTGGAGGGTGCTCCAATGACCTCATAATATCTTATGTCTAGTGCTGGGTCAAGCCGAAGAAGACCATCACAACTCAGCCGGAGGCGCACAACCGCGGCGGTGTGCCCTGCCTGCGAGTCAAAGTTAAAACGGCTCTGTTTGTCGGCTGGGCGAAGACAGGGCTACGGAAGGCGATTGAACATGGCGGGGTGAAGGCGAACCCGGATGCGAAGGTACCAGCTACATTGTTGGTATGGATCCCGAGGTGTATCGTCATGCCCCGCGAAACGTCAGCGGCGGCGGTCTCCGCGGGGCATGAAGTGCCCCGCACTCTCACAGACTATCCTCCGGCCAAATCAGGGCCTTCCCGAAGTGGTGGTGAAGCCTCGAGCGAAGACTGGATGATCCAATGCAAGGGAGTTGTTGATCTCACGGGCCTTTCGGAGGAAGAAGATGGATTGTAATCATGTATATACAACAGAATCTACATATAGTGTGTGTACTGTATCTAGGCCTTCGAGGAATCAAGCAGATGGTGGACCCGCAGTGTGTGCTCACAGAGGCAGGGCCCTCCTGCAAAAGCAAAGTGGGTTTGCACGGCGTGACGGTGAAGAGCATATCATGACGCCGGCGCAAGAAGATGGATGTAGGAAAAAAAAAGAAAATGGGCAGGACAGGTCAGCCATGTGAGTCCTGCAGTCCCCGATTGCAGAACGGGAGCGAGAAGACGAGAAGAGAGGACGGGGAGATGTGATAGAGTGGCGGGCCCAAAGCGAAGGCACGAAGGGGTGTGGGTAAGATCTGGAAGCACGGATCAAGAGCCAGAAGGGAGGAGAATGCAGGGAGGGCGGTCACCTCCTTACGAAAACTGACCCGCGCGAGCTACGCCGGTCGCAAGGCGGGGGCTGGAGGGCCGACAGTTCACCGTGGCGGCAGCGCTAACTCTGAGGAACGACGCGCGTCGGGCGCACGTGCAGCACGCCCCGGTGGGCACGTGGTCGGATCGGCTGCGTTGGGCGCGGGACCAGATAAGGGGAGGCGAACCGGGCGCCCGCGCTCGGCCGGCCCGATAAGGCAGGTCGGCAGTAAATCCTGCGACATAAGTACCCATACAATGGAGACTGTGCGATCTGATTCTTACGATCAATGTCAGTCTTCTGAATGCAGCCGACGGTTCAGCCATTCGATACGCACGTAAACCTTCAGCAGTACTTGTGGTTATATACGAGTAGTAGTAGCTATAGCTATGGTCCTCGGACTTAAGAGTTCACAAGGGTGATCGCCGGTGCTACAAGATCCCTTGTGGGCGCCTACTCCGCTTCCGCATTCTTTCCTTCTGCGCTCATCTCACCCGCAGCTCTTACCCCTGTCCCCTTCCATCCTGGATTGTGCGAAGAAACACTTGCATTCTTCTGGAGACCCACGCACCGCAATGTCGCCCACAGAAAGCTTGACCACCGTGCTTCTCCCAATACCGTACAAAGCCCCTGAGCGCCAAAAGATGCCGAATGCTTGCGACCACTGCCGGCAGCGCAAGTTGCGCTGCGACGGGAGCACCCCCTCTTGTAGCAATTGTGCTCTCTACGAGAAGCCCTGCCATTACGTGCAGGGCAGGAACAAATCCGGGCCTCCTAAAGGTTTCAAGCGCAAGAAGTCCGACGCCGATTCCGTGGACGAGGCACCGAGGCAGCGACGTCACTTGTCCACTCCCTCCCCGACGCTGATGGCTTCTTCGTGTCACCAATCATCATCTAGGCCTACTCAGGTGCCTCTTGTTCTCCGAACCGGAGAGAGCACGGATACCACGGTGTCCACGAGAGACATCTCGCCTGCGTCAGACAGCTCGTCTCACTCACATACTCTCTCGCCCTCTTCACACTGGATCACGCCCGTCACTATGCCTTCCTCAGGAACCGCAGGTATTGTCATTGCCGTTCTTGAATCGTGTAGAAAGCCTCTGACAAACGAAAATACAGAATGTTCATATTCATCATATTACCCCAATCAGATGCCCGAGTCGTTCGACGACGTCACTCTGACGGTGGATCCCATCTTCGCCAGCATTCTATCAAGTCCCAAAGCTCTTCTTGAGAATCCCTTCGCGCAGATGAACTACACCCCCGTAGTCTTCGATAACATGCAGTCAGCGTTATCTATCCCACCACAGCTTACAGCCCCGAATCTTGTCTCCCAATCATATCAATCACCAGCACAGCACCGACCACCAGTCCTTGCGATGCCACCAAGTATCCCGGTTTTGCCTGGCCTACTAGCCGCACACGCTTTCGTACCTCTATTTCCGCTTCCATACCTTCAACAGGTTATCGCAGCTTGCGCCGTTAGCAAGTCCACCTCTATCCATGCCTCATTCTTCATGAACGCCCTCGAGGCGTTATCTACCGTCACTATTCTCACCCCTTCCGAAGCGCCAGAACCGTGCCAAGCTTATCTCGCCGCCCAAAATCAAGCCATGCCCGCCTATTTCGCAGTCCTCTCCGAGCAGGCTTCCTCCTCCTCTTCTTCTCCAAACGGATCATCCGTTTATTCGTCTCCCCAAGATTCCACAACGTACCCCACTCAATTGGGCGTGCTCATAGACGATACGACCCTCACGACGGCCGCGATGCTCTACCTGACCGCGCGCTCCGTCTTTTCTTCCTCATCTCCGACGAAAGAGTCCGCGACCTGGCTACGCCTCGCGCGCGACATGGTCGAAGCCCCCTCTTTTCCCGCTTCCCGCAAGCGGTGGTTTGCACGCGTCGGCTGGCTCTGGGGGCGCGGCATCGTCGGGCTCGGGCTCTCCTGCTCGCAGATCGGCGTCGGTGTGGCAGGCATCCCCGCTGCGACTGAGGGTGTCACAGACGATGGCAAAATGGACACCTTTCAAACGGAGTTCGATGGCCTAGTGAGCTTGGTGCTGGACCTCGAGAGCCTGCTCGCAGAAGCGAAGACTCAGGTCGCTGACCAACGGCCGGATGTAGGACAGCTCGCGATGTATGTGGATGTCCCGCTGTGCCTGCGTGTGCGCGAGTGGATGCAGACGAGTCCGCTTGCACAGGAGGCGTTGTTGCAGTACGCGAAGGGGACGGAGATGGGTGCGCGTTCGGAGTCGGGCGGTGGGGAGGACGAAGTATGCGTACGGGAGACGATCGGTCGGGTGCTGCACCTGATCTACTACGGGATGGCGGTAAAGTTCGACTATCAGGACCCTGCGCGGTGCTCACTGCGCAAGACGTCGATGCACGTCGCGGTGGTGCGTATTTTTCCCGCATCCTTTAGTCCGTGTCTTGACGTTTGGTGTTCAGACGCGCATTGTCGATGCGGCGGACTGGCTTATCTCCTCACAGCGGACATGGCTCTGGGCTTTCGCGGAGCCGGCACTCCTTATCGCGCGCGACTATCTCTTCGACCGCTGTGGGATTCCGCCCTCGTCCGTCTGGTCGTCCCCTTCCGCCTCCGAGGTAATCCTCTCCTCCGCCTCCTCATACGTCTCCGCAATCAACTCCGCCAACCCCCTGGGCTCATCCTCCCAAATCACACCACCCACCGCCTCCACCGTACCACACCCCTGCTCGGATACAGGCGCGAACTCGTCTGCAACAGCGTTCGGGTACGTGTCGTCCTCGTCCGCTGCTCCCGGCGCCTCCCCACCTCCGCCACCTCTTAAGGTGTGCCCGAGCGACCTTACGCTCCTCACACTCATTCAGGAGGTGCTCTTGGACGCATCAAAGCGGCTAGCCCCTGCGTACCGCGTCACGGCCGCGGGGGCCGCGGGGGAGATCGCGTGGGTGCTCGAGACATGTGCGGCCGCCCAGGTTGGTGAGCGCGAAGGTGCGTGCGAGGAGTGGGCCGGGGACGGCGTGGGTGCGGGTACCGGCGTGGGGGTAGGGGAGATGTATACGATGGCGGGCCAGGGGCCGTCGTCATCGACGGTGGAGGTCTTCTGAGCTGAGTTTCATCCTGTTGTCTGCGTCCTTTTTTTCGAGGGGGGGTTCGTACAGTGAGCCGCTTCCTCTTTATGTCATTTGGGTTATTATATGTACTTGCGTGCACTAACTCGAGTCATGCGCCGATGTGAAACTGATTTAGGATTTGTATTATACGGTTCTGTGCCTGTCTGTATATGTTGCGAGCCTGACGGTTCGTGGAACGATCGATGTCGCAATTGCTGGACTCGCCCCCACTGGGGCCTAAGTGTTGCCCCTTGAGGTTTGCAAATTGGCTGGAGATGTTCCACGGAGCAAACAGACCGGGACGGTGTCCGGAATGCAACCAACGTGTTAATGTGGTTTCTACGCCGTGCACAGGTCATGCGGTGGTTTGGACTGGTGAAGCAGGTCGTCCGACGCACCGTAGGTCGCGAACATGTCGAACGGTCACGTGTGCCACAAAACGCGATTGTGGCGCTGGGTCAAGAATGCCAGCACACAGAAGTACATAGAGATATACAAACTGTTATCAAACTTCGCTCGTAATGATAGCGCCACAATCGTGAACGTGTATAACGGGCACGGTTGGTCGTCCAATTTCAAGCATCAAGTTCACCGCCGTAACGTTTTCCTAGCCTTCGCAGCTCTAAACATGGCAACATTGTCCGTCACATTCCCCGACAACATTCGTTCATCTCTACGCGATTATAATTTTGTCAGTGACGGACCTGTTCCCTGGGAAACCACAGTGGAGTTCGTGGTGAAAGAGATGATCTCTGAGTCGCTTAGCTCGAAACCCTCCGAGGTGCTTCCAGCGAACTCAATGTGGTGTTGAAAACGTCTCTTGAGGACAGAATTTCGCGCATACTCAAAGAGGCACAGCACTACAGGAACGAACTTGTGACACTACAAGGAGATGCTGTGCCCAGGTTCCACGGCTTCTATCGCGGGAAAACACGGACTGGTCTGCAGGTCGCCTGTCTTTTACTGGAAGATGGAGGAGATTGCCTGAACGAAGATTTCCACGATCTACCGATGGAAAACAGGTGCGTTCTCGAGTTGTCGCCTCGCCACAGTTTCTCATTACATTTTCTTTCAGGGTTGCTATCTTGACACAGCTAGCGAAGATACATCGAGCTGGATTATGTCACAACGGCGAAGTCGATACACGAAACGTTGTCATGCATAACGGCAGGTACAAGTTTGTCGACTTCCATTCGGCCATTGAGCACAGTGGATGCGAGTTCGACGTGAACAACCTTCACCCGGGCGGACCCATACCCGAACTCTTGAGTCTTGGATGTATCACAATGTGGTATGAGTGCAGGGATTTCCGAATCTGGGACGATGGTATGTTGTTTCCATTCTTTGTGTGATGTCTGCATTGCTCACCTAGATATAGGTCGTATCAGGCTGCGTCGTGGAGTATCATTTTTTCGGGACGATGGATGGCCTTCTCAAGAAATTATCGATGAGTTGGAGCCGACGTTTATCTGGAAATGGTGTGAGGAGGCCGAGGAAGCGCTCTTCAACTACTTCAATGTCATGGTTGCCAAGCTCGATAATGGGGCAACAATGGAGGAGCTCAAACGCAACGTTAATGAGCAGTTCTTAGAAACTCTCAATGGACCCACGCCCGATTACGTCCGGTTGCCGCAGTGATGTTGCTTCTCTCGGTGGCGAAATTCATGCTAAACTATCCATCACCATTCGGAACTGCCGTTGGCTGTTTTTAATATGGGCTTGTTGACTGTTCTCTCACTTTTTGGTTCTGGATCTGATTTGCGACTCCCGAAAGATAATATTTACACGCAAGAGGCAACGAGCATGGCGAGTGCAGATTGATAACCCCATTCCGAGTGTCCTAGTAGGTCAGAGTACTTCCAATGCCTATCCGTAGGTGCCTGTCAGACCGAGATGTTGCCCTTACTGAAAGGTGCTGGTTGTGCGTAGAATTCATGTTGCTAAATTGGAAGCCCGGTGGAAGATATAGCACAGTTCCTTTCATACTCGAGCAGACAACGGAGTTGTATGTAACTGAATAACTCTCCAAGGTTCTGCCAACATAAACGTTTCAGAACTGGCTACAGATAAGTTGAGAAACCTGACAGAGCACCGAGCGTGGTATATGAAACATAGACGTTAACAAACATCCAGGTCCCAGCCTCAACCACCGACGCAGTGTCGGCCTTCTAATCAGGACGTCAGGAGGGACAAAGCCAGCGCAACTCCCACTATAAGCTATTCAGTTGTCGCCATTACCGCCTGCTCATGCGTCTTCTACGGAGCGCACGTCATCAGAATTCAGACAGTAATCCTAATCAAGAATGAGTACCTTCTGAATGTCCGAGTCGGGCTGCGGTCAATTCGCCAATGTAAGGTTTGATACGTGGCGAAAACCTGCGAGATCTGCAAAACCTCCGGATAGGAGCGACGACGCACCGCGGACACTTCCCTCCGGGCTGTCAATGGAGATTCCGAGTCCACCGGAAGAAATCAATGTTTCACGAGAACAGATGGGCATCGAGTGCTCCTCCACGAATGCTCTGGTAGCAACATAACGGTCGACAGCGCACCGCGGACACCTCCCTCCGGACTGTTAATGGAGATTCCGAGTCGACCGGAAGAAATCAATGTTTCACGCGAACAGATGGGTATCGAGTGCTCCTCCACGAACGCTCTGGTAGCAACATAACAGTCGACGTCGCCCAATGCGGTCGCCCAATGCGGTCGCCTTCCCTCTGGACATCCCTGTGATAGCTGTCATGACGCTCCACCGGGATTTGAGCTGGACAGATCCGCACGGAACGCTCGTCTGCACTCCGCAGAGTACGGCATTTGGCGCAAGTATGAAGACTTCTAGTGCCGCAGCCATAGCCAACTTACGTTAGCAACAGTAGTGTACATCGCCTTCGCGAAACTGATTCATTGCCAGCTCGTTGATGCCAGCATAACGCACGGCAGCGATGCATCCCCAAGCGCAAGCTAAGGCGATGTTTCGCCTCATGAAGCTGAAGTAGCTAAGTGAGCACGACGTTTCTGGCAGATGCAGTTCTAGTTCTGTTGAGGTGGATTCTCATGTTAGTGCGTAGGTATTTCATCAAATTCGCAAGCGAGAGGAGACAAGGATGGCTAGACCAACGGTAAAATTGACGGATATAGATGCAGGAGCACCTGCTAATCAATGTCGTCGGCCTGACAACAATAGGGTCGTGCATGCAGGAGACAGCAACACTCACACCGAAGGTCCAACACAAGCGTTGATGCAAGGGTCAGAAGTATTTGGAGAAGACAGGCACACCTTGAGTCTGTACGTCCGGGAGGAGGCGTCGATGTAGAGTAAGTCAAAGTGCGGCTAGTGGATTTTTTCGGACAAAAAGGTGTAAAACTGGTAAACTAAACATGTCGTGGGCTTTTCTGATTCCTGTGTATACGCTAAAATGAGCAAATTAAGAAGCCGGGACTAACCAAGAACCTACTTGCCTTTTGGCCCTGAGAGATTAGCAAACGCCTCGCTTGTCTGTCTAGCCCAGGAGAGTCGTAGGATCTCCTAGAGAAGCTAGTTGGGCGCCAGTACGCTAAACGCGGTGAAGGATGTTCGCGGTCTATTCATTCCCTGCTATTCAGTACTGTCCTAGCGTCGATGAGATGCATCTCCAAACCAGAAATGGCGACCGTTCGATGTTCTGCCAAGGTCCTTACCGCAAATGAACACGGGGAAGCTCGTGAAGCACAAATGCAATGTGGCTATACGCACTAACTAGGTACCACTGTACCCGACGTTCTGCACCGTATATTCCGCGACCTAAGTTTGGCGCGTGTCTCCGAGTTCGGGCTTTCAACAGACAGAATAGGGAGCGGCACATGGTGTGATATATGGCCCCCCGCTGATGTGCGGGAGGAGTAGATCTGGTAGCAACATGCATCAAAAACGTGTTCTCCAAGTCATCGTGGATGGCGAGAAAGGCAGAGAAACTGCGAAAAGGACTGCGATCAATATCTCCCGCGTGACTGAAGCGCCGGGCGGGGGACTCCGGCGCGTGAAACACTACATGTATAGGAATGAGTTCTTCCTCTCTATAACAGCGTGTACTTGTGGATCGCTGGGGCAAAGTAGTAGTTCACTCGACAACGGAAAATGCAATGCATCAGTCGAACATCGTTCAGCCACAACCGAGGTCGTTCGGTAGCCTGTAGTGATCTTTAATACTCATAATTAATGCACAGTAGTGACACACCTATATTACAAAGTATTTCACAATGTAGTCCACGGACAATAAGTATAGTTGCGTTTGCGAAAAGGTCAGCTATTGCAGTGTGGTGCTCTGTGCGAGTAGCTCTCTGATGCCCCCCAAGATGTCTCCCTTCGAAACGCCCTCGCGTCCTCGACCAGGGGCACGGTCGCACACGCGCAGCAGCCGTGTGATGCTCTCCGCCTCCTGCTGTGCCTTCTGCGCCGTCACGGGCCCCAATGAACTGGCAGCTTCGATGAGCACATCATGGATCAGCGAGAGGAGTGTGAGTTCCCCTGGCGACGGGGTGGCCGACGTGCCGCAGCGGTCGAGTAAAAAGTCCCGCGCCAGCAGGAGCGCGGGCTCCGCGAAGGACCAGAGCCAGATGTAATGCGACGACACTAGCCAGTCTGCCGCGTCGACAATGCGTGTCTGCAAGGCAAATCACCCGACGGAGATGAATTTCGCTCAGCGGAAGAACTCACCACAGCCACGTACAGTGACGTCCGACGCATTCGGCACCGCGTGCTGTCCTGCCGGTCAAACTTGATCCCAAAGCCGTAGTAGATGAGATGCAAAACTCGCGCCACAGCCTCGCGCACGTCCCCAGCTTCAGCGGCGCTCGCTGAGGCGCCGTTCCCAGTGAACTGCAGCAGCGCCTCGCGCGCGAGCGCGCTTGTTTTCATCCACTCGTTCACACGCGTGCACAGCGGCACGCTCATCGTCTCGGCGAGGCGCTCGAGATCTCCGCCGACCGCTCCCGCGGCGGTAGCGAGACCCTTGGCACGCTCGAGCAAGACGTCTAGGTCGATCGCAAGGCCCACGAGCCCGTCGAACTCACGCTGATACTCGTCCATCTCCTCGCTGATGTGCTCCTGCGTCATGTCTACCATCTTCTCGAGTTTCAGAGCCCCCCCGACCGCGCCGACGACGCCACGACGCCAGAGCCAGCCGACGCGCATAAACCACTGTCGGTGCGCGGATGGGAAGCACGGGGACTCGACGACCTCCCGTGCGAGGCGCAGCCAGGTGGTGGCTTCCTTCGCGGAGGGTGCAGAGAAGATGGAACGGGCTGTGAGGTATAATAATGCTGCCGCTGTGAGGACGGTGTCGTCTGCGTCTGATGCGGAAGTAGAGGAGAGGGCGGCGAAGTAGGCGGGCATGGCCTGGTTCTGAGCAGCAAGGTATGCCGCAGATGACTCCGAGCTGATAGAGACCGATGAAATGGATGTGACAGCTGTTAGAGCATCGAGCGCACACAGAAATAAAGCGGCGTGCAATGAAGTCGCTTTCCGCGTCTTGCTTGTCGCGATGTGTGCTTGCAGTTGAGAGAAAGGGAACAGTGGGACAAAGGCGTGCGCTGCTAGAAGACGAGTGCATGAGGACGAGCTCTGTATGGGTGGGCTCTGTATCGTTGTAGGTGGCGATGTGGATGCCGGACTAGGCATTGAAAATGATTGCTGGAATGAGGCAGGCGAGGGAAATGCGAATATGCTTCCTGCATTTGGAAAGGAGTTTGCCGCATTTGGAAAGGAAGCGGCAAATTGAGGATGATTGCCGCCAGATGCCTCTGGAGAAATGGAGAAAGGCGAGGAAGAATACTGAGGAGACAGGTTGTCGGCGACGGGCGCGATTGGATCGGGGAAGAGTGTCGAGAGAAGTAGGGGATCCATGATCAATGGGTCATCGTTGAAAGAATACGTCAAAGGACCCGAGTAATGCGGGGAGAACTGCGAAGCTGTACCGAAGTGTATCGGTAAGCTGCAATCACTGATGATAAGAAGAATTGCTCACTTGTTGTCTCGGCGGAAGACATGTCCGTCAGCCAGTCCGATGTGATGGGTAATGGTCCCATCAGAGAGGGAACATACTGCGAGGATGTGTCCGAGGCCGGGGAGATCTCTCGCGTCAGTACCTTCGAGGACATTGATCCTTCGCTGGCGGGCGGGGTGGGTATCTGGTCCGGGGGTGACGTCGACTCCGACGTGCGGCGTTTTTGCCTCGAGGTCGGAGCGTCGTCGGGATTGGCCTTCTTACGTTTTGAGCCCTTTGGTGGACCTGACTTGTTCCTGCCCTTGGCGTAGACGCACGTCGTCCGGTACAGCGAGCAGTTGCTACACGACTCTGCATTGCCGTCGCATCGTAGTTTTCGTTGTCTGCAATGGTCGCAGGCTGTCGGCGCCTTGGAACGATCTACCTTTAGCGTTGTTGGGGTGGTGGGCCGGGGAGAGGTGGAACTCGACGACATGGCAAGAATATATGGGTGAACTCCTGCGCAAAAGACAACACCAAACGCGATGCTTCAGAGCTAGGTGCTTCCGGAGCGTCCTGGAGGCCTCTGGAGTAGAGGGAGAAATCTGGCCGCGAGACAGAGTGAGCGCGAGTTATAAAACGCGCACCCGGTGCACTCTGGCAACTGCCATAAATAGGCGCCCGATCCCCTGGCGATCGATTGAGATCTTGATCTAACACAAACTGAAATTATTACCTTTTTATTTTTGGCTTATAATAATACTTAGCCTCACGCGTTTATGCCAACGTCGGTCCCTGAATCCGTCCGTTGGCAGCTGCGGGTACAGAGCTGATGGACCAACTCTCGACCGTCACGACCTTGTTTTGACATTGTTTCACCCGTTCTTGGGTATTTTCTCCGTATCGCATCAATCGCGGCGCCGCGTCAGGCGGAAAGCTGCCTGTGGCTGTTCACTTCGTAGTGTATCACCCATTCATTCTCTTTCGGGGATTCACAATTTAGCTCGCCGCTGTCCTTCCGGTCAAGAAGTCGGGGGTGCGTACATGACTTTTTTTGAACATTAACGAGTTCTTGCGAAGTTGGAACGCCGCTTTACCACCCCTAACTTGGGGCCTGTTCGGTTGCTCGGTGTGGGCACCGGGCTCGGTTTGTGCTGGTGGGATTTGGGCCTCGGAACCGGACTCAAAACCCCGGTCTTGCGTTTTGGCAGACACACCGGACACCGGGCTACCGAGGGGGCCCTTGCTGTCCTATCTGTATTACCTCACGCAAAGGTACTTGATCTTTACTCTTTTGTTTGTACCCTCCCTTTCCGACTCCAACTCAACTCCGTACGCTGATTGCTATTCTAGGACGCATGTGTGCGGCAACCGTCGCATCTTTGGATGACTCCAATTTGTCGAGTCGCGACGCTGCGGTGCCTCAAACGTTGCTATCAATGGTTTCCTTCACCCACCGATTTATGATTTGGATTCGTTCCAAATCCTACGGGAAGGCGTCCATTGTGACGAATTGAACGCAGTTAAAATCAGCGTTTAGTGGGAAGCTCATTCGTATTAATGCGCTTCTGTCATGTACTGACCACAGCTTGCATCGCAGTGGATAATCAGCAGCACGAACCAGTGGGTAACTCGGACTTGACAAAGAGTGTGGTCGTTAACGTCTGCTGGATGAGTTGAACTCGCGGACACCTAGAACTCGCCGTTCGGCAGGATATTTGAGCTTCACTGTCTGCCATGCGGTTTTCGGGTCAATCCACCCTTGTGGATCTCGCCATCAAGACATCCTCTGCCCACTTCGTTTGGTATGGGTCAGTGATGGAAGATAGAACCACGTAAGGAGGTGATGCTGTTTCCCGAGTGTCTACCATCTATCACTTCAATCTTTATGACTCCGTTGAACGTTCGTCATTGCACCTCATGGAACCCTGACCTTGTTTTCCCTCAGTGATCGTGTTCCTCGATTTGTCAGCGCGAGCTTCTCTTGGTGTTCGTGTTTCGCTCTACTGAATGGATTGTGGTACAACTCGATATTTCCTGCTCCTGTGTGCACCCACACCCGTGACGTACCTGTCGTTCTCTCACTCCCTCGGGCAGTTGATCCGCACCGAACCTCTGTCGGCTCCGCCTGATGACCCTGATTCCTCCCAACCCAGCCCACGCTCAACACATTCTTCCTCTCTCGCGTATGATCGCGATGTGTAGGGAGCAAGCTTTTAAGCACGATAGGGTCAGCTCGGAGTGCTGTGCTACACTGATAACAGATCCGTTCGCCTTGGCTTGCACTGACCTGGACTGGAGCTTGACCGCGCGAAGAGATAGTCTGCGGCGCGACTCCAATCTGCAGTTTGCCGTCCGTCCGCCGCCCGCGGGACTCGCCATCTTGCGTCGGCGACCCTTCAAGATGGTAGACATTCCAGGATATCAGCACGATCGCGCCACGATCGCGCCACATGTGTGCCACCATCTATCTCGGATTTCACTGCACCACCCCGAGCAGCTTGAGTGTCACGATCAGCCCCTTGCGCTCCTCTGTGAGCGCTTCGCTCAGGTTGGATGCGTAGCGCGCTTCACTTGTATATCGTGGGTTGGTATCGGGTGGCGCATTAATTCGTGCGCGGCAATGCGCGATTCTGCGAGGTAAGTACATACGATATACTCATTGAATTGGGAATCTAATTCCAATATGCCGGCGCTGAAGACATCTGAGCCTTTGCGAAAGAGGACCACTGAACTGATCTGCATCATTCGCCCGCGTCACATCTTCACATCCTACATCATTTTACTGCGGCGGCCTCCGTTGCGTCGACTCACGGACGTCAGTCCGCGACAGCGATGCTCGGAATATTACCCCGCACGACCGACCGCACGCGTCTGCTCACCCCTGGATTGCCCCTATCCGTATCCGCACCATAAGGGGACTGGTCCTTCGTGATCCACCCTCCGAAGACCGCCGTTCATACTAAGTACCTGGGGCGTCGTGGGCGGCTTTTTGCTGCGTGCGTGCACTGTGCCGATGTTGTACACACATCGGTCTGTTACCACCGCCAGCCCGACGAGTACATAAGGCCTGCGGACTGCTCTAGCAGTTCTGCCGTCTTCATCTTTGCGTGGTCCTCGGAACTGTTGTAGGATACACGTTGTGATGTACACATACGGGACTAGTTTTGAACCTTGGCGCCGGGGTGACGCTTTGATGCATTTGGCTGCAGACTCTGGAGCGAGGCGCGCGCTGGAATGTCATCAGGTATTAATGAGATGCAGACATAGTTCTGCCTACCATGCATTTTGTAATCCTCGTACTTCTTCAATACTCTATGTAATAAGCCGAGCCCCGAGGTAGCGGCCGACGCTTTCACGCTAGATTATAATTGGCGGCGGAAGTGCTCTGCTACTTAATTGCTTATCAAGTACACGACACGAGGTACTACACTGAATGTCAGTGTGGTAGACGGGATCATATATGACGTGCGAAGTTCAGTATACTTCTATCAGAGCAGGGGTCAACTAAGTCTTGAATTCATCGAGTGCAACATGTCGAAAAATGGCAAGAACGAAATATGTCTCAGAGCAAATCAACTCTGAACAACACGACCCTCGTAATGTGGAGATTAGAACTTGTCCTCGAGGTCCCATCATCCCGTCATTGCACCAGTGCGCGATTCCAGAAGTTCGCACCTGCTATCCCGACGCACACCGGAGACACCACGCCGCCGGTACAGGCGTCGTGGGCGTCATGGCCTAGCTGAGACCCGTAGGCGCGCGGCGCGCGCCACACTAAACTGGGATCTTCCAGTGGCGCCGACGATCACTCGTCTCAGCCATTCAAGGTCGAATGCCCGGCGAGGCGCGCGCATGTATGTGCAAGTACGGACCCCGAGTCGAATGGCGCCGCGGGTAGCCAAGTCAGGATGAAGACGTTATGCCAAGCACCAGCTGCAATTCCCGGTCAGCAAACAGCAGTCCCCAGCGTCTGGATTATATTAGAGACCAGACCGAACAAAATGTCCAGCAGAGGCGCCGTACAATCCATTTGTACTCCGCATTCCGACACAGACCCGGCTGTCTTTTGTCCGTCCTCCAGTCAACCACTAAGAATTAGTTCTCCACGTCTCTGATGCATCCGCACATTGCAAGGGCGCCACGCGGACCGAGCGTCGTCTCCAAGCGGGAGATCGAAGCAACTACATGGGGCCTCATCATTATGGGCCGCGCCCATGGTGACCAACCAGGATGTCCCCGAGACATCGAGCTCGAAAGTTCTGTGAGGCGTGCCAGCGAATACATGTTCATATGTTCATCTGCACGGTCATGAAATGAGTCAAAATGTTGCGGGCAAATCGAAGTATGACATCGCATTTGAAGCAGACTTTTAACCCTGCAAGCAACCTGCACCCGCAGTAATTGGCGGCCGCGAGGAGGATATTGGATTTTCTGCGTTGAGACACAACACAGAGACTTGCCACCCCCCTCGTTCCGTGAGCATTACAAATGGATCTTAAAGCTCCATCAGCCGGGCTCTCAGCATGGGTTTCTCTGAGCACAAGGACGCACCACCAATGGGACCCGAGCGGACGGTAATGAACTAGGCCTCCTTCCATTCAATGCGCACTACAAATTAGGCTCCCCACACCGTCCAGGCTTCAATGCTAGCAGCGCGGCAACCCACCGGACTGATGCACGTAGTACCAGAGCACGAAGGGGCCCGGGATTCCAAGGGTGAAATGGACAAACATATCCAGTTCTGTGAGCATGGGAGTGCAGCAGATGGTTCTTCGTTCTTCCGCGCGGTTAACGACAGGCGATCGTCCAGGGCGTGATGGTGGAGTGGGACGGGAAGGATGAAGGGGTAAAATAGGGTGGATGGGACGGGACGGGAGGGCGATCTGTCGTTGTAGCATCCTAGATTCTAGTGAGAACGTTAGGGACGCGAGGACGAGAGGCACTCGGTGCGCCCTCCACACATGCGCTGGCTACTTTCTACGCATATAGACATCATAGAGTCAAACATATGCTCCGAGTTACATACGCTCGGTCCGCAAGTGTTTTCCAATACGAAGTAGGCACCGTTCCTGAAGCACTACGCGGACGAATGGCGCGCGAGCGGATGCACACCGACTCTCGGCCACAAGGCACAGCATTGGGCGTAATCCCTCGAGCGGATTCCGTGGCAGCGGGACAGTCGTAGCGAGAGAGCAGATAGATCCAGACCCGGCTGGTGGGCTCCAATCGATGGCAGTCGCGAGTCCCAGACCATGTTGCACGAGGCAAAGATTTTTTGAGGCGGTACTGTACTTGTGGAGCCATGACATACTCGCTACGAGCACGCCAGCCACGGCTACTTGTCAACTAGGGAGATTACATTGACGGCCGCCTGTAATTTGCCCGAAAATCTTGATCCTGGATCATAATGTCAACCGGCTGCATGGTATTGATCCCTGAGCGTGGATCGCTGGCTGCGGACTGCGACGGTGAAGACGCCACTGAGAGTTTCAG